CGACCGAGTGTTGATCTCTATCACGCCGTCTCTCTTTCGTCCGAGCCCCCCTTTCGAGCGCTGGACACTCTGCCGGGATCTTAGCGAGTACGCTAAACTGGAGATGGTATAAACCCCGCGATCGTCCGTGGGGCTGCATCTCGTTAAGGTGTTTTCTTTTTCTTTTCCTTTTTTTGGCTTTTTTGTGTGTTTTGTTTTGGGAGATTGGTCCTTGACACCTCCAGCCTTGGGGACTTGGGTTCATTTAGTGGTTGTGCTGGTGGCTGGTGGCTGGGCTGGGGATGTGATTAGAGGAGATCTTCTTTCTTCTTCTTGCAGGGGATCTCGACATGGGGCTTAAGATTGCAGTGGAGTGAGTGTGATAGGCGATGGCTACTGTTCTGCGCTTTCATGGTTAGAGACCTCACTATGAAGACATACTGAGTGCATAGTCAATGTGCTCTGTATGTACTTCGTTCTCTTTTCCTATAGTGGCACTGAGGATTCTTGCGATTTCAATAACTGTGGAGCTATATCTCGCGTCTATCCTTAGCTAAGTACATCTGAAGTCATAGAACCAAGTCCGTGTCTGTATCATTGGTCCTCAAAATCGAGCATATTCGCCATATGTAACTCAAGCACATACTATCATATAACCTGCATGCTGTACGTATCTATTTCGGACATAATAATTCCACATGGTTTAGGACTTATCGTGATGATATTATGAGGTCTGACATCGTATGCGTTTCCATGTGGAGGCCTAACTTTTGGGGCTTTAAATTTGGGTCCTGCCTAAATGGGGCGGTTCGCTCTTTTGACTGTTTTCGATCTCCCCTTGACCACTTGGTAAGCATTAATAATCCAGCTAATGTAGCCTCGCAACCTAGTCTTACTATTCTCCTTTTATGGAATAGTGCTATCGACTAGGTCTTTCTACTGAGGTTCCATCACCCACCACCATGAACGGCGGCCCTTTGCTATAAAGTACAAGGCGCTAGTTAGTAGGAGTATTTAGTGGGTTCTCAGAGCTATGCGTTAACTACATCCTCAATACTACAGTATGTACGGAGTACTTACTACTGTATATGTGCTCAATCCATGCTATATACATGTGATTTGGTAGTATCGTTCCGGATTTTCCACTGCTATACACCCTCCTCTATCCCTGATAAACCATTACACTTCCCGATCCCAGTCTCTCTTGCCAGGCCCTCGGGACTGGGCCATCCACCCAGCAGCGTCGGGGGATGGATCAGACCAGTCGGAGATGCGATAGGATCCTAGGATCCTTTGGCTTAACTTTCAGGCATCGTCGTCTTCGTGTTGGCCGTTCAGTATAGAATATACTCCTTGTCTGCCCTCCCTCCATCCAAGGCTCGCCTACTTACCGAACAACCCCAGGACTAGGGCGATCGTTTCAGACCCTGACATGGTGATTTGGTCGGGTGGAGGGAAGCGAATCGCGGCCTTGCCACACAATTAATCTACTTCAAGACGCTGATAGGATCATAGGAGGGGGTAACCTGGTTCGGCTCATCCTGAAGTACAAAATAATGGGTGGATGGCTGTGTTGCTCCGCGGTGGTGGCACTAATGGTAGATCCTGTGATGATCGACCGTAGATTGCGTTGCTACTGCATCTGGCGAGGTTACGCCGGCAATTGATTCTTCCCAGCGAACGAGAATCGTCTCTCTTGCAGGGATTGATGTGAGTTTGCCTTGATTGTCTGATGGATGATTCGGTATTTCGTAGAGGAGGGGTGGACAAAACCTTCTGTTCGCGCGAGATGTGCTGGCCCCTCGTAGTGGGTTGATTGGCCTTGTTCTTGTTGGTTCCTGCTATGTTGGCCTTCATCTCGTGCTGCAGGAGATCATCCTACGGTTGCATTCTCTTCATGTATGGGCATGGCTGGGGTCTTGGTTGGATTTCATGATTTGGTCAGTGCAGGGGGTTTTCGAGAATATCTCGAAGATCTGATGTATAATCATATCTACATGCTGAATGTTGATCAGTATACATCATACTACCCAGGCAATCAAACATCAAGAACCTAGTTATTCCAACCAGGGCCTTGGTTGTACGTTTGTCATGCACAAGCGCTTCTAACTCCATGCGCAGTCAGTCCGAAGTACAATTCGAGGCGGCTGCTGACCTCCCGAATTTCCCCTTACAGCCCTCGTCCAAAAGAAAAACAACGAAGTACTGTAAGGTGGCAGGTTCGCTTAGAGAGGATTGTCATCTGGTCTCGTCCAGATCTGAATCTCCCAATTTCCAGCTTACGGACGAGATTCCGTGCGACACGTCGTGCGACGCTGGGATCGGAACACGATCCCAAAATGGGGGCTGGGAGCTGTTGTGGCACGTCGGGTGTCTGCTTTGTTGGTGTCTGATCTGACTGGGGTTGTTGACGGGGAAATGATGTATTTCTCCGGCCACGTTATTGGAGATTGGCACCGTTGCGGATGGGCGCATTAACCTCCGGCTGTGATGGAGCTAGAAGGGGGGTATCTTAGTTCTTGGTCTATACTGATTATGGTAGGAGTTAACCGTTGATGAAGTAGACCTCATGAACTAGTTAGTAGTTGTGACATCTATTACTACATAGATAACAATACACTTTACTAGGTGCTTGGACATTGCTATCACTCTAGTAGTTCTCAGTATTATCATTACCGTCAACACGATTGTCGAGTGATATACTTGCCCACCGTCCGTCCAGCGGCCAGTGCTTTTATTTGCCTTCTATCTTTAGATCGGACTTATGTAGGTACTTACCATGAGATGGGTGCAGCTCAGAGATCATAATTTCGTGTTGCAAGCGCCCTGCTTTTCCAACGTTCTGCACATCGCATCACAGGGTTAATGTGGTCAACCACTCACAAGTCTAGCGTGATACATCTCCACCCATATACACACCGTTTAGTGGGTGTAAGGACCACAATCCTGGGGACAGGAAGCTGATGCTCCAGGGATGCGGATACAAGCAAGCCACTAGCAAGAGGCGCACTTTTTACTTACAGAGAAAGTGCAATGATGGCTCCAGGGGAGTGAGGGGGCAAGGCTAGCCAGGATGCTGACCGTTGGAACTTGGAACAAGTGGAACGGCGCCACGGAGATCCGTCCGCGCTTTCTTGTAGACTCGGAACTGGGCTGGGGATGGTTATCTGCAGCTAGCTTTTCGAGGCTGCATGGTCTTGGGTCATGGAAATCCCGAGGCTATTGTGGATGAGGAGGTTGGGTAAGTTGGAGAATGCGTCATGTTTCGTGGGGGTATATTTTGTGGACTGGCGAACGCAGGCCATGCGACTGTTCTAGAGAGTACACCCTGTAGGATGATGACTCCGGTGGTCGGGTACCAACCAGAGAAGAGCGGTGAACAAAGTAAAATAAACTGACCTCGTAAACATCCACATCAGAGAAGGTTGTGTCGCACTGCAGAGTTGACTTTGCAGCTAGAGAAGGGGGGCCGAGGGGCAGCACCTCCTCAAGCTCAAGGTGGCGTCAAAGCGTACTATACTTCTGCATGGCATATTGGAGCCCGTTCCTCAACTCCTCGAGTCAGTTCTCGAGTTCAATTCCACAGATGACCTGATGGATGGTTTCACCTCGCCAAACAAAGCAGCGTGGGACACCCCAAGTAAGATCTGGTCAATGCGCCGGTGTGGTGGATGCGGTGGGATGATGGATCCGCCCTGGATGCAACGTGTGAGGGCCTAGCTACAGTTGCTTGGGATCACTCATCTTGAGTGGAAAGCGAGATGATGGTGAAGTTTCCGAGGGGAAATAATGTCATTCTGGCGATTTGACTGGTTGTGCTGTGGATTATTTCTGACGGGATCGTAGATTCTCGGACCAATCGTCCCAGCCATCTCCACCGCAGATGAGGCGCAGTGTCGATCGCTCAAGGTATGTGCAGAGTCAGTCCTGTAGGAGCTCTGCGATAATAGCAATGTTGGAAAGCGTCCGTCCATGAACAGCATTTCAGGTCCATGCCCAAAGCGCAGAGAGAATTAACGCCCCCTCATCTCTCTCTGTAGGCGTCAGCACGACTCCATTCGAGACAAAAACTAGACTTTGCGGATGCTGACCGAAGAGGGGGAGGCAAATGCTGTGATGCCACGAAGGGCGCTTCTGAGTTCTCAAAGGGATCCAGCCGGTTTAGAGTTGGCCGTAGAGAGAGGGGGATGCCCAACGTCGCCCAACGATTGGCATGCAAAACCTCCGAGACTGGGGCCTGTGATCGGCGGCGGAAACGCCCGGTGGTCGATCTGCATGACACGAGTCCATACTGGTACAGTCCTGGTCCGGAGTAGCGTACTGTAAGTCGCGACTAGCACGAGGATCGCCTACCTTAGCCGATGTTCCTCGTAATGGCTGCCTGCCTTAAATTAATATATGCCGGTGATGGTTGTCCAGACTTTAGAGTAGTCCAGCTGTACGTCCAAGCGAAGTTGCAAGTGGTAAGAGGCGGAGTCGTGAGTATCAGCACGAGCATGAGCCCACGAGGGTCAGCCTCCTCCGTAAGAATGATCAAGTCAAGACATAATGTCAGAGTCACGTCTGCCAGATCTTGACTACTTTCGTCAATTCGTTCGAATTCCAGCCCAAATAAGTAAGTCTACATTATCAGGACGAGGCTAACAAGATTCGCCTCCAGACATCGGCATTTACATGATTGGCTTTGATTGAGACTTTCAAGGATTAGCGGCAAAGATATGATCATGAATCATGTACATGGATGAAAATCATGGCAATCATTTCCGTACACTATGCGGAGCAAACTTGTTTTTGTGGCAAGGACTTCATTACCACTTCAGGTAGGTAGATAGAAGATAGACCTGAGAATGGAAGCTTGTAGTCCTAGCCTTACGGAACGCGGATTCCTTCTACACTGAAGGACCAGTATCGGCAGTCAACTCAATATACAACCTGAAATACTAATATTCCTCTATCTATACGGAAATCTAAGTAGTATACAGAAAACCCAGTGTTTTTTTGACACCTAAAAAAGGTCAAACATGATCGCCAATGTAACGCCTCACCTGATGATGCAGCCTCGTCACACTGCAAAGCTCGCAGATGGCTCCCAAACTCGGTCGTTAACAAGCATGTTTCCTGTATGTACTCTGGACGCAGGCCTACGTACCGAAGCTAGCGAGCTGCTGGCTCAGGCTGTGTTGGTTCCACATCCTCCCCAGGATTCTGGCTTGGATATTGCCTACCTTGCCAGGAAACTCTCCTCTTCTCCCTTCTAATCTCCGATCATGATGATGGTTGGCTCCTCTCCTGCAAAGTGTATGTATGCACATACAGCAGGGCCTCTCCCACCTACCGAAGCGACGGGGCCTGGGTCAACTTTCAAGGGCCGAGGGGGTCAAGTGGAGAATAGTGAACAGGGACAGGGTAAGCACAGACACGGGGTGGCCGACATTGCATGGAGCCAGAAAGGAAGAAGAAGTTGGTCCGGAGGCTCGCGGTGGGTTCACGAGTTCACGATCCACTAGAAACGGGAGAATTTTCCTTGGGTATTATCGACACCCAGGATTTATGTACAATGCTCCATACAGTAGGTATTCTTGCTCGGTCGGGCAGGTCCCGATGATCTAGTTTGCTTCCTCTCTCGTACATTCATCCAACCATGCCCCCGCCCGCCATCAGGTCTGATTATTGGGGTCCCCATTCCAGACTATCCTGGACTCTCCCTAGTTCCCCATAAAATGTCCATTATCAAGCGATCCCATGCAGCCAGTTGATCGCGGCACATTGATCAATGGAGCCATGACGGTGGAGGCGATGTCCGCTATGCCTACTCGGTTTAGTAGCTCCGATCACACCGTTGGTGATCATCGCGTCCCTGGGATGGGGATACTATCGGTTTGGGGCGTCAATAAAATGTGATATTTATATCTAACGCCAGATATTGTTGCCATTGAGTCAATTCCTACTGACTATCTTCTTTCTAGACATGAGTACTCCGTAGTGAAAGTAGTAAAGTCCTGCAACCTTCGGCATATTGTTCGTTTTTGGCTCGCGACCGGCTAAAATTGAATGGGGTCACCCTGTCTTGGCAGGGATGAAAGAGAGCTTCATTTATGTAGGGCCCATGAACGCGATATACAGCATTCTTTGTGCGTGCCTCGGCTGAGCTTTATGGATTCAGTAATTCAAAATAGTTCGAATCCAATTAACAATTGGCGACACAGCGCTGGAATGAGAGGCATGAAAGGAGGGAAAAACTACCATTAAGTTTCCAGATTGGAAAGTTGTTCTAAAATATACAATGCTTCAATATATCCATATGGGTATGGTAGCACACACTTATCTACTACCACCCACCCTTGGGCATACCAGAGGTAACGAAGGAATACTAGGTGACAGTCAACCTTACCTATCGAGATGGATGCACTTAATAGAAACGGAATTGATTACTTATCCAGAGGTTAGAGAGTAGCTAACCTATCTATCCATAAGATTCTCGAGTGGGTTACTTCTCTCCACTGGACCGCACCATACTGCGGTAGCCTTAGTAGCACACCTAGGGACTACGTCCGTGGAGGTTCAGTTCGACGGTGATGAATGGAAACAACTAAATCGAGATTCTGGGTATTGAAAATCAACAGGCAAAACAACTCTGCCGTGAACATATAACAAAGAAAAGTCAAAAGGGAGCATGAAATTCCTGCTGGCTACTTGGTAGCTGCCATCCACTCGGACTCCAAATCATCCAACAAAAGAGAAAGAGAGACTCCGCTAGAACAAAACATGATGCAACTGCCGTAAGCCCACCCACTATAAACTTGGACACGTCCAGAAGAGCACACTCCATCAGCCATACACATCGACCTGGGAATTACTCCCACTAGCACGAGACTTGGCTTGCTCATTAATGGCTCTCATCTTCCGGACGGCACGGCCGAAATCGAGCTTTGCATATTCCTCGGGCATATGCTCCCCGCTGTATATGCAAAGCACCCGCATGCCAGGCTTGTAGGATAGCCCGCTGAGAAGCTTGGGGGTGATCAAGAAGTATTGACCACCACCGCCGCCGCCGACAGGGTTGCCATTCTCGTCGACCGCACCTTCACCGTCGGAGTCGCAGGCGATATCGACCAAGCGGCCGTGTACCATGCGTTCGTTCCTGGGATCCATACCCTGGTTGATCTCGTCAACCACGCGGAAGGGCGACGCGGACAGTGACTGAAGTGCCATGAGGTAGAAAATGGTGCTGACGGCACGTTCACCGCCGGACTGACGATGCGAGTCAAGAATCGAGAGTTGCTCGTGTTCACGGAACTTGACGTGTATTTGGATAGACCATTGATCGAACTCGGTGCCACCAGGTTCGCCGTTCGGACCGGGTTCGGCTTCCACCTTGCCCAGGCTGACCTGTCCAGCACAGCCAATGCGCGCAAACGAGTCTCCAAAAGCATCGCTGATCTTGGCGATAAGTGCATCCAGTCTTGGCTCCCAGCGTCCCCGAACTTCCTTGATTGCAGCATCGAACTCAGCCAACTTAGTTCGGAAGTCGCTGAGTTTTAACTCCAATCTCTCGATCTGCTTTTCCCGATCCTCGAATATCTTAATGATATTGCTATTGCCCCCAACAAACAGTCGGATCTGGGCTTGTTGTGAATCGATATCGGCGTTGAGCTTATCGAGAGAATAAGTGACTTCATTTACCATGCTACGAATCGCTTCGCCGTTCGGTCGCTGCTCGAGATCATCAAAGACTTCCGTGGCCCGTTTTAACATTGCGCGACCCCTGTCACGACGTTCTTTGACTTCATCACGGAGCTGTTTCACTTCTCGAGCCTTCTGCTCTAGCATCTGTTTGTAACCTGCATGTTTGTCCTCGAGGGTCTGGTGATCCGATTTGGCCTCTAGGTGCCAGACTTCAACTTTGACGAGCTCCTCACAAGCATGTCGAAGCGCCTCAGCAGCGTCCTGAATAGTAACTCAGTATTGACGTGGAAACCATAGACCAGGAAGAATCTTACCGCATATTCAAGCGCCGCCTCCGCCTTTTGAATAGCAAGCCCATCCTGCTCATCACGATACCCAGCCACTTTTTCTCTCACAGCCGCGAAAAGCTCCTGGAGACTCTTCACCTTGGATTCTTCTTGACCTACAGCATAGTCAGTTAACACGAGTCGAACGATTCAATGGATGGCGATTAGTCATACTGATTTTCTGGGGGATAGCAAGCCACTCTGTGTGAGCAGATTGTTTCGTAGCTTTTTCTCTCTCGGTTGTTTCCTGTGAGAGCGGTCAGTAAAAGCCCAATATCTGTCAAACTCTCGATCTTTCATCATACAATTGCTCTGTCAATCTCCTTGTGAGAGTTTCTCAAGTTCTCCAACTCCTTTCTGAAAGCTTGAATTCTTTGTTCAACTTCTTCCTTTTCCTCCCTCCAATTCCCAATATTCTGGAGAAGAGTTTGTTTGATAGACGTGTCGATGGGCTGTGATGTCCAGAACTTGGCAGTCCCAACCACCTTGATGCTAGTAGAAGAAGCGTTATACTCTGCACGGTAGTTGGTTTGATACATCTGAGACCCAGCCACAAATATGGCGATTTTTTTCCTGCGCAGCTCATCGACCTCTGCCTGTTCACCCCTAAACTGACTGAGCCCGATGGGGGTTTGACTGAAGCGGTTCTCCATGCAAAGAGTGGCAATGACGGGATCAGGTCCGCTGATAAAGTCCTTCGCCCAGCCATCAAATCCCAGCTGCCGGAGTTCCTGGTCCGATACTGGGGGTGGGGGATAGTCGCGAGAGGGACTCGTTTTGATAGTGATGTCGTGAAGTTTCATTTGTCCCATCAGATGTTGTTGCAAAGTTCGGAAGTCCTTTTTGGTTTGGACCGTGAACGCCAGGCAGTCGTTCTTATTAAGAAGAGTCTCAATGGCATCGGCATACTTGGGATCTGTGATCGAGCAAGTCACGATTGGAGGACCGATAACTGGCTTCTCGAATTTGTCCTGATTGGTTTTGACCCATCGATAAGCTTTGAGTGTCTCCAGAGATACCTGCTGCAGTCTTGCTTCCTGCTGGCCCATCTGGGAATCCAGACTTCGCAGCTGTGTCTCGGCCTCTTCGATGTGGCTCTCCAACTCTTTCCTTTTTTCCTCGACTGGGATTCGCTCTTGCTTAATCGCAGTCGCTTTGGTCTCGAGCTCCCGCTGTTCAAGTCTTTTCTCGCGCTAAGGGCAGATATCAGATATAAGTACGAGTCATTGGATTTTTTGCCTCGTCAAAGAATGGAAACTTACCAGAAGGTCGTTGTAGTAAGTTGCATCAAATTCGGAAACATCTTCCTCTAATGAACGCTTCAGCCTGTTAACTTTTTGCTGCGCCTGGGTCGCCTCGGATTTATGCTTCTGCGAACTCTTCTTCTCGGCCGCTATTTGACCATCCAGGTCATTCATGGAATTTTGCAGGTTCTCCAGCTTTTGCGCACAAGCTGAGGCTTCCTTGGCTAATTGCTCAGCACGCTCTCTGCGGTGTGCCCGGACGCTGCTGATCTGTTCGACATAGCTCTTCTTGGCAGTGACTGCATGCATGACAGGTTCGAGTTCGGCCTTGAGTTGCCGCTCCTCTTGTTCAACTTGAGCTTTCCTCTCTCTGACCTCCTCAAATTTTTTGTGGGCCTCCCTGTACTCCAAAACCGGCCGACAGAGCTCCAAAACCTGCATCTTCTCCTGAGCCTCGGCCAACTGCCGCATGTTCTCGACCTCTGCTCTTTGCTGTTCTTGCCGACCTTTGAGATTTGCCAGAGTCTCATTGTCACCCCGGTTCTCAAGCTCCAGTTGCTTTTGCTGTTGACGGAGACCCTTGAGGTGATCATGCCATGCAGTCATCTCCGGCTCGGCTGCAGCTCTTTGAGTGGAATGAAGAAGTTCGACGGGAGAAAGCGCGGCAAACTCAGCAACTTTGTCCTGAGGAAGGAATTGGCAGAGGTTGTCCACTTGAATGGCGAATGACTGCACGAATTTCAGGACTTGTTTTGAACTAGCACTCTTTCCATTGATGGTGAATGAGCTTTTGTTTCCGTCACGTTTGATGTTTCGACATATGACGGGATTCGAGGGAAGCTTCGGTGGGCCTGCGAGTTCAATTTCTATTTTGGCTTCCGCACAGCCGTGTTTCACGAATTCGCCAAGATCCTTTGCTCGTCCGAGATGCTATTGATTGAAAAGAAGTATTTCGTGTCAGCCAACTGTGAAGACATCCACGCGGGGTAGAAGGCCATACCTGAGGGCCCCAACCGAGACCAAGGCAGATTGCGCAGACCAAGGTACTCTTGCCTGTGCCGTTCGGGCCAATAACCATATTCAGCTTCGGGCCTGGATGGAACTCAGCGGACGTATAAGTCACGAAATTCGCGACTTTGATTCGAACGATCGCCCCAGGTTTGTAGCCACCGGGCCCGATTCCAAGGTGGGCTTGGGGCCGCGGCGCGGAGGGCTGGCTCGATTCTCGACTTCCGTCCGCATCGTTTTGGGTATCCTCATTCTCCTCACTTTCATCACCTTCACTCTCAGATTCTTCTTCGGTAGGGTTTAGACGAGGGCGTTTGCTGTTGGATGCGGGAGTCGCGTTGACAGAGTCGGAACTGTCGCTGTCGTCTCCACTCTCATTTCGAGATCGACGGCGAGGCACCACGCTGTGACGCAGGCTGAGAGAAGACATTGTATCAGTGGAGTGGAGGTGAGGCCATCAGAAGGTGCATGGCCATGTCCATTGATAAAGTTGAGATCTCATACGCGAAGAGGGGGAAGACGCGTCTTTGTGGCCGATCAATACCAAGGCCTATCTGGGTAGGCGGTGAAGTCGGGGATTTCTTTGTTGCAGCAACTACGAGACAAAGAGACAGACGTTAATCTAAAGGACCAATTCTCACATTCGCATCGGAAGATGCCCTCACCTCAAAATGTACGCCGACTGGTCTTGACAGTCGCTGTGACATCGATCACGATTGCTAGCTCGCTATATGGAGCGGGATTAAAGACGAAAGAGGAGATCGCGGAGGTAAGTTCGAAGACCGGCTCTGCCGCAGCCCCGTGTCTTGAAGCAGGCATACCCAGCAAATGAAAGGCTTGAAGCCAAGATTACCTAGATCTTTTCGGATTCTAACATAATATCTTCAATTGCCTGTTTAGACCACGCGAAAACGCCAAGAATCCACCTTTGATGAGCAACTCAAAGCCCTTCAGGGCATGCGCTCCAACCTGACTGCCCGCAAAGGCATACTGGAGGGGCAGATCCGGGACTTGGATGCCAAAATGGAGGAAAAGAGACAACGTGCTGCATTGGGCAAGGATAAGGAGCAACAAGAAGAAGGACGACGGTGATTTTGGCGATGCATGTTTGCCACCTGAGACATGCAATCATCACGGACATTGAGGTTATAAGGCCTCACATAATCTGCCAATATGGGCCTACTGAGCTCATTCGGTCATGACCGGCCGGGCCCTCAAGGAGGATTTGAGGGCATTTGGCGGTTCCAAGCCCTCGCTCACCCTTACGGGAACCACTGCGAGCTCAACGGAGATCCCGGTCAAGACAAACCTGTCGACGGCTTTGAGCCATCAACCCATCTGCTCATGGAAAGAAGCAAGATCTTTCGACCAGCGGGTAGTCTCTGCAACTTCTGAGAAGCTGTCTATCTATGTGCTCAAAGAATCGAGCTTTGTTGTCGACATACTCCGTTTGGGTTGATGTGATATTGAACCTTCTTGCACATATCCCGCTGCAAGTTCCAATTTACGCGTGGGCAAAGTGCAGGTCACTGTTTACTATTGGGACCCCTGGTCTGATCTGAATGTATAATACAGCATAATGCAACCAACCTGTATATCTATTTTGACTGCTTTGTATGTAATCGATGTGTATGTGCAAAACTCACGTTGCTCCTGATGCCAGGTCTTTGTAAATCACGGTCATAAGATCGTAGGACAGATAGGTCATAAAATCAATCTGGACAGGTAGCTTACGCATCCAGGTTCAATCTCTCTAGGAGGGCATCCAGCTTCTCCAACAGAATCTGGTAGTTCATCGCGTCCTCGTCAAATTCGTCCTCAACGATTGCACCATCCAATGTCCGAATCTCCCGGGTATACCCATTCGATTGCAGAGTCAGCGCATCAAGCGAAGTAGTCGCAGGCGTGGACTTGGCGACATTCATCGCCTCAACTCCTTCCGTAATCTCTCCTATATCTTCAGACTGCGCGATTGGCGGCTGCTCTTCCATCAACTCGTCAAGACCAGCATCGTCGAATCGCAATCTGAAACGCTCATTGAGGTAAAAGCGGATATCATCCAGCAACTCGATGGAATCAGTTTCCTGACGTGCCTGAATGCGAGCCGCAGACTCGTTGATCAACTCCGCGAACTCGGGCGAATCAATGTGGGCCTCCAGCCTATATGCGAGGAAGCGAGCGGCAAACTCTTCCAGACGCTGGACGCGAGTTAACCAAGCGGCTCGGATAATCGCATAAATATCGATGTCGTCTTCGTCCTTGGTACCGCGAGTCCTGGCTGCTTCAGACTGAGATACTCCACTACCCAAGGTGCTGATGACAACAGCTGCCTTGGTCTTCAACTTCTCGATGAAGAGCATGTCGGCGGCGAACAAAACGTCGACGGCTATTTCCAGAGGGAAATCTGCCCGCTCGGTGTATAAGAATGTCAAGATAATCTCTAGAACGTCCGGCGCGCAGTCAACATCGATAATGTGCAGCTGATCCTTGATGTGCGCTTCTCGGAACGAGGACGTGAACATTGCCTGGAAGAACTCCGATCGGAGGAGCATCGCCCTGTGGCAGGGAAACAACGTAGATTTTGGGACTTCGTCTGTAGCGCCGTCATCCTCGTCTGGCAGCTCATCTGCTCGCAGGAGGACATCTGCAAAGATTGCATTGTTGCGGTCCCACTTGACTTCATCAACCTTTGATGTCTCAATAACCACCCGGTTACCCAGGACATTCTCCCGGAACCACTCTTCGAACTGATCTCGGCCCTTGCCGAGCTCCACGGTCCTCCGTTGCCTCGCGCGCCGCCTATCCCCGCTGTCCAGGAGGCTATCCATAAGACTTTCGATTTCAAGGTGTTTGGAGATCTTATCGATGCCCGTGAAGACTTCGGATTCTGTGAACCCAGTGCCCGGTCCACTCCTTAATTCACGCGGAGCTTCACCCAGGTATAGATATCGGATCGCAGCAGCAAATGCTTCCGGTGGGGTCGTACTGGGGAGCTTCCATGTTGTGGTTTCTGGAGCAGGGGCAAGCTTGGCACGGAAGTAGGGAGAGCGGGCGGCCAATATGAATTTATGAAGGGCGATTTCCTGGTCGGCGACGGCGACGGTAATATCAGTTGTCACAGGGGACTCTCGAGTGAGTAACGAGGCAATATGCGCAGCAAGGGGCTGGAGTGGGTCCGTCGACTTGGAATAGTCGTACTCGAGAAGGAGGTTGCGTATCCGATCGTTCAAGGCATTGTATAAACATCTACCCAGGTCCGTTATTTAGCTTCCGAGTGGTCTAATGGTAGTGTGCGGTCAAATTTACCTTTCTCCTTGAAACGTATCTCGCTCACATAGTGCGCCTGATTCAAGTAATAGTTGCGCGACTTCATAGTGTCCGCATAGACTGGCCTGTCGAAAAATATATATCGATTACTAATGTTGTTCAAGCATGAATGGAATGGGTAAAGAGGGTAAATGATAGACTGTATATTTTCTCTCGTAGCACTCACCAGGATCAATGGCGTATAATCATACAAATCGCGAGCGTTCACATTGACGCCCTCGGTGATTTTCTCCTGGCAGACTTTCAGATCGCCCCTCCGGCAAGCACTGCAAAGTTCACGGAATGGCTCACTCAGGTCTAGCGGGTTGTCATCCTTGATGGTGCCTTCCTTGATCAGCTTTTTCTCATTGTGCAAGCTGATCTCCAGCTGATCCTTGCGTAAGACAGTCGTATCTGCCATGGTTTCCTCTGGACTTGATCTAGTAGCTTGCAGCTTGCCACCTCGAGGTGGGAGGAAAGTCAACAAGATGCGGGACGGAGCCGGCTTATCGATAAGATCAGGTGACGTCAGTTAGGGCATTGCCTAAGTGGTGAATGTAATGTTATTACAGCGAGTCACCAAGTTACAGGAATAGAACAACGGAATAATAAGATAATTGAGGAGGTTCATGCGAGGATTTAGATGTATACAGGGGATAATGAAACCCTTCCATTGGTACAATAGAAGTATAATTCTCAATTGGCCGAGGCAATAATCCAAGGAGATCGCCCGATGGGTCGCCGTTTTGTATGCCGTAACCGCCTTCCTTAAAGGGGCAAGCGTCATGACCCCCGTTGCACAGCAACCAGCTGCACCCAAACACTGAAGATCGCCGAACCTCTCAACCCCATACCATCTTCAACTTTTCCCTCCACCATTTCTTCAATTCACCTTACTAACAACACAGGGAAGCTTGTCGACTCTCCTCTTCCATGACCATTCCTTACCTTACATCCCTTCTCATTTCCTTTCGACACCTGTGATTCCGACTGTCCTCGGACAGTGATCTATAGCCATGGCGATTGCTTTGGCTGAGGCGGACAAGTATGAGATCTTGGAGAAGATCGGTAAGTTGTGCTACCTCAGACTGGAATGGTTGATGTAATAACTTCTGACGGATCATGTATCTTCTAGGCTGCGGCTCCTTCGGCATCATTCGCAAGGTCAAGCGGAAATCCGACGGATTCGTGAGTGGTTCCATGCTGTCGCAGGTTCCTTGTGCTGGACATAACTAACTGGATGTAGATACTATGCCGGAAGGAGATCAATTATATCAAGATGTCTCAGAAGGAGCGCGAACAACTCACGGCGGAATTCAATATCCTGAGCTCTCTCCGACACCCGAACATTGTGGCCTACTACCACCGTGAACACCTCAAAGCAAGCCAAGACTTGTACCTCTACATGGAATACTGCGGTGGTGGAGACTTGAGCATGGTTATCAAGAATCTCAAGAAGGCGAACAGGTTGGCGGAGGAGGAATTCGTCTGGCGCATTCTGTCACAATTGGTCACTGCCTTGTACAGGTGTCACTATGGAGCGGACCCTGCGGAAGTTGGATCGAATATCCTCGGAGCGCCGCCAAAGCCATCCGGACTGAAGGGAAAGCAGGGACAAGTTACTATCCTGCACCGCGATCTTAAGCCCGAGAATATTTTCCTCGGTAGCGACAACACTGTGAAGCTGGGCGACTTTGGTCTGTCTAAGCAGATGCAATCCCATGATTTCGCATCCACATATGTCGGCACTCCCTTCTACATGTCCCCCGAAATTTGTGCCGCTGAGAAGTACACTCTTCGATCGGACATTTGGGCGGTCGGGTGCATCATTTATGAGCTTTGCGCGAAGGAGCCTCCCTTCAATGCGCGCACCCATATTCAACTAGTGCAAAAGATCCGCGAGGGAAAATACGCATCTCTCCCAGACTACTACTCGCCGGAATTGAAGAATGTTATTGGCAGTTGCTTACGCGTTAACCCCGACAACCGCCCTGACACGGCCGCCTTGATCAACCTTCCTATCATTCGTCTGATGCGCAAGGAGAAGGAAGTTGTGGATCTTGGCAAGACCCTGCGCCGTCGCGAGGAGGTCGCCGTCCAGAAGGTCCGTGAGATGGAGCAAAGGTTGGCCAATGCGGAGAAAGACAAGCTCCAGTTCAAGACTGAGACAGAAAACACCGTTCGTCGGGAATGGGAGGTGAAGGCACGACTCGAGATTGATCGCCAGGTGCAGGGCGAATTGGACCGACTGCGCAAGCGATTTGAAGCGGAGGTGCAAGACCGCGTTTCTATCGAACTTGAGAAGCAGAAGAGACACAGCAATCCTCGAGAAGAGCTCTTCCGTGCCAGCCTTCGTCGCTCAGATTCCAGTTCGCAAGGATCATCACGGACTAGTGGTCGTGAATCTCGTTCTTCTGGTGTCGTAACCGACGACTCCGATGTTCCGTCCAGCACTGATATCAGTCAATTGTCGCTCGAGTCTCCTACATCCAATAACCGGAAGGCCAGGAAGGAAACTCGTACTCCGTTCTGCCGGTCCAAGACGGTCGTCGAGTCACCTCAGGATGTGCAAATGGCTGAGCCATCCCCTATCTCTATCGCCTCACTCTCACTTTCGCCTCGTCGCACCTCTGCTACGGGTACGTCTCGCAATATCTTTGCCGAGGCTGAGCGCCAAAAGGCAAAGTGGGAGCCCACACTCGCTTACTCCGACGATGAGGATGATACTCCTGATCTACCATCTCCTACTCGCCCTAAGGTCAAGCCCGACCCCTTCAAGGCGCCCCCTCGACCACTTCTCCGCCAGAACACCGCTGCTTTCATGCAAAAACTCAGCACTCAACCCCCTCTATTCCCTTCCAATGGATCTCGACTTCCCCAGATGTCCGGCGGCCCATCCTCCTCTCAATGTGATGGTCGTACCAACTCGAACGAAGGCCGGGCTAAATCTCCACACCGTCGCCTGTCCAAGATCCCATCATCGGCTAACCTCGCCGCCGATGCTGGATCTCCTACCCGTAAAAACTCCACGAAGCAGGCTCCCCCCAAGACCAATAACAATGTTGGTGGTGACGAGATGTTCAAGGCTGTTATGCAACGCAACATGGGTGGTCGCACCCTGGTCGAGCTTGCCCAGGCTAGAGCCGGCGGCCGCCCTATGGACGAATTCAAGCGATGCGCCAGTGACTCTCGCGCCTCTTCTCATGCCTCTAGCATGAAATCCTCGGAGCGCGAGCCGCCAGCTATCTGGGATCCTGAGCGCGACGAAATGCCCAGCCCCTTCCTCGCCCGCGGCAAGAAGGTTATCCGCAACCTCCGGTGACCTGTCTGATTTTCTTTTCTTTCTTTTGTCAATTCTTCGCATCCCATCTTGGAGCGACCTTTTTTCTCATCATGGTGTATTGGCGTTGCGGTTTCATTTTGCTGGGAAAGTCTCCCCTTGCTACTGAGACTGTCATTGTGACTTTCCATTTGATTCTTGCGCATACCTCTTTTTTCTCTTCACGGAGTTTGGCTTGCTATGCTATGGGCTCGGCAACTTTTTTTTGACCCCATACAGGCTGCGGTGTTTTTTGTGTGGTGGTGGTGTTGGTGGATTCGTCTGTTTGGTGATCACTGCCCGCTTCCCCCTGACTGACCGACTCTCTTCTACCTTTTCTTTTGTGTAACGCCGTGATGCCCTTTTCGTTAATTCACCCCGGAAGAGGAGTTCATTTGTACATTTACTGGTGTTGATCATACATACGCTGGTGATGGCTTTCTTTGTTACTAGGCTTCAGATTTCAAAGCTGATACTTGTGTTCCATCAATCTCTTTTGCCAAGTTGACCTTTCTTCTTCTACAAGGGAAGCCAGTCTTAAGCATAAGCAAGACTGCCGCAGGTGGCTGTTGCAGTACGGGGTTCGTCTGAGATATTTGCACCCTAAGGTTTGTGATATCTGACGAAAAAGGAGCTTCCAATGTAGGGAAGTCCTTGGTTGACAGCCCTGGTTATTGGTGTTTATTGATGCACCACGACCAAGCTATTGCGTGTGTTTTTTGTTGGAAATGACGACCTTTGATGCTCTCCGACACCCATAATAAGAACGACTAGGACTGTCCGGGTAGAGGGTGTAGGAACGGCCCCCCCCGTATTGAGTCAATTGCAAATTACATGGCAACACCCAGGATGACTGCACTCCAGAAGCAGTGCGAACATGAGAGGTTGGCTATATTCGTATGGTGCTACTCGAGCAATGATTAATTTGGAAACCAGGGGCGTTGCCTGCACATCGTTTCTATCCCTGCCACAAATAATTCTCTCATATATTAAGTCAGGATGTATGCATGTTTCGCCTTGAAAATAAACTTTCCTGGGTCTGGTCCCAGATCCATGGTAGATCAAACAGTATCTACCGAAATTGGGCAAGTATGTAGGCCCTGAGGATCCGACTTCCCTTATTCCAGTCAATACTATTCCTTCCTAGAATAATAGACGGAGTGGTGTTATGATACACGATTTGGGCTTTCCCTTCCATTGCACGTCCCCAACACCTCCACTTCCATCTCTCCACTTCGTCGATCTATACGTTGACCTGTAAATCCTCTTTCTATCATTGGCCTCTTCATTCGGATCTATTGACAGCTGATATCTTTGTGATTCACGATATTCGAGCCGAGCAAAGTCCTCAGCATAGATTCCAAATTCTGCAGACACTTTGATTTCTGCAATATGATTTACTCTCCATTCAAAGTCCCCATGGGACATATTCTTGGTTCGTTTTAGGCATCAAGCGACTCCACGTGCATTTTGCTAACTTTATTCCTATAGTCCTCGGCCTTGCGGCCATCAACAGTTTTCAAACAACCCAAGTCTTGGCAGCACCAATTCCCAGCGGCAACAGAACTCTAGGAGGGAGTCCTCCCAACTTGAGTAGCAATTCATTTATCGCACGCGACTTGGAAACAGCAATGCCAGTTCTAAGCCAAAAAAAGCCAAAACGCCCACTATACATCAGAAACCACCAACTGAGGAATTCTGTCATAGCAGCGCGGACTGCGACTATGGCTATGAATGTGATGATAGCGGAATGTGTGTATGGGGCTGCGACGAGAACGCAGATTGCAACCACCACGCGAGGTATGCATGCGTGAAAGACAAAAAGATCGAGGAGTGTGTGACAGTCAAGCATTCTGCCTGGGTGGATTATGGTTGGACACGCGGGGAGCTTGACAGCGGGTGCCTTTGGGCCTACCAGTGTTGTACTGGAGCCTGCCAGGAGAACAAATGCGCCCGACACCCTCGATGGTAAGTTCTCTGGGAGAGCATGAGTGTGAAGCTTTGGGTGGGTACGACATGTGAAAGATAGCCTTTTGCTGCCTTTGCGAAGTATCAAAGTCTCTGGGTTGGATTCGCTGTTAAGGTGGCTGGAGCAATCGTTCAGGGTTTTTTGCGTTTAAGATGGGCACGAAGGCTTAGGGCATTAGTGAGAAAAGGACACACACGAGAGAAAAATCAGGTGTCTGACTGAGTCCTTATAGAATTTGGAATAAAGTCTGTTTAAGAGAGTGTGAGACAGCAATGCTTCTTGAACAAGTCGAAATAAAGTGACAAGATATCGGTAAACACCCAAGACTATTTATTATTGGAGACAATATATTTGTCGATCGTGAAGGTATGGATCATAATGGAAGGTCTTCATTTCGATCGCAAAGTACCAACAAGTACCAAGTTCGCCTTCAATTTGACTAGTCGTGCTGACGAAGGATCCGAATCCAATAGTTCTGAAACGCCGATCGACATAGGCCAGTCGCACGGGGGGATGGGATTAGCCGTCCGGGAGGCTTAACCCAAATAGTCGTGATAAGACGCATTGTCTCTCCGGATCTCGACTAGCGTCATATGCACATAGTCCTTTGAACGTGTCACATTGCGCATCGATCAGGCAATCACGGCCACGACGTAACTTTTGGGACCTGAAGATCATGGATCCCGTTGGTTGAAGCCGCGCTAACCGGCCCTTGTAAAGTTTGGAATTGCTGAAGAGTGTTCCCCTGTGAATGTTCCCCTGTGAAGGCATGAGGAATAGGACAGGGTTGTGAGGAGGAGACTGCAGGTCACTTAAGTCGGCCAGAGCGCCGGTGTCCGCGGTCCTTCACTCCTAGCCCGTCTGTCTCATGCAGCCTCGATCCTACGTTGAAGAAAGTCCATTTCGGACCCCACAGCACGTGGAAACTAGAGACTAAGCGTCCTCAAACCCCTCTCCTCCCAATATTGAGCCCTTCTCAACTGCGACCGAAGCAATCCGTCGACAAAATCAAGAGCAAAGACACCCAAACGAGATTCGTGATCATGGGGTCGGAACTCGGGGTTGACCCAAACTCCAAGGAGGAGCTCAATTTGTCTCCTGTCAGCATCTGGTGGGTATGCTGGACTGGGATATGGACCGCTGTCGTTGCGCTGGGCATGGCCTATCTCATCTTTCATCGAAATTCGACCCCTCTACGACTTCGAGGCATCGGGCTTTCGCTATCTGCCGTCGTTCTCCTTCACTTATACTGGATTACTGTTCAGCTAGGATTGTTGGTCGGCTCAACGATCCCAGGAAACGCCGAATTCTGGATTATGGGCACTCTGTTGCCGTGTGGCATTGCCTTGTTCCATGCCTCCAATAGTCGCTTCATCCATGTCGCGAATCTTCAGAAGAGATATACTCGGCCTAACAGCCGTCTAGTCGGATTACCTTATGGCAACACTGCTTTTGAACCCAAGGGCAGCAGGGGCCTAATCGATCGCTTCCGCCGTCTTGACTATACTGCCAAGAGTCTCATCACTGTGGGCTTTGCAATGCTCTTTCAAGTATGTCGGATATGCGCTTCAGAACTTCATCTATTCCCAGGCTGATATCATTCTTACCGTGATCAGATATTTCTTACTGCCCTGATGTATATCGTCTCTCGGAAATGGCATAGTTCCTGGGGTATCCCCGGCACTGAGGTTCACGGGACTGCCCTGGAGCAGAAAGCCGAGATGGGTCGAGGCTGGGAGTGGTAAATACAATGGAATCTCCGAGGATTGAGATCTGGTACTTGATCGGCTGACATTCATTAGGTGGCCTGGGGTATTTTGGCAGTTCTTCTGGTCTTGGATCGTTGCCCCGGTTGTTCTTTGGAAGTCTCGCGATATCCATGATACTCAGGGCTGGCGAGTTCAAACAATTGGCTGTGCGGCTGCGAGGTAAGCTGTGTGAATGGGTTGAATGAAAGTTGCCCCTGCTGATTATTCACATAGTCTCCACGCTACTCCACTTTGGCTCATTGCTCTCTATGTTCCCGCTATGGAGGCAGTCAACAAGTACTGGCTACCTCCCCAGTGGTAAGGATGATTCTCTTGGGCCATTATTCCAGAAGCAGCTTTTCTAACTATTATCTAGGATCTGCCTATCGATTATTTTCATCCAGATATTTACGGTACTACTACCTTGTTGGGAGGTATTCCGATACCAGTCCCTTCGACAAGAGACCCTCGATTTGATTGCGGATTGGGAGTCGAAACAAAAGGATGGCCCTGATATCAAGTCTCTGAAATCAGCCACTGCAACCGTCGAGTCTATGATGTCAGGTTCAGTCAAGACAGACAGTTCCGATGAAAGCGTGATGACAATGCCCGCTCTTGAATACGTCCTCGACCGTGATCCTGCCTCCCTCCAGAACTTCTCAGCACTGCACGACTTTTCTGGAGAAAACATCGCCTTCCTCACGAGCGTAGCCCAATGGAAAGGCTCCTTACAGGATCCCTCTGATCTTGACGATGAAGAGGATATCAAAGAGATGCTACAGGAGCGGTTCAATAGCGCTTTATCTATTTACGTCGAGTTTGTCAGCGCTCACGCCGAATTCCCGATCAACCTTTGTTTCCAAGACCTCGCAAAACTTGAGAATGTCTTCGAGGTACCTGCTCGTATCATCTACGGCGACGAGCCCGAGCTGAACCAGATTGCCCCCTTCGATATGCCAAGTTTTTCCAGGCTACCTTCAGCCATGTCCTCCCACGGATCTGAGAAGGAAATCCGGGTAACAGCATCTGTGCTCCGAGACCGTGTGTGGTATTGGGGTGAAGTTCCCGAGGATTTCGTCTCCTGTGGACTCGGTGCGAATGTCTTTGATGATGCTGTGAAGGCAGTCAAGTATCTCGTCCTCACCAACACGTGGCCAAGATTCGTGAGAAGTCGAAGCACCACCTGTCGGTTACCGTTTACTACTGGATGCGGCTTTGATGTTGAGCTTGCACGAGCGCAGCAAGTGAGGTGAAGGCAAAAATCTTAGAGGAGGATCTTGCTCACGAATGTTATTCTAATGTACATAATAAGCCTGAAGCTTTTACCAATTCATATACCCTATTTTCGTTTTCCAAACCTTCGCTGGGAAGTTGTAATGGCTAGAGGTTGAATCGAAGCGTGCGATTGTGACCGTACGTTGATAGGGATCGTGTCTGATACATATTTCTGGTTCGCAATCATCCTGATGGCATGTTGCATGCTCTCATATACAAGCAATTTTGATGATTCTGATCTGGCTCAAAATCTAGACACTTCACTCCATTTCAGTAAAAGATCACGATTGAGGCTTGGCACCATCGTTCTGTTGGATGTATGACGTCATCTTTCAATGAGAAGACAACACGAGTCTGTACATAACTAATATACACACTCAATGTTTTCAAGCAATTAGACATTGAATAAACCAGGAGCGTTATTAGATAAAATAAATCGAAAAGATGGAGCTTGTGCAAAGTCCTAGGGGGTGTCTCGTCAGCATTAGACTTTGGCCCTTGTAGATCTTAATCCCGTCTAATCTTTGGGTTGTTTCTATCGACCCACTTGGATCTGAAAATAGGAGATAGCCCAAAGAATGGCCCTCCAAGATTATTTAGTACCAATATTGGGTTAATCTTCTATAAGAATAACGCCATTACCCTACGACTGTTGAGATGTCACTAAGATTCTGCTGCTGCCAGAATGAAAGTCGACCAGCATTCCTCGGAATATGAGGAGGTGTATCCCCTACACAAGCTTGACGACATCGAGGGATTTCGCAATAATGTCATATGGATGGTGCGATTTAATGATGTGCTTGACGCGGAGAAGTTGGCCGACTCATTATCAAGGCTGTTGGAGATCGGAGATTGGAAAAAACTCGGTGGACAATTGAGGTTCAAGGTACATACAAAGCTGAGCATGCAATCACACCTATCAATTTAGAAGAAATCCAGTTAATCTCGACAAGGCGGATGGAAAACTGGAAGTTCACTTCCAAAAGTCATCGACGCCTGGCTCACGAAATGTATTTTTCACCCACGATTCTTACGAGATGCGAATTCAAGACCATCATGTGGCTCGTCGGTTACCAAATGCGACAGATGGACCATCGACTCACCTTATTTCCGAGGACTTTCGGCCTTTTATCGCTCGCCCGAATTTTCCGACCTTTGAGCAATCGGTACGACAAAATGAGCCTCAAATTTCGCTCCATGTCACCTCTTTCAAAGATGCGACGCTCGTCGCTCTTTCATGGCCGCATGTGTTGATGGATGCATCGGCGGGAAAGGCCCTCTTGTCTGGGTGGTCGGCAGTATTAGCGGGGCGTGAAGGTGATGTTCCTGTGGTAATAGGTGCACGAGATGACATTCTCTTGCAAGCGGCGATGGAAGACAAGGCGGTGACTAGCAAGGAGTTCAAGCTTGAAAAGAATCGGCTAACTGGAGTCAAGCTGCTTGTCTTTTCATTGCGATGTTTGTGGGACAAGTTTTGGAATCCTCCTCGACAACAGCGAACGGTGTTCATACCCGGAGCTGTTCTCGACAAGCTCAAAGCGGATGTCCGCCAAGAGATCACAGAAGAAAGCCAGAGCAGCCAGAATGTGCCTTTCGTCAGTGAAGGCGACATATTGATATCATGGATCTGTCAAGCAGCCGCATCTACCATGTCGAAACCTCGCCCACTGGCTATCATGAGCTTCCTCGACGTTCGTTCTCGGATCCCTGAGATACGCAAATCGGCAGGGGTATTCTTACAAAACATGGTCCTTTCGACTTACGCGTTCATTTCCCCTCAGACTGCCACAAGCTCTATTGGAGCTGTTGCAGTGAGCCATCGCCAACATTTCGCCGAGCAATCGACCGACGCACAAACTCTCTCCTTTTTGAAGAGTGTTTATCGAGATATCGACGCAACGAAGAAGCCTAGACTCATTTTCGGCGAGCCAAATTCCGTGCCATTCTTGATCAACAACGTGAGCAAGGCAGAGTTGATTAAACTTGTTGATTTTAGCCCAGCTGTTCTTCGTCAAGGTGAGAGCTTAGAGACCAGGAAAAACCCTATTGGAACTATGGTCACGTACTGGAATGAAGGGCTTGAGCGAGGCTGGAGTGGTTTCAATGTTTGTTGGATGCAAGGAAGAGACCACGATGGGAATTTTTGGATGATGGCAAACCTTCTGCCTCGGACATGGGCGAAATTGGAGGAGGATTTACGGCGATTGCATGAGGAAAATCTTTTGGATTCAGGCAAGGAAAGTTTCTGATCTGCTGTTGTCACCTTGCCCGCGGATAACCCAGAATTGTTCTCTTGATACGATCCCTGGTGCAAACTGGCCGAATCACACTATATTTGCGGATACAATTTCTACGCTGTTTAAGCCTTGACCCAGTGTCGGAATTTTCATTTTGTTCATTGATAGATAATTATTTGATCAGACCGTTTCTGCTGTCTTCAGATACCCAAGGACCTTCTCCACGAGGAACTCCCGAGGCTTAGCTTGGTCATCGTTGCTCAATGCATGAGATGCCCCAGGGATGATACCGCTGTGCTTCTGATCCCAAATCTCATATTTGCCATTGTGATCCGTGATACCCCTCCATCTCGCCAACAACTTCTCCTTGTCAATCCATTCCGGAACAGCTTGATCCGCGCCCGAAAACAGGACCATCAATTTGTGCTTGAGCAGCCCGCGCTCATTAATCATTCCAAACGTTGTCTTTAGTTGCTCGTCGCTCAGATCAGAGCTGAAAAGGTCATCCTCGCCCGGTGACTGAGGGCTGTCAGGGCTGATCAGACTCAAGAGTCTGCGACAGCTGATTGCGGTATTGGACGGGTAGATATGGGATGTCATCCACAGGGGGAGCATTGTATCATGAGGTTCGCCCTTTGCGACAGATTCCTTTGCCATTGCGACCATCTTCTCGTAGATTGGCCGGATTTCATCGCCCGTCTTGCCACCAATTCCTTCGCTCAACACCCATTGCACGGCTTCTCGGTCAGACACGGGTGCTTGCATGATTGCGCCGTCAAGTGGCATGCGGAGAATGTGCTCGAGATCTGGATCGAAGGCTGGGGTGCTTGTGTGAGGGTTGGGCCGAGACAAGTAGTGCACCACACACTGACTGCCGGTTGAATGACCCATCAGGACAATCTTGCCGTTGCCGAATTTGGACGTCTTATATTCTTTGATATAATTCAAACATTGCGCAATCTCATCCGTGTCTCGGTCGAGGTGCCCAAGACCCCAGGATTGATACGAGGATGTGAGGTTGAGAGTGAAAAGGGACCATTCTGTGGGCTGGAGAGCGCGGACAAGATCGGCCATATAGGAGGTAGTCGCAAGGCCATCACCGAGGCCACCGACAAAGAGAATGCTGTGAGGTTGACGAGCGGCAGTGGATGTGTATTCAAAAGTGACAAGAGTCTCGGTCTAGGTAGCCCGTGCGTCAGTAAACTTGTCAATTGCGCTTGAAAGAAGACGGTAACATACGTAATGATGCAAAATGCCAGGAAGGCCACCCTTGGGCCAGAACCTGGAGTACATATTGACGTTGAGTTGCAGATACAAGAGACCAGCAGATGTGAGCGAATCGAGATTGTTGGAGAAAGTCGCGATGGAAACTCAGGTCAATGGCACGTGTGGCACGTGGTTGCTTACGAAACAATCTTGTTATCAGATGGATTTTGCGTCACTCCGAAGTCGGTTTCAAAATATCTCCGCAATTGGGATTTCTGTTGCAACTGAGTGATATTATTTATTGTGCGATACCATAAAAGAACCACCTTCTAGCCCGGTAATTGTCGGGTAAAAAGGACCCGCTCGAGGCGACGATGTTTGACTCGTTGAGATCGGAATATTTTGCTCAGCCGAGATGCCAAGGCCTAACATTTCTGCTCCAAAGTTCAGACCAAAAATTGCCCCTCGTGCAACTCATTGGTGGGTAGAGAAGGAGGGCGTAAATTATCAGATGAAAAAAATTATCAATCAGCACGCGGGACGCTCGGGCAGCATTTGGTAATTTCTGTTCCATGGAACGCAGAGAACAAGGTGTACGGTAATATTGGTATTGTAAGTATTCACCAGGTGGATCTTGATACCGTTGTACAGTATCTTCCAAGGCCCATCGAAATATCTTTTCTTCTCTTCGCAGTGTCACTGCCAAATTTTAACAATGTACCGGTAGCGCATTGGCTTTTCTACGCCTTACGCGCCCTACCGGAGAAACAATAAGTCACCGGATCTGATTAGATTTGTGGATGCAGTATTCCAGGATCAGATTAGATGACGTCCCCGAAGGTCTGCTCCGGCCTAGACTGATGGGTCGAAGAGAATATGTAGCAGCGGAAATTGCCGCCAGGGAATGGGGGTAAATTAGGAGAATCTGCAACTGAAATTTCGTGCTTTTCACTGTGTTAAAGGTTGCTTTGGTGAAATTGCCCTACTCGCTCCTGCCTGTCTATTGAGGATGCTGTTGGACAACCGTCATGCATATTGGAAAAAAAGTCCCTTCCAATCATCGGGAACAGGGGACTCGAAGGATATAGGTTATGCCCAAAAGGACCAAGTAGACTGTCGTAGCACTGCAACCCAACCTCCTTGGTTCAATCCAAGACACCGAGTGGATAGAACTTGCAACTTCGAACTTGGCAGTGGAGTTGCCCTGTCGGAGTTATGTATCGTATGCGTACGGAGCGTGAAATTCTACCGTATCAAATGCGGTATCGTGACCATACATGGAAATACAAGGTACTACTAGTTTCAGACATCCACACCACTACGTTCTGTATCTATACAACCTCAGTAATCATTCTTGCTTCGCGGCAAGCTCGCCAGTGGAGACAAATTTTGGGCACAAGTGTGGGATCGGACCATCTCGGCTTCACTCGGTCGCGATCCGTGATTCCCTTTCAAAATAATCCAGTTGCGCCAGGATTCAGCGACAACCGCAAGCAAGCAGCTCGCGTCGTCACGATGGGCTTCATACACATTGACGATTTACCGAGCCAGTATGAGCAACCGAGCGAGAGCGCTGTGGTACAGGCTAAGGACCAGCTAAATAGTACCGGCGCTAGATCATTTAAGGTCGCGGGGCTTGTCTCTGATCAAGTGTCCACGCCAACATGCATGAAGGAAGAGATTGTGCTTTTGTCCTGGCTCATAGTTCTTCTGCGAACCAGAGAAGATGGACGTGTTAGCTATGAGTGGGCATATCAGAGCCAGGGAGATTCATCAAATGGTGGAGGGGCAAACAAGCTTTCGACCGACGAAGTACTCCCTAACTTGCAAGATAATGTGGGAGAGACCCTGACTTCGATTTCTCGTCACATTGAGAATGCGAAGGGAAGCCTGAAAACAGCAGGATCCAGGGCTTCATCACTTCTGCTAAGCACTGGTTCTCTGTCAGAGTGCTCGGATGGCACTAATAACGATGTATGTGAATACATCAGACGTTGTATTTGACGAGAGTGTGTGACTGACCAGTCGAGTACAGGGTGTGCTCAAGATTCAAGTTTCCGTGCAGAATGGAGACCTCAATATCTGTCCTCTGTGGCATTCTGAAAATATTCTGCCATATACAATCACCCGACACATTGAATCGCTAGTTGATACAATTGAAATGTGTATCTCTAGCCCCGAGAAAGCTGTCGAGGGGTGTCTTCGTGCGACAATGCATGATCTTGATACATTATGGAGCTGGAATAATGAGCTTCCACCAACATATGACTTCTGTATGCACGAGATGATCTCAGAGCGTGCCCGAGAATTCCCCGACAAAGAGGCTATTCTATCCTGGGATGGTGCTTTAACATACAGCGAGATCGATCGCTACTCAACAGTGCTCGCGTCTACGCTTCGCGAAGCGGGGGTCGTACTCCATGACTTCATACCTCTTTGCTTTGAGAAGTCAAGGTGGACGATCGTCGCTGTACTTGCCGTGATGAAGGCCGGTGGAACTATTGTGCTCATGGATCCCACGCTACCACTCGCCCGGCTTCAGAACATGGCTAAGCAGGTGAATGCAAAGACAATGGTGTCATCTGGAAACCAAAAGGTCTTGGCATCGTCTATTCTACCAGACGGACAGAGATTTATCGTGGAAGCAGACACCTTTTCGCATATCTCGACTTCTCAAGTGTTACCTGAGCTTCCACCTGTACCGGCTTCAGCCTTGATGTACATCATTTTCACGTCTGGAAGTACAGGCACACCCAAGGGCGTCAAAATTTCCCACAGCACCTATACCAGTAGTGCCATTCCACGAGCGAAAGCAGTGGGATACACAAGCACTTCCCGAGTTCTCGACTTTGCGTCATACGCCTTTGATGTCAGCATTGACAGTATGCTGCTGACTTTGGGGAATGGTGGCTGCCTTTGTATTCCCTCAGATGAGGATCGGTTGAATGACATTAACGAAGTCATTCGGAAGATGAGAATCAACTACGCTGGTATCACTCCTTCTATGGCTCGAATTTTGGATGCAGATGTTATCAAATCGCTGGATATCCTGGGTCTGGGTGGCGAAGCTGCTTCAGCAAGAGATGTGACTGTCTGGGGTCAAGATACCAGAATTGTCATCGGGTACGGTCCCTGCGAATGTACCATCGGATGTACTATCAACAGCAGTGCTGCGACTGGCAGAGACTATATTTCCATCGGACCTGGCAATGGTGCGGCTATGTGGATCGTCGACCCCAATGATCATGAAGTATTGATGCCGGTTGGAGCCGTTGGTGAGCTTCTTGTTGAAGGTCCCATCGTTGGACAGGGCTATTTGAACGACCCCGACAAGACTGCAGCTGCATTCATTCATGACCCCTCATGGCTTGTGGCTGGTCACAAGGGATACGCTGGCAGGCAGGGTCGTCTGTACAAGACCGGAGATCTCGGTGTATATGATCCCGATGGCTCTGGAGGCATCGTGTTCGTAGGTCGCAAGGATACCCAAGTCAAGCTACGCGGGCAGCGTGTGGAACTCGGAGAAATTGAAAGTCAACTCAATGCCAGACTGCCCTCGGAAGCAACCGTGATTGCTGAGGTTATTGTACCCCAAGGAGCTGGGGGTCAATCTACTCTTGTTGCGTTTGTTTCCTTCAAATCAGCCAAGGGACAAGAGCACCTGGGAATTCAGTCAGCCGAGCTCGCTCCTGAACAAAGCCAATCCCTGTCCGATGCCAATGCAGATATATCAAAGGTCCTGCCTCGGTACATGGTTCCAACGGCTTATATTCCCGTCAATTACATTCCCACGTTGATCTCGGGAAAGACCGACCGCAAGCGACTTCGCCAATTCGGTACTACCGTCGACTTGCGAGAGCTGGACCAACGCACTGGGAACGCCGTCTCTCGGGAATTGACCGAACTTGAGCAACGCCTAAGACAAGCATGGGGCGTGGCATTGAAACTGGAGGCGGAGAACATCCGGCTTGAGGATAACTTCTTTGCGCTCGGTGGCGACTCATTGGCTGCAATGCGTCTTGTTTCCATCTGCAGAGACCAAGGCCTTGATCTCTCTGTGACTAGCACTTTCGGCAACCCTACCCTTTCGGCCATGGCTGAAGTTGTCAAGATTTGTGACGGGCAAGTCCGATCTGAAGTTGCTGCGTTCTCTATGATCACTCAAGCCGTTGAAAGTGCATCCATCGAGGCGTCACAGGCCTGTGGGGTTGATCGAGATGCTGTTGAGGATATCTACCCGTCTACGCCAACGCAAGAATCTCTGTTCACCTTCTCGCTCAAATCGGTCAAAGCATATGTTGCTCAAAGAGTTGCTTGCATTCCAACACACGTTAGTCTCGATACCTGGAAGAAAGCATGGGAAGACGTGATTGAGGCAAGCCCAATCCTGCGCAGCCGCTTGGTTCAACTTCAAGACCCAGGCCTTCAGCAAGTGGTGCTGAAAGTAGGCGTCGATTGGAAGCACTCCACCAACCTTGACCAATACCTCGAAGATGATCGCAGTGAAAAGATGCAGCTTGGACAGAATCTCGCCCGATATGCTATTGTTGACAATTCCATCGATGGTAAGCGTTACATGGTTTGGACGGTACACCACGTTCTTTATGATGGATGGTCGGAGCCTGTCATTCTTGAAAAGGTTCGCAATGCGTTGGGGTGTCAAAAGATTGAGATGCAGGCACATATGAAGGACTTTGTAAAGTTTGTGCGGGATACCGATGAAGTCGCCATGCATGATTTCTGGCGACAGGAGTTGAACGGTGCTGTTGGACCCCAGTTCCCGCGCCTCCCATACCGAGACTATTTGCCTACTCCCAACGGCTTGGTTGAGCGTATAATTCCCTTTGAGGCTGGTGCTGGGTCACCTTTTACGCTGGCCACTTTCATTCGGGGTGCGTGGGCTCTTGTCGCATCTCAATACACGCGCAGTGACGACGTGGTGTTTGGAGAGACGCTCACTGGTCGTGACATTTCGCTTCCGGGAGTTGAAGGCATTGTTGGCCCGCTCATTGCAACCGTCCCAATTCGCATTCATGTCAGTCGCAACAGCACTGTAGAGTTATATCTGCAGGCTGTGCAGCAGGGTATCCTTGCACGGACTCCCTACCAGCACATGGGAATGCAGAACATCCGAAAGGTCAGCCGCGATGCTCAGCATGCATGCGAAGCTGGCACTGGTCTGGTAGTTCAGCCGGAGCCGGAGTACGAAGGCAGCGACCTTGGCTTCGAATATGGCGATGTTGTCCGCGAGGCCCTTCACTTCAATCCTTATCCCCTCATGCTGGCTTGCGGTATCCGGAAAGGGGGCTTCAGAGTCTGTGCAAGCTTTGACAGCGGTTTAGTCAGTGTGTCACAAATGGAGCGAGTTCTGGCTCAGCTTGAAGTGGCTTGCTCCCAGCTGGCAAAGGACCTTTCCAGGAAGGTTGATGAGATATCTTGCCTCCCCGAGGAAGAGTTGACACAAATCTGGCGACACAATCAGACTGCTCCTTTGTCCCGGGATGAAGCATCAGGAAAGCTTCGAGCCAGGGAAGATATTAAGCAAGGATCAGTGTACCCTCCATCGGTAGTCCACTGGGTATGTGATCCACGAAATCCCTCGCTGTTGTCACCCATTGGTTGCCCCGGTGAGCTTTGGTTGGAAGGGGCCTGCCTTTCAGGCGAGACTGCGGAGTCCCCAGCGTGGCTCCTAGCTGGAAGCTCGGAGGTTACTGGTCGATCAGGAAATATGCAACCAACTGGCGACATTGTTCAACAACAAGAAGATGGCAGCCTGGTGTTTGTCGGTCGCAAAGAAAATATTGTCCCAGTGCAGGGACATGCGGTGGATATCGCGGATCTTGAAACTCATTTCTCAAGATACCTCCCATCCTCAATCCGCGCGGCTGCAGCCGCCTTCCAGTCATCGCAGGGCGAGTCAGACCAGGTATCAGAGCTGCAGCTGGCCGTGTTTGTGGAAAGCCAGCCTTCCGAGGGCGACAATGTGGAGCTCATCCTGGAGAACCATGATATTGTCTGGGACGCTTCGGATCCGCAGAGCCTGAAGACGACTGTTTGCGCTTCAGCACCTGTCGTCCTCGTCGTAGCACTGAAGCGACTCGACAAATTCTTCAGAGATTCACTCCCCACTCACATGATGCCTTCTGTTTACATTGTGGTTGATAAGTTGCCGACGAACCATAACCTGTTGAACCAGCTTGCCTCGAAGATCCCGGGTCCAGTGCTTGACCAGGTACACGAAGGCCTACAAGAGGCATGGAAGAAAAGCTTGGCCCAAGCAAGTTTGACTGGCCCCGAGAATATTTTGCGATCATCCTGGGCCAAGATTCTAGGAATGCAGGCAGACCAAATCGACGTCGACGACAATTTCTTCCGTCTCGGTGGTGACTCCGTTCTGGCGATGAAGCTAGTTTCTAGTCTTCGTGCCCAAGGCCATTCCTTGACCGTCGCAGATATCTTCCAGCATATGCGTCTGGGCGATGCGGCGAAGAAGCTGAAAGTGGGACAATCACCACAGGCCAAAGTCCAGCCTTACAAGCCATTCTCTGTCTTGGGATCGATTGACGTTCAGCAATTCCTTTCTGAGGTTATTCAGCCGAAGCTTGCTCATCCAACTTTGTCTGTTCAAGATGTCTACCCTGTCACAGATACCCAAGCACTTGATGTTCGTGGAACCATTCAAATCCCCCGGACCTCCATTCAGTATAACATGTTGCATTTCGACAGTGGCATCGATCGTCAAAGATTGTTCCAGGCTTGTAGGGATCTCGTTAAGACCCACGACATTCTTCGGACTGTGTTTATCGAAGAAAACGGCACTATTTTCCAAGTTGTCTTGAACGAACTGGAGGTTGCTTTGACCACGCACCTGGCGGATCAAGATATTGATTCATTTGTCAAGGATCTCTGCGCTGAGGATGCTAATTCAGACTTCCAACTTGGCTCGCCATTCTTCAAGTTCATCCACGTTGCAGGTGATGATAGCAAGGAATGCCTCATCTTGGGCATATCCCACGCTCTATATGATGGGATGTCGCTCCCTAAGCTGCTTCAAGATTTGGAGGCACTGTATATTGGGAAGACAGTCGTCGACTATGAGCCTTTCTCCTCGTACATTGCCCGTGTCCGCGACATCCGCTTCCAAACAAAATCTCTTGGCTATTGGAGTACTTTACTCGATGGCTCATCTTTGTCTCTCCTGGATGGAACATCTTATCAGCCAGGAGACAAGGGTGTGTTCAAATCTAAGCCCGTTGAATCATGCCAACCCCTGGAGGACATTACAACTGCAAACTTGTTGACTGCAGCATGGGCTCTGCTCTTGGCTCGTCGCCTCAGCAAGACTGATGTGACTTTTGGGGGCGTTACATCCGGCCGCATGATTGATGTTGCCAACGTGGAAAATGTCGTGGGCCCATGCTACCAGCTCACCCCCATCCGCGTTCAGTTCCAGGCAGAATGGACAGCGTTGAATCTTCTGCAATTTGTTCAAAAGCAGAGTGCCGAATCTGCGGCCCACGATTTCCTTGGGTTCGAGAAAATTGCCAAGCAGTGCACTTCATGGCCATCCAACACACAATCGTTTGACTCCATTGTTCACCATCAAGACTTTGATGACTTTGACACTATGCCTTTTGCGGAAGGATCTTGCAGAGTTGAGATCTCCAATCCTCATGGCGATGCCCCGTATCCCTTCAAGGTGGTCTCTTTTGTGCGAGGTGGTAAAGTGCATGTCGGAGCCGTTGGGGCTGAAAGGGACTCAGCCCTGGTTGATGAAATCTTGGATGATCTGGCTGCAACTGTTGCTGACCTGTCGAATGGCTCTGAAGCAGTCTTGCTTGATGAGAAGGTGTTTTAGTCTGATTTGGATGTGGTGGTCATGTTTTTCTAGCATCCGGGGTAGGGTTAGCTTGACCCTGCGAAGGTGCTCTTTTTTGGTCTATAATTTTGTTAGCTTCTTTGCTTCTTCTAAGTATTATTTAAATCTTTTCAATATCTGTTTTCAATTTTCTAAATTTAATCTTGAATTTGATCCCTCTTAAGGTTTCGATCGAAAAGACTCTACCATGGTGCTCCTACGACGCTTGTGATACTCGTCAAATCAATACCAACCATGACACATGAGATCGCTCTGTTGAATGAAAGAATTTCTATTAGAAACTAAATGAGATATAACAAAGTAAAAATAATTTTCAAATGTTCTCATCATGTCGCCACTGTTTGATGCATAACGTTCGCCCGGTAACTCTCAGACCGTTCGAGCAACTCCTCATGTGAGCCATGATCAATGCACTGCCCAGCCTCAATCAAGAAGATGGTATCTGCTTTTCTGATGGTGTGCAGACGATGAGCAATAGCGATGACTGTGATGCCCCTTGCAGCCTTCTCAAGACCGTCTTGGAGGAGCTTCTCCGATTCGGCATCCAAGGCACTGGTCGACTCATCAAGAATCAGCAGCTTAGGCTTCCGAACGAGCGCTCGGGCAATCGAAAGCCGTTGCTTCTGTCCACCAGAGAACTGATTGCCATTAGGTCCACAAAGAGTCTCGTAGCCATTAGGCAATCCCATAATGACTTCATGGATGTTGGCAAGCTTGCATGCCTCTTCAATTTCTTCCATGGTCGCTTCATGGCCTGGTCTAGCGCCGAGGCCGATGTTGAACTTGATGCTTCCTTCAAAGAGGACGCTTTCTTGGGGAACCAGAGCGATTGCCTCGCGGAAGGCTACGTCTTGGTGCTTGGTCACATCAACACCATCAATGATGATGCCGCCGGATTCTGGCTTGTAGAGTCTTTCAACAAGAGAAATGATGGTAGATTTACCAGCACCACTGGGTCCAACGAGGGCACAGAATTTTCCAGGTCGAATATCAAGGCTCAATCCATTCAACACCTTGATGTCTGGCCGAGCAGGGTACGCAAAATGAACATTGCGGAATTGAACACTTGAAGCGCCACCGGAGATAGTGGGCTTGTGTTCTCCTCTGGCCTCGGGGTCTTTCTCTGCAGACTCGGTAAGGGAAGGACCACGGATTTTCCCTTGCATTCCGTCTGAGCCGATTTCAATCAGACTCAGGATTCTTGCCATCGCAGCGCGGGCGTTGGAAAGCTCGGGCGCGAGCGCAAACATTTGACTCCAGAGAAGTGCACTCACGAGGAGTGAGAAAACCACAATCAGGAACTGTGTTTGGGTATAGGTTCCTGCAATGATCTGTTTGGCACCCCACCAGTATGCGAGGGCGTTGACGCAGTTACCAAGGAAGTAGGTAATAGCCTGCCAGAGACTTGCGAGCACTGTGACCTTGAAAGTCTCCTGACGAGGTCCCTTCAAAGATCGCCGGTAGGTCTTTAGGGTCTCCTCCTCGAGAGATAGGGAGGCGATGGTCTTGATAGATGTAATTGCTTCCGTGCCGATATCGACAGACTTCGTGTAGGCGTTTTCGTGACGTTCCTCGAATTTACCGAGCACATGAAGCTCCATCAGACCAGCTCCAAGGAGAAGCGGCACCAGAGACAGACAGACCAGGGCAATCTTCCAGGCGATGATGTGAGTGAGGATGATCGCGGCGATGAGGTTGACGGTAATGGAAAATAGTGAGCCAATAACAGAGCCGCTCAGACCAGCCAGGGCGTTACCATCCCGAGTGATGTAGGATAGAAGCATGGCAGGAGTCCGACCATTAGACTGGTGCCATTGCAGGTCTTGCTCAAACAACGACCGGAATGACAGTACTCTGACCGAGTATACAACCTTTTCAGAGACCCATCCAAACCCTGTCCAACTGGCAAAGTTTGCGAAAAACTCGATAATAGCCAAGACAAAGAACATCAGACCATAGAAACTACCGCGAGATCGAATGCTATCCGCACCGTTGCAAGGATTCAGGCTTCCGACTGTGTTGCCAAAGATGACTGCTTCTCCGGAGAATGCTCCTCCGACGATACTAGCGCCGAGAAGAGCCAAAAAGATCATCAAGAGATGGGGTCTCACTGCTGGTCCATAACCCTTCACCAACGCCCACAAAGACTTACGAGGAGTCTCGGGCTCAGGCTCTTCTTCACTTGAATCGGTTGCCGGTGTTTCGGTTGCCGACACCTGGGTATCCTCCTGCTTTCCAAGGCTCTCATCCGACAAGCCAATCTTCTCATTCTCCGTGTCGGTCAGGGAAACCGTATCCGACTTGCTGGCAGTGTCCTTGATTGAAGAACTATCCTTGGAAGATGCAGATCCAAGAGTTTGGAGGTTGACGAGTTCAGCATAGGTTCCATTCTTGGCCATCAGGGTCGCATGATTGCCCTGCTCCACAAGGATACCCTTATGCATAACAATGATGTTGTCGGCATTGGTGATTGTTGAAAGACGATGGGCAATGGTAATCACAGTCCGACCAGTGGAGATGTTATTGATGGCATTTTGAATCCGTTGCTCACTTCTCGAATCAAGAGAGGCGGTTGCCTCATCAAGGATGAGGACTGTAGGGTCCTTGACCAAAGCGCGAGCAAGTGACACTCGTTGCTTCTGGCCACCACTAATCAGACGTCCGCTTGAACCGACAGATGTGCCATATCCGTACTGCAACCTTGTGATGAAACCATCTGCATCTGCCAGAGCTGCGGCATGTTGGACGAGGTTCACAATTTCAACAACTTCTGGACCCCGTGCCTCTGCTGATGTCACGAGGTCTTTGCCATCTCTGACCTCCAAGGCTAGCTCAGCAAGGGTAGAGCTGAGAAGTGTATCCTTCAAGTGTTCATGGCTCGGGTTGCTGGAATTGATAAGACCGTGTGCAATGTTTTCTAGCAGCGAACGGTCTAGAAGAGAAGGTTCTTGCTGGACTAGACTGCAGAAGCCTCGCAGATCGCGAAGATTGATATCTCGTAATTCGTTGCCATCGAAGAAGATCTGTCCTTCCGTTGGATCATACAATCTAGTGACGAGGCTAGCGATAGTTGACTTTCCACTTCCTGAAAGACCAACAAGAGCAGTGTGCTTCTTGGCAGGGAGGGAGATTGTGATTTTATCGAGGACCTTGATTTCAGGGCGAGATGGATAGATGAAAGAGACATCCTTGAATTCAAAACCACCCTCTGCCTCCGAGATACGAAGCCCAGAAGTAGTAGTGCCATCGATCAGAGGCTGACGATCAATATCCTCACGTAGCTTTGCATAAGAAGCAACGGCTTGGACAAATAGATGAAGGAATGGTGCCACCTGACTCAACATTAATGTGGCTATGGGATATGTTAGAGGCGAAACATAGCAAAATCAAAAGATCTCGGCTTACCTTCAATCAAGATGAAAATTACGGTAAAAGTAGAGCCGACGGTGACACCTGCGGAGTCGCCACTCACTGCATCAGCAACGCGCTGGGCACCTTGCCAAAAGGCTAGACCATTGGCACTGTAAGCAATAAAGTACAACACTCCGGACTGCGTGCCAACAGCTGCAGCCTTCTTCAATCCTTGGTGTTCCGCTAGTCTGAGAGCTCGCGAGAACTTCTCCTCCAGTCGGGCATTTGCACCAAAGGCTTGAACCACAACAATGTTGTTAAGCGCCTCAGAGGCAATCGTTGCGGCAGATGCAGCATAATCAGACATCAGTCCGGTGTACTTTTCGATATAGTGACTTCCAGCGAATGACATTAGGAGATAGGCGGGAATCAACGAGAGGAGAATGGCTGCAAGTTCCCAATATTTGATGAACGCGACAATATAAGCGGTTATAAAGAATGAGAAAGCAGCAATGACAATGCCTACTTTCTCTGATGTGCCTGAACGGATAGTCTGGATATCGCTGCTGAGCCGAGAAGCGACCTCGCCCGGCGGCAAGTGGTCAAAATGCGATGGCTCTTGTCGAAGCAGGTTTTGCAAATAAGTCTCTCGTAATCTTTGAGACAGACGGGCACCGTACATAGTCCAGCATGTGAGGTGGGCGTAAATCAAGACAAATTGGGCGATAGCCAGATAAAAAATCAACAAGATCTTGCTGTTGATTTCGCTTTGGTAGCTCGCGTTGGACTCCGAAGAGCTTGAACCGCTCTTTTCGTCACAGGTCACGGAGTTGAAATCATCGAGCAATTGACCAAAAATGATACCAATGATCGGGAACGGGACACCAGATGCGATGGCACTAGCCAGGCCGGTCAACAGCATGCCTATATCGAGCTTTGATGGGCTTCCTGCCAAAAGCAGGCGAGGATAACCCGCCAACTTCTGGAGGAACTTCATGTTGACCTGAGGCTGACGCTCTTCTCTCCTGCGGCAGTGGGTATGTTCGTCAGATGTTGAAGATGTAAGCACTCTAAGTTCCTCTTTTGCTTACCCCTCAGTGAGCTAGCTCTCGGTGACGGTCTGCAGATGTGGGTCCCCAGGATGCGTTCACGACTTGCTGAAGTTTCCTTTAATTCCAAGATCCCACTGGGCGAGATCAGTTGGCAGCTATAAGAGCTTCGTTGTCGACACTGGCTTGACGAGCATGTCAAGTTTTCCAAAAATTTCAGAAGGGGGGAAAGCTTTGGAGATAACCCAAAATGGTTTAGGGGATTTGCCGACATCGGTATGGACCGGCAGGTTTGACTTCCGGATCAGATAACTTAGCCCACAACTGGTCCTCCTGAAGAAAAAAGATTCCGTTGATGGAGACAATTAGTCAATTACGGGGTGGATGGGCACCGTTACGATGAGGTGTGCAGTATCAAACGTATTGTCACCTTACAGGCCCACCATTCGTATCGTATCGTACTGTATATACATGCATACTCGGACCAAAGAGCCACTTCAAGCACTAGAGCAAAAGGGGCAACTTAGTCGACGCTCATGGGGATGATTGTCTTGCACCCGAGTTATCTGATCATTTCTCAAACAAGCATAGTCCCCGCAAGAGCAAACACAGATTTTCTCTGGAGCTGCTCCGCCGTTGAAGACGGCGAGAACTTCTACATGAGTCTTTTGACAATTAATCATGTCCTACTATTCCCTTCGTACCCCAGTAGGCCGACATCGCTCAACAGTTGTGCGACTCCAGTGACTAGCTTTTTAGAAAAGTGCACTCTTGTATATGCGCTCCACATGGTGGTAATTTCAAAGCCAGGATGAAAAAGTACGGAGGACGTAGTACAAGCAAGCTTAAACGGAAAATTTCTCGGTTTAACCGAGGCCGGCGAGGAATACACGTCATTCACTGTATTTCTTGACTAACTTCACAGCCCTACTAATGTGCCCATGTCCGATGGCCCACTTTCTCAGACTATCCACGAGATTCGAATCCACACCAGCTCGTGAGGGATCCGGAGTGAGAGGGTGTAATTTGCTGCACGAGAACTTTCAAAGGTAGATCCTTACTCTATCTGATAAAGTCGTTCAAGTAGACCTACGGTATGATTGGCTTCAAAAAAAGACATACCAAGAATACTGCTTCACATTTTATAGACCAGGGCTAGCTAGTAATATCGTACAAGTTGAAGTCTTACAGCTTGGCGTTCCAAGCTGCACGGTCAGCAGATTCAAGGGGCCTCTCGCGCCCGTCCCAGAAGAGGGGACACAGCTGGAACCACTTCTCTCGACTGGCGATACTGTGAACTGAACGTTTGTGGCCGAGGTCGACGTACTTGCCGATCGTAAGACCCTGCGCATTTTCATAGGACAAGATGGTGGCACCGGTGGCCTTTGGCTCACCCACAACGTTGACAGTTCGTGGGTCATCCAAGAAGCAGTAATGAATGCAGCTTGAATACCAGGCATTCACACGGTGAGCACCACGGAATGATGCGTCACCGACAAGTGAGTGGCGTCCGCGATCGTAGTCACCGGCGTCGTAGTGAGCGCCATAATGATCCTCCTGTGGATAACGTATAAGTGTTAAGGGCTGACCCAGACGTTTTTAAAAGGAAAATGGGACTTACCTTGGCCCAATACAGCTCATAATATGAGAATCGAGTGTTATCGAAGCGTCCGAACAAGCAAAGAACGTGAGGGTCGAAGTGCAGCTTGCGGAGGTAATTCCGGTGCTCGTCCAAAGTTCCAGTCTCATTCCAACCCTTTGCAACGCGTGGATCATTTTGCCAGGTGTTGAAAAGCTTCAAATGCTCAAGGTTTTCCCAATCGACAACCTCGAGAGAAAAGTGTTGATCGACCTCAGGGATATATCGGCTGTAGGCAATAGATCCTGGGTGCGGCTTCGGACGACGTGTGGGATGGCGGGTATACACAGCCTCTTCTGGGAACTTCATGGTAATCTGATAGTTCTCGGGCATGATAGGGAACATATCCAAAGGTTTGCGCAGGGGACCATCCGTTCCATCTCCCACAGTCCATATCGGGCGAGGGCCTGTTGGAGAAGCCGCACCTTGCCAGAAAGCACTCCGGAGAATCAACAAGTCATCGGACTTCCAAGTCGCCTTATCCTGGGGACGATGCCACGGCTTGGGGTGTTCGATCGCCAGTCCGGTGGTAAGAAGTTCTTTGCGAAGAATATCGCTATCTCGACCGGCGAAAGTCAATCTGAAATATTCATGTGTGGGATTGCCGAGATAGATTGCATGGATCACGTTCCAGATCTGACCCAGCGAAGGGCAATCTGAGGTCCATTCGAAAGTGGTAGCTGGACTGCGACGAGCCCGTGCCCAAGCGCTGTTATCGGACTCGGGAGGAGATTGATCCTTGGGAGGAAACGACAAGTCAATCCATGAAAGTGAATCAAGATGCAAAGGCTCTGTCAGAGGACGTCCATCGGCGGGCTGATTTTCCAACACCAAGTTGCGCTTTGTCGGTGTTGTTCCGACAATTGTTTGCACTCGATATGTTGTAAGAAAAGGGTGTGGCAGCTTGACCGGGGGGTATTTTTGGGGACTCGCTGAACTGGATGCCATTTTGAAAGAATGTAGTCAAAGGAACTGTGTAAACTTTGGCTGTGTCAAAGAGCAAAGGCAAAAAGCTACTAAATTCGAACTCAGGATTCAAGAGAATTGGTCGTCATTAAAGAGGTAGACCCCAGAAAGCTGAGGCTTACGAGGTCAGACAAGTATTTCAGTGGCGTTACTTGTATTACTTGTACCGTAAGATAAGAATTATCAATCAGTTGTATCATCCAGAATCTCCGTTCCGAATCTGATTGTATTCCGCGCCAACCATGGTCGTCTGTCCACTTCGGAACTCCCATGTGGAGAGAGAGTCCACAATTGTTGTCTCCCCTTTCTTTTCACAATGAAAAATGATGATACTGTCTTGGATATTCTGTGCGGAGATTAATTAGGGAGAATTTCTGTAAGCGAACTTGGTGGAGCAAATCACAGTGGATCCATTTTTTACAGGTCAAGATGGCTGTAGTACTGTATGAGTCAGTAATAAAGGTACAGCTGTATAATACGCTGTACAAACCACCGGGTATCGGTAACTACACCAATGATACAGATTCTAAGAGTGCTATAAACAGCCGATCAGATTATCAAGTGAGACCCCATTTACCTTTCATAACCTAGTGATCATATCGTCCTATACCCTTTGACGCCGGTACTCAGCCTGCGGCTCACTACACAGTCATGTCTTTGCGTTCAAGGCCATCGCAGTATCAGCACTTTAATGTAACTTTCCCCCACGAGCGTGTGGTGCAAGTCACATTGAACAGACCTGATAAGTTGAACTCCATTACTCAAGCCACCAGCCGAGAGATTCAGGAGATCTGGGAGCTATTCGACCAAGATGAGAGCTTATGGGCTGGCATCATAACGGGATCTGGAAGGGCCTTTTGTACCGGCGCTGATCTTCACGGTACGATGAAAGCACCAGAAAATATATAAATCTACCGTATCATAGTAGCTGACCTTTGTCTGTATAGAATGGAACGAGATGAACAGGTCCGGGGTGGTCAATAAAATGACAGCTCCAGGCCTGGCTGGACTACCCCGAAGGAGCGGCAAGAAGCCAATCATTGCAGCTGTCAATGGCATCTGCATGGGCGGCGGTTTCGAGATGGTCGCAAATTGTGATCTCGTCATAGCTTCCTCGTCCGCAATTTTTGCTCTACCCGAAGTGAAGCGAGGTATCGTCGCGGTCGCGGGTTGTCTACCACGATTGACCCGAACCCTGGGGTTACAGCGTACGATGGATCTCGCGCTCACGGGGAGAAGTGTCAGCGCAAAGACTCTCTACGACTGGGGCCTGATCTCTCGACTAGTGGAGTCAGGCGACGACGTTGCTCAGGCTGCGCTCGCACTCGCGCAAGAAATGTGTGCCAACAGTCCTGATGCGTTGATTGTCGGTCGACAAGGAATTCGACTGAGCTGGGAATCAGGAAATGTGGAGGAGGCAGTGACAACTCTGGAGAATGATTGGTACCCTCAATTAATGGCTGGCCATAACTTCGGCGAAGGTATACAGGCATTCGTGGAGAAGCGACCGCCAAAGTGGGTGAACTCGAAGCTATAGAACACAACATTACCACGCCTGATGTACAGTGGTGTGTACAACTCGAGTTGTACCCATGCATTTCGAGCTTCGTGCACTAATGGAGGGCATATCGGTGCTTTTTGTCCAATATACTAATACTGTCAACCCTCCTGCGTCCTCCATCCTCCGTCCATGTAACATTCGCATTGCCAGAGTTTATGAGTAGCAATACTTCCCGAAATAACTGACAAGAGACTCCGATTACCTCAGAAAGAGAAATACACTAGCGTTGGTATGTACAGTAATAACTTGATCTGTATGAGGACGCGTTTCCCACCCCGAACACGGAACGCCACCGACGAGGCTAATCTAATCAGATGTTTTGGACCATGGATCAGTATCATCCGAATCGCGCCAAGAATAAAATGGAGAACGCAGGACCCAATAGGCCTCTGCATAGAACCGGTGAAGACGCAGCAAGTTCCAAGCAAAAGAAAGACCACGATGGTCGGAGAATTTTGTTACCTAACCTTCGCTTAATCGCTCCGTTGCTGAGAGTGGATAAAATACCAGCTCCATGCAGCCCGATCAATCCTGGGACCAGACGCAAGCCATCTTTGTTCCGACTCGGAGTTGGAGACCCAACGAAGCTCTGTAAGATGGGATGTTATCAGATCATTTTCTAGGATTTGTGTGGATTACTTGACGAAGAACGTGGCGGTACCACCCGCCATAACAAAAAATACATTCGATACGAAAACATCATCTCCGGTATATTACAGCCAATACGGTACCATGCAGAGTAGAACGTCCCGCAGGCACGATACTACAGGAAGAGGACAGCCCGAGCATTGAGTTAGTAAAGGAGAAAAATCTTCTCATTTCCAGCCTTTCATTATTATTCAATCGCAATCTATCTTTCCATGATGCAGGGCTGCTTGAGGATTCCCCACGGAGAAGCGAATACGATACTATACATGCTCGCATCCACAGGTTGCCCATTGATACTAGTGAGATAATTCAAGGATCCATTATGATCATGCTACAAATCACGCAAACGTACAATGAGAAACTAAAAGACTTGAAAGGTGACTAAGGTCGGCTTTACTGTAGGGCTTACCAACTAAAGGCGGAAACTACCGCCGACATCCAAGATAGCCTTATTTCCAGTGATCAAGATGACTTGCCCTAAATTTTCCATCATGCGTTCGATGGAAATTTTGGCCTTGTTCTTGGTCTGATTGAGTAGTGAGGTTAGCATTTTGGACACCTGTCTTGACGCTAGCCATTACCTTTGTGTCCAGCATTTTAAGTCCTAGATGCAGATGCTTGACGGTCGGTTCTCTCTCGGTGCTGATCTAGATTCCTATCAGGACGCAACTTCTCATGCGACAGCTCAAACCGTCGATAACTATCCCCGCCATACTCATTGATGCTCGATAACCCTCACAATCGGTCCCTCCAAGTCCCCAGAATCAACGCACTTTGGCAGTTTCGCTCGTGTCCGTGTTAAATTCGATGGAGACATACTACGGGTACATTCGCACATGTGCAGACGCCATACTCATCTTTCAAGCCTGTCAAGATGGAATTTTGTCACGCCTTCAAAGACGCCTATCCAAAAGAGAGCGACAGTCTATCCGATCAGGGTCCGTTTTTGTATGGGACGAAGACGAAGGAGGCATGCGAAGATGGACAGATGGCAGATCCTGGAGTTCGAGTCGGGTCAACGGCAGATTCTTAGCCTACCGGGAAATGGAAAAGGAAGTCCATCAAACGAAGAGCCTTCCGGATGAAGATCGTGGTCTTCGCTTCAAGGTCAACGGATTGATAAAGCAATCCTTCAGCATCACGGCCACGACTGGACAACGCCTACATTTGATCAGTTATCATTCCCAAAATTCGGCTGACCACCTCCAAATCCCGATTACCGACTCTACACTGAAGAGTATTTGTCCCCGAAAATCTTTCTTCCCAATATCCCTCGTTAACGACCTACAAAACTTTTCCGTTTTCGCTCGCGAGCAGGCCGAAGCTACAAGATCAAAGTCTCCTGCCGAGCTTTGGATGATGTCTTCCCCCACACATTTGTTCAAATCTTCAATTATGTCGAAAGACCCAATAACGACCACGAATACAACGTCCCCCAACGAAGCTCCTCTTTCTGCCAAGGCTATTGATAATAAATATCCTCCATACGACCAGTCCAATCCTCTGAATCAACCAGACTGCAATTCTTCATACCTACCATCACCACAAAACACAATCACCGACCCTTGTAGAGGGTGGTCTACGTGCAATTCCATACTTCTTCCTGCCTTGTCACAAGCTCCACGGACGATGACGATAACGCAATTATCTTCGAGTATGAGCAAATCACAACGAAGCCAACGAGAAACGCCGCCTACATACAACAAAGCCCCTCTTCTTTCGCATATACTTTCATAATGAATCAAACGATAGTGATCAACAAAAGAGGTTTTAAATTAACGAAAGTTCGAATCTAATTCTCATTTACCTCGAGTGGCCCGTGCCTAATCCACTGGGTAGCCAGCATGTACGAGCCTTCTTTGTTCATATTTATGATCAAAAGAGACAAAGCCGCATTGTGAAGCTAGTGATCAAACCCGGCCAGGGGTCTCTCTTCCTTAACCAAGAATGGCTTTCAGGAAGCCTCGTTGGTCTTCTTTAAACGAAATCATACTCAAGAAAACCATTCATTTCCGATTGTCTCACTTTATTTTCAGCCGCGAACAAGCAAAGCAATTGTCCCTTTGGACTTCAATAAAGCGCTCTGCATCTTCAAAGCTTTGTTCCCATTTTTTATGATGCAAAGAATCTATTTCTACCTGGATAGCCTGGTATTTCAAGCATTAGTCCTGCTGAGGATAAAATGCGAATACATCCTCATCCTCCATCGAGATATTTAAGGACTTGACCTTCCCCGCGCCTACTAAAATCAAACACAATGCCTCTTCATCGAGAAAACAAGCCCACTCCAGTCTAGCTCTACCATCACCATGAATTTCCAGTCATTTCAAGAAACACGCAACAACCTAGTTAGCCGCCTAGTCACAGTTCACCACCGCCTCCGAGATCAACAACTCCCACTCACCACCGTAGGCGAGTATCTCCTCGAAATCACGGATGGAAATCAGCATTATCAAACAAATAGCCGATACAGAAATCCACATCCCTGATAAACAAACGCAACACTGCTGCATCCACCGCTTAACCCTTATCCAGACCCACCTCCGCGAACAAGCCCTTCTCCTCCAGGGTTATCCCCAGGGTGAGGCTTATCAAAATGCCCTGCCATTTTCTACATTGCAGTCGAGATGATCGCTGTTCAAATTGGGCGTTGTATCCTGAAGAGTCATCCTTTGACAGGCAGCTCATATGGAGTTGAAGGCTAGTGTTATCAATGCTAATTTGCTATGTGATCCGCTGGGGGTTGGTGAACTGGAGGTTCAGGCGCTTAAGGATCTTTGGCGAAAGCTTAATGCGGGTGTTCAGGGCTGTCGGTGTCATCAGTGTCTTCGACGGCAATTTCAGGTCTGAGTTATATTGGTCTAATGTGCTTTTTGGGTCTGGGATCTGTTGTAAGTTCTCTCTGAAAGCGCTGATACATTTTGGATAGCCATATAATCATCATAAATCATTTCGTCCCCTCAATATCATCTTCGCCATGAATTTTTCTTTTCCTTCGTAAATATCACCTGTATGTTCTCAATCATGCTAATAAGTCACGTTGTGAGATCCGCATAAGCAGTTATCAAAGTGGAAGGTTGCATATGCGAGTCCTAATAAGGCTGAGCCTCAAACTTATCCTGTAGTACCCGCCGACACATGACAATGATCAACTGGCGGGGTCCGATGCAACCTGGCTCAAAGAAGATAAGCTTGCATTTATGCTGTGGCATGTGATCGAGGTTTATCGTCTGGACTGGGATAACCCGATGTTATGCAGCAAGTCTAGAATGTGCCAAGGCAGGCAGCATTGAATTAGATATGGGAGCACTTTACCCGAGCTTGCATAATAGGTATAGTAGTAAAATCTTTCAGGAATAGTATACACTTTGATGAGGACATCTCCTTGTCGATGGTATCTTGAGTTTATGGTATCTGATGTGGGACTTTCAAGTCCTACGCCTCTTCATCTTCAACCTCTTCCATGTGAGCATGCTTCTTCATCTCTTGGTTAAACCGTCTCTCTTCCTCTTCTAATAAACGCAGCTCCTCGGCAGTAGAATCTTGTTCTGTCGTGGTACTTGGCTTCGTCCCAGTTGGCCCAGCCGTATACCCAGCCTTCTCGAGCCTATCCATCTCCTCGGGCTCCAGCAATTTACCCGCACCTCTGATGGAATCTTGTTTCATCCGGACCACCGCGGGCACGAATTTATTAACAGCCTCCTGTCGCAAGTCCCGAATCTCCGGCTTCGCCTCGTAGACCGTCTTTGCTTCAACCACTGGTGGCCTAGACGGAAGGGCGTGGGGCCCGCGGCGCTCTGAGTCTTCATTCTGTGTCGGGCCTCGCTTCCGCTGGTGCTCGCGGGGGATGGGTGGTGGCGTATCGCGCGGCATTGGTATCCTCCGCACATCCTCATCCGTCTCGCTTCCATCGCTTTCTTCTTGTCGACCAAAGGTATTGTCTCGTCTCCGCTTGCCCAGGACATGGTCTCCTCCCCTCTCTGCGAGGGCCGTGAGGACCGTCCCGCCCGCCTTGGCTGAACTTGGGTGCCTTATCGCCCAACGCTTCCCGGGCTTTCAAAACCGCCCGTAGATCCCGCTCGAGTGCTTCCAGGACTTCCTTGTCGCGCGGCCGTAGTCGCTGACCCGACTCTTCCATCGATTTGAATTCATTGATCTGTCGCTGGAGTCGATCGGGGTTGCGGCGAGCCAGCTTCTCATTCCGGCGAGCCAATTGCTCTGCCTTGCCCTTCTTCAGGCTCTTCTGCTTGTCTTGTTTCCGCTGCTGCGCCGCAGGGTTGATGGCCCGCTCCTTGTCCTTGGCCATCTTGACGGTCTAAGTGCGCCCAATTGGTATGAGGGTGTTCGTTGGTATCGTAGGGGCGGGGATGGAAATGCGATTTCCGCGAGTTGTCAAGTTCAGGATTCGTAGTGTCGGTGAGATGATGTCGACGGCGCTTGTCAACGCAAATTGAGTGGTGACCCGCGTCCCGAGACTTGGACTAGGCCTTCAATCGGCTTCGCAGGGCAAGATCCGCGCTCCACGGGCTGCTCACGTGAAAGATGGCGCAAAGAAAACGTGCAGGCTATGGCGGTATCGTGAAATATGAGAGGCAGCCCAAGGAATCGTCGATGCAAGAGACTGCAGTCGTGCGTGATCAAAGCGTCAGTTTCCCCGTCAGGCCGTTAGGTCGAGAGCTAGCTGCAAAGGGACCTGGAGGATCGGAGAAAGGAACTGGGTGCAGCTCACAGGCTGAACTGCCAGATGCGCTATTCCAACTGCGTGGATGTCGGGCGGGCGCGCGTCTGTGAGTCGACTGCAAGCCCCGCGGTCGCAGGGTCTGTACCAATGGACTGGCGAGGTACGGGGGTGGGTTGGACGTTGCTTCAGCCTCACGAGTTAGGCAGCGGGTCGGGCTTCGTGTGTGATTGGGGGAGAGGAGAGGACCGTTGCGGTTGGTGGGCTGGCAGAACGAGGCGAAGATATGCAGGAAAGGTCGTGGGAGGTGATTCGAGAAGAAGAGGCGAAGAAGCTAAGAAAGAAAAGGCGGAGTGGGCGGAGAGCTTTCCATGGTTCGGAATGGATCCTCGTCTCGATCGTCGGTGACAGACAGATACAACATACTATAGGGCTATTAAAGCTATGTATATTATTTACTGGAGTACTTGTAGTATAGTGTACATTGTACTGTTTTCTCTATTGAGTATGTATCGACCTAATAGAATGGATACTCTGTAGGCAGAAAGAGGTACAACTTGTACTTTGTAGCTATAACTACTCGGCCTACAGTTACTACAGTCTTTTAGGCCATCCACTGAATACTTAACCAGTCAGGTGTTTTCGGCAAGACTCAAACACTCCAGCACAGTTTGAGTATAGAGTAGTATCATCTAAAGACCCTCTCCACTCATGCAGCGTCTCTTTTAGCCCCATCGCCCTACTGCGATGCCCCAGAATATCCAAGCCATGAACCTACAGAGCCGCTCACTAGGGATAAGTACGTCTCTTTAGTCTCTTTAGTCTTTTCAGTCGCCCGTCCATCTTTCTGTTGTATATTATTGCTTTTTTTGACGTTTCTTTTTCATCCCATAACCTAGTCTGTCGACATAAAGACTCCCCCTCTCTTTCCTTCCCCTCCTTTTTCCCACTGACTCTTATCCTCCAAACGGGCTCTCCGAGGTATCAGATTTCCCCGAAAACCTACGCCTGTGCTTCTTCCCACTCCCACCAATTCCATCATTTCCACCTTCTTCCCTCTCCCGCGATATAAAATTTGTGGCATCCCACTGGCTCGTCCTCCTGTTTCGGTGTAACGGACCTTCACGAGCCGCGCCTCAGTTGCCGCCCAGCACACCACCATTTCGCATCTCGTCACCTTCCCTTCATCTCCCTCCCTCTCTTCCTCTCTTCCTCTCTCTCTCCCTCCTCCGCCTTCCATTCTGAACTCTAGGGACCCTCCATTCCCGGGCCCCGTCTCCTCTCTATCCTCCGTCCTGCTCCTTGGCCTCTCCCGCATCCACTTCCACCGCTACACCACAGACCACCACACCAGCAGCAGCCCACACCCCACACACCACACACCGACTCGTCGCGTCCACCATGACCTACGGTCCGTTCGGTCTCACCTCGAGTTTGATCGGCGCTTCGTAGACTGGCGGTTGGAGCATGTCTCTGCCGGGTCCAAATGTCCGTCTCAGCAGCTTCGATTCCCGACACCTCGCTTGGCCTCACCTCCTCCGAGATCCAGATCCTCCGACAGCAGCAGCAGATTGCCCTACAGGGCGGCCATGCTGGCAATGGGGTATCCAGGGGCCGCGGTACTGGCCGAACCAGCAACTCCAGCTCGCGCGCAACAAGCGCCGCCAGCAGCCAAGGCCGCTTGCTGCTGGACCCTATGAGCCTTCGCGCCTTGTCGCACCAGCTGGATGGCCTGCAGGCTCAGATCCGCGGCCGCATCGAATATGTACGTGTGTTCACTGCTGCCCCCGCACGGCTTCTCCCCGAAGCCCTATCTTGCTATCAATACCCGCCCTCTCTTTTGGAAAATTCCAAATTCAAACCTGTTGCCATTTTCCTAACATGCAATCTACTCTACTTCCTGTAGTTGGAGGATCAGATGCAACTCTCTATTCAAAATAGCTACGACCGCGCCGGGAACGTGATCCGAAACGCGGACGCGGAGATCGCCCGCACTCGCTCCATCCTCGCCAGCATCGACGAGCTGGACAATGAGTTAGCCAAGATCTCTCACATCCGTGATATTGTCAAGTCCTTTCGAGGTCGAATCGAAACCTTAGATCATCGCATGGACCAGAGTTCCCGCCGGCGACGCTGATACGATACCTACCACCTCTCCACCCTACTATACCAATATCCCGCATCCACATATTTCTTTTTTCGCGAATGACTTATCTACGCCCTCCATACTACGGATACTGTGGGGCTGTCCTATGATCCCATGACGAGAGAAACTTCCCCTTTTCCCTCACGGGGCAGGCATTCCGTCGACATTCTTCCTCACGCCTGCCCATCTCTACTCCTACCTATGCTCCTTACCCCATCGGGACCTCGGCGCAAACTCAACACCTAACCCGCCCAAAATGGAAGGGTAAAAAAGGAAAACAAACTGATATACGAGTACGGTCCTCGCGGACAACCCTGTCATTTGACCCAGTCAATATTCCCACGTGTCTTGTCTTACTTTTTCTTCTTGGGTCTTTTCTGCATTTTTAACTTATCGACTGTTGATTTGAAAGAACTGCATGCCTCGCGGCACCTTCGGCTCCGGCGCTTGACTTTGTAGTGAGTCAGCCGAGAGCTTGAATAGGATTTGCAGTGTTTTGGGTGGCGCTCGGATTTCGCGGTTGTTTGTTTTCTACTACTCGCCCACGCCCTTGGGCCCTCTTGCGCATTCATTTCCCTGGCTACAGGCCTTGTCTGAATCTGACGACTACCATGACGATGGACTTTTAATGTGTGTTTCCTTTTATCTCTTGGATTTCTCTGTTTTGGGCGCATAAACGTGATGTTGTTGTTTCCTGTCTGGCTTGATGTGTGCTACCATGTCCAGTGGTTTCGATTCCCCTCTCTGCATGTTTTGTATATTGGTTCAGGCTTTCGGCTTTGTCTGCGCCACTGCCCAACACAAAGATGATCACAGATTCACATTCTGAATTGTTCCTGTATTCTTGTAGCTCGAGACAGCCGGTTCGCGGCCTCGGCGTTTTTGATCGAGGCTCAGCGGCAGGGAGACTGGACTGTTGCGTGTTGGCATCAGCCGCCTGCACACATACCCAAGAGCGGACACAACGCTCTCATGGGGGTCAAGTAGGTTGAGCAAGAAGAGTCGGAGTTGAGAGCCATAAGGACAGTCTTTGCCCATGGCTTCTCGTAGACGATCATTGGTAGTCTTTGGCGTGCAGCTGGAGTCAAATCTCCGCCATCGTGACTGATAATCGTGCCCACGCGTCTCGAAGACTCGTCCGGCACGCTTCGTGTCCGCGAAACCAAGATTGTAGATTTGGATAGGTGTTGGTGGTAGCAGCCTTTGCATGGGATGATGCTGTTTCAATTCAAATCACCTGATGGACTCTCAAAGAGCCTTGAATGATGCAACAGCGTAGGAATATTCAAGATGTACCAGTCTGGTCCTGGTTCTCCTGCTCTTTCAACTCTTTTCGACGCTCGGATAGCTTCTTGCTACGCCTTTCCGTCTGAGGAAAGCGCTTTTCGGTGCCGCAGACGAGGCAGCGTATCACCAGCACGTCGGCCCATGGCTTCTTGCGTCCACGGCTTTCATTCCGAATCTCTTGCGTAGAGCTGACTCCTGGAACGAGACTTGTATCGCAGCGCTTGCAGAAAGATCTCTTCACCGGTACAGACAGCCGGGTCTGTGTTTTTAGAGATACGCCACGCATCTGGGAGGTGTAAACTCTGGAGAGATTGGTCAAAGGTTTCATTGTTGTGCTTTGACTAGTTGCGGCTTGATCCATGTCCATATCCTTGCTTAAAGAAGCGTTTGAGATCTTTTGGTTCTCGGAATTTTCAAGCTTGGTTATTGTCGTCCGCGGATTGATAGTATTGGTCCCCGTGGAAGTTCTGCCTTGTAGATGGGCATCCTGGAGATAGATCGCAGCCTGTTGCAAATAATCCATCCGGGATTTAAGGTGGCTTTTGGCATTTTTAGCCTCCTTCTGGACCCGCGCCTTGGCCATTGTCAGCTCCACAGTGGAAAACAGCTGAATTTGAGGCGCGGAACGACAGCTGAAACAATTGACTCGTCAAGAACAAAATCACCCGATGGAACCTGATGGAACTAGTCCTGATGCGGCAGTCGGGAGCCTAGTCATGTGACCTGACCGCGCTCTCTTCCACTTCGGCGCATCCCTCGCAGCCGCAATCCCCTCTTTGTCATCTCTTTCCTGGCCGACTTCGTTCCCTTTGTGCTGCTCAATCTCAAGGAACTTTCACCAGTCACTGTTCTCATCTCACTTTTCATCCTCATCCTTCCCTCTTTCCCACTCCTACCCCCCCCGCTTCGTCAGCATCTCTCATCTGAGACGACGCGACACGACAATCTCTCTCACCCCTCAGCCTCATTCACCATCGCCACCATGTCTCACGAAGAAGATCTCATCGACTACTCCGACGAGGAGTTGGGTACCACCGCGGCCCCCGCGACTACTGCTGCTCCCGCCGCTGCCAACGGTGACGCGGAGAAGAAGGGCGACCTGACCGTCTCCGGTGGCCGCCCCGACAAGAAGGGCAGCTATGTCGGCATTCACTCCACCGGTTTCCGCGACTTCCTGCTGAAGAACGAACTCTTGCGCGCCATCACTGACTGCGGCTTCGAACATCCATCGGAGGGTTAGTCTAACATTTCTCCCACATGCCTTCCTCCATTACTCCAAGCTCCAACGTCCGTCCATCTCCGCGAGAATCCGGTATATCTTTTGAGGGATCCAGTCGTCCTCGAATCTGTAGGCGACATGAGAGGCTGCATTGCCCCTGAACAATGGCATATATACACTTGGGTGATTGGCTTTGCGATCAAGCGCTCTGCCGGGGTCTCTCTGTGTGGCCTAAAGCCATGACCATGGTCGTGATTTGCTTCCACCTGTGTTTTGCTTTCCGCGAGCCATGCAGTTTCTCTGCTGGGATACCAAGCGATCCGTCTTGTTGGTGATGCCGGTGACAGGCGTTCCCTCATGTCGTCTACAAGTGACAGATTCCTGGCACGACCCTTTTCTATTTTCATGGCCTCTCTTCACCATTTGGTGGTTGATGGTGCCATGATTGACGAAAGAAGCGACTGGGGATGATAAAGTTGTATCAATGATGTTTAGTTTTTGATGTGATGATTTCGGGAGATGGACGGACGAACGGACATTTACCTTGCGACACGATTGTTTTTTTGCTGCTTCACCTTGAGTCGAAACCAAATCTAACCACCGCTTCGCCTCCCCACAGTCCAGCAGCACTGCATCCCGACTGCAGTCCTCAACGTCGATGTTCTTTGCCAGGCCAAGTCCGGTCTCGGAAAGACTGCGGTCTTCGTCCTGACCACCCTCCACCAGCTGGAGCCCGTCCCGGGCGAGTGCTCCATCCTTGTGATGTGCCACACTCGTGAGCTGGCCTACCAGATCAAGAACGAGTATGCTCGCTTCTCCAAGTACCTCCCCGATGTCAAGACTGCCGTGTTCTACGGTGGAACTCCCATCGCCAAGGATATCGAGGTCCTTTCCAACAAGGAGACTTACCCCAACATCGTGGTTGCCACCCCCGGTCGTCTGAACGCTTTGGTCCGCGACAAGAAGCTGTCTCTGCGCAACATCAAGTCTTTCGTGCTTGATGAGTGTGACAAGATGCTCGACCAGATTGGTAAGTGATGGTCAGCTTATGGTTGTCTGGAGCCTGCATTTCTAATCTTTTTTTCCTTTATAATAGACATGCGCCGTGACGTCCAGGAGATCTTCCGTGCCACCCCTGCCGACAAGCAGGTCATGATGTTCAGCGCCACCCTTTCTCAGGAGATCCGTCCCATCTGCAAGAAGTTCATGCGTAACCCTCTCGAGGTCTACGTCGACGACGACACCAAGCTCACCCTGCACGGTCTCCAGCAGTACTACATCAAGCTCAGCGAGAACGAGAAGAACCGGAAGCTTAACGAGCTCCTGGATAACCTGGAGTTCAACCAGGTCATCATCTTCGTCAAGAGCACCCTGCGTGCTAACGAGCTGGACAAGCTGCTGCGCGAGTGCAACTTCCCCAGTATCGCTGTCCACTCTGGTGTCAGCCAGGAGGAGCGGTAAGTTATTCTTGCAAATAGCCTTCGCATACACATTACTAACAACTAGCAGTATCAAGCGCTACAAGGAATTCAAGGAATTCAACAAGCGTATCTGTGTTGCCACTGACGTCTTCGGTCGTGGTATCGATATCGAGCGTATCAACCTGGCTATCAACTACGATCTGCCCGCCGACGCCGACTCCTACCTCCACCGTGTCGGTCGTGCCGGTCGTTTCGGAACCAAGGGTCTCTCCATCTCCTTCGTCAGCAACGAGGATGATGAGAAGGTTCTCAAGGAGATTGAGAAGCGCTTCGAGGTTGCTCTTCCGTACGTACCCACTCACCACATCCATCTACTCTCTTTACAAGATCCAGGACAAAACTAACCAGCGCAAAACAGAGAGTATCCCGAGGGTGGTGTCGACTCCTCCACCTACATGGCTTAAGCCATTTCTGATGCCCATGGATCTCCGCTAGCTATGCGTTCGCATTTGCATTCGCTCTCGCTGATGGTGACGCCTCTTTGAATTTCTTCGCCCTTTTCGTTCATCTCTTTTCTTTTTCAAGTTTCAATATGGCGCAATAGCTCGGCTATGGATTGTCTTTTCTGCTGGGGGCCCGCGCGGCGGATCCCGGCTTGTATGTCAACAAAAGAATGGAAACAAAATGCACCAAAATAACCGACATAAACCTAAAATACATTCAGCTTGTCATTCATGCTTGCTAGGTAGACCTATCACTGCTTTGTAGAGCGGCGAGAAGTTGTAGGTGTGAAGTTCACGGGCTCTGCACAAGAAGTATACCATTCAAAGCGGGGCATATAGCTCAGGGGGGTCACACTAATCTTCAAAGGGCTCAGAAATTGGGCCCCCTGTTTCTGAATCTTCTCAGCTACTATATGCGAGCGGGTAAATTTCCTAATTCTAATCGACAAAGAGAGACGTGTAGATAGACTCATAGAGACTTATAGGGAGACTTACAGAAAGATAGATAGAAAGATAGATAGAAAGATAGATAGAAAGATAGATAGAAAGACAGATAGAAAGACAGATAGAAAGACAGATAGAAAGACGTGAATAGTACGTAACCATCGAAGCTCCAATCAAAGTCGAAGGGTGAAGTGCATCAAAGTAGTATTAATAGATAATTGACGCTCCATTTTCTAACCCCTCCGAGCCTACAGTACAAACGAGGAGGCGCAAATTCGCTCGCGCCTGGAGATCCTTGGCTTAGTGCTCGGTTTTGCAAATATGGAAGGTCGGCTTATAACGCAAGTCAAACTACCTGATTGTACGGATAAGACTAATACTCTATTCTCTCCAGTTGAGCTGCTTCGTCACTGCCCTGATGAGGACGCGAAACACAGTTCTGCCAGACTGTACCTGTAATGGACTCTAAGTTGGTCAACCTGAGCAATGGGCCAGGTTATGCACTTTGGTATGGAAAGCAGGCCAGCCTTGAGACCAACCTGGTCATCGTGGAGGCAAAGCAGAAGGACAATCTTGGCGCGGCTGAGCCCCAGGTACTCGCATATATAGGTAATCCTAGTCTCCTACATCATATACGGAAAACATTGCTGACTTGCTGTAGGCCTCGTTCATTCCGGCCGACTCGAGCAAGGCAAGCAAGACACCACTGTATACGGCATTGCGAGTGACAGCTCTACCTTCGTTTTTTACCGGATCAGCGAAGGCAGCAAGTGGTGCAATAAGCCCAAGATTTGGGGCCAGAGCAAGGCTGGGAATCTGAATATCATCGGTTGCCTAGGGTCCATCTTCAGCGAGGCATCCGCGCTGCGCGCAATCCCCGATGGACTCGAGAAGCCCCCGGCGCCAGTTTAGCAGCTCGGTCGGTGATGAAGAGCCGATGGACATGGATGACGTGGAGAGTTGGAGAGGATTCAACAACAAGGCTGTTATCATCGGTAGTGTTATGTTTTTCAATTAATTGCTAATTCTTACTCCCGTCGCAATTTACATCTAGCCATATGCACTGAATATGACTGTCCGTGGGTTCGGGTGTCCGCAAGTCAGACCTTATACGCGGCATTGGCCCAGAACCCAGGCCAGTGGCAACTGGCTAAGATCATTGTAGTACAGTGCAAATACTCTTCTCGTGTCTGATAGCGATAGCGACGATTGCAGCATATTATCAGACAGTGCTTACCTGTCATGGCCTCTTGTCCTACTTGGTACCAACGAGTCACACAACATTTTTGAGCTTTGATGAAACTTAATAGATATGCTTCCACTTCTTGATTTTTGGAGGGTCTTTCTAAACGTCTTTTCAATAGCCTTTCTCCATAGCTTAGATATCATTATTCAGTCTGTCACTCGACTTGTGACTGATAAGATGGTTCCAAACATTGCTCAAAGTTCCAAACTTATGAGCCCTCACTATATATTCTCAAAGACGTCATAGGACTCTATAGAGAGTATATCCTTTCTCGATATAAGGCCTTTTTAGTATAACTCAAGGTATAGAGAAAGGCGGGAAGCCGGAGCCCGATAACCTCGAATGTTGTACATAGATAACTTATTATCGTGCTAGGCACGATTTCGATCGATGTATCAAGAGACGAGATCACCGCGGAATCATCCGGGGTATCTCAAGGCCTAATATACTGTAAGACCCAGTGAAAATAATGTTCCGTGGAACCGAAAAGTCAGGATTGGTAGTACAGGAGGTTATTTGATAGGCCATGACGACCAGTAAATATCGAGCATATGGAAACTTTCATGACCGTCCAACCTCACTATTTGTGTGTTTGATTATCACGACCCAGTTCATCATATCCAAGCTCACTCGAGTATATTATGGAGGTCAGAATCTACCAAAATTTGTCCCTTCATTCCCCGTTGTACGGTCTGGACAGTACGGAGGGTGCCCGGCTGCCAAAGAGCCCTCGGATATATCTTCGAGGTTACAGCGCCCAGATTTTTGAACAGGAAATTTCTATGGGCATTGTGAGGTTACCTGGTTCCGAATCATGGAAGGATTGTATCGAAAAATAAGTGAGAAGCCACCGATCTACGACGTTGCCCAACATGATAGGTAGAGATATAGTCTCTGAAGCCTCGGACGTAGTGACCACTGATGTGAAGCAGGAACAGTATTTGGTTGGAACATTCCCTACACGCCAGGTATGCTTCCTTCCTCGGACATCAGAATAGAGGATTGAAAAACATGCGATGTTTAAAGATAGTCACAACGAATCATTATGAATTGAAATGGCCATACGCAGGAGTAGCTACTACTATTTCTACATACAACAATCATTCCATATTTAGCAATCTGAAAACCTACCTACCCAAGCAATCCCCCATCTTCACATCATCTCCACGATCACAAGGCAACTGAGACTTTTCTCACTAGCGCCCGCCAGTCTCCGGTCATCAGCCGCTAACTTTCTACAGTACCTAGCTAGACCAGGGTCCAGACGAGATGTAAGCAAGAGAATAAGGGCATTGGGGCAACCACCCAATCCCTGCCCAACCAGCTAGCTGCCCAGAACCTACAGCACAGCCCTGACTCAAAACTCGAGCTGTGCCAATACAAGCGCTGATTGGATAATCTGAGGGCAACGAAAGGGCCTTAATGTTTCTTGTGCAGAACCGCTACAACCCGAACCAAAGCAAGGCCATGTCGATCGACAGGACCAACGCCGTTTTGCATGGAAACTCTACTTGATCATGATCATAATGACCTAAGATTTTTAGACGATCCGCCGCCCCCTTTTTTTCTTGGGCTGCCGAACTACTTCCCCTTTCCTCGTGCAGCGTGCAGGAAAGGTGACAGCTGTCAGGGCCCTAATTGACAAAAAACAGGGCAGGGAAATTGTGATGGTTTGCGCCCGCTGCTCGAACTGGGGCCGGGCTGGGGTTGATCGTGAAAGCGAGTGGGTTCTGATTCGGCATCAACGGCTCGTGTTAAGGTTTGGATTGGGGAAGAACTCGAGGGATCGGCGTGGATTGTAATGGTGATTTCAGAGTCGACTGGTGAACTCGTAGAGACTATCTACGGAGATATTATACGTGGATGCAGGCTGTCAATAGTATGTACTTTGTTTTTTCTCGTAGACTAAACAAATGTGCAGTTGAAGTATGCACCATTGAGTAACTGTAGTTCGTTTGGATTGCGACCGCCGGGTTGAACCCGTTAAATCTCTGCTTGGCGATTACCCTCCACAAGCATTCGGCAACAAGCTTCTTCTACCTGATCGAGGGAAAAAGAAGTAATATTTTGATATAGATCCACAAGCTAATAGCTAGAAGAACACTGACCAATTCCCGAGATCTTGGCCAGCGGCTCATTCATCTCCCACGAGCAAGCAGAACGAATGAACGCAATGCGACAAGCCAATGCGAAACTGCTTCGCAAATTGGCCAGCGGTGGCGCATATAAAAAAACCAAGGCAGCGGACAAACTAACGATCACCCTAACCACTTAGCCCAGCCCAACCCAGAAAATGTACGGAGTAGTGACCACCACGGAGTACAACGGACTAACTGCTTCCAGTAGCTAACTTGACCTTGGAAACCCGATTTTTCTGCGCTGATTCTCCCGCTAAACCCTGTCTCGGACCCTCGCACCACCGGGCGCCTGTGTCCACCTTGGCACCTATGGGGGAACCGAGTGGCCCTTTTGTCTTGGACTCTTGCTTTAGCGTCGATGAGGCTTTCCGCGCTGACTGGTTTTGTCTCGCGGCAGCGGTCACTCTTGCACACCGATTCGCAGAAGAACTTTGCGTTGTTGTATCCTGTACTTTGTGCATAACTACATATTTTGTACCACTGCTAATGAGTGCTCTTCTTCCGTCCTCAAGCAGCCTCGAAGCCCAGACGAGGACCCGGCGTTCTCCGTACTGTAACTATCTAAAGCTTCCACTGGGCGTTCATTGGCTGCCGCAACTGACTCAATGGGTGTGAGATGCAAAAGCCGATCCTATCGAGGAAAGAGTGAGATGGGGTCAAATCGAACCCGCCAATGGGATTGGTATCCGCCAATCTTGGATGTTCCCGCGCCTTCTTTTCTTCTTTCCTCCACTGGTTGTTGTCGACTGAGGAAAAAATACTGTTTGAAGCAGTGCGACTATCGCGATCAATGGGAATCGAAGGAAGTACTCTCAACGAAAATCTCTAGTGTCTCACGCAAGAATCGTTTCAAGCTATCCATTCACGCATAGTATTTGTTTCACAGCTCCTCAAAACCAAGACCATCGGAATCCAAGCTATCGAATTTCCTCACCTTCAACCTTTGGTGGGCAACTTTGGTGCTGTACCTGGGGCAGACCATGGTTTCGGTGGACCCAATCGACCTTTCTGGACCCGATGGAAGAGCAGGGAAATTCCCTGGCACGGCCCCAAGCTTTTCATAACGAGTACTGTACGAAGTAGATTAAATTTCACGTTCTTGTGTGCTCCAGTCTTCCGTACAAAGTACCGAGACAGTAGCGATCTATTACGTTGGGTGGCTTGTCTTAGTCTATCCCCGGCAAAGGCAATGAGCGCGTGTGTGGCGCGCTCGTTCGAGGGACTATCATGAAAATCGTGCAAATCGTGAAATCATCGATCGTCAGGACCGGCTGTTACTCTAGCCTTGACCTCTTAGCCAAGGCCTAGCATCGTGGCTGAGCAATTGACTTGCCTACTGTAGTGAGGATTTCATAAGTACGGAGTAGTATGTAGTCATGGAAGCATTGCCATTTGTACAATGTGCTTGTTCCATGTGTAATGGGTACAGCATAATTAGCGCAGTGAGTACTGTACATTATGTATACAGTACTTTGAAACCAACGAGGCTTCCAGCAAGATTATTCAATGGATATATAACTCCGAAAAATTCTGACCCGCTTATCACAAACGAAAACAATAACAAAAAACAAAAACATCTGCTTTCGTCCCCTGCAAACGTGGTTTACTCGTTTTCCCCTGCCACCCAGCGGCATGGCCGCGTACGTATTGGGTGGTTTTCCCCTCACGAACCTCCTGCGGCGACCACCACGCGCGGTCGGAGAAAAAAAATGGAATTCAACCTGGAATTGATTATTCAGCGGAGGCTGATGTAAATGTGGATCGAGCTTCTCCACCGCGACCGTGACGCGCTTGAGGATTGATTGTTCTGATTGTTCGGCTGTTGGCCGGAATTGACCCATTTGGTCTCCACTTTGATGGTCCGGTCGCTGCGATCGCGTAGTCTTTTGATCTGGAGAACGGAATACATTCTCTACCATAGTATGTAAACACGTTGTACATATAAGAGTCATATAGAGAGAAACTGTGTATAGTACAGTACATTGAACCGGATATAATTAACAACCTGACGAGCTCAGGGCCTTTTGTATCGTTGCCTTGGCCCCATCGAGCTAGGATTCAAAGGGCCAGAACCTGGACTACTGTATGTCGACCATGCATGCGACGGGGAGAAAGGGTTTCGATATGAAACACCCCAAGTATGCAGGACGATCATCCGAGGGAGGCGAGGGAGGCGAGGTGCTAGAAGGATATATCAGATTCCTCGGAATCGATTTGCGTCTCATAAAAACCCCGAAGACAGAGAACAGTAAGATCTAGAAGCAGAAACAAACAATAATCCCTATGGAACTTGGCTGCAAACAGGGTTGTCGATCTCCTGATTGACCCGATTGGGAACTGTGGTATGCTGCGCCTGCCTATCATCCATCACTAAACACCGCCTCCCCTTCTTTGCCTGTTTTCGTCTGCCCTTCCGTAGGATGTATCCCTGGGCACTAGACCGGAAGAAGGAAATAGTGTATAGAGCTAGAGCTATTTGCTTTTTCTTCACTTTGCTTGTTATGTTGTTTTTCTGATTGACGTTTTGTATGATCAGGCGCTGGAGCTTTATCTAGAGGAATAAACTATTTAAATTGCCAGCCAAGTGTGAGGTCACAAGCAATGTACAGTACATATATTCGTCCCGTTCTTGCAGGTGAAGTTAGATGATTGTATGATGCTTTTTCATCATGTCTTCGCTTGCAGCTTGATTGCTTTGCTTTTTGCCCTCTTCGTGGCACCTAGTCGAGTTACCAATGACCATCGAGCAAGGATATGTACTAGATTTGTACCTAACCGGGATCACACTTGCGCCTGGATTGTAGCCTTGTACTCCCCTGCAAACTACAGTCACGATCCAGTCAAAAGGCTAAATTATGAGTATGTATCCTGGATAACCATGTGACGGGAGAGTTATCTCATGGCTATAAAATGTCCTCCGTAATCGTATTGCCCATGATCCCGCTAGGACAGAGCTCACGTTTTCCTCTCCCTGGCCCCTCTCGTGGCGCGCAAATATGCGCCCAAATACCACGCTGGCGGTGAGGAGCAATCGAAGGCTAGCTTTAGCTTCACGATCTCGTTCCCCTAAGAGCAAGCGAGAAGCGAGGATGCTCGGGCCGCATGAGCTATGGAAGTTGAACTCAATTCCCTGGTCCAGAGAATTAGTGTCAATTCCAACGTGCAGCTGACTTGGTGGTTAGTCCCATCGGAGCTTTGATAGGGGACTACATAAGGTATTGCAGGTTAAGTATACGTTTCATGGGTATAACTTGAGGCCTGTACTGTACTCTTGTACCTCCATCGGAACTCTATGCAAAGGCTACAGATATATAGTTAGTTGATTGTGGATGTTCCAAAGTGGAGGGGAACGCGTCTGTTGTACGCGTCGCAGCCCATAAACTACGTTGCTTCTGAGCTTTTTCTTTCTTGGCTTCTCCCCGGGGAGACATGACAGGTACGCGACAAGCTACACCCTAAATGTGCCAAAACAAGGTCCGGTCTCCCGATGTTGCTGCATGAGCTCCGAATAGACCCAGCAGTTGAACAGCCGTGCCGATCAATCATCGACGTTGGTGGTGTTGTAGAGTGGAGCCCCCATCAACCAGTGGGTGGAACTCCCCTTAGCTCATTTAGGGCCCAGTAAAAAAAAGTAAAATTAAATTAAAATCCCCAAAAAAATCCAAATCAAGGTCCGGACTCTCCCAAGAAAATTTATCAGAGCGTAGGTTTAATTATAGCAGCAAGCCAGTTTCCAACCCACCCTGCACTACGACGGTCGATGTAGGTACAGTATGGTGTTTTTGCATGCCAGAGAAGAGTAAATGCATGGGAGGAAAAGAGATTTGTAGGTAGATAGTACCTATCATAATATTGATAGCTAGAGAGAGACTATTCCTGTCAGGTCTGATTTATTTTAGCTCTGAACACATCACATCACAATTTTGTGCAATGTTTGGGGGCCTCGACCACCAATGGATAGATGCATGTACTACCAGCGGGCGGATTGCGTGGAGGGCGACGAAACGGCTATGGCGCGGGAAGGACCAACGCCTCCTGGTAATAGTCATAATAGTCATAGTAGTAGTAGAATAATATCATCATCAATCTAGTAGTTTGTAGTAGATCAAGACTACTCATATTTTTTTAATTGATAGACGCAGACGGTCCATTATCAAAGTCGATCCGTTCCTGACTTTCCGTTGGCAGATTTTCATTTCTTATCGCCTCCCTGGGTCTCTCCGTTTCCGGATTGAGTCTGGCGGGGGATCCACGACCGTTGAAAGGCCCCAAACTGTGCATTTGGAACTGAATTTCTGCCTGGATGGATTGATTCTGATTTTCTAGGAACAAGGTGAAGACAGCAAAAAAAAAGAAGAAAGACAGAAGAGTAAAAGAAAAAGAAAAAGAAAGTTGAGGCTGATCAAGAAACTTATTATTTCTTCTTCTGTCTTATTATCTATTTGCCTATTGTTTAACTGCTTCCAACTGCTATTGCCAATTGCCCATTGCCAATCTCCCGTGCCAACCGACTAAACCGGCCATCCCCATCCTCCCATCTCTTCCTCTCCTCTCCTCCTGCCCAACTCACTCTCTTTTCTTTTTTGCCCTCCTTCCCTGTCCTACTCTCCTGTCCCTTCACTTTTTTTTTCTTCTCTCACTTCTCCCCCTTTCCCCTCTATCCCCCCCCCCTCCTCCCTTCACCTCCCTTCTATTCACGACAATCACCATCGCCCCCATCTTCTCCCTTCCATTAAAAACCCTGGATCGTCGGTGATCACTTGCTTATCGGCCGCCGCGCGCGCCTCTGGACCATTCGACCTTCGGTCCCGGCCCAACACTACGTCCTGCCAATTTCGATCATGGCGCCCCTCCCTCCTCCACGCCTGCGCATCCTCTCCGGTGAGTTCCTCATCCTTGATGGCCCCTCCACAATTTCTTGATTCTTCAATCTTCCAATCTCGCATCCTTTCCCAACCTCCCGACCTTCCCGACATCATCCAATCTCCCCCCAACTTTCATCATGGGCCGACCACTAATGAGAGTCTGTGCAGTGGGTGGTAATGCGATTTCGGCTTTCTTATCATGGCGACTGCAGGCAACAACTTCCTGTGATGTAACGCTGGTCTGGAAACAGGGCTTTGAGTCTGTGGCTCAATATGGTGTCTCATTCAAGTATGTTCTGCGTCCGTGGTCGCTTGCTATTTTGCGAGCTGGGTTTGCTGATACTGGGTTACTGTGATAGATCAAAAGCATTCGGCAATGAGCGATTCAAGCCTCGTCATGGTACGGCCTTCTCCATCTATTTCCCTCGCGAAGCCCCCAACGTGATTGGGGCCACAAGGGCTAATCTGTCTCTCTCTGCTGTGGTTTAGTCGTCCGAACACCCGAAGAAGCTTCCTCCCGCGAAAATGCCTACGACTATGTCATTCTCTGTGTAAAGGCCCTGCCCGATGTCTACGATCTGGCTTCTGTCATCGAATCCGTCGTCACACCTCAGCACACCTGCATCCTTGTCAACACAACGAATACCATCGGAATCGAAGCACACCTGGAGCAACGGTATCCTACAAATGTCATCCTTTCCCTAGTCTCCAACGTGGAGATCTCTCAGACCGGCCCCAGCGAATTCGAGCACTTGAGCTCCAGCGAGATCCATGTGGGCGCAACCAACAAGCAATCCGCCATTCCCACCTCGATTCAGAACGACATGGCCGCGGCATTGGCCATGACTCTGAACTCTGGACAGGTCAATTGTCAAGTATCACAGAATATTCGACAGGAACAGTTTGAGCGGATGATTGGGTGAGTGTTTCGAATCCTATCGATACCTTCCGGACAGAGACTCCGGAGATCCATTGTTGTGCTAATGACCGCTCTAGCCCGATCGCGTTCCACCCTGCAAGTGTAGCATTCGAAACTTCTAACCCCACCCAGCTTTTGGAGAAAGTCGGAGTCCGCCAACTAGTGACCGGCATTATCGACGAGCTCTTGGAGCTGGCTCAAGTACAAGGCTGCCACTTCCCCGGCGATTTCCGCGAAAAAACGATCGAGAAGATGACCTCATCAGACGGCCCGAGCACAATGTTCCAGGACTTCCAGGCCCGGCGCCCATTGGAAATCGAAACATTTTTGGGGTCTCCCATAAAATTAGCGACCGAGTCCAACGTGGCCGTCCCTCGGATTGAAGCTTTATACGCCATGCTCCACCATCTCAATATTGCGAACCAGAACAGACCCCGAGCCGGTGATTCTCCGCCTGCATCGGTTATGGGCCACCCGCCACCCCGAATGTCTTCTGCACCCCCGGGACAACGCCCACCGATGAATGGCGCGATGCGATCGAGTCGGACGAATTCCAGCATGGGCGTGCCCCCTCCTGGCCAACGACGGGGCCCGCCCTCTGGTATGATGCCTCGCGGACCCGGTGGACCGATGTCGATGCCCATGGGCCCTCAGGGACGAGGCGTTCCCCGAGACACTTCGTTGGAAGGACTCGAAGAGTTCAGCCATCTGGTGGTATACGATGAATCGGAAGGTGGAATGCCGGTGCCTCAGGCGAATGGCAACGGTTACCCCGATGCAGCCACTTCTCCCAATGATATAGCCCTTCGGGAACGCGAGTTTGCTCTTCGCCAGCGTGAATTGCAATTACGGGAGCAGGAGATGCACATGCGGAGAGGCCCTGGACCGGGCCCCGGTCGTCGTGGGCCACCATCCCGAGCGCCCGCGGCGGCTTTCGATGAAGAGGATGAGGATTATTTCGACCCGATGGACAACATGGCGATTCCCCACATCGATCCTGATCAAGTTGATATGATGAGCATCACGTCACGCCGAGCCCGCAAGGCACCCAGCCACAGCCAGTTCCGCAAGAACCCCGAGATGATGGGTGGTGGTCCCTCTGGGCCTCAGAGTCGACCTGGGTCATCATTTGGTCGCTATTTCGGTCGGAAACGCGCCAGTGATCGAGTGATGCAGGAAATCCCCGGCCTCCACGACTCTCTGATGGACAACCCCATGATGAGCTACTCGTCGAACCGATACGGAGCCGTTGACCGCAACCAGATGGGCATTGATTCACGAGCGAACTCCCTAACGGCCAGTCATATGGGCGACTACCCTCCCCGACCGTACCCCCAGAGCCGACGAAACAGCCAGTCCCCCGCCGCACCTTTCCCCGGACCTCCTGGACCCCCCGGCCCATCTCGTATGGGTCGTCCCATGACTGGTCATGACCAGAGCCTTGGACCCCATGGTGGACCTCCTCATAATGGCCATCCGTCGCCGCCTGGAAACATGCGGACACCGGTCCCCCGGCACCCGTCAGGACAAGGCCCGGCTGGACCGCAGCAGCTTGAGCAACACTATGGGGTGAGCAACTCGTTTCCCGCAAAGGGCCCTCCCAAGAACAAAAGTCTGACCGGAAGTGCGAGCGCCAGTGCTGAAAGTGGTGATAGCGGAGCCAGCGCGAATCTTGATTCCGAAGCGTCTGCTCACAGCAGCCAGATCAGTCTCGGTGACCATCACGCTATCCCGGCAGCGCCCGTTCGGTGAAGCTGAGGCCCGTTCTCCCTGTTTCTTCTCTTTTCATCACGGCGTGACTTTCTCGCGCTCGATGACGAAAATTGGCGATGGTTGGACCGATAACAATCTTCCTTTCTGACGTTTCCGCATAATTTCCTATCATCCTGGACGCAATACCTCCTCGCCTGCTCTCTCAAGTTCTGTCAATGTTTGGACTCTTTTTGCATCGCTGCGTGGGTCATTCTACCGGGGGATATTGTTTTACGGGTTCCACCCCGAGTTTGAATGAGGCTATCGGTTAATACTCTGCTGTTCGTTTCTTTACATATACATGAGGGACATAGGGGTTTTTATCGCTTATTGGTGTTTCGTTTTCCCCCTCTGTCTTGGTTTCGGAGCGCTGGGGATATGGGTTGTGCTCGAGTGGATCTCTTCGTTTTTTCTTCCCGTCGTTTGCATTGATACTCAGTCCGGTCTCGAGGCATTATTGATTCTCTTTTTTCCCTCCTTCCTCCCTTTACTCGCCGAGGCCCTTCGCACAGCCTAGACCGGTCATCTTTCTGCTTCGCAGCACATCGATATAACGCCTTCTGTCGGCGACCTCTTTCCATCCTACAACAAACAACAATACTGCCTCAGTCGCAATGCCTTGCCCAACTTTTTCTGCCTCTCCCTCTCTCTGCATGACTGTACACTACCTTCAACCGGCGCACTCCTTTTCTTTCCTTCAGTTTTACTCATCATACGTGACTCGTATACGTCTCCTTACTACTTATCTTCCTGATCTGCGTCTATTATCCTCATCACCATCATCCTGCCACGTCCCCGGCATCAACCCTCCTTGAAGCTTCTTTTTTCCTTGCTGTCTCAACCATTGCCTCCTCATTAGGCCGGTTTTACGTCTGCGGCCTTTGTTTTTGAATCCGTTTTTCTGCGGTCTGCTTTTCCCATTCCTCCCTGGCGCATTGCAAAAAGAGCGGAGAGTTCGTTCGATATAGGTTCTTCCCAATCGGTTGGACCTCTTTTTTCTTGGCTGGCTTTGGTCCACGCTTGCCGTGGAATCTAATCACGGGTGTGTGTTGCGGTGGTTCTGGCGAATCGGGGTGGCCGTGCTCTGGACAGACCTTTTTTTCCTTGTATCCTTCATGGTGCGCACGAACTGATAGAAATTCCCCGTCATATTATTGAAGTTGCTTCCCTGGCTGTTCTATTTTCTTGGTATACTCGCCCAGTATTCGCCTGTAGACTTGAATGGTATGGATAGTCACGCCGTGTTAAAATTGAATGCATGTTGATAGACTTGGTCACGTGATGATAGAGTAGATGTAAACATTCCAATTCCCCGTTGGTCTTCCTCGTCAACAACTCTTTCATACACCTACAACGTCCAGTCTAAGGACTCTACAAATAAGCAACTTCTCACTCAAACAACTCCATCTCAATACCAAGCATACTACTGCAAAAATGCCCATCAACCCAACACACCACCGCACCGACTCCCACCCCTCCTACCCCCGCGCCTCAATTCTCCCAACCCAAAACCACAGCCAAAACCAAGGCCAATACCAAAACACATCCAGCTCTGCTAGTGGCTCCGCCTCAATGTCCGCCGCTAAGACCAGACAATACGCGCACCTGCACGCGCAACTTGCGCAGTTGAACGCCAATCTGGCGGACACGGAGAATCTGTTGCGGATGACGGCTGTGCAGGCGGGGGATATGAGGTTCCTGGGTGGGTATATGGGGGCTTTGTTTATGGGGAGTGCTAAGGTGCTTGGGGAGGAGGGGGTTAAGGGGAATGTTGATGGTGCGAATGCTGCGGGGGTTGTTAAGAAGGAGGAAGATTGAATGAGCTTTTTTGTGGGAGGTTAAGGTTTCTTGGAATGGGTTCTGAGGTGAGTTGGTATCTTACAAGGGTGTTGGGGGGTTTGGTGGTTGAATTTGAGGGAGAGTCTATGTGAGATTGGTGAGGTTTGCTAACTATTTACTTGGGTTTGCAGATGCACCGAGATCTATGGGCAATGTGTTGCAATCACTCGAGTTATGACCTTTATTCGACAACGAACTGGCCTCCAAGGATAACCGCCGCTTCTTCGATGTTGTGATGTTCATAGCTGGTTGTATTTGATCAGTCATCGGTCTCATTCAACAAGGGCTCGATTACAACCCTTCTACTCGCAAGCCGGAGTACTTCGTGTCATATCACCAAGATCAGCGACTCACCTCAAAGTGCCCACACCACCGGCTTCCAGAATCAGCGAAGTCTCATTCAATGGCTTGCCAGTCCAGCGCATGGCGAATGCGCGGAGGATGTGTCCGTGCGCAACAACCAGGACATCCCCTTTCTGCTGGTCGGGGTTCTCGAAGCAGGGACTGTGGTATTTCTGCTTGATCTCGGCGATCAGGGCGTCGAGGCGGCGGACGATATCTTCGGGTGATCTAGAACGAACAGTGTATGTTAGCATAAGCAATTCAAAGGGAGGGGTGGCTTCATGTCCAGGCACTCCCAAGCCCGAAACAAGCAAAATCAGACCCAACCACGCAACCCTAAAGACCCAATCTTCAAGGGAAAAAAACTCACTCTCCCCCAGGACACCCATCCGTCCAAATATTCCAAGGCCCCAACCCCTTCTCCTCCCTCATAGCCCGAATCTGCTTACTCGTCAACCCCTCATACTCCCCATAATCCCACTCCCGAATCGCCTCAGTAATCTGGACCTTCGCCTCCGTCCGAATAGGCTCCTCATCTTCGGCTTTCCGCTGCTCGTTCCAGGGCAGTCTCTCGCGGCAGCCAATCTCGAGGAGTTCGAGGGTTCGTTGGGCGCGGGCGCGTGGGGAGACGAACCTAGCAGGTAGATACACGGTTCAACTTAGTCATGATCAAACGTGTATTGAAAAATTTGAAGCATTCTCCGTCTCTGGGGGACTTTCTTACACATGGACTAGATTCTTCGGCACGATTAGCCTGTCATTCCCGACGAGAGCTTTGCCTGTGGCTTTGATGCGTTTCTCTCCGTTGGCGGTTAGTGGGAGGTCTGTTGTACCGGTGTGTCGACCGTTTAGAGACCATTCGGTTTCGCCGTGGCGGACTATGAAGCAGCGGGGTGCCATTGGGGATAGTATCTTGGGATGAGCGAGGGAATTGAAAAGGAGAAGGACGAGGAGGAGGAGGGTATGGTGGTAGTTCTTGTAACTTAATTTAATTGTCTGACAAAGTTTTAGTTCATCTGGGTGTAAGCTGGAGGTTCCGCGGGGTTGCGTCATGGCTGATAAGGGTTAGTGCTTATCGCGGTCCATAACGAGGGGTGGGTTAGTATGGAGAATGCTCTGGAACGTCCTTTGAAAATGTTACATCTATCAGCACTGAGATTAGGACTGAGCTCTCTAGATCGTTATTGGCATCTGAAATTGGTTTGTCAAGAATAGAATTGACTACGGAGGAGAAGAAACCGCCAGCCAATTGTTTAAATCGCAACAAGAATCCAATCCATTAAGACTGCAAAACTAGACTATGCCAATAACTCCTCCAAGATCCAACAGACATGTCTCTCACGAGCACGCCACATCAAAACTCTTAATACTGTTCTTCTTCCCAGGAAATTTCTTACAATTATCATCAATATTCGACCGAATATCATCCAATCGATGGTCATGCCCGCAATGATCATCACTATACAGATTCACAATACAAGCCGGATCAATGTGCCCTTTGAAAAAGCCCTTCGCGGCCCCATCGGAAGATTGGAGTGGAATTTCAATGAGCCTACCCCGGAAAACTCGGCGGACTTTCCCGTGCAGTGGTGCTTCTGGTATAGTTTGAAGGTCCAGCCGTGTACGGTGGGCGAGTGTGGGTTGATGGGCGGCGCGGCGGATATTAGGGTTGGGAATGAGAGGGCTGTTAGGATTATGGTGTAGATGTTGGAGATGGTGAACTCCATTGGGTGTATCTGTAGAGCGTTGAATCTGGGTATTGTTAGATGTGGACTTGCTTTGGAATGAGGATGGTCTCACCGGCGAAAATTATTAGTGTCAATTGTAATAACTCAGTTTCGGAGGGAGCTTAACGATTGTGAGTTTTTTGAGGTAATCATGCGGAATTTACCTGTTCTATATTGCTCGTTGCCATTGCGTAAGGATGACAATTGTATGGGTTCGACTTCTATGGGTGGTTTACTACGTAAATAAATCGGTAATCTAACGGTGGACCACCAGGCTTCTAAGCACATTGTTTCGTCCTTGAAGGAATTGACGTTGTTTTATGATCGAAGAACAATCATGTAAGTTTTCGTATTCGAAACACTAACAATACGGGGAGTCAGTACACAATCATGTATAGATTATTCTTCTAACGTGTATTCACTCCATGGTTCCAATCTCAAATAGGAAAGAAAAGAACGGCAATCTCATTATGCCCGTAGGATATCCTCCACCGTCCGCACCACATCGTCAAGGACCTCTTCTCTCTCCCGACTTGCATCCAGCACTAGCACATCCGGCTCATCAATGGGATCCTCCAGCAAATCAAGCTGCGAATCGACCATCGTCGACTTCATATAGTGGTTCTCACGGGCCACCATACGATCTCTCAATTGCTCGCGATCTTGCATCAACAAAAGCAAGAACGTCACAGTGACCGGGAAATCAAATAGACTCGACAAGCGGCGCAGCTCATCGCGGTAGACGGTGCGCAGGGCGGAGCAAGTCACCGCGACGGTGGGCGTCTCCGACTCCAAAAGGCGACCCATCACAGCGCCCCGGATGTGCGACAGCCAATCCCAGCGGTCAGAATCCTGCAGGGGCAGATTGTTGGCCATTTTCTGCCGCGCGAGTGGGGAGTGCAGAGAGTCGCCTTCGATGACGGGTATGTCCAGGTGCTGCTTCAGGGCCTGTGCTGCGGTGCTCTTACCGCAGCCGCAGGGGCCGATCAGGACGAAGACGTTGCGGGAAATGACCGGCTTGGAGGACTGGCCCCAGCACTGGGATGTGAAGTAATTGACGAAACGCGAGATAAACTCGGCGTTGAGGCCCTGGGCCCTGGCCAGAGCGGGCGACGAAGCCTGGGCTTTCTTCGTGTCGTAGAGGAGTGTGCGGGTCGGGTTGTTGTTGTCATACTTGGAGGTGAAGAATTCGAGCAGCTTGATGGGTGGGTTGACCTCGGCGTCTTGGTTGGAGTCCCGAAGACGCTGTAGCCAGGCTTGCCTAGGGAGCTGTTCAAAGTCCAAGCCAGCCCCCTTCAGTTGCGGGAGCAGGTCATGAGTCCAGTGGTTCAGGGTCGGGTTGGTGACGTTCATCACCTCTGCGGCATTAGAAGCAAGGCTGAGGTCGATGATGCTGCTCGCCATCACATCAACAGGGGTCCAGCTGAGGACGTCGTCGAGCTGGGGCAGGGCTTGAATGGTCTTTGCTGTCTGGAACATCATCGGGATGGCCTCAGTCGCATTCCAGATACCGTGGACGGTGTCTCCAACGATCTGGCCGGCTCGCAAAACACGAGCTGTCATGCCAGTTGCATGGGCAGCGCGGTTGACAATGTTCTCGGTCACCAGCTTGGACTGGGCATATCCCATCCCCTGGGCATATGACAAAGATGCCGGGAGGGCTTCCGGAGCCCAGGTTCCAGGAGTGCGAGCGACTGTGCTGACGGACGAGCAGAAAGAGAAGGAAGCAGGACGTGGACTCTCCGCGCTTAAGCACAGATCCAACAGGTTGCGCGTGGCAGCAATGCAGCTATCCTCGAAGCTCTCCAGAGCCCAGTTGAAATTGACCGACCAAGCACAGTGGATCACCGCAGTTACTGACTTTTTGATATTCGCGTAGGCATCCTCGCCAAGGCCTAAGTCAGTTGGCTTGGATAAATTGCAAGGCAAAGCAACGATCTTGCGCACTACAGTAGGAGAAATAGTATAATAGACTGCACGGGCGCGTAAGCTTTCGGTCACGCGTTGATAGGCGGCCTTCAAGGACTTGGCCCGTACTAAACAGTACACCTTCTTCACACGGTCCAACTGAACCAGCTGAGAAACAATGTGTGCACCGAGGGAACCGGTTGCTCCTGTCAGTACAACATAGTCACCATCATCTTCACGATCAACGGGGACGTGGGTCTTGAAAGAAGTGCTGTATTTATCGATCAAGGCTTGCATCCGTTCTTCAACAGAAGCCTGCTCCTTCAAAGCTTCACCAGAGCGTAGAGCAGTAATATGGTCTGCCATGGCCTGGAGTGACGGGTTCTCGAAGACGAAATTCTGCGACAGCTTCTGGCCTCCGAGATCTAGGGTGCGGGTGATCGCACTGCGCAGGCGGATCGACTGCAGACTGTCGATGCCCAAGCTGAAAATATCTGTGATCTCCCCCAGTGAGGAAGTCTCCACTGACGGGGCGATATCGAGGAGGGACTCGCGAAGAAACTGAATCAATTCAGGGCCCTCTAGGACCAGATCACCTTGCTGATCGGGAGCCTCATAGATCTCATTGATCTTCTCAGCGAAGTCCTTATAAAATGCAGAACGAATGACAGTTCCCTTGTCCGTCCTCCGGTACACGGTATCCTTTGGAAGAACGTGGATCATATCGTGGGAGATGTACGCATAAGCCGGCAACTCGGCATTGCAGGCCTCGATATCCGGAAACACATTGTCCACCAGCTCCTCATCGGTTTGGAAATGGCACTTATCGGAGGGAATGACAAACAGACCCAGACGGGGCCTGGTACTTCCGAAGGCGACCGCTTCGCCGACATTGGGATTCTTGCGCGCAACACCCTCGATGACCAGCGGGTTGGCCTTCTCTCCGTTTTCCAGGACCAAGGTATCATCCAGACGCGCATAGTATCGCCAAGCATTGGGTGTGGTCGGGTGTTTTTCGAACAGGTCCTTGGTAGCATACGAGTTGTCAGGGCGATTGCTGGCAACCTTGGAAGGCCAGCCCTCCAGGACACATAGCTCGTAGATGCCAGGCATACCTGGCTGATCCTCCCAGCGGAGATAGGGTAGCAAAGAAGGACCTGGACGAACATAGTCCCAATCCAGGTCCGACCGGTCACGAAACGAGGTCATGAGCTGGCCAGTCTCCGTTGTTCCGTAGTGAGATACCAGACGGACACCATTCTGCACCAGAGTATCCCCAATTGGCTTGGGACAAGACGATCCACCGAACATGACCAGCTCTAGACCGGCCATTCGCTTTAAACCCTTCTCAGATTCTGAGAGGAGCTTCAGGGCGTACGGAACAGCGTACAGGACCTCGATTTCGTCATGGTCGTTGAGAGTACTTAACAGGCTGGGGGCCGTGAGCGGCAAGCTGGCATTGTACATGTAAATGAGCTTCTGGGAGTGAATGGCGCGGAACAGACAGCTGATGCCATGAGCGTGGAAGAGGGGAAGAGTAATGAAGCCCCGAAGCCCGAAGTTATTGGCATAGTTTTTCAAAGCACCAGAATGCGTCTGGTAGATAGGCTTTGGGTGGCCGGTTGAGCCGCTGGAATGGATGACCCAAGTGATGTGTTTGTTTTCAGTTGGGCCGTGCAAGTGTGCGGCGGGGAGGTGGGCAGAAGTTACCTCCGGCGAGGCCGCATTCGCCGGCGCTACGACGGGGACTTGGGTGGCACCCGTTCGCTTGGTGACGTTCTCTCCCATGGTTTGGAAGCTGGGGTGGGTAATGAGGAATGAGGCCTTGGTGGCCTCCATAAGACTGACATAGGCATCTTCTGCGATACGAGTCGATAGCAGCAGTACAGTGTGTCCGAGTCGAGAGACAGCCAATAGTGTGATCAAGTATTCAAAATCGGATGCACCCAAAAGTCCCACAACTTGCACGGGGTCAATTGATGCAAGTCTCTGGGGGATAGTTTTGGCGTATTGTACTGCAGCTGCTTCAACGAGTACATCCAACTATGAGGTTGATTAGTGACTATGAAATGCATGAATAAATGAGCGAAGAAACCGTACCTGATGAGGTGTATAGTATACATAATTCGTTCCCGACGATGGATAGGCCACAATAGGATCGTGCGCCGTCTCTCCCGAGGCTCTCAATCGGAGAAGGTCATTGATGGTATAAATATCCTGTTTTGGCGCCGCCGTCTTCACCATAGAAGTAGTGGCGGACGAGGAAACGACCGGCAATGATGAGGTGGCCGGGGTTGAAAGAACTGATGCTGCCATTTTGGAGTGAAATGGCAGACTGGTTTGTACAGATGGCAACACGGCATTCTTGGAGAAGGTGTGCCTTTTGAGGTCAGCCCAGCGAATCCTCGGACCTGGAAGCAACAGGGATTTCCGCCTCCTCCATCGGTCGGCACGTTGAATGTCCGGGACTTGGTCTCATGTCTTGCTGTCCTCCCCCCGCTCACTTTCCGACACGGGGGAGTGGATCGTCTGGGGGTTCAGAGGTGTTGCTCCCCAGGATCCTTTTCCGCTGCGTTTCTGCCCATATAAGTTACAACAGTGGAATGTGGATATCCGCTGGAGGGCACTGCGATTGGTCCTCTCGAGTGGAGAGGAGCGGAAAAGAAGTATAATAGATTGTGGGTCTGCTTTTCCGCCGCGGACACTGGGAAATGCCAGTAGTAGGACATTGTTGCTGTAATTTGGAAGTCGGGGCCAGTCGGGGTAACAGACGTTTGGTCATACGGTACAAAAGTCTGAGTCCAGAAACCAGAGAAAAAGTCTAACCAGACATGCTTCAGTCACTCTTGAAGAAACCTAATGGCTCTAGCTCCTCTAGGAGCCAACATCAAATTTTGTATGTAGTCATAGGAAGAAAGAAAAAAGTCCGGGGGTACGAATGCTACGATCGTGAAGCAATCCGATGATTTTCATCTATATGCCAATAGAGTGAGCCCAAGGCCTTAGAGGCTAAATGACAGGTCCTGAAACAATAATCATGGCTTTCTATATTTCTTTGTAGCTTTTGACCTTATATACATGGATATTCAACCAGAACTCGTAGAATATTCCTCAAACAGTGAACTTGATCTTGTTTGTAGGGCCGGCTGCCAATGCTGCCTTACGGACAGCCTCCTCACCGACCTCCTCAAATATATCGTAGCCCCAGTTGGCAGGGAAGTTGAAGCGTTTGTGGCGCTCCAGACCGGTGAGCTTGGCATATGCATCATCAGGCAGAGACTTAACCTGAAGATTGGCTGCGATGCGAGAGGGAGTGACGCTCTTAGATAGAACGACAGTACCGCGCTGCACACCCCAGCTGGCCAGAAGAGGGCCAGGGTCCATGTTGACCTGCTGTGCGACCTCGGCCACCAGCGGGTCGTCCACAGTACGGGGCTCGCCGGTCTGGTTATTACCCAGGGGAGAATAGGCCTCGACGATGATGCCTTTGCGCTGGCAGAACTCGAGCAGCTCCGGCTGCTGCAGGTAGGGGTGGGCCTCAATCTGGTTGGCGGCGGGGACGATCGAGACCTGGCTCAGGAGTTCCTCTAGGCGGCGAATGTTGAAGTTCGATACACCAATAGCCTTGACCTTGCCAGTCGCCAGCAGCTTCTCCATTTCCTTGTAGGTGGCCACATAGTCATTATCAACCAGTTCGAAAACACCGTCCTCGTTAAGAGGGAACCATTTGTCGCCACCCTTGAACGCACTGCGCAGGTATGTTAGCAATGATCTAACAATATTGCATCTAAGTATGGCGCGGGAGGAAAAATACTTACACGGGCCAATGCATGAGGTAAAGGTCAAGATAATCGGTCCCGAGATCAGCCAGGGTCTTGTTCAGAGCTGGTAGAACATCCTCGGGAGCATGTTTGGTGTTCCAAAGTTTTCCGGTAATGAAGATCTCTTCGCGTGGTACACCCGACTTCTTGATCCCGGCGCCAACCTCGGTCTCGTTGCGGTAAATGGCAGCGCAGTCGATGTGATGATAACCTTCATTAAGGGCGACTTCAACAGCATTCTCGACCTCCAGAGGCTGGGCCTGCCAGGTACCGAAACCCACGGCGGGGATCTTGGCACCGGTGTTGAGAGTGAAATGTGTTTGAATGGCCATGGTGGATGAATGCAGTGTGAGTTTACGAGATGAAAGAGAGAGAAGAGATGGGAAAGGACCTCAATTAATCGTATGGAGGACCTGGTTTTCAATAACCGCGATAGCTTTTTCGTAAGTATACGCCCCCACCCCACGTCTCCACGTCTCTCGGAAAAGGATGCGGTGCGGAAACAGGCACGGAAATAAGCATTGTGCTCCGCTCTTCTCCACACTCGGACGAGCACAATCAACCTTTGGGGGTCTGTTGGTGGTGGTGGATTTGCGGTTTGATGCAGGACGAGGAGGGACCTTCCAAATATAGTGACTCCACTGGCCATATCTAACTGCTCCCCTGGCAAACAAAATCGCGAAAAGAAACATCTTCTACCTCCATGAATCGAACCCCGGAGCTCCAGTTCCCCATACAAACATCCAACTGTTCTCGCTCTGTACTCCACGATTCCCCCTTAGTGTGCCGTGAAGCTTCTGTAGAGCTCGGCTTAGTGAACCGGTTCCAGACATTATGCCTACCAAGAGAGCACGGAATCCCGAACATTTTTCAAAAAACCTGAGCACTCACCATTTGATCGGTATCTATACTGTCAAGAAAATTGATTCGAAAGATATTTAGTATTGTTTCTAGACTCAGTCTTTTGAGCTACTATAATAATATACTATTCAAAAGATAGTAATACCTTTTACTACGCTAAACCAAACTAAAGGGTGCAGGTGCGTCGTCGAATGAGTAATCATGTATCGTCGCTTTAGCAATTCTCAATAGATGCTAAAATGTCTTCATTTGTGCAACAGAGATTTAGTTATTTCAAATATCGAACCAGTATGAGTAACGGAAGAAGATATCCTCCTTAACGGTTTGATCCACTGGTGCCTCTTCCACGAATTGATGAATTGCCTCCTCCAAGCTCAACCTCTGTTCTCTGAGAATCTTGTCTTTGATTTTGTTCAACATGGCTGCATGGGCCGCAAAGGCTAGAAGCAAGGAGATCTCAATACAGCACGCCACCAGCATAGCTCGGGTTCCAGGTGTATATCTCGGAGCCTCGCTGGTCTTGAAAGAGAAAGTTTAATTATGTTACCCACGCAATATGTGACGAAAGGCATGCCGCTGCCAACAGACCGTTTTGTGGAGCCACCAGTATTGGTTATGATAAGGGACATGATAATCTCAAAGGTGGCGGTATAGGTGCTCGTCAAGTAGCATTGAGAACATCCATGTCAGCCCAACTGCTTCAAAATCAGAACATTAAGATATTTATACCCATTAACACACTAAAAGTGTGACTTTGTGATCGCGGGAAATTGTGTGGGTCCCAACTGCACGGGCTAGAGCCAGACACACGTAAAGCAGGGCGACGAGGCATCGTTTCTGGCCTGGTAGCCCCCGTTGCAATTACATCGCAGAAACCTTGGATATCAGAATGATCATACCGTATGGTATATGAAAAGGAGTCATAACTAGATTGGAATAGCCAAATCCTTGGATAATCAGGCTACCGAATTACTGGCGACACCATTGACCACCTGGGTTGCCACACCACAAAGGAAGAAAAGTCAGGTCTTGGGATCTAAGACAGCCCCAATAATTTGGCACTTCTTGATCTCATGAGAATTTGAACCGTGATATCTTGGTCCCAGGCGTCTGACTGCGGTTTGCCTCTCGTCTTCGTTAAGCCATGGTCTGGTGCGATCAGTTGGCGGCCCTTCTTTATTGGCTCGCCGTTCAACGTGGAATACTCACGCTGTTGAGGAGTGAAAGCCATGAGAACAGCCCAAGCGCACGATATGGCACCGATGAAGATGAATTGGTATTGCCATGATTCCAAGGCTGCTTTGATGTGGCCCACGCCAAAGGCCAACAGATCACCGAACGAATTCACAACGCCCAGGTAGGTTGACCACCAGCCAATTCGGATTGGCTGGTCTTCCACAGCATACCAGGTTGCGGCGATCAAAAGGTAGGCGGGTTCGAACAAGATTCTAGGTCACCAATCAAGAATCGCAGTGTAAGGAATGACTTGAAACCCCCACAGCTAGCTAAGGCTATGGTAATTCCACCCCAAAGGAAAAGTTTTACGGATAGCCATTCTGACACGGGTAGTTTCTGCATTGCAAAGGTGGTGGGATATTCGAACTAGGATGTCTTTTGTTAATTGGAGAACTTTTTTGCTGGTAGACTGTAGGAATTAAGCCCATTTACAGCGAGGTAGCCGAAATAAAACTTGCTTCTTATTCAACTTCGTCTAGTCAACCCGAGTTTCTCTGATTTCATACAGTAATGACTCCGGCTTACCCAACCAACTGTACTCAGTTCCATTCAAATGCAGGGATTCCTTCAAGCCGAAGACGGCCGCGTAACCAAGCATGACTTTGTCAATATATGTGATCAGGTACGTGATGCATAGGAACGGGTTGATCTTAAGGTCTATTTTTCGAATAACTCCCGACGTCTCTCCAGTCGCGAGTCAACGACATAGTCCAGGGCATCGGGTCCGGTGTATTCTGGACCCTGACTCTGATCTGTTGGAACCCCATATTCCAGGGATTCCAGAGGGTCACTAGTTAGTTTCGGCATCTCTGGATGAGAACGCGGACCAGATGCCAACTGTGAATTCACATATTCTATTGCTGCTCCGGGGCAGATCATGAATAATTTGGGCGTAAAATCTCGTAGCCTCCACTAGTTACAGATGAGGGGTTGGAGGAGATAGTGCAGATTGGCATTGACTAGGGTAGCGAAATCCGGAATGAGTCAAGACTGCTACCACTTTCGTGCTCCTGGTGAAAACTATATTTGTATCTACCTAATGAGATGACGCTTAGGGACCCTTAGGAGGAAAGCGCCTGTAGTCATCGTGTGCATAAGTAGTAGATGTGTTCCGTTTATAGACCAGCCAGCCGTCAAAGATGCTCGCACAGAGATGCGTAAAGTGAATGGTCACAAGTAATTTTACAGCTCCACCACGACTTGAAGCAACTGGGGACGTGGGGACCCCGGATTTGGTGGCGCTGGTCTGTTCTGTGACTCTCCGCGCGTCGGAAAAGCAAAAAGCCAGCGGCATTTTACCCCGTTCACCTTTCTTCCCTCCGCCAGCAGGCCGGTTTACATGCATGAAGCTTGCAAACCAAGAGCCACCTTGAAAAATATAACGCCATTGTCGACGCTAATCATCACTGATTCGACAAATACAAGGAGAAAATGGCGGTTACATCCCACGCGGCGGGGGCACATCAACGTCGCGGGAGACCGTCTCGGGCGGCGCGGATAAGGCGAAAAGTTACACGAGCATGCGACGCCTGCAAGGCACGCAAAAAGGCATGCACTGGAGACATCCCATGCGAGTCTTGTGTACGACTGGGGTTATCATGCACGTACAATGTCCCCTATAACCGGGGGTCTGCTGCTTTCCCGCAACCCTCTTCGCGACCTGTGGAAACAGGAGGCGGAAATGGAGCGGACAAGCCGCCTGCTGAGAGAGTAGCAGCCAGGGCGATAGTTACACCTCCACCCATGCAGCTACCTGGACGCCGATCTACCACCACGCCGTCGAGTCTAGCTGCGACACATTCATCGCCGGAAGATGGTGATTCAACCGAAGTTTGTGGCCAATACCGAGGGCCGGCATCGGCCCATTCGTTCTTGGATAGAGCCGTCAGAAACTTGCATGGGGCTCCACCTCCACTGACGTCGCATTCAGAGGATGTCTCTGCTTCGATTTTCTCGTATGGCGATCGGCGTGCCCCGAGAACCCTGGTATCTCAAATGCGCTGGCCCGACCGATCAACGGCCGATTACTTGATACAGCGATATTTTGATTTCGCATCACCTACCTACCGAGTGTTACACCAAGGGACTGTCGAAACTTGGGTGGAAACCCTTTTGGGCCCAATGAGCCATTAGAGATCCAAAGTGCAGCCTCAACAGTGTCTACTGCTGCCAAAGCAATTCTATTACTGCTATGTGCCACCAGTGCCTTATTCTCCACTCTCTACGATGGATCACCTGCACAAAGCACCCAAAACTGGTCAAATTGGCAGGAAAGCGAGACTTATTATCAGATGGCTGAGCAGCTCCTTGCCCAGGAAGCCGGCGCACCGTCTCTGGAGTCTGCGCAGGCACGGTTTTTGACAGTGCTATATCTGCTGAGCACATCTCGAGTGAACCAAGCATGGTACAACTTTGGCACGACGGTACAAATCGTGATGTCACTAGGCCTTCATCGAAAGCAAACACGTCCACGAGCATTCGCGTCGATTGCATCGAATGCGGTTGCTTCAGAATGTTCGAAGCGTGTACTGTGGTGCTCCTTTACTCTTGATGAGTACCTCAGCCTCATACTTGGTCGGCCACGATTACTCCGAGAAGAGGACATTGATCAAGAGTACCCAGCGTTAATTAATGATGAAGCCCTTGACGCTAAGCCTAGACCACGTGCTGCTCTACAGAGAAATTGTTTGATGGATGCATCTGTTTGCCACGCGAAGATATCTCGAATTCTAGCACGAGCCTCTAGGGACTTGTACTCGATCCAGTCTCTCGATAAGGAGCAAGAAGTCGAGGCCATCGCAATATTAATAGAGCAGATCGGAGAATGGCAATCCAACTTACCACCTCTCTTGGGAGATTGGGTTTGTCCGAGCAGCCTGATTTCGATTTTTCGAAGACAGCTGACTGTCATCCGTCTCGCTCGACTACATGCCATTATGTTTGTCACTCGGCCGCTTCTCCTTCGGGACTACTCACAGCACCAGGAGAATGACAGACTCTTGAAGAAATTTCTACGAACTTGCATCTACACGGTTCGCGATACCCTTGAGCTGGTGTTGGCGCTCGTGAAGGATAATCTACTGTTCCCAGCCTTCTGGTACACCCAGTATATTGCTTTCAATGCCCTATCAATTGTCTACATTTATCTCATCCACTCAAAAAAGGGTCGTATTCCATACGAATGGCTATTCGCGTGCGAGGAGGACCAGAAATCACCACCCGTCGATCGTCTGGTACTTTATCATCTGGCAGAGGAGGTGCAATACCATCTCGGTCAGGCCACCGAAATGAACGCTCTTGCCTGGAGATACACCGTCGTCCTGAAGGCTCTCAGACTGGAGGCAACTGGAGAAGGAAATGACACGCATGCTGATGATGCAGCAGAATCGCAAGTCGATCCGAATGAAGAAGCCATAGCCACTTTGCCAATGGACGTCACTCGTGTAGAAGGTATTTCTCATGAGCAACACTCTGTCGATTGGACTGGGCTTTGGACCTCCATGATGGATCCAGTTAATCCATCGGTTCCCGGTGCGGGGACATTTGATTCAGGAATAGGAGGCTTGCTCAGCTTCAATGGTTCCACTGATGAGCTTTGTCTTGACTTCTGGCCGCAGCTCGATCGCCTACCAACATGTACGTTTCTAAAACACCCGTTTATTCATTCCACTGTACCATTTTCGTTTGTCAGAATATCCCGCTGACCGTGACTTATACAGCACTGTTGAATTCACGGAATGCGTCTCAGCTCTTTAGTGCTTCGATTCCATGCAACCAATATGCTACGACTGGAAATGTGAAATGAACTCACGAATGATATCAATGTACCATCATACATGCACCCGTTTTATAATTTCTCTAATATCAACACAAAATCACATTTTTCTTCCCCTCTGTGGCTGTATATCCCATCTAACTTTGTTCATGACGTGAAATTCCCACACGTGTTTGAAAAGCTCCGTTCAGTCCGCCATTGTATCTACCAGAGATACTTGTAGCGGGGTTGGCCATCCCGCTCTTCCTCCCGAGTAGCCTGGATATTCAACTGGCGCAGCCAGAAGCCCAAAGAAAGAGCCAGCACAATACCACCCGCCGCGAAGGAAGAGAGAATTATTCCACCCAGGCGGTACTGCGGCGCATCCTTGCTGGGAAAGAAGTACGAACCGTAGATATTGGCAGAGTTGCCGCACAGGTTGACTAGGGCGTAGACGATGGCGCGCTTGGTACGAGTGCGAGGCACAGTGCTTGCAATCCACGCCTGGACCACGTTGAAGGCGGAGTACGAACCGGCGCACATGAGGAACATACCCACGTAGCGGGGCGCTGTGCTGTGTGTGCATATAACCAGGACATTGCCGATGATATCTACCATCAGGGGCCAGACGATAAGAATGGCGCGCTTGTCTGTGTATGTGGCGATGAAGGAGTTGCCGAGGGAGGTGATGAAGCCGAAGACGTAGACTGGGGCGGTGATGAGGAGCGTTACAATGTTGTTGAATCCGAGGGTTTTGACGATTGACTGTAGCAATTGATGAACACATGTCAGCGTCACGTTGTTGCATAAAGTCCGTTTTGGAACGAAATGAATTAGGACTCACAGGGAAGAAATATGTCCATGTTTGCGAAGTGAGCTGGCAGATCTGAATGGCGACCAAAACCCACGCTTTGGGGTCGGTAAAGGCATCGATGAGGCCCTCCTTGACAGAACCGTTCTCGTCGAACTCCGAGTTGGCTCCCTGTGCCAGACGCCACTCTGCAAATCGCTGCTCTTGATCGGAGAGCCACGAGTGCTTTCCGGATCCAGGAAAATCGGGCAACAGCCAGACTGCCAAAAAGCCAGCGACGATAGTACCTGCTCCTTCGATTATAAATAGCCATCTGTGAAAAGGGTCATTGTCAGTGAATGCGCAAAATAGACTAAACCCGAGAATAAAGTATATGCAACATACCTCCATCCGGCCAGACCACTAGCCCCATCGAGACCGCTCAAAATTCCAGCCGCCAGCATGCCGCCAAAGCCATTGGCGATTGTATTACCGCAGTACATCACGGCCACTCGTGGCGCAATCTCCTGGGGCTTATACCAGGAACTGATCAATAGACTTTTCGCAGCGTCAACTTTTGAGATCACATCAATCAGGACTGGGACAGGGAATTGGCCTTACAGCGCTCCAGCGAAAAAGGGTGACTCCGCAAAGCCCAGCAGCACCCGCACAACTATAATGCCAGCAAAGTTTTGGGTAGCAGCGGCACACATGGAAATGCTGCCCCAGATAAAAATAGCAATTGGGATGTAGCGAGACGGTCTCACGCGCGTGAGAATAATGTTACTAGGGACTTGGCCCGTCAGGTAACCCACGAACTATGGATGTTAATTCGGAGGATAGCCAGCCGGGTCAGCTTCTCTCACCATGATAGCTACAGCCGTTTGGTATTGGGTGTCGGTGAGACCCAGATCGGTCTGCATGCCTCCAAGACGGGCATTAGCGATGTTGGAGCGATCAAGAATGTTGAAGATGAAGAGGAGACATAGTGAGCAGACGAGGTGCAGATCAATCTTGCGAACCACTGGTGGGAAAACTCGTTAGTCAGGAAAATGTATGACTTTCATCATCATACAAGCAAGGCCACAATCAGACGGAACACTCACGTTTCTTCTCCAGCACTGTTTCCTCCTCCAGAGTCAATCCCTCAAAGCGGACCTCTTGGAGAGTGGCTTTTGGAGAAACCTCCAGGTGCACTGCCTGACTATCCTTTAGAGTCTCCACATCCATAGTGGTATTTAGGCCGGAGTTCCAAGAAAGTCAAAAAGTTTAAGAAATTCCAAGCCGACGACCAAAATCCTTAGGTACCATGCCAAGCATTATATAGCTAAACCGAAGCCTTGATCAGCCACCTTCCTTGGCATTGATAGAAGAAACCCGCCGAAAACGGGGAATGGAAAGGCGAGTCGGGTTGTACTGTGTATTGTGGTTTTAGATGTCGTATGGAGAGGGAATCCGGGGATCGGATTTCGCTCCCCAACGTTCGGATTACCAAGTTTTCCCCGCATTCTCGTCCTATGGCGGGCGGAAAACGCTGTAAATGAGTTGCTTACTTACTCGCAATTCCCGCCACAAGGCCGGAGAAGGTACTCTGCAGTTATCTCGCGCAGTAAAAGACCGCAGATGCATATACCAGAAGTAAAACAGGTACTCGGCACTTGGAAGAATCCGGCTCTAAAATAACGAATGGAGAAGGATCCATAATTCAACCTAACCCTCGCATAGAAAGCAGGCATGAAAATAATGAGGATAAATGGCAAGACTAAGAAACCTCTGAAAGCCTAAATCACCTATACCAAAGTCTGATAAAACCCCGGTAGATGCTAGGATCCTTAAATGAACCTAGTCGGCCGAGCAATTAGTAGTTGTCAATAGGGTGTAGGTGCCGAACACGGATCTCAAATCGAGGGGATCGCCTGACTGAAGAAAAAAGAAAAGCTTCTGGAGAATTTGGCCACAATGTGCAATTTACTAGTTCGACAGTCCATGATTTAGTACCTCTTTCGGCTACTACACCGTAGAGTGGAAGGTAAGAAAAGGCTTAAACCCTCAAACGCCCGCTTTTATCGCTAACTTAACTAGTGATGAGACTGTATATCATCTATATTTCCATAAACCATCTAATTAGGAGCCCAAAGTTCACAGGGTATGCTGTTCGTTGAACTATGTCTCATTCCACGATGGGCTTGATTCCCACAGAATGGGTGTATATTCATCACGTGACTCATGCCCTCCCGCGCACATATCAACGCTAGCGGCACCAATCATCCATTGAGTAAAGGTCCACAAAGGCTGGAAGAAGATACACCATTCGGAATCTCACTGGTATATGTTCAGACATATAACATCAGTTGCATATTTTGTGACCCCGACTCATCTTCTTGCTGAAGAGTTCGTGTGCAATCAACCCCCGTTCAATGATACCGACAAGATCCCAACATGCCAAACAGAAAGATCGTGCGCAACCTTAGCAGGCTCTCGGGTAAATCTCTCAAGGAGACCTTGGAATCAAGTCATGAAGTCCTGGAAATAGACTCAGATGACTGGCTCACATCTCCAGACCTCAGTGAAGATGGACTGCCCTTTTCCACGGAAAATTTCTACGAAACCGCGGTCTTTCTTATGGCCAATCCGAATATCACTTCAAGCCATTTGTTCCGGGCAGATATATTATTTGACAGCCAGGGTCTTCTCAAAACACCTCAACAGGATGAAGAGCTTGCTGGGACATTCGGCGGATGTGCCACGGAGATACCAGAGACCCCCGTAAAGGCCAAGCCTGCGGCCCAAGTGACAGGCTTTGATCTGGTCAGGACTGTCATTCGAAAATTGATTCCTCGAAATCAGAATATTGATAGGCCTCTTGTACAAACTTGTCATTTCTACAAATCAAAGACTTCGTCCTCAAGGGACGATGAAGACCATTCGAATGATGACCAACCCTCGGAACGGCAACGTGTGTTGACCATGTTCCTTCCGCATATTGAGTCCCAGGATGATGTTCCTTTCTACCACCCGCAACTCAGGGGACTTGCGACTCTATATGACGTTCAGAGCTCACAAGAAGGTGTCAAGTCCGGAACCATGTCTGTGCATTTCCTACCCTTTTCAAGCGATATCCCTGAGCGCCTAGAGCGCACATTGCATCTTCTCCTCAACTTCTACGTTCGGCTCACACGTGGTGCCAAGGGCACAACAACCAACGAGATTACGGGCAAAACCAGCTCTTCCAAGGACAATCTTGTTCCCCGTCATCTGGCTCAAAACACCTACGCACGACTCAAGAATATATATGCAGCTGACCTCTGTGAGAATTGGGCTGAAAGTACCGAGCCAAGCAAGCATGTCTATGAGGATCTGGCCATTACCGCGTTTCTGATCGAGCTATGGCGAATGATGTACGGGGTTGCACCAGCTAAGGAGAACCCTAATGGAGAAAACACAACAGCCAAATTCCCAGGATTCGTGGACATGGCATGCGGGAATGGAGTACTGGTCTATGTCCTCCTCATGGAAGGTTACTCGGGCTGTGGCTTTGATGCCCGTCGACGCAAATCGTGGAGCGTCTACCCTGATTGGGTCCAGGAACGACTCACAGAGAAGATTCTCATTCCCAAGCCCTTCGCCGATATCACGGAGGCTGGCGATATTGGAGTCAACATAACGACGGGCGATTTCCCGCGTGATACTTTTATCATATCCAACCATGCCGATGAACTTACTGTGTGGACTCCACTCATCGCTGCCCTGGCATGCCCAGAATCCCCTCTCCCATTCCTCGCTATACCATGTTGTTCTCATGCGCTCTCCGGGTCACGATATCGCTACCCGCTCCCGAAAGGAACCAAGCCAAAGACTACGACGGGTGCCGCGGAGAAACCAGATCAACACACAGAACAGAACCCACAGCCCGCCTCGGGTGACTTGAAGGCATTGCGCGCCGCCAAACAAGCGGAGAAGACTGAGAGTGGCATGTGGACATCCATGTATGGCCTTCTCACGAAAAAGACCATCACTGTCGCCGAAGAGGCCGGATACCAAGTGGAGAAGACCCTGCTACGCATTCCCAGCACAAGGAATATGGGAGTAATAGGAGGTCGACAATTAGTCTCCGAGCAGTGGAAGCAACTAGGGACCAGTAGCGCACCCACAGTGGCCGAAGATCAAACAAAACAGGCTCCGCGGGTCGTGCAGAATGTTATGGATATTGTCGAGCGGGAGTGTTCCAGGGAAGGTGGAATACAAGCTTCTGCACAGATTTGGATTGAGCGGGCCCGGGGCCTTCAGAAGGACCGCGGAAAAGCCACCAATCCCGCAGACGATGCTCAGATACTCGAATAGAATTTCAAGCATTTCTGACCCAGGCCGATCATGCATGCATTGGAGTAGTGACGGTTTAATTTCGGCGATTTTGTCCTATGTTTCTTCTAGATCGGGTAAAAAAACATCGACGTCAGCGCCGACAATTTCTCCGGGTAGTACCCCGCTCCCCACGGGGTATATAAGGTTACATTAACATGGAGATTGAGAAAGTAGATTGTGTAGGTTTAATCAATTCTAATCACGAAGCCTCAAAAGCCACATCCATGCGGGTCACGCCTTTTTTCCTAGCCATAGGGCTAGCTACTGCTTTGGAGAATGGACTTGCACGAACTCCGCAATTGGGATGGGTGCGTATCGGATGAAGGGTACTCATCTTACACTAAATGAAAATCGAAGCTAACAAATGCAGAATACTTGGAATTCATTTGCCTGTAGTATGAACGAGACTGTCATTCTAGATGCAGCCAAACGCATTGTTGAGTTGGGCTTCAAAGATCTCGGGTACAACTATGTCGTGATGGATGACTGTTGGTCTGCCGGCCGAAATTCTTCTGGATACCTCATTCCAGATAGTTCGAAATTCCCCAATGGAATCGCAGATGTCGCAGATAAAATTCACAGCCTAGGATTGAAGATTGGAATTTATTCGAGTGCGGGTACTATGACTTGCGCGCGTTATTCGGGCTCCTTGGGATATGAGGAGAAGGATGCTGCGGTTTGGGCAAGCTGGGGAGTATGTTTTGCTTCCAACTCCGAGGTTGTGGAACCTGATTTGGAGAATGGACTGACATGAGTATAGATCGACTACCTCAAATATGACAACTGCTACAACCAAGGTGAAGAAGGAACGCCCAAGCTTTCCTATGACCGATATAACGCAATGGGCAAAGCTTTGAATGCCACCGGTCGCCCAATCCTCTACTCGTTGTGCAATTGGGGTTCTGACGGACCGTGGAACTTTGCCCCGACTATTGCCAATTCTTGGCGTACGAGTGGTGACTTGACCAATGTTTGGGATCGTGATGATGTCAATTGCCCCTGTGCTGAGCTTGATGGTCTCGATTGCAAGCTTCCGGGATATCATTGTTCAGTTATGAACGTGGTTAACAAGGCAGTTTATTACCCGTCCAAGGCATATGCAGGTGCATGGAATGATCTTGATATGCTTCGTGAGTTTTCTGTGCCTATACGGAGTAGGAGTCAATCGAATATTCGGATTTGCTGACATAAGGATACAGAGGTCGGAAATGGTGGTCTGACTGAAGACGAGGCTATTTCCCACTTCAGCCTGTGGGCAGCGTTAAAGTCACCATTGCTGATGACGAACGTAATGACCAAGATCGACGGCCCTACCCTTTCCATCTTGCAGAATACCGCCGTGCTAGCAGTCTCCCAGGATCCGCAGGGATCGAGCGCTGTGAGGATCTGGCGTTACTACGTCGACGACGGGGAGATCCAGATGTACAGCGGACCTTTGAGCGGAGGTGACCAAGTCGTCCTGCTGCTGAATGGTGGATCGAAAGCCCGTGACATGAACGCCACTTTAAACGACATTTTCTGGGAGAATGGACCCGAGGGCACTGCATCGCAGGCTAAGAGTAGCTGGGATGTGTATGACTTGTGGGCCGGGCGGATGAGCAATGACACTGCAAATGCGATCATCAAAGATGGAGAGAGTGCGACACGACCGATCAACATGACGGCTGAGGGTGGTGCAAGCAAGGTCTACTCCCACGTGCCATTGCCGATATCAAAGGCACTGATGGGCTCGAAAGTTAACACGGTCAAGCCCGGTGGACGTGTGACTGCACATGTACAGCCGCATGGTGTCGCTATGTTCCGTTTGCGAGAGCTGAAGTCTAATGACGAGCTTTGAGTCTCAGCGATACTCATGCACTTGGTGCTAAACAGTTGTGTCTAGGACATGATTCATTTGTAATTTGAGTGTTCCGCTTTCTATTAACTTGTTCGACCGGACCGAGCAGCGATTGAAGGCTTGGAGGGAAGATTTGTAGTGTAATGTACAGGATATTCAAACATCGGGACTCTTTATGAGGCCATTTCTATTACTTGGCGAGCCCAGACCCAAACGCCATGTCGAAAAAGATGCAGTGAACAAAGGTATATCCAGTAAGACAAAAAGTGAGAAAGGAACGTGGCCGAAGATTGTTTAGGCAGAGACCTTGCCGTTCATATCGGAATCGGCAGCAGCGTCGGTTCTCTTTTGGTTTTCGTTGCTGCTCGAGGTTTGATGTGCGTTGTCAAAACCAGAGGCTGTCGTCGTGGCGGAAGCAGTATCGGGGAATCTCGATGCTGCAGTGGCTGCAGCCGCGAATGCGTTTTCTCGAAGTCGCCTTATACGCTCCGACCGGGCCTCGCCTGGCAAGCTTCCCCAAGCAGGCTCAATGGAATCGGCACGCCAGTTGCGGTGAATGTTAAGTATGCTCTGTCTCGGAGAGATAGGCGACAAAGCGCCACCAACCCCAGACTCACCCCACATGCGAACGCGCTGCAGTTTGCGAAGTTTTGCGAGTCCGTACAGGCAAACAACCCCAGTCATAGCGAAACAGACAACAGAGACACCACCAAAGCCGAAATCAGACTCTTCAATGAAGTTTTTCAAGTTCATTCCGTAGAGGGCGGAGAAGAGAGTTCCTGTGGCCAGACCAAGGGTACCTATGCTGAACTTCAGATCGAGGAGCATGAGTGAATTGCGATTGGCATCGAGAATTGCTTTCACACTGGTTTGGAAATTAGATATGCACATGTTCAGGGGGATAGCAGGGAACTCTTACACTTCCTCGGTGTTTCGGATGTTGGTGACAAGGTTGCCGCTGGACTGTACGATTTCATCGCAGACTTTGTGGTAGGACTCTAGCAGCATTTCCACCTCTTGGTGATCATCCTCCTCGCGTTCCTTGCCAGTCCCCCTTTCGGTAAGGTACATGGCCGCCAGATCATCATCCGCCTCGAGTAGGTCATCAATGGCATCTCGCACCAGGCGAGCCTTCTGCTCAAAAGTACCCAATTTCTTGGAATAGATCAAGAGATGTCGAAGCTTGTCACGATCAATGTCCTCTTCCAGGGCACGAAGAACTCGAACGACGGGCTCTCTGACTCCGTTGAACTCTTCCTCCAGGCCAGTGGTGACACTAATGAGAACCGCTTCCAGAGCGCGAAACTCATAAGGTAGCGCCTGGCCAGCCTGGGCGACCTGAGATTGCTTCTGGCGCAACTTTCCCTCGAGGTCATAAATGAAAAGTGATTGCATATACGAATCGGTCGACCCGTACGCATCAAAGACAAGGACACGATCGGCTTTGATAAGAACACGCAGGTGCAGCAGGTTGATTAGGATCGCGCTCGGTCGGATGAGGATGTGAGGCAGGGTGGAAGAGTCGATCTTGCGTAGGTCACGAGGGAGGAGGCCGTACTGTTAAAAGAGTTAGCCAGAAAGGTAGTGTTGTTTACGAGTGAGAACCACTGACCTTGGCTATCAGTTCTGACTTGCGAAACTCTCCATTGACCAGGGTGACGTTTCCATTCTTGTCGAATTCCGTGCACCGAATCCGAAGCTCATTTGAGGCTTTCGCCGCGAGTCCCCGGCCGATATTGAACAACCCGTCGGTTCCCTCATCTGTCGTCGCGGGACCTTGGTTGCGATGACTTTTAGGGTCGGCAGTCTTGCCGCGTTTAAGATCAAACAGTCTTCGGAGAAATGGGCGACGAGTAGTGGAGGCATTTCGGGTGAGCGTAAGCGGCCCTAATGATGAGATTGTCGCCGATGGCTTCGGCCTGACGTCGGATAGGTAGGGTGTTGTGCAGTCCAGAGTCGGGTGATTCTGGCATGAGTCCTGGCGTGCCCAGCTTGAAGTTCTTCGGGATACCGACGTCAGGGCCGCATGACACGGCGCCCGAGGTCTGGGCCGCACACATGCTGCGGGACCACTCGCAAAGCCAGATTGCGAGCGCAGAAACCGCAGCAGAGAAGCTGACGGAGCAGACGGCTTCAACGGAGACAGCATGTCACCGTGGTGTTGACTGTTGCTGCACAGAAGAGCCGATGATCTCAGTCGCGGCATTTTTCCCGCGTGCCGGAATAAGGTTAATCCGGTCAACAGAAGTATTGCACAGGATTGGTTCTCTGAATTGCCTCGTTTACTTTTCAAGGCCCCGAACCAACTTGTTTCTGTTGTTTCATAAGTCTAAAACTCAATAGCTTTATCATATTTTCTGGTGTGAAATAAGATCACTCTTCGTAAAAATCCAGAGAGGGCGTGATTGGACGGAAGAGAATTATTTAGAAAAAGACTTGGAGGCCATTCGAAATGACAGACATGAAGACATAGAATTCTCATTCATTTAGCTTCAAAACCTTGGAATCTGATAGTTAAAACCATCATGCCTGATAAGCCATCAAGCGGTACCATAGTCGTTGAGGTGGACTGTATGCATAGGGCTACTCCATATATAGAACATATAATTAGTTTGAGAGAAGCAATGGAACTGGCAAAACAATGTACAGAGTCTTAACTTCAGAGAAATCACACTGGGAAACGGTCTTGAAACCCAACGCCCGCGGGAACTAAAGGACATCTCAAGCATAATTGCGCTGTATAGTTGCTCATCATTGATAATATTGTCAATCCACACAGCATGAGCATGTTGTCAAGACCCTTAGTATAATTGGAGGACATAAGCGGAGCCGCCAGGTTCGTTCAATGTACAGTATGCAATTTATCGGAGAATGCCGACGGTTGGTAAACCCGGCAGCTAGAACATCGTATGGAAGCATGGCGCATAAGAACTAAGGCAGGACGGTCGGGGAGATGGCCGAGAAAGGAAGCAGTGTAAATTTCAATTTTAACAAGTGAGCAGATCCCGCCAATGACCAAACTCGAAGTTATACAACACGCCCATCCACTCACAGTGTCTGCAGGCTAAATTGAATTAGCAGGGACGTCAGTGGCTCTATGGTTGAATAGCCGATTCGATCGTGCCTGGTCACCAATCACTATCCCCTTTGTGGATGTAGCGAATGATAGTTGCACATTACAATCCCCATCCTGGTTAGTCTTGCGCCAATCAGTTGCCCGCCCAGCGCCCATGTGTCGTCGGTCAACTGCGGAGTCCGACGTTAGTGTGGTTCTGGTGGGTTTAGCTCGACTCCTTAGCAGGCTTAGTTTGCTTAGTTCCCACCTGCACATCGGTACAACCTCGTTTAAACCCCTGCTGAATATGCCAATCGTGCTCTTATCCCCCTGCACGTGGAATGTTCTACCATGACTGGTCGCTTATCAGCGCGCCGCTGCAGGTTTCTCGACCGCTATGGCAGCTTCCCAGGTAGATAAAGATCGGCTGCCTCGCGATCGTTTGGTCGTGCGACACGAGCTCCAATTCCTCTCACCATGAAGGCTACTACTGCTTCCGTCCTGTTGGCCCTGTCGGCGGCCGTCGCTGCCCGCCCTACGGTCGATACTGAGTACGACTACACCGGCCCAGAAGTCCCAGTTGGCGATTGGATTGATCCCACCGTCAATGGCAATGGCAAGGGTTTCCATCGTCTCGTCGAGCCGCCTGCTGTAAAGCCTGCTAGCTCCAACCCGACCAACAACGTCAATGTGATCTCGCTGTCCTACATTCCTGATGGCATGCACATTCATTACCAGACTCCCTTTGGTCTGGGCTGCGCTCCAGAGGTTAAGTGGGGAAAGAGCCCAAGGAAGCTGAACAAGGTCGCTACGGGCTTCAGCCACACGTAAGTATCTTAAAAACGCGTCCTATATACCTCAATTGGGCTCCTTGTAACTCATTCCAATAGATACGGTCGCACTCCATCTTGCTCCCAAGTCAAGGCTGTCACCCAGTGCAGTGAATTCTTCCACGAGGTTTCTCTCGAAAAACTCCACCCTGGCACCACCTACTACTACCAGATTACTGCTGCCAATGGCACCACCGAGTCTGAGATCTTGAGCTTCAAGGCCGCCCAGAAGGCTGGTGATGACCAGGAGTTCAGCGTGGCCGTGTTGAACGACATGGGTTACACTAATGCTCACGGTACTCACAAGTACCTAGTTCAGGCTGCCACCGAGGGTACTGCTTTTGCCTGGCACGGTGGAGATATCAGCTATGCTGATGACTGGTACTCGGGTATTCTGCCCTGCGAGGATAGCTGGCCCGTTTGCTACAACGGCACCAGCACTTCTCTGCCCGGTGGTGGCCCCATCCCCGACGAGTACAAGCAGCCACTTCCCAAGGGCGAGGTTCCCAACCAGGGCAGTCCCCAGGGTGGTGACATGAGTGTTCTGTACGAGTCCAACTGGGACCTGTGGCAGCAGTGGATGGATGATGTCACTACGAAGATTCCTTACATGGTTCTGCCTGGTAACCACGAGGCTGCTTGCGCCGAGTTTGACGGCCCTGGCAATGTCCTCACTTCTTATCTGAATGACAACAAGGCCAACACCACTACCGCTAAGGCTGCATTGACCTACTATAGCTGCCCGCCTTCCCAGAGGTAAGAAAACATATCATGTCTCTTTTCTCAGAGAAGACAACTAACTGAATAATACATAGAAACTTCACGGCCTACCAGCACCGTTTCCGCATGCCCGGTGAGGAGACTGGTGGTGTTGGTAACTTCTGGTACTCTTTCGACTACGGTCTCGCCCACTTTGTCTCCATCGATGGCGAAACCGACTTCGCCAACAGCCCCGAGTGGTCCTTCGCCGAGGATATCAAGGGCAACGAGACCCACCCCAAGGAATCGGAGACTTTCATCACTGACAGCGGTCCTTTCGGTGCTGTCGAGGGCAGTGTCAAGGACACCAAGTCTTATGAGCAGTACAAGTGGTTGAAGAAGGATCTGGAGAGTGTTAACCGCAAGAAGACTCCCTGGGTCATTGCCATGAGCCATCGTCCCATGTACAGCTCTGCCTACTCCTCTTACCAGCTGCACCTCCGCCAGGCGTTCGAGGACCTGATGCTTGAGAACGGTGTCGATGCGTATATCTCTGGGTGAGTGATCGCAGTCCCAAAAATTGGAGAACTCTCGTCACTAACGAATCTACAGTCACATCCACTGGTACGAGCGTCTCTTCCCTCTCGGCGTGAACGGTACCATCGATACTGCTTCTATCATCAACAACAACACCTACTACACCAATGCCGGAAAGTCCATGACTCACCTCATCAACGGCGCGGCCGGAAACCTCGAGAGCCACAGCGAGTTCAGCTCGGGCCAGAGCCAGAAGAACATCACTGCCGTTCTCAACAACGTGGACTACGGCTTCAGCAAGTTGACCGTCGTTAACTCCACTGCTCTCAAGTGGGAGTACATCCGCGGCGGCGATGGCAAGGTCGGCGATTCGCTGACGCTGTTGAAGCCGGCTGGCTACAAGCCTGGCAAGAACAATTAGAAGATGATCTTCCCTGGAAGTTGTATGTATGCATAGGAGATTGTTGTATATATAGCTGGAACCAAATTGTACTCAATATGTATTGGCTTTCAAATGAGCCCAGTAGTCATCTAGAGTTTAGATCTTTTGTCATATTTAAATTATTATAAGTTCGTTGACACTTGCCTTGGCAGTATCTATCATCTCTATCCACATAGGCCTCTCATCTGGCCTGTAAGGACTGCATTCCATATCATGCAAAAGACCCACCGTAGCAAGCTTTTCTAGCATCTCGTGGGGATGCCATTCATATCGCATCAAGTCTTTGAAGGATACTCATCCGCATTGCAATCCACAAGTAGCAATTTTTGCGGGGGTTCCCCCTTTCTAGCTCATCTTCGGACAGCACGGAACTCGATTTTCCATTTTCCCTTGTCTGGGAGAGAACTCGGGACGCTTCCCTTCCGCATGACTTCTGCAAGAGCGGAAACTTGGCATTTGGTCGCGCGGAACGTTCTTGACAATTTATATGGCAAATATAGAAAGCTTGAAGTAAAATGCTGGAAAAGAGAGTATCGGCACTATACAAAACCGATTGTAGAGCGGAGTTCCTAAGGTTATAAAAGTGGAGCGGAGCGGAGGATTTAGTTCGTTCTAATTTCTCCGTCGGGGGAACATCTTGTGAAGCACACTCTCTAAGAGATTATGCTCGACACCTCAATATGAGATGAGAGCGCTTATCTGTCAGGGGCGGCTTGCGTTACAACAAGCTTGTCTTTCTAAGAACGCCGATCGAAATCACTTGCCACTTTATAGTCCGTGTTTTGTGGTATATACAAACTTCGGTAAGAAGGAACTCATGATTTCACCTGGTATGTAATTCTACCATTACGTATGGACTTTCGACTAATGAATACAGGGCTTGATGGGAAGCTCATTGATTCCTCAATTCCCGTGCCAGGACCTGACGAGCTTCTCGTCCGCGTGGTGGCAGCCGCGGCAAATCCCAAGGATTGGAAAGCATCTGAGCAGCATGGACTTACTTCGAATCCAGGTGATGACATGGCCGGAATCGTGGAAGCCGTCGGTAGCGATGCTTTTGAATTCAAACTAGGGGATCGTGTCGCTGCTTTACACCGTGCCTTCACACCCCATGGAAGTCACAGTGGCAGTTCAAAAGTCTGAATCTAGATTCAACTTCCTGGAAGAAGATCGTTCTGGATTTGTTTGAAATCGGGTTTCTTGATAGTTTAGGTATGACTTTTTGGTTCATCGTTCAACTCGTAGCCAATTGGATGATATTGAACATTTGTCAGGGTGTCAAACATGTGGAACCCAACTCTTAACTGAGCGAAAACAATCTAAATCTTGGAGTAATTCGAGAAATAATCACTGCGCAACATATGCAGCCAAGATAGGTCCATTTTCTCAATCAACTGTCCTCTTCACCTTGAAGTAGCAATGTGAGGGCTGATCGTCGCTGTGGATAGTCCTAACCAAGAACCGGAGCTGTTCCCTCAAGAATATGAAGCATGGATATCCGTCGCATGAGAACCACCTAGCCAGAAAAAAGACAATAGTTCGTCAGATAACATCAAGATTGCTTCAAAAGCTCTATCGCCTCTCGTAATGCCTCTAAAATAGCCCTAGCGTCGGTCGGTTCGGAACTTTCAGAATCGGTCTCATCGGGCTCCCGATCCGAAGATGATTCTGCTAAAGTTACTCCGGCAATCCAGGTGTCAACAGAACTCGGTGCCGTTTCTGACGAAGTAGATTCGGAAAGAGAGAATCTCGGCTCATCGAGGTCCATCCCCGATCGTCGCTGATTCTGCCCCTCAATCTCTGGACCACATTCCAGATCCTTCTGGGTGTTGATGGAACGAAGTAATCCGTTCTACGTACGGTTAGACGATCTTTGTATGGATGAGAAAGGACGGAACATACAAATGCTCAATAGAATCGACATGAGGCACCCCAGGAATATCATCATTGGAAGTAGGATCAAGACTTTTAAGAAGTTTTCGATGCTCTGAGCCGCATAGTGCGCTGCTTGAATAGATAAGAAGAGTAATATCGCCACGGTCAGACATGTCATGAATCCCAGGTTTATGGTCAGGATCCAACGATTCACTCTTGCTGGATTCATTTTGAGAATGCGTTGACGGAAGATAATGTGGCTGGATTATGGAACGAAAGTGTTGAGAGACTGTTGCTAAATTTTCTGTGAATCAGTGGGCTCCCAGGTCTCCTCCGCTACCTAGACTGGTCACTACTATTCCTTTTCTGCCGCATTCTCTGCGTAAAATCGGCTGAGCTATTTCATTATTACAACCAGAAAAGAGTCTACGTCATTCTCCATTTGAGGGCCATGGGTTTTTAGATCATCAATTATTGTTCGGCATTCATACATATCTCTTGAGAAGCGCCGCACAGAACATGACATCAATCAAAGACTACCTCAATGTCCCACACATTTAAGACGTATGAGCGACTCCCCACTGTTAAAAGCTCTGACATGCTACCATGGAGGCTTGCCGTCGGCACATTCCTTCGCCCTTCCAGGGCGATTCTTCCATTGCATGCGAATAGCTTTTTCGCCTGCCACATATGCTTTCAGCAATTCCCTCTGAGCTCAGCTTGGAAAGATTTAAACATTTCCACAAATATATAGCCAAATTCAAGACATATCTGAGGGAATACCCGTAGCATAGCATAGAGCACACAAAGCACTCCAGTCAGCAGCATTGCCTGAAAGCTGCACCATAAAAGAGAATCGAGACTTTTCTCAATGGATGGCATGTTAAGAATTGCGAAGGATAAGACGGTTAAGCGCGGACCAAAAATCTTGAGGAAGGAGAGTCGAAGACTGATTGCCCAGTAGTTATGGTTGGCACAATAAACCTAGTGGACCTTTCCTACAGTAATGCAGTAATACAGTCGTAATCGTTTCTCAAATAGGCCTAGTCAAAGCAATGGCAACCCAACTAGTTGCAAAACACGGGTTAGTGATAACTAGAAGGTCAGGTTGCCTTGATTTATGTATGTAGTTGAGCAAGGAGGATTGCTGCAAGTATATTCTGCAACCATTCAAAAAGAAAACGGTTTTTCGTATCCGCCTCCGCGAAGTGGAGCTCATCAGCCAGGGTTATATCGGCCCTTATAGACGATTTCGATTTGCGCCCAAAGCCTGGTGTCGGACACTATGATGGCTCCAGAAGTTTGAAGCCATGTCAACTTTTCAAAATCATTTTCGGTGGAACAATAGAACAAGAGGTGATACCAATATTCAAGAAAGACCAAAAGACCTTTCTCAAAAGAATATAGGGGATCCATATCCGATTAGATCCTTTCTTTGCTCTCTAAATTCAAAATTTCGAAGTGCTACCTACTGTAACATGACGGTACTTAATCCCTACCGTTGACGCTTGACGTGGTTGAAGTTGATGCTTGATGTTGATGCCATCTGCCGCCGCAGACATCCTAATCCTATTTAGATAACTCGGGTTGATCGGTTGAGGTTATGTAATGAAGATGTTTTTGTGATTGGTCCACATTCATGTCCCTCCACAAATGCCACTTGATGAATATCCATGAAAATAGAGAGAGCAGCAGAGTTACGAGTAACTAGACCCTTTTTCATACTGTCATTCATGTGGTGGTCATTGCCCAAATAGGACTAGTGCGTAGCCCCGACCCCCACCAGCAACGATAAGAAGAATCACGTGGAGATTACCGTCCGCAAAAGGGCAGCCCAGATCACGTGTCGCACTTTAGCGAGGCGCACCACAATTGGACCCAGCAAGGAAGAACACCGCGATCCCCGATTTTCGACCATCACCAAACGCCAACCGACACCTCGTCTGCGCATCCCCCGTCAAGATGCGTACCTACGACGACTCCTTCTCCGGCCAGAAGATCTACCCCGGCAAGGTGCGTTCTTAAATTCACCCCTCGTCGGCGTGTGTGGGAGGAGATTAAACGGGATTTGTGCGATTTCAACCACGACGACCCTCGACGTGACCAACCCACCACCCATTTTCACTTCCGCGACCTACGCCCGCTCGATTCGCAGAAATCTCGTTGCGCACACACACACACACACACGACGTTCATTGCTTGGGTTATTTCGGTTTCGCTAATGCTTTATGTTTTGCTTGTTATAGGGTAAGCTGTACGTCCGTGGCGACAGCAAGATCTTCCGCTTCCAGAATGGCAAGTCCGAGTCGCTCTTCCTCCAACGGAAGAACCCCCGCCGCATCGCCTGGACTGTCCTCTACCGTCGCCAGCACCGCAAGGGTATCTCTGAGGTCCGTTATCAACCCCTCCATTTGGTTTTCGTTCGGAATAGTTGTGGCGGAATACAAAAAGGCCGTCTAATCAGACGCACGATTCGATATCGCGACACTTGAAACAGACGGCGCAAGAGGAGGAAGTGTCTCGATGGCACTATGAATTGTTGGATGGATATCAAATTGGAGATGGAAATGCTGACCGGGTCTTGTTTTCGTCATTATACAGGAGGTCGCCAAGAAGCGCACCCGCCGCGTCGTGAAGCACCAGCGTGCCATCGTCGGTGCCTCCCTCGAGCAGATCAAGGAGCGCCGCACCCAGCGCCCCGAGGCCCGTGAGGCCGCCCGCAAGCAGGCCATCAAGGAGGCCAAGGAGAAGAAGGCTGCCGCCAGCGCTGCCAAGAAGGCTGACAAGGCCAAGACCGCTGCCTCCGCCGCCAAGGGTGGTGCTCAGCGCATCTCCTCCAAGCAGGGTGCCAAGGGCTCTGCCCCCAAGGTCGCCGCCAAGTCTCGCTAAATTTCATGACACGATGACGAGGTCTGGCAATTTGGGGAAAAAGAGAGGTGTTTTTCTTTCTTTCGTGTTGACGGTTTGCGATATGATGGAACTTGCGGAACTCGGGTGCTGGAGTTCGACTGTCTCTATGAGGACAGGGCTACGGGCCAAATCACTTTTTTACCCTTGATTCTGGAACACTGTTATGCAGAAAAATGGGAACTAAAGAATCTACGAAAATTTTCAAACCACCGCAAGAATATTTGCTTCTTCTGTCTCTATGTGTTTGCCTGAGTACCTCGAGACTACTCGTTCACTAGGCTGTTCGGCCTGTTGTATTCTACGATGGACCGGGTCGTAGAGTATCAGATCCCAGATCTGGTAGTGGGATATTTTGCTTATGGGAATTGCAAATTGCAATGGACTGTAGCTGAACAGCAACCAGCTATTCAGTGGGTATCTCGACCATTCATGACGTAGGTTTTATGGAGAAATTGAAGGATCAGCCTGAAATTGTCGATTGCGTTTCCAGAGCCTCTATTAACATCTAAAATCTATCCTGTTCCGCCTTGGCGAATATTCATCCATTCCTGGGAATTCAACATCTACTTGACTCCACAAAAGCACTATCGTACAAACAGCATGGTCTTGCAAGACCACGACTATCAACACTTCTGCTGCCATGGTAGCCAGGGTATGTTCAAACGAACCGAGGTCAATGACTTGGCGTATGCTGAGGATCGATCGCTCTGAACCATCGGGGAACGATAGTTGCACATCCACTGCGACTGACCCAGTCGTGTTTGCTAACCCCGGTAACAAGAGGCGGCTGATTTTGCTCTTTTTTCATAAATATAACTGTGCTATGCACCAAGTGCAAGCCCTGTCGGGCTGGTTATTCGAATGCCCTAAACGCCAGTAACCCCAAACCCGAAAAGAAGTTGACACTGAATACTTGTAAAGCCCACTCAGTAGTAGTGAGCCATCTCCAGACCAGCCCGCTTGAAGCCGCACTTGACGTAGAAGCCCTCGTTGGCTTCGGAGCAATCAAGGATGCTCTACACGATAGTTAGTTTGTGTCCCTCCAAGAAAGAAGAGCACGCAAATAAACGACGAAAAAGCACGGGAAAAAAGGGGGAAATTACCTTGTAGCAGCCAACCTTCTCAGCAACAAAGTCCAAGGCCTGAATAATCCGCAGACCCAACTTCTTGCCCTGCTGGTTCTTCTCCACCGCAATATCCTCAATGTGGCCCACCATGCCAAGCGAGTGAATGAACTTGCGCTCCACGATCAAGCTACCAGTACCGACGATGTTGTCCTGGCCGTCGCAGACAACCAGCATGTAGTATTCGTCATTGCGGGAAGCGATCCAGTCGTAGCGCTGGTCCCATGCTTCCTCGCTGATCTCGCCGACGGTCGTCAGCACGCGCAGGACATCCAGGTAGCCGCGCTTGTAGTCGGAGCGGCGCAGGGGGCGAATGGTATAGTCTGTTGGCAAAATGGAGATAATCTCGGGGGAGATCAGGGAGGAAGGGAAGAGGGGGCCGTCATTCTCGATGTCCACGGGGATGACGGTGGAGTTCATGATGGGCTTGGTGGGTTCGGGGATGGTGGTAGCTGCGACGGCGGGAGTGGTCATTGTGTTTTATGATGATTTGTATATTGAAGAGTGAGTCCTCGGGAAGTCGATTGGGAGTGGAAGAGAGAGAAGGGAGAAAAGTCGGGGGGAAGAGGAATTGCGATCGCAGTGGGTTTTTGTGTTGATCGGGTCAGGGGAGGGGCGAATGGTTTGAAACGGCGGGGTGTTAGCGCAAGGGAGATCGACCACCGATTGAGGGGATAATAGACAGTTTCTTGGAGGCAATTGAACTGGAAGGAAGGGAGAACGGAGGATAGAAAATGTTCAGAAGGTCAAAAAGTAAATTGAAAGCCAGCGAGAAGAAAAAAGAATCAACAACAATCAATGTTAGAAACGGTCCCACGGTTCAGGTGGCTGAGACTGAGACAGAGAGTGGCTCGTGCAATTGTTGCTATTAATATACAGCGACTTACTCAGTACCAATGCCGACGGTTCAATTCCACAGAACATTATAGTAACTAGTTAGCATATTTAAGAGCCATTTTTAAGAACATTATTCCCGGTATAAGCGATATATGGGATGGACGACAGACATGTCATAGTCCTTTAGCCCCGAGGAATTCTCGTCTCCTACTGTCCAGCTACCATACAGCTACCATAACCCTGTCGAGACCATCGCATTATACCCCACATAGCACTTGCAGGTAAAGGAAGCTAAGTCAGGCCAATGAATTTTGACTGACTGGCTGATAGCAAAGCAAGACTCCCTCGATTGATCACACCTTCCTTCCAAGGTGTGAAATGTTGAGAGCGCCTAGTTTGAAGGCATTGGAATAGCAATCTGCCCCGGCACAAGTGTTCCCACCAGATTAATCCTTCCTCCTGTAAAGGATGAATACAGGGAGAACGGAAGAAGTCGAAATCGACTAGATCGCCAATTCGTAAATGATCCCCGTTCCTGACCCTGACTTTCGCTTCTGTGTATGCGGTTCCTTGTACTAGCCCTCCTTCATTCTCCACTAGCCCGATACAAGATCGAGGAGGCTGCTGAAACAATATTAGAGTCCAATTAGCTTCTTTTCGGAGAAAACGTTGTCATCCCGAGGATCAAACGGTGGTATCTCGATCTCTCTAATATTCGGTGCTCCGACGCGTTGTGCCTGTTTTGGGCAGAACCATGGTCATATATGCTTTTCTAGTAATGGGTTGCGACTACCTGGTGTCCCGCGTGGGAGAGTGCATCTCACGGGCTTGAAGAATAGGGTGGCTTGTAGATCGGCCGAGTCTTGAAGTAGATCATGCCATCGATGGCACACTCTTTGGGCCGATGTGAGTAATGTGTGCATATCGGTCTGGTTAAAATCATTTCCAGGATCTCGGTTATCAAGAAGACATTATGCGGCTCTGTTGAAGCCATAATCTCAAAAGCCAGTAGAATTGGAGTATGCGATGATTCGAAGACGGTGGAACAAAGGCGATAGCCTACCTTGAGGGCCGGCAACTTTGCGGTTTACGTTCGTCATCAAGTCAGACAGACGCCGACTTGGTGTTGGCACTTCCTATAAAGGGCAAGCTCTGTTACCTAGTTAGTTATGTGCCTCAACATGTAGTCACTAGTCACCCGTACTAGACCCCGGCCCGTACCAAACTGACGTCGGTCATGTTTCTTCTAAGGTGCGGTCTTGTACATGGTGGTATCTACACGCTACCAAGCAATTCACACTCTCGGCTAGTAACCCAACTAAAAAGCTACCCTACGGCGACGAACAAGATTAAATTAGATGCAAAAGTAAAATTTTCAGTATACAAAGCCTATCAAGACTTGTTTATAGTAGCACAGAGTTTCGGACACACCACACCGCCGTGCGATCCGTTTATTTCTTCTCCTTGGGAGCCAGCATCAGCTCGGGGCGGACGTGCTGGTCAAACTCCTCGGAGCTGAGAGCCTTGAGTTCCATGGCGCTCTCCTTCAGGGTGATACCCTTCTTGTGGGCGTTCTTGGCCACCTTGGAGGCCATGTCGTAGCCAATGACGGGGTTCAGGCAGGTCACGAGCATCAGACTAAAGCAAGAAAGGTTAGAGTTTTGTATTATCGAACAAAGGGGTTGCAGAAGAATGGAAAGGGTGCGAAATAAGGGGAAATGGGATGAAACATACCTCTCGTGCAGGAGAGAGTTGATGCGGGTCTCGTTGGCCTCGAGGCCCTCAACCAAGTGGAGGCGGAAGCTGTCCATGCCGTCGGACAGGATACGCACGCTGTGGAGCAGGTTGCGGATCATGACGGGCTTGAAGACGTTCAGCTCGAACTGGCCGTTCATGCCACCGATGGTAGCAGCGACGTGGTTACCCATCACCTGGGCGCAGACCATGGTCAGGGACTCGCACTGGGTGGGGTTGACCTTGCCGGGCATGATGGAAGAGCCGGGCTCGTTCTCGGGCAGGATCAGCTCGCCGAGACCGCAGCGGGGGCCGGAACCGAGGTAGCGGACATCCTGGGCGATCTTGAAGAGAGAGCCAGCAAGAGTGTTGAGGGAACCGGAGGCCTCGACAATGGAGTCGTGGGCAGCAAGGACCTCGAACTTGTTGGGGGCGGTCTTGAACTCGGTGCCGGTCATCTTGGTGATCTCGGCAGCGACGGCCTCGTCGAAGCCCTTGAAGGTGTTCAGACCAGTACCAACGGCGGTACCACCCTGAGCAAGGAAGCGCAGGTGGGGGATGGAAGCCTGCACACGCTCAATGTTGCGGTCGAGCTGGGCAACGTAGCCGGAGAACTCCTGGCCCAGAGTGAGAGGGGTGGCATCCTGCAAGTGAGTACGGCCGATCTTAATCAACTTGTCCCACTTCTCAACCTTGACCTGCAGAGCGTCGCGCAGCTTCTGGAGCGAGGGCAACAGGGTGTTCTCAAGCTCGAGGACGGCGGCAATGTGCATAACGGTGGGGAAGGAGTCGTTGGAGGAGGCGGACATGTTGACGTGGTCGTTAGGGTGGACGGGCTTCTTGGTGCCCATGGTGCCGCCCAGAATCTCAATAGCGCGGTTGGAGATGACCTCGTTGGAGTTCATGTTGGACTGGGTGCCGGAGCCGGTCTGCCAGACAACAAGAGGGAAGTGATCCAGCAGCTTACCCTCGGCAACCTCAGCGGCGGCCTGCTTGATGGCCTCACCGATCTTGGGGTCTGTTGTAGAAGACTGAAAGTCAGTAACCTTGGATCTGGACTCCAAACACTGCCGTATGATGCAGGCATTACTCACCAAGGCCGTACTTCATGTTGACAGTAGCGGCGGCACCCTTGAGGATACCGAAAGCCTTGACGACGGGGGCAGGCATGCGGTCCTGGGGCTGGTTGATGTCGAAGTTGCCCAGGGAGCTGGTTCCCATTTGCATATCAGCTTTCCTCCGCTCATTGTGTATATCCATATTCGCTATCGAGTTCGTTCGGGGTTCGTCTTACCGCTGGGTCTGGGCACCCCCAGTACTTGTCTCCAGGGACCTATATCGCAAAACCAAGGTTAGCTATTTTATGATGGTACGATGAGGGGCAGTTTTAACAAATGTCACTCACCTGGATTTCACCAAAGGCATCGCTTTCAGTGCGGGAAGCAGTAGACTAGATTCTGCGCATCAGTAAACCCAGTCCCGATAGCTGTTGAGCGCCGCGTTCCTTACCATGTTGACGGTGGTGCTGAAGGCTCTCTTGTTGTTGTTGATGAGCTGAAGACGGGGGAATTGGCCGAACTGGCGGCTATTGGAGCTCAGAGCCCGGCTAGCAAAGACCGGGGAACGAGCAGCAACCGACAGAGCGCTGCGGGCTGCGGGGTTGGCAGCTCTGGCCGCATGTGTTAGGGTGGCCATCGAGCGCACCGCGGCTCGGGAGGAAGCAGGGTTCATTGTGACCGTGGAAATGTGTATTTGGCTGGTGATGGACAAGGAAAGGCGTAAACAGGCCCAATTGGCTCGCGCAGAGGCGTCTGTGATGGACAAGAAGGGGATCGGGACCGCGAGTTCTCCTTTAAAAACGAGAAGCAGAACAAAAAGTTGAGATTCGCCCTGGCGACTCCGTTGAGTCCAGCCGAAACTTCCCGGTATCCGGATGACCGAGCAACGCCCGATGCCCGAGTTCAACTGCCGGTAATTTTCGTAGAGTCAGGTATGGTATGGTCACAGCTCTTATACATTCACCCCGTCACTTTCCCACATAAAACACAACAGCCAAGAACTAGACTGTCTATCAGATCAGAGATCAGATAACAACTCAATTCTAATCTATGACCTTACAACATTGTACTCCGTGCTTACAAGACGCAGCCTGGCTCAAAAGTCCATTCCCTGGATTCGTCTGCTAATGACCATACCTAGCTGAACCTTTCTCCTTCCATCGCCATAGAGCGAGCTCCCCCAGATCTGGCCCTCTACGCTAGAAGCTCCCGCTTCAGCGCAGCGACCACAAGGACATTGTACTCAAGCCCGCTGTCCAAGATCCCATCCAATACAGCAAATGTGTGCGGAACGCGACGAAACTGGTTGATATCGACTCGATTACCGGCAGACTTGAGCTTGTAGGCGTAAAGCTCGCCTTCGTCGCACAAAGGATCCAGCTCCGCTGTTGACACTAGTGCCGGAGCCAGGTTCGCAAAGTTTGGTGCAAGAAAGGGCGAAATCTTCCAGTCCTGCAAGGGATCATTGAGATTGAGCTCTTCAGTCTAGGGGTATCACAAGCCGATACTTACATCTGCAGACGGTGCTGGTCGAGGCACTCCGAGGTAATGCCGGTGAAAGTACGCCATTCGCGCAGCTGGAAGGGCTGCCGTGAACTCCATCTCCCGGTACGAATCGTACGGGGAGCCTGCACGATCGAATTGACCCTCGGCGGTAAAGGTGCTATTAAAATCGCAGATGGGAACGGTCAATATCTGAAGCCGTAGAGGGATACCCGCATCGCGACAGAAATGAGCCAAAACCGCGGCCATATTGCCTCCAGCAGATGCACCGCCCACGGCGAATCGGTCAGGGTCAAGATTGAACTCTTCTGCTTTCTGGGAACGAATCTAGTTCTGGGAGTTAGCCTGGTAGCCATAAGATTGGAAATTCTCTGTCGTATCTCACCCAGTTGAATGCAGCCCAGCAGTCGTCCAAGGGAATCGGAAAGCGATGCTCAGGTGCAAGCCGATAGTCCACGTCGAATGCAACAAGGTCTCCATCAAGGCGATGAACAATCATTTTGCAAAAGTCGTGATCGACCTCCAGGCCTCCGAACACCCATCCACCTCCGTGGAAGTTCACATAGGCCGCTCTCTTCTGTGGCTGGCCGTGCTCATCTTTCTTGGGCTCCGGTTCAAAGATTCGAATGGTGATCTCTCCTCCCTCCACTGGACACTTTTTCTCTGAGATGCAATAGACATCCGGGCCACGGTCACGCCCATAGGAGATCGTGTAGCGGGCTGGGTTCTTTCGGAACTCTTCGATGGGTACTTCATGGGTATGCAGACGGCCCGCGTTGTGCTTGTTGTAGAAAATGATGTAGTCAGGGTCAAACCGATACAGCAGTTCTGCAGGAATGCTGTTATGAAGTGGCTGGAGGATATCCCGTGCCCTCCAGCGATGCAGAGCTTGGTTGCGTGCTGGGGGTGTATCTTCAGTATCTTCAGCCATGATGAAGGTGCGTGTAGGATCGAGAGTACAGGACTTTTGGAGATTCCCTAAAAAGCCCGCTACACGAGTGGTCGATTCGTCGTCGATTGTGAGGGGAAGGAGCTATTAGGCACATCACTACTGACAGCCTAATTGGATCATTGCTAAGGTGGTACAACCTGCAGCGCGGGGCCATGCCGCTGTCATTATGCCCGTACAACGAGTGTCCATGGCCAGAATAACAAACGGAAATGAGAAAGTTCAAGGAATTAATTTTGCGTTTATGTAGCTAGGTCGGTTTACGGAGCCTTGATCGGTCTTCCAAATTCAATTAGGCCGTTCCTCCGGTTCCTGCATCGTTCCAGGGCTCTTTCCACACTGTGCTGTCCCGCGACATTGATGTTGTGGTGGAATGGAAACACGGATCTTTTTGGAATGAGCTTTATAACACCTGGTTCTGTTTGCTGATCATGTAGGTGTGGAGGTGTGGAATGAGGCAGGTTATTTTTTGTGGTATTGCAGTAGATACCTACCTACGGATACCAGATGTTGGTGAATATATATCGAGTGAACCAAGTCCACAAATGTACATCATTAAATTCCATGCGCCGAATCTATAACCTATCTTTCTCAAAGATTGGGCAAGAAGTAGGACTTCTAATAGAAAATCCAGTGACTCTACTAATAAAAACTCGGTTGTCTAAAATAACAACCTACCAGTTATAGGTCGTGAAACAGCTCATTGGGCATGACCACCGCGCAGTCGGAAAAACCCCGAATCAACATCAATAATCCATGTGGCAAGGCCTTAAAACCGAGAAGCGAGTGTATGAGAATAATGAAAAAGAAGAAGCGGGTCAAAACTGGACTGGAGGCATGGTACTAGAGTACCTATAGTATGTCTCTACCTAATATCGTTGGGCGGACCTTCCACGACTAGAATAGTCCACAAGGTAACGACATACCCTAGAAAAAGCTGTAAGAGCCCTGTTTAGTATTTTGAATGATATCCTTGTCTATAGTTCCTATCAAAGGTAAAAAAGAGGCCTGAGGGCCACCAGGCAGAGTGAAGTCAGCATGCATAAGCTGACGTCCCACGCTTATCTGAAACCTTAACCCCAGGATCTGCTGGAACTAGTGCAAGCTTTTATCTTTTATTTCATCCGTCATCATCATCACTGGCAAGGCTATCAACGGCATTTTGGACCTCGTGACAACCTCAAGCACTCGATGAAAACCCTGATTGATGAAAGAAGATGGAATACCGCTATTAAGCGGTTCTTCCCGCGGGGCAACAAAACTGCCGGGGAGGAGTAGGACAGCCCTGCGATATCGGGTTGACTCAGCGCCTCGACCGATCTCCGAATCTGTCACCAAACTTATACTTCGCAATTCTTTTCCGCAACGCGACCAATTCTTACGAGACCAACTGAAACGAGACCTGTCCCATTACGATTCCCATTCCCGCTCAAAATTACACGATGGCCAAGCCTGTTCCTACCCGCCTGACCGTGGCCCCGGTGCCTCCGGACGAGATCTTCGCTTTGAATGCCGCCTACTTTGCCGATACCTACCCACAGAAGGTCAGCCTGGGCGTGGGCGTGTACCGCACCGATGATGGAAAGCCCTGGCCCCTGCCAGTCGTTCAGAAGGCTGAGAAGGAACTGGCCGAGGAGGACGATCTCATGCGACATGAATACACCGCGATCGAGGGCGATATCCCTTTCTTGCCAATTGCGCGGGACTTGATGTTTGGATTCACAGGAGAACAGAGTGAAGAGGAGGCCAAGGCACGCATCGCTACCGTACAGACCGTCGCTGGTACCGGTGCCAATCACCTGGGTGCCCTGTTCCTCGCCCACCACATGAAGCCCCCCACTGTCTGGTTGTCCAACCCCTCGTGGGCCAACCATATGACTATCTGGGAGCTGGCTGGCGTGCCGCGCAAGACCTACCCCTACTACCATGCTGCGACGCGGTCCTTCGACTTCGAGGGCATGATGTCGACTCTGGAGCACGAGGCCCAGGAGGGCGATGTCATTCTGTTGCATGCCTGCGCACACAACCCCACCGGCCTGGACCCGAACAAGGAGCAGTGGATTGCCATCGCCGACCTGTGCGAGCGCAAGAAGCTTTTCCCCTTCTTCGACTCTGCCTACCAGGGCTTTGCTTCGGGTTCCGTCGAAGAGGATGCCTGGGCGGTGCGTTACTTCTTCAATAACAAGCCCGACATGGAGATGTGTGTGGCGCAGAGTTTCTCCAAGAACTTTGGTCTATACGGTCAGCGTGTTGGTGCTTACCACTACGTGACCAATCGTAATGCTACCGTTATCCGCGACGTTATCGTTAACAACCTTTGCCACTTGATTCGTGGCGAGTTCTCCATGGGTCCCCGTATTGGCTGCAGCATTGTGAAGAAGATCTTGACCAATGATGAGTTGGTGGCCGATTGGCACCGCGATCTGCAGGTCATGAGCTCGCGCATCAAGTCCATGCGCCAGGCCCTCTATAACGAGCTTGTTCGTCTGAAGACCCCCGGCACCTGGGAGCATATTATTGAGCAGGTAAGTTTTTGTCTCATGTACTCGGTTCTCTGGCAATTTGCTGATTTATTTAAAAGAACGGCATGTTTTCCTACACTGGTCTTACCCCCAAGCAAGTCTACGCCCTCAAGGACAAGTACCACGTCTACCTGCTCAAGTCTGGCCGCGCCTCCATTAGTGGTTGTAAGTTTTGCCACCCTGGTTCCCCACACTATCAATACTAATATGAATGATTTTAGTGAGCAAGAAGAACGTCGCGTACGTGGCCCAAGCCATTGACGACGTGGTGCGCAACGTGCTGTAGACAAACATAAGTTTAGGACGTGATTCGATTGCACAGCGTTGCTCGGAGGGAGGGGTCTCTGTGGCCTTGTTTTTCGCATAAAAGCCTTACTTTTCCCTCGACATTTGAACATACATTGGGAGGGTACGGAGTATTCAGTGCTCGTTTACGACTGTTGATGATAGAATTCATATAGAATGACAACTACTCAAAGTTCTCACCCGGCTAAGTAGGAAGTATGAGGGGATGGTTGATGTCCAATCGCATTAGAAAAAGGCTATCTACTATACAAAAGAGCAACAAGAGACAAGATCAGGAGCGGGCATCGATACTCATAATGAAGCCCCGCCCTGGAACAGAAAGCGCCCAAACTCAATAGCATGATCCTGTACTGGATATAATCGTAGACGTGCCGTGAGAGACAGAAGGGGGAGAGGATGCAAGGACCCTAGAGTGGCACTTCGTTGAAATCACCCTCGCCCTCCTTGCCTTTACCCTTATCATGACCTGTGTGCTCGAAGTCTCCCTCGGGCATATGCTGTGGAAGGGTGTTCGGGTTGCTTGTTGTCTCATCTCCCCCAGTCTTCTCATCTAAACTTTCTGCATCCCCATTCTGTTGTGCCGATTCGTCTGCGTCGTCAGACTCGTCCTTTGGAGGTGGAGGGGGAGGTGTCTCCTCTTCGTCTTCTGATCCAACTTCCTCGGCTTGTGCTTGCGGCTGGCCGCTCATCTCGCCACCAGGGAACGGTGTGAGAGGCGGCTCAACCGCGGCGGGATCTTCCTCAGTGATTGGTGGCTGGGGACTAGGTCTGACCTGATTGACAGTGGAAGTTGTAGACATGGTTGAGGTGGTCCGTTGGTGAGAGGAGCCGTGAAGTGTACCAAGTTTGCGCGCCTTGGGGTCCGCATTGAGATAGTAATCACGCACGCCAACAATTGTTCCCTCAGACTCGCACGCATCCACCCATTCGGGTACAACGACCGGGATGTTCATCTCCACGGCCTTCTCCCAGAGCTGTCCTCGTCCCTCCGCACAGACAAAGTGGGTGGTATCGATGCGAACAGAGTCGATCATCTTGCCTCCAATACGATCCAATGCATGTCCAAGAGCCTCCTTGCGCTGTGGGTCGAGAACACCAGCGGTCACAGTGATACCGGATAGGTCGGTCATCTTGTGCGTCCGGCACGTCAACTTCTCCGACTGGTAGGTGCCAGCGGTTGTGCGCAAGACGAGGTGGAATGTGTACTCATGGTGAACGGCGAGACCACTGATCTTAGTGCTGCGCGTCTCGAGGGGGCGGGGTATCGAGCCTGCCTTGGAGCCGTTGCGATAGAGGGAGAGCGATTTCAGGGACGCAGTTGCTAGGTCGATTGGATCCCATTCGAGGACAAGGGAGGTCTGGGTAGCATTTCGCAGGCGAAGGATGGGAGGAGAGGGGGTTTTGACACCGTAGGTATTCAGGATGCGCTTCTGGAGAGATTGGAAGGCGGATGCGTTGGTTGTCTCAGCCGCATGGTTGCGCGCAACGGTAATGTCAACAATGCTGCCGGAGGAGATCCCGTTGGGAAGAAGGACAGAGGGGAATTCAATCTGCGTAGAAAAAGCTATCTTAGCGAGCCATTGAGATGATTTGCCTGGCGCAGGGCGCAGAATCGCAGACGAGACCCTTCGTGTTTGGGAGTCTAGGCCACCAGGGGTTGGGAGCTTACCAGGCGGTTGTCCTCGGTCAAGAGGACTGCGACGCCCGCGTCCACCTTGCCAACAGTCAGGGAGACCAGCATGGTGAATGAGAGTCTGGAGGAATGAAATGAGATGGAGGTGGTTGTCGGAGATGAAGGAGACTCGGTGTTCAAAGCCCCGTTGTCCGCCAGATCGGCACTTAGCGAGGCTTGACGCGGCGGGAGCTAAGGGACGGCCGCTTCTATATTTACCTTCTCCACCAACAGAAGGAACTGTTACGCGGCGAATACGGAGTAGTTTACAATTAAATGAACCAAGATTGATGATGTTTGAGTTGGAAATTCAAATAAAAACAGAATATTGTATACAGGCTAATCGCAACCACCCAAACGCCATGCAATGATGCTCCCACCTTTAATGTACAGATATAGACAGATCGTTGGTTAGTATGATACAGAGTGATGTTGTACATGTTGGATCAAAAAGCTTCTTGAAAGCACTCAAGAAGACTTGGTCTTGTGGGTGGCACGCTCACCGCGCCGCTCTCGCTGTTTCAAGAGGCTTTGCAAGAGAAAGTCGGCATCTTTCTGCACAGCCTCGAAGCTTTGGTGCACACACGAAGGGCGGATAGTGATATCCAAAGATCCTAAGAGAGCTTGCTTCTGTATTGAAGAAGACAAATCAAGGTGATGCCCTAATCTATCAAACCCTTGTCGCTTGAGTGCTTCCTGGAAAGCGATGCGCGCCCTCCGAGCACACCAGGATCGAACAGTCCGTTTAAACTGGTTCAGATGTGATACTGACACCCGCCACCAAAGGGCATTTGGATCACGATGCTCATGCATGTATGCAATCTTTGGCCGAATCGGATGGACTGGAGAACCCAGGTAGCGTTGGGCAACTGGGGGTATCACGGACTCGGAAGTGTATCTGAAGAGCATGTTGCCCGAGGAAGAGAGGAATTTCATAGTGGAAGGATCGAGGATAGTGGATATTTTGCCAATTCAGGCTGTGGGGAGTTTGAATAGAGGCAGCGTATCGGTATCATAGCGAAAGGGAAAGAGTGTTCATTGATCGCATCGGAGGTAGCACAGCGGTGCTTGGGATGAGAAGACCGGTCTCGTGTAGTTTCGTGTTTGCGCCGCTCTTGCCAGTCGCAGCTTTTGCGGATTAAATTGGCAGAAATAAGAGAATGAAGTATAGCTCAGCGGTGAAACCAATGTTCAGGAACCAAGGGCTCTCCCAAGGCCCGAAGTGAAGTGCCGTTGCTGGTTATTGACTTCATCATGCTTCTGGTATCTTTTTTTCTGCCCAAAGCACAGCGAGCGGTGAATGTTAAGGCCTGCAAAATCAGGCCATACATCGCCACTGGGCCGTCGCTTTGTGCCTGATTAGCTAAGCCACAGGTTTGATATATCGGCACAGATCCTCCCCCCCCTTTGCTTCCTTTCTCCTCTTTCCACCAGACTCTCCGGGGATATCACCTCATCTTTCTACGTCGCATTTTGACGCAGAAATACTCGAGATACCGACACACAGCCAGACTCAAGTCCAGTGAACGTCGCACCCCGCCGCCATGCCCAAGAACAAGGGAAAGGTAAGCGCGCAAAATATTCAGCCCCTCCCTGTTGGAATGTGCCACCCCGCCACCATCACCTGTGAAAGACCGATCACCGGACATCCAGGTTGATGGGTTGGGTTTTGGGGCACATTTCGATAATCCCTGTGATCTTTTACCCCATATATTGCTTTGACACAAATTCTGACCATTTTCGTAAACAGGGCGGTAAGAACCGTCGTCGTGGTAAGAACGAGAACGACAACGAGAAGCGCGAGCTCGTCTTCAAGGAGGACGGCCAGGAGTACGCTCAGGTTGTCAAGATGCTTGGTAACGGTCGTCTGGAGGCTCTTTGCTTCGACGGCGAGAAGCGTCTGGCCCACATCCGTGGCAAGCTTCGCAAGAAGGTCTGGATCAACCAGGGTGATATCATCCTTCTCTCGCTCCGTGACTACCAGGACGAGAAGGGCGATGTTATCATGAAGTACACCGCCGACGAGGCCCGCAGTCTGAAGGCCTACGGTGAGCTGCCCGAGCACGCCAAGATCAACGAGACCGATACCTTCGGCAACGAGGGCTTCGAGGACAACGTCGAGTTCGACGAGGACCGCGAGAGCGAGGACGAGAAGGAAATCGATGTCGACGAGCTCTAAGCTCACCCCTACCACCTCAGAGCTCGATGCTCTCTACCCTGCAAGAGTGCCACGCAGACCTACCCGATGGTGCTCTTCACGTTCCGCCACCTCACTCCTACACCGCCACTGTTGGTTTCAGCGCCAGGATCCAAATGCTTTCGATCTACTCCAGCTTCCTCGGATCCCCGAAGTATTCGGTCCCCGATCGGAGGGCATTTCTCAAGCAAATTTCGACGCCACTCCCACCGCGGCCCTGCCTGGAAATGAAGGGCATCCTCCCACCTACGGCGACGTTACGACAATTCACCAGGGTATGAAGACATCGACCATAAAAGATCTCGAGATTTTGGTTGTTAGCCGATATGATCTACTCAGACACACGTCTTTACGGTTCTATATCTGTTCCTGCAAAAATTTCTGGGGTCACATTACAGAGCAAAATTGGTTGCCACGCGCATGATGAAACTGCGTGCTTGTCCTCCTTGCATTGCATTGCATGCGATGCGCCTCCACTCTGACTAGCATTGCTTTCGTTTCATTCCTTTTCGAGTGATAGATTTTGCAAAAAAAGGGTTATGAGAATTGAAAATATTGCCTCCGCCACATCTCTCGTATTCTTGCTCTTCCTTTAGGCAACGTACTTCGTAATAAGATCCTAGCAACTAACCAAGCTGCTTTCCTTCATCTCCTCTCAATCGACTTCCTTTCGTGCTCTCGTGTTCCCCCCCCAAAAATATCAGAGCCAGGGTTAGTGGAGCTGAAGGCAACCCCTATGGCAACCTGGCATAGGTCAAGCCCATCCACTTTATATCACGAACCCGCCCGTATCGATTCACCTAGCATGAGTCTCCGTGGTGGCTCTGCTTGGAAGTAGCAGTTGTTTGTGAAGCTCGCCGAGGCGGCAGGGGTTAACTCGACGAGAGCAACGTCTAACTCCGGGCGCGTATCTGGAACTGTCCCAACCATGTCCTCGCCGACCCGGGGATGGTGTACTTCGTTCAAGAGCAAGAAACCGTGATGCGCGACCGTCACAACCTCTTCCCCGCGCGCCTTGCGGATTTTCACACCTAGTGTTGTCGCAGCATTCACCGACTCATTACTAGAGCCTGGAGCACCCAAGCCACTCTCGACCCTGCACCCTGGAGTCAGGCATACACGCCGGAGATAGTTGGAATAGTCTTGAGGTAAAGGCTTGGGGTTTTCCATACACTGAACAGGGTCGACGAGGCGGTTTCGCGTCATACGCCCACAACAACCAACTATTTTTGGATATGGTGGGTAACACATCGAGTACGCAGATGTTCTCATAATATCTATGAGCCTTTTATTCAGAGACATGTACACTAGGATTCTATAATTTAGAAAGCCTTCTATGTTTTGGAGATCGTCTTTAGATGAACCACGACTTTAAACGATAGACTGTAAAGAAACCTTCGCCATTCAAAAGACCGTTCAAAAGACTGTTTGAAAGATATCTTAAGGGTAGTTCAAAAGAAATTAAGAAATATCTATTATAAAAAGCGTACTTATTTACACCCCAACGCTAGGTAACGGTAAATTCGACGCTGAAAACAATTACTCTTGACGCCTTTTTTAGCGTCATTTTTACCAGAATATTAGCCATCGAGATTTCACCTGATTTCTTTGTCCTCAATTCCCTATGCTCCCTGAACACTTACGGTTGTTCATGTCTATCTGCTCACCCTTCACTCAGGGCTCTCAGATTAGACAATTCAGTATATCATCACGTCTAGCTTTTATGCTTTCGGATTTTAGCTACCAATTGGAACATAGGAAGCCCCTTTTGTTAGGCAAAAAACCGCACTCCAGTCCACTTTTTGAATACTTCCAGGTTCTGTCCCCCGTTGTCCCGTAGCTCCTGTTTTCTGCACTTCGTTCATAGGCCGGTTAGTGTCTTGTCTCTTTCATCACCAAAACTATCTGGCCTGAGAATCTACCACTTTTTTGGTTGTTTTCCTTATACGGTATCGTTTATCCTCTTCGTTTGGTCAAATAAGCCCTTTTTTTTCTCCGCTTGAAAAGACTGTTATGTGAGGCAATGTCTATTCCTGACTTACACACAAATGCTCGGTGGTTAGAGAAAAGTATTTATCAGAAGCGAAATACCGCTTCGGCCAAGAATAATACGATGTCATCAATGGATGGTGCGTTAGGTAATACCTAGTTGACAGTTGAGATCGAAATCAGTGTCATTAAAGTAGGTCCTATTGTTATTTGAGATAAAATTCACTCTAGTCTCTTATTATAGCTCGGTAAGAAGACATTATACTTGTGAAAGAAAATTGCGAGGGAGTATTTTGATCAATTTGACTGCCTTTAGAGCGAAGGGTACTATAGGAAGTTCTCTCGCCTTTTCTACTGGCTGTTGATCGATTTGGCCTGTCGTTTTAGCCGTGTGAGAATCTTAACCCTCACTATTTGTACGCTATATCATTCATCAATTCATTTTTGATGAAGTCAATACTTCTTTTTTTCTTTTTATTCTCAAGGTCTGGGGCTAGGCTTTTAGAGGAAGAAATACCATGCTTGGAGTGCACAAGTTTCGAGGGCAGTACACGTACAACATTCTACGTAATTCACACCGAAAAACATTTTTTTGCTGAATACTGTTCTTTCTAGCTCCCACTTCTCCGCCTATTTCCAGAAGAGCCGCAGCTCGATACATAGACTTGACTAGCCAGGTAGGTCACAAATCATACGTTGAGTACCCACTGAAATTAGCATTATAGCATGCTATATTGTTATCTTCCTGCCCCTTCGTCTCCCTTCATTTCTCGCAGTACTGGGAAGCGAAAGACGAGGGCGAAGAGAAGTTATCTTCTCTTTGTCTGGCGAGGAGCCAGAAGTTGGCGTCAGCCGTAGCGGTCGACATAAATCAGCCAAATGCTTCGATTCTTCACTCTTGAGCACCCATTGATCTTTCCCTCCTATAGTACGCTTTTCATATGGGAGGGATCGCATCCAACCGATCCACTTCCGTACGACTTGAATCGCAATTTCCTTCGAAATTTCAAAATATTCTTTGTGCGACCGAGAGCAGCCGGGGCATTTCTTCTCAATTCTCCGATATTCAAGCAATTCCATATGAACCAGGGCTTCAACACGACAGATATGTGGGACCTTTTGCAAATCCTCGTGGTCCTCGTCTCCGTTGATATCCGGGAAGTGTACATCGATTTTCTTCTTGCATTGTTTCTCCCATTCTTTGAGGCGGCGACCCACATCTGCAGAGAGTCCAATTTTCATGTACCCAAAGTTCCCAATTTGCCAGAAAATATAGATAAACCCTGCTCGATTGATTTCACTCGGCAGGAGAGGCCGTTTAACGAGTTTCGTTATCTCTTCGGCCAGCCTCTCAGCTCGAGCTGTAGCAACGTAGGGCTTGAATTCCTGGATTGGGTTGATTTGTTTTATTTTGCTCTCAAGCTCTGTTTTTATCTTTGGCAGTGGCGAAGCGCTTTTGTCTTTTTGAGAAGCTGCATCCTTACTCATGAGGTAAATCCAGCTAGCAATGGCCAATAGCCGCCTGTCATGGACGTAGGAGCTGTCTCGAGGCCCTTGAACCGTCGAAAGATTTGCGAAATCTGCTTTCCACCCTTCAATTTCACGTAATGCGACCCTACGGTGCGTTGAACAGAGCGTCGAATTTATGAGGCTCTGGATCTGTGATAAAAGCCCACTAATCTCCACGGAAGGCAAATTTCCAATTGACGAGATGATAGGTCTTGTAGAGAGTTGATTGCGGCATCGGGGTCCTTTGGCTGTCCATGCTGGGCATCGTGAGCTATCTTCCATTATATGCTGTATAATCTCAAGTGGCATAATTTTGTAAAGGGACTTTCGAACATGTTCAACCTCGATTCTGAGTTCAGTTTGAGGGAAGAATGCGAGTATGTCCAATGGTACCGAAGCTTTCCCACTGGGATTAAATGTAGCTCGGTTGCAGGAGCTAATAACTTTGCGGTCTTCACTTTGGACCGTGCCTGTAAAGTTTGGTGGAACAGATTTGTTATCAGGTATTTGGTTCCGTGACTTCTGGCAGGCAACATTATGATTCCCGAGTTTGGTTCTCAACATGATTGACTTCAGACCTGGAAAGTCAAAATTGATGTCGTCGGTGTTTCCCGGTATCCATAATTCAATTCTCGTTTGTCGGGAGCGTTTCGTTCCTTTTGACCCAAAAACGGAAGAAAACAAGCCAAGCTCCTCTGGCGAGGTTATTTCCCAATATGCTCTGTCAAAGACTTGTGAGCTATTGCGAGGCAGAACCATTCCATTCTTTGTACGCTTGCTCAACACTGATGAAAACGTCGTCTTTGTATCGGGGAGCGAGGTTCGGAGTTGTAGTTTGCAGGTCTTGGCTATGTGTGTACGCCTGGATGTTGGCAAATGGTCCATGTTTTCTAGCTTTATGGTGGGAGTGTTTTCTTGCTCCGATTCAGTCTCACTGCCAGTCGTTGTCGAAAATTCGAGCATGGTCGTTGCAACGGGAGACATCGTGGTAATCTGGCAAGTAACGCTAAAATCATTTTCATTGCCGCTGATAAGTTGAGGAGCCAGACGTGGAGAAACGACGAGATTCTCTATATGACAGTCGGTTTCATATTCGGACTCAAGTAACTGGGCTTGTGACTGAAGGCAAGGGATTGGCGGGAGCATGGTCATATCTTCCATTACCGATGCTTGACATGGCAATGAGGGTAAACAAAGATAAAGTGAGCAAATACCGGAAGCCAACCATCCCTTATAATAAGCATTTGGGGGGGAGGGGCCCATGGGCGTCAAGTGAACACTGCCTCACTTATAATTCAGCCCGATTACGCTAATATTCAGCCTGGCATACCAAGGCGGACGTCAAAAGTCCATTCTGCATCATGTGTGTGTTTAAGGACGAGCCAAGATTTCCGCAGATATGCGTTTGTATCCTGCGACTAGAAATATTAACGCTGGCTGCCTTTTGGGCTTGAGGAGTTATCGAGGCATTTTCAATACCTCCTTTCAGTCTTTACAAATTCTCTACCAGTCTGCTCAGTAGCGTAGCTAGGAATACGCTTCCAACCGAATTTTTCAGCCCTCCTGGTCATGACGGGCCCCTGTGGCTTTATTTACGTGAACGAGACAGTAAGGGACGAAACCCGAGTCCTTGCCTGTGAGGCAACCCCTAAATGGCTGTGTGCCGGGCACACCTAGTACTCGAGTCATTGATGCGCCCGAATAGGCCAAGCTTCGCATGCGGCGCTGGGGAAGGCCAAGCGCAGGGTGGCGGCTAAGCAATGCTGCTGCGCATGGCGCTAGCGCTCTCCGCCCCGTCACGAGATGGACGAGGAGTACATTTCGTGCTAGGCAGGAACTAGGTGACTAAGTCATGATGCATTAGTCTGGGGGCCAAATCACACAGAAGACCCAGATGACTCCGTCGGATCCCATCAAAGATCCTACTTAAAGACCTCGAGTCGTATATTAACGACTGGGCGATACCTAATAGAATGATGAGGTCTCTTGCGTGCAAAAGTGGATTGGAGCCATGTGTTAGTTGCTCGGTTTGTAAGAAACGGAAGCACAGGTCGAGCGATTAGGAGCCTTTCTAGACCCTTGTCTGGTGCTAGTAAAAACACAAGCGGGGTCGACATTCCAAAACGCCCGATGCCTTGAAACCATTTGAGGCATTTGCGTGTTACGCCCAGTTCGTAAAACTCGTTCTCGATACAACCATACAACCCATGGGGTAGCGGGCTATGAGCGAGTTTCCATATGACACTACCCATTTAGTCGGTCGTTACCATCAGCTTGCAGCCTGCAGCCTCTGCCCTGTCACGGTTTCGCGGCGTAGCTCTGAGAGAACCGAGGCAGACGGCGGGGGCGGGCCACTGCGCGGTTTGACTATGACGAGCACTCAGTGCTTGCTTGGAGGAATTCCGCGTTTAAAAGACCATTTCGCAAGGCCTGTATAAGTTCGGGTAGATGTGTAAAGAGTATGTTAGACCTCCTCGTCTGTTGATCAGTTATTCCTAGAACCTCGACGGTGTGTACAACAGTACAAGAAAAGCGGGGCGGACCATGAAAACTGACTCGTAAGAACCAAAAATAGCTAATCCTGATGAGCACAGAGTGGCTGTATGCGTTTCTAGCTGACTAGAAATGTTACATTCCATTCGCTCATCGGTAATGCTCTGATCTTGACACTAAGTTATGGTGGAGTTTCGGGACGAACCTTCGCGGGTTTGCCCGAAAGTCAACAATGCCCCGCTCCATACTGCGCTCTCATGGCCAACCATGAATGATCGATCTGTTGAATGGTGGCCATATCCGCAATTTTACCCTTCTCACTCTCTTCCTCTGATTTGATTATGCCCGGGCCTCCTTCTGCTCTCTTTACTCTTTCTCAACAGGTTCATACTGCCAGTCGATAAATCCACCGAGCTCCAAGCAGCGTTTTCATAGAACGAAACTTCCCCCAAAGGGTCCTTGAAAGGGCATTGTGTGTTCCATGTGCTCGGTCATGGAACGGTTTATCCAGACAGAGAGCTCTGGCGATCTGGAGTGAGAGTCCTGAACTCCAAGGCATTTCGTTGACCACTTTGGAGAAGCTTTAACCATGTTACTCCCGGAATTTGGCATTCATCTCATGCGTAAACAGCGAGGAATGTTTGTAAAAAGGCAAATAAGGCAAACCCACCTAGAATAACCAAGTTTTTACTATCGGCGGTATCTTGCCCTCTCAATGGTGTTTATGATTGACAGGGAGCGCGCCAGTTTGATACCATCGGCCCAGCGTAGAAAGGTGGTTGCGTATGAGACAAAACAAAGCCACCTTATCCTCAAAATTAGACCTTGGACCAGTCTCTACTCAAGAAGAAAATGGAGTGCGACGGCTCTGCTTGTCCTGCCTGAGCAATGGGGCGGCCCCGGGCTTAGTCGACTAATTGTCCTGCTGAACGTTGCCCAAAGTACAGCATCACTGCCAGGTGTCAAAAAAAAGATTCGCAGAGCGCAGTCCTTCAAGGAAAGTTTGACTGTATAGAAAAACCGCGATATTGGAGAGTAAATGCATAGCGTTTCAAGGGAATGGGGCAGTCTAGTGTTTTTTTGGTGATAGTACAAGAGGCTCTCGCGAAGTTCCTACTAGGAGATCCCCACATCCTGGCCTTCACTCCCAGGAACACCGGACTTAGGAAGTCCGCAGTGCGATTATTGTCCAAAACAGTTAAATATTGGCGAGACAAAAAAAAATTAAACGGGTCGATCAGCCTGACCATTTGGGTGAACGATCGGTTTGCTCAGAGAGTCGCTCATGTTCGCTTCGTAAGCCGCGAGGGCGGGTAGACGAGCCGATCACTTCGCGAGACGGCACTTTACCGTCACCTAGATTACATAGTAAACTGGTTTATCTAGCCTAGATATCGAGGATCTAGATAAGCCTGTTCTCTAATATATCTAAAATGGGTATGGTATAGTCTGTCGTGCAAAAGCACAAGTTGTCGTGCGATTAGAGTCAGCCTCAAAGTAGACAGAGTGACCTCGCAGGATTGGTATCACCGGGGAGCAACGGTCAAGATGAGGTGCTATACATGATGTCTCTAATTGGTCTTCTCTGATTTGCCCTTGCGCTTATGGCTAAAAGTTCGCTTCATTTCATTGTTTTATGCCCTAGATACAAAGTACTCATGCTCTCTATGCAAATAACTGGATTTCAAGGTGCACTCAAGCTACCCTTCCCATGAGTCGACCCCTTCACACAACCCCCATTTCCAAACATGGATGCTGCAGCATCTTGCCACACAGTCTCCCGCTGGAGATAGTTATCAATCGTATAAAAGCGCCGGCATTCCGCCGCCTCATAGACAAACTGTAGCGGAGTCTGATCATCGTCTGGATCATATTCATTTCGCAGGTTGACGCTTCCACTCCAAGCAAAGGAGGTTTCTGTACCAGGACTTGAATCGTTGAATTTCTTCCACTCCTCGGTAGTCAAGAGAGGAGATGAGCTGCCGGCCGACTTTTGGATCAGCTGGTTGGCTTGCTGGATGTAGCCGTTGATGTAGTTGATTCCGAGGGATTGGCCCCCCTTTACGCCGCCGACTCCTTGCATTGGGGATTCCGTTGGACGGCCGCCGAAGGTGATGGTGCGTACACCTTGGCGCTTCATGAGTTTGACGAAGAAGGCGCAGGTTGAGACGCAATCACCGTCGGTGATCTGGGATTTTGATTCTTGTTAGCGTCGTGTAGTATGGAGAACGATTTATGAGAATACTCACAATTGCAATATTAGCAGCCGGGAAAAGAGATTTCTCGGGATTCAACGCAATAGGCCCGTATCCATTGATGGGGTAGGTTTGACTCGAAGTGGCAGTGTAGTTGAAGTTGGCTAGCAAGCTAGACGAAGAGCTCCCTAGGACCTCATGTGGTCCATAAAGATCCTCCCAGGAGCTGAATCCAGTTTCCTGGTCTGGAGCAACCATCTCCTTGTACGCAAAGGTATTACTCGAGTCCTGGGTGTCAGAACGTGAATATGCTTTGGTGAGATACTTGGCTGCATCGTGCGCTCGATACCGCGTCGCAGTGTATGGGAAAGCATCCGGGAAGAATATCCGGAACAGATCAAGTCCAATCGATAAATATCCACCTGGATTAGCTGGAACATCGATAAGAATGTTCTTCTTCCCAGCACTGGTGGCGTTGTTCAGGAAATCTATCACCACTTGAGCCACCTCCCGGGGACTGGAGGAGAATGTGGGTAAGAAGATGATACCAGTGTCCTCGAGACCAGTAAGATTTGAGAAATAACCCCCGATGGAGTTAGCAGAGTTGTGCCATTGTGTATCTGGGAGCCCAGGCATGGAGGAAGCTTCTTCTGCAGTGGGAGAGGAATTCTCGGCGGTAGGGAGCCCTCGAGGAATGCAGTTGATCTTGTATAGACTTGTGCCGTTCTTGTATGAGAACAATCTCTCCTTTGGAACGGCTACCTTCTCCACGGGTTGAGTAGTCCCATTGCCATACTTGAGAATCATCTGGGAACCATCACTCCAGTCAGCCGTTCTAGCCCAGATACCGTTTTGATCAATGGAGGTTCCGGTGACGCTGCGAGCTAAAGCCGGGAAGACTCGGTTGTACCTGAGAGTGTCAGAAAAAAGGAAGCAACGCATGAGAAATGTATAGAACGTACTGAGCATCGCGATCTTGAAGACTTTGGCCAGACGCATATGATGAAAGGAACTCGGCTGCATCTGTGCCATTGATAGATAAAAGGGGAGACACATCTTTGGCGCCGCTTTGCTGGAGTTTTGCGTCGCCTATGAAAAGTTAGGGATGGCTTCAGAAGATAGGCGGGTCATAGTACGCACTCAAAGTATAGACCTCTGGTAGTTGAAGACCATTCGTTGAGATAGACACGAGGGGGATGTCGATCTCATAATTGAAAATCGACTGTGAGCATAGTTGGAATGCCAAGTGGCCATCGTATGCCGATCTGATGAGATCGGAGACTTCGAGATCCATCTCAAATTGGCTGGAGTACCCATTCCTATTGACCTTTTCCAGTATAGCATCAATTCCTCCCAGAAGATCAGTGGATGGCATCGAATAACCAGAAGGAGGATCTATCGTCTTAATTAGTCACGTCACAAGACAAGAAGTAACTAACTATCGAGCTTCCCTGCCTTTGAGTATGTCAATCGTCGAGTGAAACTCTAAGTACTTTCGGACTTGATTCAAGAACGTCACTGCCCGGCTCGACTCGAGCGGCATGGACATCAAGCATTGATGTGCCAAGCCATGGGGGACTTTAGCGCTGACTGCGACCGTTAGAATAGAATTCTCCGACTAAAGCAGACCGTCACGCACTGTGATTATCATTGGCATCTGCCACCAACTTGGAGATCTGCGCACATGGCTCAACATCCCGTACATTCTTGCGGGCCCCAGCAACCGCCGCCAACGCGACCGGGGCCAACAGAGCCGCCTTGAGATGCATGATTAGATGGGTGTATGAAACATCGAGAAATCTGAAGGTGAAGTCTGAGGTCTGAAGTCTGGTCAAATGACGGCCCGATATGGGGTTTCTTCTCCACCTCTCAGGGGGAGGGGGTTTCTTGGTGGACCCTTGCGTGTTGGCGTTTCTATTTTGGCTGATCTGCGTCTAGGATCGACGCCAAGACGAAAATTGATGGAGTCGTACAATAATCTTTCGGCTCTGGTGGCGTTGAGAATGAGCCCGGATGTCTCGGCTTGTCGTTTGATTGTTTGTGCCTGATTCAAAATACTTTAAAGCAACAGTTCCAGTTTACGCGTACGGAAGTGATGCATCACAAGTGTATGGATTTTTGTTTGTTTACATGTACGGGATATTTCTGCCATGAATTATGTCATAAACTTCGTTGCCTGGGGTCCTAACGGCCTGACCATGAGCTATGTGCTGCGTAGAGAATACATGACACGGCATCCTAATCGTCAAAGACGCTCTTCCGGAAGAAAGCTACAATCTTTCGGGCGGCTTCCTTCCCGACGAGTGGATCCAGTTGTTCCACACTCATATTAGCGATCTCATGCAGGTTGTCCGTTTCAAGAATCAGCCGGTCGAGGGCTTGTGGTGTTACCCCTGGCACGGCCCGGAGCATGTCCTGCGGCAGCAGATTGAATGTCCGGTGTTCGATGCCAGCTGCAGCCATGAAATCACCAGCAGAGCCCAAGATGTCAATGTCCAGACCGATCTGAACAGCGCGAAGAGGATCAGGCTCTGCCGCGTTCTTCTTTAGCTCGGCGAAGATCTCGGCCGTCTGGTAGGGTGATGAGGACCATATAATTTTGAGTCGTGGAAATGCGAGCGTTAGCAGAACTAACAAGTGTTGTGCAGACTTTGGGTTCGAGGGATTAGTATGTGCGCTGGTACTTGAGCTGGTCGCTTGTCCCGAGGAAGAGAAGCCGTAGTCAGTCAAGAATGTGCCGGTAGAGATAGTTGCAAAAGCATCAAAGGTGAAGGACTTGTTTTGGTCGAACTCAATCAGCAAAAGCGGAGTCTTGTAGTGTTGAATCATCGTCTCGGCCTGGTTATAGAGTCGACCGTTGCGAAGCGAGGAGATCAAGTCGCGAATAGATTTGCGCTCGACGCAGATATCTGGCGTGAGAATGTAATCTCCGACCGTCAGTTGGCAGGGGATGACGACCATACTATTCCCATGCAGTAGAGACGGTAAAGCACTTCGAAACTCGCGCACGTCGACCACCACCCGAGGAGGAGCTGCCGTTGCTGCGAGCCTTCCACCACCTGCAATTCGAGTGTTGACTGTGCGTAGGAATTGCTCTTGAGGATCTTCGGCGCTCTTGTCATGCGTCAAAGTAACAGCCATGTTCTGGGGAGGATCAGCAGTTGGGCATCGAATATTCAAAGGACTAAACTTACTCCTTTCTCTTTGATCAATTTCGAGAATGCATCCTTTTCTCGCCGCACAGCACTCAAGTATCGCTGCTCCTCAACAGAACCCTCGTAGGAGAGGAAATACACCTTCACCACTCTGCCAACGTGGGAGCTGCGATAGACTTCCACCCGGCGGATGAATGCTGCATCCGGTTCGTACATGATAATGTACCGCGGCCGAACCTCTTCTAGGATGTGCTCATCCATGTCACCATCGTATGGGAGTATCATGACCAAATCATTCATCTCGTATAGCTCATAATAATCCTCCATGTCTTCGAGATCATCAACGACAATCTCTTCTTTTTGTATTCCTTCTGCCTCAGTGGGTTGAATCTCCTCAAGTAGACTGACGACTTGAGCTGGTAACTCGACCTGCGTTTGAACACTACTGTCTGGCACACGACCAGAGGCAGAGTTCACTGCTCCTCCACCACGTACTCGTCGACGTTTGTTTGGAGGAGGTCTGCCTTGTTGCTGCCCTGGCCTCCCTGATTCTGTGGGCTTGCCCACTTCTCCGGCCTGGGATAGGTTCTTGTTCACATTGGATAGTGACCTTTTCCAATTCAGATAGTCACGTAGTCGGCGTCGCATCATCACTTCTGCCGACGTTGCCTCTTCGCTCAAAGCCTCCTTACTCTGATCCTTATCATTTGACACATGAGATACTTTGGCATGCATAGTGCCAACATATTCACGAAGCTGCCGGCAGGTGCGTTGATCACTGCACATGATCAATATCGTACCGTTGGAGTCCTCGGTTGGGTTCGGTGGGTTCAAGTAAGCATCTTGCTCTATCTCTTCAAGAACTTCGGCGAGGACCTCCCATTTTGGTAGAGGCTCAAGAACCGGTTTGAGCTCAGCCGAGAAGTTGGTTGACGACCATGAACGGGACATTTCGTCAGTCATCTTACCCTGATAGACTCGTGACTTTGCTGTCTGGAATAGAACGTGGGCAGCATCAAGGAAAAGCCAGGGAGAGTAGTTGTGTTTGTTGGAGCCCGGAGGCGGCGAATGCGCCGACACAATCGTGTCGAGGTATTTCATGAAGGATACAGCATCATAGGTAAGCAGAGCCCTGAAGGTGGGTTAGTATGGAAAGAACAAGCTGGGAAACGAACTAACTGGAGAATTCCTCGAAGATCTGTTAGATCGCTGACAATCTGCCTAGTCCTGAAGGTGACGCGATGCCAAATAGGGTCCAATTGCCGCCGGATCGAGACGTCAAAATTCCTATGCAAGGCGCTATCTAAGGTCCACTCCTCCATGTCTAAACCCGTGTTAGATTTTCGAAGCTCGGCAATGCTAATCTCCACACACTCGAGAACGGCGTTTTGGATTTCTCGCATTTTGGCACTCATTGGAACCTCCAGCTCGATCACTTCAGCCTTGCGATTACCTTCCAAAGCCTCGGCCACAGAGACATGGAATCTCGGCCATAATGAAGCTTTGCGTAGGAAAAGATTCCGTAGCATGTTAGCCAGCGGTGCAAACCCAGTCGTGAATGGCTCGGGTGAGTCCGAAAACGCCTTCAAGAAACCTCGCTTGTTCGCTTGTCGGTAAATGCGAGTTATGAATGCCTCCAGGGAGGTTGCCACAACTCTGATACACAAGTGAGTCATTGAGCAAGAAGAATTTCTGTGTGATAAGGCTGTCCATACTTATCGGCATGTAAAATGATCATTCCCGTGACCTTTTCAGGATCAAGAAGCTCTGGAGAACTTAGTATGGCACCGAGCAAGGGCGGGCTCTCGACGTACTTGATAGTAAATCCACGACCAATATCCTGGATGTCACACTCAGAATACCGCCTTCTCCATAGATTCGTTCTCTAATGCGAGGATCAGCATAGCCCTGGGTACTGGTGACGGTTATCCCGAAACCCACCGCATCGGCACTGTAGCTTTCTCCGTGTTGATAACCTTCAATCCCCGTGCAAGCGGGGATTTGCTGGTCGCATAATGCTCCGCCAACGCTATGGATCCAGAGCGTCAGCGCCGGACAACCTGCGATCTCCAGATTGACCCAACCTACCTTCTCCGATCCACTCATTTTCGCGGTCATCTGCACCCACAACCAATACCAAGTTATTGCCCGCTGCGTCGTAGAAATGAAGTAGATTCGTTATGAGGTGGAGAAGCCCCAGGCCGCGGGCAAGAATAACCAACTCATCCTCGGCGCGTAGTTCGGTGAAGATGTCCTGCTGGTATTGCTAGATTTCGAGATGGTCAGCGACAAAAGCTACAGATTTGGAGACTCAAAAGGCTTACCAGTGGCAAGGACAGCTTCACCGGCACATTTGTTCGTTCCGGCGGCATGAGGAGCCCTTCTTGACGCGTTGATGAGAGAAGAGTCAGACGCCTGTTGAACCCGTCGCGAGAGCACGTGATCTATGATGTAATACGTTGACGGTAACAATTTACTTCCAGTAGTTACAAGGTCCTTTATTTCTACATTAAAGATGCTCATTTGACGGGGTAGTTACAGGAGATCAGTATGCAGCATTAGTTCAAGTTGTTCCATAAATAAAATTATTCAATCTTTCGATTTGTTCAGTTCCTTCATCCGGGCCTCAGTCTCTTCCCTCGACGCCTTGGGTGGCATCTCTGTCTCATTCGTTAGTCGATGTATGGTAGGTGAATCTAGCAGCTTTCTTACCGTCTGGTATCTGGGGTCCCTTCGAAAGATGGTCCATCGCAGATGCTTTCTCTCGTTGCTCGCCCGACTTGGTCTGGGACTCGGTGGAACCCTTCTTCGAGGCCGACGGAAAGTCGGATGTCTCAGGAATGACAGGCATTGTCAAGAGGAAGATATGGAACAAAGACGAGCGTCTCAATTATTATTATTTTTCAAATCTGAAATGGTATTGGGATCGCCTTCACTGAATGGAAATATGCAAAGAGGTAAGTTTGATCAAGGCTGCCGGATGCCTATATACATCGGGCATAGAGTGACGTCAGTGGTTGGCCGGGGTCTCACAAGGAAATCGGGGCTTTGGCGACGTGCCGTCATTTTGAGCATCCTATCAACCAGGATTTTTCATGGAGAACATGGGGCCTGATGTGCCTTTTTTGATCTTACAGAACCTTTCAATATCATCACTCAGGTTATTTGTAGGCTGAGGCGAATCGCACGACATACTATACCCTTTTCGGACATGGTCGATAACAGGTACATTAAATACCTCGACAACCTGATAAAACCTAGTAAGCCTTTTATCAGAGATACATACAGAAGCATTGTATGAGTTAGACATTCTTCTATGTTTTTTAAATCATCTTATCAGTCACGAAAACTTGGACGGTTCAAAAGACGGTTCAAAAGACATTGAGAAAGACATTGAGAAAGACATTGAGAAAGACATTGAGAAAGACATTGAGAAAGACATTGAGAAAGACATTGAGAAAGACATTGAGAAAGACATTGAGAAAGACATTGAGAAAGACATTGAGAAAGACATTGAGAAAGACATTGAGAAAGACATTGAGAAAGACATTGAGAAAGATCTATCATAAAAGAGAAAGCTAAAGCTAATTATTTGCATAGCAAACTGTTTCTATGGCCTGGATATCAAGGGTCCAGATATAACTGATCTCCACTAGGTCTATTATGCGACTAGCCTCAGCCTACTTGTACTGCTATTATCACCACTACTTGGTAAGGCATCTAGTATGGTGAATAACGAGAGAGAAAATATTGAGATGTGATGCATTTAGAAGATCCTTGATAACAAGATACAGGGAGGAGATGAGCAAGCTCCAAGAGTCACATGTCTTCACCACAATCCAGCTTGTGAGTAGTTGGTTAACCATCCAAAATACAGTCTTCGGCGAGCTGGCAGAGTCCACATAACCTAACGATCCATACCACTGCGAAATCGTAACCACAGTGCCCGATTTCATTTCACCAGTTCAAGATGTGTACTTGATGAACGCAAGAAGGTCCTGGTGCTCAGAGAACTCGGCGTTCTTGAAAACAAACGTGTTGCCTCCTGGGAACACGAATCCTTGCATGGCAGAAACTGGGATGGTTTCCAGTTGGATCGATGTAAGTCCCCGCAATTGATCCTTAATGTCGTCGGAGATCCTGTTGAGTCCTGTGAAGGCACCAACAAAGCTGTTCCTGTCCTGAGGGTGGGCTCTGTGCTGGATAGGTTCTTTCTTTGATTCGCCTACTATGAGCTCACCGTTGCTGACGGTGATGGGATAAGTGTCTGTCTGGAGGTCATCAACAACAACATCATGATTCGATGCTGACACGGCGTGGGCTTCATACCACACCCAGACGTTCTGAGTGATGACGATATTGGTGCCGACGAAATCCACATTCAGGGTGTACTTGTACTCTAGCTTGATCGATCCCGCTTGGTCATCGTCGCTGGCAGCTCCGGAGAACGATAGGGTCAGCACCGTCGGCCCTTCTTCTTTTCGCTCGATCACCGGCTCTTGCTCTTCGGGTCCAAAAAATATCTTCACGTATAGCTTCAGAAGGTTGCCGTCATGATGCTGCGCCCAGGCTGTTGGATTGAGGCAGTGCTTTTTGGCCACTGCCTTCAGTGAAGGCTCGAGCCAATCCCGCATATTGTTTCGATTGACGGAGACGACTCCGTCATGATCTGCGAGATCACCGGCTTCCAACCAATTCCAGGGAAATCGAGTTGGAGGCGGAAGGACGTTTTTGTTGACCGCGCATAAATAGTTGAGACAAGCCAGATTCTGCTCACGCTCTCCAGGAGGTAGCACTACATCCCCACCAGTGGGATCAATATAGGGGTTGGTAGAGAAGTTCAGGTCCGTGAGCGTCAGGCTGGACTTGTCTGTCTCGTATGGGACGACGGCCAATCCCAACATAGGACTACCCTCATCGCGCAGCTTCGCGACATACTTGGACACAAAGTATCGGTTAAGGATGGTCTCCAGGGCTGAGCCCGCTTGAACGCCATCGACCCTGGCAGCACTAGACAAGCCCGCATTGCTGAGGTCAAACAGCAACTGCTGGATGCTGAATGCTGAGCCTGACAGGTTCTTGATTTTGTCCTTGACGTCCTTGGGAAGCTTGCTGTAGGCCGAGCTGGGAACTTCCGCCATGCGCAGATCAACTGTGGCGGAATAAAGCCAGGGTTTGTTGGGATCCTGCGACTTCTGGAGCCAAGAATAGGTTCCCCATTCGTTCTGCAGAGCGGCGATGGTGAATTCGCTGCAGAGAAGATTGTATTCCACTGTGGCTGTATCGGCTCGAAGTCCCACAATATTTGGCAACTTGGTAAGATCGGCTGCGTTGGGAATGCCCATCTGGACTTTGAAGCCCGTCATGAACTTTGCCTTGATCAATTTTTGGAAATTTGGGTCGTTCTCTGGGTTCGTTGCCGGGATGTTCACGGTAAAGGGATCGACTCCCTCGGTCAATTCGAGGAGCTTCGCAAACTCAATCTCCGTCGGAACAACTTGTGAGGTGGTGGGATCGTGGCCGACGACATAGCAGATCTTCATCTCAGGCTCTTTGAAACCGGCCAGGTAGGTTTTCATGGTCGCATTGATACTGGCTTGAGTCACAGCTACGACAAAGTCGAACCTGTACTGGGAAAGTTGTGATTGTTTGTATGAAGTCATTTTCGCTGTCGACTCGAGTCGGGATTCAATTCGGAAAAGCGAAGAGAGTAGTGAGTAAAACTAGCAATGATCGGATACTTGTCATATACCCCTGCAACATCCATCAGCGTGGCGATGTCTCAGCTTAAATAGGCGAGAATGAGAGGACTACACAGCGTCTCTATCCGCTGCGAGAATCTCACGAGTCACCAACCCAACCACGACCCTCTTCGTGTGCTCAGTTGATACCAGCTCTTGGCACTCCGGCGTGGCCGAAAAGGGAATTGGTACTGTTGCGCCATCGAACCCTGCGCCTCGACACCGTCGTGAAGAACCAATGATCGATGTGACGCTCGAAGCGACTCTGCTGAAATCTTCAGTTTTCGTCAAAGTTCGGTTAGAAATGGCCTTGGACTCCAGATCGATCTGTTTGTGCACTTGGTGGCTGGCTGAGGGTGCTGAACAGTGTCGAGACACAAATCATGAGACTCGGACAGAGTCAACAAAGCAACTCATCACAGCCATGGAGGTTATGGCGATGAAGGCGGTTCAGCCAAGTCAGCAATCAATCACCGATTGACTGGTGAGATTGGAGGAATCAAAAATCAAGTTCGCGTAGGAATTAAGCTTCTGAACCCACTGGTTTGGGGCCATGAACCCACCCGGGACACGTGTTCACCTCAGCCCTGTCCTTCAATAACCTGAAGCTCAGATGCCTTCAGGACAGCTGCAGAATGCAAAGTGAGATGCCCATGCAGCGCTTGTGAGGTTTATTCCCATCACTGGCCAATCATTCTTCTAGTCCGTGATCCTGGGATTCTTTATCCTGCACTACTGCAACCCTATGGGGCATGTCGCTTGCTGCGCATAGGCCAGCATTGGATCTGGACCCTGGCGATCGCTGTCCATGACTCTATCGGAGTTTATTGCCGACGAACTGCTACTAGCACCAGCCAATGATGTCCAAAAAGGGTATTGGTAAAAACAGCCACGCCCTCAGGCTCCTGATGGCTTGAGGTGAATACGAACTACTTACGGTCATGCCGTAAACTTTGATCTCGGCCTAGATCGCATCAGAACCTTGGAGTTGATCTTTCTCCGCACTTCGTGCATGGACAGGATGACTGCCTTTTTCCTATCTCATAGTATCTATGAGCGAACCACTCAACGTCGGCAACACCGTCTATGACAACTCTTCAAGTGGGGTCCATGTCGGGTAATTTTGCTTCATTTCAAGACTTCAGAGCCCCGGGAGGCGGGGACCAGCTCGAGAGCGGAAGCATATGCTTCGTACTCGGATTTATCACCCGAAAGTTACCATTCCTCGAATGGGAATCTTTGATCTTGGCTAGTTCCTGGACAAGGAAGAAAGAAAATAGCGGCACACAAACTGACGCCGTTCATGCAGGAGTAGAGACACGCCTTCAGCCAGCCAGACTTAGCTCTTGCGAGCCAGATGATCTCAGGGGTCCAATTCACAACATATCAAGATGCACATTTCCGCTCTCTACGAGTGTAAAGTGGATTCTCAGATCAAGTCAAAGTCCTCAACTTGCTGAGGATCTTACTGGTTGAATCAAATTGTATCTTCTGTACGTTTTCATCAACAAATATACGCCACCATGAAGCTCGTCTATGAGACTGAACTTATGAGAAATCAGAAACAGGCACAGCTGTTCTCGCCATCTGGCTCGTTTCAAGTCATTCAGACATCTGCCGGATATGCTGTTTTCTTCTTCATTGGTTCGGATGGTGCATTTCATGCGGCTCGCGAGGCTCCTGACACTCCCACGGGCTGGACCAGGAAGGAACTCCCGAGTTCTATTGCAAGCACTCATGGAAGTGATTCCATCGTGGTCAAATCATTTGCACTGTGCCAAAACCCAAAGGATCTCCTCTTCTGGCACTTGTCGTAACGATTGCGAACTCCGATCATCTCTACTTCTCGGGCAGCAATGACAGCCGTAACGCTGCCTGGGCGAGCAAAGTTGACTAGAAAGACCTCTCTTTTGACGCGAAAGGGGAGACCAAGCCCGACCAAGTGGTGATCGCGGACGTCTTCATGATGAACACTCCTGGTCGGAACAATACCAATATTCAGAATTACTTTGTCGACATTCAACGGGCGCCGTTCAACTCCTTGCAACTTCTGAGTCGTTACTACATCAAGCCGGACTCGAATCCTTGTTGGGCTCGCCATTCTCTCGCCATGGAGCTCAAGTTGGTTCCGTCAAGAGCTGTCCCGGGTACCGACATGATGACAGGGTTCCCGGAATCTACACCCTGGGGGCTGTGGGCGGACCCAGTGGAAAAGAGAAGGTCGATGCAGCTCCGCCGGAGCGGGATCAGCTCATCTACACGCCTCAGTCGAGCCCTTTAAATCCTGAGGTGGACCCGAATCCTTCACGGCTGAACCTGCCTGATAATTCTAGTATCCAATTTACCTGCATCGCTTCTGTGCCCAACAGCCAAGGTGACACGAACCTTTTCGGGTCTGTATCTTTTCACTGCCAACAATCAACACGATAGAGCAAGCCCAAAGAAAATTATCGGCTCGAGCGAGACTTTCAAGGACGTCAAAAGACTTTCTGCAGCAAGTGTTAACTCGACGACAACGGTCTGGGCTTCGAATGATCAGGGGGAGCTGTTCTACTTCTCGTGCACCTCGTGCACTGCGGGTAAAGGGGATCAATCAGAACCATGGTCCACTTCCCCCCCCCAAATTCTGGTGCAAGTCAGCCAATTCTCAGACTATCTAAATGGCGATAACTCAAGCAATGCCATCTTCGTGCAAGATCCAACCACAAGCGCCTGGTCTATGTTGCCAATGACGGACGGACACGGGAAAGGTGTTTGAGTATCACAGTTCCACCACCCGTATAGTCACCGCCGATGATCTAGGCCGGACCGTTCCTGACATTGCTTTGGCAATCTCATCATCGACCTATATGTCTTTCTACGTCAACAACGTTTATTACGCTCTTACCCCGAACAAACCACTGGAGTTTCGATCTGATGAGACGGGTGAGATCACAATTGTCTTGGAATGTGACAGCTTTGAAATTGCACCTTTCACTGTGGCACTCAAAGGGGCCGCGGTGGCACCGGTTATCGTGGATCCTCTCATCAAGGCGAAGGCGAAGTTGCTTACCATCAAGGACGGAAACAATCTGTCAAAAATAGTGATCAAACTCGAGGATGGAACCACAAAGCCTTTACTGCCGTCGACCGTGACCGAGAAGCATAGAAAAAAGGCAGCACAAACCCTGGTACAGCTTGGCGAAGTGAGCCAGGAGCTAGACCCAACATGCAGAAAGAAGAAAAAGAGGAGAGCTCGAAGACGATGAACCTCCGTTAACGTTTACGATTGACTTTGGCGACCCCGACTTTCCCTTCTACGAGGGAGAGGACAAAGTCAATGATCTCCTCTCGTCAAAGCGGAAGAAGTGAAGCTTTGAGAATGCTGAGCTCTTTGGTGATATCGGCGATGCAATCAAAGCAAAACTCGGTGATCTTCTCCAGGCATTCTCGTACTTCGCGGGAAAGGTGGGGATGCTCGCTATCCAAACGGTGAAAGGAGTCTAGAGCTTGTGGTGGAGATGGGCACCAGACTTTACAATGCCGTGGTGGACACGGCACAAGCACTTGTGGGAGTCATGCAGGTCGTGTCACTGAATTGGCTGGTATGAAACCCACTGCACGCACCACAGCGACTGTTTTGGACGGTCCCAAGTCGAGCAATTCCGGTGGCCCACAATCCAACTGGGGCACATATCACCTCAAAAACGGCGCGGATGCCTCTAAGGCGGACTACACACCGTCCACCAACATCAGCAGTCAGTGTGACAACCTGCTCGCGAAGCTCCAGAGATCGGGAAGTGAACGATGTCAAAGACGTCGTTGACCAGTTCAAGGCTGACGTCACGGACCACCTGTCGGACTTGGACCCCGTGGATGCCATCAAGAAGACATTGGCGCTTTGCAACGTCGTTTTGCTGAAGACCGCGAAGAAAGTGCTGGTTCCCATTCTGGATCTAAATAAGGAAATCCTCCAGGCTGTGCTTGATGGCGTTGATACCCGGATAGATATTCCCGTCATCACTTGGTTGTACCAAAAGGTGACCGGCCAGAAGGAAATGCCTGTTCTGGATCTGTTTAGTCTCCTCTGCGCTATTCCATCGACGATCGTTTACATGCTGGTCAGCGGGAAAGCTCCATTCCCCGATGATACGATCCTTAGAGAACTTCAGCGTCTGCAGAACTTGAACCTTAAGGCGAGAACTGTTCCACGTGGTCTAGAGTCTGATGAGAAAGGGCTCGAACGCATCGGTGATGCAAGCGAAGAACCACAGCACCAAGGATTACCGGAGGAGGCCAAGAGTGATCGTCGCCATCGCCAATATCGCGACTCTCCCCGGCTTCTTTGTCTCGATAAGAACGGCTGATCAGAATGGAAAGGTCCCACCAGGAACTCCTATATCCTGGCAAAGCGCCTTATTTCAATTACTCGTCGACATCGTGTTCGATTTCCCCTGCTACGCGTGGTCCATCACAGAGACTGAAGGTGACGAGATGGATTGGCCTTATATAATCAACGCGACCGTTTCCACGTTCAATTTCATCCTTCGAGCCGTGAAGACTCGAACGCCGTCGCGGGTCCGACGGGCGGTCATCGATGCTGGTTTGGGGATCGCCTATCTCATTGCAGATGCGGGCTACTTTATACGTCTGGAAAAGGCCAAGTCTAGTGACATTGCGGCACTCGTTTCTGGAGGTTTCGTGTCGGCATCGGTGCTCCTGGAGGTGTCTGTGGCCGTGGGCGAGAAATTACCCAATCCAGTTGTGCAAGCAGCCGCAGAGATCGCCGCAGGGGTAGAATGTCTCTGTCAGGTGGGATATACCAGCAGTGCTATTGTCACGGCCCAATATACTATTAAAGAGATGTCGTCATGATTGAATGGTACTTGATAATTTCTCGTGTGGAAGAAGCAGAAGCATGGATATGCTACACGCAGAAGATTTGCTGCTTATTTTATCTTGATCAACCCGGTGTTCAACCTCTTAACGCTATGTACGTAGACCATCGAACTTGAAGATAGCAACTTTGTCTCTTGCTGTCTTACCACACTGCATGCTTTAAATCCCTGTACTTGACGTAGTGCAGTGGTAGCTCAAAAGCCTGAGTCTAGAGACGAGAGAAATCAGTTCACAATATGCTTCCACTTCTTGGTTTTTGAAAGATCTTTCTAAAGGTCATTTCAATCGTCTTTCTTGATAGCTTAGGTATCATTTTGAGTCTATCATTCAACTCGTGACTGAAAAGATTATTCTGAACATTATTGAACATTGAAAATGGTTTCAAACTTCAAACCCTACTGTATCACTGGTATTGTCCCTTTCTTGCAGCTCCGACTTAGGGCACATGACATCATGTCTAAATTCATTTAGGTAGATGCGCCCCAGGCTTCAACTCTCAGCACAGTGCCACAGAGAAGTGGACAAATAAAGCTTTGTTAAATTCTCCTAAGCAAGTAGGAATATACTTTTGCTTTACTGCTGGAGAGCTTGAAGTATTATTTTATGGACATTCCTCAATTCATTTCTAGGCCGCTCTCCAGCGCTTATACATGGGGGATACCACGTGCCTTGAGGCAGCCAAGCCCCCGACCAAAGTCTCTCCCATGTCCTTCTACGGAGTACTTCGTTACTGCGCCCCCACCAAAGCAACCGTCTCCTCCAACTCACCCTCTCCCCACGCCTCTCATCACCCTCAAGGCAACCGCCGGTCGGCTCCTTAACAATTCCTCGTCTTTCGCCTTTAGACCCCCAGGATTCATCTTCAACCTCTCATTCCTCCTCCTCCTACTACGGGCGCCCTGTACTATCCTACCCGCCCGTGTCCTATCTGTCGGTGTGTTGGGACCACACGTTCGAACCGCTCCGCTCCGGCCTTCTGTCATGCGCCTTCGACAACCCCCATCCTACCCCCGCTGTCACATATAACTCTCCCTCGCTGTCCAAGCCGGGTTTGTGTTAACTCGCCATGCCCTCGATCCTCACCGATGCCGACAAGGAAACTGTCAAGCGACAGGTGCCCAAGCCTGCCAACAAGATCCTAGCCGTAGCTGTCGCACGACTCTACGTTGCCCACCCCGATCCCCAAAGATGGACATATACCGGCGTACAGGGTGCGGTGGTGCTCTGCAATGATCTGGTCGGACGCACATTCTGGTTAAAAATTGTCGATGTCTCGGTGGGTGTCCAGAAACTCGTGAAGATCAATTAATGACTGAAGTTGCTGACACTATTATGGTCATTACAGCCAGCTGGAAAGGGAGTGATTTGGGACCAGGAAATCTACGATAATTTCTCTTACAACCAGGACCGCACGTTCTTCCATACTTTCGAGCTCGAGGACTGCCCGGCGGGTTTGTCTTTCGCCGACGAGAAAGAGGCCAAGACGTTCATTAAGAAGGTGCAGGAGCGTGAGAAGCATGCGAGCAAGGAAACCAGCAAGACTCCCTTCGCGTCCTCTCGTGGCCAAGGACCTGCACCAGTTACCAATGGCAAAGGACCTGGCCGGTCCCTGTTCGGTAGTCTGTTGCATCGTTCGAGCGCTGCCCCGACTGCGACTCCACCTTCAGCTCCTGCGCCATCAATACCAGTTGGACCACCTCCCACTTTAGCCCCAAGCGCACCGCCAGCCAAGGGAGATCTGCCATTTGACATCAACGATCCAACACAAAAGGGACTCTTGGACGAGCTCTTACAGATGGGCATCACAGAAGATCAAATTGCCGACAACTCTGACTTCATCAAGTCCTGGATTGCCCAGAAGCAGACCGCAGCTGGCGAGTCTCCTGCAGCCGGTGACCAGAACAAACCACGCGCGCCTCCGCCACCCCCTCCTGGTGCCCCCAAGTTGACTACAATCAGTCCCCAGGGTACAGGAACTAGCTCGGCAAGCCGACGTGGACCGCCGCCGCCTCCCCCGACACGGAAAGGGCGAGCTGAGACTGCAGAGGAAGCTGTTTCCTCTCCGCCTCGTGAACCATCTCCACCACCAGCGCCAACCCGTATGTTCCGAGCACCCCCTCCAATCGCAGACGCTGGCAAGTTCGCCGAGCCTGCCGGACATGCACCACCGCGGCGGCCACGGGCGATATCAAATGCCACTCCAGGCCCGCCGCCGCCCCCACGGCCTCCCAAGACGCCAATGGAAGATGGCTCAAGCCAGCCTTCGGGTCGATTTGGAGTCCCTCCTCCATTCGCTGGCGAACGCAAGGTCTCCGCACCACCTGCACCTCCAAGTCGCAGCCCCGTTCCTGGTGGACCTCCACCCCCGCCGCCTCGTACAGCAAGTCCAGCAGCACCACCCCAGCTTCCCCCTAAGGTCCCCACTACGGGTGCACCGACTGGTCTTCCTCCCCCACCCCCAGCTCGAGCTCCGGTTTCTCTGCCTCCGCCGCCGGCACCTCGCCCTGTACCATCTTCTCCTGCAGCTGCTCCTCCCGCTCCACCTCCGCCGCCGCCCAGAGGACCTATTTCTCCTGCGACAACCTCCACGATACCCCCAGGACCTCCCCCGCCACCCCCTGGCCGTTCTGGACCTTCTGTTCCGCCGCCTCCGCCACCTCCTGGGGCAGGATCTGGGGCGCCCGGTATACCTCCACCTCCACCACCCCCAGGAGGGTTTGGAGGCCCACCCCCTCCGCCTCCACCCCCAGCTCGTTCTGGGCCTGCAGTTCCTCCACCCCCACCTCCACCAGGTGGTTCTTCAGGAGGGCCCCCTCCCCCTCCAGCGCCACCTGGTGGTGCTCCTCCATTGCCTAAGGCTACCGGTGGAAGAGACGATCTTCTAGCAGCTATTCGTGGCACTGGTGGTGCAGGCGGAGGAGGTTTGAGGAAGGTCAGGGATTCTGACAAGAAGGACCGAAGTGCAGCGATGGTTCCGGGAAGCGCGGCCGAATCATCTGCTGCAGCTACTAGCTCCGGCGGAGGTCCACAGGGCGGATTGGCTGGTGCCTTACAAGATGCATTGAACAAAAGAAAACAGCGGGTCAGCGGCAGTGGTAAGTAATCATATCCTCAAGGAAGTAGTGGGCTCATGCTAATCAATGACTATAGATGATGAGAAGGATGATAACGATGACTGGTGAGCTAGAGCTACTTGATATTTCTTGCTTGGGTTGGTCTATTTGTTCATGATACCTACTGGTTTTTATGGGCATTGTTTTGCGGGCATTGAGCATTGCGTTCCTTTCTGAATTATGTACGGTTTGCCCAAAAAGTTTGGCTTCCAGCACATTCATATGGAAAAGAACTTTGCGTTTTGAATATACCTTTTCGTTCATTGCAGATGCAGTCAATGCAAAGGCCTTGGGCCTCCTATACAAACAAGGATATGCTTGTACAACTGGATTCCAGCCTCATTAGTGATGACCCTAGGCGCACTGCCTTATTGGGGTATATCAGATTGATTTATAGGGCATGGATACTACCACGTGGCTCCTCTGACTACAGGATGGGGGCAATTTGAGTGCCTGATAGCCGGTGTTTCGATGATACCGACCCTATGTAGAGCTAAAACCGGTCTGAATATCTGGAAAATTATAAGGCGGCGGAATTTCAGTAGTGCAGTTTGGTAACCGCCCCCCCCAAGCTTTTCGTTATCAAAGTCAGGCAGAATGGTATACCGCCTTGATATTCGTGCCCTTTTTTTATCTGATGGTTAGAAGACATAGATATCGCTCTATAGGCCTCGCATGGGCCAGAATTACTATTTGCATCATTGGTTATGGATCCTTGAAATGCCCCGTGGTAGCTTTTATTATGCTGATCAGCGCGGCGCTATCTAGCCGTCGATTCACTTTGGAACTATAGTTTATGGACATCGGATGAAACGACCGTGAGCATGTATACCCTCTGGAATTCTTGCTGATAGTAGGGCATCTTGGTAAAGAAGGCTTCGGCGTTTGGACGCGGTGCCTATTCAGACTAAGAGAAAACTGCAGAGAACTCCAGATAACGCATTTGATTCTATGCAACGCCTAATGAGATACCATCTCCGTCAAAGCGGATGGAATGTATAAATAAAAAGTGGTCACGCTGGAAAAAAACGACAGAGGCTTGTGCATCCCTAAGTTAACGTCCACCGTTATGGTGCACTGCAACTATTCTTTCTCTCTTTTGATCATGGTCACATCGCATTTGGTCTCTCGTTCAAGTCATCGCGTGGGTGCGAGTCCACTCCTTGGCGGTCTGAATGGCCGCGGGCTCGTCATCCTTCCAGCGCTGGGCAACATCGTTGGCGAGCGGGTCGTCGGGATTGGGAGCACCGAGGAGGGCCTGGATCGAGAGGAGGATGGTGCGGATCTGGAGCGCGGGGGACCAGTTGTCTATACTGATGTGTTAGCTATGAATATATCCAATTTATTCGCGGATCTCTTACTCTTCAGGACATCCAAGCAGATCCGGCCCAGGCGGTCGATGTTGGGGTGGTAGATCTTGGTGAGGAAGCGGATCTTGGGAGGAGTCATGGGATAGTCATCCGGCAAGAAGAGCTCAAGCCGGAAGATGCCACCTAGCGTAAAAGTTATTAGAATTGAGATGAATACGGGAGATCTTCTTTCATGCATACCCTCATATGGCGACTGAGCGGGACCATGAATGGAAACATCAAAGTAGCGCAGGTTATCCTCGTGAGGAACGGCGTTGATACCGGGAACCCTGGAGAAAGTCGAGCACCCAGTCAGCCAAGGATATCAAAAGAAAGGAGGAGATATCAGAGTATTGTCTTACGGCTCAGCCATGAGGCGCTCCGTCTCCTTGATAATGCGTTTCGGCAGAGCCATGGCGAATGCGATTCACGGATGTAGACGGATGAGATGTTGGTGGAAGGTGTCTTTGGGAGAAGAGTTTGGAGAGAAACGGATGACTTTGGGGATCCCGAGACGCGCCAATGGGACCAACTTGAGAACAAACCCGATTCAAGCGCGACCTGTCAACAAAAATGCGCGATTGAAGGCGTTCGAGGGGCACTGGCGGGGTCCTGCCGACTGCCGTACCGTCATGTGCAGCAGACACCGCCACAGTAGTCAAGTCATACCGCCGGATGAAGGAGATACGCCACAATCACCAGCCACAGGCATGAGCTATCCGCGTTATCGCAGCTTCCCCCTCGGGCACGCGAGACATTGGACATGAGTGATCTCAAACAACCATTTGAGGGAGGGTTCACAAAATGAAAAGTCAACATATCAAGTGAACTTTCCAAGAAACATAGTGATCTGATCTTGCAGCCATTGGCAAGGCCTGCATTGGCCGAGAGGGCCGATCGCAGCTGTCAAGATGTCGAGCTCCATGGAACCCCGACCGCTCACGTCGGCCTTTGAAAGCCCGACCTTTGATGAGGATAGCTCATTTCATGTGGAACAGCCGGTTGGATCCATGTCCATATCTCCATGTGGGCGTGATGTGGTCCTTGCATCCAAGGAGGGCCTTCATGTTATCGATCTGGACTCGCCTTACTCCCCACCGAGATATCTCCCTCACCATACGCCATGGGAGGTCGCCGATGTGCAGTGGTCACCATTCGCGTCGCGCGACTATTGGGTCGTGAGTACTTCCAATCAGAAAGCGCTGGTGTGGAATCTGGCCATGAAGACATGGCAGAACCCCATTGAGTATGTGCTGCATGCCCACTCAAGAGCAATTACCGATATTAATTGGTCGGCCTTTCATCCGGACATCCTGGCGACTTGTGCTGTTGATAGTTTCGTGCATTGCTGGGACCTGCGCACGCCTTCACGACCTGCAATCTCGTTTTCGGATTGGTTCACAGGCGCCACTCAAGTCAAATGGAATCGACAAGACCCTCATGTTATCGCAAGTTCTCACGATCGGTATCTCCGAATCTGGGATGATCGTATGGGTGCCTATCCAATCAAATCCATTGAAGCCCATGATACCAAGATCTATGGAGTGGATTGGAACCGAGTCCGGCGAGGTGCTCTCGCAACATGCTCGTTGGACAAAACCATTAAGTTCTGGGACTATACGACCGATACAGAGGTGCCGGAGAAGTTGATCCGCACACCGTTCCCTGTGTGGCGAGCTCGAAATACGCCCTTTGGATGGGGTGTGCTTGCCATGCCACAGAGAGGCAACAGCGACCTTCACCTCTATAGCCGGCGAGCTGGCGAGGGTAGCAACCCCGAGGACGATTTGCCTCTGGTGCACAGTTTCCCGGGACACAAAGGCCAGGTAAAGGAGTTCCTGTGGAGGCCACGAGGAGGCGTGGTGGATGGCATCGACAATCGAGAATTCCAACTTGTCACTTGGGGAACTGATCGTGAGCTGCGTCTTCATCGGGTAGATCCCGAGATTTTGGGACGTGTCGGATATGAGAAAGGGAAGTCGTTTATTTCAACCCGAAATGTGACGCGCTTAGGCGCGGTCTACCGAAGTTTCAGGGATGTCAACTCAGATCTAGACGTGGAGGAGCTCGATGCTGCTTCTTCCGTTGGCCCTCATCAAGCGGTGACCACTCAGTACCCTGGGGGCCCTGGCATGAACGCTATTTCAGTACCCCATGCCCGTGCGTGGAAGCGCAGTAGCCATGTCGATACCCGTATGGGTATGCAGCCGCGTTCAAATCTCCGAACCGAAACCAACCCGATTGCATGGATGCGGGGCGTAAAAATATCGGGCTGGGATATTGAGACCCTAGGAGATGAGATCAGTCATGTGGGCGAAAAGTTCAGCAAGGTTGCATTCGAATCGGTTGATGTGCGACAGAGGAAAATCTCTATTTCACTCAACGGTCCCTGGGGCGCGGAAGGTGCATCTTTATTTCTCAAGGTTGATATCAAGTTCCCCGTCAGCTACCCCAAGACATCCATCCCCACTTTCAATTTTCAGAAGACCGCAGCCGTCACCGACGAGTTATCTCAGAAACTTACCGCGGAACTGCGAACTATCGCCGAAACCTACATGTCGCGGAAACGTGGCTGTCTGGAAGGCGCAGTGCGCTATCTCCTGGGAGAGAGCAGCCTCGAGGAAAGCATCGCGTGGATTTTGGGAGAGACTGGTGATAACGTGAAATCACCTATCAATGGTGAATTGGAGGGCGAGTCCAGTGATGAAGATGAAGTTGGCATGACGCAGAGCCAGGAACTAGGCATGAGTTCAGAGCTGCTTCGACCGGTCAATGCCAATGTTATGGTGCCCGTTGCTAAGGGCTGCGGTGCGTTGTGGGCAAACGACGGTCGTCTGATATGTTTCTTTCCGCCCAAAAAGGGTAGATCCACAGAACTTTTTGATAACATCGGATTTAAAGAGATGAGTCGATTGTCCCGGTCAGACAAGGTTTTTGAAGGCTTCGGCCGCCTGCAGACAAGCTCCCCGGGACCGCGCATGACCGGCACAATTACAAGCACCGATGACGGCGCATCTGATTACTCGGACGATTCATACTCTGAAACTTCCAGCTCATCCGGTTCATCTGATATTCTCTCAGGCCTACCGGCCCGCTTCCAAGCACCTCAGACCTGGCGCAGTGCCGGTAGTATCGGTATTTACAGACCACGGTCGACGGATAACTCTCAACGATCTACGGCTGGAGCCACGACAGCAAAACTCCCCGAGGCGCCTCGCAACGTGGTCTCTATTCATGATCTCAGCGATATGCTACCAGTTAAGCGCGAACTTGCCAGCCAGTATCGCATCTGCGGCAAAGGAACAGATGTGTGTGCCCACAACGCGGCTGTCGCTCTAGACGCGGGCTGCTACGAACTGGCTCAGATCTGGGGTCTCATCAAATTGATACTTCAAGTTCGAGGGAAACCACTCTCTACTCTGGGATCAAGGATGGGGATGAAACGAATCGCACATGGAATCCACACTAAGACTCCTGGCCAAGCCTCTGACAAAGGTGGCCTCTACAAAGATCTTGCGAGCAGTGTTGTTGGGTGGGGAGACCACCCTATGGGAAGCCACTGGCTCGTGCCTGCTCTCTTTGACCACTTCGAGCGTATTGGTGATGTGCAGATGGTAGCAATGCTTTCCTGCGTGTTGCTAGAAGCAAACCACGAGGGCCGGCCAGGGAAACCCTCAGAACCTCGTGTCGAGGAACGGGCATTCTCCCTCGATTTCTCCTCGGTTGCGTCGACCGTGCAGAACAACAAATCGCAGGCTGCGACTCCTGCTTCGTCTCTCCCGCGAGAGCCTCAACCAGTGCTTCCCCACACCTCGGCCCGCTCGTCGAGTGAGATTTGGCGGTTTGATTCTACTCCTCCTTACTCTACCGGCACTACACCCCCTCTGGGTTCTTCCCGCCCACGAGGTATTGCTGCAGATCGCAAGGCCCTCAGCCACAATGTCTCAATAGCAGCTTCGCCAGATCAACAATCTCAGCCTCGAAGTGGATCTGGATTTGGATCCGTGCTTGCTTCATCGTTGTCTCGTTCCTTCACCTTCGGGCCTTCATCGGCATCGCCGCCCGCAAGTCACCTGGGTAAGAAGAAGCCAAGCCCGGGCCAGAGTCCGGGCGTGGCAACTGTGCCAGTGGTATGTATAACATCATCTGTTCTATACGGGCTTTAATGTTGCAGTTTTCTAACCTTTCTAGGCTCCATCTGATACTGAAAGTGACCGCCCCTCCAAACCAACTAAGCCGGCAGCTCGATTCAAAGTCACTCTGAAGAATCAAAGTGCATTTGATGGAGACGATGCTGCTCCTGACTCCTTGCTCGATCGTGACAAGGAATGGCTGTATCGGTCCTATCGTGCTGCTTATGCCGAACTGCTATCCATATGGGGACTCCCTGTCCAACAAAGCGAAGTCATGAAGATCGGGGCGGTGGTTGACAATGCAGAGGATGACATGCATACCAGCCAGTACTGGAGTAACCGCACTTCCAAGACGATATCGACCCTCCCTGAGGTGACACCAAATGAGCCTCCGCCAGGCCATGAAGGTCTTGATTTCCAACGTCACTGCGTCGGCTGCGGTCATGCTCAGCATGTGTCCATCTTCGCTCCGCTGCCAGCCCCTAGCACCCCGTCTAAACGCGCTCGTCGGGAACAAACCGCATCACCTCGATGCTCTAACTGCAAACCCCGTCAACCTCTCCCTACCCGACTTCCCTGCGTTATTTGCGGCGAAGTTAATGACGGAATGCTGGTGCCGTGTCTCGGCTGTGGCCACGTGAGCTGCTTCTCCTGCCATCATCGCTGGTTCCTCCGAGCAAGCGATTCTTTCGATGCACCCGAAGACACCAATGTCCTCCCAACATGCCCTACGGGCTGTGGCTGCAACTGCTCCGACTACGTCACAGCCGACGTGCCGATGCCAGCATGGGACTCTCCCATGTCACCTGGTACCAAGCCTGTAACCCCCGGCCTCCCCCACCGGAACGTGTCTCATGAGAAACGGCATCGCCGCCGTCAGTCTGAACCACCTTCCGGCCCTGACTCGAGCGGTCGCAACACTCCTACCTCGAAGACTGGCGTTGGCCAGCTTCAAGATGAGCTAGACTTATGGCAGACATCTTCACCGTTTGCCTCTCTTGCGCGGGGTATGGGCGGGGGACTAAGTCAGGGTCTACGGCCGAAGGATGATCGGAAGAAGAATCGGACGGTCGCAATCGCTGAGCCTCGTGGCAAGGGGAAGTGATCGTGGGATTTTCGATCTCGACGATGATAATGTGGCGTTGAGCTTGTCTTTATTGGTTGTTCAATTTCATGATGATATCCACCTTGTTTTTGGTCTGTGTCTATGTATTTTTATCAAGCTCTATACTATTCAACCGTTAATGTATATATTCACCACAATTGGTCTTGACCCTGCCCGGGTATTCCCGAGTCATAGGGTAGATATCCATGACATGATTATCGACACGACCAATATTTCTCAACTAGGAGTAACAATGAGCAAATGCTCCAATAAATCCCAGATGACACTATTCGAATCAGAGGTCCGGTTTGACTTGACCCGATTTTGCCGATCCCCCACTGGGTGCCGAAGTCCACATCGGATCAGACCAAGTTAATTCTCGAACGACTAGTGCGATGAGCTTTGGCCTCCGCGTGGACAGACGCCGGCGGGGGCACCAATCATGGGACAGGGGTTCCTGGCACTAAACTAACGCCCAATTCAATTACTTCACCTTTGCTATCATACAAATTGATTCACGTGAATTTTAGCAGGAGTTGAGTGCCAACGATACTATACCTTGGCTACGTTACTACACTCTACGACCCGACCCGAAAAAGACAAGTATTTGTCATAGCTTCATTAGAATGATATTCCTCTATGGTCATGGCCGACAAAGAGCAAAAAATAGCGGGAAATGATATCTAATAAACTGCACTCGCAGCCCGGGTGATGATGGTAAACATCCCCTCGAATCAAAAACCCTTGTAATCAAGTGCGCCAGTCTAACCCATATCTATTTGCGAGAAACGCGCGAACACGCGACACCGCTTACAGCTGCTTGTAAACGTGGTCGGCGGAGGTAACCTCCAGGACGTTCTTAGCAGCCTCCTTGGCGGCGTAGGTGACCTTGCCGTGGTCGATGACGATGGCGTAGCGGTAAGTACGGCCCTCGGCGTCGGCCCAGCCGATGCTCTTGGAGAACTTGGCCTCGGGGTCGGAGAGGAACAGCTGTAGAAGGAGGGAATGTTAGTCCGGTCTGGTACGAAGTGGAATGGTTGCAATGGCCACTGAAAAGAGTGCAGAGAAACCTACAATGTCATCACCGGTAACACCGTTGGCCTTGCCCCAGGCGCTCATGACGTAGGCATCGTTGTAGGCCAGGACGGCAACAACATCGACACCCTTGGCGCGGAGCTCAGGGAGCTTCTGAATGTACTCGGGGACGTGGTTGGCAGAGCAGACAGGGGTGAAAGCACCTGAAGGATGTGGCGGTCAGCAAGAGAGAACCTTGGTGGACAAATCAAACGTCACAAAAATTTTGAGAGAAGCGGTGACGAACCGGGCAGAGCGAAGAGGATGACCTTCTTGTCAGCCCACTCCTTGGAGGCGAAGTAGTTGATGGGGATACCGCAGGAGGTGATCTCGCTGGAATCCTCGGCCCAGGGGATGTAGCTAATTGATAGATAGGTTAGTCTTGGAAGTTTCCGTGATGCTAAGAGTGCCTAGGAGGAGGGGTGGCGGGGTGGCGGGGTTTGAAGGCGGACGTTTGTAGGATGATGGCGGAATTTGAGGGGGAAATTGAGTCACGTACGAGAAGGTCACGTCCTGGGGGAAGCTGTCACCGGCCTTGAGAGACATAATTGCAGTTGTTGGGGTAGAAGTGTGGTGGTAGAAGAAAAGAGGGAGATGTGTTGAAGGAAGAAGAAATTATAGATTGGAGATAAGGAAGAAAAAGAGTTCGGATTTGCCCCCAGGGGCAAGAGCGGCTTTAATATTCCGGGACGAGCCAGCGGCAACTTGGTAAGGGGATTTGCTGTATTACACATATCGGCCCATCGGGATCACGCATATGACGAATGGGAGTGGGACTATGGGAAACTATCATATTAACTCATTGGGCCTTATCCATGAGGTGATCCGAAGCAGAAAGATACCGAACCGCATGGATTAGCAAAATAGACCGCCGAGAACTGGCTGGCTGACTTATCGGGGCGCTAATGACTAAGTATCTCAACACTAAAGTGAACCTAATTGGCTTAGGGTTTGGCAGCGTTTAGAACTTTCTGGTGGCGGGACCGAAGATAAGGCCAGTATTGGTGCCTTGATACCTGAGTGCTTGAGTGCCTGAGTATCTTGAGCGGGATCTCGGTGTCTGAACGAGTCATGTGACCTGTGGGTGGCGCTTGCCTGTTTTGGGAAATGTCGGTTTGGACAGTTTGGCTAGCTTTGTGGCCTTAATATCCAGGCCGTCAGGCATCAAACGGAAGTATGTTTCGGACTGTATACCCGACACTTCACCCTGCGGAGATCATGGAGATCATGGAGACTCGAAACAAATCCAAAGCATATATACACACCTAATATGACCTGAAAACCTCTGGGGGCCATTTCTGAAGCGTCAATGGAAGACCATCCTCACCGGAGCCACCTCACCGCTGTTGCGTCACATCACCGTGGAAAACCAACGACGATGCACGATCCCATGCAAGCTGCTTGATTGTCCGGAACCCCCCATGCCAGTCTTACTCTTTAAGGTTAAAGATCTCACAGACCCATCATTGTCTTTATCACCAAGTGTCCTCGTGATACCCTCATTACTATCATCCCCCTCCATCGGTAGCATGGCCGAGTCCTCAACCACTGGCGGGGATGCCCCACGTACGGCCACCCTCCCGGCCACCCTGCTCCTCCTGTGGTATCCCATTAGCAAACAGCTTCTTATCACACCCGACCAGCTGATCGGACAAGATTACACGGGAGGAAAGGGTAGACACACGCGCACCATGGTACAGCACATTCATGCTTGGAACTCGAACCCCTCGCGGTTTGGTCTGGCTTCCGCAGCCAGCCTGTCGGGGAGGCGCCCGAGGATGTCCCCTCCAGATAACGAGATCTAAGAGATACCGCGGGGAAGCTGGATAGGCGGGGTGTATCGATAAATAAACTGGTTCATCTGGACCAGGACAGCCGTATTCACAGAGTCAGACAATCTCGCCACTGCTAGGCATATACAATGGCTCTTTTGTTTACTGGAAAGCCGACTCCTCGCGTGGGAGAAATACTCGTTGCGAGATGGAATATACCCAAGCATAATTCTTCAAGGCTCAACCTGAAGCAACGGAGGTTTACATCTACGCTGCAGATTGCCCAAAAACAGACGGCGCAAGCAGCTCCTTCTTTTCCTCCCTTGTCTGTTCTTCCGACTCGTGTCCTTCTCCGGTCTCTCCTTGTCTCGACTATCTCGTCCAAGTCATGGCTTCTTTATCCTTCGCTATGGGTCATGTCTATTCTCTCCAAGCCTAATCGGGGGTTCTTGCTTAACGTGGACCGCAATCCTATACTCCATGGTGTCTTGAAGAAGACCTTCTACGAGCAATTCTGTGCGGGCGAGAACGCAGCAGAGACTAAGGCTACTATTAAGGAATTGAAGGACATGGGATTCCGTGGTGTGATTATGACATACGCCAAAGAGACTGTGTTTGATCACCGTACCAAGACTCAACATGGTTTGGGTGTTGCCGCTTTGGAGGCACAGGGGAATGGAGAACAATTAGATCCTCGCCTGGTCCACTGTGCCAATATTGAAGCTTGGCGGAAAGGAACCCTCGAAACGGTGGAGCAACTTGAAGATGGAGATTACCTGGCTGTCAAGTATGTCGTCCAATTCAGTCTCATTGTCTATCTAATCATTGACAGTCACTAACATAATCTAATTCACAGATTGACTGGGGCTGGTCCTACGGTCACCGAGGCCTTTTCCAAGGGCGATCTTCCCCCAACCCAAATGATGAACGCCATGGATGAAATCTGCCAAAGATGTAAAGAGCGCAACGTTCGAATTCTTGTCGATGCCGAGTCCCAACACTTCCAATGGGGTATCCTTCGATTGACCCTCGACCTCATGCGCAAGTACAACCGAGACGGATACGCCGTGGTCTACAACACGTACCAAGCCTACCTTAAGAGTACATCCGATACTCTCACCAAGCATCTCACCGCTGCCCAACAAGAAGGGTTCACGTTGGGTCTCAAGCTTGTTCGGGGTGCTTACATGGCCTCTGACGAACGAGCCCTCATCCACGATACCAAGGCGGACACTGATAACGCCTACAACACTATTTCCCAGGGCGCTCTGAAGCGCACCATCGGTGACTTTGGAACGACAACCCCCTTCCCTTCCGTCAACCTCTTCCTGGCCAGCCATAACCGCGAGTCCGTCATGGCCGCTCATCACCTTCACAAGCAACGTACCCAAGCCGGACTCCCCACCGTCCCCGTCGGCTTCGCCCAGCTCCATGGAATGTCCGACGAAGTGAGCTTCTCTCTTCTCGCTCTTAAGGGGAGCGATGGGACTCCGGAGGTTTACAAGTGCTCTACCTGGGGTGGCATGGGAGAGTGTCTAGCATACTTGTTGCGGAGGGCTATTGAGAACCGGGATGCGGTGTTGCGGACGAGTGATGAGTATAGTGCGCTTAAGGCGGAGTTTAAGCGTAGGCTGAAGAGAAGTTTCTCTTTTGTACGCAGAAATGAAGAAATGAAGTATAGATGACAATATCTATGAAATGAATAATTATCATTGATATACTCTTTCTTTATTTTCCCTTATTTAGGAGAGCTCTCATACAAGACTGAATCCATATTGGTTTAGTAAAAACAAGTGCACAACCTTTCTAGTTTGCATCATGATTGACACTAGTTTGATGCAATGATTAGAGTTATCATTCAAGATGCTCTACGGGAGCCCTGCCGAGTGGCGGCTGCGGGAAACAGGGTTCGATAGCCGCACCTGGTAATCGGTGGATTTGGCCACCCAAATAGGGTTGAGAAAGCGCGGGGTGATTGCCCCCCACATTGTGATACCACGAAGCCTAGGTCGGCTTTATCCTAGCATCATTTATGCATCTTTGCATGAGTCCTTGAAAATTGAGGAATTCTATTAACGACAAGTCAACTATCTATCGGGCAGCACTGCAGAATGTCTACAATGGGATTCTCCGATTATGGAGCTAGACCATCAACTAGTTATAGAAACACTGTGCTCCTGAATCTCACTTTATAAAATTGAATTAACACCTTCGTAAAGTTCGATTAGGTGAAGGAATTGGAAGTCATAAATCCAAGCAAAAGCGCTTTTGAAGCATAAATTCAGGTCTAATAAAACTTAAATCATACAGTTTGAATCAGAAAACTGCCGCTATAATGCAATCTAATGGTTACTGGGATAAGTATATCCAGTCTGAGGGAAGAACTCCTCCTTAATCAAACGGGGGCTCGTGAAGCGGCGGAGAACGTCCGAGCTACCGGCCTTATCGTTGGTGCCACTGGCACGGGCACCACCGAAGGATTGCTGGCCGATCAGGGCGGCAGTGGTCTTGCAGTCTGGAGGGAGAGTAGAATGTTAGGATCCGGACCTGAGATCTGAAGGAGAATATTAGGGAAGACTTACTAATATAGAAGTTACCGGCAGAGTAGCGGAGAGCATCCTCAGCCTCACGGATAGCCCTGCGGTCTGAAGCGAAGACGGCACCGGTGAGGGCGAAGCCTCCACCGTTCTCGTCTACCTTCTTCAGGGTAGAGGACCACTCGGCGTCGGGATAGATGTAAACAGCCAGAACGGGACCGAAAATCTCCTCGTTGAAGAGTTGGTGGTCGGGCGAGTTGACCTGGTAGACAGTTGGGTGGACGTAGAAGCCAACCGAGTCGTCGTAGGTACCACCAGCAACGAGCTTGATGGATGGGTCCTTGTTACTCTTGTCAATGATAGACTTGATCTTGTCAAAGGACTTGCGGTGAATGACGGGACCCATGAAGGCCTCCAGATCCTTGTCGGGGTTTCCAATGGTGATATCCTTCACACCAGCCTTCAAACCTGTCAAAAACTCCTCAGCCTTGGACTCGGGGAGGTACAGACGCGAAGTAGCAGAGCACTTCTGGCCCTGGTACTCGAAAGAGCCTCGGATAGTGTGGTTAACTGCGCTGGTGATGTCCGCACTGGGATGGACGAGGTGGAAGTTCTTGCCACTAGTCTCTGCAACGACGCGAGGGAACTCGCGGTAGGCCTTGTTGGCGACTCCGGTGGCGATCTTGCCATACAGAGAGCGGAAGACGTCCGATGATCCAATGAAGTTAAGACCGGCGAAGTCGTTGTGCTCCAATACAGCTTCGGTGATAGTCTCGGGGTCACCGGTGACAAACTGGATCACATTGGGAGGCAGACCGGCCTCGAGGAGAATGTGGTAGACCAAGTTGCTGGCGTAGACGTTGGAGGGCGATGGCTTCCAGACCACGACGTTACCCATCAAGGCGGGCCCGGCGATCAAGTTACCACCGATAGCAGTGAAGTTGAAGGGCGAAACGGCGTAGACGAAACCCTCCAGGGGTCGGTAATCCAGTCGGCTAGAAAGTTACAATTAGCAAAGTCTCTCAAACTCCTGGTAAATATCGCCAAGGGCAGCTTATTGGTTACTCACCTCCACATTCCGTCACTGCCACGAGTGGGTTGTCTCTCCAAGATCTCCGCAGCATAGTTGCAGTTGAGACGGAAAAAGTCCGCCAGCTCAGCCGCAGCATCAATTTCTCCCTGCCAGATATTCTTGCCCTGGCCAAGCATAGTAGCCGCAATCAAGTCATAGCGGTATTTGGTGGTAACCAATTCGGCGGCCTTGAGGAAGATGGCAGCTCGGTCAACAAATGGCGTCTCCTCCCACTCCTTCTTGGCCTTCAATGCGGCGTTGATTGCTGCTATGGTCTGCTCCTTTGTGGCGAGGGGGTAGTTTGTGAATGTGGTGGCGTGCTCGGCAGGCAGTGGTTGATCCCAAGACTTGAGACTCTGCTGGATCTTGCCATCGTAGTAGATGTCGCTGCGAACGGGCAATTGAGACCGGAGCTTGGAAAGGGCTTCTTCGAGCTTGGTGCGCTCCTCGGAGCCTCTCTTGTATAGTGGCTAGAGTGGATTGATGTTAGTCAGGAATTCTATGATTCTTTTGAAGAGTTTGCTCTCTCACGTTTGGCTCGTTACGAGGATCGGGGAGACGGAAGGGAGCTGTCGCCTTGCCTCGAAGCTGAATCAAAGGCCGAGCAGGCAGAGATCGCAGACGAGGCGCAAACGACCGCGCTGAGCGCAAGTTCATGAGTGATGTGGCGGACATGGCGACAATAAGAACTGCAGTACTAGTCGTCTAATGTCTGGAATGTGTGTAGATTGAAATTTGTTGACGATAGTGCTAGCTTTATCAAGGCCGGCCATTGGGATGGCATCGGATGGACGACCGACATCTGTCGAACCGCTACCCCGCTGTACTTTTTCTTGTTGGAGCTCTGGAGGTATGACGCTCGGCCCTGTGGAGCCAGCGATAAAGGATAAAGCTGTCCAAAGCTGAAAGTATGCAAAGTGTGGAAAAGTATGCCAATCTGACCATCGGGAGGGCTTCCGATGGCCCCCCGCCACCGTCTGTCGGCAGTTATCTGCGACTCGCACGAGACCAAACGAGCAACGGAACCCAGATTGAGGAGAGGCGATCTGCAAAAGAAAAAGAACATCAGTTTGTCTTGAGGGGGAAGTATGTCAAAGAGTTGTCGTAAAAGTTCTTGCACTCGAACATTATCACTAAAAAATCCCATACAATGGAGCACAGTTCCGCCAAGAGCCAACAACGTTGGAATAGCTCGATTCTCCGAAAACTATCTGGAGACATAGGCGCAGCAGCAATATCAGCGACACTTATAACGCCGATAATTACAATCATTGACAGGTAATCATTTACTCATGATATTTATCCCAGGCTCCAACACTAACAAGCTACTAGGGCTCTCGTCGAAAAGTCCTCGTTCAACCAACCCATCATTCGCGGCCTCCGCACCCATACCCTTGCTGCCCTAAGAAATCCGGCACGATTTGTCTTCCAAGTACCTTTTGGCCTCATCTGGACCTTGTACGCCGCTACTTATGCGGTCGCCAATGGGGCCGACACTATCGGCACAGAGCTGAAAGCTACAGCGACGGGGATGATCACATTCCTTTCAACCACGATTGTCAACGTCCCCTTGGGGGTATGGAAAGACCTTAAATATGCCCAAATTTTTGGGACACAACAAAGCCCCAACAATGTCGAGACTGTGCGAAAGTCGCTTGTCCAGAACAAGGGTGTTGCACGAGCTGCAACGGCCATGTTCCTTGCTCGCGACAGTATCACCATCTTTGGTTCCTTCACACTGGCTCCCAGACTCGCGGAGGCGATACCGGACAACTTGACCAGTCATCCACATGCAAAACCGGTTATCACGCAGTTGACTGTGCCAGTGTTGACGCAGCTGGTAGCGACGCCATTGCATTTGTTCGCCCTCGACTTGTATATCCGGCAGCATCACGTACCACTCGCCGACCGGATCGTGCAGTCTCAGCGGTATTTGGGATCGACTACAGTGTTTAGGTGTATTCGAATTATTCCTGCGTTTGGATTTGGATGTTTGGCGAATATGGAGTTGAGGTCGACATTTCATAAGAAATTAGAAGTTGGAGCTTGAATTGATGCAAGGAAAGAGGGACTATAGTTATGAGATACCACCGATGTTATGCGACAAGCGTCCGAGGCATTATATGGACATATAGATATTATTCAAATCTTCTCTTTTAGTCTATCAAATACAAAGTATGCACTCTATGTACTTAATGCCGAGTGTCATTCACATGCTCCGTGGTCTCCATAAGTCGAGCCAAAGTCACCGCTTCACGAAGGGCACGTCCAATATGACCCCGAACACCTGCCTCCTCCATCACCATCAATCCGCCAATTGTACATCCTTCCGGAGATGTGCCTTGATCCCTGAGTATAGCCGGGTGCATTCCACTCTGGAGCATCGTGGCCGTTCCTTGCATAGACTGGAAGATCATGGTATGGGCCAAATTCCGAGGCATGCCAACCGCCACAGCCGCATCAATTAGCGCATCGCAAATGACAGCGAAGAAGGCCGGTGTAGATCCTCCTACGGCAGTGGTCGCATTCATAAGTCGTGGCTCAATTTCCACGGCGCGCCCAATGCGCTCGAAAATTGCTGTCGTGATCTTCAAGTATGATTCTGGTGGAGAGGGTTCAGAGACTTCGATGGCCGTCAGGGACTGTGAGACCTGAGCCGCTATATTGGGGAGAGTGCGTACAACCCATGCCCGGCCAGATTTGTTGGCATTGGTGGTCTCACTTCCATAGATGGTTTCTTCGAGCTTTTGTCTGGTCCATCCAGCTGCGATGCTGATCAAGAGCTTGCCCTCCAACACCTCCGGTAGGCCTGTCTGCTTCAACACACTCTCGATATCGGCCGGGTCCACGCCCAGGATAATCACGTCGGACTCGTGCACGGCTCGAACATTGTCGCCACGAGAAATGGAGAGTCGATTCTGGTGCTGGGGGTATTTCTCTGTAAGCCTTTGCGCCGAGGCTTCGCTGCGGACACAGGCGATGAATCGACTGAACAAGGGGTCACTGTCTGACGTTTCCAGCAAACTGTTCAAGATAGCTGATCCCAGGTTTCCTATAGCCAACCAATTAGTCTTGAGGGAGCTCGCTACTGCGCTATTCACTCACCACATCCCAACAGGCACAGAGTTTCCATTTTCGCTGCTACCATTGTGATCAGATGACAATGAATTCCTCAACAATTCTACTCAATTCAGTTTTTGGGGAGATAACAGAGTGACACCAGCAATCTCTCTGTGAAACAATCCTGGCAGCAGTCGTGGAAGCTCATCGGGAGGGTGCCCGAAGCAAGTGGAGACTCTCGACCCCCGCGATGTGGCGGGCGCTTCTTCTCCTCTTCTCCTCACAGGCCCAATCCACTCGGCAGGGCATCCCGACTGATAACGATGGGCCTAGATCAGCCACTCGTGCATTTGTCGCAAAAGATGCCGGTCCTTGGAAAGAAGAAGCGCGACTTGCGGGGTATCTATCATCAATGGCAAGTCATAAATATCATCAGGCGAGAACGGAACAGAAAGTATTTCGAACTCGGGCTTAGTGACCATGGGCGTCTCCAAGTCGGATGCGATTCTCATCGTGGGAGGTGGTGCTTTTGGTCTCTCCACGGCCTACCATCTCGCGCAGGAAGGATACACAAATGTCTCTGTGTTTGAGAGGGACGATCATATCCCCCCGCGTTACTCTGCAGCCAATGATCTGAATAAGATTGTGCGCGCTGAATACGAGGATCCTTTTTATACCGATTTGACGATTGTATGTATACCCGATGGCGTTAACACTCCTATTCAACCCTTTTTTAATCCATTCTAAACAATTTCTGGACTTCAGAAAGCAATCGCTGCGTGGAAAACTCCCTTGTTCGCCCCTCATTTCCACCAGACCGGCTTCCTCCACTGTGTATCCGGTGATGCGCCCCAAAAAGCGATCGATACGCTGAACAGATTCCGCGCCTCAGCTGAGCGTAATGCCCTCATCAAACCGCATGTCAGATCTCTAGACGGCGAGGAAGATATTCGGCAGACTTGCTGGCAGCTAGATGGCCCCCTTCCGGGCTGGAAAGGATACTTCAATAACTTCGATGGATATGCCCATTCCGGTAACGCCCTTGCAGGGATCTACCGCGCTGCGCAGGCTTCCGGAGTGCGATTCTTTCTAGGCGAGCAAGGTGCTGTGGATGAGCTTGTCTACGTCAGCACCGTCAATGGGCGAAAGTGCGCTGGTATCCGGACAAAGAATGGCCGATTCCACCCATCATCTCTGGTCATTGTTGCCGCAGGTGCCGGTGCTGGTCGTTTGGTCCCTCAAATTGGACAGCAGGTTGTCGCCAAGTCATGGTCTGTCGCTCACGTCCAACTCACCGACGATGAGACCTCGGGTCTCCGTGGTATCCCGGTGACTTATGCCCGTGATTTGGGATTTTTCTTTGAACCAGACCCGAAGACCAACTTGCTGAAGCTGTGCCCCATGGGTGGTGGGTACATCAATACGGATCCCAAGACGGGCGTGTCACATTCACCGAAGTCGCTGAAAGAGAGCGCCTTCGTTCCGGAGGAGGATGAGAAGCAGATGAGGAAACTCTTGGCTCAAACGCTTCCATCTCTGGCCGACCGACCCCTTGTCAAGAAGTCACTTTGTTGGTTCGCTGATACAAACGACTCTGAATTCATCATCGACTATGTGCCGAATCTGGACTCTTCTCTCATGCTTTTGTCCGGTGATTCGGGCCATCTGTTCAAGATGTTCCCGATCGCTGGTACCTGGGTAACGGATCTCCTGGAGTCACCCAACAATAAGCAGACTCTGGCACGCTGGCGGTGGAAACAACCAGATCCCAAGGCTGGCAAGGATTGGGGAGGTGATGTGAGCTGGCGTCTCGGAGACTCCAAGGAGCTGTCTGCTATCATGCCTGCAAAGGCCTCAAAGCTGTAAATAGACCGTGATTGATTCCCTCGGACCATTGCATAGTATTCGCATTCTTTCCAACCGAGGGCATATGACATATTGACCAAAGGAATAGAGTGCTTTCACTTTGTCTTTTCTCGGTTACTTCTATCACCCTCAATCAAAGAAATCTGTCATGGTTTTCTTCTCGCGCACAAAATCACAAAGTATCATTACTAAACGAGTCCTGGAAATTATTCAAATCCTCTCAATAAATCGCAGGGTCGGCCATCACATAGCTTTGTTAATTGTTTCTAGAACTCAGGCTTTTGTTCTCGAGTTCTTTGTCTCTTGTACCACCAACCGTCTCAGCAGACGACATTCTGCTTTGTGTTTGTATTCAAGCCAAAACACAAAGCTCTTCCCTCTGAATATAAGATAACACTATGCTCTCCACGTGAAAATCAATCAAAACTATCTACAACAATCAGCAACCCCTCAAGTCCCAAAAAGTCCCACCCCGCCCCTAAACAATACTGAGAAACAAGCTGACACTACAGCTTCTCTTGACGATACTAATCATCAACACTGTTAAGGTAAATTCATTACTGCCCCAACACACTTACAAATAAAGCTAACCCATCTCCAGATGTGCATCCTAGCAGTCTTGGATCATTCCAGCCAATTCGGCTGTGGCCATGTCTTCATCGCCGGCGTCCAGAAATGCCCCGAAGCCATACAGCGGCGCAATCAAGAGCCTTGCGTAATTATAGAGGAGGCCCGTTTCAAGACTTACTCGGCAATTTGGCATAGGTATGCGAGATACTTTGATCCCCCAGATTGTAAGGTAGCGGGTCCGTGTCAGGCGTGCAAGGATGATGGTTGGCCGAATTTCTTTTGAGAGGGCTCGCAGAGTTTTGGTGATGTGAGGACACGTACGCTACGGTACGTGATTCTTGTTGGTTCATTGCATTACAGGCGTTAGATTGAGTGCAGCTACAAGTGAGTGGAGCAACTCCTGCTTAGCGGTGACACATTTCGAATATTAGTATCCATGGATTTATCATGGCAGCAAAAGTGATTTCAATTCAAGTATCGTCATTCATTAATCAGCGTAAAACCATATCTACCAAGTATATCTACCAAATACTATGCTCAATCATCGCATTGGACATCCACTCCGTATCAATACCTTCAATAGAATCCGCCACGGCCATAATCTGCGCTGCGCTCCACCCACTGGTAAAAGCGCCATCATCTCCCATGTCAGCACCAGGGTCAGACAACATATCATGGCTGAGAACATGTGAGGATGGTGGGAAAGATTTTGCTAACTCCTCGTGTGAGTGATTGAGGGGGTTATTCGGGAAGGCGACCAACGCAGATAGGCGTCCGGGTTGATCTTCAGGGAAACAGCTCAACAGCTCATCTAGAAGTTGTAACTCCGAGCGCCGGAACTTGGCGATCAGGTTGCCGTTCTCGATGATGTCTTCGAAGATTGTGTATGCTTTTTCGACCCATATGGGAAAGTTCCAGCGGATATCGATGGCGGGTCCGATGAGGAGGACTACTGTTGAGACGAATATGGACTCGAGGTCGAAAGGGAGGAATGTTTCTGGAGGAATTTGGAGTTAGAACAAATTCATTGACGTAGGTGAGTCGGTAGTAAGTTGCGGATAAATTACCAAGTAGGCCTTCTGATTGAAGGCTATGAAGAATACTGATTATTTGCTGAGAAGACTCCATGCACATTTGGATCAAGTTTCGAACGTTTCGGGAAGTGTTCAAAGCATCCGAGCAATTTTGCGGCGATTCGAAGCGGATCTTCAAAAAACAGAAGAGAAGGGGTCGAGTTGCAAGCACAATACACTGATGATATAGAAGGTGAAGATAGGCGGATTTCCTGGAGACCCCATTCGTCGATCGCTCCGCCTGTAATGGGAAACTCTCTTGCAGTTCATCGGCTAGGCGGGCAACACTTGCCAAGGCTGTCTTGGTCCGAAGCAAGAAGTTTCGGTTCAAGCGGCCATCAATCGCATAGACAGCTATTAAAAGCAATTAGATTTATGGCTGAATGACCCTGGAATGCTTGGAAAGACTTACTACTGTTGATCTCTGCAATGATTCGGGACAATTTAATTTGCATGCCGATTCCAGCGGTCTTCTGTCCGGCGCCTGGAAATGTGGGAAGAAGGGCGTTGACATGATCATCATTCAGGGACTGAGGTAATCCCATGAGTGAAGTCATCTCACGATCCATAACGTATACGGTCCACCAAATCTTGCGACACCTTTGCACAAAGCTTTCTCCTAGATACTCAATCGGCATTTGAGTGTGGAGGCCTTCAGCCATCGCCATTCGCATGGCTTGTCCAATCTATAGAAAACAAGTTATGAGCAATTCATCTAGCTGCATCAAAGAATTTTCAAAAGCTTACATAGTTATGAGCTGACGAGCGACAATCCAAGGCTTGCAGGTACAACGCCACACAGCACAATATTTCTGTGGACTCGATGGGCTCTTGATGGAGAACACTAATGTCGGGAAGCAACTGGAGTGCCTTCACAAAGTATTCCGCCCCGGCAGGCTTATTTCCCTGCAATTTATGCTGCACAAATCCCTTGCCGAAGGCCAGGATCAAAAGGAAGTGGATATACCACAGCCCGGCTGTTGCATTCGGCTGAGGTCCCGAGTAGAACTCGTGCAGATTCCTCATAAAGTCATTCTCATCGAAGAGGTGGTAAAGTTGTCCGCAGCGGAACTTGACAACATTGATGAGATATAGTGCGTGGTCGAAGGTAGGAACGGCAGGGGTGTCTGGATCCTGTGGCCTACGCAAGCCGTCCCAGCCAAGGTCGTAGGTCGTACCATCAAAGAGCAAGGCTCCAGTTGGAAGAGCTTCTTGGTAAATGTGTTCATGCGTTAGGCTGAGGACTCGGCGTGTGAAGGACCAATTTGACGAGGTTCCTAGATAGACTAGGAGATGTTAGGATAGCCCGGATTGTGTAGCGAGGTGCCAACATACATGTTCTTCCATTCTCTGCCGACATGAACGCGGGAGGTCCGGTGGATAGAGGGTTTGTTAGTCCTGATGCAGGATCCTCCAGCTCATGATGAAGAAGGTCTTCACGGTTATTAGGTGATGACTTGGCAATATCTGATACATCATTTTGTTCTTTGGGATCTACAATGCACTCTCGTCATCAGCCAAGCAAGCGATATCAAGGAGTCAGGGAATGAAACCAACTGGGAGATGTATCCTCTGCATATTCTGGACTTAGGGGACTCTGATGCACGCGGTCGCTTTGTTGGAAAGTGGCAATCTTCTGCAGCAACTCATCGATGTAGCTATACCGGGTTAGCCACCATGCTTTTGGTCTCTTGGACCTAGGTCATCGGACGCATACCCTCTAGTGACTAGAATCTTCTGATCGCGATCATCAAAGACGCAGGTAAGCTTGCGTTTGTTGCAGCCATCGCAAGGCTGTGATCCAGAACATTTGATCTTCTGCCTGCGACATCGAGTGCAGCTATCAGGAATTCCAAGCCATGTTAGTACTCCCTATCCATGTCCATAGCCTCCTTCAGCTTCTAGAATAAACATACGCATTCAAAGATCGTTTAGCAACTCGCGGACCGGTCCCCGCCATGAGCACGATTTGCTTGTAGATGCCGGGTGAGATGCCGTTGACGCCGGGAACGCGAAATTATCAATTGAGTGAAAATGCGGGGGAACCTGGCCGGTGGAGCCGCCCGGTTTTGCCTTTGAGATAACGAGGGACGAATAATAAGGAGGCCATCCTATAGCGATAGGGAATTGTTGCCACCTCTGAACATCTGATCAAGCCACGGAAGATTCATTGAAAAGATATTTATGAGATATTCCAGAGACTGGTGCGCATTTTCTATATAGTTAGTTGTTCACAGTCCCTGTTTGCTTCGACATGGTAGGCGGATTATTATCCTTGCGGTAGTTGAGCATCAATCTTAGGCCTACACAAAGACATCCATTCAAATAATTCCACTTTCTACTTTTCAGATAGCTGGCCACCTAGAGTCTCTAATAATTTCAAACATTTCGAACAGCTTATCGTGCAGGTACTACTTGGCAGATTGCTGGCAACTCTTCTCGGAGATAGTCCGTCCATAAGTGTCAGATTTAGGCATCAGATCTGACGTCAGTGGTCGGATAAGGGCCTCTACCCCATAATCAGCGGATTCTAACCCCAGATATTCATTAGCTCGTAGGTTATCACACGACAACTCGTTCATGGCGCATCATGTACGTGACTACGGGAGGGTGGCCGGATTTTCCACACAGACCTCTACTGATAAGCTTCTCCACCGGCTGCCCTCCCGATGCCCCTCACTTGCCAGAGAGTGCCATCTGGTCAGCCTTTTCAGCTTTTTCCATGACCTATCGATGGATATGTGGAGTTTAGCTATCAAAGTAACTATTAATGATGATATAAGCATATTCGAGAAGATCTTCCCACTATTCGTTGATGCCAAGGGTTTCAACAAAGAAAATGAGCGGCGTTTTTGACGCCAGAAACAGACGCGGTCCATGTTAGTTCCACCCTGAGTTCTCAGGCTGCCAAGTTATAGTTAACTACTGTACAGAACCATGTACTCCAACGAGTTTCTCATTTCCCTTCATGTACATTCTATTTCTGCTTCCCTGGTTTACTCTATCATCATCACAAAATATTTCTATGCTATTTCTAATGCTGTGTAATATTGCCGGCCTGAATGATGTCTTACCTTGCCTATACTTGCAAGGGTCTGCCGTCGGGAAGCCAAACGGGTATAGCTTCTGCTGACATGATATCAAAAGGTATCTATAATGGTCAATATTTGAAACCCGTGGAACAATTTAGAGGTATATAAACACTTAAACGGTTTTCAATTTCTGCTCTAATGAGCAACCAGTCTTTTCTCCTCTTAACTTGTTTCAACCTATCGCAAACCGTAGTATGCCTCTTCCGCAGCGAGCCTTAGGGCGAGATGGTCCCAAAGTCCCTGCCATCGGTCTCGGTTTTGGAAGCATTGCCGGATTCTATGGACCAGCGGGGACCCTCGACGAAAAGGTAGCCCGGCTAGAGCATGCGCATGCCACCGGACTTCATTTTTGGGACATGGCCGATATCTACGGTGACAGCGAGGACGTTGCTGGCGAATGGATCAAGCGATCTGGCAAGCGTGATGATATCTTCTTAGCTACCAAGTTTAGCCTCCAGCGCCAACCTGATGGGAGGTTCTCCTTTCGATCTGACCCCGAATATGTCAAGGCTGCTTGTGAAAAGAGCCTCCAGAGACTAGGGGTAGACACTATTGACCTTTACTATTGTCATCGGGTGGATGGGATTACGCCTATTGAGGAGACCATAGAAGCTATGGTGGGTCTAAAGAAGTAAGTCTGCCGGTTTTTCAAACTTATTCATGGCCTATCTATATCTAACGTTCTATTCTTGAAGTCAAGGGAAAATTCGACATCTGGGCCTGTCAGAGGTCTCGTCCACTACGCTGCGTCGAGCACACGCCGTCCATCCTATTGCAGCTGTGCAGGTGGAATATAGCCTCTTCAGACTCGACTTCGAATCCTCGCCCTCGGATATTATGGGAACCTGCCGCGAGTTGGGTGTGGCTATTGTAGCCTTCAGCCCGATCGGACGCGGGGTTTTGACGGGTCAATTTCAATCTCGCGAAGACATTCCTACCGGAGACATTCGTTGTGTATTACCCAAGTTCTCGGAAGACAACTTTCCCAAGATCTTGGAGTTGGTACAAGGCTTGAAGGATGTGGCTAAATCGCATGGAAGCACTCCGGCACAGGTTGCTCTTGCGTGGCTGCTAGCGCAGGGATCAGATATTATTCCCATCCCTGGTACGAAGTCGACTGCTCGAATGGATGAAAATGCGGCCTCAGCTCTCCTTGAGATGAGTGATGAAGAAGTACAAGGGATTCGGAGACTGGTTGAGCGAGTAGAGATCAAGGGTACTCAGTATCCTTCCGCGTAAGTTTTTCCTCTTATTCAGAAATTTGCAGTAGGTGTTGGTCGGTTTCAAAGCATGATGGCCACTCTCTGCACAGATACTCCCCCACTAGAGGCGGCGGACGCGAGGCAAAAGTAGATGAAGGCATATGATAACATATTCCGAAGCCATTTTTTCAATAATTTGAACCGAGTCTCTCAAGGCTGAGGCTAATCGCACGCCAACTTGTGCTCTCGCGCGACGGACTATTTTATCGTGGATCATAGGTATATTTAGAACCTGGATATGCTTACAATACCTACTAAGCCTTCTGCTTTAGCTATTAAATAGGACGATTCAAAAGACATTTAGAATGATTTTTCATAAAAGGGAAAGTTAAAGCATATATATTTACATCAAACCCCCGTTTCTCTGGTCTAGATATCAAGAACTTAGTGTACCTATCCTCCACTTCATCCAAAGATGGAATAGTCTGTCGTGCGAAAGCACAAGCTGGCGTTGGAGTAGCCTCAGCCTCACTCAAATCTGGGGATTGTCGTCGGACGGATTGCCCGTTGTGCGCGTTGAGCACACGAATTCTAGTTCGGTCAACAAACTGCTTCCACTGCACTACTATGTGCAGGGTTCAAATAAAACACGATACTCATAGGCCGCACGTTGAGATTTTGTCAAATAGGGTTGGATCGAGAGAGTCCGCAAAAATACGGGCAACGGAATGAATGCTAATTTAATTCCGATCTTTCGGTAGGTCCATCCATTCAAGGCAACTTGACCACTCATGGAAGAGCTACACTGCGCTCACCCAAAAACTATTCCTTGCCTCAATACCTCACAAGAGAGGTTAAGAGCTTACACACCTCGCAATTCAATTTTCTCCAGGCTCCACTTCCACGCCACTGAGATGAAGAAAATTCATGGACGTTGTATGCGACATGAGGAAAAATGTTTAAAAGATTAATCGTTCCTGGGCGAAATTTTCACTAAAATCATAGTGATCTCAGAGATAACCCTCCTCTAGCGCACTGAGCCACGACCTGAGCTCCCTATTTACTTTCGCCGGATCGTCTCGCCACGGCCAATGACCAGCGTTAGGCAGCGTTACCACCCGAACGGACTGATCAAACCACTTGTAGAAGCTGTCCAGTATTTTATCAGAAAGGTACGGCTCCTTCATTCCCCAGATGATGCAGCAAGGCATGGAGTAGTGCATTCCTGAAGTGTCGATGTCCTGACCATACGGTGGCCCTGGGTAGTTTTTGCCGAAGAAGTAAAGCATCCCCCATTCTGGTGACTGTTGTGGGTATGCCTTGATTTCGGCACGATACGCCAAGTCCGGGATGGTGCGAACCACATAGTCTAGGTCGTATTCGTCACCGGGGTTGTGCTGAATGAATTTAAGCAAGAAACGGGATATTTCTTGCTGTTCTTGGTCGTGGTGAATAAGGTGCATCGTCGCTCCCAGGATCGGTGTGTTGATTATCACAAGCCCTGAAACTCTCTCTGGGTGAAGAAAAGCGAGGTTCTGGGCTACGATACCGCCGATATCCCCGGCTGCAAACACCGCTTTTTGGATTTCATGTGGTCCAAAAGTGCCACCATATCGCCAACCATTGCTTTGCCATCGCAGGCATTCTCATCAAGCGGAACGTCACTGGGCGGGTAACCTCGTAGCGTGGGGAGGATTACTGTATGGTCATTGGAGAACTCGTCGACTTGCTTCGAGAAGGTCAACTCATTGTCCGGATGGCAGTGGACAAAAGCCAATGGTGGACCCTTTCGTACAGGTGATAATGGATTTTCACACCATTAGAGTCGAAAAAGTGAGAATTCGAGTCGATAGGTATTTGGGAATGCTGTCTAGTGGACTTGAAGAGACATGTACACTGAATAATCGCACAGGCGGATGCAGCTTTATAACTCAACCTGCCAACACTAGAAGAGACGGTAATACCCTACAGGGATCATGATTTTGCATTACTTCACTAGTTAGGCATTTGCAGGATGAAATTTGTAAGATGACCTCACCATTTTTCTCCTGTGATAGCAATACGACCTTCTTGTAAGTATCCTTACTGGCGACTCCGAATTACGCTTCTCGTGTCATCAGAGCCTAGACCCTACTCATATGTATAATTGTGTAGTAAGGCTGCGATAGATCCCGACTTATCCGTGACTTGGATGAGTTCGTAGATGATCCGATAACCTATCGGAAGGCGAGTTTGTTAACTAATCGGTAGCAGGGGGCCAGGGGCAGCATGCCCCTGGAACAGTATGTAAACGATAGAATGTTGTGGTACTCGAGAAATCTCCAGTCCGATTGCACTGGTAATAGATTGCTTAGCCGGCTTGCCAGTAGCCATAAATAAGAGTCAGTTATCCTGATCCCTGTTTATACCCAATATTTCAAACACTTGAAGTTCACTATCGTTCATTTGTGCTCGTTCAGATCGCAATACATCATGTCCCAAACAGTTCTAGTGACAGGTGTCTCTGGGTTTATCGCCGCACATGTCGTGGATGCTTTCCTCCGTAGGGGCTATCGAGTCCGAGGAACAGTCCGTTCAGAGAAAGCCGCTTCCGATGTGATACAACGGCACAGCGAATATGCTGGCCAGTTGAGCATCTCCGTCGTGCCGAATATGACAGCACTACACGCGTTCGACGAAGCCGTCAAGGGGGTCGACGGGGTACGTAGCCTTCTGCTTGTGTGGATGAACAAATAGGAGATGTCAGCTCATGCAATGTCTGTAGGTGATCCATACCGCATCGCCGTTTATCCTTGGCGCCACCGACTTCCTTCGAGACAGAGCTTTTCCGACCGGCCGTTCAGGGACCATTATCCATACTTGAAGCCGTTCAGACACATAACCCCCGCGTCTCGCGAGTCATCATCACCGGCTCGTTTGCAGCAGTCCTGGATACAGGTCAGGGTTCGCGACCTAGCTACGTCTACAGTGAAAGTGATTGGAACCCAGTCACTGCCGAAACAGGGGGTCTCAAATAGCGTCATAGCTTACCTGGCATGGAAAACCTTTGCGGAGCGAGCTGCATGGGACTATGTAGAGGGCAAGAAGGTAAGCCAATCAGCCAAATCTCATCTGAGTCAGCTCTGATACTATCAATCAATATAAACAGCCAAATTTCACTGTGACTACCCTGTTGCCGCCAATGGTCTATGGACCCGTGCTCCATAATGTCAGCGATGCAAAAGCCCTCAACACTTCCTCCGCCGATATATACCGTTTGATTGACGGTTCAGAGAAGGAGGTTCCAGTGAATCGTTTCTGGGGTTTTGCGGATGTCCGTGATGGTAAGCTGGAGTCTCTTGACTGCCTTGGAATGGGAGCCATCATCCTAACTTTCCAATATAGTGGCCGAAGCGCATGTCCTGGCTTTTGAGAAGCCGGCGGCCGCGGGCCAACGTCATTTAATTTCAAATGGAGCATACAGCTATCAGCAGGTTTGCGATATCATACGCGAGAAATTTCCTCAACTCCGGGGGCTCACCCCTGAGGAGAATCCTGGAACGCCGCTCCCCTCGACCTACAGATTGGATACCTCTAAGGCTATCAAGCAACTCGGAATCAACTTTAGGTCGCTTGAGGAGACTATTGTCGGCACGGTTGATAGCTTGCTCAAGGTGCAAAAGGTAGCTCAGTGAATGATGTAGCCTCGTCTATTAGTTATGGGAAAAGAATTTCCTTTTAAACGAGACAGGTCACAATGAACGCTCAAACCTCAACGAAAAGGACCAGTGTATACCTGGCATTGATTGTAATTCTATGTGGCCCACTAGAGTGACTCGGAGATAGTACATGTGCACTCGCTGTCTATTTAGCGTCGTATAAGCTCAATTAATACGAAGTTCATACAACATTTGATCTACGAGTCAAAGTAATTGTGTAGGGGTCTGGTGACTGACCGACAAAGAAAGATGCAGCGCCAAGGATGAGCCTGGTGTACGCGTAGTTGATTCACTTTTCTAGCGTTCAACACTTCCGTTTATCAACGCAGCGTCAACATGACTATTGACTACTCATAAGCCCACACGCCAGCTAGTGGGTGGTATGGTGGGTGACCACATGCGAATCCTGGCTGTTGTATTTTTTTGCAAATGTTTCACAAGATATAGCAGTTAAAATGGGTGTGCTTATCCGTCGATCCTTGAGCACCTCGGGCGAGCCTGTCGGGTTATATTCCTTGGAAGTGTGAGATCGTTCCCGTGGGTATATATATCGACGAGTGCAGAGGGACCTTGAAAGCCCACTGCAATAATGCTTTATTGATCGGGGTTGTGCTACAGTTACACTAGATCTCCCGAGATGAGGTCGTTTGATTCATTGAATTCTAAGCAATTAGATTCCACCGGTCCATCACCAATGTTCCTGACCGATCGGGACAGTATCTACATCGACTCCGTCAACAAACCAGCGCCCCTCACCATTCCCGTCCGGGCCCAGAAGCAGATCATTGCCGCTCATCATACGCTTGCACATCTTCCCTGTCTCACGATCAAAGGTCCAATCCTCCAGGCCATAGCATCGCTTCCACCGCATTCCATCATCCGCATCTTGATACTCATACCAAAATTGGACCGCGATCCGATCATCCCGGAAAGCGAACAGCTCCTTGCGCAGACGATAGTTATGCTCGCGCTTCCATTTGGCCGTCAGAAACTCGACAATGGCATCGGTTCCCGAAAAGAAGAAGGTCCGGTTACGCCAGATACAAGTCGGGGTGTAGGCTTGCGCGACTTTCGTGGGATCTCTTTCGCATGGTTAGTTAGTTCAGGATCTGCTACGTCATCTCCATGAAACTGCACGCCGTACGGAGGGGCATCCGGAGATTGATGATCGTGACCTAGCATCGACCAGAATAGGTATGTTCGCATGTGTGCAGGGTCTCGCACGGACAAACATTGGAGATCAGAAGAATGCAAGGGATAAGACCCTCGACACCCTTCCTTCAGCCACATACATGGTCGTCGGGCTTCTGTCGGGATCCGCGCCACGAAAATGAAATCAGAACTCACTGGGTATTCCACATGTTCTGAGCAGCCTTGACCTTTTTTCTGGCCGTCTCTTCGGTGAAAGGAGGTTTGATATCGGCCATGGCTGGAAGGAATGGATGGATAGTTGTTGCTTGTAGTGGGATCAGTAGAGAAGGCTGAGAGAACAACTCAGCCGCGACCGTGGAAGTAAGCGGACCTGATATATATCGAGTAAACCGGACGAGGCTACGGTACGAGCCGACCGTCCAATGTCAATCGTGATACTACGCCAATCCGCCCACTTTCACGAGCGCATAGACCGATGCACTAATCCGTTATTCGGGATTTGCTTACGGAGTAAAAGTAGATGGACCTGTCCTTTCTGCGGGCTAAATGCTGAAACTAAGAGAGCATTTGCGAGTTCGGAGCATTTAGCGCGCCTTTCAGATCCCGGAGTTGGGCGGGTTAACCCCAATCAAGCGCTAGAATTGTTTACCTCAGCTTGACAATTCGAAGACATTGGAATTTGATCTTAGTAGAATACTTTTGCCCTACTGATCTGACTGCTAGATTACCTTCCAAAAATCGGGACCTGGCAGCGTGTTAAATGCTACTGTACTACTCGACCGTAGTAACCGAGTACAAGGAAAAGTAAAGAGCCATCTTATGCGTGAATAACGCGTGAAACAGTCATGTGGCGAGATAATCGGATATTTATTGACGGAAATAGACAGCTTCATGCCATAGGTATTGTCTTCGCACTTCTAAATGATTGGGTGACTTCCTAGCTAGCGACATCCGATGTGGGAACTTGTCAGGTGTTGTAAATGCCGAAGTATATAGTCTGCTGCATGGCGTCGAGAGACGTGATGGCGTATTCAACCCCTCCTTTTCACCTAGAAAGGAACGGCTTAGCGGTGCAAGACTTTGTTGAGTCTTGAAAATCAAGGCGAACTCACATTTAGATTTGAGAAGGACTCTAGGGAGGACGGAATGCCGATGGTAATGTGGGTTGACACCCCTTGGGGAGACGATAAACCGGTGCGATAAGGCGATTTACACCCCCTACTCTTCGAAATGGAATGTATACTCTCGGTTTCCTTTCCCCGGCCGAAGCAAGAGTCTCGAAATTCATTTGTATGAGTGCTGTCGTTTGGAGGACGCTTTTTAGCTGGTGGAGGCCTCGTCGATCTGCCGAAAATAGTTGGTGGAAGTGTTGGTGGAGAACAAACATCAACATCAAGTCTCTCCCGGCCACTATACTACAGCTTCAAACGCTTCCCACTTCGACGCAACTGAACACAGAAAAACAAACAATGAATCGAGTAACAAAATACGCTTATTGAAATGACTTGTTTGTGCGAAATTGAGTAAACTGGCAGTGAAATTAGAAAGGAAAGTTCGGAGAGCAAACAGTCCGTGGTGATTCGGAGCATTCCACTCATCTGGACGGCATCTCCTCTTCCCTCCATTCCACAACAGTCGTGCTCAGGCATGCCACTACCACCCCCCAATTTCCATTTCGTCTCTTCTCTTCTGATCTCGTCACCCTAAGAGAGTCTGACTACTGGCCACACAACTTCCTCACCTTCGCGTCGACTGCCCTCATCCAACCGGGTCCTTAGCTCCCGGACTGTCTCTCGTTCTCGTCGACCGAACTCAATGATGTTGTGTTAACCAGTCTATCGTCATTCATTAATTTCCCCTGAGACTGCTGGATTCACTCTTTCACCCCCCTCTCGTTCGCTCATTTTCAATTCCCTCACTCCAAGTGAGTGTTTGCTTCACCTGTTCTTAACCCAATCCCGTGAGTCTGTTCGTTATGGAAGGCGCGAGTTTGATACGCGAACGCCAGGCTAACAGTGTACAGTTCAAACCCCTCCAAAACAAAAACATCCACCCGACCAAAAACAACAACACCCAAACATTGATGTGCCTGGTGTACAATATCCGACAACACCAATGAGAACGATGGACCAGGCCATGTTGGACAACTCCGACTCTCATCGCAGGCGGCAGCCATTGGCCGATGCGTCTAGCAGAATTAATTACACTAAAGCTTCCAATGTTGAGACGCCTCGTGTGCGTATTGAGAACCTGGACCAGCTCAAGACTCTAGACTGTACGTCCGTCAGTGCGAGCCCAACTCCCCAAGGAAACAAAGAGAACCAACGGCTATCTGTAGCCACGGATTTCCAGTCCGAGTCTGCCCGGAATTCGGTCGTATCGGCTGCATCAATCCTGTCCAACAAGGGCAAGAGAAAGACTCATGTTGGACCATGGCAACTGGGACGAACCTTGGGCAAAGGTGCCACTGGGCGTGTGCGCCTCGCCAAGCATGCCCTGACAGGACAGACTGCTGCTATCAAGATTGTGTCCAAGAAGTCTGCGGCCATGGTACAGAGCGAAAGTATTGCAGCAATGGACCGGACTGCCAGCACCTTTACTGGATCCTCGAACACACGACAGATGCCTTGCGGTATTGAGCGAGAAGTGGTAATCATGAAATTGATTGAACATCCTAATGTGATCAGCTTGTATGACGTTTGGGAGAATCGTGGAGAGCTGTATGTACCCCCTTTGCAGAGAATATGGTCATTCTCAATTCGATATGCTAATAGAAAATAGGTATCTTGTGCTGGAGTATGTGGAAGGTGGCGAGCTTTTCGATTATGTCTCCAACCATGGACCTCTGCCGGAAGAAGAGGCCGTGCGTCTGTTTCGCCAAATCATTGCTGGGCTTGGGTACTGCCATCGATTCAATATTTGCCATCGAGATTTGAAACCTGAGAACATCCTTCTCGACGGGAATCACAATGTCAAGCTCGCCGATTTCGGTATGGCTGCGCTCCAGCCAGTGGGACAATGGCTGAATACTTCATGCGGAAGTCCCCACTACGCAGCACCAGAGATTATCTACGGACGCAAATATCGTGGTGACAGGGCTGATATGTGGAGTTGTGGAATTATCCTGTTCGCTTTGTTGACAGGTTATCTTCCTTTTGATGGTGGTGACCTTGCGAAAACCCTGCGACTAGTCAAGAAGGGTGAATATATGATCCCTCCTGAGCTGAGTGACGAGGCTGCTCACCTCATTCAATGGATTCTGCAAAAGCGCCCTGAGGATCGTATCACGATGCAGCAAATTTGGGAGCATCCACTGCTCACCAAGTACGAGAAGCTTCACAATGCGATGGCCGACTACTACATTGGCCCCCCTCCCCCATTGTCCATCAAGGATTGTGGAGAGCCAGTAACTTCTCGTCAAGATGTGGACTTTGACATTCTGCGGAACCTTCAGACATTGTGGCATGATGTGAAGCCTGATGCTTTGATTGATCGACTGATGTCTCTGGAGTAAGTGGTGTGCCCATCTTTGAGTGGTTTCCGCCTCAATTACTAACAGCGATTGTAGACCAACCCACGAGCGTATGTTCTACAATGCTCTGGCAAAGTTCCGAGATGAGCAACTTGAAAACTATCAAGGGCAACCATTGGAGTACTCAGCCAGTGATTACCACCACATCTCTCGGCCTGGCGACAGGGTCCGTCGGGGACGGAGCTCCTCTAAGAGACGATCTCAAGTCTCCCTGGTCAGGGATCTTCACCGTCGGATGAGTTCGACAAAGGAACCCAAGTCTAGTGCAAGCATCGAGAGCTACGACCCTTACAGATCACCAAAGACCAGAACTTCGGCGAAGGAGGCGCAGTATTCACAAATCACAATCCACAAAGCCCCTGAGATTCCAGAGTGTGGGGAAGTCTCTCCAGTTGTGAAACCTCCGCCTTCCATCGTCGAGGAGGAAGAGCCAGAGGATAATCGAGATGCAGGCGGCTCACCGTTTACTGTCCTTCAGAAGCGGAAGCACAAGCCAAGCTCGATGAGGTCCTTCCAGTCATCCAAAGTGCACAACTCTAGCTCAAAATACCCTGGCTTGTCCACTCGCTCGACCAGCTATCGACGTAATGTTTCATTCCAGCACGTACGCAACAGATCCCAGGGCTCTACCAAGCCAAAGCGAAGAAGAACTGGCACAAATCAGCACTCTGATCTCAAGCGTTCTCCCAGTGCAGCCAGCCTTCAAATGATTGCAGATGGACTTGTTGTGCCGGAAATCCCAAGCAGCCCTCCTCTTCCAGCGCAGCCAACTGTTGTCCGGCCCAGCGGTGCCAAGGCTAAGAGCCTATCACGCGAGAGAAAGGCTTACCAGTCTGACATTATCTGGACAGAAGATGCTCGCAAGGTATCGAATGAGCTTAGCAAGATTTGCGAGGAAGCATTCAATGGTAGCTCTCTTACGACCATGCGTGTTTCCAGCTCTGCAACAGGGTATGAAACACCTGCAACCCCAGTATCGGCTTCGAGTCCGAAGCAGAGACCGACAATTCCAGTGATTCAACCATTGGCGACTCCAAAGGGAGCGCCAACTGAGTCGGGCCGTTCATACAGCATCCAAGAGCTCACCGAGACCCGTCGGAAACTAGTTGAACACAGCAAAGGTGGCAGTGACACCATCCCAGCATATCTGTCTGGTGTTATTGGACACCTTGATCGCTTGATCGAAGAGGATCAGAGCCATGATCAATCACGGCGTAATATGGAGGAAAGCACGTCGACCCTCGTGGATCCTTTCTACGGGGGAACTGAAGATACATCCCTCCCAGTGATTAATGAAGAATTTGCAAGCCCGATCCGCGCTCCGAGCGAGTACAGTCCGATGCCCAAGCTGCAGAAGAAGAGAGGACCGCCTGCTGCAAAGGCCCGTGCTAATGATGCCAAACAAACCATTCGAATGGTTCCACACAGCTCACTAAGATCGCTTGAAGAAGTCAAACCATTGATGATTCGCAAGAAAGTCCAGATCACTGATTCGGACGCCGTCAATAGCGATTCTGCGGAGGCCACACGGAACTTCTCTCAGAGCTCTCGTCAGAGTCGCCATCCTGGTGGACTGGACCCAATTGAGGAAGTCCCGGTCTCTCCAAAGAAAACGACAGACAGCAAGAAGTGGTCATGGTTCAAGCATCGACCACAGGTCTCCGAAAACCCACTATCCCTACCGGTCAAGGACTTCAAGCCCATCAATCCATACAATGGAACAGCGATTGTGAATCCTCCCCAGGACCTTTCCCAGCCAGAGACCGTATTGCCTATCAAGGTTCCTCTTGAACAGAAAGTCCCAACTCGCAAATCATCCATGGAACGCTTTGGCGGTGGCTTCCTGAAAAAGCTTATGCCGAAGAAGTCAAATAAGTCCCTGTCCCAACCAGAGACGGGTATGTTCAGCTGCCTTCCATATCGTCACATTATGCTGACCTCCCAAGAAGACCTTGAAAAGCCGAAGGCCCGAAATTCTGCAATGCTCTGCAACGGACTCCCGGATACGGAAAGCTCGTTCGACTCCGTCAGCGCCCTGAATCCTCCTCGAAACAAGCGACTCTCGCTTGCAAATCAGAACTGGTTTGCCCGCGTCTTCCAGATCAAGCCAGCATCTCGAGTGATTGCCCTTAACACGTCCAAAGTTAAGGGCCGCAAAGAACTGTACAAGATGTTGCGTGAGTGGAAGGAGTATGGTATGGAGAACGTATACATGGACAAGACTAACAGTGTTGTTCACGGCCGCGTCAGCGAAGTCAACTGTAAGTTCGACCACTCTCGTTCAAGATGATTCAATGCTGACAATAACGTAGTTCTCCGCCTCAGGGAGGTCGAGTTCATCGCCGAGTTCTATACTGTACTTGAGCATGGCCGCCAAGCCAATCTGAGCCTTGTCCGATTCAAGCAGGAACGTGGCGCCGCCTCTTCCTTCAACAAGGTGGTCGACACTGTTCACATGATGTTGCAGAACCGTGGCTTGGTTGTCGAGGATCCTGTCCGAGCAAAGAAGATGGCTCGCATTCTGGACACTGTCCCCAGCTCACCGTGACCCCACACTACTGTGATCTAACCCGGTTCTTCTCTTCATCTATCTAGCCAGTCTCTTGGTTACACATCTCGTATTGTTGCGTTTCAGCCCTGCAAAAGCTTTTGTTGCATCTCATGTTCGATTCTTGATTTTTGCATCCCAATACTCACACTCGCTTGCATCTCAACATCCAGTCCCGCCGAGCCCGGTCTTGCTCGGTATGTCAGTTGCTTTCTCCGATCTCTTTTCCTTATTTCTCTCCGATTTCTGTTTTATCTATCTGGTCGTCGTGTTGTTGATTCTACGTTCTTCACATCCATTTTTGAAAACCACATCGCCACCCCTATTCGTCTTGTGTCCTGATCTTTATCATTGTGCTTTCGTCCTATCCCATTTCCCATCTCACAGCTTCCACTGGTCGCATCTAATCATCTTCCCCAACTAATTCATAATCGCAGCATGTCAGTTACTAGACTAGCTTGCTTGAGAGGTGCTTTCTAATTTTGGAATCCGCCGGGTGGAAAAGGAGTGGAGGCGATGACCCCGTGTCTGTAGTTAGTGAATTCAATACATCCAATTTTGCTCAATGACAGCTCGGCAATCGGCGTAAAGTACTCCGTTCTTCCCCCTGACTTACCCCAGTTCTTTATATTACCTGAGTGGACACAAACTCATGTGTCGGCACAACTTCGGCGCCCGCACTCCTCGTGGGGAAGCTACAACCCCCGCCGCCCACATTGCCGAAATTGTGCTTTATAAATGGGCTATAACTCACTCAAATTGACAAAAGCTTTTTTGAAATCAAATTCCATTCAGGATGAGGGTTGGCATTGAGCTTGTTTCGTGGCTGTCCCTGGGCGTTGGTGCCCTGGGAGCAGCGCAAAGCAATGTCCCGTGGCCAGCAATTCCTAAGCCTCAAAAAGCTACTTCTACCACGACTGCAGTGACCGTTTATCCTAGTTCCATTAAGAAGGGATTGAGCAGTGAATTTGCCAATGATAGTGCGGAGAATGCATTGGTATTCCAGAGTGTTGGTGAAATCTATACCTGTTAGTATCTCCGGACTTAATGATTGGGCTTTATCTTTTCTCTCTCTACCTCGTTCTATACCTCTTTCTGCATCTTTTTCGAGTTGTCTTTCTACATCTCTTCCTATATCTCTTTAATCATGATGGATCTCTGACCTACAATGCAGTGGACTATGGTAGTGATGTGGCCGGAAAGCCAATTTTCCATGTTCAAGTTGCAGAAGGCAATCCTCAGATTGAGGTTAAATACACCGAAGCTTACCCGTGAGTTGAAAACTAAGATTTCGAGCTATTCCAGTTTCATCTCTGATAGATTTCATTTCTAGGGGTCTTTTGAAAGCTGAAGGCGACGGTCCATTTGCGTTTGCCAACGCATTGGCTGCTACTTTCCGAGTCGAGACATTCAATATTACCAAGACTGGAGATCTATCAGGTTACTTTATTCAAGGATCCCAGCGGTGGCAGTCGATCAAGTTGATTAGCGGAAAGAAGTTAGTAATCCAACGCGCTGGATTTGTTTCCTCCGTTGACCAGAGCCCGGTATGCTACCAATTGGAAACTTTTCTCCTGGAAAAATAACTAATATTTGACAAGCTGAGCTCTATGCCTGGATACTTCGCCTCAAGCAATTCGACTTATACTGATATCTGGGCACTCGGCCCACGGACCCAGCAACTGGTTTGCTACCCACCCAATTCACAAACTTCTACTTGGGAGATCACTTCGAATGGCGCCTATATCCGTGGACAGAAGCCTGCTACCACGGCTCGCGTCGTCAATCTGAGCAACTATACGCTGTCATTTGAGACGATGATCGATCATGGCGGTACTGGCTGGCGTGTTGATACAGAGATTGATGCTATCCAAGCTACTGGGCCTATCTGTAAGTCCAATACACTTTTGACTACATAAAACAGTTCATGGAACTAATTCTTTCGTTAGTCGTGCTCACTAGTGAATACCCAACGGGCTCATTTGCAAACATCGACAAATCCCTCCTCCCACCGAATACCCTGGTTCTCGGCCGTGGCTGGTCTCTACAAAACCAAACCAGTCTGCCTGGTTATGTCCTGGACAAATTTCCTCTCACTTTCAACGTGACCGAGAAAACTTGGCACACGATTCGCACCGTGTCCCCCGGTGACGACACTTACACGGTCTATCTGGATGATCAGCGCATTGCCCACTTCAACATTAGCGCCTACGGTATTGCCGACCCGAACCCTTACATCCCCGGTGGTGTATACAAGAGTTTCGCCTTTGGCCCCTGGCAAGATCAGGCTGCCTACGTGTGCAACGTAAACGTCACTCTCAGTAATGGGGAAAATGTCTACAGCAACCCGATGACTTCGCCCGATGTCCTCACTGAGTACGGCGTCCAAACTAATGCCCAATACACCTGCTCCGACTCCGGCAAGCGTGATCGTTTCTCCTGGCTGGGTGATCGACTCATCTCTGCTCGCACTGTCATGGTTGGTTCGCAACAGGGTGAATTCGTCTGGGGACCCGCCGAGGAAGCGTTCTCTCGACAGGTTGGCTCGGGTCAAATCCCAATTAACACGCTTTTCAGCCCCTTGGATGCGGAGGGGGCTTTGATTCGGACGACGAATGTTGATCCGTTGATTGTGGATTATGATTTCGATTTTATGCAGGTTATTTATGATTATTGGACTCGTTCCGGTAATGGTACTTTCCTGGAGAAGGTTTGGCCGAGGATGGTCATGGCTACGAGCTATGCCCTGTCGAGGTCTTTGGACCAGAAGACCCAGTTATATGGCGCTCCTTATGGAAGTACTGGAACACGTATGTCGGGTGAAAAGGGACAGGCTCTTGGACCGGCGAACACTGTCTCGATGATTATTGGTCTGGAGCGTATGTCTGAGATGGCACGCTTCATCGGTGATGATGGTGCTGCTGACTTCTACCAAGTGCAAGCACAGCTGTCACGAACTGCTATTGATACTTTGCTTTGGAATGAGACTGCCGGATACTATGCCGCGACCCTGGGTGGGACTGGATCTGACCTTATGGATATCGCACAGGTTCTTCTCGCTGGAATCGGCAGTGAGCAGCGCCAGGAGAGCTTTGTGGAGAAACTGTCCGCTCTGCGTGTCACAGCGGGTTATATCAATGGTACCCGATTCCTTGATACCCCCGGCGTTGTGGATCCCTATTATGAGAGCTTCTTGCTCGAGGGTCTCGCTTCGACGAAGCGCACCAAGTTGGCACAGGACTTGTTGGATGCTACTTGGGCGCCGATGGTGAATCGCGATCGCAACTACACAGGTGGATACTGGGAGTACATCGTAAGTACCACCACCTTTTACCCACCTATCCTCCCATAACTTTCCTAAGTCAGTGGCCATCTAACACTCCATCCAACAGAGCACCGACGGTACATACCCCGGTCTCGACCTCTTCACCGGTATGAGCCATTTCTGGGGCAGTTATCCCACCGTCTTCCTCAGCGAGTACGCGCTAGGCGTTCGACCCACAAAACCCGGCTACAACACCTTCCTCTTCGCTCCCCTGCCGGGTTTCAAGACAAAATGGGTGCACGGCCGAGTCCCGACTCCTTCGGGCATCATCTACGCTGCGTGGGGATACAACAAGCAAGGCAAAATCGTGATGGAAATCACGGCACCGTCTGGACTCAGAGGAACACTCGTTCCTCCATTTACGGGTAGTTACTCAGTTGGAAGTCAGAAGGGACAGTTGGGTAATTATACTATTACCGGGGGTGCGACGGTCCTTATTGTGCAGGAATAGAAAGGGTGGAGCTAGGTTCACCCCCAGGTAGACCTAACTAGGCTAATACAGGTACTTTCTTAATAATTGGCAGCTCCTTTTTTTAGAGCAACCGGACCGGGGAAGAGCCGCAGGAACTATTGCAGCCCTAAGAAGGTCCCGCTCATCCACACTTCGGCAACCCGGTTAACCTTAAGTCAATGTCAACCTCACTCGTACCTCGAATAGAAATGGATACAGGTACAACGAGTGGTAAAAGGAGGTTCAAAAGTCTGAGTCCAGGAGCCAGAGAAACCGCCAAACCAATATGCTTCCGGTTCTGATTTTTGGAAAGGTCTTTGAAACGGTCATTCGATTCCTTTTTCTTGATAGCTGAGGTATCATCCTTCATTTTATCGTTCAAATCGTGACTGACTGCAAATATGTTTTTCCAAATTTGTCGGGGTTTCAAACTTATGATACCCCACTGTATAGGCTCGAGCACGTCCTGATTTAATAAAATAAGTGCGATCGAGTCCATCTTATATACTTGCCCGCATAGCCTAAAAAATTGTTACGGGAAACAGAGAGTCCAACCAGACAACCGCATTCCACGATTGTGACACCATCGTATTCAATCGAGATAAGGCGCTTAACCGACGAAGAAAGATATAGCATCAAACATCAAAGCATAAAAAACGCATGCAAAAGATAAAAACTCATAAAAAGAGTGATCAGACAGCCTCCCAGGTGGTAAATATCAAAGAAAACGCAAAAACCAGATGAACCAGACAAGACGCAAAAACATTCAAAAAAAAGTTCACACAGCCGACCATCTTTTGTCGCAAACAGGGGACCACCAACACGCAAGAAATCAGATTGCCTTCCCTGATGGATGATATAGATGTACGAAATAAAGGAGATAGAGCAAGGGAACGCGGAATAATGGAGAAAAAAATAGCCGAACCAGAACGCAGAACGTGCAAAGTCAAATAGCCTCCCGAAATTTGTGACAATTGAAAATGTGGTTGTTGCCGCCCGTTAATGAAGTGGTATTCACAGAATCGAGCGAAAGTAGGTGTGTAGGGTTCGTCGAGTGTTGGATCAGAGTCGAAGTCCTGCCTGTGCATCGAGAATCAAGGCTGGATTCGAGTATTTCGCAATACTGCAAAGTGCCGGCTGATCTGTCGGTAGCCAAACGGCAGGTCGTCCCAAGACTCGAGTCCTCCTCCACGGTTTAAATCAAAGAATCGAAATGTATAACAATAAAATGTCGTATACCGATATCCAAAGCCTCGCGGCCTATCATTCTCGGTGTATAACGTCGTGCGGCTCGTAAAGCTCGTGGGTCCGCGTTTTCTTTCATGCCTTCGTGGTCGGATCGAGGCAAATCAGTAAGATTGGTCGTCGTCCATTTTTCGCCCATTTCACATTTCCGTCGGGCTGCGCTTCAAAGTACCCGAATGGTTCTCTCAAGAATCTTTGCGTCTCATTCCAAATGACTTCCAAAAAGATAGAGATTGTCGACTGCCCGTGCAAGGCTATCGATGGCCCCCCCCCTGCGTTCGCAAAGGTACGTGCGCGATCAAAGGGATGACGAGGACAAATATTCCAGCGGCGAGAAATTGTTGACGAACTGAGTTCGACCGTATTGCTCCGATCAGACCACGCTACCTCCCTCTCTAAGTAATGCGCAATTCAACACATGGTAATTCCAACCGTGTGGCCAGCACACGGTCTCTGACCATTCCTCCGGGTTTCCCGCATTCCCGTCGCGTCCTGCGCGCCGTCCCTCTTAATGAGGTCCCCCTGCAATAGCCCTTTCAGGTAGCATTTACCGAAGGCCGCGGCGATTCAGCTGGTTGAGCATATCGCTATCGGTACTGGAACGACCCTGGGAGTCACCGTCTGCACCGGGGTTCAGCATGTCGCGAACATTGAGGCCGGCGCGCTGGGAACCGCCAGGAGTCGAGGTGGGAGGGGGTGTTTGGCCTGCCGGAGGGGCAGCCATTGGCGCATACGGCGAGCCGTGCGGTGAAGTCGAATGACGTGGCTGCTCGTAGGCGTAGGCGGCCTGGGGCGAGGTGCGCTGGTCGTGAGGGTGACCATAGTACGGGCTTGGAGCAGTGTGGGTCTGGTATCCGGGAGTGGAACTGGCGGGTGTAACGGGAGCTAGATTGGCCGGCTCAGGATAATCGAAGCCCGTGCCAGAGCCGCGGCGTTGTCTCTGTGAAAACCAACCAAAGCATTAGATCAGGCCTTTCCCACCGTAGAGGGGAATGACTGCCTTACCGGATCCGGCATAGTCGGCGCAAGGGGCGGTGGGGGACCGTCAGCGGGGGCTCGGCTATACGGATGCGCGTACATCCCTTGGGGCGGCGGCAAGGTGGTGTCAGGGCCTTGCACGGCCGAGCTAGGAGGTAGAGGCTGCCCATGGGCCCCGTAGAGGATTGTACCTGGGGGAGGCTGGCCGTTGACATTGTTGCCGGGGCGCAGGTGAGGATAGGCGGCGTGCGCTGGGACAAAGGCTTGCGCCTGGGAAGAGACAGGCGTGAACATGCAGTCTTGGTTGAAGCGCTGGCAGTTGGTGCATCGTCCATCGGGAGAGTTCTCGAATCCCGAGCAGCGAATCTAGATTAAGAAAAAGCTCCGTCAGCGTCTGGATTGCTGTGCGGGCCTCGAGGAATTTGTCCAGCAAGACCGCGTCATCCAAGGCCAACATACCTTGCGTCGACGACAGTACCGGCAGGCAATAGCAGTTCGCTGGCGTGGAGCAGCAGCATGATATGGCATCGGCTGTTGTTGCGGGGGAGGCTGCTGATATGGATCAGCCCGGTAAGCTCCCGGAGGAGGCGGCAGCCGGTAGTCCTGCGGCGCGTGTGGATGAATGGCAGCCATGTGTGGCGGAGCAGGATATTGCGACTGTGGTGGAGGGGGATAATAGCCTCGATCGTGCTCTGGGGGAGCTGGATAGGACTGCTGAGGGGGATACTAGAAAGGGAAGGAATAATGAGTTCCCAACCAGGCCACAAATCGTCGAGAGAAAGAGGCCAGCCCCCCTTTCTTGGAGATCACATACCGGATAGTGAGGCTGCTCGTAGGGATAAGCGCGCGAGCGATTGGGATCGTCGGAGGGTGGAGGATATTGACCCTGACGACTCGGATCTGTATCGGGGGGAGGAGGGTATTGGCCCCGGCGATTGGGATCTCCGTCGGGATGGCGGGACATTGGGGTGTTTATGAGGAAAGAAGGAAAGAGAAGAGGAGGAGGGGGCGTAAGGTGTAGATGAGATGAGTCAAGCAAGACAGGGATGTGACGTTCGAGTTATTGAAAGGGGGGGTGTGCGAGAGTAGTCGAACGAATAATCGAATAATCACACGGGCGACGCCAGCATAACGCGGTCACGCAGGGGAAAGCAGCAGGATGCAGGTCAATCCAATTTGGCCCAACGCAGGAAACAGCCAAGACAAGCAAATAAGGAAAGTTGTAGAAGGAGATAAAAAAAGAGAAATAAAATCAAAAAGAACCCAAGGTGAAGGAGGAAAAGAAAAAAAAAAAAAAAAAAGGTACTAGCAGAAGGAAGGAAAAAGGAAAGAAAAAGAGGCACTAAGGACAATCTGGAAATAGAGGAAGAAGATGGATTATGGGAAATATGCAAAATTGGAAAATAGAAAATGGCCAAAATGGACCCCAAAAAAGAAAAGAAAAAAGAAAAAGAAAATAACAAGAAGAGCCTCGGTGACTATGACGTGAGCAGACAAAAAGTGGAGGCGGACGGGGAAACGGAGTATAAAGGACTGATAGCCTTGTAGATCGAGTGTATATCAGAGGATAATAAGAGTAGGTGCAGGAGGTACAAAGTACGAAAGTACTTAAAGGAAGTACAGTAAGTATAGTAGAAGAGGGAAGAGGAAAAGAAAAAAAGAAGTAAGAAAAAAGAGAGAGAAGAATGAAGAGGACGACAAGATGACCCCACGACCCAAGATAAGCCCGGCATGGAATTCTGGAAAAAGACAAGGAGCCCCAGCTTGGTATCCAGTCATCCTTCCTAGGGAAACTCATCATGAATAATCTACGGAGTACCAAATATTGATCTTAATAAGTTAACACAATTAATTATAATCATCTTCACGATCTTACTAACACCATCAGCATTCATGACTGTAGAAAAGTAAGCTAGTAGCTACTACGGTATGTGGTGTATGGATCTAGCATCTCAACAACCGATTCCTTCAGAGACCAAGATGGACTAGGACCCAATCTTGTAACTTATCCACCGTCATCTTGCGGGCCAGAAAATAATTATTCGGGCCAAAAAAAAGATGACAGCACCAGAAAACCAACATCCCTGCTGCTAATTTTCTGATTGGCACTTCTCAAGCACATTTTTTTTAGCACAAACGGGGTGGAGCCCGGGCAGGACCCGCGGGCTAAAGCGGCGCCGGTGACCCGTCGACATGGACGGCGGACCCTCATGGACACTAAGACGCTAGGGCATCAGCTGAACCAGGTAAGCCCCCGTGTGGCCCGCGCCCATGGGATAACCCGTGGGAACTGGAGACTGGAGAGACGGTCGCCTGGTTGGGGGCGTTGCTTGACCCTCCCAGCCCCAAACGAGATACAGCTTCCCCGAAAGTCAAGAGTGAGCACTAGAGCTAATAGAACTAACAGCCTGACTGGCTTAGTGCTAGGGTCCTCCCTAGCGCCCCTAGTCGGCGGTCGTTCCCTCGTTCTCTTCTCGTGGCTTGAGGAGAGAGGGGGTCCTGGTCCTAGTGGTCCTGGTTATTCGGGGGTACTCTGGGTTACCATAGGGTACCAGTAATCGGCTGCTGCAAAGCCGAGAACGGCGACTGGTGGGCGCATGGGTTGCTAGTGCCCGCCTGCAGAGAAACTTTCTTTTGTGACTGGCCACTGGTTGCGAGGAATTCAATGTGCTTTTGTTCAGGATGGTGGGGTTGGAAATCTCAACTTGAGTCTTGTGAGTACAGGTTGTACTCCGTACTCCATCCTGGCAAAGTAATTCGTTGAACTCGAAATTGGAACTAACGAGATCCTGTCAGTAGTAGTACTTGTATATCAGTGGACGAATCCCAGCCATTTTAGCCCCCAACTTCGTAGCTCTTTGTGGCGGGGATGTGTTAGGAAAAAGACTCCATACTTTTGTCCTGGTGCATCGATAGGCTTAGCAGTTTTGCGGGACAAAGAAGTTGAAAAAAAAAAAAAATTATCGAAAAACATAAGCAGAGGAATAAAAAACAACTGACATCTAGAAAAAAAAAACTGACATCATCACCGACTAATAGCCAAAGAAAGAAAAAAAGAACCACAGTAATATCGTAGCAGGTGACTCGACATGCGACCAGTGAATTGCATGGACAAACCCTGACATGCACGATGTTGAGCGTGGATCATCATAGAAATTCCTCCGTAATCCCTGGTTCAGACAAGTTGACTTGGCCATGGACCAACAACGACTCGGACCGTCCTCGCACAACCGCAACCGGCCCCGCGGAACCAGGATTACTGTCCATGGCGATGGGCGCGGGTCGGGGCGAAATGTCGGTTGTTTTTGTTTGCAACCCAAATCATACCAGCCCTCCTCTCCACTTTCTGTTCCTCCTTCTCCAGCCCAGGGCCCCAGCATAGTTTAGCGGGGTGGTTTGTGTCAGAAAATGACGGGAAGAAGTAGGTGAAGGAACTCAACCGAAGAGAAAATAGGAATAAAAATAGAATAATAAGCCAGTAGGAAAAGAGGAAATAGAAACCGACGCTCGCATACCGACACACAAAGTATTATTTTTTTTGTTAGGGCGGGAATCACAAAAAACAACCTGCTCCCGGCGAGGTACAGATACGCTACTGCATGTACGGAGGACTTACTATCGAACCTCTTATTTTTTTCCTCCCTTCCCTTTTCCCCCTCCCCAAGAAATAAACCCTTTTGGAGGCGGCACCGGGAGGCGGTGTGAAGTGGCGATCAGACTTCAGCTGACGAGTGGGGTCTAGCGCTCTCGCCACCAATTCCATACCCGATACGAATGGTGGTGGTGTCTGGTGACGAGAGCGGAGCCCTTTCCGACGTGCTGACCGGTCAGAGTGGAGTCGCTAAGTTCCCAGGACCGTAGGACTGGATCCGGAAAGCCCATCATGAGCCATGGTAACCTGCATTAGCGTGCGAGTCGACCGCTGACATGGGGCTGGTTCCTTGAAGAGCCACAGCCACGTTATACTGGGGGCACCACTGTCGTTCATCACCGCCAGATCCCGCTGTCTATCAGGTATCGAGTATGGAGGCGATGAGCAGGTGATAGGTGGGATGTAGGATAGGAGCTATTCAAAAAAAGGATTGGTAAAATATGAACGATTGGCGTGGGACTTGATGGGGTAACCAAGGAATCAGCAAGCAAGCGCCCCCAGATGACAAGGAGTATGGAAGTCTGATTGGGTCTCAGACAGGACACCTGATACCAAAATGGCATCATGATTCAATCTCGTCCCGTCCGGGTGCTCTGTCTTTTTTCTGTCTTTGGTGAAACATCCTTGATCAGCTAGCAGCTCGCTAGTTAGCGTGACGGTGGTGGTGCAAAGCCAGGCGAACTTTCGCGGCCTGTGTGGTCGGGGTACTTGTCCCACGGGCCGCTCCGGCCTTCCCGCCGATCTCATGCATGTGTGCCATCTGGAAAAAGACCTCGGGCGCCTTGTCAAGCGTCCAGCACCGAATCCGGTGATTGACGTTCCCCCCCATTCCAGCCTTTTCTTTTTCATGAACCACAACCCTTTTTTGGGGAAAAGAGTTTGGTTGGCCGCTTTCTTTGCTTTTTGGAGTGGCCGTTGAACCATGGTCATGGTAATAAATATGGTGAGGGTCATAGTCATAGTCATAGTCATCTTGGTACACACCAAGAGATATACAGTAGGATGGAGTACAGTACTGTACCACCCCTCCCCTGCTGGGTGACTGGGTCTCCCTTGATCTGGCGCCCTGTTGCCACGTTTTTTTTTGTCTTGGAGGGGCCTTTTGTTCAGGCGGGCAGGACCCAATCGGCTCGTGCATTGCCGTCCGCGTCTTTCCGCTTTACCGCACTCCACTCTTCCTGGCGTGGCCTATTCAACTTGTCGTTAGCGTACCAGGCTGCGGACGAGTCTAAGGGATTATACTCCACACCCGAACCAGAGCCGCTGGCCACTCGATGCAGTTTGTCCTGGGGACGCGCTAGTCGATTTGGTCCCAAAGAGGGACTGAGCGCAGACTTGGGGACCCAACCGCCGCCCGACCGGTCGCAAAAGTCGCAGGCCGCAGGCTGCGACAATAAATGATCATTCCTTGTGCCCCGTTCTCTCCACCTGGTCGGATGTGGGTTTGATGTTTTCTGGGTGATGAGTTTAGAGAGAACATTTTTCCCGTTTTCGTTTCGGCCCCTCCGGTCGCCCCTCTTTTTCCCATTACCCACACGGGAGCGCGTCTATCAACAAGGATGGAGCCCGTCGGGCACTAATAGACGCTGCCATGCGCTACCCGCATGCCTGAACGGTCACGGGAACAAAATCAGGCCTATGAGAATGCAGAACGGCCGTCTTTGTCCTTCAGGGATCTGACGTGGCCGAAACGATAGGCGTACACAGCGAGTCCTGTGAACTGGGGGTGTATGTGTAAGAAGTGTGGTAGGTTTTGTCCTGCCTGCGAGTTATCCGAGGCAGTGCTGGCTATGGGCAGGTCGTGTGATGATAGCCTTGTCCCCGAGGCCCCCAGCCCTCTTGCAGGGAGTGGACTGGCGGTGACACACCGTTGCGATTCTGACTTGTTCGGAGTGAAAGGCCGGCTTGTGTCGTACAGAGCGGGAGGATCCCTTTGTTTTTTGCGTGCCTGCTAGTTGCCGGCGCATGAGCGATCTGACGGGTTTCGATTCGTGCTTCGCCCGGGCATCCATGCTCGTTGTGTGATGCCTCGTTTAGCAGGGTGCATCGTGGGGTGTTCGACGGGATGTGACATCAGAGTAGGCACTAGGAAAACTTGAAGGAATGGAAGGAATGTGATCGAAGTGCATTATGCAGTTGACAGGGAAGTCGAGTCAGGAGGTCTGTGTGATAATAAGTTGTGAAAGGTGTGTTGTCGTTGTCGTGGTTGCTGTCGCTGTCGTCGACGCCATTCCAGCACGTGGTCCTTCCCCATGGTCACTTCGGCACTAAATAGGAACGGGCGACCAACTTAAGTAGGAAGACCAATATTCGAGATGCCCAAGGCTATTTTATTGACATCATTGGGCATTAAACCATTTACTTGGTTCATCAAAGATAATCTCAATCGTCCTCTCGGTTACCCGGCAATGTCATCTGACTGTGCGTGCGTGCAGATCCAATGCATTGACACACGGGGCAACTTCCAGGATCACTAACTACTTCGTGCAACCAGGTCATTCTTAGATCACAGAGCGATCAATATCACGAATTGGTCGGTGTGCTATTGGATTGTGGCCTCAGACCAGGTTGGTATGATCTTGAATGGGAGACGACTTGACGCCAGACGATGATTTACAATGGAGCTCTCTATCGTTTTTCCTTGTTGATTTCTAGTATCCCACAGCACTTCATACCAGCCATGCAAATTCGACATGCCTGGCCAGAACATTTTACGGGTCACGGCCAGGTTCGCTAACGAACTCGCACAAAGATGAACTTGGACGGCACTGATCAATTATGCCCGCCTGGCCCCGGTATACAATTGGAGCTCAGAATGCCAGAGGTACCAACCGGTACCAACTCGAGCAGCAGTTTTATCTCGGTTCTATTATTTGCAGAGTATCTCAAACGGTGAACCTTGTTGGCTGCCCTCACATATCAAGATGATCTTTATTTGATTCAGACATGACCAACCGCCACACCATTGAGAGCCCCAGAGTCAGGTAGTTCATCCTTAAGAGATAACCGACTACTGAAGCAAGTGTGCGCCGAACAATTACCACAGCGACCGATTAATTGAGATGGCGCAGCATTTTCCATTTCCAGTCTGCAGAGATCCGGTCCACAATTCACCACGTTTTACGGGAAGCCAATGACTGCGACCCTGGACGATTAATCAAAGCTTAATATAACTAATTGAATCACCAGTGCTCTAATTCTCGGACTGTGTGCTCATCATCGACTCATCAACAACCCTTTTAACCGCTGGAAAAGAACTCCCTTTTCCCTCAATGCCAATAACAAACCTAGAACAGGACCATCAAGACAATCCTCTCGAAATGCAAGCGAAAACGCCGTCTCGCAGTCCTCTCCATCAAAAAGCCACCGTCCCAACTTTCCTCTCTCATCGACACACCCAGCCACGCGCTCAAACCGCATTTGTCTCGGACGACTTCCAGAAACAACCACCCAAACAATGGAAACGACATGACACCAGGACCCTAGGGTGAAGGTCTTTATCAAGCTAGTCTGTTAATCTCCTAGTTTCCGCCCTGCCACGCGCCCTCACCCAAACAATCGGGTTTTCCTCTGGAGTCTGGAGAAAGTCCTCGACCCCATCCGGTTCCGGATCACAAAGAAAAGAAAGCGTCTCTGAACCACACGCTTCCTCCGTTTGGAACGCTGGATCCCCATGGATCCGGTCCGCTCCTTTCCAGAGCAGGAAGGTGCGTGGACCCGGTTCGTTGTTTGGAAGGGTTTTCTAGCGTACCACAATAGAGATGGGCAACGGCCGGAAGAATAATACTGGTCTGGTAGTGCTCGTCCTCGTTCCGTAGGAGCGCACCGGAACCACAACCCAAAGGATTTCAGTGAGGCACATAATCCAACAAACCAAGGGAAAGGAGGAGTCTGTAGCTACTGTTTGGAATGGCGGCGGAGTTCCGCCCCGACCGAATCCAATCCAATCGACTTGCGTCCGATGGAGTCACCCAAGGTTTCGCCTAGCGGGCGAGCCCGACTACGGGCCGAACGCGGCCGTGCGGGCTCTTGCGGTGGCGATTTCATACTGAAGCATAGAGCAAGAAGGACTGCAATGCATTGCTTTGCATTACAATAAAGTATAAGCCAAGGGGAGGATGTAAAGAAAATATTGACTGCATTGGTTGTGAGTTGTATGAAGTTTAGACATGCTGTACGGAGTACGGGACTTACGGCTGCTGCGGCCATCGGTTTAACTCTATGGAGTACAATATGCATGCAGGATGCTGAGCTCGATGGAGGCCTTGAGAATTTATACTTTCTCTTTCCATCTACCCTTAGGTTTCTTCTTTTTTTTTCAGGTGGGCTGCAGAAGGGTGGTCCTGAGATTGGTCTTCTGAGGCTGGGTTGTCGTTCTTGACCTAGAGTCACGGCCGGACGGAGAATTAACACAGTTGCTAACAACAGTCTACTATGTTTCTTCAGCTCTTCTTTTTTGCTATTATGGGAAGATCTTGCTTATTGTAGGATGTTGAAGTGTAAAATGGGATGGGTGCGAATCAAAGTTCCTAGCCCTGCGCCGCTACGCTGCAGTATCACCGTAGGCCTGGTCCGGGAGGGTTTGGCTACGGATCTGGCAGATGTGGAGATGGATGGAAGTACAACAGAGTTAGTGCGGGAAAAGGTGGTATGGTCGAACAAACATTCATGAATCAATCGGGGTATTTATTCGATTCACGAGCCTAGATTTGATCAATTCGACTTTGCGGACCATGCAGCTAGGATGCAATGGCTGTGCAGTGCACTGACACTTCCTTGTGCCTTTGTCTGTTTGTCTGGGGTGTCAGACAATATTCCTAGAGTGGCCGAGTGCAGGCTTGGGGCTGCAAGAGTGCCGTGGGTTGGATGTAACGGATAGTGGGCGGGACTCTCGTCCGAGTCTTTACAGGGTGAGTATAGGGGTAGAGAAGAATGGAGGTGAGTATTACGCCGAGTCCAACGGGATGAAAATGAGAATATGCTCAAATCAATATCAAACACTGGAATGTGCAAAGAAAATCAGATACATGCAATACATTGTCCGGCCCAAAGACCCCACTCATCCTCGATCTTCCCGTGCCAAATGCGAGGGAAAAGCCCCGACAATTGGGCTTGAACAACTAAGGCAAAGTAATCAAAAAGCACGCTAATGATCGGGCATCACTACACTGTTGAGATACGTCACCTATTTTTGAGCGAGAAGCGGTCAGCACAGGGAATACAAGATAGACCAGAGAGCTGCAGTGACTCTTCTCCGTCTCGTGCAGTAAAAAGTGCGACGGCTGTATTGCCCGTCGCCCATCTTGCAACGCTGATTCGGCGGCGGACCAGGGACGGCCAACCGGGTTCAAGTGGCTAGCTCAGAAGGGAAACGGGCTAGTCAAATGGGGGGCAAAATCGGCCGCGGGTAGTGGACAAGTAACTGGCTAGGCGCCAGGGCAAGGCACACGCCAGGCCCAAGCAGAACAAGCCACACCAGATCAATCACTCGGATCTCTTTGTACGACTGTCCGTACAAAGAGGACATGGTTTGCGAGAGGGGAAGAGAGCAGATAGAGAAGGGTTTGAGTGTGATGAGATGGAATTGGGTTTGGGAGTCGACTTACGAAGGGCTCCATGACTTCGACCAAGGCGACGATCCGGTCCTGTGCATCCGCCGCCATCATTTCTGCGTCCGAGACGGGCCTTCCGAGAGTGAAGCTGCGCAGTCGGAGCAATTGGATGTTCTCGTTGTCTGCGCTGTAGCCCTAGAAGTCATATCATGAGATTATGTTAGTCTCATGTATATTCAATAATAACAGCAATAATTCATCGTGATTTTTCCGCCATTCCTCCATCATTTTCTTTGATCTCGTAGCTTTGAAGAGAGAGAAAAAGAGGGGGGCCGCATCTTTTGCCAAAGTTGGTGTAAAATGCGGTTGAGGCCCGCAGTCAACCATGGAACCAGATGAGACGGCGCGAAAAAGCTGCGAAGCCATCAAAAGATCGTCAATCGTGAATCGTGAATGGTGATTGCTGTGACTAGCAGCAGCCCTTGGGCATTGCTGCCATAGCCCCTTGGTCCTGGTCCTGCCCAGTGCCCATCACCCCCCAAACTTTCAAAGCTCAAAGCCCGAGACTAAGACGGGTTCCCCTGCTGGGCCTGGTTCTCGGAGGAGTTCCAATGTTGTAGCCCATCGCGGCATCGCCAGGTTGCCCCAAAACACGGGTTGCGTCTCTCCCGCAGACACCCGTGCGCCAGTCTCGTGTTTTCCGCCACTGCGCGAACCAGCCAGAGGGACGATCATAACGAGCAAGGAGGAGCAATAATGGATTTGCAATTTGCTTAGCTCGTCCATCCTGATTGCTGGTTGCTTGTTGCTGGGCTGACCGGGCAGGTTGTGATTCGTCCAGTCTATGAGCGGCGATCTAGCCTGGGACGCGTCAAGCACAACTGGCCTGACAACTCTCCAACAGGCCTGCAGCGGCTCCCTCGACCTCTGGGTGAAGCAATTGAATCATCATTGCTTCATCTGGAAGGTGTTATTCCCAGTTTGAGATGCATGCAGGAACCATTGGAATGAAATACCTGATGCCGGTCGGGTAATAAACGAAGCCCTCGATCGCACGGCCGACCACCCTCCCGAGCCTCCTCCCTCGACCTCCTCCATCGAGTAGACACCGAGATCATTGGAATCAAATACGAATAAGGACGCTGGCTGTGACGCCAAGGACACTCATGATGATGACTCCAATGTTGGGAAGGCGAATCGCTAAAATAAAGAAACACGAATCCTATGACATACCTTAGGCTTAGTTTTGAGGGCCGATTCCCTGTTGGCATGAGCGAAAGCCTTCACAACCGCATCGTCATCATCCGACGCTCCGTTCAGAAACTCGCGACGCATCGCTGGCGCTCGCAGAACATCCTTCCACTGACGTGCATTCGCGTCAATGTCCTCTCGAAGTGTCGCCAATGGATCAGCCTCTGGGTGCCAGAGACCGCAGCCTATACACACAAAGCCGCATGAGTTCAGGTGAATTCCACAAAGCCCAAAGGGAGTAATCAAAGGGAGTAATAGCAGAGACAGGAGCAGTTCGAGTGCTTTGGGAAAAAAGCACGGCGATGGGAGTAAGAGGCTCTGGGAACAAGCGAGCAGCCTGTTGGGTGAAAAGGGACTCACCGACAAAACAAGCGCCAGGTTGGAAATGGACATAGTACGCTGCATAAGGACCTTTCTTGCCCGTACGGGACCTTTGCATCGATGAGTGGTTCATTCTCTCATTTCCTCATGTAGGCGAGTTACTTACCACGCAGCCGAGAAATGAATCTATTCGTCCGTCAGCAGGGGCACACGCACGAGACTAATGAGCATCACAGTAACACAAGCCTCCTCCCCTTACCACATCACCTGCATCATCTGCCCTTGGCAGGGGTGGTTTGGCGGAAGAGGATCCGGTCATGCAGGAAGACACATACCTTGTACGGAAGTGGATTTTTACTGAATCGGATATCCCGGTGGATGCGGAATACCTGCACAGAATTAATTAGCGACATGAGGACAGCCAGGATCTTTATTGTTTGCTAAACGCACCAGGTCTTTCACCGGGAGTTCGGGGACAGTGCCGTCCTTCTCTGCGATCTTCGTGGTCAAGGTCTCAACAAAGGTCTCAAAGTCCTTCTTAGCCGCGCGGTAATCAGGGTCGTGCGCTATAGGTGGACCCATCAGCTTCATCGTGCTTGACAATCGCGCTGTATCAAGCTGGCGCTTGGTATTGCAATTGCAATAACAGGTCTGTCATACCTTTGAGCCATTCCCGCTCGTTGTTCTTGGCCAGATCTTGCAAGAACAACTTGGTGTTAGGGTGCAGCACCTCGTCCTGGTATGGCACGTTGCCGGGGTCTCGCGCCTTGGGCTTGGGGATAAACACCTCTTTTCCGGGTCCCAAGCCCGTTCGCACGCCCTCGCGCCAGAGCTCTTTGCCCTTCAGAAGCTCCTCGTCCGTCGCAGTGCCGCGTACCTGCTTCCCCTTCGGACGAGACCTCTTGGAGTCCTCCTCACTGTCGCTGGGCTCGTCTGGTACCGAGTCATGCTCTGACGAGACATCGGAGACCTTGTCTTCTTCATAAGCGGAGTCCGATTCGTCTCCACCAGACTCGCTGGATGGTGACTCGCCCTCCTCGGAGCTCTCGGGTTCAAAATACTTGCTCTTCTTAGTCGTGGACTTGACGGGTTTCCCCGGCAAAGAGGCGTTGGACTTGACCCTCTTGATCTCGGGCTGCGAGGCAGACAGCCTGGCTGAGGCGCGTCGCTTTGGCGCCGCCTCAGGCGCTTGGGGCGAGGCCGGGGCGGGCCGCGATGATCGTCGTGCCATGGCTGTATTTATAATTGATGAAATTGAAAGCCTTAAATACTGTAGATGCAATTGATTCTCTTTGTTGAGATCTGCTGTCTCCGTTGCTGGGCTTTTTTCTGGAGGTGTTTGTCGTCGAAGTAGGTATTTGTTGCTTTGCCTGTGGCTCCCACCAATCGTCGAATAGTTTATTCGCAGACAAGCTCAAGCTGCGAAAACGAAGAAGGTACGCCTCGGCCAACTCCAATTTGCGAATGAACTGTGGGGGGAACTGCAAGATCGTAGATTTCCAGTCTTAGCGCCCGTGCCGAAATTCCAGTTATAAAGAGAAGAAAAGGAAAGTTCTCCACGAGCAAAGGGGCCGCATGCCTATTAAAACCGGCTTCCGTTGTTTCTGACTGCGTAATACGAGCCGCGAGGGTAGGTAAACTAAACAATACTGTAGTAGTAAGTATTAAATAGTTAGCCTCTTTTAGTACCGTAAATTTGCTCCGCCTTTTTAGCGGTCCCAAACGTACCAAACCCTCTTTGTAATTACTGTTCTTTTCTGCCCGGCTTTTAGCTGACAGCCGAATTTGACGATCGCCGATATTGAACCCTGCCTGACGCAATCCCGTCAGCCATGATCCATATATCCTCATTCCACATCTGCACGTCGCGAGGGGTATTTCAAAGGCATTGTAGAATCCTCGTCTTCTCAGGCGAATAGCCTCGATAATCTTGTGTCCCGGAGATATCCAATTCCTTCCCACCGCCTTTGTCTTTGGTGTCTAGCATGATATGATCGCAGGAGAACTGTCCGTCATCGATGCTGAGTGTATAGGTCTGCGGTGGAAGGAGTCGGTATGGCCAGGGCTTCTCGGTATATCCTCCAGAATCGATGTGTGGCCATCTCTCGTCGCCTCGGGCAGTCTGTCAACGCCTATCTCTCAAGGAGACAGGAGGCATTCGTACTATAATAGCCATGAGAGTTGTTGGTCCACCTCGCACCACCGGAAAAAAAGCGGTCGCCAGATAATGGAGAATTGAACGATCTTTTTCGAAATTCGCCGATGATGGTCCTGATCTGGGTAATGCAGTCTAGTCAGTCAATCGTGGTATACCATAGTCGGGGAAGTCTGGAGAATAGTCACTCTCACCACGAGCACCTGAACTTGAGCAGACGCTAGCAAAGACACCCAGGGAGCCCAGGACTCCAGCACCTGGCCATCCGCTGGTACTTTTGACCAGAGCCCTCCGATGATCAGCAAGCTCCATCTTGGTCTGTCCAAGTGTGTGGAGTTGGAAATGTCTGAAGACCCAGAAGGTTCGCCGCCAATCCTGCTCAGAACGAACTGGATTCATGTTAAAAGAAAGGATGCAGCCCCCCTGTTTGAGGATATTGTTGATGGAATCCGGTTGGAAACGGAAATCAACAAGAATCTTTCAGACAGCGGGTAAACAGTCCAGCCTGCATGGAAGCATGGCCAATGCAGTCGCGTTTTACGTTTGACGCCCATGTAGCTACTGAGTTAACCATACACTACAGCACCTGCATCCAAGTCAAAGAGAAAATATATCATGTACGCACCCTACACCTTTACAAAGAGCAGAAGAAACTGTGATCATAAAATTATTAGTTGTTTAGATATGACTAGCTATCCATGTTCTCAACCGAATTTAGGGAGTACCAGACGGCCGGCCTGTCCGAACCACCAATAACCACGCGAAGAAATGGTACTCATGACAAGACAAGTAAAGAAAGAAAGGACGGAGACCACCATAAGGATATCGAGAAAAAGAGCAACGTGTGGTCACCGCAAAAACACCATTCCAGATCAACGCCGTTACATCAATTCATAGATTGATTCATTAAGATCGTGGAAAATTCGTCAGGTCATCGCCATATCGGCCGCCATATCGTCTTAGAAAATATCCCAAAGGACAGAATCTCTCCAGTTGATCTTGAGACTCAGGTGATGTTGAAATCAACCTGGCCATTTTCGTCTCACAGGACGCCGACTAGAAGCGGCGATGTCCGCGAGAGGAGGCACCACGCCAGGGGCCACGCCAGTTGCCACGGCCACGGGGGCTCTGGGGGCCACGGGGGGCAGGGGGGCCAAGGGGCCCGGGGGAACGACGGGCCACAGGGGCAGGAAGAGGAGTCGGGGCCGGAGCCGGGGTGGCGGCAGGCATGGGAGCCGCGACGACGTACGGGTTGGGCCCCTGGCTGGGCCAGTGGGCGGGGCCTTGTTGCTCCGGGGCGCCCATCGTAGAGTAGCCCGAGCGAGGGAAGTTGTAAGGTGCCAGACTCAGGCCCTGGCGGACGGGGGTCATGACCCCGTGACCCGTGGTGAGTAAGGTCTGCAGGACCTGCTTCTCATCATTGATGGCGTCAGAGAAGATCTTCTCCGATGCCACAGGCTCGTCCCACGCGAACCACCAATCCCCGTAGGGGTGCGGGTGCTTCTGGCCGAAGAAGCGGCGCTCCAGGCCGCGAGGGATGCGGACGACCCGTCCGTTCAAGATGAGCATCCCGTAGAACTGTTTATAGCACATTGGTCATTAGTCACAGGAATGAAAGACATTTGTGAAAGGAGAGAGACTTACCTCCAACGCGTTGGGGTTGTTGGGACGCAGCCAGGTCAGAGTGTCGAATGGGAAATAGGGCAGCCAATTATCGCTCATCCGGCCAAAGAACGCCTGGTCATCGCTGATCTCCGCAAGGACATACTTCATGCGGGGGTTGAAAGCCGGGCACTCGATACCGGCACGAAGGAGCTCGGTCACCAGGCGAGTATCCAGTCCGACAATTTGCCCACCGCCACGCAGGCGCTGCACCAAGTGCTCCATCATCGTCTTCAGCGTGAAGTGGATCTTGTTGCGGGTATGCACGGTGTACAAGTGGGTAGCAAACCACGGGAACTAAAAGCGCAATGTTAGTAAACAAGGAACCAGAGAAATATCCAGATGATCAAACAATCCAAAGGCAGGAATGGCTTTTTACCTTCCACATCGTGCTGTTGATCGACTCGTATGGACGCTGGGGGATCTTGTGGGTGTGAGCACTCTAGTATTTGGGTCAGTTTCAGTGTCTGTAAACACAAATGGAGGAGTAAGGACGTACTCGGCCGGGCTCACGGACGTGACGGGCGGTGCAGAAAAGCTCTTCGTCGGTGAGGAATCCAGCGAATCCATTTGGCCAACTTTCGTCCGGGACAACCACAGGACGGCCAGTCTCCCAGCTGATGCACTTGGCATGGGGGAACAGAGCCTTCATGAGGGCCGCCTGGGAGCTGATGGAGACGTCGACGTAGCGGTTGCCCATGCGGGGTCCTTGGTTGGAGTCGTGCAAAGCCTTGATACGGCGAATGGTATCCTCAGCATCGGCATGAGTAGCGAACTCCACATAGCACTCGTTGGTCTTGCCTGAGGAACGGTCCATGATGATGTGGACAGGCCAGCCTGAAGCCAGCCGAGCTCGATTTCCGAAGAACTGGATCACCTCTTGACGGGTGATGTTGTAGGGGATCTGCATCAAAGTGAGAGTTATTGTCAGCGGGAGGACGAGTGAGAGGAGATGTAAGGCATGAGGTAGACTTACGTTTTCGATGAGAACAACCGCGTGGTGACCACGGAAGCAGGTCTCCGCATCGCTGCCGATGGGGCACTCACCCGGTGCCAGGACTTCGTCCAGCTGGCGTTGGTGATATGTTGCCATCTGCATCTGGTACTGGAGCCCAGCGTCGAGAGGTACAGGTAAGTGGTACATTTCGAACTGAGGAACGAAGGAGATGAGGTCTGGTCCTGAACAAGAGGTGTCAAGGGCCAAGTCGTGAGGGAGTTGGAGAGGTGGGGGAAGGGAAGAGAAAAAGGAAGAATAGTGTGAGGGAAGGCAATCAGTCTGAAGAGACAAATCGCAGAGCCGGTGAAATAAGACTGCCGGGTCGACGGGGTCAGAGGTGGGCAAAGAGGCAGTGGAGTGCGGAGAGTTGGCAAACACGGTTGGAGCTGAGTGAGGGTGTTTGTCTGATGACTCCAGGCTCACAATATCCGCCACATCCTGCAGGTAATGAGTTGGCAGTGATGATATCTCTAGGTATGAGCTATCAACAGTCTCAATCTCGTCCTCTGGAGAAAAGAGGAATTGTTAATACAATTCGATAGTTGAGGGGTTGGGACAAAATCATTGTGATATTCAGGATGATACCCACCAGGTGCTTCTTGGCCAGCATATAAGCCCAAAATCTGCGACACCTCATCGCTTGACCCAGTCTGCTCACCAGGAACGTCTTTAGGACGATCAGCCATGATGGGCGTGTTAATACCACACGCCATGCGGCTATACTTGAGGCGGTCAGTAGGGTCAAAGAGTGAGTGAAGTGATGGAAGGCGGTCTGGAGGGCGGTCTGGAGGGTTCGAGGCAGAAAAGATGGTAGTGAGGACGGTTAACGAAGGAACAAAGGCGGTCAGGAGAGTCAAAGGAGGGAAAAGAAAGTAGTTAGGGGAGTTGAAGGAGAAAAAGGAAAGCGGTCAGGAGAGTTAGGAAGGGAAAAGAAGGTTATCAAGGAATTGCAACCAAAAGATCGGCAGAATCAGTAGAGTCGGCAGAACCGGGGGAGTCCGTGGCAAATTCGGGACTTGGCCGTGGGCAGAGCTTCGGGCCACATGAGCCCTAACCACACCTACCCAAAAAGGCAACCACTCCAAAAATGGCCTCAAAGAACTCGCAACATTAAATCAAGCAAACATCGCTAATACCCATAGCAGTATGCCTCGGCCATGACATTGACTTAGTCTCTTGCAACCTTGTGGGCCACCGAGTAGGCCCATCGATCGTCATTTGGAAGGGTAGTCGTTGAGTCGATAACAGCCTTAGCATTCGAGCGGATGGCGCAGATGTACAGAAGGTTGAGTATCGGGAGCCATCGGCTGCTAGGAATACGGTCCGCCGAGCTATAGGTCGACAGCAAATTATTCGAATTACCGTGGTCATCGAGTCAATTAGTACCAAGGCTAAATGGGAGGAATCATTATTGGGGAATTGTTAGAGACGGAATGGATTGGACTCTTTGTATTGCGGGAGAGTTCAGCCTGAAGAATACAGGATATGGTGGAAACACAAGGTCATTGTATCATGGAGTTGCTCTGCAACTAGATGGGTCGGGGGGAAGCAAACGCCAGAAATTTAATCAAACTGTATGAAAGTAAGCATTGATCCATAAAGATGGGTTCATAAGGGGGTCATACAGGGGTCAAGAAGGATTCAGCGACAAATCGAGCACGGGCATTCAGCTGAAATATGTTAGTCGACAATAATAGCGAAGGCGAATCCTGCGACAGAATTGAGGACAACTTACGAATAGTTTCATCTCCGAGACTTTTTTTTCGTATCAATTGTTAGGACACTGTCGAGGAATCTGTATGGTGAGCGTGAGTACTTACTTTCCTTGTCAACCTCCTCCATACTATTGCCGCTGTTAGCACTCGAGTGTTTTCCTCGCGGAGTACGGTATTGACTCACAATTGAATGACAAAATCGACGAGCTTATGCTTCAACATCGCCTCGGTGTGTGCGTTGGTGATCAGGAACGAGATGTCATAGCCCTAGGTAACGTGTCAGGGACATGGTGTGGATGTCTGTATAATGAGGGTTTTGTCGGGGAGAAACAAGTATAGTCGGAGAGGTAGACACGGCATGATTGGATGAAGGGATTGACGTTTCAAGGATACGTACAGGCATGGGCTTCCTCCGAAGGATAAAGAATGACTCGGCGCGCTAGTAGATAGTAGATTATGGTAAGCAAAGCTCGAGGCAGACTTGACATATTGAAATCATACCTGCGTGAGGAAACGTGTGAACTTGTGGACGAGAATGTGCTCAATTTCATCGGCCTGCTTGATTCGGATCGAGAAGCGGACAGAGTTGACGCCTAGCTCCACGTTAGCATGATAGGCGGAGTGGGTACTGAGAAGTATGAATGCACTGACTAGGTTCGATAAGGACCTTCTCATGTTCGTTGCGGCTAATTGTAACGGGGTTCAGAATGAGCTCTGGAGAGCTTCCTGCTTCCACTTCCGGGACATTGCTAAGAGACCAATTAGCTCCAGTGTTATGGTCTCGTGCTCGGACTCGAAGTGATCATACTGGCGCTCGCTGGTCTGGGACGCGAAGTTCGACACTGATTGTGTTAGCTAGATCCACATGGTATCTGCGGAAAGGAGACTTACCAGCCAGTGCGGCCGTGAGACTCACACGGACACACTGCAAATAGGGGCGGAGGCTTTGCGACTTGTCGAGGTTCAGTACTCGCGAACGGGGAGTTGCGGGATCCAACGTACCATGCTGGGCGAACAGCTGGGAGTTCTAGGCGTTGAGAGAATCTCAGAGAAGAATTGATTGCTTTTCGTGTCTCTCCGGGGTTTATAAAGGGCCCTCGTTCCTGAAAGACTTCGCTAATCGGTCGATAACGTCAAGCTAGGCGACAGGAGATGGAGGGGCCGTGGGCGGAGGTTCCGCGCCCGCAGGCCGCAAGGCGGGAAGGCGGTGACGTAGCGTTTGTTTTCTGCCCCACGGCCTTCGAGCACCTTCCCCGGAGCTTGTAAGCTGTTCAACCCTCATCAACCATCTCATCACTTGTTGCAGCTTCAGAATTTTTCTTATTCTTCAGGCAAATTGAACAAGATGCCATCTATACCAAGTGAGTATTCAAAATGGTACCCCAATGGAGTTTTATTTCCATGACTAATCACTCTACAGTCATCGTCAAACATGCGGGCAAACGCCACGAAGTCGAGCTCGATCCCGAAGCCAACGGCGAAACCTTGAAATATCAGCTATTCTCCCTGACTGGTGTTGAACCTGACCGCCAAAAGGTCCTGGTGAAAGGTGGCCAACTCAAGGATGACACTCCCCTCGCCTCCCTCAAGGCCAAGCCAGGACAGACTTTCATGATGATGGGCACGCCATCCGGGGGTCAAGGTGCTGCTGATCTTGGTCGCCCTAAAGAGGTCGTCAAGTTTTTGGAGGATATGACAGAGGCTGAGGTTGCGCAGCAAGAGGGAGCGACTCCTGCTGGTCTACAAAACCTAGGCAATACCTGCTATTTGAACTCTACTCTCCAAACTCTCCGAGGTATCCCTGAGCTGCAGGAAGAGCTTCAGCGGTATCAGGCGAGTGGCTCTTCTGGACAGTCTGGCCTTGCGGACCTCAGCAGCTTTGGTCTGAGCGGCTTGGGTGGCTCAAGTGACCTGACTGCCTCCCTTCGGGACCTGTTCAAGCAGATGTCCGAAACGCAAGAGGGCATCCCCCCACTCATGTTTCTGAATGCCCTCCGAACTGTCTTTCCTCAGTTTGCTCAAAGGGATCGCAATGGCCACGGCTACGCACAGCAGGATGCCGAAGAAGCATGGTCTCAGATTGTGAATCAACTGCGCAACAAGCTGACCATCACTGATGGAAGTGGGGATTCTGCGTCCCGTGTATCTTTTGTTGATAAGTACATGGCCGGTCGATTTGACTCGGTCACCGAATGCGACGACCCCACTGCTAAGGCAGCCGGCGAGGAAGCCACCAAGTCCTCTGATGTTTTCTTCAAGTTGGATTGCCACATTGGAAAGGAGACCAACCACCTTCAAGATGGTATCATGGCAGGCTTGGAAGAGCAGATTGAGAAGCAGTCCCCGACACTCGACCGCAACGCTTTGTATACGAAGCGGTCGCGTATCTCTCGCCTGCCGACCTATCTCGCGGTTCATTTTGTGCGTTTCTTCTGGAAACGTGAGACTCAGAAGAAGGCCAAGATCATGCGTAAGGTAACCTTCCCAGCCGAGCTTGATATTGTGGAATTCTGTACCGAGGAGCTTAGGAAGAAACTCGTGCCTGTTCGCGACAAGGTTCGGGAGATCCGCAAAGATGAATTGGATGTCGAGCGATCTCGCAAGCGCCAGAAGCTGAACAACAAGCAAGTGGAGGACCAGAGCAAGGAAGAGGAGGCTGGAGCTAAATCAAGCAAGGAGCCGATGCAGAAGAAGAAAGAAGCTACAGAGACTAAGAGCAAGACCAACGACAAGGACGGCGACACCGCGATGGAAGAGAATTTCAAGACCGATGCCGAGTACGAGGCGGAGAAGATGGAGGATATCAAGGCTGCCAAGAAGGAGCTCTATGATCTGATCAACCAGCACTCTTCTGGAGACAGTGGAAACAACCAGTCTGGCCTGTATGAGCTTCGAGGTGTCATCACCCACCAGGGTGCCAGTGCCGATAGCGGTCACTACACCGCGTATGTGAAAAAGCAGGCCCGCAAATCAAATGGCTCTCAGCCCGGTGACAAGCGCCGTGAGGAGGAGGAGGATGGCAAGTGGTGGTGGTTCAACGACGACAAGGTGACCGAAGTAGAGGCTGAGAAAATCGAGACACTCTCCGGCGGTGGTAAGTCGTTACTCTACAAGGAGTCGGTCGCTTGCCCATCGGTATCGCTAATACCTTCTTCTAGGCGAGACCCACTCGGCTCTCATTCTGCTCTACCGAGCTATCGATCTCCCTAAGTTGGCGGAGTGATTGATGTCTTCTTGTTCCGGACTACACGTTCAAAACTCCTAGCCTGCAACCAAGAAAAACCGCCCTGGTTTTAGATGCATAGAAACGATGACCATGAGTCGACGCTGAGAATTACTTTGGAATTATGGATTGGATCTCAATGGAACCTGTCTTTTTATAAAAACCAAAAAGCTTTCTTCTTCCTTTCGTATTCCCTTCGTATCACGTAGATAGTTACTATATATTACTACTGTCTACGACTAGCGCGCCCTCTGTCGAATCACGTGATATGTGCCTCGGCCGTCTTATCAACTCCGATCCAAATTGGCCCCATCTCCTCTCCAGCAGACTGGCAATGTGATCGCGATGCATTCTCGCAGGATTCTACAGCTGCCACTCCGGACGTATGCATCACGATTGCACGTCACTCCCAGACTCCCTCTTGCGCCAAGGCTCGCAATCCGAAACCTCAGCAATGATGCGGCATCCCAGAACACCTCGGCCCAACCGTCGCGCTGGACGCGTCGACTAATCTACGCCACGATCTTTGGGGCTCTGGGAGTCAGTGTCGGAAAATGGATGGATAAGAAGGTCGCTGCGCCTCCAGTTCCTGGAACACCCGAAGACAAGCTGCAGCTTCAAGACATTCAGCACGTCTTCGACACTGGGCTCCCGATAGTCCAAAGGCTGCGGGCAAATCCCGATTTTGTGGAAATGGGCGTCTACGAGAACTATTCGGAAGAGTACAAGACACATCGACTGACTTCGGGTGCACTGGGTGGGAGCAGGGGCATTGCGTTACAGGTGAGTGGCTATGACAGTTCTCGGCTTGCATCTCTCGGCGGACGCAATGAGCTCCTGAACTCTCTGGTCGCAGCAATTGCGCAGGGATGGGATCAGCAAGTGCCGAGTTTTGCAAGTGCCGAACCTCGGGATCCCGCTCAGTTCTGACCGAGAGTGTATCAAATAGCGAGCGTTTTGGAATGAAAAGGAGCACCAACTGGTTAGCGTGGTATTTCTGGGAGCTGGCATCGAAGGGTGGCCAACCATGGTGCACGGCGGCGCTCTTGGCACTATAATCGACGAGAATCTCGGTCGCGCGGCCGTTCGCCATTTCCCTGCACGGACAGGCATGACGGCCAACCTCAATATCAACTATCGCGCGCCGGTCTACTCGGATAAATTCTACTCGATCCACTCGAGCTTGGATCCGGAGCAGAGCACAGACCGCAAGGCGTATGTCAGGTGCGAGGTACGCGATATGACCGGACGTCTCTGTGTCGAGGCCAATGGACTCTTCGTTGTCCCGAAGAAGCTGAAGCTCGTGAGACTGGGCGACCATTTCTGACCCCAACCTTTGAATCACGAACCCATGGATGTGTCGGGGTATGGCAATCGAACTGCCCGTCAAAGTTTTGGAGACTTGACGAGTCAGTTCGTCTAATCTGGCCTATCCATCCAGCCCAATTAGTGGGGACAATAGTTGACTGGAAAGTATGACTGTAATAGACTCGACCGCCACTTGCACCCGCTTACGTTTGCGGCCCCTCTGTTGCTACCAGAGACCAGCTCTCGAGGCTTTAGGGGGGCGAAACGCAGGGGGCCGGTCTTTTGGAATTCCGCCCTGTACTACGGAGCATAGAGTTACACCTTCCTTTGTCTTATCCCGCCAAGATCAGCCACAGCCATCAATTATTGAACGGCTGAGGTACTTTCTTTTTCGTTTTCTTTCATGTACATAATTTCTTTTTTTTTTATCCATCGTGATCTGACCTCCCAATCCGAAAGACTCTCCAGACAACCAACCAGCACAGACCCCGACCGAATGACCCAGTTAGCTAGCTCAAGTCCTGACAAGTTCTGGGGGGGAGGAGGTTCCAGGTTAGTCTAAGTTAGTTACAGTTTCGGGGCTCAGTCCCATTGCGGTACTTGCGTCCGGGCTGGTGGGCATCGAGACCCGCAAGTCAATCAAGACTAAGCAAGTCAATGATGGTGATCCAGTGAATCCACCTCTTCTCCACGTTTTTCCCCCGCATTTTCCCTCCCGCCACGGCCCAACTCGCTCGACTGAGTTGACTCGCCCCCTCAACTGATGCCCAGGAAACTCCAAGAAATTCCAAGAAACGCCTAAGCAATGCTAAGCGTGCCTCGGTATTTTCTGGATTTTGAGCTCGCGACCCCGGCTATCGCTTATACGCTCTCCAACTTAATTGCATCCACCCTTTGACACACCCACCCTCCCTCGACTGATTGGCTACTTGACTTACGGACTGCTCCGACGAAGATAACAGTGGACCCCCCTACTGTTCCGGCGACACGCGGTGCGATCTCACCGTTTCAAGGTTGAAGGCCTTTGTTATGTTCTTGGTCAAGATATATCTGCTGCTCTTCCCCACTCGAGTGGAGTGATTTACAAGGTCGTGCTGTGCTGGGAATTAGCATATCCTTGCTAAGATCCTTTTTTTTTCTTTGTGTTCTTTTGCCCCTCGAGGCACTTCTTTCAATTCTGAGCAATTCTATTGCTGCTGTACACTACTTGCCCATTATGACTGGGTCTATTGATGTCCAAGCTCCGGTGCATGGCGATGAGAAGGCCGTTATGCAGCACCAGGAGCACAAGACAGATGCCGATGGGAGCTCCAATGAGGCCGGGCTGCACGAGTCCGAGAAAGACATTCCTGTAAGAACCCTGTCGTCAAGGGTCAACGAGCCAATCGTACTCACTGTGATATCTAGATGACCTTCCGTCGTTTCATGGGATTCACGGCCATGGCCTTCCTGTGGACTGGCAGTCAGATCCCTGTCTATTTATTTGGTATGATTCGGTCCCAATTTACTCGTGTCAGAGCAATTACTTACAGTCTCCAACAGGTGGCATTCCTCCCTATATCTATGGCTCCATTGGCGGGGCAGACCGTTGGATTTGGTTTGTGAGTAGATCGTCCTGTCAAAACACCAATCTTCGTACTAATACTAGTGTCGCAATAGGTCCTTGGAAACCTGCTTGCTCTTGCAGGTGTCTGTCCATTCGTCGGGTCTCTGTCGGACTTGATCGGTCGTCGCTATGTCGCCATTCTTGGAGCCTCCCTCATCTGCCTTGGTATGATCGTGAGTAGCACGGCGAATACTATGAATATCTTTATTGGTTGGTGGACCCAGACTCCCAATATTTTGTTTCACATATTGACTGTATTGCCCAGCTGGTATGGCCATTGCTGGTGCGGGCGCTGGTGTTAATGAATTGACTGCTCTGGCCGCAACCTCGGAGATGGCCCCAACCCGCAAGCGTGGCGTCTACGTTGCTGTCCTCATCTTCAGCATCCTGCCCTTCTGCCCGTCTGTGCTGTGGGCTCAACTCATTGCCGCTCACAGCAACTGGCGCTACGTTGGCGCATTCTGCGGTGCATGGAACGGCTTTGGTCTCCTGATCACGGTCCTCTTCTACAAGCCCCCTCCCCGAGTGAACTCCCTCGGTCTGAGTAATAAGGAAATTATTAGCCGCATTGATTTCATCGGCGGTTTCTTGAGTATCATTGGTCTGATTTTGTTCATGGCTGGTATGCAATGGGGTGGTTATATGGTATGTGATTCCCACTTTTCACTCTACTTCTTCTGGCTCCGCTGACTCGCTTTCTACAGTACCCCTGGAGCTCTGCTCATGTCCTTGCTCCCCTCATTCTCGGCTTCCTTATGCTAGTTGCCTTTGGCTTCTGGGAGGTCTACGGTGCTAAATACCCCATCTTCCCCACCCGACTGAAACAGGAGCCTCGAACCCTGGGTCTGACTCTGGTCATTACCTTTATCTCTGGAGCCAACTTCTTCTCTGTGCTCATGTTCTGGCCCACTGAATCTTTCAATGTGTACGGACATGATCCGGTTGATGTCGGTATTCGCAGTCTGCCTATTGGTTTCGGCATCTTGGCTGGTGCCTGTATCGTGTTGGTCCTTCTTAGTGTGTTCCGAGGACATAACAAGGAGCTTCTCATTGTGAGCAGCGTTCTCATGACAGCTGGTAAGTGATCTGATGGAAATCCTCAAGGGAATGAAATGCGCTAACGAGTTTTGATAGGCTGTGGTGCTCTTGCGGTCGGTCGCGTTGATAACATGTACCAATTATGGGGACTTCTCATCCTAGCCGGTCTTGGAATTGGTGGAATTGTCGTTCCCGCGTCAATCATCACGACCATCATCTGTCCTGATGATCTGATCGCCACCATTTCCGCTCTCACGCTGTCCATCCGTGTGGTGGGTGGCAGTGTCGGCTACACCATCTACTACAACGTCTTCATCTCCAAGTTCGTTCCGGCAGCGAAGCACTATATCGGTGGTGTGATGATGACCAAGCTTAACATCACCAGCGTTGAGGCTATCACCGAAGCCATCGAGCTCACTGGTGCTTCTCTGTTGACCGAGATGCAGAAGATTCCTGGAATTGCTGGCAACGAGACCGCTTATGAGATGGTGGTCGGGGCAGGCCAGCTTGCGTATGCCGAGTCCTACAAATGGGTGTACTATGTTAGTATTGCGTTTGGTATTGTGTCGATTCTGGCTTCGTGCTTCTTGGGTGATATCACCAAGTACATGGATGACCATGTTGCGGTCGTGATGTAAGCGATCGAGATGTATATTTCTCGAGATTGTGTATAATGTAGTATGATGACGGTACTGGGATGTTTTGACGATGACTTGATAATTCTGATACGAAGAATGAGTTACTTATGCCTTTTCTCATCTATCCCCATAGTAACCAAAGTCAGTGATAACATTTTTCTACAAAGTACACGGCCTAGACTGCAGGTCGTGTAGCTTATCGAGATAATGTAAATAAAGTCGGGTGTGGGGCTGCCGATCTCCACTGACGCGCCAAGCCCCGGCAACTTTTTTATCACTCGACACCCATTGCTTAACTCAACAACCGCGACAGCTGCCACCATGGCCTCCTATCCTACCAAACGGAAGCCATTCAGCGCTTCCGGTCCTCAGGGAGCTACTGGAGCCGCTAGAAAGCGTGCGAAAACCTTTGACGCACGTACCCTGGCTGTGCAGTCCACCGACGCCGCGCTCTCTGCAACAGGCGAGCTCGATGTCGCCGCATACGCCGCCGCCCGGGCGTTCGAGATTCAGGCCTTGGAGGAGGGAATGCAGCGATCGAAAAATGCCCTGACGACACGCGCGTTTCAGAAGGTGCCTCGCTCGCTGCGGCGGCGGACGGCGAGTCACAATGTGAAACGAGTGCCACGAAGATTGCGGGCGCGGGCACAGCGAGAGGTATCTTCTTCCCTGGTGTTGGATCTACAATTGAGTGCACAGGTAGCTGACGAAGAGGATAGATGGTCGAAGATAATACGCCTACGGTCACTGCACGGCGTCGCAAACCAAGCCAGATGATGCGCATTCGCCTCGAAGCCGCTCGACGCCTACAGAACCTCAATGCCAAATCTAAGAACCGACGTTTAGCAGCAAGGATCAAACGAGATAAACAGAACGAAGCTACTGCAAAGGAAGAAGGAAGCCATACTTTCAACATTGCGCCCCGAGTACCAAAAATCAAAAAAGGGAAGCTGTCACGCCCGCCGCCTGCAGACTCGAAGTATCGCAAGCGCCAGCGATGCAAGACTTGGCTCCCGACTCACATGTTCCATGCGAAACGCGCTCATATGGCCACCACCAAAGATCCGATCTGGCGATTCGCAATTCCTATTTCGCCTACTGAGAAGAGTTATCGGCCCACACATCGAGCTCGCGGTGCCCGTGGCGCTGTGGCGTGGGATATGAGCTATATGTCTACCATACAGCTAGAAGGACCGGAAGCTTGTATTGAAGCTGTGCTGCGAGCGGTTGGTGTCAATAGCGACGAGGCCTGGGGTGTGAAGGGGAAGAAGTGGAGGACTGGGACGAGGTCGTTGCAAGCTTGGGCATTTGAAAAGGATCAGCCTCCCAGACCCATTGCGCCTATCACGTTGATCTGGTGTGTACAGCCCAAGGTTGAAGACGTTGAAATGATCGATGCAGACAAAGCTTCTTCTACCGTGAAGAAACCACGACGAAAGCTCTTTATCCGCATCCATCCATCTGCATTCTTGCAACTATGGACAGATCTGCTCGAGATCTCGAAACAACAGAACCCGCCAGTCATGGTTGAGGACTTGAGATTCGAGATTGGTAGCATTGAAATCACCGGCCCAGGGTCTACAGAGGCACTCTTGGCCACATTGGAGCCTGTTTTGGGATCAGACGGTCCCGCAGCACAGAGTCCAGAGGCTATCTGGCTATCTTTAATCGGCGTATCTAATCCGGCATCACTGCCACAGAATGCCCTTCTGTCCTTCCCTGTGTCTGACCCTCGCCTCCAATTCCCACCGCGGAGTCTCAAAGTTCCGGACAACGAGTCACACATGAATGACTTGGCTGCCACGCTCTCTACATGGTCACCCGATCAAACGCAGGGTCCATCCTCTCTTTTCGACCGCCCAAGTCGCCTTGCAGCCATTCGACAGCTTCCAAGTCAGAAGGCCATAAACCGTCGCCGTGCGCTGGCCGGCCCCGGCAAATATCCTGCTGCACAACCCACCGACCCAAAAATTCCGGTCATGATAATTGCCAGTCGTCCACGGGCTCGGTCAAAACGGAATACTGCTCCAGGATCCTGGACGGTACTGTTGCCGTGGAAATGTGTGGTTCCAGTATGGTACTCGCTTATGTTCTATCCTCTTTCAAGCGGTGGAAATCCTCGTTTTGGTGGCTTGAAGGAGCAGCAGCAGCTTACTTTCGAGGCGGGTGAGGGATGGTTCCCAGGTGATTTCCCTGGTACCCGTGCTGGCTGGGAGTGGAGTCAACGCGAGGCTGAGAAATCCCGACTGCAGTGGGAGCGACGACCTAAAGGACGTCGAGCCGAGTTCGACAGTCTCGTCCTGGGCGATGGTCATCCCAAGGGAGAGATTGGCTTCGGTTGGACCTGTGACTGGCAGAGGCTCGTCGACGGCCCACCAAAGGATCAAACCAGCCAGGATGCTGTTAAGAAGGATGCCGATACCACCGATTCTACCATTCCACCCTCCAACATCCACACCATCCGCTATCCACCCAGTGAAACAAACCTGCTTCTCACCAAACTCAGCAAATCCCCCGTTGATCCCTCTGCCCTCGCTACAATCCACCTCACCCTCTCCAGCCGCGGCACTCCTTCCCCCTATGCGCGCATCTATCGCCTTCCGACGAACCCCATCCTACGACAAAAGTGGATAGACCTTGTTTCTCCATCATACAAAAAGACCAATGAACGGAAAGGCACCCACCAAAAGAAATCCACTCTTTCTAGTGAGGAAGCGCAGCGCCAACTCGCTGAAGCATTGGTCGCTACTGCGATCCCTGAAGACCCTGGATCCGAACATCTGAAGATCCCTACCGAAGACGATCTCATCGGCTTTGTGACTGCTGGAAACTTTAATCTTTCCGAGGGTAAGGGTACGGGTGTTGGATCGATTCTACTATCAAAGGTTTTGCTACCTAATGTCAAACCATCCGAGAGGAGGATGTGTATCGTCCGGACAGCGGGTGAGAAGATTGGACGATTGGGAGTGTGGGAGCTTGTCTGATAGAGTTATTGGTGTTTTGATACCCTGTAGTGTAGTCTCTCCTTGAGACATGATAAAATATGAACGCCTCTAGATGGGGCACCCCTACAAATCACACATATCATGCACAGTAGATTCTTCGTGTAGGATCAATTCCATCCCATGCAATGTCATGGCAACTAAAAATGAATAAAAAGAGCACAATCTATACATACAGTACAGCATCCACGGCCAAGACAGTAGACGCGGTATCATCTACCGCTAATCTAACCCACAATGCGATCGACAAAAGCAGCCTCCATCTTCGCAACCTCCTTCTTGAAGGCGTCAACCTCCTTCCAGCAATCCAATGGCCGGCGGTCGTTCAGTCGCAGACATCCAACAACATCAGCCTTGGCCTTTTCAACACCCTCATCCAACTCAACCAACTTCCTCCGCCCATCCAGACGGCTACGCAGCACGTCAATCTCACTCATAACCGAGTCCCGCGAGATCTCGCGGTTGACAACGGGCGGCTGCTGTGCGACGGGTTCTTGAGGCGCGGCGAAGACAGGCGCGGGCTCGTACTCGCGGCCGGCGAAGGGGATCCGCGGGGCGTCCAGGTTCAGAGATCCGACGGGGTAGCCAGAGGGGGAGGCGGCGAGGGGCGCGGTGGCAGCGCTCACGGGGATGGAGCCGGTGTCCTTGACTTCGGCGAGGCGCTTCTCGATCTCGGCGAGGGTTTGCTGCTCGCGTTCGCGGAGACGCTGGAGTTCTTGGGCGACGCGGTTTTGGATCTCGAGCTCGAGGGCCTTGGCGCGGGAGGAGTCCGTCTGTTATGTGGAATGTGTATGAGTAAGGAATAGCATGGTTTTTGAGGTCGTATCATTTGTCGGGAGGGATTCAACTGACCTCGGAGGTGGACTGGAGGGCCTCAACTAGGTTGGAGGAGAATTGGACTGGGGAGTTGCTGCGCATGGATGCATGTTAGCGATTGTTTTTATACAGTTGTATGCGATTTGATAGCGCTCGGCGATGCTAATTGCTGCGTATCGCAACAATTGCGCTTGATCAATCGGGTCTCGTGGTTCCGGTTCCCGCCATGGAACATCGGGTTGTCGAGTTCGTTGGTGTCAACGTTGGAGAGTCAATTTACCTGGAGAAGACATGTTGGGAGTTACCCCCGCCTCAGGCTTGGAACTGCCAGCACCCATTATTCCGATTGGAAGGTGTAAATGCCGTCAAGTCAATTAAGAGAAGGGCGGTTGTGAGAGACGCTCCAGTCCACCCGAAGCTCCGATACTTCGGTCACGTGTGTGCTGGTTAGTCATCCCGTCAGTTGCCCTCAGGTGATCCATTGGATGTTGAAACTAACAAGGTAGATACACAGCGCACTGCTCATATCACATTTTATTTGGTGGTGCTGTTCTCTCCAAATGACTGGGTTTGGCTCGTTTGATATGACAATAGTCATTGAGCTTGAAAATAACTTACCACTATTTTTGACAGGTTTCCAATGTGTAGATACCATGAATATAGGAGACCACAATTCATGCATAGTCCAACAAAACACTTCAGGTAACTACTCAGTCCAGATCCGTTACAATAGAGCAAACATCATTGAGAAAATTGAGTCATTATGGGATGGTTGACCAATGCTACAATTATCATCCTTTTTGCCAATCTCTGTGTTATAAGAGCTGAAAAAATGGCAATTTAAAGGCGCTCGACAAGTAATATGGAACTTCCCACATGGCAATTCCCTTTACTTTATTCGTTTGTTAGACACTGGTAGAGGGCTCTCGGGGTTGGCGATCACATTGCGTTGCCCCAGCTTGTGGTATGTGGTGACCAGTCTGCAGGCAAAAGCTCGGTTCTCGAAGGTATCAGCGGATGCCCATTCCCACGACAAGATGGCCTTTGCACACGTTTTCCCGCCGAGATCGTGCTTCTTCATGACTCCTCCATCAACAGAAAAGCAGCCAGTCTCATCTCATCTCCATCTCGTACCCCTCAAGAACGACAGCACTTTGCGGCCTTTAGGCGCGAGTTTGCGAGCTTTGACGAGTTGCCTGGTACCATTCAGGAAGCTTCCTCTTTGATGGGGGTTCGATCCAGCCAAGCCCCTAATGCTCCTGCCTTTGCCGCCGATGCCCTTGGACTGGAAGTGGTTGGCAATACTGGTCTCCATCTGACATTGGTTGATCTTCCAGGATTAATCTCTGTCTCGGAAGATCCCAACGACATTGACATGGTCAAAACGCTGGTCAACACCTATCTTAAGAGCTCGCGTACCATCATTCTTGCCGTCATACCAGCTAGCAGTGATGCGGAGACTCAGGCCATTATCAAAAGAGCGCGACGCTTTGACAAGGAAGGTCTCAGAACTATTGGCAAACGATGCTGACTGACATCTCTCACCTAGGTCGCCATGAAAACCTTTGTAGACAACGTATGCCGACAAGTAATTGAAAGACACGTCCTCAGCCCTCTGGCGAGTATATTTGACCCGACTGTTGTCAGCGGTTACTCGGATGAGGATCTGCTGCACTTGGCTGCAGAGTCGCCGCAGACTAGTCGTTGTCGTGTCGAGGCTATCCAGGTGCAGAAGAACTTGAAGCAGGCCCTCCAGGAGCTTTCACTGTGATGCGGTCACCTGCAACGCCCGATACTTGCTAGACCCTCTATGGATACTAGGGTCTATTTGAAATTGATTTTTGATTTTCACACTCCACGTGCTAGAAGAATACTTAGTTCAGGGACATGGATGTCCTCTGACGTAATGTCATTTTCAGGGCACTGACATCAACAGTACTGTATTTATTTGTCTAATATTGTAGAAGATTGACACGGGCTGGAATAAGCCAACGCACATGGATTAAACGTTTTCTAAGAACCTTCTGGTAGGATGATGATTGTAAATAATTGGTCTCTGGTGTCCTCCACTCCCCACTCTCCATTCGGGATACGTTAGTCAAGGGAAATTCATAGGCGATCGGGATTCCGAATGTTCGGGCCAGCCGATCCTATTCTGGTCCTTGTGTCTCGGGAGCCGAGTTTTGGAGGGAGCCGTGTGGCCCCGATGGATCCCGAGAACTGAGACTCGCTTCAGGAACACCCAACGTGGCGTTTGGGGAGAGAAAAACACTCAAATAACGATGCATGCTGGCTATAAGACTCTATAACATCCCACAAGCTCTATTAGTACTGATAGGGCACCACTACGATGTATGCCTGAGGAGCACTCTGCTCCGATCAAGACCCAATAAACTATGCAAGTTCCTATCGGATGAAAACTCCCGAATATCTCTCTCTGTCCCCGGCCGGGGTATTATGATCCTGATCCTGTCTGTGCGCTGCATACTACTACGTTGTGTGTGTGTGCCTTTTTTTCTTGCCCATGTAACTATTTTCCCGTCCCCTGTTCCTTCACGCCCCAAACTCCCCGTTTCCTCCGTCTTTCGGCAGGTGCCTAAGCCACTGTTGCTCACCGGTGAAGTCGGGGGAAGACGTGTGCCATGGAGACACTGGAGAGAGCCCAATCCCCATTGACCAGTCAGAGGAGCTCCCCACATTTGTTCAATCTCCGTAGTTTCAGTAGTTTTTCAGGGAATTTGGAAAACATTCATGCCGTCATGACTGGGACACAGTGGCACTAAAGTAGGCACCGTGTAATTTTGGTGGCTTGTTCGGGGTATTTGGGTTGTATGGTGACGATTACTCGAACAGGGAGGACAAGTGTGACCATCAACAGAGTTGGAATGCAGGGGGAAGAAGTTAAAGGGTGGCTGCATTCAGGGGGTTCATGCTGATATAGGGTAGTTAAAATATGTAACGGAGAGAGAAACAAGAAGATATCCAATATACTGTATAGTTCTCTCGTTCTATTCCAATTGATATGACATTCATACTTCCTGGCACGAAACCAGTCCGGCTCCGGTGAAGCCGATACTTTTGCGGTAATACCAGCCAAATACTTGGCCTAATGCAGAGAGAAGTAAGTGTGGTAGTGATACCATACAAGTACCATACAAGTACCTGTATGGTAACTCGGTCCCCGCCGCGGATGTGAGGGACTGAGGACTGACCTCATGGACCCCCCGCCGTCATCCCACTTGGCACTGCTCGTTCTTTTTCTTCGGGGCTCGTGTCTTGACTTTCTTCGTTCGAATTCCCTTCATCTTCTCCTCTCGCTCTTCATTCTTCCCCTCTCTTCACTTTCCCGGCTGTAGTTCTACCCTCGTCCTGTGTTACTATCTTCCTACCGGCTTTCCGCGGACTCTCTCTATCTTTACTACTAGCCCCACCATGTCGTCTGCCCTGCTGGACGAGGCCACGCGCATCGCGCGCGAGTTCGATTACCCCGCGGACCGGGTCCAGCGCGGTGTGGAAGAGTATATCAAGCAATCGAATGAGGGTCTGGCACAGGAGAACACCACATTGAGCCAAATTCCCACTTTCGTGACCGCAGTCCCCAATGGCACGGAAAAGGTACAGTTTTAGACCCATGATCCCCCTCAGTAACAAGATTGAGCCTTTCCGCTAATCATGAGAGTAGGGCCTCTATCTCGCAGTCGATCTGGGTGGCACCAACTTCCGTGTGTGCTCCGTTCAGCTGCACGGCGACACCACCTTCTCCCTCACTCAGTCCAAGATCATGATCCCTCGGGAGCTCATGGCCTCCGGTACCTCCAAAGATCTCTTCCTTTTCCTGGCCCGCCAAATCGAGGCCTTCCTCCGCATTCACCACAACGAGCACTTCGAGGCCCATCTGCGCCGGAGACGCGATGGTAATGACGTGGAGGACCTCTTCGACTTGGGCTTCACCTTCAGTTTCCCCGTGCGCCAATGCGGCATTAACTCGGGAACCCTGATCCGTTGGACCAAGGGTTTCAACATCCCCGATGCCGTCGGCCACGACGTATGCGCTCTGCTTCAGTCTGCCATTGATGAGCTCCACTTGCCGGTCCGCGTGGCTGCGCTTGTCAACGATACCGTCGGTACCTTGATGGCTCGCTCGTACACTTCCCCCGGTGAGACCGGAACCCTGCTGGGTGCCATCTTTGGCACCGGAACCAACGGAGCCTATGTCGAGAAGCTCGACAAGGTTACCAAGCTCAAGAACATGAAGGATGCGCATTACGATACCACAACAGGCGAGATGATCATCAACGCCGAGTGGGGCAGCTTCGACAACCACATGAGCGTGCTGCCCGACACCGTCTACGACCAGGAGCTTGACGCTGACAGCAACAACCCGGGTGTGCAAATGTTTGAGAAGCGCGTCTCCGGTATGTTCCTGGGTGAAATCCTGCGCCGCGCTCTGCTGGCCATGCACAACAACCCCGAACTGGGTCTCTTCAAGACCAGCAAGACCTCCAATGTCTCCCTGCCCTCTGATTCTCTCTTCTACCGCCAATGGGGTCTGGATACCAGCCTGCTGAGCCAGGTCGAGGCCGATACCTCCAAGGACTTCGTCGACGTCAAGGCCGCCCTGAAGGACCACCTGAAGATTGAGAACCCCAGCGATGCCGAGTGCCAGGCTGTCAAGATCCTGGTCCACGCTATTGGTAAGCGTGCCGCCCGTCTCAGCGCCGTTCCCATCGCCGCCATCCTTATCCACACTGGCAAGCTTGAGACCGAGAACATGGTCGATGTGGGTGTCGATGGCAGCTTGGTGGAGTTCTACCCCAAGTTCGAGGAGTACATTCGCGAGGCTCTGCGCGAGGTGTCCCAGGTTGGTGTTGCTGGTGACAAGAAGGTTCGCATCGGTATCTCTAAGGACGGTAGCGGTGTTGGTGCCGCTCTGATCGCTCTTGTGGCCAGCAAGGATGAGAACCTGCGGAGCCCCAACGGCAACGCGAAATGAACGTGAAGCAAAAAACTTGCTTTTCACCAAACCCTCAAAATTCTCACGTTTCTTTGTGCCCCCTTTGACCGTTCTTTTCTCGGGGCCACTTGGTTTACTGGCTGGGCCAGTTTCTTGAAGGTGGGTTGGTCCTGTCTCTTGTGTTTAGCATGTCATGGACAAGCACCCTATCTAGCTTCGAGCCCATCTCTTGTTTTTGCATGACCCGATCCCCTGGCAAGGTCCGGTCGCTGAAACCCGAATTTCGAATTCGGCGGGCCTCGACGGGAAATAAGTCATGATTGCTTAGTTTCCGATATTCACGATTCCCACGCGCCCGGGTCACCCTTGGAATGGATACTCTTTTGTTTATGTCATGATTCTGCTTCTGCCTGGTACACTCAGCAGGATGTATCATTAGATTCTGTTTTTTGCTTATTGTTTGGTTATGGTCGCACGGAGTTGCACAGACATTGTCCTGGCGTGGAACGGTATCCAAGGATCCGATTTCCCTGCACATAATTGCATATTGGCTCGATATTCATCTTGATTGAAATATCATTGAATCTTTCTTTACTTCAGACTTGCTCTTGACTATTACTTGACTGAGATGGATGTTTGTAAAGGAATGATTCAATAGTGATAAGAGTGGATTAATTTCATATATACATTCTATACCTCATCTGTACGACCTCTGGTTTCCCCTCCCCCAATTTAATGACCAGGCTCATAGCCAATTGCCTTGGGAGCCATCACAAAGTCAATGTGTCCAGCAGTCTGGGCAAGGAAGCTAGCCTTGCCATTCGTAGTGGCCGGATCCTGACCGATGAAGTTAGTGGGGAAGCCCACATCAAACTCGGTGGCAGACTCGAGGGACTGAATCTGCTTCTCAGTCAGACGAATCGACAGCGCCTGAATATTGTCGTGCAGATGCTCAATCTTGCGGCCACCCACGATGGGGAAAACGTTGGGACTTTTGCACATCACATAGGCCAGCGCGATAGCCGTGACCGACTCGATACCATGCTCTGCAGCAACAGTCGCCAAAGCCTCTGAGATGCGTCGCTCATCCTCGCTCTGATCAGCTCCCATAATGCTGCGAAGACCCTCGCCGCTCGCCTTGCGTGCCTCAATCTGCTTGGCGGTCTGGAAATGGCCGCTACCCAGGACATCCCACGGTGCCAGCGCCATACCAAAGTGTCGCGCCATGGGCAGGATATCGCGCTCGAAATCGCGGCGCATCACGTTCCACCGACCCTGGTACACGGAGAAGGGCGTCTTGCCATGCGCGCGGGCATATGTGTTCGCCGCAGAGACGACCCACGCCGGACTATCCGAAATACCCAGGTACATGACCTTACCCTGCTCGACGAGGATATGCAACGAGTCCATAATCTCCTCGATTGAGGTGGTATGATCCCACCAATGCAGGTACAACACATCAATATAATCGGTATTCAACTTGCGCAGCGAATCGCGCACGCTATTGAACATACTGCGCTTGTGGTTTCCCAGCGCGTTAGGCGCCTTGCCCTTTCCCAGTTCCCAGGTGCGGTAGTCGGTGGTGAACTTAGTAGCGACGACGATTTGATCACGGTTCTTACGGGCGGTCATCCATTCGCCGATCCAGGTCTCGGATTGTTCGTTTTGGTAGTTGTTCGATGTGTCGATGAAGTTGCCGCCGGCGGCGACGAAGGCGTCGAGCAGTGCGAAGGATTGCTCTTTGTTCATGCTGCCCATGAAATTGGACCAGGCGTCGCCGATGGACATGCCGCCGAGTTGGAGGGGGATACGCGGATTCCGGCCGTAGAGGAGAGGACCCGGTAGCGACCCAGAGGGGTGGCGGGCTCGGGAGGTGCTCCGAAGATTTCGTCCATTTTGTTGGTTGTGGTGGTTGTGATTTGAAGAAGATGTGATTGAGATGGTTGAGATAATTGAGACGATTGTAGTCAAGTAGATTGAACTGATGGTTTGATGGGATGAGATGTCTAGACTGGAAATATCTGATCGTATTTATATTGAGTTTTTATATACGTCAATCTTGGACGAAGCCCCAAAAGTGTCATCCGGAATTAAGAATTGGGTCCGATCGATCAATTACGTTTAGAGTCTTGGCGTAGTACTCGTTCATCCCGGATGACAGTTATGCAGATTATGCTCTACTCGATCGGTTATACTTGATATGCTCATCGTCATCATATGCTATGTCATTGGTCCTACTCTTTGAATTTCAATTATGTCTACTTTTGATCTTGAAGTCTAATTGAACGATGATGTCACAGAACGACTGGCGACTGGATCGCCTGAATTTACTACTAGAAGTATGGCTTTACAAGAACCCCCATTATGCCAGCAGTGTAGACAGCTTGTGAAGTATGCCTAGTACACTTATATTGAAGTAATTCCGGATTAATAACTGAGGTATTGAGTGCATTTCTAATCAATTCTCCCACGTTCTCTAGATTGTTCTTTGGATACGAAGCCAGACAAGCTTAACTCCAAACTCCGCTTTTTATCCATATCCCCGGATGGCGCTAAGCCATTTTGGGACTTAGCGCCTGTCAGCACTTTGTTGCAGAAACTCCTGCCTCAGGATCTTAGGCATCAATTTGGATCGGGGGCAATTTATCACCCGGTTTTATTGTGGCTTCCCTCTCCTTAACTCCTTGAACTGGAGAGTTTATTCCCCCGGATCACCCTGGGTGAATTATCCGACAATCTAAGAATGCTAGGACCCACTGATCTATCGGATTCCGAGTCCTCCCGTATCTGAGTCTGACGGGTCGGGCCTGTTGGGAATATTCCAGGAGAGTTCATCTTTAGAGTGGGGTTTGATGGTTTATACTCTAATAATCCTGTGATTTGGCTTAGGTGTTCGGATAGTAACATACTGTATAAGATGGTTACATAGTAACCTACACATAAGATGATACATGAAGGACCCTTTTCCTCCTTCCTCCCTGCTTTCCTTTTTCCTCCACTCTCATCATCCTCCCTCCACACACCCCTGCTATAATGCCTTCACCGTCATCATGGAGCAAGGGATCATCACTTTTTACCTGACTACACACTACGCACGACCCCTTCTATTTCCCAGTAGTCAGCAAGCGGGTCTTCCAAGGCCACCAGGCCCAGACCTGCAGCCTCTAGCTCCCACGATCCTTGCATGGTGTCCTAGGCCCCGACCTGCGGCTAAGATGCGGTTTCACATTTCGCTGTTGATTTGATACGCCAGTCAACTTAGCCAAGGGCTGCATGATCGGCCCGATGATCGACTCACTAGTGTATTGACTAATAAAAGTTGATGAAGGACCACAAACTCGTCAAGATGTACGGAGTACATGTCTGCATTTCTTACTGCAGACCGCTCTTGTTCAACTCGTATGTACTCTGCCCCAGTTCATGCAGAAATGCCATGACCCCGGAATGTTGGAATATTTCCACGTACCACATGGGAAATAAAAATTCAATAGTCACGGTGCGACCGGAGAAGTCCCAGTTCTAATCCCAATCTCTAATATCCTTGGGTAGTCCTTGTCCTGCTACTCCTTGTACTTTAGTCTCCCTTGGCCAAGTCCACGTTCTGCCTGGTTGCCATCGGCAAGGTCGCCCTGGTCCCAGATGAGACCTGTACAAAGGGCCAGTTGAAATGACAATGCCAATCCTGCGCTGCCTGCACACCTGCATGGATGGGGTTTATTAGTCTACCTCTGCCCAACAACTTGTTTTGTTTGTGTTCAATTCCTTCTTTTCTTTCCCTTCCCCCTTCGTATCCCCCACTATTGTCTATACCCTAATACTCGGTTTGTTGGGCCATGTTCTCCCGACTCCGTGCAAATTTGCCTATAATGTCTACATTCTTTAATTCTCCTAAAGATGCGGCCAATGAGGAGCCAGCTGATCTGAATAAGGATAACACTGCGACTACTGCTTCCCCCACTCTCGCTACTCATAATGCATTGCCATCCGATACAGATGCCCTATCCCGAGAAAGGTCTTCGAAACCATCCAGCGAGAAAGAGAGCACCCTTGTCGATGAGCCAATTCGGAATTCAACCGCGGCCGATGATACCAACAAAGAGATGACCACAGCTATTGAGGACTCGAATAAAGAGTCTGTTCCGAAGAACGATACCGAAAAAGAAGCCGCCAAGGACGAGGAAAGAAGTGGGAGTGATGACGAGGCAGATCAAGCAAAAGAGCCCGAGCAAGAATACCCAACAGCCTTCAGACTTCTCCTCATTACCATTGCATTGTGTCTCTGCGTCTTCTGCGTGGCATTGGTATGTCACCTATTAGCAATCTCGAACATGATGAGTCTTGGCCGCAGTCGCTTACAATATCTTGAAACCGTTTCTATAGGACAATACAATCATTGCAACCGCCATCCCCAAAATCACTGATCAATTCAACTCCCTCGACGATGTCGGTTGGTATGGAAGCGCCTACTTGCTCACTACTTGCTCCGTCACCTTGATGTTCGGCAAATTCTATACCTTCTACTCTATCAAATGGATCTACCTCCTCGCGCTCTCCATCTTCGAGGTTGGTTCGTTGCTCTGCGCCGTCACGCCCAACTCGGTCGGTCTTATTTGCGGTCGTGCCATTGCTGGTCTGGGTGCTGCGGGCTTGTTCTCGGGGTCTATCTTAATTATCACACAGAGTGTTCCCTTGGATAAGAGGCCTATGTATACGGGTCTTGTGGGTTCGATGTTTGGCATTGCCAGTGTTGCTGGTCCACTGTTCGTTTCTACCTTCTTTTTTGCATTGCCTTGTTCCCTTGAAGGAGATCCTTACTGACCCGAACTATAGCATGGGAGGCGCTTTCACGGATCGGCTTACCTGGCGCTGGTGCTTCTACATCAACCTGCCCATCGGCGCCGTCACTTTCTTTTTCATCCTCTTCTTCTTCAAGAATCCCAAGTCTCTCAAGACCGCGAAGGGATGGAAGGAGCAATTAGCTGAGATCGATCTCATCGGCTCGTTCTTCTTCTTGCCTGCGATTATCAGCCTGCTGCTTGCTCTGCAGTGGGGTGGTACCAAGTATCCCTGGAGCGATGGACGCATCATTGCTCTCTTCGTTGTCTTTGGCGTGTTGATTATCATTTTTATCGGTGTACAGTGGTGGGGTCAGGAGCGTGCCACTGTACCTCCCAGACTAATTAAGAATCGCAATGTCTGGGGTTCGGCTTGGTATGCACTGGCTATCGGTGCGGCGTACTTTGTCCTGGTTTACTATGTCAGTGCCCCTCTCTCCTATAGTCACATCTTGCCTGGCTGCTAACGATAATCAGCTTCCCATCTGGTTCCAAGCTATCAAGGGTGCCTCGGCCGTAAAGTCGGGTATCATGAACCTCCCCATGATCATCGCCGTCGTGCTCGTATCGATTTTAGCTGGCGGTTTCGTCACAGCCTGTGGCTACTACACACCCTTTATGATCGCTTCTTCTATCATCATGACCATCGGTGCTGGCCTACTCTCCACCCTCGAGGTTAACTCGGGTCACCCCAAGTGGATCGGCTACCAGGCACTCTTCGGCATCGGTCTAGGTCTAGGCATGCAACAACCCATGATCGTGGCGCAAACTGCCCTCAGTGCCGGTGATGTCCCCAGCGGTACTGCTATCGTGATGTTCGCTCAGACCCTGGGTGGATCGATCTTCATCTCCGTCGCTCAGAATATCTTCCAGAACCAGCTCTTCCAAAATATTCGTGCAGACGCGCCAACTGCCAATGCTGCCGAGCTTGTGGCAGCTGGTGCGACGATGCTCCGTAATGTCGTTTCGGGGCCCGTTCTGGAGCGTGTCTTGGTTGCTTACAATGATGCCATCACACAGACGTTCTATGTGGCTGTTGCCATGGGTGCTTTGTCACTCATTGGACCTATCTTTGTGGAGTGGCTTTCCGTCAAGGGGAAGAAGGTTGAAATGGCTGCGGTTTGAAGGCTTGAGTTCCGGGTACTTTACAGCAAAAGTCTCTCCTTGATTCTTCCACTATCTCTGATTCGGTCTTCTTGCATATTGTTTTCATTGTTGGTGGCTATGCAGAGGGATCTGCGAGATCATTGGCTCGGATAGTCTAATTCAGCATGGCTCTATACACCTAGGTGCTTTCGAGTAAATACAATCTAATGAGTATTTGCGGAGGGAATCTGGCCTTCAAGTAGATTGACGGTGAATGTTATTTTAACAGTGTGGTCATGCATATTTGCTTGTTCTATGCCTCGCCTGGATTAAGATGATAGAGAACGCCGTATAGCAGACAATGAACAATTGAGAAGAAAAAAGAGACCATTGAACCAAAATGCCGCTTAAACCACCGCGTACAGACTGAGATAAACTCCCCAAATCACCCCACAGGCGCTGCCGAAGACGACGCGCCGGTCGACAGGGATGACTGTGTACATCAAGGTCGAGACCACAGGGCGATACTTTAGACGGGCAATCATGATGGGACGAAAATCCTAGAAGTAACAATTAGCATCGTGTCACAAGACATTTTCGAAGACAACCTCCGTATCTGCACAAGATCCAGAGATCAACGGAGAAAAGAAGAAAAATATACCACAAGAACCAACTCCCACACCTTCCCCAGACTCTCCCCCTTCAAAAAATTAATCAAAACCACAAAAAGCACAATATTCATTGCCCCCGCCACAGTCAAATCAAACAGAATCTTCATCACAAAGCTATGCAGTCCCGAACGCTGCGCCCTAGGCGCCCATCGAGTCTCCTGCTGCTTCTCCTTTTCGCGATGCCGAGGGAGACCCGTAGTATCATCGCTGACACTCGGCGTAGCCTCGGTAGAAATAGCAGATGAGAAAAATGAACGAAAAGCAGAGAAGGAGCAAAGAGAGCGCCAGAAGCGGAGGAAATTTGAGAACTCGGCTCGTGAGGGAAATCCTGGGTAGCGCGTCTCTAGGGCGCGTTGCCAGTAGAAATTGATTGGCACGATTAGGATGCCATATGTGACGAATTGAAGCAGAGCGAGTGTGTTGAGTGTGAATGGAGTCTGGTAGAATGTTAGGTATTTGATACTGGCTTTTCTTGTATATTTTTGGGAGATATTGTAGGGGGATTCTCTTGCTTACGGTGTTTTTGCGCTGGTCGATTAGCTGGGCCAGGAGGTTGGAAATGGCATTTAGGACGGTCGATTGCGCGAACGTCACAACTAAGGCGGAGGGCATACTCGCAGTACGGGGGCCATGAAGGTAAAAGTGCCCAGTTTTCTCAATCGTCTCTGATATTGTCTCCACTGGGTGTTTTTTGGGGCTTGTTTTTGAAGGGGGCGTTTTTTTGGCGTTAGGGAGATTGCCAAGAACGCGCAACCGTGTCCTATCGTCCGAATCGTCTTGTCCAGTCGAGACTCTCGACACAACAGACTTCTACTGTTATTTTTGTACATTTACATTCAACTGCATTCAGTGAGAAATAAAGTTGATCTCATTCTATGTCATTATGGCTCATTTGCTAATTGCTTGCATCTCATATCATAATCTGTTGGGAGATCCCCATTTTAATTCACTGGCAACACTTTTTGAAACTCCACGTTAGGCCCATCTTTCGCGCTGGTGAAGTGGTCTACCAGTGCCAAATGGCCCTTCGAATCTTCGCCCTGGCGATCAGCCAGCGACATGTCAAAGAGGAAGATCAACCGAGCTAATGTCAGACGCATCTCCATGAATGCCATGCTCTTGCCAATGCATCCGCGTGGTCCAATGCTGAACGGGCAGAATGCACGGCGCGCCGTCTCGATGTCTTCTCTTGTACTCGTCCAAGAGACGCCCGAGGCTTTGCAGGTTGCACCTTCGATCCAGCGCTCCGGGATGTAGGTCTCCGGTTCGCGGTAGTACTGCGCCTGTCGGTGGATTGAGTAGGTTGGTGTACCGCAGTCGGTGCCTGCGGGGAGGAAGACTCCGTCTACGACAGCACCGCCTTGCATGACTTCACGGGGTGGTGCACCCGGCACGGCGGGAGCAAGACGGAGGGCCTCGTCGATGCAGGCCTTGAGGAAAACCAGTTCGTTGAGTTGGCTACCGCTGATGATGTCCTCGACGGCAGAAAAGGCGCCACGAACCTCCTTGGTCAGCTTGGCCAGGGTTTCCGGGGAGCGGACCAAGTAGAAGAGTGTGGCTGCCAGAGTGGTCGAGGTGGTGTCACTACCAGCAATCATGAGGACGTTGGCTTCTCCCCAGAGCTCGGGGGTGCTGAGACCCTTGCCGGTTTCCGGGTCCTTCGCGTTCAACAGGTAGTAAAAGAAGTCCTTCTTGGCCTCGCGTCCAGCCATGGCACGCTCCTGGGCACGCTTGTTTGCCTCCACGCGCGAGTTCATGATGAAGTTCCAACGGTCCTGGGTAAGCCTGCGAATGAAGATCTGGTCGAGATGCCAGCGGTCCAAGGGCATCCAGAGTCCACACTGAGGGTCATTCATTAGCAAAAATGACAAAGATCGTTGTCATATGAAGCTACAAACTTACAACATAGTGTCGATTCGCAGCACGATCCACCAACCCGATCATATGTCTGCGACCCTCGGCGACAAGCATGTCAAAGCTCTTTCCAAAGCAGAGCTCACCCATCACGTCGTAGGAGAGATAACTGAACCAATTTCCCATATTCTTCACCACACCCTTGCTATCACCACCCTCGTTGCTAGCAGTACCCGCCAACACGGCGCAAAGCTGCCGAACATGCAGCAGCATAACATCCTCCATACCCTTCAGCGCAGTCTCCGAGAAAGCCTGGCTGAGCACGCGCCTCTTACGCCCATGCATCGTCTTGTCGATCGCATTATGCGTGTTATACACACCCTTGATGGCGGGGAACGCGTTGTAGAAATCGGCTTTTTGGAGTCTTTTGCCGTGGCCGTAGATGTCGTGGAGACCGCGGTCGGTGTTGACGGAGACAAAGTTCGGCGCGACACGGACGTGTGTGCCATACTGCTCGTGGAGCTGGTGCAGCCACAGATGGCGATCACCTTTGAGGCCGTGGTAGAGTTGCACCCATGGTGTCACGGAGGCCCAGAAGGGGCCGGGGATGCGGCGGAGTGGGTGGACGAGGCGGTTGTAGAGTACGTAGGCGATGGTCTATTCCTGTGGTTAGAGATTGATTCACAAAAAACTCGCTTTGCTAGCAGAAGTGCTGCATATTTGGCAAGGATTGGGAATGATCAAAGACATACCAACACTCCGACCACGCCGAATACATCCACGGCCAACCTCTCCAGGGTCATTTGCTTCAGCACCGGTTCAACGAACATCGTGAGAATTGGCACTGGTCACTGCATCCAGTCAAGGTTAGGCTATATATTTTGCTTCTCCCTTTCCCACCTCAATTCCCAGCAGGTTTGGGTTATATACTTTCCGACATTCCCAAATGCGTTTCCACCGAAGATACCCGCGCCCAGCCGCGGTTGTGGCCGAGTTGATGACGAGAGATCCACCACGGGCAGCGTTGGTCACCTGGCAAGCTTCGTTCTGGATCAATCGAAAGCGGCTGATTAGGGAGTGGCGGCTACGTCCGGGTATTTGTAGCCTTTGTGTTTCCTGTTGAGGTGGTGGTGAGAGATGAGGTGTATAATTCTGGTGACTTCATTGTGAGGTGAAAGGTGAAAGTGGGAGGAGTAGAGGAGTCCCCACGGGGTCAAATTCTCGGGATGCGGCCGAGTTATGCTTATTTCGGAGGATTTTGTGGGGGACAAATTCAAGCAACACGAGGACACATGCTATAGGAGAAGAAATATTGGGCATTGAGAAGAGTCTTTCATGTAACGGTCGTATAGTTTCTATGGTCTATGAATCTTAAGCTCTAGCTATTGGGCTTGAGAGGATAGCGTACTATTGCAGCACAACACAATGAAACAGCCAAGAACCTCCCTCGTTTTCAACCCACCTGCCCCTCGGTGGATCCTCGGATTTCGAGGGCTTCTTCTTGGGAGTATACCCGCCAGTACCCGAAGTCTTTGATATTTCGTCCTTTATCCGCTCCTCCACGGTGGAACACGGCCGAGACGAGGGGCAGATGCAACTGCCTCGAAGGGTAATGATGAAGACGGAATGTCTCTCGATAGGACAAGCCGACAGGGTGAAAAAGAACCAGTCAGCAGGTATAGGGTTCCAGATGAGGAAGGATTAGGGTCTTCCTCCGTCGGGACGACTGGAGAGCACCAAAATAGGACTGGAGCTAGGGCCGTAGTGCTTATCCAGCCATGTCCAGTCGTGCAACGCTCGTCCACGAATCAGAGCTCAAACTCAGAAGATTGTCAAACTCAACGTATCGGATCAAACTGTCTCGTCGTGCCCATGCAACCCACCATCCAAGATCCACTGCTCGTTATCTTCATTGTCATCCTGCACACGACGCCACGTTTGCTTCCGCTCTCCCCGCTCTCCAGCTTCGGTACCTTTGCCCTCGGGAGCACGCCAAACCGGACGCATCAGTCCTCCTGCTGCAAGGAGTGGATTGTGACTGAATGCATGTCCTTTTGATGATGCTTGCTCGGGTTCGACAACGTCTTCAGGCTCGGGCTCACTAACCACCGGGGTAGATTCGACGGTCGCAGATTGGTATACTCTTCGGACCTTGCCGCCCTTGATATCTAGACTCATAACAGTCTTCTTCTTTTCCCATTCTGGACGTGCCTTCTCCTCGATTTCTCTTTGGATACGCTGCTGCTTTTTCAAGGCAAGCGCTCGCTGCGCAGGACTCATCCATAGTGTTGAAGCCACGTTGGGAGTCTCAAAGTCAGCGGCTTCGTCCACCACCTTAGTTCGACGAGCATTTTGGGCTTGGAACTGGAGGAGCTTATCACGGTGAGCCCTTGCGGCATCCAACTTGCTCGAAGGGGCCGGTCCGGAGCCCGTTGGTTTTGGGCCCCCTTCGTGATGGACACTTTCATTATGAGCGCGCATCTTTTCTTGTCCACGCTCCGCACGCAGCTCCTTGATCATACCCTGGATCTCCTCTGCAGAGAGAAGGGGAGTACCACAGAATGAGCAGGGCTGGAGTCCTTCTAGTGAACAGATAATCTTGCCGCAATTAACACAGTTGGGCGCGGGGTCAAATAGTGGGTGAATAGTAGCATAACAATTGCATTTGCGCTTCTCTGAACCCAGGCTCGGGTTAGTTGAGACCTCCAGCATGGCAATCGCGGCCGTCAGATCGGAGATATTGTTGGTGGTCAGCGATCCGCCTGACTTTGAGGAGCTCCCTGAATTACCACCACCCCCTCCTCCCGCTTGGCGACTCGGTTTGCTTGTTTTGGATCGCACATTTGGTAGCAGATCCGACAGGACAGGTCCCGATGCAGACGGAGGCGCTTTCGGGGGAGCCGCGGGTTTTGGCGAATGAGCACGAGAAGAAGCGGAGGATCCGGGGGCAGAAAGCCCTGATACATGTGCTGTAGGCTTGCTGGCAGACATGTAGTCCTCTCCCTGCTGGGACTTCATGTAGCCTCCGCCCACATCACCATAGTTCTCGGGGCGGCGTGGGGGACCAGCACTGTGCAAGGGCTTCTTCTCTTTTTTACTTCTTCCCTTCGGTCGGTCTGGGGTATTTGTAGCTGCTGCCGTATAGCTCTGAGCGGATGAGGTTGCGGGGGACCCGTCATTGCGACGCGCATTGAAGGAGGTGATAAATTCGAGGGCTGCGGGGGAGTCGCCGAGGAGGTTTTTCAGGTGATCGGCGCAGGCATCTTTGGAGAGGGTGGCTGAATAGTCGATGATTTGCTTCAGCGACTCCTCATCGAGAGGAATCAGCTGGCTGAGCCGAGGAAGAGCCCAGGCTGAGAGGTCTGGCATGGTTATTATGATGTTGCGAGGTCTGTGAGAAGCAAGAAGTGCTGTAAGTCGAGGTTAAGCAGTGCGGAAGTGGCGAGGTGCGGAGCTCCCCACATTGGGAACTATGAACTATGCCCGATCGATACCCCGACATCTGAGTTCGAATTGAGGCTCAGTCGAGGCTAGTAATATCTATCGACCTGAGCTCTTGATGGACTACGAATCGTCAAAATTCGAGTCAAATGCAGTATTATTCGCTTCATCTCGAAAATGGTGGGGTTTGCGGACAGTTGTCCCTTAACGCTCTAGAGTAGCTCCAACATGGTATGCCCTGAGCAATACATAGATTGCTGGTTAACTGTGGCACCAATTCCAGAACGATAATATCCTGATGGCAATTAAACACAGTAGATGAAAAAGCCAACTCGCAAGATAATTATTGCAAATGGAGTAGAACAGCTTGTGCGAGCCAAACAGAACATGGGTGGTAGCTAAAGGAAAAGCCAAAGAACCCCTAAGCAAGGCGGACCACGTAGAGCAGGAGATATAAAAGTCCCAAAACAAAGAGACAGAACAGAATGAAAGTCACGATGAGTATCAGATCCGTCAACCCTAATCCATTGCCAGTCTCGTGACTCTTTGGTTGGATAAAATCGTTCCTGGGATTATCGCCGATTCGCAAGATCAAGGCCATATCCTGCTTCCTCATAGATGCTTTCACCTCTGCTTGCTTGGCAGTTCCCTGAAAACTTTCCAACTCTCCGTCTGTCAGGTCAAACCCCCTTGCATTTGTACAACACAAACACATTCAAAGGCGCAGTGGCTGGTGCCGCGCTGGTTCTGGGATGTCGATCGTCGCGATTCACAACATGAACAGCCTCGACCACAGCATCCACCAAGTCCTGCACATTTCTCCCGAAGCACAGGATGCATGTTCCACTTGGGATTCGATCGCCAAAATTCAAAGCCTCTCGTAACGGGCGAGTAGGGTAAGCATGCCTTGATAATCCACCATCGACGACACTCCATCTAGTGCTTCTTTTCCAAATCTTTGATCATAGCCACCGTATGGTCATGATCCTTTCCTTTCCACAGGGAGCTCCCTTAGTTTAGCAACATATTGTAACTGACACTGATGGAGTCTATCGATCTCAAACTCGGTCTCGACTAGCTGATCGAGGCCCTCAGGGATAGGGAACAATGATCGATATTTCTGCAGGGAAGTAGTGGCTCCGAGAGTCTCCAAGACGGCCTCGACGTAGTAGGAAATATCAAGCATAATGCCGGGCTAGGATAGACCCAGCTTTGTGTTGAATGATGATTGAGTGATTGCAGAACAGAGATACCTATGGGAGGAAGAAGGTCGGGCATGTGTACTGGGAATGGCCCATGGATCTGACGTAGACATAGGTATGAAGTCAAATAATTCTTCATTGATATTAGTAGAAGATCAACTTGACTTAATTAAGCTTAACCATACACGCGGGCTCCCATTCTAGGTTGCGGAGGCGGTTCGTCGATGGATGTATGGTCTCCAAGGATCTTCAATTTTGGGATGATTGGGAAGATGGTACCGGGCACGCAAACCATATTCAAAGCTGCACCTACATTACCGGATGCTTTCTTAATCTGATTCCTTCTGGGTTATTTCGATGTAGAAGACTGCCCTGTTAGGCAGTCGTAAAAAATAAAATCAATATGAAATCGAGGGAGCCACTTCCATGTTCAAATCCAGTGCCTCTTTCGAATATCACAGAAAGAAATATTGTCGTGTTGAAGCAAGACAAGGCATGCCGATGGCCAACTTGGCTGCACGCCTGCCTATCAATATCACAGGCGTCGGAAAACATCAGTGAATGATCACATTAAAACGGAAAGAAATGCCGTGTCATGGCCCCAGTGTATGGTATGAAGTAATGTACAATCCTATCCCACCCTCATCATCATCGTCATCTATGCAAATTCTTGTATGGTCGGACCAGACCCGGAGACGCCATGAGCACATCGAAACCAGGAACAAAAATCAAACGCCGGAAACTCCCAGGGAAAAAACAAAAGCAAGTATCACATAAGATACAGAACCTCGAGAAAAGAAGGGTTCACCATAGCAACCCTCTTCAGTCTGCGTTTTCGCTCTTAGCATCGTCGTCATTATCCTCCACCGTAAATGAGTTCTTGAGCTTGCTTGGTCCAGGCTTCGTGCTGGAGGCCTTCTTGGACACATTCAGCTTCTTCTTTTTCGTTGGGCTAGGACTACCCTCGTCATCTTCGTGAGGACGCTTGGGGGCCGATGAGGTCGGGCTGCTGGCACCACTGGCGCCACTGTCGGTGGGTGTCTTATTACGAGTACTACTGCCACGGCCGGAGATGTTCATGCAACGGTCCAGGTGCTGGGCCACTCGGTTCATGACAAAATAGCGCGGGCAGATGGGACACTTGCTGGTCGGGACTTCAGGGACAGTGCTGTCCTTGTCGGACTTCTTCTTTTTCGGGTTCGGCATCACGGCGAACATTTTCCCGTGGACATCGTGGCCGGGCAGTGTGATCAATGGTCCGTTTTGGCAGTATTCGGCATTCGGATCCGGAGGAGGTCGGTAACCTGCACCGACTGGGGGATATGAGAGGCGTGGGAGACGACAGTCCGGGCAGATGATTTCCTTGACGGTATGCATGGGATTCCCCTTCAGGAAGACTTTCCCGCGGTCGAAGGTAGCCGCATCGGTCTCGAGGTGCGTGTTTGCCAGCTTGGCCTCATCGATGATAACTTCTTTTGTTTTTCCGTCGACGGGTACTGACTTGCTGGGAGTTTCATCCGGAACAGTTGCCTCGTCCTCTGCTTTCTGGCGAGCGACAACCACCGCGGAGCGCATTCGCGCCACCTTTTCCTCGCGGTGGACCTTGGCGACGAGGTCATGGATGATGTTATGGAAGGTCTCGTTCAGTATGTCGGTCGACTATATTATATTGGGTTAGAGTCCCGTCCCTGATTTGAGGCCCTGTAGAGCGTCCCATCCGGTCACATACCACTTTGGCAATTGTTCCGGCAGGATAGGTCGGCCTGCGGCTCGCGGTATTGGAGTCGGCCATTGTTGGATTCGTCCCGAGATGTCGTATCTCGAGTGCAGTCGTTGCTGAATGACCGAAAGCTGAGAGCTGTACCTGCCGGCGACACAGTTCGGAACCCTTTTCGCGCCGCGGGTCACGGTCTAGTTCTCCATGCGCCGGAAATCTATACAGGAGATGCTAATCGAAGCAGCGAGGTCGGAGTCGGTCCGAGGTATCGCGGGGTACCAAGCATAAGTAGGGGAGACTGAAAAGGCAAACGAGTTGGCAAAAAGAACGGCGTTGGATGTAATACCCTAGTGTCTCGAAGGTTCGGTTAGCTGAGGTTGCAAGAGCCTCGGGGATGCCGTGTGAATGGGCCGATCAACGTGGTCGAAAGGGGAACGCGGCCGGATGAATCGAGGGAGACAAGAAACCCTCGCCCGGACCGGACTAATTCACGACAAACAAAATCAAGTAACTCACCGATTGAAGAGCCTACTGGCTGATCCAGCGTCGGAGGGAAGGAGATGAGGCGGACGGGCACTGATGAGGCTGGCAGGTTGTTCTCAACGGGGCTTATCTTATCGCATCTCCGCATTCGCCCTCACTCATCTTCTTGTTCCTGTCCCTCTCGAGAGCCTCCCAAATGGCCTACCAATTCTTTGCCAAAAGTCCTGCGCGGCCGTCAAATCCGCCTGTATCTCCTCCTCCAGCTCGACTGGCTCAGCCCCCTATTCACCCGCTTCCACCCCAGCCGCCGCGGTCTGCTGCCGTGAGTCCTCGACCGACCGCGAATGCCGTCAGCCAGGAGCCGTTTACGCCTTACCGGGGAGATCTTTCCGCGAGCTATGCGACTCCTCACCCGCATATTACGGTAGAAACCATTCGCACGGCTCATATCCCGTCCTTGACGAGGATTACAGGCTTGTTGCTGCCTATTCGCTACCCAAACTCGTTCTACACGAACACCATCACAGATCCTATCGTCGCGTCTCTGTCACGCGTCGCGATCTACCATGACCACCCGGTTGCTGCTGCGCCAAACCCCAACGCCTCATCAGGATCAGACAAAGTGATTGGGGGTATTCGGTGTCGCCTGGAGAGACTGGATTCGGACCGAGAGGCTCAAGGCCGTGTTGCGACGAACCTTTACATCCAAACCCTCCATCTTCTATCTCCTTACCGTGGCCATGGCGTGGCTGCCTCTCTATTGAACTCGCTCATTTGTGCATCATCCCCGGATTCAAAGGGAAAATCCCGAGTATCCGAGATCGTTAAGCACTACAATATCCGCTCCGTGACCGCGCATGTCCACGAAGCCAACGAAGATGGCTTGAGGTGGTATATTGCCCGTGGGTTCAAGGTGCAGGAAGGAGTTGTGGAGGGATACTACCGCAAATTACAGCCTTCGGGGGCGAAGATCGTGCGACTAGATGTACAATGGGATGAGGAGGCAGATGTTACTAGTCCAATCAATGGGAAGAATAATGCTTCCCAGAATACAGTCCGAAGTGACCCTGATGATGAAGAGTGGGAGAAGGTTGAGGTTGAAGATGACGAAGATTATGATCACGGTGTTCAGCTACTAGGCGAGTCTAGAGTTCTGGATAAGGACGAGATGACACCCTCGAGAAAGCGCAAGGCCGAGGAGGAGAGCGGAAACAAGCCTCAACGGAGGTAGTATGTGCATTTGTTGCAGCGACTTGCATGTTATGCTGTTTTTAATTCCTTTGGATACCCTGTGCAGCATGGAGAGTCTTTATCTATTCATGTAATGCAAGCACGCAGCCTTTTTGATAGATGAGTAGATATGAGTTTAAGACTTGAATGAACTGGAGTCATTCTGACAATGATGGGTATATGTGCTTCATTGAGGTATAATAATTACAGGTAATGATAGAGCATGCATTCATCAAACAAAAGATTTTGCTCAACGCCAAGGGTATCCACTAAACAAAGGCGTAGCAGGTGTGGTAAAGTGCTAGATTAGATGTTATAGTTCTCCGCATGCAAGAAGATCTCATCTCTGGATGAATCCGTCATGACTTGCTGCTGGAGCTTAGCCACAGTATTGGCTACTTCAACTCGCATACTAGGCGGCCCGCAAACAAAGACACACGCTCGCCGTCCAAAGCTCTTCGAGAATTCAGTGAGCATCGTCGAGATGTCGGGGCGGAAGTAGTCTGTCCGCCAATTGTCTCGCCTTAGACCGGGTTGGAAGTAAGCAAAGCGCGGCGTCTGTTGCGCCATTTGTCTTTGCTGCATGGCGTGAGGATTGCCAAATCCAAAGTCGAACGGAACATTGTTATTATACCCTTGAGACCCGACTGCAGCATGCGGGTCCATTCCGGGCTGATAATAGTGGCGGTTATTAGCGACATGAGAGGCAGTGTATGCTCCAGGTAACGCGGCAAGTCCGTCTTCGTTCTCGCGACGTAGTTCCTTTTCTATCTCGACGTCACCAGCGGCTTCTTCGCGGATGTATGCAGAGTTTCGCTTGTCGATGCCTTGTAGCATCCCGTAGATCTTCTCTTGAACGATATCTCGGTCGACTTGCTCATCTTTAACGCCGGTCAGGAAGAAGTGACAATGCAGAATACCAGCAGGCGCGTGATCTTTGCAGATTCGAAGCTCTTCTTGGAACCACTCCATGGTTTCAGGGTTCTTGAGTGCCCAAATGACCTTGACCGATTTGGTAATAGCCTTGCCATCCCGAATCTTCTTGATGAGGTCCAGAAGCTGACTGGCAATTGCGGTAATTCCACTGCCGCCAGCGAAGAAAATCACGTCGTCAAAAGCGGCCATCTCACGCTGCATGCCGCCATATGGCCCTTCCAAAAAGGCCGTGTACGTTCGGAAGGGGCCATTTTCTACGGCTTTGCGTAATACTTTCCGTGTAAATCCACGGAAAGGTCGGAAGACAAGAGTGCAATCTCGGTATTCCTCGCCGTACTCAGACGGGAAATCATCACTGCACAATGATGCAATGGTGAATGGGTGGCTCTCGAAGAAGGCGATCCTCGGCATGCGTAAGTAGACATACTGGCCAGGGCGCCAGCGCATCTGTGTAGGAATGGTCACCTTGATAGCTCCCTGGGGAAGCAATGTTATCGCGGATTCTTCTCCAATCATAAACGATGCCAGGCGGAACGGATTCGTCCAGTTCAGATAGAATAGTCGGATGATGTACGTGACGACCAAGATCACGACAGTTGCCCAGAGATAACCCCATGATGATAGGAAGTTCTTGGTATGCCAAAACAGCATGGCGATAAAAATCCAAGAGACAGGAATGTGGATGAAGACGAAGAGCTCGTACAGTTTATGCCGGAAGTATGGAAGCGAGTGAACGCACAGGACGAGTAAAGGCACCATAGCCGCCAATCCTGTACCGTATACGTAAATGGGCAGCGTGATAAATTTGCTATAGTTGATCATCGCTCCGTCCTCCCAGATCGGCGTGATATAGAAGGGTATCATATGCACGAGGCTCAAGAATAGGCAAATATAGGCGGACCATCGGTGCAGTCCATTCAATCGCTCCGGGCCTAACCCGGTGAACATGGAGATGAAGTTGGCTTTTGTGCTAAGTGCCACAATCCATGGGACCATGGCGACGGCGAGCATGCCTGCTCGAATCGCCAAGGGCGGGGATCCGAGAGCAATCGACCAGTAGTACAATGGCTGAGGCAGGAAGCAGTACAGAGCCACGAAGATCAAGGCTGCCAGCACGATGACCGTGACTGCTAGCGATGGAAAGACAAATGCCAGACTCCCGACCCTGACAACCGGAATTGGTCGATAGAATACCCAGCGCATCAGTGCGATGATTCTTTGCAGCGGAATCGCTCTTTGGATCAAGGATTCTCCGCGCTTAATCTGAGCTTTTGGGGTTGGCATTGGGAAGAAATGCGCGCTCGAAGCGTCCGTGCCAGCACTGGGGAGTTCGTACTCGTCCGGGGTCGATACACTGTTCGGAGACCCGGTGAACACCAATGACTGCTGTTCCTTGAACTTGGCAATTCGGATCTTGTCACCCCAGATTTGATAGAATCGAATTAGGGAAGTGGTGACCAGCAGCACGACCGCAAAGTAGATGAAGCCGTAGCCATATTTCGCTGATTGCGACCACGGGTCTCGATTCATCTCCGCCAGCTCCTTATCAGTCGTCGATGCCGACACGACGACATTGACGCGCTTTGCGAGGGATTTGAGAGTATCCATGGTGAGTCTGGTATAAAGTGTCTGTTGGATTAGAGGGTTGTTACAGCTCGATCGCTGTAGATCGCAACCTGCGCGACTAATTATAATTGTAAGCCCCAGTGATTCTTCCATCTTAGCGAATGGTAAAGCGGAAATCTTACCCTGACTGTGTGTACTCTCAAATTATCGCGAGCAGGCAAAATCACTCCCTTCCAAAAGTCTATCGCTGCGCCAAGTTCATGTCATCGCAGGAGGTTGGGTAGACAGAGGCACCAAATGGGGTCGCAAAACGGATTGGCAACTTCGAGGGGCGATCTCAACTTCATGTATGAGAGCCACGAAGCGGGGGTTACACAAATAGCACCGGTTTCTCTCTGCGTGACGAGAAGAAGCCCAGTGCATCGACAAGTCCTGTAGGACTCGTCGCCGGGCCAATGGCAGGCGGCCGGTGCATAGCGAGTCATGGGCCGAATAAACGGTGGCTCTCTGGGCGTCTCGCCGGAGTGCAGTTCTGTACATTCTTAGTGAGATGTGATGGATTAGCGCTGGGATAGCCAATCAGACCCAGTCGACGGAGGTGATTCGAATAATGCAAAGTGACCCGACCGCATTAGCGTGGCGGGGATGCCCCAATCGGCAGCCGACTTGAAAGCTCGATAGTTTATCGCTCACAGAGCAAACAGGTGGCACTTGATGATGCTGTTATTTATGTACTATAGCAAGCTGTCAGTTCACTTATTTTCAATATTCAATGGGCGCTTCCATGAAGCTCGATCATAGCTCTCATGGTTCACCCTCATGCAGCGAAGCCATCACATTGGAGCCACGTTCGGCTATCTCAACCGAAGCACTGTTGGTGACGTGCATATCCGATCAAAGTTTGAACGTGGTCGAGGTACGGTAAGATTGTGTGATGGGATGCAGCTTCTAATAATATCCAAGTCACACACGGGGGGTATAGGCTAAAGCGCAGAAAGCATATCTACAAATAGAAGATCCGGAAATTAAAGCTCCGAATATACTTCATATAGGAATAGAAGTCGAGGAAGGCAATATTCAGCGACAGTTTCAAACCTAAGAAAGGACTCATGCAGAGCAACGTACCTTTTTCCTAGGATTTTTGGTTGAATAGTAGATCTCATTCTCACTGGTTGGGCCTTTGAGATGCTACAAGTGTTAAAACACACAGTTACAACCTGGTGGTATAGCTAGCTAAAATGACACAATTTAACCAGCAGCTGTCTTACATAGATATGATAAAACAAGGTTCGCGAGAATTTGATGGACATTCTCTTGTCATGATACTCGTTCAAGATGGCCAGTGGCACATTCGGGTGTGCTCCTACAGTACACCCTATATTTCTCGAACTGGAAGGGCAAGGACAGATGAGAAAATTAAAAATCGGCCTTAAATGAACTAGAAGCTTATCAAGAAGCTAGTCATAATTCGTTGATGATGTTTCGCTGAGAGGCGCTGGAAATTAGCCCGGGGTAGAAGGTCCACTCTGGTATGGAACTCCAGCTTTGGTATGCGCATCGAGGCAGTCTACAATATCTAGTTTAGGAAAATGCGGCAACAAACTGACGGCATGCAAGTACTTGCCTCTTGTTTCAACCTCGGACAGCTCTTGCCTTTGATGAATCTCGAGCCGGCTCCGGTTTCCGATTTCCCACAGGGCACAACAATCAACAACTGCTGTCTCCTCCCCTTGGTATGTTAAATCTTAGACAAGCACTAGCCAAGCACTAAGAGCCCCATACAACAACGACTGCGACAATGCCACTACTTCCCAGGAAGTTTGCCGAATTCGAAAGTCCAACCTCTTTGTTGATCGATCTTCTGGACCCAAGCGAGACTTTTGTGATGTGTTGCCCGAGGTGGGTCGTGTCATATGAGCGCAAACAAATGATTCTCATCGCTAACACCATTTTTCCAGCTCGATGACGGCGTATGTTGCTTAGAGATGGTATTCGACTGTTCCTGATTACAAAGTTACCGAGGGTTGCGAGCGTCTCATGCCGAGGGAAGATGTTGGTACATCAACGAAGACAGTCGTTGTCGATTAGACTACCACCGAGGAGTTTCTCACTATCACCGCGACTCATCCCCTCGCACCCAGTACAACGACATTTGATGCCAACGCCGCATCTGAACCCATTGGAGCCTCTGTGATGCCTATGTTAGCGCTGGTGTCATCAGTCGGATCTCCGTGAAACAGGATCAGGGACGACCCCACCCACACAAGCTGCTTCTACTTCCAATGCGGCTGCGAAGGTTGCTCTAAGCCCACATCAATGGGATGGTCTGGGCGTATTGCTCGGAATATCTGCTGCTGCAATCGTGTTAGGCGCTGCTGTCATAATGTCTTGGTGATAACTAGAGAGCTGGCAGCGTTTACATATCGACTGGAGAATCAGCTCCAGTCAGCCGATAGCACACCGTTGTCGTTAGATTTGTACATCAACACATGTCAAAGAAGGTACCATAATTGAAACCAAGTTCCCACCTGTGTATGTGCTTCCATTGTAATGTATTGATTCGGCAGCGAATGGGATGAGATACATAGGTGTATATTTCTCATGGTAGCCGCCGATCTAATCCTCAATCACCCCTTTATCGAGAAATTGGCTGCATGAAATTCAATTAAAGAATTCAATTCAAAATTTATTCTAGAATATCTGTATTTGCAGATTTTCTGTGTTCTCACACACTAAAAGGCTTGGGTCAAAGTCTAGTATGTACTTCGGGCCTTGGGCTGTAGATCAACACCGCCTTTGATAGGAAATAATTCTGCCGCCCAGTGCTCGCTTTTTCCTCAAGACTGTCGATCCGCGACACTCAAGACATTTGAGTACCATCAAAGCTCTTCAACATGGCCGCCCCAGCAGCAACGGCTGCTCCATCGGTTCCGCCATCTCTCTCGCTCCCGCCATCCCAATTTGCCCGTCTACAGCCTCACGCCTACCTACTTGCCCACCTGTCTCCTCCGTCGGCGAGCAACCAGCCGTCCATTCGCGCCAATGGCCGCGCACCTTCGCAATTCCGAGTCACATCTGCCAATGCGGGCTCTCTGACCCATACAAATGGCAGCGCTGTGGTGCGCATTGGCGATACCGCAGCTGTCTGCGGCGTCCGTGCGGAGCTTCTACACACCGAAGATATCGCCTCATGGAGCGTCTCCCAAGCGTCAGGTTCTAATAAGCGCCGGCGTCTGGCAGACTTGGGCGGGAAGCTAAGTGAGGAAGAAGATGACGAAGACACAGAGGAGGATCGCACCCACATTGAAGATCTCAACTTGCTCGTCCCAAATCTCTCCTTGAGCACCGGCTGTGCGCCAGGCTTCATTCCGGGTGCGGCGCCGTCTGCGCTCGCCCAGTCACTCTCCCACCAAATCCTCTCCCTTCTACACAGCACGCGCTTAGTGCGCGCGGATGACCTACGTGTCTGGTACCAACCACCCAATCTCGGGCCAGAGGAACCAGAGCGACACAACGAAGATGAACCGATGGATGTGGACGCCGAGCAGAGTGCCACTGCCGAGGAGAAGCCTCGGGAAATCAAGGCTTTCTGGGTTCTTTACATTGATATCATGATAATTTCCCTAGCGGGCAATCCCTTCGATGCTGCCTGGGCTGCTGTCCTTGCCGCTCTCCGTGATACGAAGCTTCCTAAAGCCTGGTGGGACGTCGACAATGAGACCATCGTCTGCTCAGACAGTGTCGCAGATGCTCGCAAGCTTTCTCTGCGTGGACTGCCTGTGTCAAGCTCTTTCGGCGTCTTTGAGGCGGATGCTGCGGCAGGATGGCGTGCACACGTTATTCCTGATGTTGCAGAGCAAGAGCAAAAAGGCAAGAAGGGATTCCCCGAGAGGTGGATTCTGGCGGACCCGGATGGCTACGAGGAGGGCCTTATTCAGGAGCGGGCCTCTATCGTTGTTGATAAGGAGAAAGATGGAAAGACAACCATCGTGAGGATGGAGAAGAATGGAGGCTGGACTGTGGATACCGAGGATCTTCGACAGTTGGTCGAGATCTCAGGTCGGAGATGGGATGAAATGAAACGGATACTAGACCAATGTTAATGGGCCAGAGATGAACAAAAGAATCAAAAGATACCACTATGAAGATCAATTGAAATAGAGTTTAAATTTTTCAATCATAGGATATCATACATTGTATCGTTACAAAAGTAAGCTTTCAAGCTTTGAGAAAGCTCCTAGTCATACCGGCTCAAATAGACAGTAATCAATGCATCGCCGCCTTTCTGGGGGTTCCACGTCGCTTCTTCAGTGGAGGCTCATCATCATTCCAATCACCAATGTCTGGGATAGTCACCATTGAATCTTTTTCCGTGGCAGAGCGTTCCGCAGAATCAGGACTAGCTTTTTTCTGAGTCTTTTCGGGAAAGGAAATCGAAAACGAGATCAAGTCCAGGCCGCCTTGGCCTTTCAGGTCCTTCTCCCGCTGTTTCTTGGAATCAGCTTCCTTCGACTTGTCGGTTTCGGCGTCTCCTTCGCGATTGCCGTTTTTGTCATCCAGGTCCTTGCCGTTCTCCTTCTGAGACTCCTTCGAAGCAGCATCCTTGGGCCCTGGCGTGAACAGCTTTAGATCACCGGACATGAGACGCGCAAAAAAGTTCTTCTGCTCCTGCGGAGCAGTATCATCGCTCTTCTCCTTGTCAGAACCTTCCTTCTTGTCTTCACCTTCGCCCTCTTCATCCTCCTCCTCGGCATCAGAGAAATCCCACATGATGCTAGTCTCGCCACGGAAAAAAGCCGTACCCCACAGTGAAATCAGGACGCCAGGGACCAAGTAGAGTAGTGCAGGCTGGGCATGGTTGGAGTATTGCATCGCGAGTAAGGTAGTGATCATTCCAACGACGTATCCAAAAACACTAGCTTTGAAGTACACCTTGGAGAAAGATCGCGCGTCCGAGTAGGGAGGTTTGAATTCGGGTACTTGTGGTCTCACCGCTGGGGCCCAGAACCGTTCTCCCCATGCTCCGGTCGCCCGTTGGTACTGAGGCTTGGTAGTCTTATCGCTGAGACCTTGCAGCTGCGCTTGTTGAATTCCTTTCTGGCGGTAGTAGAGGAATAGGTCAAAACGTAGTGCCAATCCAATCATCATTCCGGGGATGACAATATCTCCCAAGCCAAGCATGGCCAATGATTGAACATCTGATTCTTGACCAGGACTCGGTGGTCGAGGGAAAAGAAGCTTGATGGGAACATCTAGCTTGGTGGCAACAGTGACCATCAATGGGGTGAAGAAGACAAAGTAGATGTCATAAAAGAACAAAGATCCTAGAATCAATGAACCCGTCCAAAAGGTGGATGGTGACATAAACTGCAGAGCTCCGTAGCTGAAGCTAAAGCCCAAGAAGTTGGTCAGCCACCAAGGCTTTGTCACAAAGGCAAAGTACCCCACAGCAGCAAGAGCGAAGAGCCCACTGAGAAGGTCAAGCAGGCCCACAAAGGTTTTGACATCGAACAACCCACGAATATGAGCCCGCAGCCGTAACCGTTGGTAAAACACATGGCGAGAAGCCCAAAGCAATGCAAGGACCGGCTTTGGTACCGGGATTGCGCCAAATATTCCGGGAAGAGGCGAGTGTCGGATATGTGTCGTGACTTCTGATCTGTTCACCGATTGAGCAACGAAGATACGCTCTGACTGTTTCGCATGCCATATCTTCCCACCAGAGTGATAGCGTCTCGGGAAGACGAACGATCGGACAATCGAGAAGGTATCCCTGAGAAATGCGATGGCGAAGAACACACCCATCCACGAGAAGTAGTAGCTGAGAATCTTGTTGAGAATCGCGGGATCTTCCAGCCATTTGATCACCAGATACAAGCCTCCCAGGGTCAGACCTGCAGTCAACGGGAACATGAGAGCATCGGATGGCTCAAGCCCCTCCATTTTCTGGACTGAGCCCGACTCATCATCGGACCCGTCATCATCGGTATAATTTCCATCCTTCTCGTCGTCTTTCTTGGGAGCTTTGGCAGCAGAGGACGGTCGAGAAAGAGAGGCATGCGCGCCAATCCAGATAGGAAAGAGTGCTGCGATGAGCAAGTGTCCGTAGGTTGGTAGGAGGGGTTTCAGGCGTTCGAAATGATAGACTGCGAGCCCAAGCAGCTCCGCGAGTGGGCTGATCTCTTCAGACATGGTTCTCGGTGGCGTAAACGATGACTCAAGAGAATAGAAGAGACGGCTTCCTTAGGCCAGAAACACAAACACAGCAGAAGCAAAAAGAGCGACTTATTCCATGGTGGTCACGAGATGCAAAGCGAGGGGATGTTTGAAAGGTTGCTGGATCGGAGGTTCTCTGAGATGCCGCGCCAAGCTCCACCTTTGGGTCCCGCAGCTCTTCCACTTTCCTTCTCCTCGTCTCTCTCATCCTACTCGAGTGCTACATACTGGCCTGTTATCGATCGCGTTCCCCGAGAAAAACATTTCCAAATCCCATCATGGCAACAGACGTGGTATTCGATACTTCAATGGTAATATTTCTACGCCCTGGTTGTCTATAACCAAAAACTAACACCTTACCAGGGCTCCTTCACTGTCGAGCTCTACAACACTCATGCGCCCAAGGTTGGTAAAACTCCACATCAACAGCATGTGTTTCCTGAAACTAACAATCGAGTATCTAGACTTGCAAGAACTTCGTTACCCTTGCGCAGAGAGGCTATTACAACAACGTGATCTTCCACCGCATCATCCCCAACTTTATGGTTCAGACCGGCGATCCTACCGGCACTGGTCGAGGCGGCAGCTCTATCTACGGCGAGAAATTCGAAGACGAGATTCGCGATGACTTGAAGCATACCGGCGCAGGCATCTTGAGTATGGCAAACAGCGGTCCCAACACGAATGGTAGTCAATTCTTCGTCACACTTGCGCCAACACCCTGGTTGGATGGAAAGCACACGATCTTCGGCCGGGTCAAGAGCGGCATGCGCGTGATTCAACGTATGGGCCTGGTCAAGACAAACGGCGAGGATCGGCCCATGGATGAAGTCAAGATCATCCGGGCTCGGGTCGTGGAAGAGGGAGCTGAGGTGTGAACACCGGAAGGTCTATGCTGCTCCAATGCCGCTCAACGCAGGGATAGCTCTGCTATAGAGCTTCCTTTCTGGCAGCCACGAACACTTATCCACCCTGCAACGAGGCTTCAGGCAGTTGCCATTACGCACAAGAAACTCGAACTGTGTGGCAGCTAGCGCACCAGACACATGTCAAGCTTGGTAGGCTCGGCAATGTCCTTGCTCGTGCCCATTAAGTATGGCACCGGGACTTGCGCCCATCTACGAAGCTACGAGATCAATCATATCGGGAGAGCGAACTCCTTCAACCCAAAATAATAGACGAATGAATGAATGTATCACTACAAAACGAACCGCTTCTGTCAAATGTCTCCATCCAGAGCAGCAGATACAGAGTGAAATCTAATCTGCCACCCCCACGACGAGCACCAGTGAAGGTATTCGACATGCAGCCCGGGATTGTCATGTTAAGGCAGCCGGGCTGTGCAAAGCACTGGGAGTGGCATAAGAGGAAAGAAAGACTGTGCTCGCAGGAATTTTCATTTTAAAGTGGGAGCCCATCAGTGTGCTGAGTAATCATGGTCACGTGGCTGTCGTATAGATCAGCCTCAAGCTGACAACTTGGTGAATGAGTCAATAACTAAGCTTTGCAATCAGATAGTGGACATTTGAGGCTAAGACCAGCTTTCATGTATCTAACATTCTGAGGGCTAGGTTGACAGATAACAGCAGTCGGGTACCATCCATTGTACTGCATTTGAGGGCTCGAGGACAAGAGAGTCTCTCCTCTATTAGCACCCCCTCTTCAACCTCTCCCACAGAACTGCAGGCAGGTTGACATGCCTCTCACTACTCCAACACCATCTACTGCTGTCGCTAGCGCTATTGCTGAACGTCTATCAGGCTTTGCCTACGCCCAGGGAGCTAGTGTCACATTTTGCGATGCCCGGCGGCGTGGTGAGCCAGGCATCTATGAAGCGCGAAATGGCGAGCTAGCACTAGCCACCCAAGGCACAACCCAAGTACAACGTTCATTTCTTGCGGAAATATTCCAAGGCGAGTTTGACAGATATGACGGACAGGACGCTCTTTATTTCACAACGCAATGCCCAGTGCTGCATGCCCCCAGCTACCTTGCGTCGTCCAGCAGAATTGATCATAATGCTACCTCAAACCCTGCCATCGCAGGCTATATTCCGCGTCTTACCAAGCTGGCCGAATTAGTCCCAATACTCTCCCAGGGGCATCCCTTTGCTACCGTGGAGGAGTCAATCCTAGATGTTATTCATGATTGGAGTAAGCCAGGCTTCAACTGGGTTGACTGGAATCAGTCTGATGAAGCTACAAAACTTCACAAGACTGATCTCCTAGATCACGCCACTCCTGCCCAGCTTGAAAAGCTCCTCACTGCCATTGTACGCCAGGATCGCTTCCTTGAGGGACTCATTGAAAGGACCTACAAATCAAGACTACTCTTGCGCATTGCCGGAAGAGCAGCGGCAATTCTTCAGCTGGCTTAGGGGTCCTTTAGGACAGCAGATGAAATGAAAAACTATGATAACTCTGCTTTCTTGTTTGATTTATTCCCTTGCTGTATGAAGCCCTATTTCTACTTCCTACGCGCAATAATGGATATGCAATGTGCTTCGATTCAGTCTTTTCTGTTTCTCAACAAGGTTGGCACCTGCCTGCTGATTTGCATAGCTAAGGGAAGGGATCAATAAAGTGGGTAATAATTATTATTGATTGTCCTTAGCCTCTCCTCCCTTTTATGTACAATACAACAATTGGACTAGACAAATGTCACCCAATTTCGCATGCTTGATGGACCCAGTTGATGCCCCCACTATGGCCAACGCGGTATGGTTGGCAGTATAGCTCTGACCGCCTTTCCACACAAAAGCTCCGCGTGCCAAAAGTTTTTTCCTCTCTTCCCTTTTCTCTCCACTGGATCCTTAAGTCCATGGGCTAAACAACCTTGTTTTCTAGCCTTTGGTCTCCCAGAGATGCTCACAAAGAGCTTGAAGAGCCACCACCCAATGTGATGAGAGTTGGGCCTGCTTCTTGCTACAGTACAACTCGCGCACTTACTTGCTACAGCTCAGACCTCGGCCCTGGTCGTTGACAACATGGAGTTACTATCAGAGCATCCCTGGGATGTAATCATTGCAGGTACTGGGCTGGCTCAATCTCTTCTGGCATTGTGAGTGTCTAGTGCAAAGCTCGGATCTTGTTCTCTCTAACCTCTTCCTCACCCAGAGCCCTTTCACGGTCGGGAAAGAAGGTGCTCCACTTGGATCAGAACTCATACTATGGTGGGTCAGAGGCCGCCTTCAGCCTGGACGAAGCTTCGGAGTGGATGAATAGTGTCAATCAACGTGGGTCGCCGGTGCGAGTGTCCTTCATCCCAGCCTGTCGCTGATGTGTCTCAACTGGCAGATCCAGGCCGGACTCCATTTGAAGATGCGAAGATTTCCACAAACCAACTTCCCACCTCCACGGTCGGCTCTGAGACGAGCGAGCTTCAAGGCACGCCGGACATTCGTCCGAAGCTAGCTGCTAGTCGCGCCTACACTCTTTCTCTTTCCCCATATTTCCTCTACACCCGCTCAGAACTAATCTCCGTCCTCATCTCTTCGAAGGTATATCGCCAGCTGGAGTTCATGGCTGTTGGCAGTTGGTGGATCCATTCTTCGGAACATCCCAACGCTGAAAGCCATGAGCTTGGCGCTACGCGACAGTTCCATCGTGTGCCGGGCAATCGGGAAGATGTCTTCGCCGATAGCAATATCAGCATGAAGTCTAAGAGAACGCTAATGCGTTTCTTGCGACACATCAGCAAAGCTCAAGATGAGGAAGAGCAGGATGAGACAGAGAAAAAGGAGGACCTGTCGATGCCGTTTGCGGACTACTTGTCTTCCAATTTCAGTGTGCCGCAAGACCTCCAAAATCCTCTGCTCTCGCTCTCTCTATCACAGCTGCCCCAGCAGGACACCTCTGCCAGCTATGCAGTGCCTCGTATTAAGAGGCATCTAGCTTCCATTGGTGCCCTAGGACCCGGCTTCGGGAGTGTTGTCCCCAAGTATGGTGGGGGCTCTGAGATTCTCCAGGTTGGATGCCGAGCTTCTGCTGTTGGAGGAGCCGTGTATGCTCTTGAAACGGGTATCCAATCTATCAAAGATGGTGAAGTGTCATCAGAGTCAGAACATCCGGTTGAGGTGCAGCTCTCGAATGGGGAGACGATTCAAACTCGGTTCCTCATTTGCTCTGCCTGGGATCTTCCTTCTCTAGAACAGCCATCCTGTGCCAAGGTTGCAAGATCGATTACTATTGCGTCTTCAACCTTCACTTCCCTTTTCCCTGTCACAGCAGAAGGAGGGCCTGTGCCTGCCAGCGCTGTTCTTATGTTCCCTGGCGATACATTGGACAGCCCCCAATCTCCGCCGGTGTACCTCCAGGTCCACTCGAGTGACACCGGCGATTGCCCACGACACCAGAGTGAGTAGTATTCCAACCCTCTCTTCTTGATTTACCATCCCCCTGTCCCGCTCGTATGATGATTACCTTTTACTTATCTACATTGCCTGAACTGCATTGATGAAACTTAATCTATCTATACCTGATCACGAGCATCAGCCCTCTATTGTGATTTCATTGGCATTAATCAAATTTCATGTGCTAACGCGTGTCATCACAGGTGTCATCTACGGCAGTGTCGCTGTATCTGGCCTTGAAGGCCACACTCTCCTCGAGCGTGCCGTGGACCGACTCCTTCAGGCAGAAGGTCCTCAGGCCATTGCTCTATGGTCCATGCGGTACAACCAATTGGGACGTCTCAGTAACGGTGGAACACCACCCACCATTCAGACTCTTTCGCCCCATGTCTTCAGCTTCCCGCCCCCTAGCCTTGATCTGGCGTTTGAGGACGAGACTGTTGACATGATCAAGCAGGCGTGGGTCAAGATAGTAGGAGATGAGGTGGCCCATGACGAATTCATGATCTTTGAGGATCGCGAAGGCACCTCTGATGATTGATGTAGCATAGTTTCATGATTTATGCCCTACTCATACTGACCAGTAGATATTTGCACATAGTATCATCATTGCAATCGAACATATTCTTGACCTCATCATTAACTAGTTATTCAGAACAATCCTCTCGCACGGGAAGTTCATTACAATCTGCTCACAGCCGAACCATGTCAAATTGGCAAAATCATTCAGTAAGCGATCAACCCCAAATCGTGATCCACGCTGTAGTCAAATCGATACAATATCCCATGTCCGGCCATTCTTAAAAAGTCATATAGATTCATTAAATTTCCCACAACGAACCAAAGTTCAGGCTACTCATACTCACTCGTCACCCATCAACCTCGACTCACAAACCGCGCAATAAGCGTCTGAACCTGCTGCCGCGGCATCACAACCGCCACCGACAACACCAACGCCCCAAGACCAAAAACCCACCCGGTCAGACCACGCGAAACAGCTCTTCCCTCCCGATCAAACGGCGGCTTCACAGCCGGCGCAAGCTTCTTCAGCTTCTCGACCGAATACGGCGGGTATCGCGCGTCCATGAGCCACTCCATCCACGCCGGCATGGCATCCACATACGTACGCAGATGCGAAAACTCACGCACACCGTACGGACCGTGGTAATAGCCCTGACCGGAGGGACCGGTGCCGCCGAACGGCGCATCGCGCGCGACAACGTGCAACGTACAATCATTGAACGTCACGCCGCCGGACTGGGTCTCGTCCAGTATGCGGGTTTTCTCAGCTTTGTTGTCGGTGAAGGCGTAGATGCCGAGGGGTCTGTCGCCGGCGCGGGTGTATGTGAGGGCGAAGTCGAGGTCTGCGTCCATGACTGGTAGGATAGGACCGAATAGTTCTTCGGAGAGGAGGGAGTCGCCTGGTTTCACGCCTGTGACGATGGTGGGTGCGAAGAAACGGGTTGTGCGGTCGCGTTGGCCGCCGTAGACAATTTTGCCGGATGTCGAGGTTAGTAGCCGGTCTAGTCGGTCGAAGTTGCGCTCGTTGATGATGTGTGTGTAGTATTCGGGTTTGGTGTCGCGGCCGCCCATGAAGGTGTCGAAGTGGTTGATCATGCTGTTCACGAGAGCTTCGCGGACGGTAGGATCTACGACGACGTGGTTGACGTTCAGGCAGATCTGTATGATGTTGTGAGTGATCATAGTCTTAAAGATGTATACCCCAGACTCTCAACCCGGAATAAGTCATACCTGGCCGGCATTGGTGAATTTGGTGGCAGCGATATGCTTGCCAGACAAGTCTACATTGGCCTGCGCAGTAACAATAGCCGGGGCTTGACCTCCCAGCTCAAGTGTTACGGGAGTCAAGTGCTTAGCAGCGGCCGCATGCACGATCTTGCCAATATTTCCCGATCCAGTGTAAAATATATGATCGTAGCGTTGTTCCAGGATATGCGACATCTCCTGCGGCCCAGCGCTGACGCAGCGAATCGCACTTTGATCGAGATACTGCGGGATGATCTCCATCAGAAGATCCTGTGCAGACTGTGCCATATCAGATGGCTTCAGAATCATTGCGCAGCCGGCTGCGATAGCGGCGACCATGGGTTGAAGCAGAAGGAGAATCGGGAAGTTCCAGGCGCCGATGATGAGTGCCACGCCCTTGGGCTCTTTGCGCACTCGTGTGCCTCCCATGAAGTTCACCATGTCCCAACGAGTGGGCTTCTCATCCTTGGTCCATTCATCTAGCTTGTCGAGCGTGCGCAGGATGTCATGCTGCAACATCCCAATGTCCGAGAGACCTGTTTCATAGCTGTGTCGGTGGAGATCGGTATAGAGGGCGGCGCAGATACGTTCCTTGTTATCCTCGACCATCCACCAAGTGCGCTTGAGCTGCTGGCGCCGCCATTCTTTGTTCTTTGTGACACCCGATGCGAATGTCTCTTGCACCGTGGTGTAGGCCTGCAGAGGTCCATTAGCAATGTATACTCCGTCTGTGCATGTAGCCATAGGCAGCTCTGATGTACCTGGTCAAATTCGGCCGCCGTGCTGAATCCCATTTTGATATTTGATTCTGCAGAAACAGTAGTGGAATATTTTCTTCACAAAGCCCACAAATGTTGCAGTGGCCCCTGGGGCTGTTGAATAATATGTATTCACAATCGCAAGGGGATACGTCGAGAAGCCCCGCCCAGCCACGGCCTGCTCGCGAACGGCTCCGTGCAACCATTCCAGCTGGGGCAAATTGTGGAGAAGAAAAGGCCTCGGTAATCTGCGATCGAGCCAGATCCGCTCGGACCGAGCTCGAGTTCGTCATTAGCGCACGGCGGCAGCGCCCATGTTGGCTCAAGCGTGGTCCTCGTGCAGGAGGATGAAGTTAATTGAGGGGACAAAGTCGCCGAGCGGATCGAGGAATCGAGGAGTGGACTCTACTGGTTCATCGCGATGATCTGGTTCTCAGCGGCTGTCAGCGAGGAGATATATCCCATGACCTGCTGTTCTGAAGATTTGCTTCTAAAAGACCTCGCATGTCTGGTGGTTTTTGGGCTTTGGTCCTCGCAATATCCCATGCTTCCTTCGCTCTTCTTCTGGGGCCATCTGATCCATGTCTGGCGGCTTGCGAGCGGGAGCAGAGTGGGGCGAGAGATGCGAGCTGCAGATGAGAAAGGATTCTTTGCCAATGCTAAGGCGCAGACTGTCCGGAACGAAATTGCTCCGATCTCGATGCATTGGAGGAAACGTGTTGCCGATGCTCATTTGCTGAGATTGATTGTTTCATCCCGTGTGCAAATTCAAACTTTGCTGGGAATGGTGGAGGGTGGTTGGCGGTATCCGAAAGAGGGGAAAGGCTGGTGATGCATCTTGCATATTGACTGGCTTTCTAAAGTGGTCAAATCTCAGGGAGTGTCGTATCTGAAGTTTGTCTACGGTTAGGGAAACAATACATTGTCCGAAAGATGGTAGTCATGCATAAGATATGCAATAATTCTACGAGGTGATAATAATCCCTGTCCCTAATACTACCTAAACTCGTGAAACCGACAACTCAGGGCAGCCTGACTGCTGCAGTCCCTGCAGAATAAGCACCTTACTGCGCCTTTTACGGTATCCCCCACTGAACGTAGAATTATCTCCTATATATCCCAGAACCATGGGGAGGGGCCATACGACCAGAACGGGTTTGGCAAGACATCGTGACTAGGATTTGTCGAATTTGAGGCCAAAAACTCAGTCGACAATACTCAAAGCCAACAGAAAATATTTGCTATTGAAAACTTTCAAAGCCTTTGACAATTCAGAGACCAGAAAGTACGCTATTCTCTTCCCACCCCACTCCGCACATGCCGGGCGACGCGACAAGACTTGGTGATACCCACAGAAAAGCTTCATCTCCGTACAACTGCACCCGCGGCCAGGATAGAAAGGGCGATCCCCGTCGCCGGCCGGATTGTACCCCGGGCTCTTATCGAGATACTCTTGTGCGACAACTGAATCACTGGGACATGGTCCATCTAACTAACCAGATCCTTTTTGTTGAAGTAGCTTCTCCATAGACATCGTGCATAATTGATAGCCCTTTAGGTGCTGCAATATATACCTCATCCGTGTGTCACTGATTGAGACGGGGTACGATTCGTCCATCATCCTGCGTCTACTGTCTGTCTATCTGTCATTGAGGAGAGAAATAAGCTGTAGAAATGATTGGATCGGGTCAATGCTTGCATGTTTCGTCTTTGTAGATCTCCTCCTTGATACACATCCTATTGTATCTCATTTGGATAGTTCGACCCCTGCCGAAATGAGATGGAATTATAATCCAGATAGTCCGCGACGACTGAGATAATATGCAGGGATACCGAGTTCACTTGGAAGGTCCACCAAGATTCTGAAGACTCAGAAGGTCTGCATACGCAATTTATAGATCCATGGAGATATATTCATTACGGCAATATCATAACTGATGATCTTATCATCAACCTGTTATTGTTATGTACGAAGTACTGAGTGATCTTAAGACTAACATAATCCTTTACAAAGCATACCTTCCTAACTTACATACCCCCGTCGTATGAGTGTACCTATGTAGCCGTGATGGATACCAGTGTCTATAGATGGATGCACGGACTACTTCATCGACGAGGAGGCCCCATGCATGGCAACATGCGGACCACAGGATGCGGGCGGAATCTTGGCATCGCGCCTCATCCTTGAAATTTGACACAGGAACGCAATCCTTCTGCTGCATGCATGCTACTGTAGAAAGAACCTATCAGACGCGAGGCGATGAGATATCCCACGAGTACCTGGCCCATAAAATCACCAAAACGGACTAGCGGCCGAAGAGGGGACTGCAGTAAACCGAAGCCTTGACCTTTCAAGGTTGTTTGCTTGCCTAGCTTTTTCTTGTTCTCTTGTTCATAAAAGTATTTATGGAGTGTACTGTATGCATTGTAGTCGTCAAATCCTGCTATTAGGACCGAATTGTACTCTTGTAGTAAGGCAATCAGGATGGCTGAAGTTGGACAGGGCCAGGCCTTTTCTGGATAGTGATTGGGAGAATAATGGCGATAGATTGCATCATTTGCCGGCCGTTTAGGTCCACTTGCTGTACATTGTACCACGGAGAACAAGGTTATTGGTTGTGGTCAAGTAAGCCCCTTTTTTGCCGCCGAGCTTGATGCCCCCTGTTATGTATCCAGTCGTACGGTACAAAGTTGATACTCTCCTTTCTCACTTCCTCTGATAAACTTCCACTTCTAGGCTCGGCACAACCTCGATCGTGTACCTATTCCACCCAATAGACATCGTGAGTCCAGCCTTTCCAGCAACAGTCAAGTCAAATCGAGGCTCCGAGCGTTTTCACCGGCACGGGCAAGGGGACTGGCGATCAGGGGGCCCGGGATCCACTCTTCATGAACCTGATACGCCTTTTTTTTCAGGGTCTGTAAGATTACCGCGCCTGCGCCGCCCCCTTTTATGATTATGATCAATTTACCTTTTGGTTATCCTTTTTTTTTTTCTTCTTCTTCTTTAGGCACTGTGAAACCCGATGACAGCATTTGCCAAGGCGGGCCTTGACCTTTGGCGCAGTTTAGGGCCGAGTGTGCACGGATGGTGGTACAAAGACAATCGCACATTTTGTTCCATGCGCCTTCGAGACGCGGACGCTAGGGCTGGCAAGGATTCGTGATGATGCTGATTTCTATGGCATCAACGGGGATAGTCTATGTATGGTAGTAATAATTTAAGTACTGATAGCTGAATCTTGACCCTCGTAACAGCGGCTATGAAATATTCAACATGAAGTATATTTTCAACTACGCACAGTATCTTCGTTAAGGTTAAAGTCCGTCCAGCTGGCCTCGCTTCGACCCGCGACCCAGAACAAGTGCTAGACAGAGTGGGTATAGTCGTGGTTGATCGAAACGCGACAGCCTCTTGCTAGCGTTACGCACAAGGATTTCTTTCTGCTCTGTTATCGTCATTTCAGTGGGAGAATTAAAATGAACCCTCATCAAAGGTACCGCGGGAGGAGACAGGTCCCCCACGCCCACGCCCACAGTCCCCAGCGAACCCGGTGGCCATGCCACTGACTACCTGTCAGTGGTCACCACTGTGTGTGAAACCCTCCAACGGCCGGGCTGTCGTGGATAAGATGATTAAGATGAATAAGCTTAATATATATAGAACACCAGCACGACGAAGCCCATGACGCAGCTGTCTCATCAACCAAAACCATGGACCAGCCATCTGATGGAGGACGAACAATCTGCTCTCGTCAAATGATAACAATCTCCGATCATCCAGCAGGATATTTTTCTACGGCCTGAGCTCAGGGCAAAAGTCTGAATGGGTTTGGGATTGTCGATCCTGGTCCACTTTACTGCGAGGACCACGGCTGAACTGGATTGCGAATTGGATTTGAGGTCCTGTTGCCACTTTGCGTACTTACAGATCTGCCGATAAGCTTTCTAAGGTGTCAAAGGGAGAGGAGGGAAGAGCTACAATGAAATTGATATTCTCAAGTAGACAATAACCACAATATCAAAATGAGGAGACTAATAATAAATGAGAACCTAGATCCGGCGGCCGAAGGCGTTGTACGTACTGTAGAAGGCGAGAAGTCCAGAAAAGGCCCCGGGTTACCGGTGCAGGGGGTGGGGAGGGGGGAGAAGGACACGCGTCGGTGGGGCTCCCCAGTGGCCACTCTCGCTCCCTCCGACGCACACTCACTGGGTCCTAGCTGGGTCCTCAATTGGCTGTGAATGAATTCTGAATGGCTCCGGCTGGCATTGACTGGCCCTGACTGATCTTGAATTGCCTCTGACTGGTTGGAGCGGCTGGACGCCAGGGCGATCGACCTTCAGATCATTTCCTTATATTCGCGCCTGTAATTGGCGACTTGCTTGACAATTACAATAATCAAAATACATACATCTATATTGGAGGATTATGATGTGTTGTGTGAACTTTACAATGGGCATGGAATTGGTCTTTCAATACTGACTGATCGTTGTGCCGTTCTCGCCAATTGTTACCAAGTTTACTTTCCATGCTACACGTAAGAGATTGATACATTATTGATATACCTATTATTTTTGCCTATAATTTGATATGTACAACCTACAGTATATCATTAATCTGCCCTAGCCCGGTCATAGCGCTCCCGTAACTATACTCTACAGGTGACGTGATCTATACATGATCACATCGGCATCATGATGATGAGGCCCTCGGGGAATTTGATTGGAATGTTCCGGAACTCTGGCTAAATGCTTCTCATGCGGTCGCAATGACACCTTCGTACTGCCCATCTCTATGCAGTTTGTAGCAGGTAACAGCAAATACGGATAGTTTGACAGTTGGTAGAGTCGTATGCCGTCGATCCTGGGTAGGACCAACGGTCCGATTCACACACCCGGTGTTTATTGGGACAGATCGTCCTGCGATAGTAGTGACCTGTCGGACGGTACTCCGACGGTCTCATGGATCCTCTTCTCGAACATTGTTAAGCGATCTCTGGTGTGAATAATAGCACAAAACAATCGGTGGACTGTCTTGACCAGAATCTCAAACCGGATCTACTAAGAGCGGTGATCTCGGAGAAGACCCTCTCGCTAATCCCCGAATCAGAATGGCCAATATACTACACGGAAAAGGACATGTTGACCAGCATGATCGGACAGACCTAAGAGCGCCGATCAGTGGCATCCTTGTTCTGATACGGAGTCCGTAGTCCCATGGGATACGATGCGATGATCACTGCCAGCATTCTTCTACACGAGGATCAACAAGACTCGAGAGAAGCGAGGAGCAGAACATATGACTACAAAGAAGAGTCTTCAGAGGAGACTTAAAAAGAAATCCATATTCATCAGTAAGAGAAAATTGTTATATCAATCGTCCATGTTCACAATGCTCAAGTAGTATTTGGAGTATACAGTTATTCTCGATTAATTCTGCAAGCGGAAACCAGACCCACGGCCAAAATTACGTATGTAATACCGTGACGGGGCATTCCCACGACTCCCCGTACCTCCCATACAATCAGTACACACCCATCACCCCCCGATCTCCCATTAAGACTGTTCCCTTCTCACTCCGCTCTCCACTACTTACTTCTTCGCTCCTCCTCCCTTTTTTCCCTCTTCTTCCCATCTTACTCCTTCCAACACCTTTACGACTCTACCTCCTCCCCCTCCTCCCCCAGCATCGATCTGCTTCTCGCCCCTGGACTCCCCTGTCCAGCCGCGTTAATCTCTCGTCTGCTTCCTCCCCCTCTCCCCTTCCTGCTGCAAACGACAACCGATCATCCACGTCCAATTCCTCTCCAAAAGACCGCTTCTCTCCCCCACCCACTTTGGACCGTGTCGCAGGTCCCGACGCTGCCAGCCTCTCGTTGATTCCGGCATTTGATCTGCCTGCCATTCTTTAACACCAGTCTCTGGTCACCTACATTCGCTTCGGGATATTGCCTCGTTCGGTGCTCTGCTCCTTTTTGCCAGTTGCACGATTCTTCTACGGGAATACGACATACTCGCCTGATTTGACCCCCAAACTCGATTCAATCAATCTGATAAGAAATTCTTAATTCGAAGGGAACGTGTCGCATTGTCAGGCACAAACAAACCGCCTTCCCCTCCCCCCAATCTCACTTTTCTGCGAGTTAAACTTCGACGTACATGTTCGAAAAATCGGCTCCGCCTAATACCGTCAGGATGCCTCTTTTCCGGCTAAAGACGGTCTTTCCGTTGATCGCCCTGGTGTCGATTGGCGTTTTCTTCTTTTGCATGGAACGCTACGACCGGTCGGCTTTCCTCCGCTTCAAGCACCCTATTGACCGCCTCAACTTGGGTAACAGCCAGACGCAATTAGGAGAGCCCTGCGCAGGGTTCGACCCCCGCGGCCGATACCTGCGAGGTTGATCCCAAGCTGGCTGCTCCTCTCCCCTTCTCTGAATGGCTCCCCCGCAAGAACTACACTCGTGCCTACTTCCGCCCTCGCATTGTCAGCCCCGAAACCGAATTCCACACCCTGGAGGAGGTTGAGAAGCCCGTGCTTCCTCCGATGGTTCAGATGGAGCGTGGTATGGTTGTCTCTCCCAACAACGAGGAGAAGGCCTTTGTGTGCCCCGAGATCATTGAAGTGGATGTGGCTGCCGACGATGATGTCGACGAGACCTCCAAGCTCCTGTTTGGCCTGGCTACCACCGTGGACCGTCTCGACCGCCTCCTGCCCTCGCTCCTCTACACTTATGGCAACACCAAGGCTGGCCTGATTGTTCTAGTTCCCGAGTCCGATGACGATTTGGAGAAGCAGGAGACCTACTTCCGCAACCGTGGTCTCGATCTGACTCTCAAGGCCTCCCCCCTGGACTTCACTGCTCGTTACTTTGGCATGGTTGAGGCTTTCTCGGAGCACATCCGCAAGCATCGCCCTCACACCACCTGGGTTGGCTTCAGTGACGACGACACTTTCTTCCTGTCTCTGCCTACCATCGCCAAGGAACTGAAGCTGTTCGATGAGAAGAAGAAGCACTATATTGGATCTCTGTCCGAGGCCAGCTGGCAAGTCGACACCTTCGGTCACATCGCTTTCGGTGGTGCCGGTGTTTTCGTCTCCAAGCCTCTGTTGGATGTGCTCATGAAGTACTACGATGAGTGCCAGTCCTGGGGCGAACAGCCCGGTGACCAGAAGCTTGGCCAGTGTATCCAGCGCTTCGGTGACACCCCCTGACTCTCTGGCCCTCGCTTTACCAGATGGATATGACCGACCCCGTGGACGGTGTTTATGAGTCTGGCCGCAAGATCGAATCCATGCACCACTGGAACTCCTGGTACACCAAGGATGTGGTGAAGATGACCACCGTGGCTGCGGCCGCCGGTCGGAAGTCTGTGCTGCGCCGCTGGGTCTTCGATCAAGAAGAGACCATTAACAGCGCAACCGGCGAGTCGGTCCGCCACTTCTGGGTTATGACCAACGGTTACTCTTTGGTCAAGTATACCTACGATTCTACCGTGGCTGACGATGCCATCAACTTTGATGCGGTGGAAAAGACCTGGCCCGAGGACCCCCGTGGTTTCGAGGATCGCCTGGGTCCTCTGCGTCCCGCTGAGGACGAGGGTGTCACCAAGGACCGGTGGTTGTTGCACGATGCCTACGTCGTCGGTGACAACGTGCACCAGTTCTATGTGCGTGAGGAAGACGAGGGCCACAGCGTGATCGAGATTGTCTGGCTCGGTCCCAAGGGTGGTGGTGGCGGAGGTATCTCCGATCACTACATTCAGGGTACCTACCAGCAATAATCTTCTCTTCTCCTTGCTCGTCACTGAAGAGGACGAAGGAACAAAAACAAACAATAAAGAACAACTCCGCAAGTGATTACAAGGCTGGTCCTTGAGGGTTTCCTATTTTGTTTTTCTCTTTCCTCATTTCTTTCGGTGGTCACACGTCTTTTACTTCACTGCACATGATTCATTCATTTTTTTTTATTATCTTCAACTATTACCCACCCTTTTCATTTTTCCACACTCACGACGCCAATCCCGTTTGCATCAATCTACCATTCTTCCCACCGACCCTTTTTTCCCTTGATCCCAGATGAGACTCGTGATCGTGACTTGAATACCGCGTCCTCCAGTTTCTCTGATTGTTCATTTATCCGGCGTTAGCATTGGTGGAGTCCATTCTGGTGCAGGAACCAAGGTGGTTTTATGTACTCCCTCTATATCCCGGCTGTTGATAGCCACACCACACACACCACCTTTGAACCCTTTCTTTAGCTGCCTGCTGTGCTGGGGTTGAGTCGTGGTGTCTCACCTCATGCTTCTCTGGCTTGCTCTTTTCGTCCTTCCTTCTTTTTTTCTTTTTCTTTCTTGATTCTTCCCTTTATGGACTTCTCTCAAGAACCCCCCGTTGTGACTTGGCGGGGGAGAGAGGTCGAGGCTTCTTTTATTCCACGCCCATGCATTGCTTTGTAAAAATAGACTTGAGAACCGAAGGCCGCGCTTGGGTCTCCGTTGGTGATTAGCGTTGAACTGTTGTTCTTATGTGAAGAATATGATGAGTTCTGTCAATTCTGTGTGCAATCTTCAAATACACTGTATACCTTACACACCACTTGAGCATATTTCGGTAAAAATGAGCTTGTACAACGAGTGATTGAGCTATCGAACACGCTCGGAAACACGCTCGGGCTCTGCTTGCCTAAGTAAGATGCTTTGTCCTTCATCCATATCAACCCTCTCGGATCGGCCCGCCAACGAAGCATGATCCGGGGGCTCGTGGATCTTCTGGGATTAGGCTCAAGCATGAATCTGCCGGTACTTGGCATAGATCGATGCATTATTTCGGCATTTGGAGCATGGGTTGCTCATTTGCTGATTAATTGCTTGTTATAGTGAAGTGCATGAGCGATAGCATGAGAGTCTCGAAAGCACACAATTGAGGGTATCACAGTGGTAGCCTCAACTCTATATAGCTCGTATACTCTATAGATTGCATATGTATTTTGCCAAGGCTGAGCTGTGTATTTTGGCAGTGGGTCATCCATTGTGTTTCTACATCGGGGAATGGAAGCAAAAGAAACGGAATGAAATCTAATTTGGGTATTAGACAACCCCATTCTGTGGCGCATGCCATTGTTCCTACGTTGAATGTGATCTTGATCCGGAGGTGGGCCCTCCATCATAGTAGTGTACGTCGACAGCAGGGGTTTCCGGAACCAGTCACTTCGATCGGTTTCTGCAGACCACGGAATCGACCAGGGGGGGGCTTCGGCCGAGGGAGTAGTGCAAGGCTTGCAAGCACACCGCAGGATTACTTGTACGACTTCCGTATAGAAGGCTAACTAGTCTCCACTGTTGTTTCCGTGCCCCCGCGATCGCGGCGGAGTAAGCCTTGTGTACATTGCACGGTACTTTTGTCTTGTTGGGGATAAGGAGGAAGATGGCAATATGGCAATGCAGAACATGCCTAAGCTAAGGATAATCTGAGCTCACTTGTTAACCTGATGGTGGGACTGTACTCCTCCATACTTTGTACTTTATAGGATGTTACAAAGAGGGCTTGAAGTTTCGCCGACGGGTATCCGTTTTAGTGGGGGAGATGAACAGGGGAAACGGTGAGCACTCCATAGACTCACTAGTTAACTAGTCCTAGTGAGGAGTTTGCTTATCATTTGTCTTAGAATTTCCCCGATCCAGAGCTGAGATCGGCGAGTCTTGTTCGCTGGGGGCCAAAAGCCCCAAACCCGCGAGCGGACCGGTATGTGGAATGCAGGACTGCAGGAGCTGGAAAAGGTGTGCGGCTAAGTATAGAAACCAGTTGCCACTGGGGGGAAGATAATGGGACAGAGGAGAGTACTGTAGTACGAAGAAAGGAGGGGAGAGTAGGGTAGAGTGTCGATCTGTGTATGTACCAAGCATAGGTTCCTTTTTCCTTTTTGATCGTGAAGAAAAGAATAGAGAATTATTATGCATAACAGTCGAGCGATGCTTTGCCCTCTTTTTTCCTTTCGACCTTTCTCCTCATTCACAGCTGAGACCGGGGCTACCAGCTATCGGGATCCGACCTCCTCCTCTCGAGTTCCAGACCACCAGTCCAATTGGGTTTACGCTTGCCTCGAAGCGGATGCAAGCGGAGGTCGTGGGGCGTCGCAGCTCAGCGCGGTGAGTTGGCCCTCCCTTGAGGAGCCACCAATCAGAGTGAGAGAAAGAGAGGGGGGGCAGGGTGATACCGTTCTGAAACAAGGCGATATCGCCCCTGGGAAGAGGGGGATACTTGGGAGGGTACTCAATAGATACATGCAAGTTGCATGTACTATGGATGTACTGTCCTATTGCATTGTAAGTACCAACCAGAGGAATCAATCTTACCAACAGCCCCACTTTTCGTATTGCCCTCTCAATACGGTACTCCACACGTGACTGACCGCCTGCCCCTTCGTCCTTCGCACTTTGCCTTCTTCGACTTCCCCCCTTCCTTTTCCCTCTCCAACCCTGCGATCCCAAAACGCGTTACTCGATTGGGTATTCTTCGATTCCCTTCCCCTTTGGGTCAACCCTTTACATCTCAACCTCTTCTCGTGCTGCTGCTCTCTGTTCCCTAATTTGAACACACCCCACCACTACCTTACCTCCTTCCCTTTTAAACTCCACACCTTCTCCATCCATCATGGCCGACATGGCTGCCGTCGACGAGAAACTCTCCCCCAGCCAGCACGATGACCTGCAACAGGCTGGCAACGGCGCCGACGCCCGCGGGACCAAGCGCAACCGCATGAGCGCCGAGGACGATGATGATGATGACGACAAGCCTGGCCGTGAGCGCCGCAAGATTGAGATCAAGTTCATCCAGGATAAGTCGCGTCGCCACATCACCTTCTCCAAGCGGAAGGCCGGTATCATGAAGAAGGTACGTGCTTCCCGTCGCGATACACAACCACTCTTACTTCCCACGTTCACTTCCCCCTCTTCCATGTTCCCCTTTTTCATATGGGAGACATTCAGACGCGCTGGATCGCGATCGGACTCGGTCGCTTCAAAATAACAAAACAAAACATTCATATCATTCATATACTTTGTATGCTGACTCGATCTCTCGCTTCTTCAAATAGGCCTACGAGCTGTCCGTCCTCACTGGCACCCAGGTGCTGTTGCTGGTCGTCTCCGAGACCGGTCTTGTCTACACCTTCACTACCCCCAAGCTGCAGCCTCTCGTCACCAAGGCCGAGGGCAAGAACCTCATTCAGGTATGTCGACGTCAACATTTGCTACTGTTGTCGCCACTCCAGATATGCTAACACGAGACCATCTAGGCATGCTTGAACGCACCTGACCCTACCACCAACGAGAATGGTGTCGATGCTCCCGATGTCCCAGCCGAGACTCCCGAGGATGTCGGCCACAATGTCAATGCGCCGCAGTCCAACATGCCTCGTCCTGGCATGCACCCCGGGTACATGACCAATGAGCAACAGCAACAGATGGCCTATTATCAGAACCTCCAGCAGCAACAGCAAGCCGGTGGCCAGTATCCCGGTATGCCCGTCGGCAACCGCATGCCCCCGCAGCACCAACCCACGGCGTAAATAACCTCTTCGCTGTGTTTACGCGCCGCTGCAGACGGGATCCCAAATACTGCGTCTTCCCTTCTGTTTTCTTCCCCTGCGCACCCAACTCTCTCGCGTTCATTTGATACCCGTCCATCCGTGCTGATCCCTCGTCCCTCCTCCCTACTCTCTCTCCTCCACCCCTCGCTCTTTCTCGTGGAGACTGGCACTATGTCTTGTTTTATCCCTGCCACTCCAACTTGTGAAGTGTATATTGTCAAAAATACCCCACTGGATCTCCCATGTCCAGTGTGTTTTTGATAACCGAAATCCGGTCTGTTATGGTATTTATTTGCCTTGCACTCGAGAAGAAGGCTTTGCAAAAAGCTTGCTTTTATGCTCCTCGCTCCTGGTGAATTATGGCTTTTCAAACCATGATAAGAAAACATGCGAAGAATCCTCCGCAGACGAAAAAAAGGAAAAAAATAAAAAGAAGCGCAAGCACGCGAATCTGGACTTGGACGCTATTCTGGCTGGTTTCTGGTTTCTGGTTTCCCCTTGGCCCCTCTTCCTAGACCAATTGGCGGAGGCTGGTGGTGTTCGTGGTGCATTGATTTTGTCGGCGATATGGGAATTGTTTCCTCTTCGTCTTTTTGTTTGCTGTTTATCTCATACGACCATTATTGATTCTGCTTCGTCGAAATTCTCTTAACTCTACCTCCCTGTCTCCTTTTTTTCAAGTGTCTAATCTCAACAACTCTGTGTTTTAACCTCATTTCAAATCGGTGATCTCTACTCTCCCCGCTGCACCCTCCACACCTGTACTGGGTTTGTGTTGGAACTCGCGTGGAAAGGTGTCTTGCTTGCACCTTCGTATCGGAATTGCTATGCTTTGATGTCTTGCTCGGCTTGGAAATTGGTTCGAGCTTCTCCTGTAGTCTCATGTATCTCTCTCTTCATGTATTTGGTATGGTATGGAGATGATGCTCGAATGTTGTTCCTTCGTCTTGCTGCTTGTCGCTGGAGATGAAGCTACATGGGATTAATGCAAGTTTTTATGATCCAAAGTTTGGTCATGTAGTCTGTTGGCCAATGATGTCAGTTGAAATGACAACTTCTAGATTTAGTTGTCCACGACTCCACGGTCTTTATACTTTGGGTTAGACTGTACTCCGTACGGAGTAGAGCATGGTCCATTTTTGGCCCGGTATACCTCCCAGGGATATCCCGGCTCCACAGAACACAGAAAATAAACGGATGTATAGTAAACATACTAATCGTCTGGACTACTTTCCTTTCGTCCGATCCCTTCCATCTCAGGTCCTGCTACCTTAATGGATACTCTGTAGCATCTATCTATTTCTCGCACGGCCCCTTGAGGTTGTCCCCGCCACTTGCGCCCTAAATAAAGCTTAGTCTACTATTATGGGTAAAGCCCCATTCTATCTAAGGAAGTGACTCCAGTAGTCAATTGTAGGACTTGTATTCAACCTCGGTATTTTTAGTAACCGGAAAGGTCAGCTTCCGCTTATCCTTACATCGGATGAGTTGATGGGTGGGAAGGGAAAGTGGTTGGAACACACATCTCCTCTTCCGCTGCTGGGTGGGGAACGTGTCCCTACTGTACAAGGTCAAAGGCAGCAAACAAAAAGCGAAGCACGAGTCTTCTGGGTATATATCGAGGTCACGGATGGCGAGAGTAGGTGGGTGCAGAGATGGCGGAATGTATAGGTGAGGGAAATTGAGATCAGGTCTTTACAGTGATGACGGCGTGCCGGATGCTTGCTTGGGCCCCTGGTCGTCTGGACCTCCGGCTTCAAATCGTGGTAGCAATGGAGATGTGGCCCCGTCTCGGGCATTGGCACTGGCATGGGTGTGATCTTGACTACCCGCCCGCGGGTTAGTCCATCGAGAGAGATACTGTCGTCCATTCCGCCAGGCACCCGCTAACGTCCTCCTCGAACCCGCGAGAAGATTGAGTGGTGTTGTCCTCGGCTGAGGTGTAGGTGATACGTCCCGACCACGAGGAGCATCCTCATCTTCTTGGATGGTACCGTATCCGGTGACTCCCTGCGATACCGGCGAGGCAGTCATAGAACCCCAGGGACTACGCCACCGGCGTTGGGCACCCATCAATCCTGCCAATGGGGCGGACGAGCGTCGCTGCCCACCTTGTATAGAGGGACCAGGACGACGAGATCCCCATGGGCGATGATACGGTATCGCGCTGATGGTCGAGTTCCGCGAGAGGCCGCGTATCGTACCATTCAAAGCTGGACCACCGCTAGAGCTACGAGGTCGTTCGATAGAAGAGCGCCATTTGGGCCCTGCTGCTTCGTAGTCTGAATCGTCGAGTTCGGCCCAAATGGAGGCTGCGTTGAGATCGGCAGCTTCATGTCGATCCATAGGTGGTATGAGCGGGAGACTGGGTGCTCGGGCCCTTTGGTAGAAGGAAAGGTGTCGCGGGCGAGTAGTCCCATGGAGTAACGGCTCTCGTTCTCCGATATGCGATTCCTCATCCTCCAGACCGTCCAGCAGCCCAGGTGACAAGGTGGTGTGTTCCTCGACAACTGACATGCCTGGTCCGATCCCGGTCTGCGTGGGACCCGCGACAGTGACGGCAGTAGTATTGTCGATATCCTCAAGGCGCCATGAGAGGCAAAGGACCCCCCCAAGAAGAATGGTCGTCCCTAATGCGATCAGGCCTGCGTGGAAACCCGCCAGTTGAGAGGCTTGCCGGAAGTAGATCAGGCCATCGAGAATAGCGATGATGTTGTAGATGCAAAACACAAACGGGTATAGCACACTTGTACTGCAGAGTTTAAGACCTCGATGCAAGTAGAAGAGCTGTGTAAGAGCCAGGGCGATCATGCCCAGTAGGATCAACCACGACTGCCAGCGGTTAAACTGGTTTACACGGTCTACCACCGTGCGCACCAGCAGCTCCACCGCAGATTTGGCAAGCAGCAGCGAATGGGCCGACAGGATTCCACTGACAGCTCCATAGCACATACCCCGGAAGAGCTTGACCCGACCTTGAAGACGTTGCACATGCGGTGTTAACACTCCCGACGCAGTAGGTTTCGCCCGCGACCCCGTTATGCAATATCTCGACAGTTTTGAACCAACAAGAATCAGTCCCACGACGACCAAGGTCATGGCCATCCATATGAGGAAAGGACGTCGCATCAGGAGCTTTAATAGCTGAGTCAAGGTATGCGCCGGCTCCCCGATGGCACCGAAGGTCGCAATTAATATGGCGCCAATGCAGACGAGAACAGTACCCGCAAACGAATAGCGGGTGAAGGGCTCGCCGAGGATAAGAGTAGCGAATATCGTATTGAAGACTAGTCCGGACTGTTTCCGACCCATCTCAACGGTTAGTTAACCTGCCGACTTGGGGGGAAACAACCACCGAAAGCAATGACGTTGACTGACCGCTTGGAGTGTGGAGAGAACTGGTAGAGGCAACGTGGTGATCTGAATCGTGCTTCCTACAATGTTGGAGATCACAAACATGCCCATGCCCAGCTGCCATCGCCGACGCTTGTAGGGAGGTCGGCGGCCCTCATAGATCGGCTTCTCGTCTTCGAGGAGGTGGGACTTGCGTTGGAGTGTAAGTCCGATGGCTTGTAGGCTAGTCGAGACTAGGCCCACGATCACTCCGACCTGATTATGGTCTATCAGCTAGTGTTTTTCACCACGTCCTGATTTTGTTTGCTCACCGCAATACTGCCCTGCGGCGACAGGTCTCCGAGGTTGCCCATCGTACTTGTATCGTATGTCGGCCGCGGAACGGGGGGTGTTGCGTAGGAGCGCAAGAGCTGGACCACTAACGGAGTACAAATGCCATGATGCGAGGAGCGAGGACTCGAAGGGAGTGTACAAACAAGTGGCCGTGACGAGAAAAAAGAAAGGGTCGTAGGGCGAGAAAGCAGGGGGCCAAGGATAGGAAGAGAGTGCGGAGGAGGACTGGATGCGGATGGGACGCCAAGGCAAAAGCAGCTGGAGAGCAGCGGCTCCCGAGCTTAGTTGGACACAACTCCCCTTCCACCTCCCCACGTCATTCAGCTATTCAACTTCGTCCACCCGACCACCACTTCTCCTCATTCTCTTCCCCTTGAATCAGCCATCATGTCGCAAAGTCATGCCCTCTCCGATGATCAGGTATGCCCGCACGCCTCCCCCATTGAACCCTACGCTGTACAACCCCTCTGCAGGCGACCCGGTGACTGACCATGTCCGATGCGAATTCTTAGGTCGCGGGCGAGCTCCGCAAGATGACCGCGTTCATCCGGCAGGAGGCCCTCGAGAAAGCTCGTGAGATCCAGTTGAAGGCCGACGAGGAGTTTGCGATCGAGAAGTCCAAGCTTGTCCGCCAGGAGACTGCCGCCATCGATACCCTCTACGAGAAGAAGTTCAAGCAGGCTTCCATGTCCCAGCAGATCACCCGCTCTACTCTCGCCAACCGGACCCGTCTCCGCGTGCTTGGTGGTCGCCAGGAGCTCTTGGATGAGCTCTTCGAGAAGGCTCGCAAGAAGGTCTCGACCGTGGCTGCGGACGATAAGACGAAGTACCAGACCATGTTGGAGGGGCTGATCCTCGAGGGCTTTTACTACATGAACGAGGACAAGGTTGAGATTCGCGCGCGGAAGAAGGATGCCGATGCTGCGAAGAAGGCTATTGAGGAGGCCGCGAAGGAGTTCAAGAAGAACGTCGGCAAGGAAGTGACCGCGACTCTGGACGAGTCAGAGCCTCTGCCTGAGGAATCGTAAGTCGCTACTTTCTTGTTCTGGGTGATTTAGAGCTTCAAGGCTAACAAGAGTACTTCTACAGTGCCGGTGGTGTGGTTATTGTCGGTGGTAAGGGTAAGATCGAGATCAACAACACCTTCGAGGAGCGCCTACGTCTCCTGGAGATTGATGCCCTCCCCGCCGTGCGTGAGACACTGTATGGAAAGAACGTGAACCGACGCTTCTATGACTAGACATTTTTCCTCTCTGGCTGCTCTCTGTATTTCTCCGCTGGTTACTCTACCCTGAGTCCTGCTGTTGGGTGTTTTCATGTTTTATAGTCTGGGCTTTTACCTGTGCCTTATTTTAGCCATCTCCATATAAAGAGGAGGGGGCTTCTGTTTCTACTTTTTTGACTATTGTTGCACATCCATATCTCCATATCCGACCTAGCATATGGTCTGTCTTTTATGAGCGTTCGTCCTGATTTTTCATCTACGGTTTGCAGAAAGTTTCGGAAACAATGCATGTGAAAATGCTTCGCTCAATTGATATTCATCAAGGCCGTCATGGTCGTTAATTATGTATACATATGTCTAGTCAAGCGAGATTCGAAGCCTGCCATCTTTCACAGTGGAGGAACTGCCTTTGATTGCACGCTTTCAATGGATTATGATTCCTGATCATGTCCGCGAATGGGCATTGCCGTGCCATCAACATTTCCTATCTCTGCAGCATCCGCTGCTCCATCTCCAGTGTTGATGGGACGGTTTCTTGTGAACATGTCGGGAATTGTGTGATTCGTTTGGTTCGGAATGATTTCGAACGGGGTCTTCTTCGGCGGCGCCTTGGAGCGAACCGAGTACACCATCCGATAGTGCAAGGCTTCTAGCATATCCCTCGCCACCAAGCGTTGAAGATGGGATGCCCCAGTATTCTCAATCGAACTGAAGACCCACTTGATCTGTGCAGCGAGCTGGTCGATTGCTTCATTGAACTTGACCACGGTGTCTGCCTGTCTATACTCCAAGTCGAAGAGGGCCGAGTTGATGCAAACCTCAAGTTGCAAGATGATGGCGACTAAATCACCATAGTCGTATTCGCTATTTCCTCTATGCCCTCGCACTTGGAATCGTTCATCACGCATTAAGAGCCGAGTAATACGCTTCAGGCTAAGGAGCTCCTTGGGGGAGTCGGTGAAGGGACCGGGTTTCTTCAGTAGAAATGACACTGCAAGGCGATATCGGAGTAATGACACCCATGTTGACGTCGGGAGAATATGCTGTAACAGGCGACTCTGAAACTGTGGATCTTTAATAGTTTCATAGATTGTGGTGCAAATGTTACGTTCCTGTTGCAGTCAGCGCCTGTTCATCAGCCCCGAGTGCATTGATGGAAAACATACAATTCTCTCCTTCGGTCCAAATTCCAAGAGGGAAGTCAAAGTTCCCTGCAACTCTGAACGCACCACGCAATCCGTAGTCAACGACGTATCTATAGACATACGAAGCAATATCTGAATAGCGTGCTCTTGGGTATCATCGTCAAACCTGGATAGATGTCAGCTTTTTTTTCTGTTCGAGTTTAGCTGGGAAGGACTGGAACTCACAGCTCTGCTGCCGCAGTGTCTCGAATCAGATTCAAGACGGAAACCAAGGCTGATCGCTCTCTGTTATGTGGCGCTTTCAATGATGCTGCAACAAGCGGTTAGAAAACTTCGCCAGAGTTCGAGCAGAGCTCTTACACTCAGGAGGATCTGGGATGATGGGTTCAGATAAATCTAATGCTCGTGGCTTAGCTCCCAGTTGACGGAAAAGTCCGTCAATTTCATCCCGGCAAATCAATGGTCCCGCTTGCTCTTGAGGTGTTTGCTATGTATAAACTTAGTGGCCTGTCGTGGCAAAGGAGCTCTTTGAATCTTACCGTGAAAATCCGACAATAAGCTTTCCTCAGCTCTTCTTTGGGTTCATGGGGAACTAGATCCAGGAGTCTTAGCAGGGACAAGAGCAAGGCCATGGAACGAGATGATGAGCATACTGGACCTGATTAGCCACAAGAGGAACTCATCTGGCAAACGCCGCAAAGATGCAGCAAACTCTAATATCCCCGACTGGAGAATCCGGGCACGAGATTCAGGTTCTATCGGAAAGGTCAGTGAGTGTTTGATCAGCCTGCTGGATAAGGTGCGAACAACCTGTCAGTCCTGCCAGAGGTGAACCCGCAGGAAACAATTTACGGGGGAATTTCGGTGTGGCGGGCATCATCTGGCTGTAATCAAAGAACCGCCAAGTGCGATTTTGCTCGAGGGCCTCGGTTCTCCGAACAGCGTCAAATAGGCGTTGAAGCCCCGGTCCCTGGTCAGAATCACCGCCCAAAGCAGATGCCAACGTGCCCTCATTGAGCCCGTTCTTTAATCCCCCAGCAGCACCTTGGACACCATTCTGTTGTAACTCCACAACGGTGGCCCTGGCCTTGGCAACATTGGCCTCGATCTCATCATCATCCACCGCATCGTGCACCAAGGAATCGATGGTGTACTTATATTTTGTTGGTGCGGATAGCTGAGCAAGCAGCGCTTTGTTCGGTTGGTACTTCTTTGGTGGGGGCGGGGGAGCATTCTTCGGTTTGTTTTTCGGAGCAAACAGTAGGTCGGGGTCTTCCAAAGAGGATATGGAGTCTGTGTCATCGCCATCAGAGCTAATGACTACCTCTTGGCCATCTTTGAGAATGCGTTGCGAAGCGTTGAAGCTGCCGTTCAATGATGAGGGCGGCGGGATTGATTCTATGCCCAAAAAGCTGTGGTCCGGGGCAGATTTTTCCGGTCTGTTGTCGCTGGCTAATCGCGGTGGTGATATATCCTGCCGAGTCAATGCGGAGATATCCTCCTCGTTCTTCCGATCGTCATCCTGGGTTAGATCTATCGTTATAGACGACCGCGGTAGCTCCGACTGTGGAGATGAAGCCGGAGCTTTATCCAACGTCTGAGCCTCAATCCGGGAGTCCTGTGTACGCGGCGTTGGTGGGGGTGCCCGATTAAAAAAGTCCCTGAGTGTGCGCATCGTGAGCGTCGTGGTGAGCGCTAAGCTGAGCACAAAGAGTGTGTCCCACCATCGACTCCCCGTCGCGTCGGCAGAGGCGCGGAGTCACGTGACTCAATACTACCCGATCGGGCAATTGGCTTTCCCCGGCATTTCTTTGTCGAGTTCTTGGTCCATACATTTCAAGGATCAACCAGGATATACTCGCTCCTTGTTTGTTGTCTTTTAAGTGACATTTTAGCTATTCATGTTGCTTGCGGAGAGATGCTGTGCTACTTCTCCACTCGACTCATTTGATACGAGGCTAATAAACTCTCTGACCAGCCACTGTCGCAATGGGCGCGGATCCGCGAGGATCCCAACTTCGCGTTTGATCTACATGTTTTACTAACCGCTATTTACGCCGAGAGTGAGGAGCGCTTGGCCTGTCAGGAGTCCGCAAACGCAGCACCACTGAATGCCCAGAGTCAGGGGTACGGAGCACACACCAACTACCCGCTATCCCATCAGTCTCAGACGCAGCCCGCCGATCTGATTTAGGGTTACGAATCTGGCTGGCAGTACGGAGTACTCCGTACACTCTCCATCTCCACCGTGGTTCGTCGTCGATCACGCGGGCTGACGATGCGCTGTCATGTTCTGATTGTGCTGCGCTACGGAGTAGATATAACTGGATTATGGGTATATATTCCTGGGGCAGCCTCGTCCTGCAATCTCTCATCCAAGCGAGAGCGGATTCGCCATGGATATCTAAGAAGAGTGGCCCTAGGCAGCATGAATGTTGATCGGAGACTGCACCGAAACGCCAAAGAAGTTCTGGAGCCCATTGGCAATTCCACTATGTACTGTGATCATCCACGGGGTCCCGCCCAGAAGGGCCACTGGACGCATAGAGCGCTCTCCTGAAAGCCAAGAGGCTCCATCCTACCGCGAGCATCCGCGACGAACACCAAAAAAAGGGGGTGGAAACCTAGAAGCGAGGCTGATGCCAACAGAGAGATTGAGAAAGCGCTGGGCGGAGGATTTTCCTTGGAGCCTTTGAGAGGGTTTCTTTGTTTTGAATCTGCACGAGTCAGGCTGAGGAGAGACAGTCCAAATTACTTACAGTGTTTCTCTGGCCACGAGGAAAGGTCGAATTATCGAATCATTTTGAATCATTCGACGCATCCCGTGGAACCGACTGGAGCCCCAGAAGCTGACTAAACGCCCGGTGGAGAACCGGACGCCCGTGCCGTGTCGCTGGCGGTTTCAGGCCAGATGCTCCGACCCCGAGACGCCATGTTGTATTCAACCCCCGTTACAGTAGTTGTACTGCTTCATAGTACATAACCCAAGCCACTAGTTCAATATTGATTTGACTCTATCGTCGGTAGCGAAAAAGTCCGTTCGCACTCCGCATACTCCGTCCGCCGTACGGACTCCACGGACAAGGTAATTTCTAGCAAAGGTGGCCTCTGCGCCCGGCACTGAGCTCATTGTCAGCCCCCCACGGAGCCCGGGTCTTCGGGGGGGCCGTTTTAAACTGTTCTAAGGACCCAGCATAATATTGATGAATGCAAGTATTGTGCAGGATTAGTGCACTGAATTGCATTTTCACCGGGCGTACTCCGTAGTCCTTCTATTCTATTGATATTATGTCCAGAGGCAGCATGTGGAAGACACTTCTAGTGCCTTGGCTTTTCGCTCCTTTAGCTCCGTATACATCTGACTATTGCAGATTGGGCAAGCCACCTCGATATTAAGAGGCATTGAAAGACAGGGAGAAGCGGGCTAGAGAACGATGTCAGAGACATACAAAAGTCGGCTGGCATGGAGTATTATTGTATGGAAATCGACACCTTTATACTCTATAAGTGTCTGCATAGAGTACAGTATATGGGGCCTCGAGATGTCAATGTTCGGGGTACACAGCCATGATCCATTTCAGCACAACCATACAGAATACATTATTTTGCTCTGGATGTTCATGCTGGCGCCAATCCATGCGCAGGCTGTGTCACCGCTGCATGAGGGCCGGGGGCCATAACTATTCCTGGAATAGACCTCATACAGTTTAAGGCCGTACGAAGAGGGGTGAGAACCTATCGAGTATGATATTCCGGATATTCGGACTAAGGTGGCCATGGATAGTCTACCATAGAATGGACATCCTTCATTAATCAGAATCCATGAGAATTGATCATCAGTGCCGAAGTGTCCTCATTGCCACCATCAGAAATTTAGAAGGTGAACCAAACAACGGGGGTTTCCAGGACCGAAAGGGCGAGATGAGGCTGGGTATGGTCGTTTCAATACCGGACGTAAGGTTCTGTCCGGCCACTGGAGGTGATGTACGAAGTATCCTTCGTATCCGTGTTGTTGCATTAGTATGAAGTATGAGAGAGTGAGCCACCACCGATGGTTATATATACAATCCCTTCTTAGACACACAATGTCAACATTCTCTAAGCAATTGTCAATTCAAAAGCCTTTCAGGACTAAATAGTGTATGGGTAAAAGACCACAACGAAGAGAATTCATCCTGCCAAGCAAATCCGCTGACCAAGCCGGCATGTAAGCAATCCAGTAAAGTCCACATAAGCAGGAAAAGGCCGTACATCCGTGACCCGTAATTACGGACCTCCCTCCCGAGTCAATAGTCCCAAGCTGTCTGATCCTCTCTGCGCATCTCATCTCTCTTCCTCGAGGAAAAAAAAATACCCTTTCTTTACCTACTCTCTCTTACCCCCTTCCATGCGATCTCCTCCTCCCTCTCCCCTCCACCTTTCTCCATATTGCATGGCCCCTCGTGGGTGATACCGCGTCCTCGATTAACCCACCGACTTAACAATCCCCGGGATAATACGACCCTCACCTCCCCTCCGACCGTCGATACTGGGTCACTCCTCAGTCCCGTCGTCATCCGCGCGCGCCGGCCTCGTCGCTATATCGCAACGTCGAGTCCCATCGTTCCATGAAATTGCGCCTAGTGTGATCTTGTCCAAGTCGGTACCTGTGACGCCCAGGCCATCATTTCCACATCGCTACGCAAGGCGAATTCAGCTTCAACAAATTGAATGCTACTTCGCCCTTACTTGCAACAGGCTCTCGTCCAGTTTTATGCCCTACTGGGCGCAACAGTAGCCTAGATGGCTTCCGTGCAATTTACAGGGGACGACAATAATGAGGGGGTTCACGAAAGTAACGAAGTTCAGGAGGTCAGCAGCAATATCTCCAAGCCAACCAAACGCCAAAGATGGGCCACCACGCGCCATACGGGCTCCGGCGGCGTGCGGAAACGAGTCTCAATCATAGATCGCTTTCACAAGCGCTCGGAAATGAGGGATGAGAAGCGCAAGTCTGCAACTCCGAGCACTCCGGCCGCATCCACCAACGGCGAGGACAGCCAGCAATCTGGTCCCAATCGAACGATCTATTTCAACGTTCCGATCCCTGAAGACGAACGAGACGAGGATGGGCACCCCATCCACACCTATCCCCGAAACAAGATTCGTACCGCCAAGTATACAGCTTTGACATTCGTGCCCAAGAACATCTGGCTCCAGTTTCACAACATTGCGAACATCTACTTCTTGTTCGTCATTATTCTCAACGTATGCGCCACTCCCGAGACCCCGCTGGAGATCAGAAAGTGATCAGAGGAATAAGACACACTAGAGCTATATTAACTTCTATCCTTCTCTAGTTCTTCTCGATTTTCGGTGCCAACAACCCTGGTTTGAACGCCGTCCCCTTGATCGTCATTATCGTTGTGACCGCCATTAAGGACGCCATCGAGGATTGGGGCCGAACCGTATCGGACAATCAAGTGAATAATTCCCCTGTATATCGCCTTGTGGAATGGAACAATGTGAATTCGACCGAAGACAACATCTCGCTCTGGCGTCGGATCAAGAAGGCGTCTACGCGGAGCGCCATTTCCACGTACCACTGGGGTAAGAAACTTTTCACCAAGAAGAAGGATCAGGATGGTGATCTCGAGGACGGACAACGACGCGACTCTTTCCTCACCACAGGGGACCCACGGGCCTCGATATATTCGCACCGAGACTCTCTCGCCGTCGATGCCGCCATTCCGATGACTGAAGTTCAGTCGCCCCAGGCTGAAGTCCGGGAAGACTGGCCTATCTCCAGCGTCCCTGAGAACAAGTACCTCTCTCCTAATAGCGCTCTTCGAGAAAGCGTCATGTCGCCGACATCACTTGACAAGAAAACCGGAAGCGTGCTCGACAAGACGAAGCAGACCCCGGGAACCGCTCGATTCAAGCGGGATTACTGGAAGAGCATCCAGGTTGGCGACTTTGTGCGTCTCTACAATGAAGACCCGATTCCGGCCGATATCGTGATTTTGGCCACTTCTGATCCCGATGGTGCCTGTTATGTTGAAACGAAGGGCCTGGATGGTGAGACGAACTTGAAGGTCCGTCAGGCGCTTCACTGTGGTCGCCAAGTTCGACATGCTCGCGACTGTGAGAAGGCTGAATTCACGATCGAGAGCGAAGCCCCTCACCCCAACCTGTATGCTTACAACGGTGCGATCCGTTGGGATCAGCGCGACCCGAACTTCCCGGATGCTCCCCGCAAGGAGATGGTCGAGCCCATCACAATCAACAACATGTTGCTTCGTGGCTGTTCCCTGCGCAGTACTGAGTGGATTCTTGGTGTGGTCGTCTTCACCGGTGGCGAGAGTAAGATCATGCTCAACTCTGGCGCAACTCCCGCAAAGCGTGCTCGTCTGGCCAAGGAGCTGAACTGGAACGTCATCTACAACTTCATTATCCTGTTCATCATGTGTCTGCTTGCGGGTATTGTGAACGGCGTTGCATGGGCTGCTCCGGATAAATCCCTGGACTTCTTCGACTTTGGGTCCTACGGTGGCACCCCCGCCGTTACGGGTATTGTCACCTTCTGGACCGCTCTGATTCTGTTCCAAAATTTGGTCCCTATTTCGCTCTACATTTCCCTGGAAATCGTCCGTACCATCCAGGCTGTCTTTATTCATAGTGATCTTTACATGTACTACGAAAAGCTTGGGCTTTACTGTGTGCCCAAGTCGTGGAACATCTCAGATGATGTGGGACAGGTCGAGTACATCTTCTCTGACAAGACTGGTACTCTTACGCAGAACGTCATGGAGTTCAAGAAAGCCACCATCAATGGTATGGCCTATGGCGAAGCATACACCGAAGCTCAGATTGGCATGAGACGCCGTGAAGGCGCTAATGCTGATGAGGAAGCTGCCGTGGCTCGTGCACAGATTGCAGCTGACGGGAAAAAGATGCTGGAAATGCTGCGTCGCATTCATGACAACCCGTACCTGCAAGATGAAAACTTGACTTTCATTGCTCCGAATTTCGTGGCGGATATTGAAGGACAATCCGGACAAACTCAAAAGGCCGCTGTGGAACACTTCATGTTGGCTCTGGCTCTGTGTCACTCCGTCATCACCGAACATACTCCAGGTGATCCTCCCCAGATCGAGTTCAAGGCGCAATCGCCCGATGAGGCTGCCTTGGTCAGCACTGCTCGTGACTGTGGCTTCACGGTTCTTGGCCGTGCTGGTGATGATCTTTTGCTCAATGTCATGGGCGAGGAGCGCACCTACACTGTCCTGAACACTCTCGAATTCAACTCTTCGCGAAAGCGTATGAGTGCTATTATTCGTATGCCCGATGGTACTATTCGTCTGTTCTGCAAGGGTGCCGACAGTATCATCTACTCGCGTCTGGCTCGTGGTAAGCAGCAGGAGCTTCGACGCCAGACTGCCGAGCACCTCGAGGAATTTGCCAAGGAAGGTCTACGAACGCTGTGCGTTGCTGACCGTCTTCTTAGCGAAGAGGAGTATCAAGTTTGGAACCGGGAACATGACATTGCCGCTGCCGCCATCACTGACCGCGAAGAGAAAATGGAGGAGGTCGCGAGCAAGATCGAGCAGGAGCTGATGCTCATTGGTGGAACAGCGATTGAGGATCGTCTGCAAGATGGCGTGCCAGATACCATTCAACTGCTTGCAGATGCCGGCATCAAGCTATGGGTTTTGACCGGTGATAAGGTCGAGACTGCAATCAACATTGGCTTCTCGTGCAATTTGCTCAACAACAACATGGATCTGATCGTTCTCAACATCCCCGAGGGTCAACACGAGCAAGCAGCAAAGGAGCTTGATAAGAATCTTCAAACCTTCGGTTTGACTGGTTCCGACGAAGAGCTCATCGCTGCTCGTTCAGATCATTCGCCACCGGAACCCACTCACGCCGTGATTGTCGATGGTGAAACGCTTAAGATGATGCTGGACGACGAGCTCAAGCAGAAGTTCCTCCTGCTTTGCAAGCAATGCAAGGCTGTTCTTTGCTGCCGTGTTAGTCCTGCCCAGAAAGCGGCCGTTGTCAACATGGTCCGGCATGGTTTGAACATCATGGGCCTGGCCATCGGCGATGGTGCCAACGACGTCGCCATGATTCAAGAGGCGGATGTTGGTGTCGGTATCGCCGGTGAGGAGGGTCGACAAGCTGTCATGTCCTCGGACTATGCTATTGGACAGTTCCGATTCCTCCAGCGCTTGCTGCTTGTTCACGGAAGATGGTCTTACCGTCGTCTAGGCGAGTGTACCGCCAACTTCTTCTACAAGAACTTGGTGTGGACCTTTACTCTCTTCTGGTACTGTTGCTTCAACGACTTCGACGGCTCCTATCTCTTCGATTACACCTATATCGTCCTGGTCAACTTGGCCTTTACTTCGCTGCCGGTTATCTTCATGGGTATCTTTGATCAAGACGTCGACGATCGGGTGTCTCTTGCCGTACCTCAATTGTATATGCGCGGCATTGAGCGTAAGGAGTGGTCGCAGCTCAAATTTTGGTCAGTACCCCCTCCTCCTCCCTCCTCGGTTCTTTCTTGCTGACGAGCTTTCTAGGATGTACATGGCCGATGGCTTATATCAGTCGGTGATCTGTTTCTTCATGCCTTATATGCTATTCCAGGTGGCCAACTTTGCTACCGAGAACGGGCGAGACATTGCTGACCGAACCCGTATGGGCGTTCTGGTTGCGACTTGCGCCGTCCTCGCCAGTAACTTGTACATCATGATGAACACTTACCGCTGGGACTGGTTCACCTGTTTGATTAATGCGATCAGCTCGCTTCTGATCTTCTTCTGGACTGGAATTTACTCGTCCTTTACAGGGGCTGGTCAGTTCTACAACGCGGCGGCCGAGGTTTATGGTGCTCTTAGCTTCTGGATTGTGCTGCTTGTGACCATCATGATCGCCTTGCTTCCCCGGTTCATGTACAACTCGATTCAGAAGGTGTTCTTCCCCCTGGATGTCGATATCATTCGTGAGCAGGTCACTCTTGGCAGATTCAAGCACCTGAAGCAGTACGAAGACTATGTGCCACCAAATGTGGGTGCGGCGGCGATCGTTGGCTCCGGTGATGGGTCGGCGACCTCCTCTGAGATTGCCAAACCAATTCAGCCTGCCGTGAAGCAGGACCAACCCGACCCTGAGGGTGCTCAACAATACTATGCACCTTCTCAGCACACCAACGGCCATAACCCTCGCAGCCAGAATGGTAGCAATGGCACCAACTACACCGAGAGCCTAGATCAGTGTCCCCGACCTCAGTCAGTGGACTACGTCCGACGTTCCCACGATCGAACACGACACTCATTTGAGCGGATACGGCACAGTTTTGAGCAGAGCAACGATTTCACCTCGGCAGCTCGGCTTCAACGGATGGAATCAAGCCACACTCAACATTCCAACCAAGATCCGTTCCGCTCTCCAGGCGAGCCCCCTGCACATATGATTTGAGAGTCACCCTTGCATAGACTTAGCGCTGATGACCCGTCATTGACCATTTCTCTTCCCCCCCCCCGTCTTTCACTGAGCCGGTACCCACCTAGCCTGTGGATCTCTTCTATTGCCTTCTACCCTTTCTATCTTCATGAGCAATATGCTGCGGTGTTTTCTTGACTTTTCTTCCCTTTTCTTTACATCTGTTTCCAGCCTTGATATTCCCCTGATAGAAAGCAGGCGTTCGGTATACTACACTCGGTCGGAGGCTCGGCGCATTTCCTTACCCTTTTTGGTCTTTCAGCCAAACCTCGTTCTCTCTATACTACCAGGGAGTCTCTCGGCGGCTTCCGTTCTCCTGTCTTTTCACATGTTTCATAGTGTCTATTTGCCCTTTGTACAAAAGCGTTCTTTGTCTTCCTGCAATAATAATGCATGACAATTCGCATTTGATGGCCTCCCCGCTCTCTCTTATTCTGTGATTCCCGCTTCCTGGGGTTATATCTCCTTGGGATTTTTCTTTTATTCTTCTTTTGCACTCTAGTCTATGGTGTTATCTTTTGATTTCTGTTGAGGCTTAGCAGGCATGGCCTGGGGATGATATTCATGTATGCCTCCATGAGGGAAAGTTACTTAATGCGAATATCACTTGAATGTCGTAAATTAACACGTTAATTTGAAATTATTTTTAAATAAAAATAAAATGATTATTAATTTCTTGTGCGTGCTATGTTAGTTTCGGTTTTCACAACAGACGAAGTAGTGACGTGTAGAAAGTCTGTATCATAGATCTACGGAAGCCTTAGTACGAGACAATACCTCTTCCTGAACACACGTTCATGACTCAATCTCTTGATATTGACTATACACTAGCTCATTCAGCATTTTCTGAAAGGATTCCGTGAGGTAATATGGTGAACTTGTACAAGAATTTTACGAATAGAGTAAAAGAGCGAAATTGTGCAAAGTTGATTGGTAAGGTTAGACAATAATACACACGGGGTTTCCCCAGATACCGAGCTTCTGAAATTGCTAAACAAACAAGCATTCTAGATTCAGAAAGAACGGAGCTTAGAAGTTGTCTGCGTCTCATGGGCTGTCCCATTAATGTCTGTAGATACTTCTTGACCGCATAAACTGTACATACACCACTAGCTTTACCCACTTAGGTAAAAGTGAAGCGCGTCCAACGCGTTCGGGTAGCCTACCGCCCTCGAGTTCTGCCAATCTTCATCATTCTGCCGCGTTTTGCTTCTGGGGATTTTCCTTTCATTCAAGTTGAGAGGCGCTTCGAGCGACAGACACCTCTAGGAGGCTGTTGCATTTAGCTATTACCCTGGGCTCTCTCTCTTTCGGTAGACCCTTTCCAGAACAAGCTATCCTCGCTTGACCGTCACCTCTTCGCGCTGATAGGTATGTCGCAAGTTGCCTTCTCTCACTCGAGCTCGTATTGGCGCCCTCTTTCTCTCGAAACATATCTGATGATTTGAGCCACAGGTAGTGCCTACTCGGAATCTGCCCCTCAAAGCACCTTCCCCGCATATCCGTGAAAAGGACCCCGCCGTCCAAACCGTCATTGCCAACTCGTACAGCTCCGCTGTGAACTGGACTTGACTAACCCCCCATAAACCTGTCCCCAAGCTTGCCCAGACACGCTGGAAGGCAATGCGCTAGTTGCAATATCGTGGTGGACCAGGAAATGTGCGGGGGATCTTCGGTACAATCATATCCTCTGTAATCCGTGAGACTTTCATCATGGAGTTCGTGGATGCTATTGGGTAAGTGGAACATGTTTTGAATATTTCCATCGGCAGTTGATGGTACTGACAAATTTTTGTTTCTACAGAGAGCTCAAGGCTCTCCCCGAAGGAACCCACCTGCTTTGCCCGAGACGGAGCGAAAATGACTACGGACGCTATGATGACCCGAGCCAGGTGGATGAACATGGAAAGAGCACTGGAGATATCGTGGCAGAGGGCAAGGCTCGCAAGGAGAAGTTCCTCTTATCGATGCGTATTCTTGCCTACAACGCAGAAGGTGTAGAGGAGCTACAGACTTGGGTCTTGAGCAAACTGGACCAGTGCTTGGAACAATGCGACCTCTGCATCAAGCAGTACTACACTGGCAAGGTCTGGCTCATGGACCAGCTCAAGGAGTTGTACCAGGATGAAGACATCGAGGAATTTGCCCAGCGAATGGACGAATGGGACGTGAAGCGCATCACGAGAAATCTGGCTACAGCATGTGCTCAACTCAAAAAGGTTCCTCCCCAGGAAATTAACCTAAGTGTCTTGGACCGGGCTGCATTGCTCTCCATCTTCGAGACACTAAGTTGCGAGGCGATGCTGCGGAGTGATCAACTTCTCCAAGAGCATTTTGACGAGCCATTCAAGCTCATTCAATCCAAGAGGTCTTTGAAGATCTCTGATTATGTTCCTGCTGTTACCCGTTTCCTCTTTGACTCGAACCAAGCTCGGAGCTTCTGGGCTATTTCAACGTGGACGCGATACACTCGACCTCCGACTAGCGAGGAGTTTGAATGGGCTATTCGGGATGGGCTTCTGAGTGCGCTACAGGCTGGATCACAAGCTGCTAATCAATTACCACCTCAGCTTGCGGTAGTGCAGCGACTGTGGCGTGGAATGCAGCTTATTGTCAGGAAGCTAGACAAAGATCAAATCACACATAACCTCCGTGCTTTAGACATTGATCCTTGCCGCCTGTCTGTGGACCATCTGCATCTGCAAACCCCCGGCCTTCGATTCCTCTTGAATACTATTCAGATTTTGCTAGAGAAAGCCCCCGGTGACTTCTGGGATGCCATGCAGACCATTTCTCCTCAAGCTATCATCGAGCAGATCTTTGCCAACTATCAATTCAGAGCCTTCCTCATGCAGACCACCGAGGGTGAGGCGTATGAGAAGTCGGCTTTGAAAGATATGCTATCTTGGATCAATCCCTTTATGGCCTCACTCAAGGGTCATCATCAACCCTCGGCATGTCGATACTTGGCCACACAACTGCTGCAGCGTCTACAAGATGACCAATACCCGAATCTTGCTCGATATCACTGCTTTCACGTTGGCCTGAACAGTCTCCTCAGCACTCTCCGCCGTTTCACAGACCATGAAGCGTCAAGAAGTTCCGTTGACAGCGTGGTGCTCAAAGAGACCATGGACGTCGTGGTTGCTACCATCAATGTCATTCTTAACCCGCCAGTGTTCAATATTGAACAGGGCCGCCAGGAAGAAATCAAGTCTCTGTGCATGGACGTGGTTCGCAACACTCTAGCCCTAGAGTGTCAATCATTGAAGAGTGACTACGAGGTTATCTTGAAGCACGGCACTCTCTCCCATGGTGTTTCTACCTACTCCGCGCCTGTATGGGAGGCTGTGATCAAGCATCTTCGTCAAGATAATCTTGCACTATCGACGGCTGCTCTACTAGGAGTCCTTCCTCTCGTTGGACTGGAAAAGTTCCCGGCCAAGGGCGATGGTACCAAAGAGAAGACACATTTCAACATGATTTATGGTCATCTCACCCGCCTTTCCTGTCAGATGATCGAACGTCTGGCAGACTTCCCGCCTGAACACCTGAAGCCTCTTTTCCAAAGCCAGGATACCAGCAGTGCGCTGATCTCGACCCTCTTCGCTGCCGATTTGAACACCTATCAAGCTGCCGTTGATCTCATCAAGAACGTCAGTGGTCAATTCGCACGGCGAGATGCAATCTCATACCTTCTCGAGTCGTTCTTCACAACCTCCATGTATGGCATGAGTTGGTCCTTCCGACGCATTTCCAACATGAAGACCTTTGCACCCGCCCCGAGAATGCTGCATACGGGAACCGATATCGTAGAGATTCTGTGTAATAGTCAGACGGGTATGCTGCGTACGCGAAATTTCGTGGACCGGCGAGAGATCCTGTCACTTCAGAAACTCTGGGAATTCCTGTGGCAATCCTTGACTACCATCTTTGACGAGACGGAGGCCTGGCATATGCGTGGTAACGACAAGGAAGTCATGCTTGACTTTTGTCGTGATACCATTCAATTCGCCAATTTCCTCTTCGATCAGTATGGTGTCTTTCTGGGTGTCGTGGGGGGTACAGATACTGCTCAAAAGTCAGTTTCAGAGGCCTTCATCAAGTCACCCACGACTACTATGAGTGCCATGGTGAAGTGGTTGCGTCTCAAGGATGAGTATCTTGCCACATCTTTAGTTGCGCTGGTCTCGAAAATCCTAAGACGATTGGGGAGTCTGGACGTGACGACTGTCAAGGCAGACGCGTTGAGTTTCATTGAGGGCACCGCGGTACATGGGACAATCAAAACGATTTTGACCAGTCGCGACAAGGCAGAACTCGTGCGCTCACTTGAGGCTTACACCAAAAAACCTGTCGTCACTGCTTCCACGGCCTCCCTGAAAAAACAATCTTCTATCACTTCGTTTGCCCGCCGCCCCAACGATCTTTCTTCCCCCTCTTCTCCCTCCTCTCGTGTTCCCAGTGACGACGAATTTGAGGATATTCCCGACGAAACTCTACTCGACCTTTCTCGCTCCGTTGAACTCAATAAAAATCGCCTCGCCCTCACTGCCAAGCAGAAGGGTTCATCCCCTCTCGGGATGCCCGCCTCAACGGCACTGCAGACGAGGCCTGGGATGCCCAAGGGTCCCATGGCCCAACGTCTCAAAAATGATGCCACCAGCGTCCTGTCCTTCCGCGAGAAGCGTGAGCGAGAGAAAGAGGCCAAGAGGAAGCGGGATATGGCAGAGTTGGCAAGACTCAAGAAGAACATGCCTGCTCGTGGGGTTGCGGAGCAAACGGCTGAGCAAGGCTCTGGCCTCAAAGGTATTGGTGTGAAGGGTAAAGATCATTCTATCCCCCTTGACAGTATGATGGTCTCGTCTGGCTCGGACAGCGATACTGAGAGTGAAGATGAACTAGATCAGGAGTTGTTCGGCGCGAAGCCCAAGAAATCCGATGCCGCGGACCCCTCGGAGCAGAAGAAGAAACCCCCCCAGCAGATGCCCCTCAGGAAGGTAAAGCGTCACCGGTCTATGAAGGACATGCGTGCCCGTCTATCCCCGGATCTATCATCCTTGCACCACCAGATCCTGTCGTGGAATTATTTCGCAACTGGCGATCTCCCATCTGGTGATCGCACCGACTACACCCTCGTCTCCAATTCGTTCCGTTCTCCCCAGGATTACAAGAACACATTCGAGCCCCTGTTGATCCTCGAGGCCTGGCAAGGCTTCCAGTCGGCCAAGGATGAAAGTGCCTCCTCATTCCGGCCTTTCGAGGTCAAGGTTATGACCCGCTTGACCGTGGATTCGTGGATCGAAGTCAGCACCCAGCCTCTCGGTCTGCCTTCCAAGGACTTCTTCATCAGCGAAGGTGATCTGGTTTTGTTCTCCAATGCCGCAAAGCCGCATGAGAACGAAAATGCTCCACACATTCTTGCACGGGTCGCCCATGTCAATCGTAAAGGTGGAAAACTGGAGGTCACCTACCGCATGAACCCAGGACCCAACAAGTTCCTTCAATCCTTGTGTGTTGGTGCCACTGCCTTTGGAGTCAAGGTCACCTCATTGACTCCGGTTGAGCGTGAATACGGTGCTTTGATGGCCTTGGAATACTACGATCTTTGCGAGGAGATTGTGCTTGCCAAGCCGTCGCCACTCCTCACCTACGGGGATTCCACTTTGCAGCCTTACATGGACAACTACAATATCAACCGCGCTCAGGCCAAGGCGATCAAGTCTGCTATGGACAACGATGCTTTTACCCTTATTCAGGGTCCTCCGGGTTCTGGAAAGACCAAAACTATCACCGCACTGGTTGGTAGTCTCCTCACGAATGTCCTCAGCAAGGTTGCAGTCACCATCGGTAACTCCCGACCTGCGTCTTCGCGGAAAGTGTTGGTGTGTGCACCCAGTAACGCCGCAGTTGACGAATTGGTCATGCGAATGAAGGAAGGTGTCAAGACTCGCAATGGTCGCCTAGAAAAGATCTCGGTTGTTCGCCTGGGCAGAAGTGATGCCATCAATGCCAAAGTGCTTGATGTGACCCTTGACGAGATGGTCAATGCCCGCATCAGTCAAAGCCCCTCTACATCAAACAATGTGGACATGCAGAAACTTTACGAAGAGCACAAGACGACCGACACTCAATTCAAAGACCTCCGCACCAGCCTGGATGATTGCCGAGCAAAGGGAATCGCACCCCCTGAGGAGCTTGAGCGCGAGTTTGAGCTGATGAAGAAGAAGCGAACTCAGTTGAGTGCTGATATTGACAAAGCCCGTGATCAAGTTTCCACCTTGGCCCGCAATGCAGACATGCAGAAGCGACGCATTCAGCAGGAGATTATCGACGGTGCCCATGTCATCTGCACCACTCTCAGTGGTTCAGGACACGACATCTTCCTGGGCATGAACGTTGAGTTTGAAACCGTTATCATTGATGAGGCGGCTCAATGTATTGAGCTGAGCGCCCTCATTCCGCTCAAGTACGGTTGCTCCAAGTGTGTCCTCGTCGGTGACCCAAAGCAGCTGCCGCCTACTGTCCTGTCGAAGATGGCATCGAAGTTCCAGTACGAGCAGAGTCTGTTCGTCCGTATGCAGAAGAACTTCCCGAAAGACGTGCACCTGCTGGACGTTCAGTACCGTATGCATCCCGACATCAGCGCCTTCCCCAGTCTCACTTTCTACGATGGCAAGCTTCAGGATGGCCCTGATATGGGTAAGCTTCGTGTTCGCCCATGGCATCAGAGCGAACTACTCAGTCCATATCGCTTTTTCGATGTTCAGGGTATGCACCATAGCGCACCCAAGGGCCGCTCTTTGATCAACTACGCGGAGATTCAGGTTGCCATGCAGCTGTATGATCGGCTAGTCACAGATGTCAAAGACTACGACTTTGCAAACAAGATTGGTATCATCACTCCATACAAGGGCCAGTTGCGAGAGTTGAAGAACCAGTTTGCGTCTACATATGGTGAGGATATTCTGAAGAAGGTCGACTTCAACACCACCGATGCCTTCCAGGGACGAGAGAGTGAAGTCATCATCTTCTCCTGTGTGCGTGCCTCCAACAATGGTATCGGTTTCTTGAGCGATATCCGTCGTATGAACGTCGGTCTCACCCGTGCCAAATCCTCCCTGTGGGTGTTGGGTAATTCCGCGGCCTTGATGCAGGGTCAATACTGGAGAAGTCTTATCAACAACGCACGAGAGCGTCATGTCTACACAGAAGGCAACATTCCAAAGCTTCTTCAGCGACCCCAGTTCACGGGTTACAAAGAGATTGAAATGGTTGATGTGGACGCGGCTACCCCTACTTCAACCACAGTGGCTCCAACTGCCCCGACTGCCGCTCCCATCAACCCGCCCACCGCGGTGTCGGTTGCTCCCAAGCCTCAGCCAGTCGTGGCCCCTGCGCAGTCTTCTACCCCAACACCTCGTCCTGATGGTCCCTCCGGTGGTGCTGCAGGTTTGGATGAGACCAAGATGTGTGGTGTTTGTGGCAGCAATGAGCATTTCACTCACAACTGCGACAACGAAGAAGCCCAGGAGGCTGCCCGCGGCCAGTGTTACCGATGCCGCGGGTTTGGCCACAGCAAGTTCCACTGCACTGCCATCCGCTGTCTCGAATGTGGCCAGTTTGGTCATCCTGCTATCAAGTGCGCCGCAAAACCGCTTCCAAAGCACGAGAAGGCCCGCATCGCCAATGAGGAGCGTCGTCGTCTTGAACAACAAAAGCAACACGCCGAGCGTCAGCGCCAACGGCAAATGGGGGGCCATGATCCCAAGATTCCTACCATTGCAGTAACCACCAACTCGTCTCCGGGTCCCAATGAGAACGCTGGCATCAAGCGCAAGCGAAATGAGCAATCCGGCGATGGCCCTAAGGCATCACGGCCTCGTACCGGTCCATCGGGACCACCATCGAATGCGCCAAAGGGCCCGCGATTGTTGGCACCTGTCAGTTTAATCTTGATCTTTAACGTATCTGATCTATACATTTGTGGATGCTAACACTAATTTTAGGGCCTCTCGGGTCCTGCTCGTAACGGCCCCGGCGCAAAAAAACCGTCGGCGAGTGGTGGTGGTGGTAGTGGGGGTCCATCGGCATCTGGCTCCAATGCTACAGAGGTAAGAAACAAAGTGTTTGGTGCTCAATTGTTGGATTGCTCGCTCACGTCTCTTTTTTTCCGTTCTCATAGGCTTCTCACCCCACTCAGCCCAAGCCGCGACCCCCGATTATGCGTAAGAAGGAGGTCGACCCATTCATTCGGCGACCCAAGCCGAAACAAAAGTAGAGCGCCACTGTGTCTCACCTGATCGTCGTGCACCACTTTCTCGCCATGAATTGCTTTCTCCTCGTTGATCCTCGCTTTCAATCAACCTTGTTTCTCTTCGGATCTCTTGTCCGGGTTCGCCTGTCTCTCCACGATCTCCACCGCGATCTCCACTAGGATCTCTCCCTATCACATTACTACCGGTCCCGCCCACACACCCACAATCCCTTCCCTCTTTTTTTTTGGCAGTGAATAGAGTCGAGCAGCCCGTTCACTCTGGGACTCGTCATGAAATCGAGTCACTTGAGTTCTCGGCCCTTCTACCCAGCATTCGCAGGCGTCCTCACGTACCATTGAGATCTCTTCTTGTACTCTAAACATTTACTTGCGCCCAGCGAAACATACATTACCCCAATGTCATTGATTATTGTATTCCTTCCAATACAACTTAAATAGATCAGTTCCATTGCCCGTCATCTGAAGGCTTCGACCATGTTTGCTGTATTCTTAGCCATTTGCCTTACCATGCGAGTGTCCCAATTAGCTTTGTTGTGGCGCAAGAGGGGGCGTTGTATGCTCCATTTTTGCGATCACGGAAATCGGAAGGCGATCCCAAACTTGATACTCTGTTGAACTGTCAGATGGATCCTGCAGCAGCCTAAGGCTAAGACGATGGGGGGCGGAACGTCCGGAGAATTAAAGCGAAAGGGCATTGGGGCGGTTGAAGGGCGGGAAGTTGAAACTACAGGATCTAATGTGTCAATTAACTGATACGGAGTAACTAGTTACATACTAGGCTTAGTATTCCTTCTTTGCTTACTACTATTTACTGGATCATGCAGTGGATCATCGACTGCAAGGGCGGTGGGGGGAAAAAGAGTCGATAATCGATAGATCGATCATCCGTTCGGCATAATTGTGAGTATTATTGCAGCATTATTGAAAACACCACCACCTCCTCCTCCGCTTCCCTCTCAAACCTTCAACTCACCATTCTTCCAGTCACTACTCTCGGCCTCCACAAACGGGCTCCAGCTGCAACTCATTTCAAGTGATCGTCTCTGTCTGTACCCGCTCGGGGGATCCCTGAGCTTGGATCAACGATTGACTGCGATCAGCTGGGATCGGCTAGATCGGCGCCCGCGTCAACTCCCCCGAAAAGTGGAGTCTGATACCTCACATCCTGACGTCGTTTAGACTTTATCGCTTTACCGCGGGGCCTCATCCAATCTGTCGGGGTCGGCTGGTTCGACTGGATCTGATGGTTCTCCTGAACAAAAGTCTATCCCTTGCGCAGCACAATTGAAGGGGAAACTGGGGAACAGGACGTCTCTCCTTCCAGTTCGCAGCTCTCCTGCGAACTCCAACGTAACTGTCGCCATGCGCGAGCTGGTTGCACAACAAGGATCACAGTGCAAATGATGTGCTGCAGTAATCCTCGAGCGACAATCTGATCGTTCCCGTCCCCACCAGAGCACATACCCAATTATATCTCCTGCAGCTGGGGCGCCCGGAGCCCGGGCGAGGCCAAAATAGTTTGCCATCTCCTCCAGCTGCTGTGTCATATTGCAAATCGCTGCATGCAGTTGCCGCCATCCACCGTCAGAATCCCAAACGATGTGTTTACCGTCGTACTAGATGACCGCTGCGATTTTGGTTCGAGCCTGGGCTTTTGCCCATGACAAGAGCCATGACCCGTGGGCCCTCCCCAGACAATCGGGCTCGGTTCAGAAGGTTCCTGAAGAACGAACGAACCCCTTCGATGAGGCCTGCATGGTCCTCCCCCTCTCTCCCTGCCCTAGAAACTAACAAGATTTTAGCTTCAACCATATCGATGCCCTTTCCAGGCTATCTGCTTGCCGAGGGCGGGCCCAAACTACAGTCTTCCTGCATCTGGATCGACGAACCCAGAATGGCGTTGCGTTGGCTGCCCCCTCCCTCTCCCTAGGGTGATGCGACAGCTCAACTCCTATCTACAGTAGTTAGCTATGCTCTTATAAACTGGGATTTCCTCCTTGCCACATGTCGGTTTGTTTGGCTTTTTTATTTTCGGTTGCCTCGTCTCAGCTTGTTTTCCAGTCCACTCTTTTCTCCGTGCTCAGTTGCTCCATCGACTGCCACGCCATTCACCTTGTACATAGTGGCTTATCTTCGTAAATACTACCTGTCATTTCGTCTCCGTTTCCACTCTTCGCCTTTATACCCCCGGATCTGCTCAATCGCCTGCTGTTTTTGGTCTTTCATTCTCTGAACCGGTGAGCTGGTCTACCAAGTGTAACCATGACAATGATCTTTCTAACATGCGACAGCTTCTTTTCCCTTTGAGCCATTAAATCCAGACCCTCAAAGAACCTAAAAAATCCAAAGACGACCCCTTATGAATACGAACGGATCGATTGGAAAGCCACTCAATTGATGCCCCTATGCATCATTGGGACACAGTAAATGATAGTGCCGTTGCACCAAGTCCAATAGTTCCAACCTGTCGGCCCGATCCACCCTCCTCCAAGTCCAAGCGCAGGCAATCCAGTATGCCTTCTTCGGTCTCGGGGTCTGCGAGCTCCACCCCGCCTCGGGGGGTAATGGTTCCCAGGCCACAGGTGTCGCCTCCGCGACCACAGGCCCGCTCAGCGGGGATGGCTGAGAGACCATCCCGAAATGAGAATTTGTCAGACCTTGTGCGCTTCTTTCAGACTACTCAAAATGCGCCTACACCCGGCCCTTCGTCTGTCAAGACTCCAACCTCACCGGATAGCACGACGGCATTGCCTGTCGTCACTGAATCCATGGAGCCAAAGGGAAGCCAATTGGAAATGGCAAAGGAAGTGAAACCATTACATCGCCGTCTTTTGCAATTTACTCAACGTCAGAAAAAGGATTCCTCTTCCAAATCCAAGTTGGATGAGAACCAGCGTCAGATTGAGGCGCTCCAAAGGGAAGGGTACCTCCTTCCAGCTCCCAAGCCCAAAAGCAACCATTCGGCCAAGACCAGCATTAGTTCGAAAAACAGTCTGGAAAGGACATTCTCCAAGTCAAAGAAGCACGATGTTGAGACCATCGGACAGCCATGGTTGGAAAACGACACCAAAACGGGCCCTTTCGACTTCAAACGCCGCCTGGCCTCCCTGGATCTCAGCGACTTTGGCTCAATGGTCGACGTTGCCGTGTCGCTGTCAACGCAGTTTGATGATGCGTCGCCCCCGCCATACCAGCCGCCGTCGTCAAGTGGTATCGCATCTCGGGGTGATCATAATGCCGCTTCTCAATCGTCGCCAACACTCCCACTTCCAAGCTCTTCTTCCTACTGTCGCTCGGAAAGTGGTGGACCGATGTCTCCATCGACGTCCACAGCGGCAACTCGAGGAAGCACGTCACAGGATGAACATCGTCGACAGCCTTCCAATGCACTCGATATGAGCACGCGTATTCCGGGGCCCTGTGCCAAGCCTCCGAGTCAAACCTCCAGTATCAAGCCTGTCAGCGAGAATGCACTGGCATCATCCTGTCCATCTGCCACAAATGACTTGAAACTCGACCAATCTGCTGAGCCAGCTGTCCAGCCTGTGCAGACTTCAGACAAGTCCACTCCCAGCTCATCTGGAAGCCCTGCCTCACAACCCTCGTTGAAGCTCTTCCCTGACGTCGCACCGCCACGCATGTCCAGCAAGAATGCGTGGAGGATCTCATCAGTGCCCCAATATCAACGGCCTTCTAATTCGCCTTCATTGAATGGCGCAGAGTCTCCTCCTGGGACATCAGAGACTAAAACTGCAAAATCGAAACCATCGGATGTCTCTTCGAGGACTTCCAAGGACGAAGGAGAGCGACGTTGCTCTGGGGCTACTGCAACGTCTGCAGTTTCTACTGAATCTGCCTCGGCTGAAATCAGCAGTCCTCAGGTTGGCGCGCAAACCAAGATCAAGTCGCGACCGCCGTCGTTGGCCATGGGGACCCTCCAGGCATTCCCACTGCCAGCACCAACTCGACCTTTACCAACGATCCCACAACCCGGTCATGCACCTCCAGCTGTTCCAGATGCCAAAGCTCAACCGATTGTCCAAACGGGCCGGTCGACTCTCAAGGTTCCGGACATTCAGCCCTCGCATCCATCGCCCATTGCTGAGGATCCGCACGAGTCGGGCCCTGACAAGACACAGCCCGATGAAGCAGATACAGATACTCGTCCTGCAACTGCACTTGGTTACGTGGGTGAAGTGGAGTTGAAAGCAGACCATGATAGTGCCAAGTCCATTCATACTCCCGAACGTCCAAAGTCAACATCACCTGAACAGAGCACGCCGCGGCGACGTGCTTCCAGCATTCGTATACCACGCATGCAGGATTTGCCTGAAAGTCCAGGTCATGAGGAACTTGAAGGTACACCATTGGCGGACTCTCCTCTTCTGGGACAAATGGCACTCACAAAGCCTCAAGAAAAGCGTGGTCCTCGCAAGACCCTCCGCATCGATGCTCGCATGGATCGCAATAATCTCCCTTTCGGTTTGCCTTCGCCGCCACCTACTGCAGCTCTCCCTTCTGCTCCTCCAACGCAGCCCCTCCCTGAGCGTCCTCGGAACTACACCGCTCCCATCCCAGCAAGTGTGCAGTCTGTAAAGGGCGTGGACGCCCAGTTTGCTGCGGGCCACCATAGGGCCTCCATGATCTCCCGCAGCAACAGCTCTCGCAGTAGCCTGCGCCATGAGAGCATTCCCGAGTCTTCCGAGCCAAATCGCTGCGAGTCTCCACTCCCATCCTCGGACGATGAGGGCTTCGGTCCTAGGGCAGAGACAACACGCCCTCATCGCATGGCTGAGAAGCATCCCAGACGTGTTCATCCCCCCCACCAAGGACATGCTATCGTGGATGCACGCGCCAGCAATGGCCGTCTACGCTACCCTCAACCAGTTCGCACTCAAACACCCCAGGGCCGTACCAGCCGCACTCTGGAAAAGAGTGCCTTGTCTCCCCAGTCAACCTACTCCCAATCCACACATCGCTCTCGAGAATCCCACAACTCGCACCGCACTCAACCAAACGCCAGCCAGATGAATCAATACCTTGAGGAACGGGTCGCCAATCTTGAACGCCAGAACCAAATCCTTCAGGCAGCTCTCCTTGCTGCGCTCAACGCCGGCGTCAAGAATCCCCTCGAAGGTCTGGGCGACTCCACTCTGCCCCCTGGCTTTTCTCATCTGAATCACGCAAATCCGTATCAGAGCCGGTTCACACCGCGTCCGGAGAGCTGGGTCAGTTCATCCCACAGCAGTGAAAACAGCGGCTTCGAGACGCCTGGCTCGTATCATGAGGGTCGGCCACATGTGCGACAACTGGACAATATGATCGAGGATATTGAGAGTGGCGGATGGATGTCGGATAAGTCGAGTAGGAGTGGTGCTCGTATGGCGAGAAATTGCTGAAGGGATCATTCATTCATTCATGCTGTTCGAGGTCCAGTAATCATTCCCTCTATCGCATTCCTTTACAATTTTGGCCTATGATATGATGCGATCTCTGAAAGCTTTGACGATCTTTGATTTCTTTTCTATATTTTGCCTGATTGCCTTCTCTTGATGGACTTTAATTGTTCTTACAATCTTTTTTCAACGATACCATTTTGTTCAATATTTACCTTGCTTTCTTGTATTCTAAGCATTACAAACTCCATTCTGTAGCTGTACCTTAGAAGACACTTGGATCCATCTCGCTCCTTTGACATCAATTAAACCATCCCACCCTGTATGATCCCCTCTCCATTCCCCAAATAGGAAAATTTCCAGAAGGCATGAACTCTTGGAACCCCATGTGATCCGCTTAGTCATCTCTGTTTGGATCCCGTCGTCAGAGCTCCCACTAAGTTACTGGGCTCGGGGAAGTTCATCTTGGATTCTTTTGGTCTACAATTAGATACATTCCCTGACTCCGCCCGGCGCAGGTATCAGAAGCAAGATCTATACACTGCCAATGACTTCAGGCCTTCCCGTATCTTACTGGATATCATAACCACACACCTCCTTTCAGCTCCTCATCTCCGCCGCCCACCTCTGCACTTTCTCAACATTCCCCGCAGCCCAACATGGCCAACCCACCACAGGTATGTTTAGTCAAGTTTCTTGCAATTATGTCCTCAATCTAAGCTCTAGAAGCAGCGCACACAACAAGTGCCCCAACATGTCACGGCACTCCTATCCCATCTCACCTCCCGCCCAGGGGTGCAATCAACCCTGATCCTTTCCCGCAAAGACGGCTCCATCATCCAGAGTACAGGGCAACTCGCCGCTCAAGAGAATTCCCCTCGCACTACACCCCCTGTCCCATCCACTCCCGATCAGACCCCGACCGCACAACCCTCCGACTCGTCTCCGGCCTCCCCAACATCCCCAATACCAACCACGTATCAGCCCTCGCAAGCAGAGGCGCTAGCCGCGCATATATTCAACTTTGTCTCTAGCGCTTCTGCATTAGGTGTCTCGCTAGCTCGACCTATTACTACCCAGCCCACCGCCAATGAGCATTCTTCGAGTGGATTGGATACGGAGTACGGGAGCTATGGGAACGGCACGGGCACGAACACGCCTGGGGAAGAAGATCAGGATGCGCAGGGGGATCGGGAGGAGGAGGATGAGGTCAAGTTGTTGCGCATGCGGACGCGGAAACATGAAATTGTTGTCGTACCGGATCGCAAGTATCTCCTCTGCGTGGTGCATGATGCCGCGCATGGAGGTGGTGGTCCTGGGGCGGCAGGTGCTCGTTCCTCGCGGTAGATAGATTCTATCTTAATCTTTTTTTTTCATTGTGTCTATTTCCTTTTTTTTTTTTTTGGGCAATGTCGATCGATGTCTTGGTGTCTTGTGGGTGCGGTGCGCTGTTCGGGTCCAACTGTGTTCATTGTTTTTCTTACTGGGTTTTTTTCTATTGCATATACCCGATCGAAGCAAGATTTCCTTTTACATTCACAACTTGATTCCATCTTTTTTCTTGAAAAGTTCTGTGTATTGTTAGGTGGTTTTGCTCTTGATGTGTAGGATGTCGAGTAGGGAAGGTGTGGATATATATTTCCAGACTTACCGGATGAAACTCGCCCTGACCTACCACTCTAGGCAGGTCCTCATCTGATTCGGAACATACAATCAAAGCCTAAAGGCCGATATGCGTGGAAGAAAAGCTTCTTTGAGCTATTAACTCAAGCTGCTCCGAATAATTGATGATTTGTATTCGATCCTTCACCTCCATGGCGAGATTCAGACATAAAGCACGAACCTCCACCGGAACAAACCCGTTATCAAATGAGATCCACCCAACTACCCCTCTCCTTCGTCAGAGGTGACATTGGCTCCTTAAATGCAGCCAAACAACCCCCATCGATCGATTCTCCGAGTTTCAAAACCACTTGCATATTGAAATCCCATATATCTCAACGATGGCGTCTACGTTTGATGTGGCTGCTGCTAGAGCGGCCTTCCCGGCTCTGAAAGGGCAGCAGATTTACATGGACAATGCAGGTAGGAGAACGAGACAGATATAGAGTTGGAGTGTTTACTGGACTATTGTACTGATAGCGTCCTAGGAGGAAGTCAGGTCCTTGGCACAGTTGCGAACTCGTGAGTATCAGATTAGGTATCTTGAGCGAGCTTCATAACTAATGTACATGATAACGAGTAGTATTCACTCCTACTTGCTGAATACCAATGTCCAGCTTGGTGCCACCTACAAGACTTCTCAGATTTCTACTGCAGCTTATGAGAATGGGTATAAAGCTGCAGCAGGCTTTATCAATGCACAGCCAGGCGAGGTAAGCTTTTTTGAAATTAAGCATGTCATAAGAAGCATCCATGTGTCTGACATACCTTCATCACAGATCAGCATTGGAGTGTCAACCACTCAGCTGTTACACAATCTCTCCACAGCTCTCCAATTCCAGCCTGGCGATGAGCTAATCGTGTCCAAGCTCAACCACGAGGCCAACAGTGCACCTTGGGTCCGTATCGCGGAGCGCCTCGGTTTGACTGTGAAGTGGTGGGCATCGTCCAACCCGAAGAATCCCACTTGCGACGTGGCCGATTTAAAGACTCTCTTATCAGACAAGACTAGACTGGTTGCCTGTCCCCATACCTCCAATATCACAGGCACCATCAGTCCCATTCGGGAGATTGCTGATGCCGTTCATGCTCACCCGAGAGTCAGTATCATCCTAGCACCTTACGATATCACCATCTCACCTCATGACCTTCTTCAACTAGGCACTACTCTGCGTTGACGGTGTCGCTCTCGCGCCGCACCGCCAAGTCGACGTCCAAGCCCTCGGGGTGGATTTCTACGTAAGTCTCGACGGGCCCCAATACGACTTGACTCATAGTCAGCTTACCATGAGGCTCTTCACAAACAGGCATTCTCGTGGTACAAGGTATACGGCCCCCACGTAGCGCAACTATACGCCTCCTCGCGCATCCATGATCAGATCGACTCGCTGGCACACTTCTTCAAGCCCACCGACACGCTAGACCACAAGCTCAACTTGGCCTCGGCCAACTACGAATCTGTCCAGAGTATCCCGGCTGTCGTGGCGTTCTTCGGGGCGGACCCCAGCGCAACGTGGAAGGCCATGGCTGCGCATGAGGAGCGTCTACAGGAGATCCTGCTACAGTTCCTGGCGGCACATGACCGGATCACGATCATCGGTGAGCCCTCGGCGAGTCAGGAGCTCCGGGTACCGGTGATTAGTTTCGTGGTGCGAGACGTGAAGAGTCAGCGGCTGGTTGAGGCGGTTGAGTCGCGGTCTTGGTATGGATTCCGGAGTGGCCATATGTATAGTCACCGGCTGTTGAAGGATGTGTGTGGGTTGGATGATGTGGATGATGGAGTGGTTCGGGTGAGCTTGTTGCACTACAATACGGGTAAGTGAATTGTTGATTTCCCCTTGCTGTTCCTTGCTTCCATGAAATGGCGTGCATGGTGTTTGGGCCCCGTGGGACCTGAGCATTGTGTGCTAGCATATCGCGGATTGGATTGGGTGATGTATGGGACGCTAATCAGGCAACAGAGGCGGAGGTGGCGGGGCTAGTGACCGTTCTCCAGGAGGCTCTGGCAGAGCCGTTGTAGAATGAGGATCATGGGGTTCCAGGATGGGGCCTTGATACAGAATGAGTCATATTTGATGGCTAAGGAGTGAGGATCTGATGATACGTACTTGGTTCTTTGATAGCTCTTTCCATGGTGTTCGGTGTACGGAGTACTTGTGCTCTGTATGTGACCTCGTGACTTGAGGTGTGGGGGTCCGCCGATGCCGGCCTGCTGCCGATATCCCGATATCGTCATTTTCACTATCCAAGGTCATGGTTAATCTCTCGAAGGTATTTATGTAGCTAGATAGGAAATCATATTGATAGCTAACAGCACCATCATGTGTGGGCAAGAGCAAATCATACTTTCGGGATTTCATCTTATTCTAAGGTTCTTGTCCTCATCATAATAAGCTTCCTGCTCGTCATGGAATCCGAACGGGGCGTTTAGTGGAATACGAGGTGATTTCAGCTTGCTGTCAGTGCTCTCCCCTTTTCCAGCTGGTTGCTAATAATAAAATAATAATCATAACAGGGATTTAGATTAATCAAAGTGTTCATTTGTCAAATATTCTAAAGAGGGTAGTTATAAGTAAGTCGAGATAAGTGACGTTGTTGACTAGCATCCTGTTATTGTCCAACCTCCAGATACATGGTCTCTTTCCATGGGCTAGGACTGTTTAGGAAGTTTAAAATGGAGTCGTAGAGTATAGAGTACTATCCTCCGTACTCCGTCGATGGATCAGAGAGGATATAAAGTAGTGTACCGAGGATTAGTTTCTCCGCAAACCGGCCGGCAGTTCCATTGTACAGTTGTAGTTCGGGTGCAGTCTGCAGTCTGTAGTCTGCAGGTGTGCCCTGTCTCCCCAGCCCTTGTTTTTTTTTCTTTCTCGCAGCCCAGTGGCTCCGCTTGGATACCCGATAGGCCGCAAGGTGTGTGTCCATTGTGCTTGAGTTTATTAAGTCTATCATTATCATTATCATTATTATTATTACATAGGTTCCGTCTGGCTTCAAACCAGGTTGGTCAGACTTGCAGTGGCTCGGCGGGATGGGATGCAGGCGACCCTCCCAGTAGGTCAAGAGCAGTGCCCACTGCCGATCGGAGGGCAGGGCTCTGGCAAAGAAGGCTGGGCGACTGGGCAGTGGTGGCTTCGACAATGGTCCATTGCCCAAATGGCCAGAATTCATAGCCATCGCCCAGACGGGAACCAGGCAATCATTTGGTTGCTGATCCAATGAGATCGAGGATAATTGCAGGGCCCGTGGGGCAACCATGAAGTACCATCGGGCGCGGATTGGCCGGGGGAAGAACAGCGTGGCAACGCTAAGTTCGAAGCGGAGGGGTGGTCCATTATTATTCACATTATTATTAACATAACTAACTAACAGGGCAGAGTTATGACTCAAGAGGGGAGAGACTGGCGAATCAGAAGGGGATGAGTTGAGTACCCAAGTGCATTCGGTACCTGGGTAGAGCGATCGGGCACTTTAGGGTGTTGGTGGTCTTCTGTTAGTACTTTCCGGCCAAGTACACGGTAGAACTACTGTATCTTCTAAATGATGATAGTGATAATAGTCATGAGAGTTATAATCATATCGTGATACTATTCTATCCCAATATGCTATTGTATCTGTTATTATTTTCCACTATCTTTTCTTCTGTTTCTGAGTCACCCGGCCATATCCGGGATTGTTTAAAAAAGACACTCTTGTACAGGAGTCAAATAGAATTTCCTCGAACCCGCCACCTTCGCCACAGCATCTGACTGACTGACTCTGACTGACTCTGACTTCTCCAAACTGACCGAACCGACCGAACTGAACTTCAATCCAGTGACTGACCAGTGATCACTCCGGAGTCTCCACTTTTGTCCACCTTTCCACTCCCAAGTCCCAACTTTTGCCTCCTCGATTCTCTCTCACTCCCCTTCCCCCCCTCTTAGTCAACCTCCCGAACCACATCCTTTTCTTCTTCCCCAATCCCTAGGAGTCATACCCGGTGGTGAGCCTAAAAAAACCTCTGTTCGCCCTCCTGACTCTTTCTCTCCTTCTCCCCGAATACCCGACTTTCAAACTTCGCCTCCCTTCCCTCTCTTCCTCTCTTCCTATCCTCACCTTTCTCTCCTCTTTCCCTCTGTCCTTCACTTTCCCCCCAAACTGCCGCCTAACGCCTAACCGCAACCGCCTTTCGCCCCCATCCGCCTGCCTGGTCCCTAAGCCCTGAAACAGTCAAGCCGACACGCCTGCCTGTTCATGGTCTCTTAGGTGCCTTGAATATCTTCCTTTAAACTCCCCCCTCTATTCGAGCCTCATCAAAATGTATACTGCCTCTTTCCACCCGATCGCCCGTGTTGCCGCTATCGATATTGTCTCCGTCATCGCCGGTTCCGTCTCCATCTAAATTCGCTTTTCGATTCGAGTCATCACCCGCTTTGCCACGGCGGTTCCTTCATAGCCGCAACACCGCGATCGGTTCTCTTGTGACACTTTCCTCTCTGATACTCTTTTGACTCTTTTATTTGCCTCTTTGATTACTCTTCCCCTTTGTCTACCCTGATATCCTCCTGCCTGCCTTGTTCTTGCTTTCCATCTACGTGACTCTTTAAACCTTCCTTCACTTTCTCATCTCTCCCCCTCTCCCCTCCCCCACAACAACACGACAACACTACAACAGTACACGCCACCTCGTTGCACTCAGCCGCGTCGGTGGTTTCTTCCCTTCCTCTTTAATATCTGACTCGTCACCCTGGCGATCTTCACCTTCTAAAAGGCTTTGCCGTCGCCTCCCGCAAAAGACGGCTCCTGTCTTCTCGGCCTTCGTTCCCGGTTCTCTGCTAAACGGTATCTTGACAAACACTACGGTTCCAAAATCGGATCATCCTCTTCTTCTTCTTTCGGTCGCCCGTCGAGAAATTTGAGTGGTTGACTGTCTCGCCACTGGCTGAATCAGTCTTCTCCATGAATCCCTCTACGCTTCCGGATATGTCGGGGATGGACGTCTTGGGTTTACACATCTCCAACCCAAGCTCCAAAGCGCCTCACGCGCACCCTTACCCTTCTTCTATAGCCTCCTCCGCCTCCTCCTCTTCCTCCTCGGTCTTTTCGCTCGACGCCTCGCAGAGTTCGGTTTCGTCCACCGCAACCAACCCCGTCGACGTGATCTGGGAGAATGAAGGAGAGACACTCGGGAGATCTGTGGGCACATGCCCTCGCGCCTTTGCAAAGGGACCTGCTCCCAAGCTCGATGGTGCTGTGCCGGCCGAGCTGCGCATGCATCCTCGGCGCACCAACGTCGCGACCAACGGCTCCGCCGCGCGGCCTCCGCCATGTCTGCTTCGGCAGTCCGAGCGGAAAGTGAATTTCGTCGATAACCTCGTCGGTAAGTCTGATTGTCGGAATCCTCCCCCTTCACCATGTCCCCCATCCGGCTAAATCGGTTCTTTCTTGTTCCTTCGTGAAGATACGGCGTCGCAAATCGTCGAAAACATCTGGCCGCTGTCTGCCGTGGCATCCCGAAGTGATACCGCGACGGGGTACAAGGGGGTTCTTCCCCTGCGGACCTTCATCCAGGAAACACTTCGTCGTTCGCGTACTAGTTATTCCACCCTGCAGGTGGCTTTATATTATTTGATTAAAATTAAGTCACACGTGCCCTCGCACGACTTTACCAAGGAGCAGCCCCGGGATCAGTCGTGCATGCGGGCCATGCAGTGTGGCCGCCGCATGTTCTTGGCGGCTCTCATCTTGGCCTCCAAGTATCTTCAAGACCGGAACTACTCCGCCCGCGCGTGGAGCAAGATCTCCGGCCTGAACACTCTGGAGATCAACCAGAATGAGTTGATGTTCCTCGAGGCAGTCGGATGGCGCCTGCACGTCTCCGAAGCCCTCTTCCAGCGTTGGACCGACCTCGTCTTGAAGTTGACCCCCGGCGCTGGCGGCCTCTCAGCCTGTGAGGGCCAGTGCTGGCGCACCGTCCTGCCTTCTCTCACCCCTGACCTGGAGTCGTTCGACTTTGAGCCGATGACCCCCGTCTCGATGGGTAGTATGGAGCTGGGTGTGGCCGATTCCCCATCGCCCCGCAATGCTCCAAGCATCGAGTCGATCCGCTCGACCTCGCGCGAGCAGACTCCCACCTGCCCGCGCAGTCTGCCCCGGACCATGGAGCCCACGCCTCGCCTGGAATACGCGCATCTGCCGATGCCGACGATCCCCCGCCCCCAGATGCTTCCCACGCCTCAGATGACCCCCCAGTCGCATGTTGCCTGCACTCCTGCTGCGAGTGTAGCAGCATGTGGGCCCCGCCGTCCGTCCATCGGTACTGCGATGTGCCAGGCCCAGAACTTGGGAATGGCGCGCTCGACTCTTGATCAGCGCCCGCCGCTCTCGTTCTGTTCCCGGGCTCCGACGTACGATGGCTATCCGACTGCGGTCCGTCGGTCTTCTCTGGCTCGGTCCACCTCGTCGGCCTCGTCGGCTTCGTCTCCCGACTCGATGGTGTCGGATGTGTCGACTCTGTCGTCGCGCTCCTCGCGATCTTCGTCGGTCTCCTCCAGCGCCTCGGGTGCCGGTGTCTCGGCCCCCTCTCGCCTGGCTGTGACAGCCACCTTGCGTTGCACCAGCAACTCGCTTAAAGAGAGTCGCAAGACTCTGGCGATTGCCTCCCCGATCGACGAGGCTTCTCTGGCCGACCTCTACAGTGCCTCCGACTACCCAGGTGCGATGAGCTCTGCGCCAGACTTGTCCACTTTTACTCTGGATTCGAGTCTGAGCGAAGCGGCTCAGAGTCTCTGCGAGTTGTCGGGTGCTACTCCTGAGCGTCGCCAGTGTCGCAAACGCGGTCGTACTGGCTCCGATGATCTGCTCCTCCAAAACCATGTCCGCCATTTGATTGACGCGGGCGCGTCTGGTGTTCCTGCGTCTGTTCTCCCCGACGGGCACTTGGCTCACTCGTTCCTGGTTTCGGGTGGATCGTCGTCGCTTTCAGGTCCCGCTGGTATGAAACGGGCCTGCTGTGGCAGCGAGGCGCGCAAGGTTGCGCTCAACCCCAGCATCCGCGCAGACTACCTGAACTAAACGGGACGACTGGCGCTTCCGGATTTTCCTTTGTTTTTTTGAGGATTAGAAAAAGCCCGTCTTTTTTTTTGATTGTTTCTCCAAAAGCCTCGTGGTTTTTTCGGATGATTCCCCTCCCCCGTTTCCCCCGTTTACCACCCTATCTCTATACCTCTCCCCCCCCTTTGGCAACTGAGGCCTAGCTTGATCTCCTCTTGTACATACTCCTCGCCCGTTCTTCACCCCCTCAACCCGGATTCCCAACCTCAGTTGTCACTCAAGCTACCACCCAAAATGGTCTCGCAAGTGTACGATGCACGTGGTTCCTTGTCCTCGTCATCCTCTTTCCTCTGCCTTTTTTTTTTTTTTTTTTTTTCTGCTTTGTTTTGCACGGAGTGTGGTGGGCATGGGACGGTTCGTTACTCTTTTTTTTTCTCTGTCGCTACTACTACTATTACACATCTCCAGAGTGTCTGGGGCTACTATTACCTCCTACCTCCTATACCTCACCCCATCATCTACCTTGACTGCACATTGTTCTCCTTATCCCATCTACTTGGCGCTATGGGTTGCATGGCACCATGGGTGGGCATCATCGGGGAAATCGGCGTCTGGGCGGAAGGGTTCGCATCTACGGATAGCCAATCGTACATTTACTTGATCCGAACATCTTTCTCCTTAGCTTTTTTTCTTCTTTTCTCTCGTATTATTCTAGGTAAGTGTGGTAGGTTGCAACCGGCGCTTGTAGTTGCGGCTCGGCATGGGCTGAGCCTCCATGCTGTCGTCGTGAGGAGTGACTCACGCCCTCCGATTTGTGCCGATCCTAGTTATTAAGTGTTAGTGTTTCTGTGTTCCGGTCTCGGCATTAAGTGGCTGTGGCTGTGGCTGTGGCTGTGACTTGGGCACCCGGCATTTCCGCACTGTTGATGCTTGGGGCCTCGGGCTCTTCGAGATTGAGCTCATTTCTATGTATAGTGTTATGGATAACAAACACATCTCCAGAAATATACTCCAAGTTGTTAGCCAATTTTCGATTCTGTTACAGTTACCGCTGCAGGTGTGGGGGAGAAAAGTCGAATGATCAAGTGAGTGTAGACAAAATTAACTTTGCATCTGTGTTTATGTTTTGAACTTCTTTCGACTTTAAGGTGACTTAATATATTAATATTAATAATTATTGAAGGATAACCATGCTTGAATAAGATATGAGGTATGCTATATCTCGGGTGTCTTCCTACAATTACCATTTGGGGCGATATTTCATGCGCGACTGCCTAGCTGCATGTCCATGCACTCGGTGTACGTGGGACTTCTCGTCTGTTGCCTGACGACATACTGACTTATCCTTTGAAGAACTTAACTCTATTATCAACATTGGGTAAAGTTTAGTAGTATGATGTGTATACTCAGTAGTTGGAAACCTTCAACTCAAGAGGCCATCGGACCATAGGACGGACCATCAGATAAGATCAGATGATGCGTCACCGTTTTCTCCGCACTTTCCCCTCTTCGCCCACTTTGCTTCTTAACCCGTTGCACTTCGACTCTGGGCTGCTCTCACTAGAGCTGTTTATATTATTCTTCAGCTTCGAAGATGATCTTTCAACCTCTCACTGCTGGGCTTCTTGCCCTTTGCTCTTCTACTTTTACCTCGGCATCGGCCATCCCGCCCTTGGAGAATCGGGGTGTTTTGAACTATGCTGATCATGCAACCACCCCTCTTGACATCGATGAGGATAGCTTTACACGTCCATCCTGGTTCACGTCTACTTTGATGGCCCGCCGTCTGCTAGCTCTCTCTCCCAGTGGTGTCATTTCGACTACTTTCCCAAGCCAAATCCCGGCCTGGTCCCGTACGCCTGCCGAGGTCGCCGGTCTACCTATTGGTCTTCGTGAGTACATCGCCGACTGCGACGGCATTTTACCCGAGGATCTATCGCACGGAGACAACGGTGACCCGACTATTCTGGCACTACGTATTGCAACGACCTTCAGAAATACCGGCGCTGGGTCAAACCTCAGTCTCGAAATAGACTGGTGGGACCATCTCTCTGAAGCTGGCGCCGTCTATCCCGGTCTGCCTCCCAGCCCAGCTGCGCTGCCACGCGTCACTCTATTCGGATACCTCGATACCCTCCCTGAATTATCCGGTATTGCGGCTGTCAATCTGGAAAATTGCTTCCTTCGGTCACATCCCGATGCCAAGTACTGGCTACCCGGTACCCCGGGTTCCCCACATGCGAGCTTCTGGGCGCGACTGGTGGTCACGCAGGTGTACTGGATCGGTGGGTTTGGTGACGTGCAGCAGATCGGGTGGATGAATATCACCGAGTGGAAAGGGATTCGACGGGATGGAAGTGTAGCGGGCGTGGGTGATGGACGTGGATGGGAGGATGTACGACTGCCAGGGGAAAAGCACCCGGCACATGGTGCTCTATGATTTGTGCATGCCCTTTGATCATATGGCATTCTTCTACATATGAGTCGGCTTTGCCCGGTCTATCCTGTAGATACAGAGACTGAGTTGGAGATAGTTCACTGATACTGATACCCGATGCTGATGAACGACGGAGTCCTCCGAGTCATATGGATTATCAGGACCCCACAGCCTTCGCTTAATTTGAACGAACCTTTTTAAGTTGCGCTTTGACAGCTAATCGACATGATTTAGTCTGCTTTAGTCTGTTTCCCCCCATTTCTGCCATGATGGAAACCAGCCGTGAGGCTTGTCATTCGCCAGTTGAGCTTATCAGTTGAGCACTGGGCAGGGATGCTTATCACCTTATCAAGCTTATCAAGCTTATCACATTCATGACCCCGACAGACTCGACGACTCCAACGAGATCCGAAGTTCGATTCACACTATTCGTACTTTGCTGCAAGTGCTGGTATTTCTGTGCTGATCCTCCCTCATGGTTGCATTCAAAAGTGTTTCCTTTTTCTCGCTCAAATGCCCTTGTGTTGCATTGGTGACACAAGCTCCATGCTTGCTTATTCCGCTACTTCTATTTTACCTCTCTTAACATAGAAAGTTCCCACTCTCCTCCATCTTCCATTATGTGCCTCTCCAGGCCTCAACTGAGGGTCTCCCAGACCCAGTCGGCCTTTGCAAGTGGCAATGCACGATGGACAAATCTTGATCTGGATCCGATCCCTTTATTGGGTCGAAAATGGGGTGTTCTGAACTTGATAGGTACTGATATCGGCCCAATCTGATCTAGACAGGGCTACTCTGTTGTTCTAATATTGTCATCCCTAGCATACTGGATCTCCGACGCTTTCAATGCAGCGACCTGGCAATTTGCTAGCAGTATTATCGCCGTCGGTCTGACTTACCGCGAGGCCCTTGCTATCGTGGCCATCTCCTTCCTCATTATATCCTTCGTCATTGCTGGCAATGGTGCCGTCGGCGCCATCTACCACGTCCCTTTCCCCGTGATCGCACGTGCCAGCTGGGGTTTCTGGGGCTCGTATATCGCGATCATTTCCCGACTTATTCTGGCGGTATTCTGGTTCGCCATCCAGAATGTGAATGGTGGAAACTCGGTCCGTGTCATGATTGGGGCTATCTGGCCCAGCTACTTGGACCTGCACAATGATATCCCCGCCTCACAGGGTATCACAACGAATGGAATGGTCGCATTTTTGATCTTCTGGATCTTCCAGTTCCCATTCCTATGCATGCATCCGAATAAGCTGCGCTGGCTATTCACTATCAAATCTATTGTGGTCCCAATTGCCTGGATTGCCATCTTGATCTGGGCTTTTGTGGCTGAGAAGGGTGGCGGTGGAATCTTTGCCCAGCAAAAGGCGACCGTCTCGGGGTCGAAGTACAGCTGGTTATTCCTGGCGAATATGACCTCCGTTCTGGGGAATTATGCCACTCTCAGCGTTAATCAGGCAAGTCCTCGGCCCCGATACAATACCCAACCAGTACTGACATACTCCTCTTGTTATAGTCTGATTTCTCGCGATACTCCCGTATCAATCCCCGTTGGCAACTCCTCTACATCCCCCTGCTCCCCATCATCTTCACTTTTATCTCCTTCATCGGCATTGCTGCTTCTTCCGCCGGCCAAGCCCACTATAACCTCTCCTCCATCCCCTGGGACCCCAACGAGCTTATCAGCCTCTGGCCTAACCGCGCCTGCCGCTTCTTCGGCGCAGCTTCATTTGCTATCGCTTCGCTGGGTGTCAATATCTCGGCCAATTCACTCTCCGCCGCGAATGACTTTACCGCTCTGGCACCGCAGGTTCTTAATATCCGTCGAGGCCAGATCTTATGTGCCCTGCTATCGTGGGCGCTTGTCCCGTGGAAGATCCTGGCGTCTGCAGACAACTTCTTGAGCTTCATGAGTGCTTATGCTATTTTCTTGGGACCAATTGCTGCCATCATGTTATTTGATTTCTGGGTTGTCAATCGTGCTAAATATGATTGTCTTGCGCTCTATCAGCCCTTGAATCCGATTTATCGCTACGTTTGTACCGTACCGTTCATGACGGGAAAAACTATCTGGGGCGTGAACTGGCGTGCGCTGGTGTCATTTATCGTGGGTGTAGTCCCCAGTTTACCCGGACTTATCAACGCCGTTAATCCCAAAGTGGATGTTGGCGAAGGGGTCCATCCTTATCAATTTGGATGGTTGTTGGGGTTCTCTGCTACCGCGTTGGTTTACTTGGCCTTGTCGTGGCTGTTCCCAGTGAAGGAGACTCAAATTCCCCGTGCTGTTTTCCCGGATGAGATCTATGATGAGAGGGCTGTTGTGGTAGAAGGTCTAGAGACGGATAGTTCGGAGCATATGTCGGCGACTTCCCAAGGTGAAAAGATGGCAGCCGAGTCGGGGAAGGTTGTTTAGAGGGTTTCCCCGGTTGTTATGATGAGTACTCGTTTCATTTCATAGGAGAATATCATGGGAGCATCTTGATTGTCTTGGCTTTTATATGAGCAGTCGCGCGGAAGCGCTTTGCTGTACATGAATTCATGATTTATATCCTTTGTGTATGAAATGATGGAAAGTATTTCTTAATGTGTTCAGAAGCTATAAGCCGGTTTTGTGCATTTAGACTGGTTGTTATGGTGCTTCCTTACCAAACCTTCTCATCGCATAACTCCAGTGTCTATTCACTATTTCCCTGGCCCCTTCTTCTCTTCCATTTTAGAGTAGGTCTTCAGAGCAGGTCTTTCGAATCCTCTTTCGAATCCTCTTTTGAGAGGCCTTTGGAGAGGTCTTTGGAGAGGCCTTTGGAATCCTCTTTAAAATCCTCTTTAAAATCCTCTTTAGAATCCTCTTTCGAAGGGTCTTTGCAACCATCTTGCATGCTCTGAATCTTTCCTAAAATTCTCCAGCATGGTAAAGAAGAGGAAGAAGCAGCGTCAGGATCTATAGTCGAGCAGTAGCAGAGCGCTCTGCGTGAGAGCAGCGCTCTCGAATACGGTGCATTATTTTCTTTGAACGTGTAGCCAACCGAAGTATTACTATTGGGAGCTTCTCTAATTGAGTGATTCATATTTCCGGCTGTGCGAACGCAGTCGAACTTCTTGTACATGAATATTTTATTTCAGATTTGAAGATTCCCATATGATTGATTGATGATGATGCATCCTTCAAGCCCTGCCTGTCAGCCTTTGCCTCCAAGGCCTGAGGGCTAAAAGCTGTCGGGTGCTTGTGATGGGAATGGAGTCTCCCAGCCATCAGCTGGGAGCCCATTGCCACAACCTCTTGGTCTGCACCGAGGACTGTCTCAATCATGGCAATTGGGAGTCATATTGTTATGCCCCAGGGCCCTGGAGAGCGGGAAGTCATAAGCGTATAAAACCCATGTTCTTCTTGTAGGTGGGTACTTGGAAAATATCTTGCCCGTATCGAGAATGGTAACGAAAAGCTGTTTTGTGATCATGACATCGTAAAAATTCACTTTCATGGCCCAGCCCCATATGACAAGGCCTCTTTCAAAACCTTGCTCACACTGGAGGATGCACGACCAAGCTCGCCACCTTCTTCCCTCGCACTCTTCAGGCCCCGTTCGACAGCGGACAAAAACCGCGCCGAGAAGACTCGGAAGCGATCCTCGCGGGTCTCGTACATCTCGCCCTCCTCATCACGCGGCTGTCCAAACAAATTCAGGTAGGCATATGGCGCAGCTGATTCGGAGATCATATGTTGACCCGTCTGGCACAGCGGGAAGGGCCACACTGAAGTTGTCGGGTCATCATGTTGCGCATTATCGTCGACCGAGGCACCTGGCGCCCCAATTCCGGCATCCAGGAACCCCGCCAGCGCACCCAACACCTTTACCATAGGCCGCCCCTGGCTCCCAGACTTGCCGAAGGTAGACCGATTAGAGGACCACCGCGCCGACTCCTCAGTGTGCCACCCCAGCACCGACAGAAAACAGTTGAACGTTTTGATCCATCCGCCGGCGCAAGAAACCACAGCCTCACCAGCCGCATCAACCATCCATGAGAGAATTTCGACGGCGGAGACGCGGATGTCTGCCGCTAAATGGGTCATGCCAGCGCGGACATAGGGGAGTAGTTGCGCAACGTGGTCCTCCACGTCGTTGGACGGAAGTGTTCGGAGTAGCTTGAGAAGGGCAGTGCGCACATTGTTGTTTGCGTCGAGGATCAATGGGAGAAGAGATGAAAGCATAACGCTGACCGGCTGGGGGAGGGGTGAATTGACCGGTCGCGAGGCGATTGTGGTGGTTAGGTGGGCAAGGGAATCGCGACGTTGACTGTCGGATTTGGAGGAGAGGAGGGAAAGGTGGTGAGAGAATTGGCTGCTGGAGGTTGGGGCGACGACATGGAGAGATTGTTGATTGAGAACAATTGCTGCAAAGTATTAGCACAATACTTCGTACTTTATAGAGTCCACCGTCCCATGAAGCAGAGTGTTTACTTACCTTTTGATCGGAAACTGGTGTCTGTAAAGTTCTCCGGCTTCGCCTTGGCCTTGCCGACCTTGAGCTTGGGTTTCTGCGGGAATCAGCTCCTTGAACCCTGATAATTGTCATTCAATAAATCCTACCTGGAAGTCCTTTTGCTTCTCCTTCTTTCTTTTAGCGCTGGCACCCATGGTTGCTGTTGTCAATTGTAGTTTGGAGGAAGCTGTCGCGGTGACTTTTTTTTTGGGCTGGCTATCCCACGTGATACTGATAGCCGCCTCAGGCAGCACACGGCCAAAACGGGAAGTAAAAGACGCTCCCGGATTATTATTTGTTGATATTACCAGGCATTCATTTTTTTGAGCCCGAGTAAAATGGGAATAATATCACATAAGAGAGTGACAATTTTATTATACCCAAAACTGCAGCGACGGTCTTATCGTCTGTCGAAGACTCCCCTTGGACACTGAACACCATCGATGAGGATGCACGGGATGTATGGAACTTTATTATAACTCATGGCTATGATTACAACAAGATTTGGGAGTTTTACAGGCTATTAGGTCCAAGATCTAATTTACTCTGGGGTTTGGGATGCTGGTCTTCGGATTTCATCAATGGGGCTGCAGTTTGCCTTCTACTTCCACCCGGCATTGAGATCACCATGCTTCCTCGGCCTGTGATGTGGTGTTATACTCCAACGGAAGAAATTCTATAGATTTGGTACTCAGATATCTGTGTCCTCCGTTGCTGCTTGCACTGGTATCGGCAAGTCCTCTTTGTCACACCACTCAGCCTTATCAAAAGCAGCAGAAGATTGGGCTGGGCCCAAACCAGAGGTATTCCACCCTCGTACGACTATCTCATCTAGCTTGAGCCTGGCTCAGTTATTAGATAGAGATCCAAATACCCTATATCGACAATATTGCCAGTCACTCACCACGCGAGCTTCCCCCGAGCGCCTTGGCCACTGTCTCATGTGCAGAATCCAACATGGACTTGCCCTTCTCGGCCGACTCCCGAGTTGATTCCTTGAATTGATCTCGCATACTGGTAGGTGTATCAGACATTCGACGAGTGGTTGTCTTCTTGTCACCTGCACATAAACAAAGATGGCTTAGTTCCTAGTTCCTGTCATATAACATGGCCGAATGAGGACGGAAGCAAGAAGGTGGCAGGTGTTACATTCCTGGATAGGAGCCCATCTCCACGACACCATAGGTACTTGGATACGTACCTGGTTCGAAATATTCCGAGATTCTCTGATGGGCGCTGCTTGCGGATTCTTTTGCCCGGCTGGTGTAGTTGTCTGGTTTGCTCACGTCGACGATAATAGGCTCCGAGACCTCTGGGATGAGGGAGTTAGTAGTCGTCAGATAGGGAGGTATCACTGAAGGGTGGAACGAGCTTGCCATCCGTACTGGCACTATCATACTGTTGCAGGAAGTCAGTATTGGCTTGAGACATAGTGACAGGGTAGAGGGGTATCAGGATACCGCGGCGCCAGACATGTTGATACTATTCTTCGAAATTTGGACGATAGTTCCTTCGTTGAATGTGAGAATACGTGAGAGTATGTGCAAATTAATCGAATACAGCACCAAGAGGGGATTAATGATAGATGGATATTGAGCAACTAGGAGGGGCAAGAGGCAAGAGCGCAATTCGGAAATTCGTCGCCATGACGTCTTTCCCGCCCGTTCAGTCTTCATTGAGAAGAAGATGTGAGAACGAAATTGGGGTCAGTTTGAGCTAAGAAGCGCTACATAAAGCGTGAGCCATGAATAAGGCAAATTTGTATACCGACAAATATCGAGGGAGGAACCGGAGGGGCTGACGGTAGAAAGAAACTGCGATACATAGATACATACAGTACTGTATGAACATGTGTCATGTGGAACTATCGTGGTGGGGGGGGGGGGGGGGCTGGTCTTTAAGGTTACGATCTTATCTGGATTGGCTTTTGCTTGTGGATCCTCTTGCGATCGGGGATTTGTGTCCAGTATGACCTGCACTGCGAGTTCTAGTGTCGTCAACCATAGGACCCTTTTGTTCCGAGCCAAAGCCTAGGCCCATAGGCTAGCTACTACCACGCCTGCGAAAGCTACAAATACCTAATCCTTGTATGGACCAGGGGCATTTTTCCACGCGAAATTCTATCTACGTACCCAAGTTCCAAGTATAACAATGCGTCATAACAATCGTAGTCAAATTCAAGTCTAAATAGAAGGGGGAAAAGATCCCAATCATCACACCCGGGCCTGCTCAGCAGCGCGTAATCAATATAGTGACGAAAACGAACAGCAATCAGAAATAATCAGAAAAAAAAATATGACATAAAATCAAAGACATGAGATGCGCACTTCTGCCCGGGCCCAAGCTACACATAAGAAACACAAAAATCAGGACACAAAAAAGCAACTTGGGCACCGGACAGACGCGATTGTATCAATCAAATCACAGAGATCATCAAGCACACGTAACGTATAAGAGACAGGGAGATAAAAAGGGGGAAAGGCGAAAGAGCATGGGTTTCAACAAATCCATGCGGGACCACCAGCAAAGTGGAGCATTAGTCGTGTATAGATGGGATTAGAGAGGTGGTGGCAGCCCAGCCCCGTAACACCGAGAGACATCGACAGAAAGGAAAAAAGTATAGAAAGCAGGAGTCGTCCCAACGGCTAGGAGCGTCTACAGACTCATGGTCAGCCATTCCCACTCTTGACTGGCACCCTGGCCACCTGCAATACTGTGGTTGGCTGGGTTGGCAGCTGCGGGGAGCATCGCGGGCGCTAGAGGCACCACCTTGGATCGGCCAGCGGATGTGTTGGCCCTGGGGCTGTCTTCTTGGTCTGGATCAGATCCAGTCGGAGCCTTCTCCAGGCGACGCTGGCGTCTAGGAGCCACTTGCACTCCAGCCCGAGCCGAGGCTACGCCGGCAGAGGGCCCGGCCTTGGGTGGAGCGGCAGCAATGGGGATGACACCCGGTTTGCCCATCGTGCTAGACCCTGTCATGGCAGGGGGTGACTCAGAAGAGTTGCCGTTGGGAGTGCGAGAGGCAACCAAGCTGGAGGGCATCTGAATGGAGTTCTTGCGCGATGACTTTTTGGAAGAGCGAGAAGTGCCAACAGCCAAACTGTTAGCGCTACTACGGTTTCGCTTCTTGATGACGTCGGTCTTGAGCGACAGCGGACGAACGACTCCATGGAGCTTCAGGAACAGACCACAAGCATTGCACAGCGGCTGACCCTCGGGGTTGCGGCGCCACAGGGGGTGGTCTGGGTGAAGCAGTTGGTACAAGTGGTCGGGCCAGCATTGGGGTCACCGTTTTTGGATCCGCCGGGACTGCCTGGACGTGACGGCACTGCGCTGCTTAGGCCGGACTCGGGAGGCGTGTTGGGGGATGGATGGTTGGTAGGCGGATTACTGTTGATTCCGTTCATGCTCTGTCGGAGCAGTGCCGGAGCGTTCGGGGTTGAGGCAGTGCGAGCAATCTTTTGACGCCGAGGATCCTGTTCTCGATTGCGTACGTCGCTAACAGAGGCGGCCGAACCGAGTCCGCGACCCAAGCTGCCGGCGTGCTGCCAGTCAGCAGGACCATCCATCATATCCACAGACCCGATCGTGACATGTTTGCGATGCGGGCCGTTGAAACCCGGCAATGACTGAACAGACCCAGCGAAGCCAGAGTCCCAGGTCAAACCACCATTCATGTCATTGTCGTCCATGGACGGGAAGTCATTCGGCATCGTGATACCTCCGCGTTCGTACGGGGTGCCATCGTCGTCTTCATTATCAGAGTCACCACCAAACGTGAACATGCTGTTGGTGGGTGCGGTCGAGGAAAACTCGCCGGAGCCTAGAACCTGCGTTGGGTCCACGTGCTGGGCGGGTGAAACGGAAAACCCGGATTGGTGCATGGTGTTAGGCGGACCTGTGACAGCAGTCGGGGCCGAAAATTCACCGTTGGTGGTGTTAAACATGTGGCGCGGCTGCAGCGACGCCGACAGGTTAGATGTTCGTTGCTGTTGGAGGTAAGTGGGAATCCGGCGCTGGGCTTGAGACTCCGTGGACGGCACATCGTTAAAGAACATGGACTGCTCTCCTTCGTAGATAGGCTGGGGAGTCGACACGGTGGACTGATAGCCCGATGGTGGCGGAGAGAAGAACTCGGTCGAGTTGAGGGAAGTAGCCAACGGCGTCTGTGCATACAGGTTGGAGAAAGGGTTGCCGGACGTCATTGGGGACTCGGATGGAGAGAAAGTGAAGTGCTGCTGATACGGCCCAGCCGAGTGAATGCCGTGGTCCTCGCCCACTCCAAACGTGTCCAGGCTGAAGGGAATGCTGGAGGTGTGGTGGTGCTGAGGACGACGCCCGCCTAGCGTGCCGTTTCCAGGCATGGCAAAGGCTGTGGGCGGGTGATCCAAAGAGTAGTCGGGAAGCGTGGAGGACAACTCGGAATGCTGCGCCAGCATTGTGTTCGACACGGGCGGCACCTGGGGCGAAGAATCGGCAGGGCGCTTGCGAGTCGGTACGGCCAGGCCGGCGAAGAACTGGCGCTCGTCGACACTGGTCTTGCGCACTCGACGGGTCACGTAGCCGAACTCGCTGTTCTTGCGTTGATCCGACGGCGGGTGGGGGAACGATGCGGCCGCGGCCGAGTCGTTCACTGGATGGTCCTTTCGTGCTTTAATGGGAATGGAAGCTGTGGGAGTCGCATTAAAGTGTCGGTCGGCGGCGGCATGTGAGGCATAGTCTGCGGGAGAATCAAAGGGCACAATAAAGTCGTCGATGTTCATCGGGTCGGGCGTCGCATCCATGTTCATATCATTGTTGTTGTCAGGTGGATTGCTTGCTGTCTGGTCTGACAAACGCAACTGCGCGATGCCGCTCGAGTTGGGGCTGGTGATGTCTTTTTGGGATTGCGATATCCTGCGGGGGCCAAAAAAAGTGAGCTGTCTGGTTCGAGACCACGGAAGAAGCATGGAATGTATCTAATGGAGGGCGACCTACCGAGCCTTTTCTTGTTCCTTGCGTTTTAGACTCATGGCCATCATGCGCCATGTCAAATTCTCCATGCGCTCCTGGTTCGGTAGCTGGGATTTTGTTCGGGTGTAGAGTTTCCAGATCTGAGCTGCCAAGGGATCGTTCTTCTGTAACTCGTCGGGATTGTCGCCACCGCGCGGGGCACCGGTCTTCCACTCCGGGAAGATGGCGTCCGAAAGCATCCCATCCTGAGTCTGAGGGTTGGCGTTGGCGTTGTTGGAGGTGGAGTTGGCCGGGCTAAAGGCGGAGTTGAAGGTGAAGTCGTCGGATATCATATGTGAGTCGATATCGATCCCTGGGAAGGCCAGCGCGGATGGCTGAGACGGTCGGGCTCCTCCATGCCCATGTCCATAGCCATGTCCATAGCCATGCCCGTGCCCATGCCCTCCATGGTTCATTCCCTCCATGGTATCCAGAAGGAGAGGGGGAAGGGAAAGACGAAGGAGGAGGGGGAGGGGGATAAAAAGGCAGATATAGAGACGAGGGGAGCGAGGGTGGTGTGGGCTAAGAAATGGTCTGAATTGAAATTCCCCCGTACCCGCCGTAAACGAGACCCTTGCCGGGGGAAGAGAAAGATCGAAGGCAACCGAGCGAGACGATTGGTAGGTTGGGCGCAGCCAACGACCAGGGTCAGCACCGACGTCAGTACCGTTAATACCAGAGCGAACGGCGGAGGAGACGAGTGAGAGAGGGGTGTTGGTTGGTATGGGAAGAGTAACTCCAATACTTCTGTCTCTCTCTTCTGGGAATGGGGAAAAAGTACCACCACCCCAGCCCAAATCTTAAGATCTGGCTTTCTTTTTTGGTGGTTTTTTTTGGTTTTATGTCGTGGAGGGGGGGGCTAGACCCTCCAGACGCTCATGCCCCGGAGTGAGATTGCGTAGGAAGGACGGAGGGATTTGCACGCCCAAAGAGCAATTGTGCAAGATGCGCCGGCGTGAATGTTGGTCTGGGACAGGATGGACGAATGGAATCGGACGAGGAGGTTTGGAATTGGAGGGGGAGGTAGAGGAGAGGAGAGGGGAGAGTAGAAAAGAAGTGGGAGGAGAGGGAAGAAGATGAATATGAAAAGGGAAAAGAAAGACCGAGACGACTTTCGTCTCTTTCTCGGGGAAATCTGGCGATGCGAAATGAAGTTGCGAAGAGTCACGAACGGTAAGGGTATTACGGAGAAGACCCGGTATTGAAGTATTGAAGTATAAAAGTAGGGACTGCTTATGATGAGACTCGGTATATTACCACATTACGCTAGATTACCATATTACCGTATGTATTGAGGTTTAGTTCGACCAGGGCCCGATTTACGGCGCTTGCCTCGACTACGAGACTACCAGACTGCGTCTCTGCTTGACTCTCGGTACTTTTACTGCAGTACAATAGTACTAGAGTTAGAACTAGAGTATGTACTATTTACTAACTTTCATATCAAATTAGATCCAAATTACAATGCAGAATTACACATGAATCATGCAGATTCGATCAACTCATCTATACTACTGGCTACCAACATCCGCGTGCATACATGATCCAGCAATAACGCGAGTATACTCGAATACTCAAACATCCCAAGACATGATTCAGGTTTGTAAGGGCACCACTCCCGGTCTTGTTGCACACATACATGTCCGCACTCGGCTTGCTCTCACTTGGTGTTTGCTTTAATGCCCATTTCCACGAATCGGTGTTCTCGGCGAGGAACGACACATTGACCACTGCCCTCTCTCATTCTCTCCCCCCCTTCCCCCTCATCCCGAATCCCAGACGCCTCCGAGCGGAGTCTATGCAGCTGAACAAGTAAGCTATAGATGCTGCACGAGCCACCTAGGCTCACGGACTCGACCGCCACGATGGGCGAGATTCGCCCCCATCCTGGGCCTTCCTCGAATGACAAGTCCGGCACGGAGAGCCTCGACCACCCCCCTTCGGCCCGAGTCCGAATGGCAAATCACGGGCGAATGGGAAGGAGAGGGATTTCTAGAAAATTCAACCTGGGATCGAGACCCTACTCGATGCAGGTACTTTACTGGGCACGAAGAAGAGGAGGAAACAAAGAGCTGCAGACCAAGGACGGGCCTCCCGAACGCATGGCATATTGCGGCCGGAGGCACGTCCAGATAGGTCGATGATCGAGTGGATCCGATTGCTTGCAGTGGAGTCCCAGTCCGAACCGGAGGAAGTTCAGCACGCGGGCCCGGACGAGAAGAGAGGAACAGAAGAAGAGTCATGCTGTAGTAAGTAGTCGGGATTATTCTATAGAGCTAGAGGAATTCGCAACAGACAGCAGGTAATTCGTCTCGTGGGAATGAGAATGGACTTCCTCGCGGATCCGCTATGATGCGCGACAGCTTCGTTGCCCAGCTTAGTCCACCAGTGTCCAGAGCGAAACTGGGGCAGACCATCAAGTTCATGGTCCATGTCCATTCATAGGACTCAGATCCATGAACCATTGGCAAATGGAAATTGTCAAATGCTAAATGACAGTCGGAACGACCCAGTCAGGGTGGTCAGCGGGGCGGAGATAGGATGGCGGCCGAAGAGGAGCAGGGGAGATAAGAGAAGTGGGCAAAAAACGTTCGATGGAGCTCCTTCGGTCGCGAGAATGACCGGGTGGTCAGGAACGGAGTTTATTCTAGAAAAAACAAAGGTACGAGAATAGGATCTATTGAATGATATTGCATATTGCATATTGTATATTGAAGATCCAATATAGAGTATAGATGTATGCGATTCCATACATTCCAACGGAACTGACTCTACAAAACGACCTACCAGAAACTCATCCTCCGGTCGCGCATATATCAATTGCGCCCGACAAGTCTTTCATCTCTACAGACATACACTCTGAATAGTGGACACCATACAGAGTATATCATCATATACATCACACTACGACCCAGATGGTCGTAGTTCAGCGGGGGCATCCAAGTCGTATAGTGGAAGACGTGGGATGGAAGCGACTCACCGAAGCAATTCCATCCCTATCTTACCCGAGGTTGTGTATCACTTCGTATTGCATACCCCGTCGAACCGTCGCGTATTCAACTTTCCATTCCATCGCATTTCGTAGTATGGGCCATGTATTTGAGCCTTTCGAGTCGATGAGCGGCCGAAGGGTTAAATCATCCGTGGGTTCACATCCATTCAGCGCATCGCATTCAAATGAAACCCACCCCCTCTTCCTTTCACATTCAACCTGCGACTCCCAGTCGAATGGGTTTGGCGGGGAGGCGCAAGCGGATGATTTCACATTCCACGGCTAAACTGCAAGCCCCCCAATCATCCACTTTTTCGTCGTGGCTGGGCATCCTGAACCAAGCACCTTTTACACATGTTGCCACCAAACGGGACGGGTCCTTTGCCTCCGGCCCTGTCGCACGAAGGGGTTGCGGGTCGATCGTTACCTGCATCATATATTGCTCGAGGTTGCTGAGGTGAAAATTGAAATTGATTGTCCATGAACATTTCCTTTATTGGCGCTTTCCAGTGGACGACGTCAGGTATTGGACGGATTGGAAATCCCCCATAGCGGACGGGGGTGGGGGCTGGCCGGATCAGGTAAGAATAGAAAGGTCGAACTGCAGGCGGTAGCAGTAGTGTAGATCAAAACTCCTGCGATTTCTTGGAATGTGCATCTCGGTTTAGGAGTAGTGGTAGTCGTCGTCGTCCGTCGGTCCAGAGCTACTCCGTACCTTGTTTCGGAATCCTAACGTTGGGATCAGGGTAAGGCACGACGAGACCTAAGGAGACCTGGCATCGATCCGATCGTCCCAGGCTCTTAGCCTTCTCGTGGACTGTTAGACTTCTTGGCCCCACGAGGAGAGCTCCACCCCAAGGTCGGGGGAAATCCACGCATCGTCCCGATAGGCCCGACTGGAGATAGCTGGAGATAACGGCCTGATAAGCCGCCAAGCGTAGTAATTAGCCGTGGTCAATTTGCTGATAGGCGCGGGTTCCTTCCCAAGTACGGTGCGGTTTCTGGGGGATTCGGAGTACAGTAACAACTCGCTTCGGAGCAAGTACGGAGCAGTCGGTAAGCAATTTGCAGTGCGGAGCATAGTGGTAACGATGCCAAACAGAAAGGATTCCCGACTCCGGAAGACTCTCAACCAGGGGCGGCACCCATGGCGCATGTGGATCCCCATGACAGCGTGGTGAGATGGGATCTTATCTGTCCTGGTCGCATGGTTTCTTGCTTTTTGGGGAGGCATACTTGGTCCTTGCTCTGATCAGCTCCAGGTTGTATATTTGACTTTGAATAGCTCAATCACAAAAAGGGGGAGAGTAAGGTGGCCCCATGGTCTGATTCCGATAACCAACAAGACAGAGATAGGTCCGTAGGTCCATGTAAGGCATCCATCACTCCATGCTTCGGTAACGTCTACCATACGGGGTACGACCATACGGAGCACACTGGCTGGAGAACGGAGGCGACGCGAAGATCCATACTGGGTGATGATCGGTCGGCCCTAACACTGCTCGGTTGCTGGTAAGCTAGTAGCCGGGATGGAGAGCTGAGAGACATGCGCCTCCTCAATGCAACTCGACCATTCACAACACACGGTAAGTATCAAACATGGTCCGTATCGCCTCAAAGGTGCTTTCAAGTGGGCCGTGGCGCTCCTGCAGAGTAAGCCCTCAGCCGACGCCAATCATGCCCGGAAGGGTAGCAGGACTTCGCACCGAGACTGGGGTGGTTGTCAAGCCCCTCGGACACTTGAAGACCGGGGGGGGGGAGCAAGGGAGGGGGAGGGGGAGGGGGGATGCGTCAAGCTCTGTTTTTTTTTTTTTTCCTTTCAGAGCGGCATCAGCGGTTAAGAAGAAATACTCCCAGGGCAGGGAAGAGGGAGGAAGGACACAAGTGCATATGAGTGATGGGAGAGCCCGCGACGGGGGAAGGCCGCGGAGCGTGGAGGCAAAAAGAAACCGACACTGCGCATAAGTAATATACGAGTTCCTCTTTTCCGTCCAACACCGTGGGGGAAAAAGTTAGGCAACTTGTCCATGGCCCCTCTTCGAACGAGGAATATCGTGAGGGCGTCAACCTGTCAGCCGAAACCAGAGAGAGAAAGAGAAAGGGGAGAGAGAAGCGAATGCCCCAGAAGACCAGACATCACAGCGGCCATCCTACGAAGTATATATAACCTCTGACCAGTAGAGGGCGTGTGGTTATCACCCCATATCGGTTTCGATAAGGCGTGACGCTACCCAAGCCCATCATCCCTGGCCGATACGACAATATCTTCGTGCAACGGCAGCCAAGCAGGGACCACCAACCCTGATAAGTCTGCATATCTCCCGCGCTCGACATATTCTCAACTCAAATTGGCTTCCTCACTCAGGACACTTCCAAGAGATAAGACCGCCCCTGGTCAGAATGGTCAGAAATTTCATGCACTGCACAAAATTGGGGAGAACATCATCCAGCACATCATCCTCGAACCCCTGTCCTTTTCTCTTTCTCCAGGAAGGGCAGGGGGGGCCGGTTATCGTCATCCTATATCGGATCTCCTGTCGGTCCCGATGAGACCTATCATCGACCCCCCACCCGACGGGCTGTGTGAGATTCCGATGCTCTGATTGTTCAACGATGTCCTGATAGAGGATCCGATTTCACCGCTGGATCATATTGGAGACGTGCAGGTCCACCGTCCCACTCGGGGTGCCCACTTGTCGCTATCTCCAGATTTCCGACCCCAGAGTCTCGTTGGTCCGACGGATCTTCCGGGGAAACTGGATTCTTAATCAAAGAATAATGCGCTAACTCGTCACCGAGTCAAGTCACCCAATGGAGATCGAGGCTTATCTTCTTTGCGGTGGTTCCTGTGCATCATTCAAGATACGGCTGATAACTCCGTTTCGATGTGTCGACCACTTCAGTAGATATGGCGCGATGTATCAAGATACTCACCGTGTTCAACAGAGATAGGCTCAACATGCAGGGGCATGATTGGGGTTTGCATATCCCAACAAGTGACGCCAATAAGACAAGGATCAGCCTCGGTTAAGGCCCAGACGAGAATACATAATGCCTCACCATCTCCGAGGAGAAAGAGGACACCGCAGACTGGTATCCGCCCCCCAGGCACCTATCAAAACGTCGCATTTCTCTGCAGCCCCTTGCGGTAAAAGCATGGGCCGACCCGATCTATAAAGCCACCCAATCCATTCTACGAAGACCCAGTCTATGACAGGCCAGGGTGTCCGAAAGCAGAGCCTGGCAAGGCAATTGCCTCATTCATGGGTTGGTCCGTTATCGGAGAGATAGCTCAACGTTCACCATTCAAAGAGGCCCAAGTAGACCTTCAAGCCTATCAATTGGACCTCCAACTCTTCCCACCGGGGCACGGGGCTCCTTAAGGATTGTGTGGCTGTCCACGAAGTAGAGGGCCAGCCGAGATAGCAACACATGGATGATGCTTTTCAATCGGACAATGGAAGCCAAGAAAGTAAAGCAGTTACCGTAGTGGACAAAAGAACAATATGATGGCGACAACAATGAAGATCACCACGGATTTCAACATTGTTTTTCATGTTTATCATAATCGTGGTCCGATCTCGGGACCTACACGTATCCCCAACAGGGATGAGCCTCCTGGCCATCGCCTGCAGTCAAAATATGTTTTGTCCCTAACCAATGTCGTGTGCATGATAAAAAAAAATGAACGGACCAAAAAATGAGAGAATAATCGCAACTCAAACAGAAGCAAATGTGTTTCAAGTACAGAGTACTGTATGTTGGATTCAGTTCCATGAATAGAATATAATATGTACAGTATGCAATCCTCACAGAAACCAGGGAGAGTTCAATCAATGTCGTGACTTTGAAGTCTCGGTATCTCAGTGTCTTGGTTTCAAAAAGCTGGCTGTTTCACGTCGCGTCCGCGAAATCTCAACTCAGTGTCCGGTCCTATCGACAGCTAGTGTCTGCCTGCAAAGTTGCCTTGCTGGGTCGCAATCGCGCACCCGGATGTCTTATAGTATGCAATTTCCGTTGCAATTTGCATCCTTCAACCGAGGCCGACTCCACTTAGTGCGGCAACAGGGGCCCCAAATCAATGGGGAAATTTGGTGCACACCATCAGATCATGCATCAAGGCAAGACAGGAGGGGTGTCCCTCGGCAAAAGCTAGGTCGACAGAAGAGAGATAAGACCAAAGACAACCGAATCAGGGGTAAATGAGAAGAATGAAAAGTGACCAGAGAGAATAAGAAAAGAGAAAGGAAATAACGAAGGGAAAAAGCGAAAGTCTATATGATGCCTGAATACAAATCTCTCAAAAGGAAGTTGGAAGAATCGAAGCTCCAAGTCAAGGAGAGCCAACCAAAGGAAAATCATGCAAGATCGAATGAAAAAGAGAGCCGGGAAGAGGAAGAGGACAGAAGGGAAGGGAAAATAGTCGTCACCGGTACATAATGACCTACTAGGACAACTGATGGAGGGAAATGTAGAAGAAAAGGTTGGGCCATGCCTTGAGAGAATCAAACGGAAAATGCCACCCAAAAACCCTTGCGCCCGCTAATGACCATCTGCGAAGCAGACCCGCCACGGTGTATGAGGATATGGCGAAAGACAAGATAACGGGAAGTCAAAGAAAGTGTATATCCCACGGGGTATTAGAAATGAAACAAGCCGTCTAGGAATGTGCGTGGTATAACGTGACAAAATCCGGGTCCGATAGAGGTAGAGGTTATCAGATAACCCAATCGCAAAAGTGAACCCGAAGAGATGCGAGAATTGGAAATATCAGAGGTTGTGAATCCGAAACTGAAAGTGTTAAGAAAGGAGGTTTGTTGTTAGGGCCCCGATCTTCCTGGTTGTCCTGGGTGGCCCATTGGAGAGTTGGCGTATTGTTGCTGTGAAACGTCGCCAGTGTACATTGGGTAAGGTACCACACCCATTCCAGCGGGCATGGCATTCATTTGAGGCCATTGTGTGAAGCCCATGCCGGCTTGAGTTGGATAGGGTACGGTCCCTGGGGGCGCTTGCATGTCAGGCGTAGGTCCGGAGGAAGGGTGGGGGGCGGATGGATGGGCAGGTGTAGTCATCCTGCGTTTGAGATCCGGGGCCATTTGAGGTTGAAAGTGACCCGAATATGAGGGATTCATGTCTTGCCCAGGATAACTCATTGCTCTTGACGGCTGCGGTGGTACTGGCCAGACTGACCCGTCAGGTTGCATAGCATAAGCTGGTCCGGGGTTCATCGGTTGCGCGTGGCCAGTCATTGGCGATGCGCCAGACATGGGTGAACTGGGTGACATTGCCGCGGGTACTCCAGCAGAGTTCCAGGCATTCGGGGTCAAGTTCATCATCTGGCCTTTGTTGGCGGCCATCGTGGCCAACATTTGTGGGTCTGATATCGTTGTGAACTCATCCCATGCAAGTCCGCCTTCCATCGTGGGGATTCCGGAGAATTCACCCGGTCCCATGGGTCGATCTGATAAAAGTATCAAGTTAGTTTGGCTGGTGAATCTGAAATGGGCTATTTTGGCCCATAACGAACAACGTTGAGATGCAAACGTACCAGGTGTGAACCCTGGCATCTGAGTCGCCGCAAATGCGCCGGGGTTAAAAGCCGCCATATCTCCCGATGATGCGTTCATGGGGACTTGAGCGTACGGATAGAATGCCTCTACCGAGTCCGGGTTCAAGCTCGTTGGTGACGATGAGAGGGACATTGGTGTTGTCACTGAAGGGTCTGATCCGGCTTCCAGTCTGGAACTGGGCCGCGACTTCTTCTCCACTGGAGGTTGTTGGTCGACTGGGAAAAATTGACATTCTTTGCGCAATCGAATACAGTTCTCACATCGTCCTTGCGCATCATCTGCTGCCACTAAACACCGGATCTTCCGGCGCCGGCAATGTACTGTGACAATGTATTAGTTTAGCTGGAACTATATCGCATGGATGGCAGCAAGCATGCTATATAGCACTCTTTAAAGCCCTCCACTTGTCTGCGCATTTGAAGCACGCGACAATACCTCGGGACATGTGAAGAGGGCCCCAAGAGAGTACTATAAGAGAATGCTGCCGGTGAATGACTGCTCACCACAAGCGACAGATGTCCGATGATATCCCAACTTATTGCGCTTTTTATCAGCTGCGCTTGCATCCATAGCAGCTTGCGAATTAGGTGTAGTATCCATCTCTTCGACGGCCGCGGGCATAGCTCCCAGGACCGGACTCTTATCACCGCACCGGCCCGAGGCGCATGAATAGCGCTTCGCTTGCAAGAAAAGTTACCCTCTGTCTTTTGGGTATTAGGCAGTTAGCGTGAAACCACGTCTAAGCGTAATCCGGGGCAGGTGCAGATTCAAAAGATGCCAGGCCATGCAGGCACCCTTTGCGCGCAAGAAAGAGACTGGGGACCGAAAAGGCTCCGTAGCCGAGGGGTCGCAAGATCCGGACGATGACGATGACCCGATAGGACTCTCCAAGTTGTTTAAGCCCTCTTAGGTCCACCTTGCGCCACACTGGACCAGAAAGGATATTGCGCGAGTTTCAGAGCAGAGATGTTGTAAAGTGTCGAGGGAGGGGAGGAGAGGGGAAGGAGGGGCCCGCTGTCACAATGGCCCGTGGAAAGTGACAATCGTAGTCGTAGTCGTGAGGTATGCGCGGGTGTGTGTATGGTTGTATGGTTGTATGAGTATGAGTTTGTGGATGTGTGAGTGGTCGTGGGATGTTTCGTCGCCAGACGCACTGGTAGCGATAGAAAGTGTGGATGGTCGAGGATAAATTGGCTGCAGTTTGGGTCCACGAACCCCCGTTGAGCAGAGTAATTGCCAATTAATCAATGATAATTATAGTAATTAGAGTGCTTCATGAAAGGGGGGATGGGTTTTGGGTTTTGGGGGTGGGAGACCAATGGACCGTCGTTTAGGGTCTAAGATGGTACTGTATCTTGATGCAGTATATGAGATCGGGCAAAAAAGGACCAGGCGCAAAACGATAACACTTCCCCCCAAAAAAGAAGATTAGTAAGGTGAAGCAGAATAAGCAAAAGTGGGAAACTAAAGGAGTGTATGAAGTGGATTGTGGAAGGAACAGAGAAGAGAGAAGGAAGGTCGAGGATATCCTATAGACATGAAGAGAGACAGGAAGCTAATCGCGGGGTGAAACGCCCAAGAGCTGATTTTGGATTTTTTTCCCTCTGCAATTTTTATTATTTTATTTATGAATATTATTTTAATTGATTTCACAGTGTATATCCCACCGTACGTGGAACAAAGTGGCTCTGCATCATACCGAGACTAGCACTAACTTGGATGTATCGACTTAACCCAAATCAACTGCAGGTCATTGTCATGGACCACATCGATGATCTCAGACCCAACTCAGGGGCCTTTTCCGGGAAGAACTTCCTCACGAGGATAACCTTGTAACCTTGATACTTGGAATGCGATTGGAGAATAGGTTCAAGCCTATTCAATGCGGTCTCGATTCATGCGTCGGATCTTGTTTTTCCCCCTTAAATGGTTTTGTTTTTTTAACCTTCATCATGTCATGTTTCAAAGTAATTCTTCCCCATCTCTATTTTTTCTTTTTTTAACACTACAAAATCACTGGGGGGGGGGGGGGGGGGGGGTATGCATATTCTGCAATACTCTGGCCACAAAGCCGATCGATTAGGTAACCACCAGAAGCCCCTGATTGCGTACGATAGATCCCCTCAGAGCCGGTTCATGGCAAATGAGGTAGAAACGAAGAACCATGGTCTGGGAGCCCTGACACAGTGGGGTCAAAGAGTGGGTGTTGGAAGTTGGGTCGCGCAACACCACGTTGGGTTTAGATCCAGGAGGGATACCTGTCAATCCTTGATGAACTGGGGAATTCTCCCTTCAAGTCCCGGCTAACTGATTGGCGATGAGAGCAACGGTCGGCAGCTAGGGCCAATGAGATTGTCGGTTCTCGGATCCAGTCGACCCAGAGAAACCTTTCTCTGTCTGGATATTTCGGAGATGATCGCTAGAAACCTTGATGGCTTCTCGAAGGGGTGCTCTGCAGCTAGCTCCATGATTATTAGCTCTGGTTGAGGGATTATGATAGAGTAGTAGAGTTCGGATTGGAAATGAGCTAATTTACACCCAAATGATACATGATAAAGGAATGTTGAGTATTAGCCCTGGGCCGGAGTACGCCGCGATGCTCTTTTTGGGGAAAATTTGCACAAATAAAACCATTGCATCACCCAGGAACGAACCACAGATTGATTGGTGCTAAAAACAGATTTCAGGGTCCACGGCTGGTGTGTATCAGCTTATACCGAGAAAGAGAACTGCACCCACGCAATGGAATCACGAATCACTTGCGGGCCTCCTTTTTTTATGCATAATTCTCGATTGATTTATTTTCTCTCTGTCTCAAGATTTCTCATCTTTCAGATCTTGTCTCACTGTCGTCTCTTTAATTCCTTCTTTTGGTTATTGGAGGACTACCTACCCCCTTTCCTTTAAGCTTTGATTTAATTGTTCTAGCTTAGCCCCCTCCCTTTTGAGTCTCGGGCACGTTCTGGGGCTTCCACTGTGCGTAGCTTAATTTCCCTAGTGCTTGTCGATGACATCGAGCCCGCCACATTAATGCACCTTCGAGAACAATCGTCTGGGACTGTAAACCAAATTAGGTTAAATATCTTTCTATTTTTTTTCTTTTTCTGTTTTCCTTTTTTTTTTCGCAAGAAAATTCAATTACTTCCACGATCCATGGAGCAGAGGGCTCACCAATTAGATCTGCCGTATTTCCTTAGTCAACCGATTCAATCCACCCACACGATGGGGATACGGCGATACGCGAGTCTGTTCCTGGGACGAGGGACTCCAGTAGTCGCCGCTCAACCCGGTCAATTTTAATCACATTTCTTAATAGTAATAACAGCTCCAGTAATCCTGGTCTGGACGAGTCCAAGGCTGAGACGGGGAAGAGAAGCGCGATGGAAGAAACACGGAGTATACCGAAGAACTGATCATGACATAATTTGACAATTAGCAGCGTGGAGGGCTCCCTAGTTGGGACATCGGTCCGATAGACTTGCAGATGAGGTATGCTCAAGTAGATACTACTTCAACAGTCACCTTGCGCTGTGACTGGGCAGATGCTCTGTGCTTCCTCGTGGACAGTGGACAGTCTGTAATTATGCAGAAGCGATCTTGCGTCCTCCCTTGCCATTCTGTAACAAGGCCCCACACGCACAGTGTGGGGCTTTCCCAGTGTCAAGGTTTAATTAAGGATCTTCCCAACGCCGTAGCGTGTTACAGGTTCATCTTGGCGCCCGTGGAACGAAGGCAGGAAGATTCCCAGATCGTTCTTCTTTTCTTCTTCTTCTTCTTCTTCGAAGCCTCAAGCGAGCTTCCATGGGGTCGCAAAATGGGGTTAGATTGGGCAAATTCTACGAACTAGGCCCCGACCAGCCAACCAGGAGGAGGGTGCGACCTTTTGGATGCGATTAAGGGGCGACGTTCCGACGTGATCAGCGATGGAGTAAGAAGAGTGATGGGGATAAAGTCTGACGAGGCTCTCGGACTCGTTTTGTTACTCTTCGCTCGTCTCCGTTAAGCTTGCTGATTCGCTCATATGCTAGCTAAACTCAAGCCGGAAAATAGAATAACAAAGAATAATGATAGATAGAGTAGTGTAACTACCAAATGACGTCCATCTCAAAAGGAGGTGACCAAGACTAGCTTCGTCTGTAGTAGTGACTTCCCTGCGCTGATTGCATGATTGGAAGATGTTGAAACGTGTCCTAGCCAGTGTGGCTTTGATGAGAGTCTTAATTCTCTTCTCATTTGCGTTTGACAGTGGACATGTGGACATGATCTTCATCGTACGGTGTATAGCCCACCCCTACCTTTCATAAGGAGCCAATCACCACCAGTCTCCTGCGGAACACACTTCTGCGGCGTTTTCTTCGTTTACCCAGTATATATGGAGTCCAGATGGAAGTCATGACACCGTGGCTCGACCGCCCCTTTCGAAGCAGGAGAATGGTCGGGGGGGGGGGGGAGGCGAGAGGCACAATCCGACAGCGAGGTACTCCGTACAGACATACCAATTGGCCCCGCAACGCCTCTCACATTCGGAGAACTCGGCGCACTCTGGTAATAGATCGACAAGCTCGGGCCTTGGGAAAAGAAGATGTTGAGTCTCATTGGGCACCAGTCAATGCGACCTCCAAAGAGCATCACCAGGAGGGGCATCCTCAGATGTTGACGCGGCGGGCATCGAGCACGCGATGCATTATAGATCTCGCAGACCCAGCGCACTACCAGATTATTAACTACCATATAAGTCATAGTCCGTTACCCGTAGCTTATTGTGCAGAGAGATAGTATAACCTACGCATGTTGTAATAATTCTCTTCCCCCGAATACGAATGTACGATTGAAAAAATAGGTAGGAGACTAGGAGTAGTGTAAGACGGACAATGTCCGCCTACAAAGGGAAGCTCACAGTACTCCGTGGCTACGACGTGAATATTAACAGGTTAGGTTTCGTCCTTTTTGTATGTATATTCTCCGCACAATACTTGACAGCCTGTGTGTGGGGGCGACCAACCATTATCCTTCTTGACTCTTGAGACTTGAGTGCTTTGCAAAGTTTGTCCACATGAGACTGGAAAAAGGAGGCGGGGCCTCGGTTTGGGTGAATCCACTCAAACGTCTGTCGATCGGAAGGATGAAACAAGGGTCCGATGCTGACTCAGATTATTGTGGTGTTTCTGAATTGACTACGGAGTAGGGACATGGCCAAGGAAAAAAATATCCGAAGCATGGTACTAGTCGTAGGGTGGGATCAAAGTTGTTCGAGAAACATCATACTGTCCGTCCTCGACTCCTAGGGCATCTTCGGCCGTTGCCGAGATCTGTTTTACTTCCACTGGACCAATTTTTTGGATCGTGACGGAGTACAACCAACATTCATCTCCTAGTCTATAAGTCTAAACTTGTCTAACCGACATGAGAACCACCCTTTCTCCCAGCAAATTTCCGGTGCGCCCAGTCTGACGTTAGATCACTGGTCGCCAGCCAACGGTCAGTAGGCAAAAGTCAAAACGCCAGCCATTTAGCCAGCAAATCGCCAACAATCGGTCTGGTTCTTATTCGCTTCCCCACTAAACCAGTCCGGGTTTAACAGGCAGCCATCTTCCCAACCTGCCAAACCCAAGTGCCGACAGGGCTTCGCGGGATTGTGTGCATCCTGCAACGCCAAGGCGTGTCTTAGAGCATGCGACGGCGTGTACTTCTCTCTGCTCTAGAGATCATGCTAGGTCAATCCTGGAGTCTATACGAGTATACGATGTAGTTGTGCTCAGTATTTCGTCGGGCACTCCCCGTCCTCAATTGGGCATCCTGTCGGACCGCACCCTCTTTTGGATCTTAACCCCCGCTGGATGTGCATCTTTCTGGCCTTGTTGAGGATAGCCAGTGTTCGGAAATGAGTTCGGCAATGCCCCTCGGAACAATCGGCGATAAACGTTAGATTGAGGATTGTCGGCCTGATGGTAGGTTTGGGCTGGATCATCGTAGCCTTATTTCGATCTCGCTCCGTTTCTTGATGGACACGTTCTATCTGTTTCGTGTCGCGATCCAGCATGGATATGTACTTCTTCGTTTACTTACACGGGGTACAAACCGAGTCCAGAAATCGCAAAATTAGTACATAGTGAATTAGAAATGACAAAATCGCGAGACCCTTCAGACGAGGATAGGTGGTCCTCTTCGCCGTGTCCTCTTCCGATGGACTTGAGTTTAAGCTTAATGATTCGGATGTTGTCCTGTCTATCCGGCTTTTAAGTTTTGTCTCCCACCCATACAGAGCCTATAAGAGCTATGAGTTTGTTAGTTGTTGGGCTATTGATCTTGCAGTCCATGGTTCTATCATCAACTAGATCCTCCCCTTTCTAGTAGGTGGAGTTAGTAGTCTCGTATAACTAGTACGGAGTCAAAATGTCAATATGTTTTCTCCGGATGGAGAACACGATCAAAATAAATTAAAATCGGAATTCAGATCGCATGTCATTACGGAAAATCCGATCTAAGCCCCCCTCTCCGGTGGGACTATCCCAGTTGTTCACTTGTTTCACCATCCTCGGGCCCTTGACCTCATTCGGCCATGCTCGCCTGCAGTACTCTTCTCCCTGTTTTAACTTGCAACCGGCCTTACGCGTCCTCCCAAGAAATCATCCCAAATTTCCCTCTTCGCTTTGGCCTCCCATTTGCTGGTCTCCCTATCATAATGGAGCCCCTACTGTGCTTTGACGTCTGTTTCTCTCTTTGGTTCATATTGGCCGAAGCAGAAGGTGGTATTTCCGCGAGGAAAGTGGTTGGATTTTCTGGAAGCCAACTAACTGGGCCCCCACTCCTTCTAGACTTCTGGAAGCATTTCCACATCCTTGGGATAATTAGAACATCATGGTCACCTCCGGCTAGTGATTAGCCGCTGGAAATTATGGCGCCTGTGTTTTTTTTAGTATTCTTTTGATATTTCCTTCCTATGCGAGTCCTTCCATAGACCAGGGGGTCTCAGCAACAAGAAAAAAAAGGCCGCAGACAACGCCGTTGCATTCTGAAAAGGGGCATCCCCCCGCCGAATGTGGTACTACGGCTTGCACAGGGTTACTCGCTCGACGAATGAAGTCATCCAGCAATGATCCTTTCAAAAAGGCCTAATGGGGGCGTGGAGTTTGAGGCTGATGAATGCTCCTTCGCTTCAGGAAGGAGTACATACTCTGCCCCTTCAGCTAAGCCTGTTTCTCTTAACTCTCAACGTCCAAGATTTCATAACTTATGCAATACTTATTTATACATTACTAACATACAGAATGCGCCTATTCGACATCGCACATGTCGTGGAAATCATGGCCTCAATTGCTGGTCATGCTCGTCCTCAGATCCAGCGTCGTGTTTGCCACCACGCAGAATGTGCACGAGATGGGAAATTGATCATCACTCATAAAAAGACAGAAAACCACCTGATTTGGTCCTCGACAGACCATAAATGACGGCATTCAGCTGGTCGCAAAGACATATCCAATATCCACTGATCGCCGATCGCAGATACTCGGTTTTCCTAGGCCCAGCTCAGTCGCTCACTCGAACCACCACCGGTACATCCAATGCTCTCGCTTCCCGTACACAACACGCCACACACGTCCTCCCCACGCGACCGATCAGACCATGACAGCCAACAGAAGCGCACCATGCCCGCGCAAAGGTCTCCTTGACTCGAGAACCGCGCGCGTCGATAACGAGGACCTCAGGTTTCCCGTCGAGCGGAGGAGTCGGTACGGGGAGCTCTGGGAGGGCTTTGAGGGACACATGGCGGTATGGGAATGACTGGTGCAGTGGATGACCTGGTAAGCGCTTGAACTGGCCCCAGTCAGGTGTCGCCGACTCCTCCTGCTTCTGCTCCTCATGCTCGTCGTGAGGACCTGAACAGTCCTTGTGGCGGGCTGCAACCCCCCGTGGCCGTCGACATTCATGGGCCGAAATGAAGCGCACATTATACCTGAGCGGGAACGAAGCCGTGGCCGGGGATGGCGTGTTTGCGCTCCGAAGGGAGAAGGATAAAGAAGCCTGGTCGCTGGTCGTGATGCCTCGCTTGCATTGCGACCGTATTGATAAAGTCAAGTTGACCAGGCTCACGTCCGGCATGGAGGCAGATGCAGGCTGGTCGACCGGCAGCGTAAAGGCGTCTGCGGTAATATCACCCATTCCTAGCGGAGTCGACTCCATTGCCAACTTCCCGCCCTGCTTGATGCGCGACTTTCCAGGACTGCGGATGGCTTTTTGCATGGGAACCTCAAACCAACCTTCGGCCAGTGGCTCGAATGTCGTCTCGTCGCGGGGAAGCACGTCGCTGCCAACCCAACCCATGCAGGTTTTAGCTCCGTCCAGACTAGAGAGCACTCGTCCCACAATGCTAGCCTTGCTCCAATAACTGCGTCCATCATACACAAAGCCGCCGTAGAGATTCGCTGTAGGCCCCAGTCGTTCAATCGCATCAGCATCGTTCTCCAAAAGAGTTCCGATCAGGAGATGGCAGATTGCCTCGCCAGGAATGACGAGGCCTGAGAGCCAGCTTCGAGAGATCCAGCCAAGGACTTCAGACGCATGCGGATCCTTGTCTTCGCGAGATAAACTGCGTAGCTTGACGCTGCGGCGGCATCGACTGCGGCTGTACATGTCGTTTTTCTCCAGAACTGTCTTCGTGATCTCTTCAGAGTCCCACCCCTGGCCGCAATCTCCATCAGCTTTCACCCGTGGAGTAAATAGGTCTTTGCCACTCTTGCAAATTTCTTCAAAATGGGATCTGAGAGCACTGGCTTTCGGCCATCCAATGTTCTCCGCAAAGACATACAAGCCCTCAAGCTGCTGTCGCACATACGGAGAGCTGATTTGGCACTCCCAAGCAGATCGCACATCAGCTTCCTGCATAGATGAAATGCGGCGAGTGATAGAATCAAAAAGAGAAAAGCGACGGGGTTTCGTCGGTGGCTTCTCCACGGGCGATGGTGACGGGCTACCACCACCGACAGGTGAATTGGGGGATGGAGTTGAATCGCATGTAATATCGAGATTGTCGAGAAACCGACGCACAAAGATGAGATCCCAATTGACTTTTCCCTCTCGAAGTTGATCAAAGTGCTGGAGCTCTGATGCCGTGATCAGTCCTCCATGGGGGTCATGTAGCATGCCCACGCGGACGAAAGCATCGAGGCGGAATAGAAGCTCAGCCGCCAGAAGGATCTGGATCAGAAGCCACTTTCGCTCCATGCCAGAATTGACCCAAGGATGTTTGGACGTCCCCGTAGAGCAATCATTGGGCACCACGCAATCTCCATCTCTATGAGGAGGTGTCTCCCACAGTATTTGGCCGGCTCTGAACCGCCACTCAGGGAGACTGAAATCGATCCAGGCTCCGGGGGTTGCTAGAACCGTTGCCAGTGTTTTGATCTGAGATTTCAAGCTTTGCGGGTGCCCTGGCAGCAGATCTGCGGGCGGTGGATGAGGATGGAGAAAGTGAGTGTGTAAGATATCATGTAGTTCGTGTGGCGACTCGACATCCAAAATGGTAATGGTTGACCCTTGGCGAAGTACATCGAGGCGCAACTGTCGTAGTTGGTCAAGACGTTGTACCAGATATCTGAGATTAACATCTCGAACGCCAATGCGCTTCCATCCAGCCGGTCCATCCTTGATGAGCTTGCGTCGATCGAACACAGCACCGCTGAGACACTGTGAATATGGCTTATTATACTGATCCATCAATTCAAATGCTTCGGTGGCAGGAAGCGATGAAACCCGTTGCATGTTCAAGGACTCTCTTGGCTCTTCGGGGCCCATGTATTTCAACAGGTCTGCGTTTGGCAGCTCCAGGAAATTTCGAAAGCCGATAGTCCCCGGCTCCTTGCCATTGTTTCCCAACATATTGGGGACTTCGAATACTCCAACGTCGAATGCCGCTCTCTTGAAAGCTCCGCTACGACGCCAATCTTGCAGCGGAATGGGCACTCCACCTTTCACAGCCCAGTCATCGGGAACCGGTAGATGAGCATGCAACGTACACAGCGTGAACGAGGCATGGGCAAGAGGCTTACGATCCAACATCCGTTGGATGGAAGGATCGTGCTCATCCCAGGGAAAGATGACTTGCGGATACCACCGACCATGCTTGCCTCGCTCCAGCATGAAGTGAGGCGCGCCGGAAAGCAGTGCCTTGACGTCCTTTTTTGTTAGAGCCGATCCAAGCTCCGATGAGACCTTGGGATCAGTACTGTCATCCGGCAGTCCTGCTTTGTCAAGCCGATAGTCCAAGTAGTCTTGAATGTTCCCTGGCTGTTTGGGTTCGCTGTGTGCCGCTGCAGGATGAGGCTCTGGACTTCCTCTCCCTGATGAATTGCTTGGAGTGGAATCTCTGGAGCCCCGACGACACGGATCGCGTCCTCTTTCCCGCACTGGGAGCTCCTGGGTATCCGATCGAGGTCCTTTGTCTCGATTCTGGGAGCCTAATTAGTGGTGTATATGAGCATATCTCAGCGGAGAAGCCTACCTGTTTCTGTGCATTCTGGGTCGAATCTAAAGACAGCGCGCTATCGGTGCGCTTGCGAAACAAGCCATGAAAGATTCCTGGGTCGGTCGTATCATCCTGATTCGTGCCCGAGGGTGAATGGCGTTCTCGACCTGATTTCTTTAAGCCGGCATCAGGGTGGTTGGTGACCGCGTCTGCTTGCGACCGACGACGTCCAAAAATGAATGACATCAGGGATCCGGGGGTCAGACCATCGGGTTGCGGAGAACCCTTCAAACAACACTCTCAACCTGAACAATTTTTAGACCGCACCGGCTCAAGGCTTCCAATTGTAGAAGGAGAAGGTTAGGGATGCCTGTGGTCTAAAATATTCAGTCGTTCAAAATAAGGTAGGATGCCAGCTTCGCTGATCTTCGGGTCCCTCGGCACATTGCGGATCTTGAATCTGTTTTGGGGTTGGAGGGTGGATATGACGGCAACGCGGGACATGTGGAGTTGCCGAGTTTCATCCGACATGGAACTGGCTGGGATCATGTATACTCCTACATTCGACTGTTGGGATATGGGCTGGCTATGAGATGGAGACTCTAGAGAGTACAGGAATTAAGGCCAACGACAATGTCTAATTTGAGTACATCAGTAGCCCAGAATCTCCATCTTCAGAGATTTACTCATGAATGAAGAACCGAGAGTATATGTATATCAAGGCACCGTGTGGCAGTTTCTTTACATATAGAATCAAATCTTCTGTTCTCACTGGGGGCAAGAAAGTGAATCAATTTTTATCCATCTATCCTAACCATTCAAGCACCCTCCATCCTCATACGAACAGACTCAAGAGTGCTGGTGGAAGAACTCGAGCACCGTTTTGTAGCCACGCTCGTATTCCTTACGCACCTCAGGGTCCTCCAGGTCCGAGCGAGCAGCCATCCAGCCATGGATCTGGGTTGAGAAGGTCTCGACGTGGTTGGGGACCTGCAGGTTAGCCTTGAACGCAGAGACATCGCTGGCGGGCTCATCCTTAGAGGCTAGCATCGCGAAGGGCACATTCACTTTCTTTGCATCATTAGGGTCGACCATTGCCGGGTGAGCCTGAGCGGCTGCCTTGAAGAGCTTGTTATCGGCACCGACCGATAGCGCCGCAATCTTACCACCCCAGCAGAAGCCCAAGATAGACCAGGACGAGAAGGCACCGCCAGGTGCGAGCTTGTTGGCTTCGGCCACAATGTTGGGGATCTTGGACAAGGTCTTGGGCGGGGCAGCCTGGGTCGAGAAGAAGTTTCCGAGCTTTTGCTTGTGTTCATCGGTTGTGGGTGGATACCACGAGATGTCTGCGGGGTTTCCCTCGAAGAAATCAGGCATGAACACGCGGTATTTCTGCTCGTTTGAGGTGGCCAGGATATCGGCACCCTGGATGGTCTGGTCAAAGAAACCAAAGATATCTGGGCGCGGAAAATCAGAGACGGTGAGCCAATCGTAGATCCCAGTTGCTCGGGATGTGTGAACGATCCCACTTACCATACACCACCAGGATGGCCTTGGTGGCCGACTCGGGGCCTGTGACATCTGCACAAGGAGGTCAGCTCCCGGGGTTTCTTCCTCTCTTCAACCTGATTTCCCGGCGCATTATCATCATTCCACTCACAGGTCTTCAGGCCATTGATGGTCTGGTAAGCTCCCTTGGCCTTGTATCCCTTGGACACGACGGGGGGATTCTGTGACGAGTCAGCCAAGTCATGTCATCCTGCAAAGCTGCGCATTGGGATAAACGAACGAGCAGCACGCTTTGCTGATTCCAGACATTTTTGCCGAGGATGTATGAATTCGGTGAGGGGAGCAGGTATTTCGAAGCGAGAAACTACCGGGGAGTAAGTTGTTAGAGGCTGAATGATTATTCTGAATGGCTTGTCAGTATATCACGTACCGACAAAGGAATTGAAGGGGTTAAAAACTGAGAGAGGTGAGGCAGTTGTTGCGTTGGTTTGCGATCGAAGCGGAATAAATTGGAGGGCGGGTGTTCTACCCCGCCAGTCGACGTCATTGAAGCGTCGGGACTCGCGGGGGTAAACAGGATGCCGAGATCAACAGAATCCTACCCAGTGCGACCATCATTATTGGGATGTAGCTCGGTAATATGCAATAGGATATTTTGGTTATTCTAACAGTAGGTGAGTTTGAATTTCAAGGGCTCGATGGAGGGTGGGCGGAATTGGAAGCCTCCCAGCACGGTCGCGTGAGTTGGAGATGAATATATGTACTTCAGTATATCCTAGAGGTACCTGGATACCTAATCCACACCATCACCTAGAAATTATACAAACCTACAAAAAAAGAGACGCTAAGGCGCTGTGTAGTGAAAGATCGCCGACTGGGTGATATTCTTTAAATCAAATACAATACCTATTCACTCGTTGAAAAACCACAGACAGGTACACAGGTAACTAGGTAGGTTTGCTTATAGCGAGTGCGCAGTGCTACCTATAGCTAGGTAGTTGCAAGGATGGATTCTATAGTAACCTACCAAGTATTAGGCACGGTCCACCACAGTGCGATCCCTGTGGGTTCTCCATGGACACAGTCGTTATTGTGTTCTATCGACATCGGCGTCTGGTTGTACACCCGTCTGCTGTCCCACGCAGAAGATCGAGAATGCATGGTTCCCTCGAAGGCTACAGTCTGCAAGACAGGATCAGTATGCAGGACTCGATACTGTTGTCTTGTCTCCTGCATTTCGCCTTTGAAGCATCATTGGATCTGGAATGGATCCATCTCACATCTCGCTCTGGATATTCTGCAGGTCTGGGCTGGCTGAGATGCTGCACAGCATGCACACGATCGGAAAACAACAACACTTGAAAAGAAAAACAAATACAAATGAAACATGCTTCGTTTGAAGACCCACCAGTAGCATCATTGAAGGGCTCTCATCCCTGATGATTTATGGCCGAGTGAAGCTTAGAATATTTGCTGGCGATTAGTTAGGGGCAGGCATGATTGATGCCCTCGGAGTCTCGGCCCTCACAACATTCCAGTGTCAGCCCTGCACACTTTATTCTTCATGAATGCAGATCCCCCGAGCTCGCCGACACTTCTCCGACAGGGCGACAGTAGTTCGGTCAACTTCCGGTCCAAACACATTTTGAGGGACTATTGTCAAAGCACTGGCGTCTGGCGCGGGACGCCGTGAACGCCTACCCCGAAGCCACGTCGGCACGAACCGACGACGCCGATCGCATGGCTTGAGCCCAGCACGACGAACAGCGAACAGAAAAACAGCGTCCAGCGACTAATGATCAGTGTACGTACATACAGTACCCGCGACAGAGCCATTCCCGTCCTTGGGTCCACTTGCTTGCTGTCACATTTGCACCACTAAAGCCGCCTTGCATGAAGGCTGGAGATCACTGGCAAATCGGCTGCGAACCATCGTCGCGTAGTGGTTCTACCCCTCCTGAGCCCCGACGATCGATCTTGGAGTCAGGGCTAAGGCGACTGTGATCGACGCCTTCAATCGGGCTGGCGGCGGTGGTGGAGAAGATGAGATGGTGGTGGTGGCGACACGCATGGGCGAGGATGAGGAGGGTTGACTTTGCCAGTTGATGCTTTCGAATACGGGAGGTGTAGAGGAGCTTAGGTTTTGTGGTGTCGACAATGAGAATTATGAATTTGAGCTTTATTTTCACTGGCTAATCTACTCTCTCTTCTATCTACAGAGCGAAGGTCAGAACGACCCAAAAGACAGTCTCTGTATATGTATCCATTGCTGGCGAACCCACTACGCGTTGTTTAAGTGCGTTTTACTATGTACTCGAGTCCGGTGTATGGACTAGCAAACTGTGCGGAGTAACCCTGGCAAGACCTCAGTTTACCCAGTCCGGGAGGGATGGACTCTGTAGACAAGCCAAGGCGAATGGGGGTATACTTAGTGGCTCCTACTGTAGTAGTGAACTGTGAATGCCACTGTTCCTTGTCGCCGGCACTCCTTCTCCGCACCCAATCTCGCTTGCTCCTTATCGAAGGGGCTAAATTGTAAGACAGCAACACGAAGGCATGTGGGCTGTTAAGAATGTGACCTTGGCACTTTAATGAGGGGTCCCTTTAGTCGACTTTCATATCCCTCCCTGGCGTCTCATTCGTGGCCTTTGGGTCATCTTACGAGGGAATTTGATTTGATTCGATTGTCGATTTGTTCATTTGTTCGTCTTACTATTTTACGCAGTACAGCCCCTCGGTGATTGATTACTGATGCTTATTGCAAGCTTGACCGGAGACAAAAGAGACTAGACGCAAAAAGTAGACTGCAGCCTCGGTCGTGGATCCCCTGCCAGTCCACGGAGTATGTACGTGGTCCTGGAGTATACATCCGGAAGCGAAGCTCGCAACGAACAGGCCAGATATCTGTTCCCAACCCCTCGCCAATAAAGAGCAGTTGGAAACGAGAGGCGGGGGGTTACGAAGTCAATGGGTCAGTTCTTTCCCATTATTCTCTCGCTTTTCCCAGTCTTCATTTCATTCCCAGCTGGCTCTTGTTCGATTTAACTTTCTCCTTTCTCTGTCTAGGGTCTTCAGTAGAAGCGGTCTCGTGAGGCTCCACTATAGTTACCGCTAGAGTGACTGAGTTGTACTTGGTACTGTACAATTTGAAAATGTACTCCATACAAACTTTGTACCCCCGCCCCCCATGTAGAGTAGAGAGGTGACCTAACTGCCGTACTCCATACATATCAAAAGTCTGTCTGCATATCGATCGACAGGGCCTGGCCGTTAACCTTCCCCAGGCAACTCTTTTTGCGTTCCCCCCCCCCCCCCCCCTCCACACCTTCAGCAACTGTCAAAGAGTTGTCCGTGCATAGGCTTCGGGACGCCAATGTCATTGCCACCTGCCTATTGGCCGATAAGGGGACTGTCGCAACTGGTCCGTGGAAGCGACCAGGACATGCACGGGGACCGTCGTGTGGAGGACTCTGGACCCAGTTATTAAGGGGGGGAACGAGCCATTCCGCACGCCACCCCGATCGCACGCGGCGACCTGACCGGACCCAACCAGTTGGCGCGAATGGCGATTGGAGTTTGATGGTGGTAAGCTTGGGCACCGCCCAATAAGTGCCACGGTTAGTGGGATCCTGGTGACTGGGACGGGGACTAAGGCAACCCCAGAGGCGAACTTAATGCGAGCGCAAAGATACACTGGGGTTACTGCATGGTATACAGAACTATTGGAAAGGACAAAGCCGAGGAGTATAGAATGCATTGTATGTTCTACATGTTAACAAGAAGCACAATGTCCATCAAACAATTTGATCAACCAAACAAGATGAAAAAAAAAACCAAAAACAAATGGAATATATCTCCAGGAAAACAGCAGCCCAACTGTCGACCACGAACAAGCGGCCAACGTGGATAGCCAGTTGACCCAACGAATGGAGGAAACCGTTAGAACGTTGAAAAAGGGCTAATCATCACCCAACAAAAGAAAAGAAAAGAACCGCAGTAAACTAATTCCTATAGTTACTCTACGGAGTTGTCAGATTATCCTCCGGATCCTGTCCACATCCAGGTGAAGGAATATCCGAAGACATGGGAATAATACACCCAGAATACCAGTGCATAGTTCAAGGGGTTACTGCATTTAGAGACCAAAGGAGGTCTCGGGGATCCCGGGGACCAATCAAGCAGGTCCCCTGCCGAGCGAGTGTGTTCTCGATTCTCCGTTGATTTCTTTCGTCCCAACCTGCCCAAATTATCTCCCCTTTCTGTCTTTGTATGGACGCTGTATATCGCCGCCTCCTCCGCGCCTCCCTTTCGTCCTCGGCTGTTGGGGGCGAAAAAAGCTTTGCAGATGACCCGGCATGAAGGGAATTGAATGAGTGACACTAAACCACATTGGCTTTCGCGTGCGGGAGGCCAGTTTGAAGTGGCCAATCACGGACGTAACAGCTCGCTTGTCTCTACCCTTTGCCAGCAGCAGCTCCAGACTCTCCCATGGCTCTCGTATTCTGGCCATTCCGGTCCAGTCCGTGCGTCCTCCTGACACGCGCTCGATTGGTGTTCCCATGGGATGATATATAGGGTGTTGAATATGGAGAGGAGAATGGGGGTGGGTTTAATCGGGCAGGAATCTCATCGCGCGAATGTGACTGGCTGGCTGAACGACTCTCTTTCCCCTCCCCTCCTCTCTTTCTCTCTGTCTCCTTTCTATCGGTCTCCCCAGAGTAGTCCCATAGTCTTGTAGGCTTTGTAGAATGGTTTAGCGCCAAATTGACCATACTTCCGGTAGATACGACGGTAGACGGTGTGTGTATGTGTTTACTCGAGCAGAGTCCTTCCCTTTCACATCTCCTCCGGACTCCGCTAATCCATCCTCAATCATCGCTGGCCTCCATATCATTTAGCGCAGTCCTCTTGATGCCGGGCGAAAGCCGGAGAGTGGACCAGAATAGATTTTGTCTCCGGAAGTCCCTACGCTAGCGCCAACCATTTTTGGCTCTGAATTTTTTTTTTCACGCGATCAGTCAGGACGCAAGGAGTGCAGGAAAAAAAAAAAAGAAAGAAAAAAATACGCAAGATACCCAGAGCCTCTCCCTCACTATGTATGTCTCTGTGTCTCTCGGTCTCTCGCGCAGTCACCTGTCAAAGTCGAGCTTCTACTGGACGTTCGGGATCATTTGCCCCCCTCTTGCTGTTATGATTCTCAGATTATTACTTGAAATTATTCTGATATAAATTATAATCGTGAATATTACCGTATTAATTTCTACGACTACACTGCACTCAGGCTCTCAGCTCCCCAATCGCTTGCTTTCTCACTAAACCAGGCCCCCCTATGCTCTTCCCCCTCCCAGATTTTAATTAAAAAAGTACAAAAACAGGATGTTTTTCAGAGCGCGACCTTGGGCTGGGTCAGAAAAAGAAATCAAAAGAAGAAAAATACGAGTCCCCTTTCTTCTATTTTCGATTCGAAGAGTATCAGAGAGGTTCTATCTTCATATTCCATATCTATGCAGAGAACCAGTATCAGTCCCCCACCTTTCTTTCGTCCTCCAGTGACGATCGCGATCGAGTGATACAGAGACGATCTCGATTCAGGTCGGAACGGCCAACCGGAGACGGATAGGCGAGGGGTGGTGCAGGCCAGTTGAGCTCCAGAAGGGACTAACCGTGCCAAGGGACCGCTAGGACTGCTTGGGATTGACTGGGACTGTGCTGGGAAGTCTGGGACCAGCTGGGGGACCGACTGGTTGAGAGAGGGGGTCCAGACGGTCAACGTTCCGAGTTGGTTATTGGATGGTGAATTACTTCTGGGTCTATCACTGGGTCGCGGTAGGTCGATTAGGGCCTGTCAACCACGTTGCCTCTTGCCCCTCTCTGGTCCTCTTGCCCCCCAGTCTCAGTCCTGGTCTGTGAGGTTCTGGGACTTTTTCTACTTCTGGTCCCTATATGTCCGTGATGATTACTGTATTGCTGATGTACATATGTATGCTCCTAGGGTATGTTTCTCATGGCCAGGGACCTGTTTGGCACTTCTTATTCGTGGGATAGATATTAGTTAGTCTGCGGTCTTATGCACTTCCCTTCCATTCTCCCGAGTCTGTCAGAGCCATCGAGTTTCTGGAGAGTACAGTATTAATAGTTCGCATGCGTATCTATGCTCCATACGGTAGTTATGTATCAAGTGGTTCATCCATCTATGGACGAGGGCTACGAATTAGATTAGACCATAGTATGACACTATGGCAAGATGATGATATGACCGGATCGAACATTTATGACGCTACGATATCCACGTTCTTCCTCCTATATCCCGTCAATGAAAGACAATCCTCAGCTATAGATGACTACATAACTACATACAATAATACTGTCGAAGCATAATGTTCATCCCAATCCCAATGCCAGTTCCGTGATTCTCTCGTCCCCCGATCCTCAATGTAAATTGACCCAAAGAGTCCCGGGTTCCCCACGCTGGCCAGACCATCGCCGACCGTGGCTCCATCATTTTATCATCTTATTTTTTCTTTTCTATTTTTCTCTTCCTTCTCATTGCTCGTTATTTTTCCCTTTCCTTTCCATTCTTTCGGGTCCCCGTTATTTACCCTTTTTTCTTTTCTTTCTTTTCCTTGACTTTACTTGACTACTCTCTCTACTCGACGGTTTCTCTCTCGTGGACGTGGGCCCCTCCCCATCTATATATTCTTCTTATTCTATTTGGGCGTGAACCAACCATTTCCCTCCCTTCTGGACTCCCCCCCAATACTGCGTCTAATTCTCCCCTCTCCCAATCTCCGTCCGACTCGGTCTACTCCGTATATACTTTCTGAACTACTCGTCTACTAGACCTACTTTATTTGCCCTTAATCCGCCCGCCCTACCGGTCCGCTAGTCTACTTCCTCTCGTCTCTCTCCTTCTTGCTCGCTTGTTCTCGCCTTTTTCTTTTTTTTTTTCTTCCTTTTTTCCCTTTTCCTTTTTCTCTCTCTTTTCTCTCTTCTTCTCTTTCGCCTCTTCAACGTGAACCCGAACTGAACACTAAAAACCACCCTAACCTGCCGAAATCTGCCTGAACTCTCCCTCCCTCTTCCTCATCTTTATATAATTCCCCTGTGCCCTCCTGTCCTCCCCGCGCTTCTGCGCCTCCCCAACGCCACGGCTTATCCTTCTTTCCCTCCCCACTCGCCTCTCTCCTCCTCCTGCTGCAAACCGCAACAGCTTCCGCTGATCTGCTCTACTTGACTTCTCTCCACATCTTGCCACCCACCACCATCACCACCTTCCCCCCAGCTTCGGCTTTTCTCCTATCCTATCCCTCTACATATTACTGTATAGTTGAGCCGCGCGACTCTTCTTGCCTAGAGATCATGCACCACTTGCGCTATCCTCGGCCGTGATCTCTTTTTTCTTCCTCTTCTCCCGCGTTACGCGGATCTCCCCCGCGACAGACTTGCCTCTTCCCCTCCTCCATTCGTCTCTCGGCTCCTCGTGAGCTTCCAACGCGCAGAGGTACAGAGCGTCCACCTTCCCGAGGCATCCCCATCAATCGATCTCCTTTTGGCCGACAACTCTCTAAATCTCCGACTCCCCCTACTACGTCTGTCGCCTATCTGCAACTGTCTCCCCTCCTCCACCCTCCAATCCCCACAACGCGGCTAGAGATCGACTAGAGTCCTTCCGACTCTTCTCTACCGATCGCGACCCCCAGCGATCGACAAGCTCGCCCCTCCTGGATCCTTCGAGCCCTTCGGGGGCCCTTCCTGGTGGTCGAGACTGGACTCTGAACCCGGTCAACTCATTCGCTGGGCCTCTGCCCCCCAATCTGCAATCTTCTCTGTCTGACGCCGACCTGTACGCCCCGCGAGATCCATCGGCAAACATGGCGGCCCTCACCGTTCCTGCAGTGCCTCCCCCGGAATGGGCACCGCATTGGATGGCCTCGGTTCGCAGCCCATCAATTCCCGCCGCCCAGCGGCTCCGACGCTACCCAGCTTTGAATTACCGCCTCCACCGTTTGGTCTGTCCGGCGCTGCGGCTCCTAAATATCAGACCCAGCACTCAAATCAACCCCCCGTATCGCATCCCCCAGCGAATGTGAGCGTGGGAAACTTGTTGACGCCTCCCGCGACGAATCAGTCGGGAGAAACGGGGACCCTTTCGCACTCATTGCCGCCCTCGTCTGGCATCTCCTCGGATATGCCCCCGGCGTACTGGCCTGGCACCAGCCCCTACGGAGCTCCAGGAGGTGGACCAGGTCAGTGGGCATCGGGGCACAATGCCGCTTATTCTGGACGCAGCTCCTTCTCCCCCTCTGGCTTGACTCGTTCAGGACCTGTGACATCGCCGCCCACGACAGATGGGATGTCGCAACCTTTCGAGGCGCCTCCAATGGCGTCCTTTTCGCAAGCCCTTCCCGCGCCATCCTCCACTCTTGCTCCCGGTCCGCATTCTGTCACCATGGGCCTCTATCACTCCGGCCACACGGCATCGACCGCACATCTGCCATCGAATGACCCATACAATCAGAAAATGCATTCCCTATACGCCGCCCCGAGCCATCAGACCGGATTTTCTCCCATCTACGCAGGTCCCAATTCCCTGGGTGGCCACGGAGGCCTTGGAATCCACCCCGGCTCGCGCATGCCTCTCCAAAGTCCCGGTGGCCAGCCTCCTTTGACCTTCCCTCGCCAGCCCTGGCCGTCTTATTCCCTCCCCGCGATGTCTGGCCCCATCATGACCAACGTCCACAGTCCTAATAGTCCCATGTCGATGATGGGAGGTATGCAATCGGGCATTCTGCCTGGTTTCAATAGTGGGCATATCGCCAACACGCAGCATCTCTACGGGGCCCACCCATCTGCCCATCATGGTATGCCGGGCCCAACAGCCGACCGACCGTTCAAGTGCGACCAGTGCCCACAGAGCTTCAATCGCAACCATGACTTGAAGCGTCATAAGCGAATTCATCTGGCCGTGAAACCGTTCCCTTGCGCCCATTGTGACAAGAGCTTCTCGCGCAAGGACGCATTGAAGGTATGTCAATCAAGATGTGAAACTCCGAAAACTGATTTCATTTCCTAACTCTGTACTCATAGCGACATATCCTGGTCAAAGGTTGCGGCAAAGATGGTGATTCGGATGCGATCAGTAATCAGACCGGCACCGACGGCACGATCAAAGGCGAAGGCCGCAGTGAAGACGGCAGCCCCGTGATGAATGGGCGTAACTAGACGTATTCATTGACTACGTTTTGCATCCCTGTGGCATAATGGATTCGATTCGACTCCTCAATTACATTGAGCCCCCCCGTCCGTGTATGTATATCCTGGGGTGAGGACGAACGATCGTGTACCTACAGTGGTATTGGGAGTCGGAGGGTGTTTTTTTTTTCGTTTTTCTTGATGGGATCTTTGATCTTGACCACTTGGCATTATCTCTTTTTTTCTTCTCTTTATTTTTGATCCCCGCTTACTTTTGTGTTTATTCTTCTTCGGCGAAGGGTGTGTGTGTGATTTGGGCATCTTGGGATGGGTTGATATTGTCTTTTTTCTGTTTGATTATTGTGTTTTCTTAGCCTGACGTGTGACGTGTGTTCTGATCGTTGTTCTTTTTTCTCTTGTGATTTGAACCGAGCGAGCCCCTGATTTCACTGTTGACTTTACGGGAATGGACCGCGAGTCCACGGTGTTTGATGGTATATAGCAATCTCTGTGCATGAATCATTTGACATTCCATCTTCCATCCGAGTTGATATTTTCAAGCTGGTGGTCAAAATTGTATTCTAATATGCATGTCATCATGAGTAGGGCCTCGAGAGCTCTGATCGTATCTTTGCGCCCACTCATGTTCTACCTTACCACCCCCCCCCCATCCCATGCGAATAAAAAACTCACCTACATTTGTTTGAGCTGAAAGTAAACAGATTCAGAATATCCAAACGAGTCTCTCATCCCACCATTGGCAATCCCTTGCTGTCCCGCTTGGACCTACGCCCAATGCAGTCTCACTCTATTGGACCCCCAATGAGGATGTGGCACCGTGATCGATCCGAATTCCACGCGGGTTTGCTGGCCACATGGCTTGCGTACTTTGAGTCAGGCTAGCGGCGTCGTTTCCGAAGGAGTATCTGATTGCATGGTCGGTTTCGAGTGGAGAACTGAATCAACAAATCATGTCTCGGATGCAGATCCCGGACTATAACACTGCAGACACGCAAACATGTTTCTGTTGCTGAAGTATTTATTAGCAGGCTAGACAGGATGTACGTGCTCTTATTGAAGTGTTAATTTTCCTCTTCTCATATATTACTACTATCTGCAGTACTTGGCAGGTCATTTAACCTTTCGCTTATTCCATTTCATTGTTCTCATTTTTTCTTTTGGTACTACCACTCCCCCCAGTTCATTTCTTTTTTACACATCCATCACGACATGCAGATGGAGGCGTCCCTGACTCGCGCCCTCTCATAGGGCTAATTATATCCATCATACTCGCGGGTGAGGCGTTCGCATTGCCCGGGAGAACCTCGAAAACTAGACCTGACGTGCCCCTCGATTCGACTGCCCGCAGCTGGAACTACGCCATCCCAAGCCACGTCCAGGATGGCGTCGCGCATGCTCGTTTTGACATTCCAACGACAGGGTCAAAATTTGATACCGGGGTATTGCTGACTTTAGACTCTCCTCAGCTCAGCGAGGTCAATCCGTCCGTGTTTGACTGGTGGTACTTTGATGCCGTCTCTGTGAGTGACCCGCGTGAGTCATTGATGGTCATATTCTTCACGACGACGGCGGCTGCGTTCCCGTGGCTTCCATCTAACGAGTCATCGGTGTTGATTGCGTATCTCTGGGTTTCCTTTGCAAATGGAACCATCTTTGAAGAATACGTGCCTGCGACTATTGCCACGGTTGCCGGCGGTGAGGATGCAAGCTCGCCCAGTTCGGGGAATTGGTCGTCGACTGGGCTTAGCTGGGCTGCCTCCCAAGATGATTTGTCCCAATATGAAGTAATTATATCCTCGAAACAAATGCAGGCGAAAGGCGATTTAGTCTAAACTCGGTGAGTACATTGTAAACTACCCTGAGTCCAAGCCATTCAAGGACTCGTTTGGGACCATGACTGATTGCGATGATAGACCCTGGAGCCTCATTTGCCTTGTGGGATTACATCCGACACAACAGCCTTAGAGATTGCTCCTCATATTGGGTGGGTTGCATTGAAGCCTGATGCGGTGGGCCAGGTCGATATCAGTGTGAAGCGTTCTCGTCTTCAATTCCAAGGATCAGCTTATCATGACAAGGTACGACCACACTAACAACCAAAAACGAATGACCATGTACTGAGATCCGGTAGAATTGGTTAGATCAACCCTTTCAAAACTCTATCCAGAGTTGGTATTGGGGCCACGGCCAGACTGGGCCTTTTTCGGTGGTCTGGTTTAGGTATCTGGCACTGAATGACCCATCCCAGACGACCTATGTGAGCAGCTATGTAGCACGCGATGGCCAAGTGCTAGTCTTGTCCTGCAACTCTACCCTACTCACCGTTCGTCCCATTAGGGACTCTGAGACTAGCGCGCGATAACCACCACAAGCAGGTGATATACCAGACGGGTTTCATCTTGAGTTTGACCTTGGGCAGGAAGGCTGGCTGTAAGCCAATGTCTCTGGTACACACATTGCGGGGGATGGCAAATATTACTTGCGCTGGGCAGGGAAGATGACCGGAGAGGTCAATCAGTCTGGTACTGACCTGGGAAATACTGTGGAGTCTTTATTGTCTGCCAGCGCAATCTTTGAACAGTTTGTTCTCGCCGAGTAAACATAGCCATGTATATTTGGTCACTCGGGATTGACTATTCAAAGACAGACCTTTCTACATTTGCATTTTGGAAGAGAGGAGACACGAATTATTTGTTTTAATCACAAGAAAACATGTCTGAAACTCAAACTATTCTCAATAGCCGTAACAATTCTGATGGCATGGAATACCACCACCCCAAGAAAAGATTTGTCGATAGCACGACGTGTTGAGCGTCTACAAGCCTAATCAAAGTGTGGTGACTGCCCGAGGCATGGTCTGTAGGAAAACCGAAATTTATATATTCCGGACTAAATAGGTTAAAGCCGTTCAAAGTTTAGAAGAAAAATATGATAAAGTTGGGGTATCTCGCGGAGAGCGCGAAGGTAAAAACAGATATGATAACGAAACAAAGCCCAAGGCCAGTGGTCATTCAAAACACATAGGAGGAGACTCTCATGGCTTGCTGGACGCCTTGGCCTTCCACTCCTCCACCAATCCCGTATAATCCTCTGTGCCATACGGAGAGAGGCACCGGGACAACATCCCCTGCTTGCGCTCGGGCGACAGACCCAGGTCCCGCAGCATTAGATCGATATAAGGGATTGCATCAAAGACGAAATCGGGATTTCGGCGACCGAAGCCTCCGGGGTAGCGATACTTGCCAAACTCCGAGTGCAGCGCGGTCTCCCAGGCTAGGTTCAGCTCCGCATCATCCTCGACCTTGATATCGGAAGCCGCACGCACGGCCGCTGGGCATTGCTCAACAGCCGTTGGGGTAAGCTGGCCGCCGAAGTATGCGGAAATCCAGAGGGCCTGAGTCTGAGCAATGATTGTGGTGTTGATGGTCATGGTAATGCCCATGAACGCGAGTGATCGATCCTTGACCTGCGACAGAGGGACCATGAAGCGCGCCAGCCGGAAGGGGTGGGGGGCCGCTGCCTCGGCCTCGTCGTTCAGAGGCTTGTACTTGGGATTGGGGGTAGGCTGGTTGCGCAGACGTGGGAATCGTCGAAGAATCTCCTCGTCGGCTGCCTTAACCATCTGTTCATCCAGGGGGTCGCTGCTCCAAGGGAAGCCCAGCTCCCGGTCAATGCCCTCCGGAAGGAATTTCAAGTTGGGAGTAGCGCGCCATCCCGTCGAGCAGATTAGGGCGGTAGATTTCAGCTCCTCACCAGTGGACAGGTGCACTGCGTGATCAGAGAGGTGGTCGAGCTCAGCAATGTGCACCTTGATCGTGCCATCCTTGATAAGATCGAAGAAATCAGTTGGGTAGTTGAGGATACTGAGCGACGAGGCAATCCAGAATGGACTAATCCAGGGCTGCAGCTTCTTGACCTCGGGGTGCTTGTTGAAGCCGTTCAGCTGCACGACATCATCGGCTAGCACGGCCCAGAAGGCATCCACAATCTTGCGACCGAGCCACGTTCCGTGCAAGAAGCTCCGCACGCGAGTATAACCATCGGCATCTCCCCAGATACAGGGGCTGAACCAGGTCAGGAGCCGGGTCGTCACCAGCTTCTCCAGCCACCTTTTCAGCGGTGTCACGTACGGTGGTGCCATCCAGTTTGGCCCATGCCCAGACTCGCGAATGATCCAGTCGACCTGCATCCCAGATGTCGCACATGCGTACGCTGCATCCCAGGCGGACTTGGTACCACCAAACACGGTGACTCGCTCGCCATCCTTCAAGATCTCGGGCTCATACTGTCGCATATCGCGACAGTGGAAGATGGGCGCGCCGAAGGCATCCTGACCCTCAAAGGTGGGCAGATATGCCTGTGATGTGATGCCCGTGGCGACAACCAGCTTCTTTGTCTCGATGGTTGCCAGTTCCTCCCCATGCGACACCTTCAACTGCCAGGTCCCGTCCAGATTGTGTCGTGCGCTCTCGACACGGTGGCCGACTCGGATGCGATCGGTGAAGCCACACCGCTCGGCAAATGCCTCAAGGTAGCGCTGGACGATCTCGCCGGGGATATGCTCTCCAGGCTTGACTCCAAAAGTAGCCTCATCCATGGGGAAGTCGCTGAATTCGTAGGTGCCCAGCATGTTGTTCGACTTGAGACCCTTGTACAGGCGGTGCTTGGCCCACACTCCACCGATGGAGTCGGCGGCCTCCAGCAGGAGCACATTGCTATCGGGATTCACCTCGCGGTAGGTTTTGATGGCCGCAAGTCCACTCCATCCTGTTGAGAACGAACCCTCAGTTAGAATGCGACCAATCGCCAAATATCAACGGGTGTGTTGATCGCGCTAAGCACCACCATCCCGGGCCGCTCGACTCACCTGCACCCACCACGACCAAATCCACACTTTCCATTTTTTTGAGGGGTTGAAGCAGAGCTGGGGGTGTGAGTGTCGGGGTCACCAACTTGGTGATCTTAAAATTGAGATTGAAAGGAAGCGACTGAGTTGACTGACTCGCTGGCGCTAGGATCCCTGCTAGGGAAGAGCGATGCAGCAGGGGGAAGAAGTGAAAGAAACAAGACCAATCCTTCTCTCAAGCGATCGAAAGGAAAATCAACCAGAAAGAAAGAAGAGACCACCAAGTCACCTTTGTAGGACTTTTCTAATTATTTGAGGGGACAACGGTCAAACAATCAAACGGCCACTGATCAACCAACCAGCCAACCGGAACAGATATGCTAAGGTAATAATAATTGTATAATTGTTGGTATTTGGCCACTGTGGTTGGAGTCAATGAAGTGGGCCTGTCAAGAGGGCAAATTACTGGGGGAAAATGAAGCGTAACAGCGGATTTGGGATTGTTAGGGCCTGGGCTAAACCAACTACCGTAAGTAGTGTAGTACTGAGTTAGTACAGGACTAACTATGTAAGTACTTATGTACTTTGGTACTTTGGCCACTCGGTGGAAATGGGCGTCAAAGAAAGTGGCTTCCATCGGACGCCACCACGGGGAAAATGGAGGAGGGAGAAGGATAGCAACGATGGGAAATGATTTTGCGAGTACCATACAGTGTTCGAACTATCGTACATACTATCTATAATATGTACGATACACAATGTACTTTTGACATACGACTGCACGGCAATCAACAGGACTGAGGGCATTACGAGAACACTGACTCGGCATTCAAGTCGAAAATACCACTCCGAACGAATCAGGGAGCTAACTAACGACGGTAATTCACTAGTTGCTTAGGGAAGACCCGGAAAGCTGTCCGAAAGCTCCCAGAAGTTACTATCATCAGCAAGCAATATTTACCTTCTTGTCAGGGGGCATTCCTCGTCGATTGGGGACTTGGCATGCAGCTGGTCCAAAACGGTTCTCACTAGTGAGTGACAGAGAGTGACGGCAACTCGTTAATTGAACTATCGAAATACTGTACTCTATACCCTGTCCTCTACTGATCTGTACTTTGTATTCTATTCTAAATCAGGATGGAAGTACATAACCTGATCCTAGAGAACCACTGTCCATTCTAGGTTCTCTATTTCCCGGGTCATCTTACAACATTGCTCCTGTCATTCTCCTTCTCCGATGATCCTCTCATCCAGGCCCAAGATTAGAATTAGAATTATTCACCCGATGGCGATTGCAATCTTGTCAAGCCCGACAGACTGGTGCGAAAAGTTAAACTTGCCTCCGTCGTTTGACGTGCACTAGGGGCTGCTGTCAAAGCGTGCAGTCTAATGTGGCCCGCGGCCAGGCCGTGTCGACGATCGCTAACCTTTCTGATCATTTTTGGAGTCCTTTTTTCTGTTTGGGATCCTGAAAACTACGGAACTACAATCCGGCTGGATAAAATGGAAGCCTATGGACCACTATGAATAGCCACACGAGAATTCCGACAACATGGTCAGGGGGGTTGAGCTAACGTACACTAAGTTAGAAGCTCCCTCCACCATGAAGAGTACTGACCTAACGGGTGGTCCTTGAGATGGAAGACAACAATCATCAAACGCACGAACGCGTTCGCCCTTCAATTAATTTCCATCATGATGGATGGTTTGTTGGCGATGATGATGATGATGATGATGATAATGATAGATCTTTTCCAATTCATCTGTCAATAACCTTGGACTGACCCGGTCGGACAATCAAGCATTATGCAGTCCGCCACCGTCAAGCAACACTTTGACCCCCCGATCTATGGTTTTTTAGGGCAGATACATCTGTGGATGGTGTTTAAAGAAGACTGACAGCTCAAGCGGCCTGGTACTGCACACAGCGCGATCTCCGGATACTCTACCTATACGATCGGTTGCGTGCTGCCGTCAATAGTGCATCGCGAGATCTCTGCCGTCTTAACGGTATGTCAATCCCGTCCAATCCATCCAACCTAGGCGCGCCAGTACGGACTCGAAGGGGAGAAAAGTGTCAGAACTTCCCGTTCCGTGTGACCCACGACAATGGAAGAACTTCTCAACGGTGTGGACCAAAACAAGTGGGAAACTTGCAGAACCGGATTGTGTTATTCTCCATTTGATCCATCATGATCCACACTCTACCAGCCCCACGACTGGGCGCCCGACCGAGCGGATTCACACCTCTGTGGTCCGTCCTGGTACCTACAAGAGAGTCTGGAGCGCATAGAGCGGCCAACAGTATTCACCATTAAGATTCGCTATGGTCTGAGCACAGAAATCCATCGCAGTTTTTGGCTTGTACTTTGGGTCTAGCGCGGCCTTCCACCCGCGCTCTGAAACATGGAACTTAGCCGGGGCTGGCGACGATGGACCTGAAGCCAAAACACACAAGACAGCCCCCAGAAACGTGTTGACGAACCTTGGTTACGAAAGGGACGAGACCGAGGATCTTAATCCCTTAATTTGACTTGGAGAAAATCGGAGGTAATTGAGAATGACAGCTTACTAGCTCCTTACACTGTAGTTCGCTACGGTCAATTTCCGATGTCGCTGAATTTTCTAGTTGTTTCTCTCCGATAGGACGATTGTATTCTTCTGGTAAAAGGATATGAGCCCACAGCCCAAGCGAGAAAGCAAAAAATAAAGATAGCGACAAAGACAGGTTTAGGCTTAAGCAAGTTGCAAATAATCAACCAGTCAACGGCTGAACCAACTCTACGGAGTACTTGAGTATCCACTAACTGGTTCCTGACGTATGATGGGCCCAAGTATTCGGCAGACCGCGATTAACCTTCTCTAGTGATATCAAAATTATTCTGGACGTGCACTGCACGATGTAATCTCCGACAGACGGATCGGCAATGCTGACACACTTGGAGAGCAGGTCCTGTCGACTGCCCCTAAGTAGTACTCCGTACGTCAATGCGGATGATAGCGAATGGATGATCGGAAGATCTATTAAACATCAGTTGGAGAGTACAGATATCGTCAACAGCTGCTAAGGAGACCTGGTTTCAGATGAAATATCATTGGCCCAGCTGGAGACAGATCCCATCACTGCAACTAGCGTCTGTCACTGCGTCATTGCGTTCGCAGGTTTGGTGAGCTGTTCTGATGGCAAATAAAGAAAATCTCTGTCAGGTCGGTCATCCGAGCGAGTCATTCCCTGCTGGTGTAACCGAATCATGTAAAGGAGGACTGGTTGGAGTGTTGGACAGACTCAAGAATTTAGGACCGACACCTCTGCCTGACTCGTACGAGCTCAAAAGTAGGCAATGAAACACGGAGTACGGAGTACACAGACGGAGTACAGAGATGGAGTACAGAGTAACAAGCTAGTCTCTATATAGTTCCAGTAGTCTAGGAAGACTTCCATGGGCTTAGCCACTGCCGATCGCCTTTGCTGCATGAGGAAGCTCCCATATTGAACTCAGGGGAGTAGTGCTGCAGTGGAGCTTATGGCGGTCCATTTTGCTTTTCCTAAAAAACCCAGCAACCCGCCAGCTGTAAGCGAAGGAATACCAAATCATAAAACTGGTCTGGAGGCCTGGAGAATTCCTCCCCGGGAGGCGGAGGGGCGTTTGGGAAGTGGGGAGTGGGAGAAGCCCGATAATCGACATGTGCCAAAAGTCACAGCTGCCATCGGTAGGACAAATGTCATGAACGGAACCGTTGCCGCTAGCCGGGTATCCATAGTGTGTCTTCTTGGTCAATCGGCCTCTTAGAAGTCGAATTCATGCCAGAGTTTCTCCATCGAGATGGGTCTTTGCTTCTAGTGTACTCCGTAGTTTTGCCAGCTTCTTGGCTACTCTCCAGCCACTGGCGTCTTGGAGAAGTTGGACTCATCCACTTTTGTAATTTTTTTTTTTGTAATTTTTAATTTTCCCAATTTTGGTTGTTGCCGTTTATAAATCGACTGATTTGCGGGCTGGCTTCTTTGTCTGGCCTGGTTCCAATGACAAGCAGAGAGGGCCCCGGGGGAAACCATAAGCCACCGAGATAGTAAAAGTCTTCTACTATTTGCTCATCTGGTTCTGCTTCCTATTCACACACCCTTCCCTCCCTCCCTCTTTTGGATGGCTTGGGTGTCGTTGTCTTTCTTTTATCTGAATCAAACCCCCCCGGAGGCCTTCATTCCCCATTCCTGCCGCGTATTCATTGAACAACGCATAACCTGCAAAGATCAAATCCACCATGGGTGACTTTGTCACAGAGGCTTTCACACTCCTGGCAGTGGCCATTGTGATTATTGGTCTCCGTACTGTGGCTCGATGGATCATGGTAGGACCGAGGAATTTCCAGGCAGATGATTATCTGATGCTATTGGCTTGTGTACGTGAGAACCTTTGGGTTTTCTTACATCTCTTGAATGTATAGCTAATTTATATAGGTGGTGTACGGGCTGGAAACCGGCGCTGCATACATGGTGGGCGCATGGTTCAAAGGCCTCGCCAACAATGCCATGACAGATGAACAACGCAAACAGCTATCTCCCGACTCCGAAGAATATCGTCTGCGTGTGGGAGGCTCGAAGGTCCAGGTGACTGGCTGGTCATTATACACTCTGCTTTTATGGCTCTTGAAAACTTGCATGGCCGTCTTCTACTCTCGTTTAACGTGAGTTCTCCTGGTGCTTGGCTTGCTTTTTGCGATGAAGCAGGCAGCCGTTGGCTCGTTCTTTTGCTTATTCAAAATGCTAACAATGGCTTAGAGCGGGCTTGATCAACATGCGCGTCCGAATCCATATCGCATATGGCTTGATTGCCACCACTTACATTGCTACAATTTGTTCCATTCTCTTTGGTTGTCACCCGATGCACAAGAACTGGCAGATCTATCCAGATCCCGGAAGTGAGTTCCAAGAAAACTTCATTCGATAAAGGATACTCTGCGTCTACTAACAAAAAAAATCGAACAGATTATTGTCAGCCTGCTGTTTCCAAGATCGACATCTACGTCACAGTCGTGCTGAATGTTGCGACTGATATCTACCTTATCAGTATCCCAGCGCCCGTATGTTAATCTGCTCCAGGCACTGTTTACTATGATACAAAGCTTACCAACGACGATCGCAGATGCTCTTCAAGGCCCGCCTTCGCTGGCGTGAAAAACTCGAGCTTCTTGTTCTTTTCAGCGGCGGTCTCTTCGTCATGATGGCCGGTATTCTGCGCTGCGTTTTGATTTTGACAGTAAGACTACCCTTCATATTTCTAATCTGATTTTTGGATCATACCTTGACACTGAGGTTTACAGGCTGGTGCCAATGGTGCCCAACAAGCTGGCAGCTGGGCCTGTCGTGAAACCTTCGTCGCTGTGGTCATTGGCAATGTTCCGATGATCTATCCGCTTTTCCGTCGAGTCGCTCGCCGTGCAGGCCTTTATATTACCTCGAGAGGAGGTGGTTCTGAAAGCTACCCAGCCTACCAACTATCAGATGGTGATGCCAGTGGGTACGCGAGACGCAAGAAGTTCCGTCATCCGCTTTCCATCCCAGGTGACACGCAATGGAACACCGTTAGTGACGAGCAAATGATACTACCGACTTCACGCCAGCAGCCGCCTACATGCACCGCTGGCGAGGGGGACTGGGACGCTACCAGCCACACCAGCCATGGCGGAGGGATCAAAGTGATCCATGAAACGATTGTTCATAGTGCCGAGAAAGGCTCTCGCTTATAGATAGTAAAGGATACAGGTAGAATATGGGCTTCTCCCAGTTAGCGTTCTTATACGGAGGTGAGCGATGGTTCCTCCAGCCTCAATGCGTGCAGCTCGAGGATTCGATGCCCTCAGAATTCAACGAGAATGTAAGCGTAGTCTTGTCATCCATCCATACGAGACGAGCATTCCTTTGGAGAACCTGAGCTTGACTCTCTCCTGCCTTAGTATTATGAGACTCATGCAAGGAGCATATGGATTAATATTGCTAAAGAGTGGTGAAGTTTCTACTAACTACCGGTAGAAGACGGTGATGACATTGGATTTGATTGATGAGACTAGCGATGGCCTTGGCAAGCTTTAGCTAGCTATAATGTCTAGTTCCACCGGGATAAAGCTGTATCAGGGTTGGAGCCCTGTAGAACGTAGTGTCTCCCCACCGGAGAACGTATCCTTATGAACAAATTAACATTCTGCAGAGTGAGCTCGGGAAGAGCCACCACTTCAGGGGTCTGTTCACCCGGTTTGCAGACAAATAGACTGCCAAATCCCCGGAGCTCCGCATTCAACCCCACAAATCCCCTCCTCCACGGAAAGGAAATGGACAACATGCCGCAAAGATGAGATCTGGGGATTTCGGAGAAGATGTGGGATCCAGAGGACTCAGAATTGAGATAAAAGGACGCCCAAGCTGCACTTCGACGATGAAACGAAACGGAAAGAAAGACTGCGCAATTCAGAGAAGTATTTGGACATCATGTTGTGGAGTGTTTTCGCATCTCTTCTCGCCGCTGGTTTGGTAACGGCAGACAACCTCACAGCCACCGTCAACCTCAGCGTGTCTAAAGGGAAACCTGTCCACTGGGCTTCTGGTTTCATTTATGGTATCCCCGATACACCGAATCAGATCCCCGATCATTGGTACACCGATATAGGATTCCGTTATGGTCGTGCTGGAGGCGCACAGCTTCAAGCGCCCGCCCGAGGTTGGATCTGGGGATTGAATGAATACAAAGGTCGCCTGGAGTCAACGCTGTCAAATTACCGGACTTGTCGCAAATACGGTGCTGAATTCATTCTCCTACCGCACGACGTGTGGGGAACTGACCATACCAACTCTTCGACGGTCTGGCCTGGTGATGGAGGCGACTGGTCCGATTATGACTTGTTCGTCAAAACCCTGATGAAGGACCTCAAGAAAAATAATGCACTGAAGGGTCTGGTTTGGGATATTTGGAACGAACCCGATATTAGTATCTTCTGGGAACGCGATCAGCAGCAGTGGATTGACTTATACATTCGCACTCATAAGCTGCTTCGGTATGTGTCAGGTCCTCAATTCCCCATTGAATCAAGTTCTAATGCCGGGCAAATCTTTTGCACAGCGAGGACCCAAGCTTCCACTCCGTCCAGATCTCGGGCCCATCGTTGGCCTATCGCCCAGTTTCTGGGAACACTTGGTGGAGCAACTGGCTGGCTCAGATCGCAGGAAACAAGACTATTCCCGAACAATATTCCTATCATTTGGAAGGCGCCACGAACGACTGGGACAATGATCTTCAAAACACAAACAGCACACTTGCGACGCTTCTGAAGAATTATGATCTCCCTGATCGCCAGATCAACATCAACGAGTATGCCAATTACGGCGAACAAGTCCCCGCTGGGGCTGCGTGGTGGATCTCACGATTGGAAAGATACAATGCCTTTGGGTTGCGTGGCAATTGGCTAAGTGGATGGACACTACACGACCTCATGGCGAATCTCTTGACTAAAAAATCGGATCCGACCGATTATAATGCGACCGATTACGCTCCGGCTCCCGAGTTCCAGGTATATAAATACTACAAGGGGAACATGACCGGCCACCGCGTCGAAACCTCCGGCACTGGAGATCGCCTGTTCGACGTCTATGCCACGGTTGACTCGGACAAGGTTCGCATTCTGTCAGGAACGCGCATTACGGCGGGAAATTGGCAGATCACCGTGACAGGGATGAGTGCGGTCGGGCTTCCGTCTGAAGGGACGGTAGATATTCAAACCTGGGGATTTGCTGGCACATCCGTGTATCAAGAGGTGGATTCCCCCAGCAATCGCGGTATCGTCTCGCATACTTATTCGGGTGATGTGTTGACTTTCCCCATCTTCCAAACCGATGCTAGCACGGCGTGGGCATTTGAATTTAGCCGCTAAGGGATTCTACGGATCTGAAATGTCGGCTGAAGCCATGAATTTCGAAAAGATTTACACTTTGCGATTATCTCAATCGAATTTATTTATGTATCTCGTAATGATTCCGTGATAACTAATATTAATACTATCTACGGAGTACCGATTGTCCTATTCCGCCCCCAAAACTTAAGATCCCGTTTGTTCCGAAGGACCCCACTAGTCTTTCCCCACACTAATTCCGTCAGCGACCTCAGCGGAATTTACCTTCCCTTCTTCCTCATGGCTCGCAATGACAAGCGCTATCTCAGCAGAGGTCTCACAGAGACCGGACCATAGTCAGCGACGCACCTATGAAACAGAACTCGATGACCGTCCCAAAGAGGATGTTCGGTCTTCACCCAAAAAAGCGAAAAGAGGGAAATACGCTTCGAAGGCATGGTAAGCATTCGCCCCAGGGCTGCTTGTATAAATTGAAAATTCCTGACAGCCAACGAACTGTTTACAATAGTGTTCATTGCCAGCGACGCAAGATTAAAGTAAGAGCTGCAAGGGGCGAGTGGCGTCGATGCGAACTTCACTGATATTTGACCTACTTTTCTTTTGTGACAGTGCGATGGGAATGCTCCCTGTCAGGCTTGTACAATCAAGGGACGGGACTGTCAGCGAGTGGGTACAGATATGCGGGGAAGATGGCGAGCTGCAGATCATGTTTCTGCAGGATCCAAAGGTTTGGCATCTCGCATGAGTCGAGTGGAGCGTCAACTGGGCCTCGTGAAAGAGCCAGAAAGACGTCGACGGGGTGAACCCGACCAGACTCATGGAGAATCCATTGAAGGGCTTTCTCCACATCAAAGGCGGGAAAATGGCTCGGTTTATGGATCGAGCACTCGAAATCCGAGTCCACAGCTGCAAGTTCCGGCGTTTTCTGGCGAGACGTCCATTGCACACAATCTCACTGTCGTTGAGGGACGGCTAGAGCAGATGGGTGTACAATATAAGAGACTTCGCTCTGCATCGCCAAGTCAAAGATTTACATCACGTCTCACACCCTCACCAAACGAATCATCGGATTTGTCACCAGAACAACAGACAGGCCTCATTCAAAAGGTTTTGGATGCCCATCGCATCGCGCCCAATCGACGACAGTGGGACAGTCTTATGCACACGTTTTGTGATGAGGTGCATATTCTTGTGCCGTTTCTCCACCTTCCAAGTCTGTGGAAACTTTATGATGATCTGTGGAGATCCGGATTCGGTCGCCAATCAGACGGTCAATTGGAGAGCGGCAGTCACCGTGTGCGAACCGCTCACATTTTACTCGGCATTGCCAATGGAAGATGTGTGGAATCCTCGCGTCTAGAAGAGGATCAAGGCTCCTATTCTGCTGGCTGGAGCTTATACAGCGCCGCCAGAGATATGTTTGGTGACCTGATTGATGGATTCCGGCAGTGCGAGGATCAAATACTTGTCCTACAAACAGTTATGCTAATGGTTGTTTACCTGTTTCGTCTTGATGCGCACGGATCTGCCGAGAAGATTCTGGCACTCGCAATATCGCATGCACATCATCTTGGCCTTCAGAGGGAACGGGTTGTCAGCGCAATGTCACCATTCCAGAGCCAGATGGCTCGTCGTTTATGGTGGTGCATCTACCTGTTGGATCGAAGGTTGGCCATCGAAACTGGTCGTCCATTCCTCATCCAAGATATCAATGTTGACGTGGGACTTCCTGACAATGTCAGTGATGAATGGCTAACGACCCATAAAACGACTCAGCTTGCAACGAGGGTCAACATGTCAGACAAGGAAGGAATTTCTACGTCAGTTCCCTATCTGATAGCTATGACTAGCTATTCCAAAGTCATCGGGAAAGTGTGGGAAGCTCTCTACGGGGCCACCACATCGGAGGCAACCACAAGTCCTCTGCTCAACGAGTACCTTGAGCACCTGACAACCCAATCACAGAAAGGCCTTCAAAAGGAATTCACCCACGACCCCTATCACGAAGATAATTATAATAGTGAAGGATTGGCCTGGTGGCAAGTGAAGCAACATCTCATGATGCGTATCGTGGGGGCCCCCTTCCCATCTTTCTCACCTCCATTCCGTCAATTGTGGATGACACCGAGCTAACACACCAAAGCAGAGGTGGTGCTCGCTTTATCTTTTGATCCGCAAGCCCATGCTTCAAAAAGTGCGGTGCAACAATGATTCACTGTCTGAAGCAGTAGAGAACGAGGTCATCTGTATGCGCCTGGCTCAGAGAATCATCGATGACTTCAGAAACGTACCGGAAGAACATCCGAAGTACACGTTTCCTTTCTTGCATTACTTGACTAGTGCTACCATTATTGCACTAGGGCTTATTATCAAACAGCCTTCATTCAAAAGCTCCTATGGGGCCCTGACGCTGAGGGCTACCAAGTCTCTATGGGAGCATTGTCGCAAAACATGGATGTCTGGTAAAATGGTCCAAACTGTATGGAAACTGAATCAAATAGCAGATGCTATTCTGAGCTCCCATGACTCACCATCAGACCGCACATCTCGCTTTGGCGGCAGTGTATCTACTCTTCTACCCGCCGCTGGTTTAGTCCAGTCAACCCCAAATGATGAAAGAAATCCACCCAAACAATATACGACGGTCAATCCGACCATTCGGCCGCCGCTGTACTCGTCACAAACTCCAATAGGAGCTCGAAACTACGCCCACGTCATTGACAACAATCATATTCTTTCAGAGCCGGAAGCTGGAGCGATTCCAGGAGCCACAGAACCACAAAATCACCAGAGAAACGATACGACACAGGCACGAGCTGGAGCTGCTGCCTCAATGTTGGATTTTGTTGGCGGTCGTCGTCCTGCCTTGAGAAATGACAGCTCGCACAGGCCGGAGGATTTCCCATACCCAACAGGACACATGCACTGTCAGGCAGAAGCCTATTTTGAAACAAGAGGCTGCATGGAGACTCGTGACGGTCGTGATCACGGGGCTAGTTCGTCACAGATATACGATACTGTACCATTTGAAATGGGTCTGGACGCGCCGTTACCGGGAGAAAGCATAAACGGTGGAATGGAATGGTTACAATCCCTGTTTTCCAATGGCCTTGATTCCCAGATTCTACCTGTATGGGATTGATAATTTAATGGCTGATCAGTTGATCGCAGATAAGGGCTTGGTATTCGTAGAAAGGCACAAAGTTCTTAGTAAAAGTATTAATGGTATTCTTGTCATGACAAATGCGCAGAATGAGAGCATTCTGTGTAGGTTTGTTCGTAAAATACTTGGCCATGAACTGCATGAAATACGCGACCTCTTACACCGTGTGTGACTCGCGGGCTCGGAAAATATCAAATATAGCTTATCGTCACGATTTGCCATCTCAATCATTTGCTATCTACAATCATTTGCCAGATGCCCGATTCCTTATTTCCCCCACAATCATCGGGCTTCGCAGTCGGATCTTGTGGCCAAACTTGTAGAAGAAAAATGGAATGGGGATCAATACGACCTCAATGATGGCCAACATGGTCCCAGCCCAGTTGGGCCCCAGCGTGTGGTACATCTTGGACCCAGCAAGAGGGAGAACGCCACCAAGGCCATATCTCACAATCGAATTGCCTGCCATGGCCGAGGCTGCATAAACCGTATAGCTTCCAGCTATGTAGTTTGTAGCATAGATGAAAACCAGACCATTGCCCAACCCAAATGGAAGACCTGCCAGGATCGGGAGTATCCAATGGATCGACGGTTTAGCGGTCCATGCAAACCAAAACTCTCCAATTGGGATGAGAACACTTCCTAGGCATACCGCCCATGCCGCAGCCTCGGGGGCTGGTCGGCCTGTGCTTGGATCTGAAGGGTGTAAATTGATAACTTTTCTGATCAAAGGCTCTGAAATCACCGCAATGGCAGTTCCGATTCCAATGCCACAGTAACCAAGCCCTGCAAGACTCGGAGACCAACCCCGATGCTCCTCAAAGACTATAGGATAGGCGACGAAGCACAGGAAAAGAACCGCATAGACAATGCCTATATATATGTTCCAGAAAATACTGCCGTTGAGTTAGCGTATGAGACAATGAAACATATGGAAGAAGAATTTCATGTTAATTACCAAATCGGCTCGAACAAAATCATTCGAATAGGACGGATCAAGTTAGTTTTCAACATTTGAAGTCCCGTCTGCTCGTGGTCAAATTGGCACCACCAACGAAGATCACCGGTTTCTTGCTGCAATTTCTTGGTCCGTCTGCGAAGGAGGGTGGGCGCGTATGTCTCTTTGACCAGAAACATCAAGATAAGTGAAAACCCAGTACTGATCAAAACGATCCAATTAATCCAGCGCCAGTCAAGATACTGAAATATGAAGCCTCCAATTATAGGGCCTATGTGAACGTTTCGTAACGATTTCTTAGAAAACAGTCATTGGTATTGGGCCAATCTGGGCTCCAGTGCATACCTAAGACAGGGCCATTCATAGTCCCGAGGCTCCAGCAGCTCAGCGCCAGAGCACGATATTGATCATTAGTCACATCAGCAACGCTGCCTGGTCCGCTTGAGATCGAGACTCCCCCGAAGAAACCACTGAAAAATCTGCTAATCAAGATCGTTTCGATGTTTTTCGCAAGCGCCACAGGCAGGACAAATATGCCAAAGAGTAAAACAGAGACAACGTAGACAGGCCTTCGGCCATATATTTCAGAAAGTGAGGAAAGAACAGCTGATCCGATCCCAAGGCCGAAAAGATTGGTGGTCAGACCCAGAAGCACTACAGTTTCCGAGGAATTGAAGGCGTCCTGCATTCCGTCGAGACCCGAGGTATACATTGTCGTGTACATGATTCTAAGGAGTCAAAGTGTTATTGACTGTTATCGCTGAGGTGTCACGACAGCTAGTTGAATCAGACATACACTATTGTGGTGGAGAAGGATGTGGCGGCCACAACAAAGCATCTGTACCATACTGGCCAGGTTCTCGGATTTTCCGTGTCGGCCGCCTTCCACGTCACCTCAAAGTTGGGATCGCGAGTCGCGGCAAAGCCATCTGATAGAACGCAGACTTCAGATTTCTGTACGTCTGACATTGCAAGAACAAGTGAGATTTATTTTGTCGAATCATTGGGGTGATTATGTCGATATAACAACGAAATATAGCGGGGTAGAGAACACCGGAATCTTGAAGATTCCGTGACGGACGGCCTTGCTGACCACAATGATTGCCCGCCACCGGGATTGAGATGAAATATTACGAGAGATCGTCGGTTCGGGGATTGAGTTGAGCTGCCTATCAGATAGATATCGGTGATAAATGGCAATAATGATAATACATCCAGTATGGATGACTCGTATGGAGGTAGTTCCGCAAACATTCGACGGAAAGTGTGAACTAATATCTCTTGATTCCCGAAGGAGCATTCAAGATCATTCCTTAAAGCTATCACGTATTAGAGTGAATCAATAGGCGTCGGGCATTCGCAGATTCCAAAATCTGCCGTCCCAGGTTGACCGGGGCTCAAAGTGCAGAGTAAACCGTTCCTCGCACGAACGATTTCATCTGCCGAGTTTATAGAGCGTACCGGAAGAACGGATTCTGCTTGTCAGTGAGATCATCAAAAGCGGTCTTGTCACGCTGCACTTCATCAAGTTCGATTGCCTCCCGAGCTTTGTTTTCCCTCCACAAGACCACATACAAGGCAACGGCCGCAGTGATGGTGATAGAATAGCTGGAGAGCTGTTAGTGAGCATATCAGTCTAATTTTAAAGAATAAAACCAACCATATCACCATGCCTGTCCATAGCTCTGGATAATGCTGGGCCTTGGTATTGCTCTTGACAAGCTGTGGTCCAATAATATTGCCGACTGTATAGGCGACGAAGACCGTGGCAGCCATGATTGTCTTCTTAGTGGCTCCCGCAACATTGCTTGCGCCAACTGTGATGATGAGGCTGACGACTGGCCCAAAGAAACCAGTCAGCGCGTAACCGACGACCGGAACGGCGGGATGATATCCCCAGTGTGATTTCCAGATCATCACACACCCGGCAATAACAGGTAGACAACAAGTAATGAGCATCGGGATTCGCGTATTGGGGACAACAGTGGAGATATATCCGCACAGCGGAATGAATATAACGCAAATGCCACCCACGGGAAATTGGAATAAGATGGAGTCAAGGGTGTCGTATCCGAAGGTTGAGACGATTAAAGGCCCAAAGCCAGAAATGGCGCCATTGATTGTGTACCTAAGAGTCATGTTAGCATGGGATTAGAGTTTGCAAGTATAGGTAACCAGATATCCCGCAGTATGTTTCAAGGGAAACTCACGCTGAAGCCATCATAACAGCCACTAGGTAGATTTTAATATCGGTCAATGACTCTTTGATCTGATCAAACTTGATTTTCTGGCATCGAACACCGGTTTGACCTTTTCGAAGTCGCTCCACAGCCACCATCCGCTCCTCTGGAGTCAAGAACCAGGCCGAGACGGGTGAGTTGGGAATGGTGCAGCACCAGAGGCCAAACAGAAATGTCAGGGCTCCAGCAAGGATATAGATATACTGCCACCTGGTTAAGGACCCAGAGGTGATTTGACCAAAGCCATAGTTCATGGCACCGCCGATGATGGTGAACCAGCCAGTGCCTGAAAACCACCAGGCTTGCCGAAGAGCTTGCTCCTCCTGCGTATAGTAGCCACTGACAATGGTCATGAAACTAGTCGGGATCACACTCTCGATGAAACCTATTTGAGGTTAGATGGATGCATTGTAGTGTGGACGACGAACGTACCAAGGAAGAACCGCTGTACGAACAATCCTTGCCAGGACGTGACACCAGCAGTGGCCGCACAAACAATTGCCCACAGGAGAACAACAGGACCGAGAACGTGTCTAATATTGAATCTTTGCAACACAAATGTCATGGGATAAAGCCCGACCAACATTCCAAAATAGAAAATTGATGTGGCCCAACTGAGACGTGATGTATCAACTGAAGGCGGAGATGTTGAATAGTCGGTAACTTTCAATGATAGGTCGGTTGTCATGCCGAACAGTGCAGCACTGCCAAGAATCGCCTAGAAAAGATGTCAGTAGTTGTCCTAGACAAGATTCTTGTCAACTTCAGCTTGCCTTGTCATAGTAGACCAAGCCGTAACCTAAATTGATAGTTGATTAGACCAAGATCTATTCGATGAGTCAAGTTTTCAACCTACCAATTAGCATCGCTGGCATGAAGTACCGGTCGATCTTCCTTAGCACCCTTTTTCCAACCACCGGGTCGATCTCCTGGGCCACATCGCTCACGACTGCTAACGCTGCATCCTTGTCGGAGAGATGTGCGGGGTCGTTGGCAGGGCCAACATGGGGTAATTGAATCATTTCCTCACTCCCAGGAATACTAGATAGTTCTCTAAAGATGTTTCCACGCGAAACCTTGAATCAAGTCTAGAAAACTTCGAACGCGCGTAAACAACAAAAGAAAACACCCAAATTAACTTTTCGACACTTTCCTGATTGGGACGGCCGATGTCGCCAGTCTCACCGCCTGAACATCTCGGGCAGAATCGGACCACTGTCTGCCGCCGGGCGGTGGAGGACAAGGCTATCGTCGGCTTCGTCAAAAAAGAGTGGAGGCCAGGTGAACGTGTGAATGTGTGAGTGATGATTATCTGCAATTCATATACGGAGTACACGGAATTGGTTGACTAGGCCGGTTCCAGTTAGATTTTGACTGTGCCAGTAAATTATTCTTTATGAAAGCATAACGAGACACACAAGCAGAAAAAAATGCAAGATTCCTTTTGAATTTTGCATAGTTTGTCTTCATAAAGACAACTTCTCTGATAGTGTCTTATTCACGCCCCTTCGCTCTAGTTCAACTATCCTGATTCTGAAGCCACTTGCCTGATGTCAGTGAAAATCGAGTTAGCGCGTGGCCTTTGTCGTCTCCTGGCAGGCCATCAGCGGCCACGGAATGACTTCACGAATAGAAACTTTGCCTCGATCGGCCACCCAGGCTAGGAGTGAGAACTTGAGCCTGGACTGTCCCAAGGTTAAAGTGGTCCACAACTGGGTTCAAGTGTTGATGCCATCGATGCTTGACAACCTTATGGGTCATCTTATACAGTCGCCTAACTGACAAGTCGAAAACAAGGTCCAACAGCGATGATATCAGCGACCCGAACAAATCCGTACAGATCCGTCCTAGCTCACCAAATTGCATCCCAAACCATCCATTTACACCGAGATCGAAACTCTATTTTCAGGAAGCTACCTCGCTCAACACCACCACTACTACCATATAGCAATCATGTTTCCATTGAAATGGAAGGTGACGTAACAATCCAACGACCAAGTCCTTAAAAGCAAAGCATGCCACAAGTATCTAGCGAAGTTTCCGCGTCAGTAATATTCTTTCAAGACAATCTTCTCTTCGAATCTTTTAACCATGCCGATCGAGTTTACTGTATTCAAGGGATCGAAAGACGGAACCATTGTGCAAGGGACAACCGAGCGACCCGACCTGAAGCGCGACGATGTACTCATTCGGATCACGCACTCAGGCGTCTGCTTCACCGATGTTCACTACCGAAATGCCGATATGGCGCTAGGCCACGAAGGAACTGGGGTCGTCGAAGCAACTGGCCCAGATGCTCATATTTTGAAGAAAGGCGATCGAGTGGGTTGGGGGTATGAGCACGATTGCTGCGGTCACTGCCGTCACTGTCTCACTGGCTGGGAGACCATGTGTGCGGAGCGCAAGATGTATGCTTACGCGGATCTTGATCAAGGGTCGTTCGGTACTCACGCTGTGTGGCGTGAAGCATTCTTGTTCAAAATTCCTGACAACATAAGCAACGAGGACGCTGGTCCACTTATGTGTGGCGGATCGACCGTTTTCAACGCTCTTCACGTTGCCCAAGTTCGTTCTACGGCTCGAGTTGGCATTGTCGGAGTAGGAGGGCTGGGTCATCTGGCTATTCAATTCGCCGCGAAGATGGGTTGCCAGGTGGTCGTCTTCTCGGGGACCGATAGCAAGAAAGAAGAGGCATTGAAGTTAGGCGCAAAGGAGTTCTATGCAACCAAAGGTTCGAAGGAACTGAAGTTGGAGCAGCCCATCGACAATCTTATTGTGACTACCAGTAGCCAACCGAACTGGGAGCTTTATCTGAGCGTGATGTCTCCAAACGGTGTCATCTCGCCCCTCTCCGTCGACGAGAACGAATTGAAGATCCCGTACATGCCTGTACTGTTGAACGGTCTCCGTATTCAAGGAGGAATCGTTTCCGCGAGGCAGGTTCACCGCGACATGCTTGATTTCGCCGCCATGCATAATATCAAACCTATCAACATGACTTTCCCCATGACACTGGAAGGAGTCAAGCAAAGCCTCAAGACTCTGGAAGAAGGCAAAATGCGTTATCGTGGCGTCCTTGTTGCTGAAAATTGAAGGCAATGGGCCTAAGGTCATGGGACTTGACATATGTGAACAGAGCCTGCACTTTTATAGAATGCAAACTTGCTTCGAGTTCTGTCATATATTAAGGCCTGGATAGTCAATATTACATGTTAAGGCCTCATTGGATCTTGCTGCAATAGAAAGATGAAACGGGTTTACTTGGGATGCCCCCTAACAAGTATGGTCTCTAGATTGGTGATATCAAATTGGGGGCTCTACGGGGCGAGATGAACATTCCATTACCATGGGCAATGCGGGACATGCTACTCTTGCGTCACAGTATTTCCCAATCTAGTCGGTCTAAAATTCTGTACTTCTTTCAGGCATATTCCGTAAGTAGATCTAGCGCTTGCTTTGTCTAATGTAGCAAAGCTCTCATTGCAAGAAAGATATAGCAGAAGTCTATAGACGGCTCTGAAGAGGCCGAGAGTCTCTTGCATCAGCAGCTGGCAGACATGGCTCCACCAGCCCCAGCTCTCGTGCAACTGATCGGGCCGCCCACAGACCAGTCACAAAGGCAAGTGCAAGGCCTCCAGTATAGCCCAAGTTGCTGAACCCTCCTGCGTCAACTCCAGCCACGAGTAATCCCGGTATAATGGTCTTATCGCGAGTCAACGCACGCCCTTGGGTATCAATTGAAATGCCCCCGTAGGTGAAGGTTATACTAAGAATGAATAGTTAGACTCATTGGATGCTCAAATAGGCAGCGAACGTTGGAGACATACGATGGTTGGACCTCCATGGCGTAGAATGGACCTTCGCCATCAACCAATGGACTCGGAGGAGCCCCCGCACGACCAACTGGGGCATCGAGGCCGAGATTCCTTTGGCCATGACGGACGACTTGATCGTATTTCTCAACTGTATCTGCTGCTTGAACGTGGTCTACTCCCCAAGTACGAAGGATCTCAAAGAGTTCGCCTAGTGTGGATGCCTTTCCCACGTTACAGCCGTAGTCACGGGCTTTCTGCAATCGATCAACATCACCTGCATTAGGGAAAAGTGCGCCCATGCAGTGCTGACGGCGTGTTATCTCACTAATATCACTAGATTAGTTCTGAAAGGGTTCCCTCATATGAAAAGTACTCACTTGAATAGCAGAAACCCACGGCGCTTTTCCTGCTTGGCCAAGTACTGGTTCACTATTTCATCACCCATTGTCTCGTCAGTAAAACGGCGACCGGCTTCGTTTAGAAGTATGCAGTATTTGCTTTCTGGTAGATAATTAGGACTCAAATCTTTCTTTAGCCAAGACGTTTAGTATCACTTACGATACTGAGCCAAAGGCAAATAATCGTGTGGGCTGGCATCCTCGGCTCGGAGAGGGGCTGCCAGTAAATGGCCATAGAAAGTATTGAGCCCTTTGCTTGTTCCAGCTCCAGCTGCAATAGCCAAGCTTAGGCCATCACCGACAGAGCCCCGGTTGGAACGCACGAAAATATTGTCACCCCCATGGCCGAGATACTTGGCTGTCATGCTGGGGGACCCCTGGAAGCCACCAGTAGCCAAAACAACTAGCTTAGCCTTCACTTGATAATAAATGACGGAGCCCCCGGGATTGTGCTCGCAAATGATTGCGCCATTGATGCGAGACCCCGGTACCCCGGGGTCATCTTGAGTAAGCTTGACAATCGATGTGTTCGTCAAGATGCGGGAACCGTTATCGCTTGCAGCTATACGTTGTTGGTGAGACTTATGGAGAAACGACATTTGGATTGGAAATCCAATTCCTGGGTGATTTTCAGCAGATGTAACCCGTGAATGAATACCCGACAGCCAGCTTACCAATGGTCATAATGCCATCAAATCGCTTCGCAGTAGGTATACCATTTTCGCGCATCCACTGTACTGCTGGTAGATACTCATCTAACCATGCACGCTGTAATTCAGGATCCCCATTTGGCACCCACGACCTCAGCTTGTCATATGTGTGTGGTGCCCAGCTTCATTATTGGGATGTCAACAACTTGTGAACGACGAGGATAACGCGACAAACGTACAACATGCCTGCAGAAAGACTCGAAGATCCGCCAATCCCCCCTTGCTTCTCTATCACTAGCGTTTTGGCCCCAGCTTCTGCGGCAAATGCAGCACACGCCATACCAGACATGCCCCCGCCACAGACCAAGGTATCGACATCAAGAACTTCCATCGTATGAAGCAATTGATCTGTATCAAATGATAGTTTGCTGTTGTTTTGGAAGTATTCTGAAGGGATTTGCAAATACTTATAAAGGTCACACTGGAACTATGAGCCTACAACGTGGTTGATGCTAGGCCTCTACACCGGCAGCCAAATTAAATGGCCGGATGGATCCATCCCTACCTGTTGATCAAGAGGGAATAATCCATCAGAGGAGCGGGGTTTCTCCGCACCAGCCAATCTCCAAAAGAGTGCAGTATGGGTAAATCAAGACCCGTTTCCATGAGTCTCTGAGGCTGATGTATACTTGAATGATCAAATCGCTCATCCGGCAGAGGATCTGCCAAATGAATCTAATCCATATCATCCTACTTTACCCACATATCCTGGACGCCTTTGTCGTGTATTGTGCATAAACAGACAAACAGAAAAGATTCACCCTCGAGACAAGGTTCTCTCCGGCCTTTGGTATTTTACAAAGAGAGATTTGCCGAAATATGTTGCGCAAGTTTGGTATCGACCTTGACAAGGCTTCAGAGGAAGTTATTTCATTTGTACTACATGAATGATAAACCACGCTATTTACCTCGATGCTCAAAATGTGATCACTGCTTCACGGGGAGTCACTGAGTGAGTCCGTGAGCCTATAGCCGTTGACTCGATGCTCGCAAGCGTCGGGTGACCTTAGATATCGCTTGCTGTGCATCGGCTTGACTCTGCCAAAAAGGAGGCAACGCTCTCGCAACCTCCGCCAACCGTTGTAGACTGATGATACCCCGAGAAGCATGGACACTTGCGACGTCACTCCCAGGTTGGTCCAAAGACGTATTGAAGACCTCGAGGGACATGGGTCCTGTATAACCCGTCGCAAACACAGCAGCAGCTACCAGTTCCAAGGGCATATAGCCCCCAAGCGATTGCTCCAAAGGATAGAGGCGATGGCTTCTTGACCAAGGAAGGAGAGCTGGAGTGGTTGGATCTGTCGGTGGATGAAATGCCGCAGGATTGACAAGCTCCGCGTCACCACACTGGAAAAAGAAGATTCGATCTCCAGGAACGGTGCAGGCTAGAGATGCAAGTGACCCAGTGAGAACTTCAAGAGATTCACCAAGAGTTGGATAAATGCGTCCATGTCCTGCTGGGTTGTAAGGGTCTGCAAACTCCACGGCCAAGATATTGAATGCATCGATAATCAGCCCGACGTTTGGACGGTTGGCAAACCTCACAGCTTCCCATGAGGCTGACCATGTATTTCTTGTAGCCCAGGAGAGGCCCTCGTAACCGATCTTCAGCATCCGCCCTCCATCCTTGCGTGAATATTCAGCAGCCATGTCACCGAGCTCTGCGAGATCTCGAGCAACCGTTTTTAGATCAGAGGTGACACCGTCGTCGTTGCGAATATTGGCACACATGAATACGAGGTCGGTATCAAACGCTCGCATAAAAGGAAAACGCTTAGCAACCAGGTTAAGTGTCGCTCGGCGTTCAACGGGATCCTTGATCCCCTCGATCTTGCGAAGAGGTTGCGTACAGGCAATGCGCATTCCCATCGACTTCACTAAATCACCTAGCTGGCGTGCGACCCGAAGATTCTCGGCAGTCGGCTCCCAAAGATCATCGCCAGGCAGTCCATGCTCCTCTAAATAGGCAGCCCAGCACTCGTCGAAGAGATCAATCCATTGGTAGCCAGCCTTTGCAGCTGCCTCGAGCCGGGGAGTGAGCGGGTGCTCCCTCCAGTTTCCGAGAGACAGAGTAGCGATGCCAAACTCATTGATATTTGCTGGAGGCCAAGTAGACAACATTTTGTGTTAGATTAGGAAATCTTGGAGGGAGGTAGAATGAACCCATCGCTCGATGGTTGTGAATCCGGTGATATTAGTTGAATGGATGATCGAATATCCGTGGAGGCCCGCGCCACAAGACTCCACCTCCACAAACCGGCCATTTTAAAAAGACACCGGGGGTCTCTTCCCTTATCAGCTTATAGAACTATGTCATGTGCCTGTAATGGAGAGTGAAGTCAATGTATTGAATGGTTGAGAAGTAAATAATGAAAAAAAAAAAAAAAAAAAAATCCCCCTTCAACAAAGCGGCCTCATCTCAATGGCTAAAAAAACACATCAATTGTCATAGAGGCGAGGTTGGCGTGTCTGGAATCATTATCTTGTCTCGCGACCAGTTTGAAACCGTGTGCTCAGCAAGCCAAATCATGTTCGATTTTTCCCGGTTAATATTAAACGAGACACAAGGCTCTTCTCGAAGCATTCTTATTATCAAAGTCTCGGAGTACCTATCGGCGGACTCCGGTCCCCGGACTGGCCAGTTGATGTGATACCCGCTTGGGGGATTACTCAGCTCCGCTTCCCCGAGGTCCTCACAGTGTCTGTCTGTTAGTGTCAGTTGCCCCGCAGTGTTTCCTCCTTCCCCCATGCTCTTTCACTATTCTTGCATCTCACAACCCTCCATTACGTATCAATTATACTCAACACAAAAATGACTACTCTCAAGTCCGGTGACGCGTTCCCCAGTGACGTTGTCTTCAAGTGAGTGACTCGGCCCCTCAGTGTCCCGGGCCCTCCAAGCTCTCCCCGCAATACTCCAGAGCTTCGTTAACCACCCACCATCGGTAGATACATTCCCTGGTCCGAGGAAAGCGGCGACATTAAGGCCTGTGGTATCCCCATTAACTATAATGCCTCAAAGGAGTGGGCGGACAAGAAGGTTGTCCTCTTTTCCGTTCCTGGTGAGTCTCAATCATTTTCGATTCAATCCGCATTGGCCAATGAACCAAGGGCTAATGATTCAACTTCGAAACCCTCTAGGTGCCTTCACCCCAACCTGCTCTGTCAACCACATGCCCGGATATATTAAGAACCTCCCCCAGCTCCGTGCAAAGGGTGTGGATATTGTCGCCGTCGTGGCTTTCAACGACCCCTTCGTCATGAGCGCCTGGGGCAAGGCCAACGAGGTGCGCGGAGACGAAATCGTGAGTATCACCTGCCCCGTCTAAGTATCACGTTCAATCATTGACCGTTTTCGGCGGTTAGCTGTTCCTGTCCGACCCCGATGCTCAGTTCTCCAAGAGCATTGGCTGGGCTGATGAAGCGTCCGGGCGCACGGGTCGTTATGCCATTGTCATTGACCACGGCAAGGTCAGCTATGCTCAAATCGAGACTGAGAGGGGCGCCGTCAAGGTAAGAGTTGCCCATTGCTTACCCCTGTCTATAGATGAGCTAACGGAGTAAACCCAAAATACAGAAATCAGGTGCTGACGCCGTCCTGGCATCGCTGTGAGAGAGGTCCTAGAAACTGAAATGGATCCTGCTCGGAATTCCTAATCAGCAGCAAGCCATACATATACTTTTTTGTGACCCGTGATTGCCACTCATTGAGAGAGTCCATAGATAGAATACCTAAACACTGCAATAGACGATGCATGTCCATCATGAATTCAAGTCACAATGCAGAAAGAGGCTTCTAGACACTGTCGGAGTATGTACATCATCAGGGCAATCTATTTCCAGGAAATTCAAGTCATCACGCTCCAAGACGAAGAAGAGCGACTGTTTCCAAGAGGAAAAAAAAAAGCAGAATTCAAATGGTACACTGTCGCAGATCACAAAAAAAAGACAACGGCCCCGAAATAGGCTCAATGGGGTTTTTGAGAGAAAGTGCGGTCATAGACATGCAATTCCAGCCCAGCAGAAGCACAATCCTCGTGCAATGGCTCTGCAGCTTGCACAATCTTGGGTTTGATGGTGTCATCGGCGGGCTCGGGTGCCGAGGCGCTAGTGTCACCAAGCTCATCGGCCGAGGCGTTCCGAAAGGAGCCTTCAATATTTAGGCATCGAAGGTGAGGGAATTGTGAGCGGCGGTTTCTGATGACAGTCCGGAGTTGTGAGACTAGCATGCCCATATGCCGCTCCTCGCATCCCTCGATGTAAAGAATCTCTAGAGATCCAGGCAATGAATTGATGAGAGGGCTTATCGGTTCGCTTTGATATCGAATGTCAAGAAGATTTGCTAGTCGGATGCGAAGCTCTCTGAGGGCCGAGAAATCAGCTAGGGATCCAAACCATTCATCATGGGTTTGATTGAGTCCGGCAGAAGTGAAAGGATAATGATCGCCATAGTGATCAAGCCATAAACTCTGGAGGCTCCGCTTGCTGCGAGTCAAAGAGCGATAGAAGGCAGTTGGTTGATAGCCGTGAGAGGTAAGATGCGAATCCGAATGCTGATATTTGAACGATTTTAGGTCTGCACACGTGGCTATCAAAGCATCCATACCGCGGTTCCCACTGCTGCGACGTAGGTCAATTTCGGTAATCGACGAACGGGCCACACTCACTTGCTCGGTTTCCTCTGTCTCAAGATCCGGGACGATCGAGATCGAAGTCGGGTCCACTACCGAGTTGGCAAAAACTGAGCGCATGGAAGGCAACTGGAAAAAAGACAACAGCAGGGCCGACTGATCTTCATGAGAGCCATTTCCCGCATTTACATGGGCTGTGGGTCGATCAAGGTCCTCTCGATGGTGTAAAGAGACTTTGGACAGATGCTGAAAAGCGGGTTGCGACTGGAATGGACGCTCGTTATTGATAGCCCGTTGCATGATACGGTTCAAGCAAATGGAAGGTATGGAATAGACGAGATGAAGCTGCCAAAGCTGGGTCAGCAATGGCAGCATCAAAGCACTCCACGTGTCACCGCGACCTTGTGCAAGATGTTCCACCCATTGCGCCGTTTCATCCTGAGAATATGACGAGACTTCGAGACGGCCCTTTAAGATGGAGGATCTCTGTAGCACGTCCCAGTCTGCTTGAGGGATTGACTCCTTCCGCCAACGACTCAAGTCAAGCTCGCGCACTACTCGAGCAAGAGAAGGTCGTTTTGTGATAGCGCAAATGAACGAATAAGCGTCACGCCAGTGGTTCAGCCGTACCGTCCGGTAAACCAGTGAGAGAAAGAGATCATGAAAGCGTTGGGAGATAAAGATTAGGTTCCAGCGGTCTGCATGGTTATCCAACTGTTCTCCTACTAGGAGGAGCACATCGTTGGGCAGTTGGAATGGGCGGGTCATGGTGGTGAGATTCATTGAACAAAAGGCCTCTGAAGTCATTCTGGTGGACCCTCCCGCCGGGGCTTCATGTTCTTCATAAACGTCGAGAGGGCAAAATCGTGACGGAGCTGCTTCGGGAATATCAGGATGATTTGGGAGAGAAAAAGGTGAATTCTTTCGCCCAAGGCAAAAGTCAAAAACTGTGAAGCATCCACTGATAAGCGTCTTATCAAAGTGTGTGATGAAAAGCCACAAATGGCGATTCGAAATGAGCCACTCTGCCCTAAATCGATCCACTGTCCGTCCCTTCAGAAAACGAAATTGGCTCAAGGTACCACGGGTGGATCTAGAAAGGGACTGTTGTCGGCTTAGGATCACCACGGGGCGTTGAGCGGAGTCCTCGGAGGAGGTGGATGAAATTTCTTTCGTGCTCCACCACGCGGTCACCAAATGCGCCGCTGCACGAATATCGCGAAACTCAATTGTCATAGTCATCAATGATACCATGCAGGTACGTTTCATGGTGAATAACACATGGGCCGGGCCAAAATATAGATAGATGGAAACATTTTCCATCGCTTAGATTTGTCTGCAAACAGAAGATTCGGGTTAGAGTTGATAGTACATGCAAATAGGTGAGGGTCATCGTTGCAGGTGTGCCTGTTAATGGTGTTCTTTAATCAGCTGTGAATTCACTTTGGACGTCCCTAATTCCCTAATCATTAGTTGATCTTTATAACTTTTCCTTTTTATCCTCCGGTTGTCCTTTCACCTTCGTCATGATCGACTTCTCTCGCTGCAAGCTCCAGTCAACATGCCTTGGCGGCCCAAATAGTCAAGCTGCCGAGAGTTGACGGCGGATAACGCCCATGGGTGTGGTCCTCTGTTGTCTTTCGGCACTTGCGGGCAAAATAGAGAATGATTGTTTAACATTCAGAATCCTATGTTTATCAGATATTAGAAATGAAGCTACGTGAGAGAATGGAGGCAGGTCAATGCAGAAACTCTCATCGCTCCAAATCAGGTCGAGAGTACCTATGTATCCATAGTGGATGCATCTAACTTGCCAAGCTTCAGCCTTCAATGCTGGCGATCAAGCGGGTCTACGTGAAGGTAGACATGTGCACATTGCGAATATGATCTTATTCATGGGTTTATAGTGGTTTTTCTCCGGTTGAAAATGAACACGGAGGGAGATATCAAATTTTGTAGTAATACACTGGCAGAAATCGAGGATTTCCTTGCACGGATCTTGATACATTGTAACGGTATAAAAAAGAATTCTAGTCACCATGCGGTGAATAACGGAAAAAGCACGGAAGGGGGCTTAAGCATGGGCTTGTCCGTTTGGTCGCGCAACAATATGGCGCTTTCGGCGGACATATGGGTATGGAGATGAAGCCGAGATCGATGAAATTGAGCTGGACGAAGAAAGGAAAGACGTAGTGATGGGGGTGGTAGAAGTTGTGAGAGCGGCGGTTGTCGAACTGACGATAGACGAAATGATGGTGGAAAATCGGGGCAGAGGGGTAGACGTGGCCTTCGTCGTGGTCTTTCTCGGGGATCCCGCTGCGTTTGGAGGGGCCTCAAAGCCAGTGCACATGGAGGGAAGAGGCATCGTGAGAGACTAGTCAGGATTTAGACCATTAGTATTTGTTTTGATGGTTGGCAACTTTGACTGGAAGTACTGGGGATATGCATACGGCAATGGCTTTGCTCAGGAACGGCTCGTTCTCATCGCCAGCCTCGGAGGCTTCGACATTTAGATTAACCCCGGCAGAAGGTGCGACCTTGACGCCAAAATGATGCTTCTCGGTGTCATCGGGGCAGACTGAACCGGAGGCTATCGTTGAAATCGTCAATTAGTCCGAGAAATTCATGCAATCTCTGACAGGAGAAGCGATCAAGAGGTTGGTAAGCCAACTTACACGATGCCACAGTCAGAGTTGCACCAGCCCAGGGCTCCAGGTCTAGCCCGATTTCAAACCCAGTATCTATTCATTTATCAGTACAATCCGTTCAAGTAGATTGATTTCTCACGTCGGGTCGTAAATACTCACCCAGAGCTTCCAATGCTAGTTGAATGGCGGCTTTGGCATTGACCTTGATTCCACCACTGATGGAAGCATCGACGGTGATCGGCTTCTTGGTAACTTTGGGAGTCCACCCTCTTGCGGACACGTCAGGCGAGGTTAAATCAATCCTGAGCTCGGCTGAATCCTCGAGGCCGATCGACACGCCTGTCGAAACGCCTGCAGTGCCCACAATGGGGCCGAGGGCATAGCCCCAGCTGAAAACGATCTCGGGCCCCAAATCCAGAATTCCCCCAGGTATGGTCAATCCATCAATGGGAATTTTTCCCAACTCTATTTCATCAGACTTGGTGCCGGTGAAGTTGGCACTAAGTCCGAGACGAGGATTGAAATTTGCTGAGACTCCGTGGGGGCTCAAGGTCATGGACACTCCTGTGGGAACAAAAAGCTCTGTCTTAAGCTCAAACTGAAAGTCAAACTCGCCCTTGGTGCCGCAGTCTTCACAATCATATGTGAACTTGAAATCTCCCATGGAGAGTGACTTGCTGCTCAGAGGTAAAGCGTGATTGAAATCAAGGGAGAAGGTGTGATCAATATCACGCTTCTCGGACGAAGGATGGCCACCAACAAACAACTCATACGTATGTGCAACGGTCTTCCAATCTGATACATATCCAATGACACTGATCGTATTCTTTGCATCGCTGAACAGCACGTTCGAAACGACGAAGGGCAAGCGATGCTCATTCCAACCGCAATGACCATTTCCAGCGACCAAAACGAATTTTCGATCATCGGCGTCATTGACCCACTGCCAGAGGCGTTGACCATATTGATAAGATCGCTCGTCTTTGAAGTCCATGGTCATAGTCTTATCAGTACACTGAGTGGACTGCAACAAAGGCTGAAACTTCTCCATGGAGATAATGTTCTCTGCATCTCCAGGCATATGGACTGTCAGATTACCCAGCGCGGATCGGCCATTTTGAGATCCTATATGAAGACATGTTAATATCCTTTCTTTTCCCCAAAGAGTTTCGAAGCGTACCACCCCAGAGAAAGGTTTCGCTGCTGAGGAGATCGAGCGCGGAGAAATCATTGTCTCTGGTCGAATGTCGATCAGTCTCAACCAAAGACGACCCAATTGGCTGCAGTTCGAATGATAGACTGATTTGATAGAGAGAAGACAAAGAAAGGCCAGAGATAAGCCAGATGAAGGGTTTAGAGACCATCTTTCCTTGAGATGGCTACTTTTATAGATAGACCGTGGTCGATTATTTGAAAAGAAAAATGAGCGACTTGTTAAATGAGCGACTATGGTGTTGTATTGATGACAGTCGACGCTGGGAAAGACCGCTATTATATACGCAGTCTGTTTATTTGCAATCAACGGCACATCCTCTCCCGCATGTCTGGTAAAGTTTCGACGGATCTAAAGAAGACCTCTTCGTCTGAGCGATGAAGATATAGGTGGAACCCATCGTGTTCTCCCGCGTCGCACGAGCCTCACAGTGGCTGTCAACGCCCGCCATGTCCCCCCCACCTCGTGTTCCTGGACAGAGGGGTAAGTTCCCTTGTCGGGTCTGGCTTATATGTTTGCAAAGAAGAAGCAGCTCAGGATCCAACTCTAGTCTGGTGCATATCAAGAACATGGAATTGTGTCCTTGCTGGCCCTCTCTGCGGACTGGGCGAAATCTGCTCAGGGTGCCATCAAGATATATTGACTTGAGCTTGATGCTTTCCCTGGCCATCAAGATTGAACATCCATCGTGGATGGCTTGTGCGAGTGTCAAAACTGCCCCATAGATGATCACAATTGGCCCCATCTTGGATCCAATGAAACGAGGCGCGGCGAACAGACGGTCGTATCTATATTCTATTGTTATCTCTTCTCCTGTCGATCGTGTAGATCATCTCGTATTGTATGCATGGGGGTAAGCGCAGACAATCTATCAACCGAGAATATGAGTATCAATCATAGCAAACATCAAGATCGTATTTTGATCCTGTGTTGGGGAAAATTATTCCACGTTCAGAGCGCATCAAATGTGCGACTAATTTTGGCACACCTGCACCCATTTCTCCGAAGAAACACGTCTAGGATACGAGTCCAGTCAGATCTTCAGCTCCTTCCCAACCATTCTTTGCACCTTGGTCGGGCATATTCACGGCTTCGAATTCCCTTAAGTCTCCAGTACTTCTCGAAGCACGTAATTTCTACAAGCCCTTAAACTCTCTCAACGGCCATTCGGGCTGTTGTGGGTGGTCAAGCTGCTGAAAAACCGTTGTCATGGCCCACGGAGCCCCATGTTGATTACGGGATGAAAAAAAAAGGGAACAACGGCCAAATATCAGAGTGCGATTGTTCTTTGCGACTCAAGAAGCAGCTGCTGCTGCCATTGCACCTTGAAAGTCCAAATACCAGAGGTGCAAGGCCGACGTGACAGTCATGATCTCCCAAGTCTCACCGAAAGTGCCATTTAGTCCAGTAGCCAAAAAGGCGAAGCGGAATCCCTTCGTCATACTCCACGAGGCATTGTGAGCGAGGAGTGCAACGATCTCCGTTCCATCGCTGGCAACCCCCATTTCTCGCTCTTTCCTGCTCCCGCCAGCACTGTGAATGGGCCCTGACAGCCACACAAGCTTCCAGCCATAGGAGTGACCAGTAGCAAGCTCCTTGATCTCATCTCCATGTGTCTTCCGCCACTCAAACCGCTCTCGTCCGGCACCCTTCCCTGTCCCTTGTGTCTCGAAAGCGAAGGTTGGAGAAACGCGGCTCGTAGATGCGGGAACTATTTGTAAGTCGATCGCATGGGTATGGTGGCCGTGTGGACGAGGCGGGAGTGTGAGATCGACGGGTCTGGCCCGACCCCATTTGTCAGACTTGAGCGTTGCCAGGACAGGATCTTCCTTGGTCGGCCCATCATATAGAATCAGTGATGGCTTGTTCCCAAAGACAGAAGCATGGACGGACACAGCGAACAGCTTCTGTTCCGCCGTCAGGCCCAGATGGAATGTGGAGGTCATTTTCCATTGAAAGTAGCCATTCATTGCGGGCGGAAATTTGGCCATTGCGTGTTGGAGACTTTTGCTGTCGCTGGATGATTGATTGTAAGCAGGCGCAACATATTGGGGAATTTGTTCTTCAAGGCTCTGGTCGTGTTGAATGTGTTCAGTATAAGGGGGTGGTGAGGGATCCATCGTGTTTCCGAGGGAGTTCACAATGCGTGTTTTGGCTGATTTCAGCAGGACTGGATTAGAGTTGGCGACGACCACCTGAGTGTCAAGGTTGGACTTGAGAGGGAGTGTGGAAGGGCGTGAGCAGCTTTTATATCGCTGGAGAAATCCATCTCAGCCTGCCAGCACATCCACATCGTAAGTAATGCTGGCTGAGAGTGTGGTGCTGGGGGCACAGGAAAGATCTTAGGCAGTCCGGGGCCAAGAGAATCTTCGCTTGGCGCTTGGCCCTTCCGAATAGGGCTGGATGCTCCGCTCTATTATTATTCATTCCAGGAAAGAACTTGGTTCAAGGTAAGTATATGTAGTCTTTGCTTCCATTTTTGCTATTTTAAAGTCTCTTTAATGAACAGAATAGAATTTCAGAATGGCAATGATACCATGCTGAATGGAAATGCTGCAACCTTGGAAAGTTAGAGGCAGATCCTCCGCTGTCGCCGGAAGTGCTCATATGTATTCCCGGCTTGCGCGATGGAAGTCCCGACCTACCTACACTTGACGAAGACAATTTGTTGAAACGCCATTCACATCAGTTCTGTGATTTTCCAGTCGGCATATATCATGTAATCTATTCTTGCAGTTCGATAAGATAGACGAGTATTCAAAAGTCGTCCGGTGTTGACTTGGATAACATGGCCACCAATAATCCATGGGTCGGAGGTACAAGTCCACAATTAGGAGTTTCAATGGTCAAGACCATTAGGAATTACAGATTTCAGCAAGGATGATGAGCAGCTTTCATGGTCACCTCAGGTGGGACATGATTGGAGTTGAACAGAGAATTTGTCGTGGAAAATTTACTTTGATACAGCGGCCTGAGTGTAGGAGATGAAGTCTGTATGACCCGACCCCTTTTTTTGGCCCTTCGGGTCCCTGCAGCTCCCTTTACGTGTGCGCGGGTAGCCGTTTGAACTATTGAATCGCGGAGGCCGAAGTCTTCTCTAGGCTGGACTGATAGAAATTGCGGGGATAGCATCATCTAAACAAAGACAGGTTGGTTTACTCACGCAAGCAAGCAATATGGCAAGCCAAATGTGATATCAATCTGATAGTTTCGGTAATCTCTAGTCAGTAATACATTTTGGAAGTGTTCGACCCGGTCGGGAGATCGGGCTTGTGCACGACAGCAGGCGTTTCTTTCTTTCCCCGAAACCTCGGGCATCGACTAGTTGCTGTACACAAGCCAGGGTCCATATTGTACATGACTACAGGATTGAACTCTCGGATGCTAAACAGACAGCCCAGTCCAGGTCATCTCAGCTCAGCTCGTTGGAGTTTCGAGTTTGGCTGAGTTGGAAATATGAGGCTGCACCGGCCAATTGGAAACACGAAACTCCAACGAACGAACAGTGGAACAGACGACTGGTCTCATACTCCTTCCTTCAAAATTCAATGTTCGAGATCGTAGATGAGCAGGAAATATAAAGCCAAAGGAGAACTGAAGCTCAATACGAGATGGACACATTGAAGCTTTCTCGTGGCGTTGTCGGCCGCGGTACCGAGATCTTTGGCCGCCCCCCGCGATGGCCACCCGTCGGACGCCCCATGGCGTCTTCTTTGCAAGGGCGTTCCACCTCGGGTATGGCGTACGCGAGTGGACCCTAACTCTTGAGGCTGAAGGAAGACTTGGAACTAGGCTAAGGCGTCTCTAGGAGACCCCCCAGGATTCCCCAGGATTCCCGGATATCGCTCGTCGGTCGTTCATGGGGGGAGCTTACGGTCGGAGAAGAAAGTCTCAACATTCGGCTGTGCGACCGGAGTCGTACATTGCGCGAAACAACAATCCCAGGGCGAGAGACAACCTGACTGGTCGCTAGCTGTACGCTGACTGGGTTCATGACGGGCTGGCCGAGGCTGCCATTGAAGATCGTATACCGATCGAGAGACGGTTCTTGCACCAAAATGGGCGAAAGGGCCGAGCGGGTGCCAGTGACGGGTGCTGTTGTAGTGCTACAGTAGTAGCAGTTTTCCATAGTTCCCCAGTTGCCAAGTTCATTCTTTCGATGGTCAGAGGGGGTCAATCAAGGCCCAGTGGATTTCATAGGTCGGAGAGACAAAGAAGTCATCAAATGCCATCAACTAGGGAGCCAGTAGTCTCAGCTGGTTGACAGCCCCGCCATTCTGGGGTTACCCATCTGGGGATGAGCGTTTCGATGACAGAAGTCGAGTCCAGTAGTCGTCCAGAAGGTTGTAAGTTTGAGTGGGGAGGGGAAGCGGGGGCAGGATGGAATGCCTGAATACAAGACCAATCATGACCACGGATCGGATGCAGGCTCACCTTTTGGGGGTTTTGGTCTGTGCTGGGGTGAGAAAGAGAGTAAAAGAAGACGAAGCTTCGAAGTAGTGGTGGAAGGACTGCTGTGGCATGTCTTTCAATATGAAGCAGGTAAGACGTCGTGGAAAGACAGAGAGCAAGCAAGCAATGGCCGAGCCAGCCACTCTCAAGCCCATTCTCAGCCCTTGTGATGGCATCCTCGACGCCATCCCGCGCCATCCACGAAACTAGCCAAAGAGTTAGATCGTGAGGTGGGTCCTCAATTAACTCTCCGTTGTTATTCCCTAAAGACCGAGAACAAATCAGGCAATTCGGTAGTGATTGGCCGATGCGATGATACCATGTGGCTTGCCAGACGACCCTCGAAGTTGCATGCGCTAAGACGGCCTCTCGATCTTCCAGAGCAGTGGGACTGTGGTCTCAGGGTCTTGGTACGGTTGGGCCTCTTGGAGACGGGCTGACGAGGCGGGGACTCTGGCTCCTGATTGGAGGCTAACTGCAGTTGAGCAAGAGTGTTTGGCTTCTTTGCGTGGAGTTCTGAGTCAATAATCTCAAGGGCGGAGGCTTTACCCTGTAGATCATCTGCCCATCTGGGGGTAAGGTTGTGTGATACCTCATGAATTGTTCCTGTTGTTGTTGTCTCTGTATCGAATACGCTAGGTACAATAGGGGTCGAGTGGTGTATCGTTGTATGGGGCGTGACATGATTTCTGCGTTCTAAGAGTGTTTCTTATCATGACAAGATGTCCATGGATATATTCGTGGATCATTCGAATGTTTCTTCTATTGATTCCAGAGACCAGAACAGACAGGGTGTTTCCCGCTAATTCCCCGCTGGGAGCGTTGCTGTTCAACTCCTCTTGAACTGACCAGTCATGATCATTGAGGTTGACATATGATCATTCCAACTTGGTGATGACACGCCCCTTGACCAGTCGACACATGGTGTCTTCCCCGCATCTCCCCAAACGGCAACGATGGGTCTTGAACTTGAATGGTAATCAGATTGTATCACGTATTCCCGACGTATCTCCATCTCCTATATGAAAGGCCTGACCTACTACATCTACCGAAGAAGATATTCACCAGTCTGTCAACCTATCGAAGCAATCAAAAAGTAATAGTTCCTCATGGGCATGGTTCGATTTGATGCCGAGGGGCTATCGTGTAATCTCGTTGAGAAAAGAGATCGACGCATTGAGAGGTTAAGGATGTACTGGTACCTGTGGTATTTTACAATACACATCCTTGTATGAATTATCTGGATCTCTGATTGGCCCAAGGTCATCAATGAACCTCGTTGATTTATGTGGGATCATAATTTTTTTTTATTAAAAATTAATCTTCTATTATTTTGATTGTTTGGATCCTGGTTTCAGGTCCCATTCATCCATCATCCATCATCCATCGTCCTGCTTGCCGACAGCCGATCCTTCAAGTGTTCTCCGTACTCTACTACTCCGGACTCTGTAGTTTGCCATTTTCCCGTTTTGACCTGGACCATCTGCTCGTACTATATAATCTTCTCCTCATCTGACCTTACTGCTCTCTCCCCCTTCGTACTTTTCCACCCTCTCCCCCCTCTTCTGCTTTTCTCTCCTCCCTTCACTTCATCTTACCTTCTGGGTCTCTTCCATTGAATCCCACATCCTTCCTGCCTTTTCCCACCCAACATCATCAGTCCATCATGGGCTACGTGATCGGCAATATCTATGTCATCACCACGGTGGCCGTCATCGGCGGTGCACTGTTTGGTTTTGACATTGCTTCCATGTCTGCCATGTAAGTCTCCCTCTCTGCCCCTCTCTCCCCCAGCCCCAACTGCTCTTCAGGTTACGGTACCCCTTCGAGCTCTGTGTTCGCTTCAAAGATGTCTCTCATGGAGTCGCTAACCAATCCGCGCGTTGCGTGTCGATAGTCTTGGCACTCAGCAGTACAAATGCTTTTTCAACCAGACTGGCCACGGTGACGATGGCTCATGCGGTGGTCCCACCTCCTCCACCCAGGGTGGTATCTCGGCTGCCATGCCCGGTGGCTCGTTTGTAGGCGCTCTCATCTCCGGTATCGTGACTGATTGGCTCGGCCGTCGCATGGCCATTCAGACTGGCTCCGTCATTTGGTGCATCGGTAGCGCTATTGTCTGCTCCTCCTTCAGCATCGCTCAGCTCGTTGTCGGTCGCTTCATCAACGGTCTGTCCGTCGGTATCCTCAGTGCGCAGGTCCCAGTCTATGTCGCAGAGCTGGCTCAACCCAGTCGACGTGGTCAGGTTGTGGGTGCTCAGCAGTGGGCCATTACCTGGGGTATCTTGATCATGTTCTACATTTCCTATGGTAGCAGCTTCCTCGCTGGCAACGCGGCCTGGCGTCTGCCGTGGGGCTTGCAGATGATCCCTGCCGTCTTCCTTTTCGGCATGGTCTTCCTGCTCCCGGAAAGTCCGCGTTGGTTGGCCAAGCACGACCGCTGGGAGGAGGCCCACGAGGTGCTGGCCCTGGTCCACTCCAAGGGAGACAAGAATGCTCCCTTCGTGCAGACCGAGTTGCAGGAAATTCGGGATATGGTTGAGTTTGAGCGCGCGAATGCTGATGCGACTTACCTGGATCTCTTCAAGGGCAACATGATCTACCGGACTCACATCGGCATGTTCACCCAAATCTGGTCCCAGCTGACTGGTATGAACGTCATGATGCTGTATATCACCTATGTCTTCGGTATGGCCGGCCTGTCCGGAAATGCCAACCTGGTCGCATCGTCGATTCAGTATGTGATCAACGTCGTGATGACCGTCTTCGCCCTGCTATTCATCGACCGCTGGGGACGACGAACTCCTCTGCTGGTGGGCTCGACTTTGATGATGACTTTCATGTTCGCCAACGGTGGTATCATGGCCAGCTACGGAAAACCTGCACCCCCCGGTGGTCTGAACCACACCCCTGAGCAGTCCTGGGATTTGAGCGACGCACCCTCTGCGGCCAAGGGTGTCATTGCCTGTACCTACCTCTTCGTGGCCAGCTTTGCACCCACCTGGGGACCCGTGAGCTGGATTTACCCTCCTGAGTTGTACCCACTGCGTCTGCGTGGCAAGGCTGTGGCTGTCTCCACCGCATCCAATTGGGTCTTCAACTTTGCCTTGTCCTACTTTGTGCCGCCAGCGTTTGAAAACATCAAGTGGAAGACCTACTTGGTCTTCGGAGTGTTTTGTTTCGCTATGACCATCCACGTCTTCTTCGCCTTCCCCGAGACCGCTGGTAAGACTTTGGAAGATGTGGAGACCATGTTCAATACTCCTGGAATGAAGCCGTGGAAGACCAAGGTTCAGTACCAGCACGTTCGCCAGCTCGAGACGGGTGCCCTTCAGTCCGAGAAGATGGCAGATCTGCAGGCGGAGGCTGGCACCCGAGCTACTGAGAAGGAGGCTAGTGCCGCGACTCACAAGGAGTAGAAAGACCTGCAGATTTACCCGTGGGTCTCTTACCAATTGATATTTCTCGCGAGTTTGAGAATGAGGCTTTGTGGAATTTCAACTTTTGCGATGTCTTTGCCCGTTCTTTGGGCTCACGTGGATACGACTCTTTTACACTGACGGTGCAGTGGCTTGGCTGCACGTTGCTGGCAGTTACGCGAAGAAGCTCCTTAGAGCATCACCAACCATACGATTTTAATTCTAGCCAATTTTGGATACCAACGAAACTTCATTTTCCGAACATGAAGTGTTCTCCCCTTTCTGCCTTTTCAGAGTAAATGGTCGATATCAGGTCTCTCGATGGTAAATTAGTACCGCGCATAGAATAAGGTTATCAGAGAGATGTGATAGGAAATTTTCGAGTCACCAATTTACCATGACATCGGGGCAGTAACTGTAAATGTAATTTATTCGAACATAGGGATTGATCATAGAAACTGGCATGACTTGAGGATTCTTGAGATGTGCTTCGAGCTCTACTATTCCCGACATGACTTGATCGACATGTCATAGACTAACTCAAATAGCAGTGAGGGGAAAAACTTGTGAATTACTTGTTACAAGTCCTCCAGAAGAGAGAGAGGAGATAGGAATATTCATGAGTTGATTCAACATAGATCCTTTCCGTTGGCTCTTCCTCCGATTACAACAGTAGCCACAGTAGATTCTGACCCAGTCAGAGTCTACTCTGAATAGTAGCCACATAGAATATTAGTGAGAGCCCTGTAGCTGTGACTTGGTCGCAGGCTTAATGTATCCTTCGCCATGCATCTTCTTGGAAGCACAGCGATTGTGGGCGCTACTAGAGTCATAGTAGAGATTATATCCCGCGCAGTGGACATTGCCTAGAGTGGTATCCGCATCAGTAAAGTTCGTCAAGGCAGTGTTGCCTGTCAGCGTCCACGATGAGGTAGCGTCAAGTGATACGGAAAATGACGCGTTTCCATAGCCAGAGTATGTTTTGCCGGTCCACGTCGAATAGTTGCCCAAGACCCAGCTAAATGAACTTCCATTGAAAGCGACCAAGTCCCCAGTGAGGGTTGACTCGGAGATTGTAATCGTAGCTTCGGCAGCAGCAGTGGAGTCGGCGAAATGATTAAATTCCTGAGTCACCTGGGTGTAATGTGCGATGACCAAAATGCCCGAAGTAGTGTTGATTTGCGACCGTACAAGACTTGTGCTCGCTATCACGTTCCCAAACCAAAGACCCGCTGCGTCGTCAGGGAGCTCAGTGAGACGAGAATTGGTCAGACTTATCTCGGACCCCGATTCTCGAGATCCATACGAGAAAATAACAGCACCGGCGAGTAGTCCGGCAGTTAGATGGCGAGTAGTCCGGCAGTTAGATCTGATTCATGAATCTCGACTTGCGAGACATCCAAAAAAGCGATTGGGGCCTGCTGCGCACGACCGACAACATTTTCGGCATAGACTGTCCCTTGTCCACAGAATATTGCACTCCCAATCCCTGCAGTGTGGGCAATGGAATCGTAAACATAGACGTATCCCTTAGGGCTGTCACCAGCAAAAGAAGAAGATCGGTATGCCTCTGAATAATGGCTCAGATTTTTTCCAACGACAGTACCGTCCCAGGTGACACTGGACCAAAGCTGTATAACGACGAATCTGACACATATGCATAGGAATTGTTACCGTGAACATAGATGTTGGCGGCTCCATTGTGAACTGTTCACATTGACATTGTCAAGATAGGCGACCGAGGCGTTAGCTATGTTCACTGCAGCATTCAGCCCATAGAAGCTCGATTGGTATAAGTCACTAGAATATCCATTCTTGATCACAGTAGACCCAGACATATTCACATGCGAACTCTCTGTGACCACGACAACGCTTGTGTCATTGCGCGCCACCGTGAGCGTTTTGTGGGAGACCTCTTTCGAGGTATCGTTGTAGATGTAAGGCCCTGTGATCAGGTACTCTTGGTATGAAAGTGGAGCATAATCCCATTCAGCAGTGAGAGTATTGTCTGCTGCATCTCCTGATAAATCTGCGAAGTCACTGGGGTCGAGTATTGCGATGGTGGCTAGGCTTGTAGCCACAAGTAGAAGAATGAGGCTGAACATATTTGACGATTTTGGAACGGTGTACATGCTGTCCTCTAATAGAAGATCTCGAGAACCACGGAGTGAGCCGATGATTGCAACGACCGAAGGTATCTCCCGATGCATACTATCTATAAAATCATATTATGGTGTCATTTATCACTGACCCGGTACAGAAATTGTCCACTCCAAATACCAATTAAGGACTGAATGGTGGCTAGGGCTTTTTCCAATGGCTGAGACATGTTGAAATTAGCCATATGGGATCTTGAATTGAACGGTGAGTTCTGCCACATTTGCTATTCAGCTAAAGCCTTTCCAGCGGCTAAGACTGGTGCGAAGATGAACGAATGTGGAGCCGAGGAGTACAGTATCGAGCTCCTTGGCTGTTCCAGGCCACCAAAAATCCAATGAAGATTGGCAGAGGCGTTAGTTCAGAGTGAAAATAGTCTTTCTATTTTGAACGTTTCAACTTTTGGTTAGCCCTTGAAGCTGGGATTACGCGTTCTGAGGAGTGAGGGCAACCAGATGCACTGGAGATAGTAGAGCCCACTTAAGCAGTTCTTCTTGACGGGATTGAAGCAAAGGCTAGGGGAAGGTGAACGTTTGTTGAAGAGGCATAATTAGCATGCCGCATAACTTGCCATCTTATATCGGCCCCACATACAGGTCTTGTTCCTGTGAGGGTATACCTAATTGTCAAGATTGCCCCACGAGTGATATATAGGTAGTCTTCGAAAGAAAATCTACCTTCATAAGCGTTGCCCAACCGACGAATAACAATTGGGTTCTAATTCAGTGCTTGATTGATGGACTTAGAATTGGGTGGAGCCGACTGATATGTGGACCCCCGGTGACTCTGATTGGGAGGAGGTGTACAGCATTACCTCTTATTACTATTCTACGCGTGCCTAGTCAGTTGATAGAGATTCCAGCATGATGAGTTAACAACATTGAGTCCCGATTATTTGTCTGGCGAGAAGCTGGATTAGGAACCCAGTGAGGACTCTAACATTAGTTATGTAGATAATCGTCTCTAAGTTGGTACTGGGGCGGGTAGTGTCGGATAGGTTTACCACCTTTTATCATGTTTCTTCTTCCCCCCTGCCGAGATGCCGCCCTAGACCACTCTGCAGTCTGTCCCCGTACAAGCAAAAGATATTAGCTCTTGTCCAGCACCAAATCATGGTGGTAGAATTTCGTACTGCTGGCAGAGGGTGTCAATCAATGTGTCGGACTGGTTTCTCATGATGGGTGGATGTTCTTTTCCTTCAATCGGCATCGGGGCTTGGCGAGCGCCACAAGCCTCCCGAACCTCCGAAAATGGACCCCGACTGGAGAGGTAAGAGGTGAGTGATTCAAATGGCTGACTTTTATGTTAGAAACACAAGGTTATAAATGGGGATTCTCCTAGGAGGATATGTTGAGGTATTTCCGTACCAGGCTGATCCAAACCTGCCTTCTTTTTTGTTCTTGATCTTGTTGCCTGCCACACAATCATCAGTGGGCAAGACCGCCCAATTTTTATAATGCAAACCTCTCGTTTAGAGCTTATTCGTTTAGAAGCGCATCATGTACCTGGGTACCATGAGATTTGGTCAGATCCTGTTGCAACTCGATGGAGCCCCCACGGACCCTGCAAGGACGTTGATGCGAGCGAGAAGTGGATGTCTGAGCTACTGCTTGACGTGAATCCCCTGGGGGAGAATTACGCTGTGTTACTTCGACCTGTTGTTAATCTGAATGACATCCAGCAACAAGATTCCGAAAGTAATACAGTGCTTCAGCCAGGTGGTTTTCTTGGATGGGTCGGAACTTGGAAGTCAAAGCCAATCCCAGAAGTTGGTTTTATCTTCCATCGATCGGCATGGGGCTTCGGATTTGCGACCGAAGCCTTGAATGCTTTTGTCCAACTATACTGGCGAGTAAAGCCACAATTTGATGCTCTTGAGGCCTACTGCGACACCGAGAATGAGGCGTCTGTTAAAGTTCTGCGAAAATCTGGCTTCGTATTCGTGGAATCGATCGTCGGAGATTATGTTCTTCCTTGGATGGAGCCGTCGCTTCGAAGTAGTCTTCGATTTCGAGCGACCAGGCCTCTTATCGAAACCACCACAAGTTGAATCTACGAAGCTCTCCCAGAAGACGAGTAGTTTCAAACCTTCGCAGTGACTGCTGCCATAAAGGAATCTCTTATAAATCAATAAATTGGGTTTGCCCTGGCTGACTGAAGTAGAATATCTCGTAATCGTTGAAGGGCCGAGCTGTGTGAGCCAATTCTGTGAATGAACACCATAGACGTACTCAATCAAATGACCTGCCCTTCGATTTAACTATGACTCTGTCCAAGAGCCCACATGAGTTTGAAAATTTCTTGACCTTGGTGTTTGGGATTTAACCCCCTTTGGCGATAGTGAGGTGTACAGTCTCTTTTTTATAGGTTACTTACCTGATCGATCTGCATAATTAAATTCTACCACGGTTGCGAAGGTGTGCCTTTATATTGATTTTCATCGGGGAATCGGTGCAGTCCCGAAACTTCATGTCGAGTAAATGATTTTAGTACTTTCATTACACCATTTAGGCTTATCTGAGGCTTACCACTCGGAGTTCCTCCGAGCTCATATCCCGAGTTCTTTATCTCATTTCTTAAGACTGAAAATCCCCAAAGTTTCGAAAATAACCATCGTAATCAAGCACCCCCTTTTAACCTACCACTTAGGTTTACGGTGGCCCAGGGTAGATAACTGTACTCCTCCCAGGTCAGTGGTGATTCGTTCTAACAACAGGCCTGGGGTGAGTGGACGATAAGTCACAGTATGGGAACCACAGGAAATATTCGAGAATATGTGCGTCCGGGCCAAGAATTTATCTTGTACGGCATCTTTTCGTGGAAATTTTGGGGGCATATGCTTCGATCAGGCTTAGCAACTCCCTATGTGGCGATTGGGGTTCCCGTCTACATCTACACTGTAGTGCATGGTCAGTCAAGTCGTTCATGAATCAGCTGCACATACAACTCAAATACCTCATAAAGAACGTAAAATGAGCTAAGAACTGGTGATATAAGTGTACTTATGCGGTACGTCTACCTCCATCTTGTACCTGCAATCTACTAGCTAATTTTCAGATGGAGTTTTTAACTATCTTAAACGGCAAAACCCTATAACAGCTAGGAAATGCATATGGTTACCTACCATAGAATTAACAGGCTAGTATGTGGCTCATATATAGCAGCCCTGTAGTCGGGTAGGTAAAAGAAGTAATAAGAGAGAATATTTGTATATTTTCTTCTACAGTAGCGGAAAGAAGCAAACATGTCCTATAGTAATCTGCATTTCGGTGGCTAGAACATAATAAACGGTAGTTCAAAAGACGTAAGGTTTTCGTTAGCAAATCATGTATGGTACTTCCGTATAGCAATAAAATTATAGTCGCATCTTCGTAGCATATTCTAAGTCGACTAATTCCTGCCTACTACCCTACAATTCTACCCAATCCCACCCGATACCACCTAATGATGTCCATTTTCCACGAAAACACATAAGGTTATCAGGACGGGAATTTACCTGACGACCTGTTGAGCTGTATTCCAGTTCACCAGTACCTTTACGCATATCCTCATCGCCGGTATCGATAGTGCTAATTCAGCTGACAGTGCTAGGAACACTTGCTACATGCTACGTATCTCTTTGGAGTTACTTTGTGCGATACCGGTCTGCTATCTTCAACTCAGCCACGAAGGCTCTAGGGGGCTCTGTCAAACTTGTCAACTTCGTTAGTCGGACGAACTAAGAAGCAGCATGCCTATGCATTTTGGCGAGCCCCAGAAGGGATTTTATCATTAGAACATCTTCCCGCGCAAGAAGACTTCACTGTGACACTGCTAGGATTATTCCAGATAGTGGCTGGTCTTGATCTACGTACTGGTTCCCAAATTTACGATTTTGTTTGATTTGCTCCCTTGAACTCCTTTGATGGGCTCGGGTTTCGGGATCTCTGGAAGCAGTCAAGCCACGGGCAACGTTGTCTAGCACGGTATTGCTGAATGTTGCGGGCCAGTAATCTCACAGGACGAGACGGGCGATGATTTTTCGCTGGACAAGGCCGAAGGGATTTTTTGGGACGATAGTCGCATGGATATGATGGCGTATGTCGATCCTCGGACCCGACAGTTTTATTACCCATTCTTCGACGGGCAAGTCAAACATACAACCAAAGATTGGTGCATGAAGTTCATAAATTAGGTTTCAGGAAACTACCAGAAATTGAGCATCGCTGACGGCTCATCTCTGGAACCGAATACCTATCCCCTTTCCAGGGCGTAGTTCAGGGCGCTAATCTGGTAACCAGTGACCCCTTGTCAACATTTTGACTTCAAGTACTGACTGAAGCTACTACCAGGCCACAAGGGGTGATGAATGGAGTAGGCAGAGTGTGAATTCAGCATGACCGAAAGGTGTCGTGTTTTGGAGTGCCACCCGCCCGCGAACTGATGAGGATATCTAATCCTGCATATAGAATGTTTAGTGTTCACTGTTCGGCGTCTCATTTGCTCCGATGTTGATCGAGCTTGATTGAGAGGGTGCTTATTTGGCCATGGAGATCAGCACCTGGCGCCATCTATGGTATAGTCCGAGAAGCAACCCAAATATCAAAAATGTTCCTGCATTCAATTGAAATACCTATCTTCCTGGGACTGACTTATGTTTAGTACCTTAAGGAAATGCGGGGATTTTCCGGCACGGTTGATCGGTAGCTAGGCAGCTAGGAACCTACAGCAGAGACTTGAAGAGATTTCTTTCGATGTTGACCTCATACCCATCCGAGCAGCCAGCCACTTCATTCTAACCTACATTCTCGTCATATAGGGGAGTGCCAGCACTGGTAAGCAGAGCATCGGACCCGACAAAGTCTTATTCTTATTCATTATTGGCGGTGCATCCCTTGGAGCTAGATTCAAGTTGAAAGGAAACTACGAGAGACAAATTATGCACCAAAAATCTATTTGTATTTTCTCCCGTCGCAGAGCCTTTACACCAAGATTTTTCTTTCTTTCGTGTTTTCTAAAGCTTCTCTTATGTTCGGCGCACACTCTTCTTTAGAAATTCTGAATGTCTTACCCTGAAACTCGATCTCTGCTATTTGCGGACTAGGGGACCGAAAGGACCTGTCACACGGAGTAATTCCGGATTTTATTAGGAGAAAACCCGGGCGGGAGAGAGGTTTAATTGCCATAATACCCCTGTAGTTATACTGTTGTCAAGTTGTTAAGACTCATAGAGGTGTCAGGGTCCACGCTAAATATGCGGCGTGAAACTTAGGATACTCGTCACGGCACTTCTCTCGTGACCTCATTGCCGAGCAGGTGGAGATCGTGATTAACCCTGTCATGGTTGACCAGAAGAATTTTGTATATGGAAAGGTATATTGTAGAATGAAGGGTACTACTTTGTCTATGAGTAAATCCAAATCGGCACCATGCCTCAAGGAGGGAGGAATTGAAAACAGTCGAGCAATAATAATAACAGAGTCTGGAAGGATCAATTAGCAGCTGAGAAGAGCGCTTTGGCCGCCAGTAATAACATCGCTTGACTCGAGAACCAATGCATCGAGGTTACAATTAGCGAAGGGTCCAGCAGTAGAAGGCCAGTGAAGGTTTGCTGCTAACTCACGTAGGTTGTAAACCATTCCACAGCATTCCTTCTAATCAAGGGTAAAGCGTAAGTTCGCGGATAGGCCGTGCAAAGTGGTGATTTCTTTCCTCATCACCCGTTTACAGGCAGGCTGTCTGGATGATATTACCGTTTAATTTTCCAACTATAGAATAATAGGGTGAATTTGGGAAAAATGTGGATTGACTTGGAAGCACAGGATCGCAATGAAGCTCTCTACAATAAATATAATAAGCCGGTCTTCAAAAGAAAAAGAAATGGCTATCCTCTATAAGTGTGAGCATCTACTAACATCTATATTGTGCTAGATAGCAGTACTTTGCAGATTACTACCCTTATAAACATCCAACCGAAGATAAACAAATGAAAAACGGATATTTCAGATTGTGCTAGTTATATCATATGCGACTATTACCCCACAGGAGTTCTGCAAGGGCGCGGGGAACCTTCACATCATGTCTCGGAGGCAGAACATGCTCCACCAGCATTCAGGATCAATGAGCCAACGGTGGATGCCATGACCCCCACTCCCCCGCAAAGCAATCAGTTTAGCAATTTTAAGCCCTCGCGCTCGACACCATGGAGCTTATTGCTTACAGTTGAACTGAAGAAAGGAGTTTATATTGAATGGTCCACTAATTTTCTGCGAGTACCGTGCTCCGAATCCTAGTGCATGGCCACTATAGATTGATCATCAGAAGAAATAACCCTTTATCCGAGGTAGAGTTACATTGACGTCCTATATTAACCGAGAGGGGCTATATAGTCTGTGAGTGATCGATCTGACAAACTGCAAGCCCAGACGCTGTTCCACGATCCTTACTGATCCAAGGATTTTCACTCAGTTTCCCCGTCGATTTTTTCTGAATTGATCTCCCTTGATTACTTCGCGCACCATATTCACTATGATGGTCTCCGTCATCCTCGGGGAGCTTATATCCCTTGTCCATCTTGCCACGGCGCTGAGGAATGGCCTTGCTGAGACTCCTCAAATGGGATGGGGTGCGTTTGCTTCTAGGCCAGTCAATTTTTAGGTATGCTTCCAAGATGGCTGATGCTGCTTGCGACAGATAACTGGAATGCATTTGGGTGCGGCCTCAGTCAGAGTTTGATCCTCTCTACGGCCAGTACCATCAAGAAGAGTGGCTTGAGGGACCTCGGTTATCATTACATCATTCTGGATGATTGTTGGTCTTCTGGCCGTGCATCGAATGGGGCTCTCATCCCAGATGCCACTAAGTTTCCCAACGGAATGGGCTATCTAGGCAGCCAACTTCATGCAGATGGCTTTGGCTTTGGGATTTATTCAAGCGCCGGCACAAAAACGGTAAGAAGTTTCCCTTTTCCGGCGTGGCTGTCAGTCCTTCGTTTTTCCTCCTCCAAAACATTATCCGATATTGTTCCTTACCTCGCGGCGAGAATAGTGTGCCGGTTACCCTGGCAGTTTAGGCTACGAAACGATCGACGCAAACACGTGGGCGAGCTGGGGGGTAGATTATCTGAAATATGACAACTGCAACAATAATGGACAGGCTGGAAGTCAGGCCGCCAGTTCTGCTCGGTAAGAACATCCTTGTCTTGAGGCAGTTTGTGAATGTCCCTGCTGAGCTCTTGACTTCCTCTGCAGATACAAAGTGATGGAACAGGCGCTTGCCGCAAGTGGGCGGCCAATTCTCTATGCTATTTGCAATTGGGGTCAAGACCAACCTTGGGTCTGGGGCCCATCTGTTGGAAATTCTTGGCGGATCACAGGTGATATTTCCGACCACTTCAATACGGGGTATTCAGCCTGTCCGGTGTAAGCAGCTCTGGCTCCCATTGTGGACTCTCCAGGTTCCGTTTGTGGTGTACCGGTGCCTCTTAACGCTAATACGTTTTGATAGTCCGAATTCCGGTGGATATGACTGTTCTGTGACACAGATTATGTCCATGCAAGCAACTATCTCAGGGTACTCGGCCAAAGGCGGTTGGAACGACCTGGATATGCTGGAAGTCGGCAATGGTGGAATGACAGACTCAGAATATGTCGCACACTTCAGCATGTGTATGTCTCCCCTAAATCCGGCTGCAATCGATCAGTCGAGCTTGTCAGTTGTTTTTTGGCTAAAATTTCTTCATGTGTTTCTAGGGTCCACCGCGAAAAGTCCATTGATTATGGGTAATGACATGTCAAAGTTGACCGCCAGCGGCTATTCCATTCTGGCCAATGCGGCCATTATTGCCGTTAACCAAGATCCCCTGGGTGTGGCCGCGACATACAGATGGACGCGCAATAACGTGCAGTTGTGGAGTGGTCCTCTGGTATCTACCACTGGAAGCTCAACCAACGACGTGGTTGTCGTTCTATTCAACAACGCAGGCTCGGCGATAACGGCATCTGCCAACCTGTCCGACATCTTTGGTTCATCGAATGTTCCATCGTCTCAATTCGAAATCAGGGACCTGTGGGCATCGAGACTTAGTGACAGCCAAGCACAGGCAATCATGAATGACGGTGCTGCCGCACATGCATCTTGGTTGTATAACGCGACTGCACAAAGTTATTCGACTGGGCTCGCTCAAGGGAATTCTATGCTGCTAGGAGGGATTGTCGGGACGGTGTCTGGAGCGTCAGGAACAATTTCTCAGTCAATTCCCGCTACGGGATGTCGAGTTTTCCGACTCCGTGCCATCTCAGGCAGTTCCACCACCACAATCACTGCCACCACCACCACTACAACCATGTCATCGACAACGACTTCGTCGACCCAGCCTCAACAGACAAAATGGGGACAATGCGGTGGCCAAGGTTGGACTGGACCGACTCAATGTGTGTCCCCGTCAACCTGTCAAATGCAGAACCGTAAGCGTTGATCCTTGGGACTGACTGGACCTTGTCTCAAATACTAACTCGTTGTCCTTTGCCATTCTCCTAGAGTGGTACTCCCAGTGTCTTTGATTGGAACTTCAGTGGCGACCACAATCGATTACGATGCCAATTTCGCGGCTTGGAACACTGCTGGTTGATATTTTTGTTGTAGCTTAGATGATTTATAATTTCGGCAAAAATGTTCACGTGACTACAATATATCTTTCCGTATTGCTGAATAGGTTTAGACGAGTTGATCTGTCCGCTCCGCTCCTATTCGAATAACAATGTCCTAATAAGCTAGATAATTACGTATAAGGAGTTAAGCTATACTTAGACTACTACGTAACGTATATAGAAGTCCTAGCGGAATTAGCAGTATAGCTAGGGGTTACGTATGAACCATTAGGGCCTAGGCAGTAGAGATAGGGTTTTATATATATAGGCTTTCAAGCAACATAGAGAAGCAAACTCTATGCTGAGGTCCAGAAAATACGTTGTAAATTTGATATCAGTCATGAGCATGCTATCTTATCCAGGTCAGAGCTTATAACATTCTACGCAGTAAATTGCCCGCAATCGCCGGCCGACTGATGCCAGATGACATGGCTGTTGCGGTGTCTGTAAATGATCGATCTCTGCACGGCCTTGCTGAACGCTTTGATAGGAAAGAGTTACAGTTGACCTGCTTTCCCAACGCCTTTGTTGCAGAGACGCACCCAACCGGCTGGTCAAAAATATAACGAGTATATATTTATGATAACTTACTAGGGGAGATGAAGCTCATCTGGGGGCCCTAACTGCAGGTGTGGACGCCATCAAATCAGGGTGGAGATACGGAAAGACCTGATTGGAGAAACGCGATCATAAAGAGAATGTTTACTGCTTAATTTTGCACCGTGATCGTGGGATTACGAGATTGAGATTGCTGCGCAGGTCGACTTTGGGGTTAAAAGATCTTGAATGTGGACTTCGATATAGTAGCAGTATCCACCATTATTATGGAGAAGTATAGGAATGATGCGGCATGACAGGATAACGGTCAAAGTAAGGTTAAATGTTACAACAATTCACTTAGAGACACGAGGTAATCAATGTCACTCATAGTGGTACGGATTCACGGAGTGTGTTTTCAACCATCCTAGAAATGAATTTAGTGAGGCTATCGAAGTGCAATATACGAAATTGGACTTACGCTCCAGAGTAACGCTGCCCGGGAATTTCCGTCCGATCCACCAATTCACGAAGCTCTTGAACTTCATGCTCTGTCAGCTTGACCAGTACAGCGGCGTTGTTCTCATCCATACGGGATGTCGAACGGGTACCAGGGATAGGAATGATGTCCAATCCTTGAGCTAGCAGCCATGCGATCGCAACTTGCGCTGAAGTCCTGCCATGGGCCTGAGCAACCTTATTAAACCCATCTGTCAACCTCACGATGTTAGGAAAATTTTCAAGTGCATATTTAGGCAGCCCGCGACGGAAGTCATTTTCAGGAAGATCGTCGAAGGTCTTGATTTGGCCAGAAAGAACTCCTCGGCCGATCGGGCTGTAGGCAACCACCGCAATCCCAAGTTCACGGCATGTATTCAGAAGATCAATAGTTGGCCACTCAATGTCGGTTGCGAAAGCACTATATTCAATTTGGAAAGCAGAAATAGGGTAGATCGCGTGTGCTCGGCGGAGGGTTGCAGCAGACACTTCGGAAAGACCCAAGTACCTGATTTTTCCTAGACTAAAGATCAAAAGAGACGAATCTTAGCCAATCAATCAAGGTTGGTACGGGTGTGCACGAAGGGAAAAGGAGCGATATACTTCTTCAGCTCGACCATGGCTTTGATAGTCTTTTCGATAGGAGTGACACCATCAATGCGGTGGCAGTAGTATAGATCGATGGTAGTGTTCAGTCGCTTGAGGCTCTTCTCGCATGCCTCCCTGACATACTCTGGGTCGGATCGGATCTTCAAGTTGTAGTCTCCAGATGATGGGTCGTACTGGATGCCAAATTTTGTGGCAATAAAGATGTCGTTTCGATTGCCTGAACGCTTAACCCACTCTCCAACAGCGTCTTCACTGTCCAGGTACATATCGGCAGTGTCCCAAAATCGCTGGCCAGCGGCATGGGCATGTTCGAGGAAGGACACCTTATGTTCCAGGGAGTCCCGTGATCCATATATACCACCTAGGCTCATAAACCCAAGACCAACAGCATTAACCTCAGGCCCATTACGGCCGAGGTTACGGACGGGAAGAGACATCTTGAGATGTGATGACTCGATCCCTTTGACCTCGATAGGGTTTGCAGGGTTTGTCGTCTTCTTTGGCCCTGCATGAAGCAGGCCGGGGTTTTCCTGTCAGGACCAGGCCTTGTTCCTTTTCCTTTGTGCTTCAGGGCCTTATAGACCCTGTTCTGTTTCCTTCTGTTTCTTCTTCCTTTTCCTAGTCGTCTTCGTCTTCCTGTTCTAGATAGACAAATTGACTCAGTCTCCCTGTTCTTTTCTCGCTTCCTGTGCCAGCAGTGCCGTGGGCGCTGTCAAGATGATATAGGTAGTAGTCGAACGAACCTGCCTTCCTTGGACCCAACCCACCTTTAAATACTCCTCCTCTGTGAATATCTGGAACATTATCGAAGCAGGTTTTTCTCTCATTTGATTTCCAAGTAAGTCCCGAGAGATATTTCCCTCTAAACCCCGCGATTCTGCAGCATGATTCTGTAGAAACAAGAACTTTACCGGAGTTAAGAGGAGTGGATCCGCAGATCACTAGCCAATCCCTACATTGAAGCACCCACTTCCCCGCATCTGAGACGCCAAACCAATCAACATTCAAAGTTTCCGAGCAAGCCAATCCCCCCCCTCCCCGAGCCTCGATTAGCGAAAAATCATTTTCAAGGTGCACTCGTTGTTTCCCCAGAGGCACAGCTTCTCACCTTTTCAACCATGTATGAATCAATTGAAAGAGTATTCCCCAAAAAAGGCCGCAGAAATGTTAAGACAGGCTGTAAAACTTGCAAGTGAGTTTTGTCGCCCTATGCATCAGTATATATACTTGCCTACGCAGTCTCTAACAGGAGCACGCCAGACTTCGACGGCTGAAATGCGATGAAAGTCGCCCAGCCTGTCGGCGCTGCCTCTCGACTAGACGTGTTTGCGATGGCTACGGCATATGGGGAGGAGGCGGCACGCCATATGGCCAACCACAGAGTAATCGCGGGCTATCGACATACTGTACGCCGGTTCCGGTGGGCAGTCTCACTCCCGACGAGCAAGTTTCGTTTGACTGGTTCATGGAAATGACCACCAAGAAGTTTGCAGGGCTCTTTCCGTCTGACTTCTGGGAGAAATTGATCTTCCAAGCCAGCGCGCAGGAGCCTGCCGTACGGCACGCTGTTGTGGCCTTATCGGCGGCACACCGGTTTGACCACTATTATGAGCCGTGGAAGATCCCGGCAACTTACGGATTTGACGCAGAACGCTTCACATTGCAGCAATATAATAAGGCTATTCAGCATTTGAGTGTGAGGAAGGGACAAAACGAAAAAAAATGATGCGCAGGTGGCGTTAATCACATGCATGATTTTCGTTACTTTGGAATACCTGCGTGGGCAACACCAGAGGGGAAGCGCCCATCTGCGCCATGGAATTCATATCTTGTCGAATATATCGGATAAAAAGTCTTCAATGACTCCGAATATCTTCAAACCTGCAGAGGACTTTGCGCATGATGCGTTGATTGATTCGTACGCTCGTCTGTCTATCCAGTCCGCCATGTTCGGCCACGTTCCTGCGAATATGTGTGCCGTGTTTCGAGACCCGAAGACCAACGCGCTTCCATATAGCTTTGACTCGGTATCAGAGGCGCGTCAAACACTTGACGATCTCCTGAACAGGAATCATTGCCTGAAGCGGCACTCCGATACTGTGAGAGAGAAAGAGATCAAAGGCGACAGGAGGGAAGTGGCCAATACCCAAAAAGCAATTCTAGAGGACCTCACCCTCTGGCGTAAAGCCTTTGATAATTCTCTACCTCGCTTTGTGAACAAAGGAAGATCTGGAAAATTCGGACACCAGTTACTGGTCGTAAACTTCGAAATGGCTATGATCATGGCAGCGACTTGTCTCTCAAAAGACGAAATGATATTCGACCAGTATACAGAAAGAATTTTGACCATTGTGACCACATTCGTGAACATGTGGAATTTTTTCGCAACCCTCGATATCAAAATCAAAGATCTGAGGAAAACTTTGGATGATCCGACCCAAGCTTGTGCTGGGAATGGATTCACCGCTGAATGTGGCTTTATACCGCCAATATACTATACGACGCTCAAGTGCCGCGATCCTAGGATTCGGCGGCAATCTATTGTGATTGTGATATTGCGTTCAGTTCCACATAGAGAGGGTGTTTGGAATGGCCTATTGTTGGCAGACGTCGCGGAGCAAGTGATGTGGATGGAAGAGGACGGTGTTTATGATGGCGATCCAACAGTAGATGACCGGATTGCAGTTCAAGATCCACCTGCGAGAGATTTGCCGCTGCCAGAAATCAAGAGATCAATGCGAGTTTCTGACGTGGGTGTTGTCCTTGCGGATATGGTTGACGGGCATACTTTTGTGACATATAAGAAGCTTCAAGGAGGGCACTGGAAGCATTTCTCACGAGTTCTACAGCCTTGTTGGCTGAGCAAAGGCAGCCCTTCAGGCAGTTTCTCATCTACGGGCCTGCCACTATCACCAGCTTCTTGAGTGAGTCAAGAGACTTGATTGGCGATCCAATTGAATTAGTTTGCTGCATTTTCTGAATTCAATAATGATATTTTGCAATCAAAACTCCCTTATGTCACTGTTTATTTCCTGTCTTCGCAAAGGCCAACATACTACATGCCTATTCTAAAAACTGTACCGTAGAATGCGAAAAGTGAGATAATCATCTCGCAATGCCAAATGATCACTTCGGCAGAGATGACCCTTGCCATCGAATTAGGTCCTGATTTTCTCCTATTCACCACGTGCCAAAACGAGGTCGAAGCTAATGGCTGGACCAGCATGCATGCCAATGCAGGCAACATCTTGGGCGAAAACCCCTTCATCAATCAATTAGTACCTTTGTCTCTCGACGAGATCGAATTTCTATCTGATGTACATTCAGTGGCAAAGACTCTAGAATATGCAAAGAAGATTTTGCATCCGGAAACTTCGAAGCATTCGATGAGGGTAGACTTCTATTGTATGCGTACAGGGAATGTTTGTCATATCTTGTGCCCATAATTAACCACTTATAACAAGGATGGCTATTTATAAGCAGGGGTTCCCTGAGAAATTTACCAAACAGAACCGGGTGACTTGAGCTTTGACGTGCTACGGCGGTGTATAGACGCCATTCGCCAATGCATAATTATAGTTCAGATTTCACCGGCAGAATTCTGATTTAGCCCAGTTCCATTAAAATTTGGCTAAGTCCCATCGCTATTGAATTCTTCTACACTACTACCTATTTTCATGCATTATCACAAAGGGACCAACACGCGCGTCCTGATCTGATGTTTGCGAGAGCACGTAAACGGAGTTTGCCTACAAAATAAAATATCACTGACTTCAAAGTAGCCTCACCACTATTGCGTGTGACCGTACAACGATAATCTGTAGGGTAGGAAAACGCAATGATGAAGGGTTAGTGCGAGACAATATCCACATGGTTCTGTATTTACTAACCTTCCTTGAATGACTCTATTACGACCCAGCCTCCCCACTAGTTCCCACTTCTTCATCCATTTGACGACCCCTCCCACCCCTCGTTTTCGAAGCCGTTCGGCCTGGGAAACTATTCCCCTCTGACATATTTCCGTCGGCATACGTATCCGGCTCATTCCTCTCAATAATCTGCTGCGCGATAGTGTATCGTTGGAAAGCATCCTGCAAAAGCAGGGAATTTTCGCTATTTGAGACTGCGCTACTGCTATATCTCAGCAGGGTTGCCCTTTCCTGAATGAAGTCCAAGACCTTCGATAATTCGCCCATATTCCTCCTCAGTCGCTGCGGAAGCCCTCTCCCTTTAAGCAGTGCAAGCAATCCGGCGATAGAGGTGTTGAATGCCCCTAAGATTGTGATTGCCAACATATGCTCACCACCGGACGGTCCCAATGCGGTAATAGCCGCACCGATTATTATTTGTGCGATTGCAAGCAAGTTGAAAATGGCACTGATAAGCTGATATTGAGCGCGCTGGTGTTTCTTCTTGCGTATCAACTTCCTTTGTAAGTCAGCTGTTGCGGCCTCGTAGGTCTGATAAATTTGAGGCTCTTCAGGTGTGCTTCGTGGGTTTGGTATATGTGATTCAGACATGGTATATATGCGAACTTATTTGTTGTCTGTTAAATTGAGCGCTTTTTGAAGAGAGTGTCAGAATCCTCTCCGAGTCTTATGTTTCTGGAAAATCTCTATTGTAATGACGTCAATACTATCCGTTGTTCAGGTGATTATTTAAGCTAGTCAGTCAAGCTTCGGTACCTAGGGCTTTGGTATCATAGTATCTTCCAAGGTTCTTAGAAATCCAGACTCAATCAGACCTGTGAGCTAGCTAAAGTAAATTATAGGTCGGTGCTTAATCCCTCTGACAACTCAGCCATTACGGCTTTCTTCTGCCAGACCGACGCTACTCTCGAGGAGTAAATGACCCATAATTCTTAGTTCCTCTTTGAATAGACTTTTGAAATGCAACTTCTCTCGTACAGATTTTGGATGTTCATAATGTCTTATCCGTTGCCTTTGTGGATGACGATGACGGACTCCACCATCTGATACTGAATGCAAAGCAAAAGCATAGAAAAAGGAATGACGATATGCTGTCCAAGCTGAAGTTGACAACTGGCAGTTGGAAAGGACATTTTAAAGATTACCTGATCATGTCGACCTCCTGCCACTACCCCAAACCCTCTGCAAAATTGTTTTATGGTTTATTAATATTCTCAAAGTTCTGCCCGATGAGCAACCATGGTTTGGTCCATGTCACTTAATTCTAGGCCTTGGTTCTACGTATTAATAATCATGGTGTGATTACCATAAAGTTGAATGCATTTGACGCTTTGGTACGTGAAATTATTGGGTGGAGCGACGCTTGTAGACTATTCTTGGAAGTGTTGTAAACGTCCTTGGCCTATTTCCGAAAGCGAGGCAGTAAGTCATTAAAGTTTAGGACTGACGAAGGCTAATAGCAGATAACATTATTTATACCTAGCTAATACTCAAGATTCATACTTTTACCTCCACATACATCGTACAAGCATCCCCTTAAATTACAATAATCTATTAAGGACCCCCGTCACGCCGCCTAACCGTTTTTCTGCTTGGAACATCGCCTTTTGCAAGTCAATTTTTAATCGGGAAGTCATATCACGATGGTTAGTTCATTTTCGCATGAGATATCTGTATCTCAAAGAGTCTTCCTAACCTCCTTGAAACCTCACGCAGACTGCACCAAATATCTACATGATTAGGCATGGAGAAAAGCCGGGTGATGGGGCAAATAATCTCTCTGCTCAAGGGGAAGCAAGAGCGCAGCGCCTTCGTAACGTTTTTGGAAAGGAAAGCGGGTTTGATATTGGCTATATCATTGCCGAACGCCCTAATAAAGGTCTGAGCTACTCCTACTACTTTGATTCTCTTTGTGGCGACCAACTACGTAGCACTCGCTCTTTGCAAATAGAATGCTTTGTGCTTTATTATCAAAACTATCTAGATGGTTCCAGGGAACGCCCGTATGAAACTGTGCAACCTCTGGCCGACGATTTGGAGGATTTCGATGTGAAATTTAACACGGGTATTGAGAAAGACGACGCCGAAGGCGTCGCTCGGGCAGTGAAAGCGTATCGTGGAGAAGGGAATGTCCTTATTTGCTGGGAACATCATAAACTTTCCGATATCGCAAAAGCTATTAGCATAAAAGGGTTCGCGGAGAGTAGTGGCTGGTCTGGCAAGCTTCAATACCCAGACTCACGTTTTGACCTTATTTGGGTCGCACTAGCCCCTTATGACGAGATAACACAAGTTCTTATTGAGGATAAGCTCTAGTAAATGCGGCCCCTATTTATCCAGAGGCAAGGAACAAGTATACTCTGAAATGGTTTCTTCACGCGTACTAGAGAAATGAATTGATGAATGCGCGGCACTTTCAAGGAAAGGTAAACATTAAAATCTTCTCAGAAAGTGAAGTAAGAATCGAGTTTCAAGTCAAATACTGCAACCCAAAGAACTTTTCCTATCCCGCTCTCCATTGTTTTTGTTTGCTCCATAACAGAGAAAAGACTTCATAGTGGAAGAAGCGGTTTCGCACTTACTTCCTAATTCTGAAGACCTGATGTAACCGATATTCAGAGCTCAAAACATCCTCTCACTTTTCCGCCTTGTTTGACAAGTTTTCTCATCGATGACCTTTGTGCTGCCAAAGCGTTCAGCCAGGTGGCTAAGCGAACTCCAGCTTTGTAGATCTGTTCATTCACAATAGGAACCGAGCCATCGTAATAGTCACCACCAAGGTCATTGTCTTCAAGCCAGTTGACGCCATTTTTTAACACGAAATTACGATTCAGTCTGTTCGTCTCCCTTGCCCACAGCATAGCACATTCCAAAGGATTCTGAATATCTGAACACTCCACATAATGATGCCGGAATCTGTTTGTCTGAAAGAGGCTTGCTGCCTATCGTACAGCCGGCTCTTTTTCCTCGTTATGTTTTAGATTATGCCTTAAGCCGTTAATTTTATAAGGAATGTCTGTATCCCAGATACTATAGAGGTTCTCCTCTCTGCTATACCGACCGTCGAAGTATACATAAATCTCATTTCTTCGCGATTAAGGGCTTCCGTATACAACGGTTAATGTATATCACCGAGAAAATAAATAAGAAACTTCAGCGCTTAGGCTTACTTATCCTTATCTAACTTATTATTGTTAACCCGGTTTATCTACAACTTAGTTAGCTTAGTAGGCTGGATATAAGTAGCGGTCGGGCTAATATACTATATTTTGAATAGCGGATACTATATATCCGGCACCACTACAACCCGACGTAAAGGAAACCTAGCACGACTCGGGTAGATAGTCCAAGGTATCTATAAAGGTTAGTTTTTAGTATTAGTCTTGGAGTGATTACTGCAATATACCAATAAAATACTACAGCCTAGTAAATAGAAAGTAGGGCCTTATTGCGTTAGCCTAAACTGCTGCATCTAAGATATCCTCCCCGTCACTACTAGGCAAGAGAGTATCTATAAGCTATACTGCCTTATTACTAAGGTATTTCCAGGCAAGGTAGGCAACAGTACAGTAGCCTAGATCTCCCCAGCAAGCAACTAGCTAGAAGGAGTAAAAGAAAATCAGGAGCGGAAATCAAAAACCACACATCCTCACGCCCCTTTAAGCAAATAAACCAGAAATTCCGCAGTCAGGTCGCCTCTCAGCATCTACACAGGTTGCGGCCATGATTCCAAAGTCGCCTGCGTTCCCAATAGCTCTAAAGTTGCTATACTTTGTGTGGGAACGTCGATCAGCACCTTGTAAATCCCCGGATAAAGCACACGATCGCCACGCTCGGTCACGCGAGCTAGATCTCCAAGCGTAAAATGAAGTGTAGCAGATCGAGTTTCCTTGGGCATAACGGCCATCAAACGGGTATAAGCACCGAGCTGCTTGGTAGCATGCGGAGGCGGACCGACGGTGGTCGCGATAAAGCCAAGGACAACAAAGTCAGACGTTTGACTACCTGTATTCGTTACACTCACGACTACCGGCGGTAGCGGACAAAGATCCAAAAACTGGGTGCTGCAATTGTCCACTAGCTCATTGATCTGGTATGAACCCAGATGCAAAGAGTCACCACGAGCGGACGAGCTCTGAGCGCTCGTTCCATGGCTTTGAATTAGAGCCGTGAAGGTCGTATAATGCAGTCCATGTCCAAAAGGCAGCACTGCATCCTCATAATACCAGTATGTCCGTCCCGGCCGTTCACCTTGCGGCCGGAGAGACATGTCCGTCATCGGAATATGATCCACGTACCTAGAGGGGTACTGGGTGACGGGTAATCGACCGGCAGGAGGGATTAAGCCAGTCAAAACATCAAAAATGGCTGGCCCCCCATCCTGGCCGGGATATGCCGCCCACAGGATTGCAGAAACATTACTATTATTGAGGAGGGTGGCGTCGTCGAGCTGGTCGCCTAGCTGAACGACTACACAGGGCTTTCCAAGAGCACATATTTCCTTGATGAGGCTCAACTGAGACGTGGGCCATGCGATGGATATGCGGTCATTGAGCTCACTTGCGGTTGAAACATCGATACCCCCGAAGTATAGCACAACGTCGGCTTCCTTGGCGGCTTCTATCTGCTCTGTCCAGTTACCAGTTGCGTTTTGCGAAGTGGAGGGGCCGGATGCGTAAGAAGTCTTTAAACCTCGTTGCTTTGCTGCGTAGAGTGGCCCATGATAATAGGGAGGGACACCGAAGTAGCTACCCAACATTTCCCAGGTGGCATTGGCATACGCCCCAATGAGCGCGACCTTGGTGTCGCCTGTGAATGTGAATGGCAAAACGCCATCATTTTTGAGCAGCACCATACTTTGCGCGGCCGTGTTGCGTGCCAAAGTTCGGCTGTTTGGCGTGTTAACTGCCGACCAACCCAAAGATACATATGGATCTGTCGAGTTGGGCCCGAAGTATCCAACGCGCACCAAGGCTTCGTACTGGCGGCGTAAAGAAATATCGATTGTCTCCTCTGAGAGCAAAGATTTACCATATGCCTCTGGAATACCGGTTTGGGAATCTCCCGCGCACAAGAGATCGACGCCTGTCTCAAACACCAATGCACTGAATTCAGCAAGACTTGAGGTGTAACGCGTGTGCTCCACAGTTTCATTCACAAGGCCACAATCTGTGACTACGTATTGCGATGAGGCTGTCCAGTTCCAATGCTGCCGTAGGATGCGATCGATAAGGTAGGAATTGGCACAGGCTGGGACGTCATTGACCATGTTGTACGAACACATGATGGAATCGACTTTAGAGTCCCGCGCACACTGCTGGAACGGGGGCAAGTAATATTCAACAAGGTCTTTCATGGAGATATTGGCTTTGAATCCGTAGCGGCTATAACCACCCCATGTTTCCAGGTCATATCCGGCGTAATGCTTGCAGTTTGTCAAAGTCTTTTTCGTGGTCGAGCTGTGGTTTCCTTCCAGGCCACGCAGAAAGTGAGCGGCATATCCCTTGATTCGCCGTGGATCTTCTCCAGGGGTTTCAGACCCTCGGCCCCAGCGTGGATCGCGATATGGATTGACGTTCGGTGTCCAGTAGTCGAGACCTCCGCGGCCGCCGTTACTGAAGGCGCGGGCCTCGGTACTAATAGTGTCTGCTACATGATAGATCATCTCATCGTCAAAGGCGGCTGCAAGAAGCAGGGGCGTGGCAAAGGATGTGGCAGACGAGAATTCTCCCACAGGATTCTCCGTAACGATTGAAAAGTCCACGCCAAAGCTAACACCATCAGAAAATCCAACGCCATGCAGCGCTTCATTCCACCAGTTATAGGGCGGTAGGCCCAGACGGGAGGACCCGGCGCTTGCTTCAAAGAGATTGCCCAGTTTCTCAGTGATGTTCATGCTATCCACCAAGGCTGCAGCGCGATCAGAAGGCGATATCTGTGGATTGCATATATCGTTCTTGGTTAAGAGGAGAGGTCCGCGGTCACAGTCGGGAAAGCGCATGCCATAACAGCCTCGAATGTGCATGAATAGCCCCAGGGCCAGTGGAGCGCACACAAACATCTTGAAAGAGACGAGTTAGGCCTTCGATGAGAATGCAAGCCTGAAACGACGATTGAGACATCATCGGATAATAGAGCACGGCTATGAACTTAAATAGTGCCAAGGATTTGGTGCATCGTCCTCCAGGGGCGTACAAAGATAGCTTAGTGGATAATGGATTTGGTCATGACTATATTCGGCTCCGTTTGAATAATCTGTTGTCCAAATTACGTATTCGTATTAAAGTACTCGCCTGACTTAGAAGGGCTTGCTCCACGTATGGTTGGGAATGCCGCCGATCCCTGCCGCCCTAGTGGGAAAAATTGGTATGGTCATAAAGCAACAAGAATTTGCATGTCCTTAATCGGAAAATGTCCCGTATTCGTACTTGGACTACCTTTCATGCACTAACAATCATCGGTAATCACCGGATAGCCCTTCCTCCACGGTAGCTCGCAGATATTCCGGTTCATATTTGTCGGGAATGCCCTGTGCAGCTATGGAGGTACAGTGGATTTACTAGGCGATTGGCGCAACGGAACCAAAAAGGAAATACCAAAAGATGAAAATGAGTGCTATTTCCTGTTCTCTGGAACTGCTGGGGGTCAGGGGGTAAAAATATCCTCGAGAATACTTGACTCGGATGGTACTGTAGGTTAATCAAGCTGTATTCAGACAGGCTGTGAGAGTAATATATCTGCATTCTACAATTCGTATTTATTATACAGGGGTGGGTGTTTGGTGTTTATGTCCACTAATGGTGTTTTGCTGCATACCACAACTACATAACTATCCTGGTCTCGGTCGACAATGTTAAAATTGATAACTACTCTGGCAGTGTTTGGATTGGTAAACAATCGTTGAGATATGTGAAACAGCTATCAAGGTGTGCTAGTGACCCCTGATGCCACCTGCCTATTCTGGCTATTTGTCTTAGCTTTGTCATAAGAATATATGTCCCATTTTTTGCTTCTCCGCCACTGGGTATATTTCGCTGAGAGCTCCGCTAATCCAAGGGCAGGAGGACGAGCCAGGCGTCCTCCAAATTTTCGACAAGGAATAAGTAAAGGACTAGATATTAAGGCACAGTAGATGGGTCTCCGTGTCTCCGGAGTGATCCCCTGGCAATTTAACCACTCCTTCAAAAGCTATTCCGGAGAGCGATAAGCTAGGAAGGAAAACACTGCCTTCTTAGACCTAACTTCTGACTACGGACAAAATGTCCTGAAACGTGAATCGTGAATACCATTTAGCTCGTCTGCTTCAGAATTTCCTATAAACGGTCGGAGCTATTTATTTACTATCCTCTGGGCTTACAAAATTAGGTAGTAATAATGTTAACGTGGTTGGCATTTTGTTCTTGCTTTAAAGGTACATACTAACTTGGCTAAGGGAGAGCAACAGAGGCTATGCATTGACAACTAGGGAGAAAGAAATAGCATGTTGTGATGCCTTATTAATTGGTTATCATTGATGTCATCCATTGGAACGTTTCCCCATAGTCCCCATCATTCGCAATGGACATACCGTAGTCGGGCTGTGGTATGCTGTGATGGACTTTGCCATGTATTCGTAGATGAAAAAAAGGGTAACTGAAGGCAGTGGCGGACTTGTTCGCTGGATACGAGGATGCCCAACCGGCTGTTTCTCCTTTTCTAGCACGGAATCGGACGATAGTGAAACCAGTTATTAACTCGTTTCGTCCACTAAATGAGACAATCTGTGACTGCTGTATTGAGACCAATATGAGTAGTGCTTCTTACCGTGTTGAGAACAGAGAATTACACATTTGCCTAGCGGGCGCAATGAAGCCTTTGTTGTAATTAGTTAAAACGAAGCGCATATATATAGTGTTGTTATCCACCGCGTTGTGTCTCTTGCCGTACCATGTTCTGTCTATATCGTCGACATCACACTATTCTCTGCAAATATGCGTTCGTCAGCCTTTGTGGCATTAGCATCTTGCCTGGTAGCTCTAGCCTATGCCTATGCGAACCCCGGAGCATGTTCTGGAGCTTGCAATGTCCATGATCCTAGCGTTATTCGCAGAGAGTCTGATGGAAAGTACTTCCGCTTTTCAACTGGAAACAAAATCTCTTATGCATCTGCAACTTCTATCAGTGGTCCATGGACGGTACTAGGGTCCGTCTTGCCAAGGGGGTCGTCAATCGACCTGGCTGGGAATACCGATCCTTGGGTAAGTCCTGTCTGCAATTATTACAGTATCCGCTTTTCTCCAACCTCACGAGCGCACTTTGATATTCTTTTTATGTTCCTTTTATCCCATTCTGCAGCTTCTCTCGGCGACAGTTGTTCTCCTCACCGCCAGCAATCAGTTGGTATACTTCCTTCGGAATTCAAGATTTGACTCAAGCTATGTAGGCTCCAGATGTCTCCGTCGTCAATGGCGTCTACCATGTCTACTATTCGGTGTCAACTTTTGGGTCGCAGGACTCAGCTATTGGGCTTGCGACATCCACCAGTATGGATCTGTCTTCATGGACCGACCATGGCTCTATTGGTATCCAGTCCAGCTCCTCGAAGCCATACAATGCAATTGACGGCAACCTCTTTGATGATGGAGGAAAATATTACATGAACTTTGGTTCCTTCTGGCATGATATTTACCAGGCACCAATGAACTCAGCCGCAACCACTGTTTCGTCCTCAGCACACAACATTGCCTATAATCCTTCAGGGGCCCATGCCGTTGAAGGATCATTCATGTACAAGCATGATGGTTATTATTATCTCTTTTACTCTGCAGGCATCTGCTGTGGCTATGACAAGTCCAGGCCGGCCTCAGAACAAGAGTATAAAATCAAAGTTTGTCGTTCGACCTCAGCGACAGGAAATTTCGTAAGCAGACATATGATATCTCAGAAGTTGCAAAAGCTGATTAGAATCTAGCTGGACAAGAACGGGGTTGCTTGCACGAACGGAGGCGGCACGGTTGTTCTTGAAAGCCATGGAACTGTCTACGGACCTGGTGGACAGTATGTCTTCCCTAAATAAGCCCTCTCCCTATCAGCCTGATAAACGTGCAACAAATGCTGATCATACTCAGGGGCGTCTTTATTGACCCTACGCTTGGACCTGTTCTGTATTACCACTATGTGGACACCAGGATCGGCTATGCAGACGGCCAAAAGCTCTTTGGATGGAATGTTATTGACTTCTCCAGCGGATGGCCTGTTGTGTGAGTAGGCATATTGTTTTCATGTTCGAGTTTGCTTTGCAGTAGCCAGACATCTTCCGCCAAACGTGTCAGGGATTCTGACGCCTTTGCCGATTGATCAATCTATGAATGAGAGGTGGTGAGGGAAATCAATGGAAAACTGCATCAAGATATTATAAAAAAGAGTATCCCGGGCTTGAAAGGCTTCATCTGCAGAGTATAGAGGTCTATCTAAGCTTATCCTAAAACCTAACTATGCTGCTCCACCGGCTGCAGGTATAAACTTAGCAAATTCACCCTCCACCGTAGAAAGCCGAGGACATACAGCTCTCTGATACTATTATGTCTCAACATTTTCCGCTCACATTTTGAATTACTCTGCACGATGGAATTGTCACGTCTTCCACAGGTAAGCAAGCGGATATCTGGTTTAGATTGATCAATCTATTCATCATTTTCTTAAATCTCCGATTTGGACCTTTGTGCACGCAGCAACTAAAGCGAAGATGGCATGCATTTATCGTTCTTGGAAAGAGGTCAACAGATTATTTCTAGTGACAGACTCATGGACTTTGTTGTTAATTTTACTCATCGTCCGACTGCCGGACGCAGAACCTGACCCTCAGCTAAGATGATTCTTTGGCAATTTGCTGATAATTCGGTTTTTGGATCATTTTGGCTCTTGATTGATGGAACGTGGTAGTAGTAGCTCAGCAATTATGGAGCTATGGGACGGGTGTGACCCGAGGTGTTTCACTGTGCTACACAGTCGCAACCCGGAAGGTTTCTGCTCAAATCGGGCTAGGCGCTGTGCTGGGGGCTCGCTAGTTAGCGGAGAATTCCATCTAGTAGCCGTACCGGTGTCTAAATACCATTTTCGACCATGACCGAACTCGAGGTGCCGTGAGGCGGTGATCTAGAGCTCAGAAAGAAGGTCTCCTGATACTAGGCAGTTAGTGGAGCCAGATACTTATCCTAGTTATAGTAGTCTCGATTTGTCAATGCAGGCGGAAGGGAAGCTTTTATCAAGTGGGTTCATCGGGAGCCTTGCTTGTGTTGAGAGAGGAGATAAAATATCGTAGTACAGCATTTGTCAGTAAGCTAGAAATCATTGGGAATATCTAGGAGTTTTGAAATCCGGTGATGGAAGAGCACGAAAGAGGCTTCTCGACGAATTTTATTTACTATACAAGAACAGTCTCGTTCGGGGCTCCCGTGGAATGCACGGAAGTACTCGGTAATGACGGCGTTTGCCAGGGGTCATCATCGCAATTGGATGCGGCTGATTCTTTGTTATATCAATTCCCTTATTCACCTTTTCTTGCTCCTACCCTATCTTACGTTAGCCATGATACGGACTGACGGTGAAAGGGAGGGGGGTATGCGGCCATAAACCCCTTTATTAAGCACGGTCCCCTGAATTACATGAATATAATAATTTGCAAGTTACTAAACAATGCTATGGGGGCATCGCAACATGAAGTTGTGTTTCGATCAAATCAAACCAAATTCCCTCATAGCCAGACTCCTTAGATGCTCGGACTTGCTTGATGAATCCATGAAGTCGCGCTGCACTTATACTCTGAACAGCAAAAGGCGAAAATACGGTCCATAATTCTTCTCCTGGTCCCTCCACCTCGAACATTGCTATGGTCAAGGGGAAAACTACAGGCAAAGCTGTGGTCTTTTCAGCGGCCGTTTGAGCAAAGTGAGTCATTATAGAGAAAATTCTATTTGCAAGGTCTCGCGCCGTTTTCTCTTCGACCCCGAGGGGATATCGCAGACGATGAATGATCAACAAGGCTGCCAGGCGATAGGCGCTTGCCTGCGTCATCATTGCTAGCACCTCACTCTGTCCATGTTTTTCAAGGAGCTCTGGCGGATTTGGAGGATTCCATTCGAGAATTGATCGCTCTATATCTGCGAGTTGCCTATAAATCCCGGAAGAGGGTCCAGATCCAATATCAAGGATACCTCTCTTTGCGGTATGACTACACACACAGAGATCATAGAGCAAAGGCAGAAGTGTTGCGCAGACGCCCGCATATCGATCAACAATAATATGGTCAGTCCTGGGGAGGCGGATTATAGGAATCTCTCGACGCACCAAGCATTCGACCGTGTCAATCAGAATAGGTGTCATAATTATGGGACACAACGTCGGAGAATGGATCAGCCTCGGAAGCCATACTTTGGTTGATATGAGGGCGCTTCGCATAATAGCATGGGCTGTTGAAGAATCGGGAGCTATGAGTACATTGAACACATACATCGTTTGACCCAGGAAGAGTGCACAGGCTGCATCATAATCCTGGTTGATTTTCACACTTCGCAAGCGTTGCAGTCCCTTTGCAGCTTTGGACATATCTGGCTCATCTTGGCGCATCACAAGTGATCTTTGGTACCGCGTCATTAATCCCAGAAATGCCAAGTATCCCTCGGTCAGAGTTGGGGCGGAAAAGTATAAGATGGTATAGACAGTCTTTTGAGCTTCAGGAACGAAGCTAGGGCCCAGCATGAATGGCGTATGTATAACCGAGAACTGCTCGAGGTCCATTACTGTGCGGAAGGCATCGGCGGCTGTTTTGAGTGTTGTGGGGGATGCAAGCAGCTTCTCGGGCGCCAATACCACAGTATCGCAATTTTGAGGATTCCTCACTTCTCCAACAGACTGATTAGAGGGAGATATTGACTTGGGGCGTCGGGTGAGCGGCAAGTGGGCGGATGGACTATAGATCGATATGGACGAACTTCGTTGTTGTTGCTGAGTCCCGATCTGCTTCTCCGAGTCAATGCTCCAGACCTGCATCTCCCCGTAGGGGAAGACTTTCGCGGCAGGTCGACGTCCTATGCGCCTGATACGCCGTGAGGTCGAGCATGCGATATTGAGGCGACGGCACCTGGTGCATTGCTGATTATTGCCTGGAAAGGTGCACCTTTCCTTGCACGCGTAGCACCGGTCACACGCCCTGGTGACCATAGTCTCTAGTTGATACGAGCAAATAGGTCGACGTGCAGGAATGCTTGCCCTTCAGTGTTGGGGCTGCCAGTTCCCTTTGTCTGGTTTGGAGGGGGTGCAAAAGGTGGATAGGGGCAAAAGATACGTTGTTTAGACTTGGGACGGCTGACATGTGCGACGAGGAACCAACACCCCAGGTTAGGGGCTAAATAGAGTTCTGCTAGTTTTAGTATCCTATTAGGAATGTCCTGTATAGCTATGGAAATACACTAGGCTTACTAGGCGACTGGCGCAACGGAATCAAAAAGGGAAATATCCAAAAATGAAAGGAGTGTTGATTCTGGCTCTCTGAAACTACAGAAGGTCGAGGAATTAAAATATCCTCGAGAATACCTGTGACCTAGAGGATACATATCCGAGGTCGCGAAAGGTGGCGAAAAGTACGCGTAATCCTAATACCGAATATCAATGGTTATCTTCAGAAATCTCAGAAGTACCGTTTAAATCAATACGGTGCTGATCACCATTTTCCTTACATATCCCCCACCTTGTCCGTTATACCCCACTCCCGTCTGACCGGCAGGCGGTCTTTTTTCTGCAGGGATTTTAGTAAGCTTTACTTTTGAGTTTCTTGGCTAGTTAACTATAATTATTTAGTACAATAAGGTCACCGCTTGCCGCCATTCCGTATTTGCTGATCTGGGTACGATCGCCCTAATCGCCGATTTTTGGGCCTACCGGGAAATATACCTGAACCGGCGTAGTTGATTAGGATGGTTGTGTGTCCCTCCCATTTCATGTCTAACGCCGTGCCATCGGCAACTGCGGCTCTCTACAATTGCCGCTTTGCCCTGAATATCTTCACCACCAATGATGAATACCATTCCTGCCCTCTGGCCGGCCACTGTAATAAATATATCTAGCATATGGACTTCATCTCCATGAGCCTTTATATGATGCTGGTAGGTAAATTTATTCTGCCTTAGGTTCTAATGTGCCACCTTAACTTAACAGATTAAAAGCAAAACCTCACCTTTTCGAAGTCCCCATCCTATAGACGACAAGAAACATATATAATATAACACCAGAATTTTTGGAACGAAAGAGTACATGCGAAATATTATTACCAATCATGTGTTAGAGGTCCATAGCCCAAGTGTAGGATCTGCCTTTGGTAGGGCGGACTAAGGTTCGTTGATATCGTATCACGGCCTGACGACTACATCAGTCTATTTGAGTTTTCAGCTCTGCCAAGGAAGCTGATACCCATCATCAACTTTGAATTCCGGATTGACTGGGCCTCTGGCTATGTAACCCTAATACATGACAGTGTTATGAGAACGATCGGCAGGGGAAGATCTAGGCTGCCAGTGTCGTCTAACCTTTCACGGCATGATCATCCCGACGCGTACTCTTTGTATATGGGCCTCTTAGCTTATGACTGACGATTGACTGTAAGTAGAAGTGTCCGCTGTGTTCTCGTACTCAACTTCTTCTGTGGCGCCCAGACAGGACGCACGATAAGGTTTGCGTCGCAATTTCTCCCAATTTGAGCTTGCGCGGGGAGGATATCAGACACGAAATTTTGGCCCGAGGGGACATGTGAATTGAGTGTATACAATTTAGCCAGCAGCTTTGAAATATAAAAGGCAGAAAAACCTCGTCTTCACGGCCACGAACTTCAGTTGCCTAGACCCTTTCCCCCGAGCCGTCATAACGTCCGACTTATATCATGAAACTCTATTCCTTCATTCTCGGCGCCTTCCTACCGCTGGTCGTCTTGTCTTCTCCTGCCCGACGGGCAGCGGAACCCACTGTCACTATTTCGTCCCCAATAGCCACTATTGTCGGCCAGAGTTCGGATGGACTAGAAAGTTTCGACGGCATCCCGTTCGCAATTCCTCCCACGGGCACGTTGCGTCTGAAGCCGCCTCATCCTATTGAGACGAAGCTCGGGACTATTCAAGCGACTGGGACCCCGCGGTCCTGTCCCCAGTTCTATGCCAGCAGTGAATCGAAAGATATCCTCGTCTCATTAGTCGGAGAAACTTTTAATCTGCCTTTCTTCCAGGAGGTTACAGATGCTGGAGAGGATTGCCTGACTCTGAATATCGTCCGGCCAGAAGGAACTACATCCGAATCTCGGCTACCCGTTCTCTTTTGGATCTACGGTGGCGGATTTGAATTCGGCTCCACCGCTATGTACGATGGGTCGTCACTTGTTTCCAGTGCAATTGATACGAATATGCCAATGATCTTTGTGGCGGTGAACTACCGTCTTGGTGGCTTCGGATTTATGCCAGGCAAAGAGATTCTCCAAGATGGATCTGCCAACCTTGGTCTACTGGATCAACGGCTCGGCCTCCAATGGGTTGCTGATAATATTGAGGCCTTTGGCGGTGACCCTGACAAGGTAACTATCTGGGGCGAATCTGCTGGTTCTATCTCAGTGTTTGACCAGATGGCGCTCTACGACGGGAACAATACCTATAACGGCAAGTCCCTCTTCCGCGGGGCTATAATGAACTCTGGTAGTGTCGTCCCGGCTGAACGTGTAGACGGCATTAAGGGCCAGGCTGTTTACGATTCGGTTGTGGCAGCTGCTGGATGCACTTCAGCGAATGACACGCTCGCCTGTCTCCGTGCCTTGGATTACACCACCTTCCTTAACGCAGCAAATTCTGTTCCTGCCTTTCTCAGCTATAGTGGGGTGGCACTCTCATATTTACCTCGCCCGGACGGAATTATCTTGTCAGACTCGCCTGACAAGCTGGCAAAAGCGGGAAAATACGCAGACGTCCCTTTTATTATCGGCGACCAGGAGGATGAAGGCACCCTTCTTGCGCTCTTTCAGTCAAATATTACTACAACCGAGGAAATTGCCGAATATCTGAAGGAATATTATTTCTACAACGCCACATCTGACCAGATTGATGGCCTCATTGCTCACTATCCGGACACTGCAACTGATGGTTCTCCATTTCGCACTGGTAACCTCAACAACTGGTACCCCCAGTACAAACGTCTTGCTGCTATTTTAGGGGACCTTACTTTTACTCTCACTCGCCGGGCTCTGCTGGAGTACTCAACCCAAGTCAAGCCAAATATCACTACCTGGTCATACCTAGCATCCTATGATTATGGCACCCCTTTCCTGGGTTCATTTCATGCCGGTGATATATTGCAGGTCTTCTATGGGATCTTGCCTAACTACGCAGTAAGCGCAATTCGGTCCTACTATTTCTCCTTTGTTCAGAACTTGGACCCCAATGCGGCGGTATCCTATTCAACCTGGTCGCAGTGGTCGGAGAACCAAACTTTGATGCAATTTTTCGCGGACTCGTCAGCGAACCTTGCAGATGATTTCAGATCCGACTCTTATGACTTTCTTCTCGCAAATGCGGAGGCTTTCTACATATAGTGGCTTCAGAAGCGTCTGAAGACGCTTTACTTAGTCTCTACGTCATCTTTCGGTTTTTGCTCGTGTTCGTCTTGTTCTTACTTTACTTGCCTTGTTTGTGCTTTTCTATACGAGGATCCTTAACCCTTAACATATTCCATTGTACAGTGTTGTTTCATAAGTCTTCGACCACCCTATTTTCTGTCGTGCCTAATAGTAATATATATCTAGAATAACGTTCTCAAGGCGCTTTCATTTGGTCACAATAGAACATTGCTTGTGTTCGCCGCGGTGTCGAAGGTAGAGAAGGCCCAAATTGCGCATAGTCTCATCTTTGGACAACCTAATTAAGCTAATACTAAGGTTCTCTCCGTATATCCGTATCGCAGAAAAGGATTTGGAGAAATTTGCAGCGCGAGCTGTCTCTCCTCCTGAAAAATTTCTTGCCTTCTGCTCAAATCGTACCCATCACGTAGTCGCTTTGATTATAGCCTTCCATATCTTCGACCTCACGGACCCTCTCAATACTCTTCACAATACCCTGAAAGGGATACGCAACGAGCCCCAATCCAGCTGAAGGGACCTTAGACATCGACCCCACAGTCCCCTTCGCCAAACCCTTAGCAACACCCAGCGCGCCCTCCTCCTTGCCCCCTTAATTGGTTAAGTGAATGTCGACAGATTCTAATATTTAATCTCTTATAGATATTGTCGGATTTACGGGGTCAGCATAAATCCTTCGGCGTGCACAAGCAAGCAAGTGTGCACGATTGGTCAAATTAGTATACGATTGGCGAAGAATCGTATAGGTCAGGTCAATCGATAGAGGGAGGGGGGTCGGCAGTATTAGATTGATAGTAGTCAGGTAGGCAGCGTGCAGTATTAGACTACTATACAATCAGGTAGGCCTAGAGCTCTCTCTTGATGAGGTCGGGTCAGGTCGGACGGTCTAATCGTAGAACGTCGGGATCGTGATTGTGCGATTCAGCCAAGAACCCACAATCATGGAAGAATGACTATCCACAGGAAAGGGGGGTCGGCAGTCTTAGATAGGTAGTAGTCAGGTAGGCAACATACAGTATTAGACTAGAGCTACACTATCAGGTAGGCCTTTAGTCTCTCATGTGGATAAAAAGAGTGTCAGACTTGATTCAATTTAGCTATGGAAAACAGGTAGTATTTATAACTTCACGAAATCGAGGCAATACGTCAGAGTGGAATCTTATAGAAATCAGCAGAAATAGAGTGTTGAAGCTCTTTCGTCATGTATACAAGTTGTTGATGTCAATCGTTGAAGATCGTCGTCACGTGTACGTTCCGTCGCATTCTGTCACGTTCGATAGCTCTCATGGGGGCTTATACACCCACTCATGTTGACAGGGGCTTATGCACCCACTTATGTTGACAGATATTATACCGGGCAATGTTTATAGTGTACTTTAATTATAAA